AAAAATTTTTGCACCGTGCAAAAGAATGACGAGCCAAAAAAGCGCACTGTGCGAGGAAAAAATCCAAAAAATTTTTTGCACGGTGCGAAAAAATTAAAGAGCAGAAAATTGCACCGTGCAGCAAAAAAGGCGAAAATTTTTTTTGCACAGTGCAAAGAGAATCTAAAAATTTTGCACGGTGCAAAAAAATAATCAAAAAATTTTTTGCACGGTGCGAAAAAAATGAAGAGCAAAAAATTGCACCGTGCAAGAAAATAAAGTAAACAAAAAAAATTTTGCACAGTGCAAAAAAATGGGGAGCGAAAAACCGCACTGTGCAAGAAAAAAAGCCAAAAAATTTTGCACTGTGCAAAAACGGAGAGCCAAAAAATGCACTGTGCGAAAAAATTAAAGGCAAAAAATTGCACCGTGCAAGAAAAAAGCCAAAAATTTTTTTGCACAGTGCAAGAAAAAAAGCCAAAAATTTTGCACAGTGCAAAAAATCAAAACTTCAAAAAAAATGGGTTCTCGTCAGGAACAGTGTACTTTCACCTCCGCAAACTCTCGCCAATTAAAAAACTGACTGAGTAAACCACGTATCCGCCGAGATCCCGCGATTTCATCTCACTGAACTCCCGAAGAAATCGATTTCTAATCGAGAAAACGGAGAGATTCAGCGGATTCAAGAGGGTTTAGAGAAAAACAGAAAAAAACTCTTAATTTAGATGAGTAATCCGTGGAGAAAAAGCAAAAGTAATTGGGATGAAAAATGGAAAAATAAATTTTTTTATAAAAATGGGAAAAAATGTTTTAAAAAAGATGGTTTTTATAGGGAAATTCGCTGTGTAGAGGGCTGGAAATGGCTTTAAAAAGTTCTCCAGATGGGTAAAAATCTTAAATTTGTTGTTTCAAGGGTTAAAACAGAATGCCAAATTTGGCGGGAAATTTGAATTTTTGAAATTTTTTCTAATAATTGAGAGTTGGAAAAGTGAAATAGGTGTCTGAAAAGTAATAAAACATTTTTTATACAGCATTTTTTGATATAATTTGGCTATTTTTACCCCTTTTTTCTCAACTCCCCTACTAATGTCTACTACAATATAAAAATCACCCCAAATCTCCAATCTACGGCAAGAATCCGACCTGATGGCCTCTGAACTCTAAACAAAAAACAGCGAGCGTGCGTTGGAATGACCACTTGAGCTGAAAGTGACCGCTCTTTCTCTCTCCGCTCTCCCCAATCCCGCCGCTCTCTCGCTTGATAAATAAAACCCAGAGTGCGCACGACCTGCGGCCACGAACTCAGCCCAACACACGAGGGATGAGCAAACAAAAGCCTCCACCGTCTACACGGTCCCAGCGGTTCGTTGTAGCGAATTTTAGGGGAGAACTCGAAAAAATTGAATTTTCATTGGAAAAATTGAATTTTTTGGGGGAAAAAATCAAAGATCTGGGCAAAACATGGCTTTTCAGGCAATATAGGACTCTGATTGACTTTTAAATATGTCAGAATGACCGATTTTTTAGATGTTTTATCAAAAATTTTATTAAAAAAAAAGAAATTTTTTGAAAAAATCAAAATTTTTTTTTGTGAAAAATTCGTAAAAGCGGGTCAAAAATAGCATTTTCAGCAAAATAGAAGCTTTATCAATCCTTTAAACATGTCATTATGACGCATTTTTTGGATTTTTCCTTTAAATTTTGAAAAAAAAAGGATTTTTTGAAAAAAAGTAAAAAATTAGGATGAGAAATCCCTTTTTTCAGAAAAAATATAAGCCCTTTCTTCAAAAAAACATGTCATCATGACATATTTTATAGAAATTTATTTCAAAATTTACAAAAAATAGTCAAAAAATTGAATATTTTGACTAAAAATCCCGAATTTTAAAAAGTAAAGTTAGATCGTTCCGAAAAATTAGAAAGCATGATGATCAACCTCTCCACGCCCTTGCTTTCCATGGCTGAGTTTTTGGCCCACGACGAGAATCCTGCGATGATTCAGCGGGCGAAGACAAGAGACGGGAGAAATGACTCAAAAATCGCAGATTTTTCGACAAAAAATTCAAATTCAAGTCAAAATATTATTAGCAACTGCTCGGAACAGGTCGTAAATTGATCTGTGAAAATTTCAGCTCACGCTTTGCAGCGAGAGCCGCGATTTCCAATGATTTGTGTGAGAGAGTATGCAAAATGGAGAGACGGTTAGAGAAAAATGGTTTTTTGGCCATATCTCTGCGAATTTTGTGGGGAAAAAATTGATTTTTTGGGGAAATATTGTACACAGGACTTGAAACCGAATGCCAATTTTTTTATTTTAAAAATAGCAAAAAAAAATTTTTTTAATTTTTTAATTTTTTTTCGAAAAATCTCAATTTTTTTGAAAATCGAAATGTAAAAAAATTCAAAAATGTGTTATAAAATTTTTTTTTTAATTTTTAACAAGTTTCTTTGAAATTTATGCAATTTTTTGAAGAAAACTTTGAATTTTGCGATTTTCTAGCCTAAAAATCTTATTTTTTTGACAAATTGCAAGCAAAAAATTTTTTTTATCCCTCATAAATAATTTCAATCTAAATCTGAACCATTTTAACCCAAATTTAAACAAAAAATTTCAATTTCAAAAAACTATTTTTTCGAAAAGTTTCAAAATTCCCCATCAAAATCTTTGGAAACTCACTGTAATGCACAATAAATCAAGCAAAACCATTTCTGCAACCCAAAAATCCCAAAAAATCAATCAATTTTCACCCCAATTAACCGCTCTGAAACCTCAATTCTCGAGTCGATCAGACGAAAAACGAAAAAAAAACGTCTCTGCCCCTGAGGCGATGCGCGCGTTCCGAATGGAAGAGGGGGGATTCAGAAGTGGGTGTTTCAGGGTTCCTTTGGAGGAAAATCGCAGAAAAAAGGCACACGTGATGGGAGGAAAAGATGGAGAAAAGAGCTGACTGGAACGATTTCTGAGATTTTTTTGACGAAAAAAGTTTGTAAAAATTCGGAAAAGTGGCCTTAATGAAACTTGCGACAAATTTAGATTACCACTCCAAAGTCGCTGAAGTGATTTTCGCACTGTGCGAAAAACAAAAAAATTTCTTTGCACTGTGCAATTTCTTGCTTTTGCGCACCGTGCAATAGGCATCTTGGGCTGTCGCTCTTGCACAGTGCGAACACCAAAAATCACTCCAGCGACATGCACTGTGCGAAAAACAAAAAATTTCTTTGCACTGTGCAATTTCTCACTTATTTGCACCGTGCAATAGGCTTTTTTTGGCTGTCGCTCGCACCCTGAGTTTTTTTGCACAGTGCAAACGTCAAAAATCAAATCGGTTCGGCGACATGCACTGTGCGAAAACAAAACTTTTCTTTGCACCGTGCAATAGGCATTTTTTGGTCGTCGCTCTTGCACAGTGCAAACGCCAAAAATCACTCCAGCGACATGCACTGTGCAAAAACAAAAAATTTCTTTGCACTGTGCAATTTCTTGATTTTTGCACCGTGCATTAGGCTTTTTTGGGCTGTCGCTCGCACCCTGAGTTTTTTTGCACAGTGCAAATGCCAAAAATCACTCCAGCGACATGCACTGTGCGAAAACAAAACATTTCTTTGCACTGTGCAATTTCGGGTTTTTTGCACTGTGCGATAAAAAATGCACAGTGCGAATCCAACGGGGAAATGCACGGTGCAAAAAAAACAAAAGAAAAGAAAAAATTAAAATTGCACAGTGCAAAAAAAATTCTTGCGACAATTGCATCGTGCGACTTGATTTTTTTGCACAGTGCAACGGAAAATTAGACTTTTTGCACCGTGCAGCGGGAAATTTATTATTTTCTCTCCGCACGGTGCAAAAATAAGATATCAATTGTGCAAAAAAGCCACCGTAACTTGTTGTTTACACCAGTCAGCTCTTGTTTTATTTGCAGCAACCAACCCAGACATTACATAATAAGCTTTGGTCACGCAATTTGACGTGTATTTTAAAAAAATTGAAAAATAAAAAAATAAAAGCTCGTAAAATCAGCCAATTTCTTTTTCTCCAACTTCAAAAAATCCCATTTTCATGTGCACAAACTTCGAAACAACCCCCAACCAAACGAATGGACCAAACTTTTTTCGTGGACTCTTTGCAGAACGAAAAAAATTCGAAGCCGAAAAGAGGAGGTGGACAGGAGGGGGAGCCGGCTCCAAAAAAGAGCGAAAAGAAACGTTGAGGGGGCCGGCTCTCTTACCCGAAAAAGTTCAAACAAAGTGCAAGTTCGTAGTCCCCAAAAAAAAGCGGAAATGGAATTTTTCGCCACAGAATTTTTTCTCTGCGTAAAAATTAATGAAAAAAATTATTAAACGCCCGTATATGGCTCTAGAATTCAAAATCTTTGGGTGTCCAGGAAATGTGTCACGATGACACATTTTCCAAAAATGTGTCAGTCGTATAAACAAAGCCTCTATATGGCTGGAAGACCTCTCTAGGGCATGTTCAGAAATTCCGGGCATCTTAAACCCACCAACAGCTGAAAAATCCAAAAAAATCCAGAAAATCCGTCATCCATATTGTGCAGTGTAAAAGTTATGAACCTAAAATTTTTTATGGGCACTCCAGAGAGCACTCCAAGCCAAACACAACCATTGTTTACATCGCTAACACGTTTTTAACAAGTGTCATCGTGACACATTTTCTGGACACGGGCTATTCCTACCGTAGAGAGAATCATAAGACAAAAAAACTGTTTTTTCCACGCTAAACTGGCAAATATACACTTGCAACCCCGTGGTGAAAATTTTTTGAAGGTTTTCGACCGGTCGATTTTTTGCTCACAAAATTTTTTCCTTCAAAATTTTTACGCCAAACCCCTCAAAATATGAAGATTTTTCAAAAAAAATCATAATTTTGAAATTGTTTTTCCCAAAAAGAAATTTGCATAAAAGCCGAATAAGCTACAAAAGCCACGGATTTCCAACGATCGCCTCTCATTCGGTTGATCCATACTTTGTTCGGTGGTCGCTCTTTATAGATCGTTGCCTCGAAAATGGAAGAAGCCGCGATAAAAGCGCTGGTGAACTCGCTTCTAATGTGCAGCGCGCTGTTCGACGGTCCGACTCCGAACATGGCCGAGCTCAAGGTGTTGGAGTACAAGGACCGCGGGATTTGGATGCAAACGAGGAATTGGAGCGGATCGCTTGAGTTGTAAGTTGGAGCTGGCTTTTTTACTTGTTTTGGGAGGGGATACAGTTGATTAGAGAAGTTTTATTTCGAAAATTTTGGGTGAATTTTTCGCGTTTTGCTCTATTCTCTTCAAAATTGTTTTTCCCGACCTGCGCCCCATCTTTTGTTCGTGTTTTTAAACAAAAACTATTATAAGACAAGAAACAACTTTCTGACAAAAATTCTTGTCCTAAAAGTGGTAATCGGGACGACGGGGAACACAGTTTTCAGAGCTGAAATCTGCTCAGGCCCGGATCAACCACCCGGCTCGATTTCGCTCCTCTAGCTCTGGCACGAAGATGGCTTTTACTAGTGTCTTCTCTGTTTCAGATCTCGGATCCCGTTCAGCGGCAGCACAATCGAGGGCGCTAACCTGCAGATGGTCGTGGATGGAGACAGAATTGAACTCGGCGGCCAGGTCACGCACAGAGATAGCGAGGGGTCTTCGGTGTAAGTTGCATCTTCAATTGATGTGTAACGTATTTTAGGAAGTGCCCCGTTGCCGGCGACACAAACGGAATCCGCGTAGTTACCCGATCATCTTCGTGCGATGTCAACTTCCACGTGTACCGAATCAAAGACCGGCTCTATGGAATTGCACGGAAAGCTTCCAGGTACACCTACATTTTCAGTCTAGGTGGAAGCGAGATTGAAAAGAGAGAAATACCCGTAGTTGTGGACGAAAGATTGGGTATTAATCAAATCAAGGGGACCTATGTGTACAAGGACGGCCTTGGGACGTGTCAAGAAGTCACCGTCGGTTCTCTGACTACATCCTGGGAACCCCGTTCATGCAACGACGAGAAGATTACTCTGGTTCCCAATGAAACATCCGGATGGCATCATGTTGTAAGTTTTGGTCAAACAGTCGTTTTTTGGAACGTGATGATTTCAGCAGTACCTCCAAATCGTCCACAACTGCGAATTGGACCCGGCCATTCCCCGAGACGAGCTCAAAAACGTCTATGTTCGGTTCATGCATGTGTAAGTGAAGTTTAAATCGTATTGATCGCTCTTTAGACCCCCGAAGCCAAAGGCCCGCAGAAGAGGTCTGCTGACGGAGAGGGGAAAGGTGCTCGTCGGCCTCTCCGCCGGGTTCCTTGGAGTTGTTCTCATCGCCTTTGTTGGTTCCGCCCCGTTCTGGGTAAGTTGTGGCTGATGGGATGTTTTCCGGCCTTGATAACCACCATTTTGGCAGCCTGTTCGAAATAAGTTTGTGTTTTTTCAGTACAAGTGGTCGCCATGGGGAGGCGCTTGGAGAAGAGAAAAGAAGCCCGTGCCAAATACCGACCTCGAAGTGAGTTGTTTGGGAGTACTTTTGTGGAGTTTTGCGATTTTATTTTGAGCTGTTTTCTTTCAGAAAGATGGGTGGTCGTCGAACCGGGACCGGGATGATGACGCACCGCGCGACTCGTACGGGTAAGATTTGCATTTTTTTTCATTTTTTTTGATTCATTTTGGGGAGTTTTCGGTCGGGGCTCTTCGTTTTTGGGGCCAGGCATGCCTACCGGGCCGGGCCTTGGGCGCCTCGTGGCCCGGCCCGTTTTCTACCATGTCTATTTGGGCCTGCTTCGCTTTTGAGTCTTCTTCTGAGAGCCTCTACACGTCAATGCAGCGCATTTCCTGAACCGTTTCGAAACTTCGTATCGTTTTCATTGATTTAAAAGAGAGACGAAACGTCACGAAATTATACGCCTTTTTTTGCCCGGAATAATTCCGTTTTCTGGAAAAGGAAGAAGAAAGATCAGAAAATGTTTTTTTATCGGATAGTGACATTTCGTGTTGAACGAATCACCAAAAAGGGGCGGGAAATTTTTTCTTTTATTTTGGATTGCCGTTCTCTACGCTTTGGGAGCATTTGCCTCAATCGCGCAGTGCGAATAGTTTTTTTTATTTTATTTATTTTTTTTTGACGTACTCGCATTGTATTGCATTTTCAGCAATGTTGACTGGAACCTGCTGACGCGGGATTATCGAGACCAATATCGGGCCGTGGACTTTAAAGAGACCTTTAAAGACGATGATTTTGGGTTGCCGCTTCCGAAAGTCACCGACGACTCATTCTCGCTTCGGTTTCACTATGAACACGTCAAGACGCTGAGCCATGGAAAAATGAGAGCAGTCCACCAATACGGGATAGGAGACGGATCGTTTGTCGCCATCAAATTCATGGTCGCCAAGGACGAGGTGGAAATGGAGCGGGCCAAACAGGAGATAGCACTCCTCCGATTCTTCTGGGACTCTAACAAGTCCATGCCGAAGTGAGTTTATACCGATTTTTTGATTTTTTGTTGATCGTTTTGAGAAAAGTTCTGAGGATTTTTTTGCCCTTACAAACCAAAATTGGAGAGCTAATTTTTACATATTCTGAAACAGAAAAATTTTGCGATTTTTTTGAGTCTCGATCTGTACCTCCTTACCTCATAGAAGTGTTTTCCTTGTCAAAAAATCATCATGGATAATATCCGAAGGCCCCCCAAACCACCCGGAACAGTCACCCTCTGCCTTCTCGTTGTTTCTAATGCCCTAATTCCTCTTTTTTTCAGGGAGAAGAAGCAACCTCACCTTGCCAAAGTGGGCGATTCGGGACGCTATCAGAACGTTATCTTCTACTCCATGAATTTCTTCGCACGCAGTATTCAGGACGTGTTGGAAGATCTTCCGTGTTCAAACTACGGTCAGAAGCTGAACGTGTGTTATCAAATGCTGCAGGGGATCCTGGAGTTGCAGCGCTTGGGATACGCGCATGGCGACCTGAAGCCCGCGAATTTTATGCAGAAGAGGCTGAATGATAACCTGGTGGGTTTGGCGGGGCGATTTGAAGTGGTGGAAGATAGTCAAAATCATTTATTATTATTTTTTTTTGGGTAAAAGTTCCTTATTTTGGCCACAGCTTATAACTTTGCGGAAACTGGTCGGAATTAGCCCAAATTTAGCGTGCACGCTCAATTCATCGTTGTCAACGCCCGGACAGTGGATTTAGTTAGTGAGGTACCTTCTTTTTTACGTACCACCTTACCCTTGAAAAACGGCTGCAGCCTGTGATTTTACACTTTATACGATGAAACATGTCCGGAACTAAACTTATTGCCTCCGTATGGAACTAAATGAGCCTTCGTAGGTACCCTTAAAACTATAGAGCTATTATAGTAATTCAGTGCCAGCTAGGTCGAAGCGTTTTTTCCTAACTTTAGTTCCCAAGCTTGGGCGCAGTTCGCGGAGTACCTTTGTTGTGGCCAAAATAAGGAACTTTTTCCTGTTTTTGCACCGAGAAATTGCTTCGTTTTGTTTCGAAAAAAATATAATGCCCAATTCTTTCAGCTTCGCATCGTAGGCTTTGGGTTTGTGCAGAAGTTCGGAGCGAAGCGTCCCGCCGGCTGTGGCACCCTCGAGTACATGTCGCTGCCCGCCTTGCGTGGCCAGGAGGTGAGCATGGTGGACGACATGCAGTCCTGGTTCCACTGCTGTGTGGTGGTCCTGACGGGCGAGTTCGCCTACTCTCGGCCAACCCCTGACGAAACCGAAGGCCTGGTCGAGTTGTATTTGAAGGCGCAGACCGAGGACGTTCCGCAGTACCCTTCAAAGGATGACGAAATCATCGCAATGCTCAGGAACTTGATCTGGGACAAGCCCCCGGGCAATACGATCGATATGGCCGCGGTTTCGAAGACCCTGGATGAGGTGAGGCTTTTTTATTTGATTTTTTATTTTTTTTTTTTTGATTAAAAATAGAATTTTAATTTTTTTATTTTCAGTTCCGAGACAAGTTCGAGTTCAAGTACACGGACCCCTGGTGGGATTCTCTCCCCGTGGAGAAACCATCCAGCGCCAAATCCGGCAAGCAGTCTGAAGCCACCAAAAAGTCGAAGAAATCATAGGGTTCTCAGGGCAAATTTTTTTAGGAAATAAATCAAGTATATATTTGGCAGCCTATTTGTTTTGGTGTAGTGCACGGTGCAGATTTTTTTTTGGGAGTTATCAATCGTTCTGTACTTTGAAAAATGTTTCGTATGTGTACTATCCATTTTGTATTGGAATGTTCAAATAAATGTTGTCTCATCTAAGCCTCCGCTTCTCTACATAGGGTTTTGACTACTGTATGTCACTTTTCTCTGCAACAACATATTTCCCCAATGAATCCGACCAAGTTAAACACAACAAAACTATTTTTAATTCCTATACATAATCAATGGGACCAAGTGAGCACAAAAGTATTGGATATGCTGGCTGTGCAAGTCTGCATATCAGTTTCTGTGGAGGCCAGAGCAGCATTTACACCATCACGAATGCAGTTTTAATATTCCCCCGCGGTAAACAAACAACCCCAACCTTTAAGGGTGTGCATAATAACTATGCACATCAGTCAAATATCTGCTCTTCTTATCACCAATTTAACCGACCATCATTTGGCGAAAATTGATCCCCACGTGCGGGCAGTGTAATGTAATTTATTTGATAAAAATTGAAGAAAAACAGGTTGTTTTTGATTATTGAGTTGAGAGTTGCTTAACGCGCGCTGTAATGTAGGCCTTGGGTTTGTAGTTGTGACTAAACAAGTCACGTCCGAGCAATAAATATCAACCCAATTAGTCGTTTAGCAGTTATTTGCATGCATCGGAAACCGTGTGTAACGAGAAAAAGTAAGTCTCTTGCGGAAGGGTCTGGTTGTATGAAGCCTAATTCTGTGTTGAAATCATGTTTGTGGAGACTTTGCGTCGTAACGTCAGGCATTGATCGATACGGGTTCACTCTGCAAGGATTATTCGACGATTTCTCTAAACTCTTGATGAAATATGTATTTCAAAAAAAAATCTACACACTTTCTTTCTAACTGGGAGATGGGAACGAACTTCGGCAATGGGCCCATATTGTTTTAAAATAGAATTTTTAATCTACTGGTGTTATTGTTTTATTTTATTGTAAATTACGTGTTCGTATTTTTTTCAAAACTCGTTTGGCCCGGGTCACCCTGAGAATTTACGCCCCGAGGCGGGATTTTTGACCGACTTCTTGCTACCCCAAACTAAACCCCATTGACGCAAACCAAACTTGGTTTTAGTGGTTTTAGGCCATACTGTCAGATTCCACGGAACCTGGAGTTATCCACGATGTGTCAACTCGATGGAATTTATGGAGAGAGAGAGAGATGTCCCCCGTGTCAACTGTTTCCCCAGCTGTTTTTCCCCGATGTTCGAGAATGTTCGATGTAGGGATCCACAGCATTCCGAGGTTTTTTGCCGCCACCGATCGGTGCCGATTTTCGCTCAAAATGACAACAGGGCTGCGCGCCTCGGCTGATAACTAGCTAGCCCAAAAACGAAAAGGAGTAAAAATTGATTTCCAGATAGAGGGAAAAAAGACCTATCCAATGATATAAATAGGTCCTATTGACTTTCTTCCCACAATGATCTTTTTCGCCTACAAAATTACAAATTTTTTTTGTTTATTCATGGATAAATGCACTTTATGAGGGCATAATTAAAAAAAAATGGTACCACTCGATGGCAAATAGCCTCTTCTATGACATATCCAAAAATAAGGGAAATTCTGGCCCTTAGGGCACTACAAAATCAAAAAAATAGCGTATTTTACGTGTTTTTGCATATTTTTCGGGATTTTTTGCACCGGATGCACAAAAATGAAAAATCGGCTGTTATAGCGTTGTAGTGCACACTCGATTACATATATCTGCCAAATTTCACATTTTCATCTTTACTCCACTTTGTGTTCTGAGCCGGTTTAGGTGTTAAGGCAACATCGCTGCATAGGGCAATGCCGGATGCCGATTTTAAAAAAAAATTTTTATTTTTGAGACATATTACGTTCATATCAATATTAGAAACTGATTTTTGCTCAAGATGACAAAACGCCCTTTCATAAATTCACGTAATGACACCAACGTGTTTGAGTTCAACATGACGAAAATAAGGGATTTTTTGTTTCAGGACTAGTATTTAGGTGACAGCAGACCTGCCAGAATATGCTGCGACGTTTATTTGACAGCGTTTATTTATTATTAACAGCTACGTTATCCGGATGCAGCGACGTCCCGTAACACGTTGCACATATGCGATTATACTTAAATTTGCGTTATATACATGACGTTCAAAGTCAACACGACTGAGAAGACAGAAAAAATTTTTAAAATCGGCATCCGGCATTGCCCTATGCAGCGATGTTGCCTTAACACCTAAACCGGCTCAGAACACAAAGTGGAGTAAAGATGAAAATGTGAAATTTGGCAGATATATGTAATCGAGTGTGCACTACAACGCTATAACAGCCGATTTTTCATTTTTGTGCATCCGGTGCAAAAAATCCCGAAAAATATGCAAAAACACGTAAAATACGCTATTTTTTTGGATTTTGTAGTGCCCTAAGGGCCAGAATTTCCCTTATTTTTCGATATGTCATAGAAGAAGCTATTTGCCATCGAGTGGTACCATTTTTTTTTAATTATGCCCTCATAAAGTGCATTTATCCATGAATAAACAAAAAAAATTTGTAATTTTGTAGGCGAAAAAGATCATTGTGGGAAGAAAGTCAATAGGACCTATTTATATCATTGGATAGGTCTTTTTTCCCTCTATCTGGAAATCAATTTTTACTCTTTTTCGTTTTTGGGCTAGCTAGTTATCAGCCGAGGCGCGCAGCCCTGTTGTCATTTTGAGCGAAAATCGGCACCGATCGGTGGCGGCAAAAAACCTCGGAATGCTGTGGGATCCCGAAGCGGAGAGCCTGAATCACGACACTGTAACCTTCCCCGAGGTTTTATCCCATCTTGATCAGTTATATTTTTATGAGTTGTTGTAGCGTAGTCGTAGTGGTTGTTGCGAAATGTTGTTGTTGTTGTAGAGTTGTGTTGTATTGCTTATTTTATTGCATTGTTTACTTTTGTTTGATAAATCATTTAATCGAGCTGATTTGATTTTATTCTCGTGTCAATTTATAAGGGGAACGATATCTTTCGATTACCCGAGATCCACATACGCAACCTTTCACTTGGGAGGCCGAGTCATTTCAGGTAGAATAGGTAGCGTAAGGTAATCGATAGAGGAGAGCACCGCAAGACCACAGCCATCGTTGAATTTCTTTTCTATCCGAAGGTGGAATCGGACACATACTGAGAAAATTGTGAATGAAAGAGACGAATTTCGACGTCAGATTTGGATTCTAATGGTCGTGTGTTTTGGTGCGAATTGAGGAGAATGTGTGTACTGTGCACAGTGTATCCACAATCATATGACAGATTTTGAGACATTTGGAAGGATTTTAGGACAAGCCAGAAATTTGCCCTCAGGGGATTCCGTCTTGGTCGCATATTTCCTCTCTTTGATGACGGGTTTCATTGATGGAATTCTTTGGATTCCATCAACGAACCGTTGATGGATTAAATGACCAAATCAAGTTGCGAAACACCCGTTTTAGGTATTAGTGAATACTTTTCCTATTTTTAGTCCCTCCCTTCCATCCGGTTCTCAAAAGAATCATTTCGATTAATATTAATTTCTTTTATTGCAATAAATCTTGAGCAGAATAACGACTCGAAACTTTTTACAATATATTAAGTTGTAACAATAAAAAGTGGAGATCATGGGTTCATTTAAAGCGACAAACCGAGATGGATTGCTCTGTTGATACCATTCATGAAAGGGAAGATACCATGGAATAGATGGCTGTGGGAGATTTGTACATGAGATCAGAATGGTTTAATTTGTACAAAAGGGAAATTGCGGGTCCTCTGGCATATTGCAAGGGATGATCTTCACCATTGGTCGATCAGGATCATTGTTGGGTAGAATCAAAGCATACAGCTGTCTCTGGCTGAACGTAATTGCCCTTAGGCATTCATTGCTTCAGACGGGAACGACGGATCCGCAAAGGCGGACTGAAATGCTGCATCTGTCCCACGTCCTCCACACTGATCAGAATATGAATCATAGTCTCAGAAAGTATCCGAATAATTATTGCGAGGATGGAGATTCTGGAAAACCGAACCGGCCACCAGAATCCGATTGGAGAAAACAATGGAGAACTGCCCGAGGGGCGCGTTTTTAAGGAAAGAAGGGGCGGAGTCTGTTTTGTCAGCAAAAAGGGTGCAAGTCATCTATCGACTTGTGATCGGAGTCGGCAGAAAGTGCTGTAATTTCGTAGAAAAACCAAGAATTGCATAGAAAAGTGTCCCCTCCTTCGGGGGAATTGTGCGAGTGACGCAATCACTGGCTACAAATCACAGCTGCACAAATCACAACATAAGGTTTGATGTAGTTTGTATGATGATGTAGTTTGTATACATGGAATGGCAATCTCTTATAGTCTAACAACCACTTTTTAGTTTAGTTACATCTATTGTAGCTAGCCAAATATACACCGACTTGTAAGCACTACTTTTCATTTTTTCCTTTTTTCGACACCGATCGGCGGCGGAAAAAATGTTCGAAACGCTGTGCACAGTACGACTCTCCGGGGACATCTCTCTACCTTATTCATTTTGAAAAATTTGAGAAAAAAATGTCGGTCGATTTTGAAAACAGCAGCAAAGGCGTAGCAACAGCCACATCGTCCTTGATCCTTGATGGAGGTGACTCCGTTGTGCTCCCTCCAATCATAAGACTCTGGAGTTTCCTGGCGTTTGGCGCGGATCGGAGCGGGCTTGGCAGTGGTGTGGAGCTGCTGGACATGGCTAACTCCCTTGATTCCGGCGTGTTTGTCAACGAATTCGTCTGGGGAAAAAATTTAACAATCCGCCGGAAGGTAGAATAGTCAACAGGTCTCAATGGATCTTCTCAGATTTCACCTAATCTGAGGTTTCAATCATACAACTGGATGCGATTTCCTGAAGTTGGGTAGAGATGTCCCCTGTGTCAACCGTTTTCCTGCCTTTTCTCGCGACGTGTCGCAAAGTCAACAAAGGATCAATTATCAAGCAAAATCTATTTATTTTCTAGTTTTATATTGACTCCGGCTGTCGAATATATCGGATTTGAATAATCGATTTATTTCCTAAATATCATACTCTGAGAACCTTATGGTTTCGACTTGTGAGTGATTTCAGACTTTTTGCGGGATTTGGCGCTGGATGGTTTGTCCGTGGGGAGCGAGTTCCACCAGGGATCCGTGTACTTGAAGTCCAACTTGACTCGGAACTGAAAATAAAAAAATAATTGAAATTCTTTTTTTTCATAAAAATTAAATAAAAATAGATCCTCACCTCATCAATAGTCTTCGAAACCGCGGCCATATCGATCGTATTGCCCGGGGGCTTGTCCCAGATCAAGTCCCTGAGCTTTGCGATGATTTCGCCATCCTTTGAAGGGAACTGCGGAACGTCCTCGGTCTGAGCCTTCAAATACAAGTCGACCAGGCCTTCGGTTTCGTCAGGGGTTGGCCGAGAATAGGCGAACTCGCCCGTCAGGACCACCACACAACATTGGAACCAGGACTGCATGTCGTCCACCATGCTGACTTCCTGGCCACGTAAAGCGGGCAGCGACATGTACTCGAGGGTGCCACAGCCGGCGGGACGCTTCGCTCCGAACTTCTTCACAAACCCGAAGCCGACAATGTGAAGCTGAAAAATTGGGCATTATTTTGTTTTCGGGACAAAACGAAGCAATTTCTGGTAACAAGAAAAACCTAGGGGACTATTTCTACAAAAAATCACTTTTTTTCCGAAGAAAATTCGGAAAGATCTGGCCAAAAAACTTAGGCTCTCCAGCTATTGGCAAAAATGTAACAGGCAAATCTAATTTTTTCATTTTTTCGGACCCCGATCGGCGGCACAAATAATTCGGAAGCGGGCAGCGACAAAGTATTCACTTTTGCAACCACAATTCCCCCCGCCAAACCCACCTTGTTTTCATCCAGCTTCTTCTGCATATAATTCGCGGGTTTCAGGTCGCCATGCGCGTATCCCAAACGCTGCAACTCCAGGATCCCCTGCAGCATTTGATAACAGACGTTCAGCTTCTGACCGTAGTTTGAACATGGAAGATCGTCCAACACGTCCTGAATACTGCGTTCGAAGAAAAGCATGATGTAGAAGAACAGGTTCGGATAGTGGCCCCAATCGTCCACTACTGCAAGGTGCCAGTCTCTGAAAAAAAGAGGAATTTTTAAAAACGGGGAAAACCAATTCTTCAAAAATAAAAACGATTTTTCCTATGAAAAATATCATCGGGAGCTAGCTGGAAACCGAACTCAGAGCTCGGGCGTAGTTCGAAAAAAAAAGAATTTTTTGAGTTAGTAAACAACTGAAAAAAAATCAGCAAAAACTCACTTCGGGTGGGACCCTTTGCACTCCCCAAAGAACTCGAGCAGTGCTACCTCCTGTTTGGCCCGCTCCATTTCCATCTCGTCCCTGACGACCATGAATTTGATGGCGACAAACGCTTCGTCATTCATCCTGTATTTGTGGACGACGCTCATTCTGCCGTGGCTCAGCGCCGCAACATGGCGATAGCGAGCCCCGCCGAAGATGGTTTGCGGAAGCAGCAATCCCAAATCTTCGTCTCTAAAGCTGTCTTTCAAGTCCAGGACCTTCGGAATGTCGTGTATTGACTTCCGCCGCATCCTCAAGTTGCAGTCAACATTGCTAAAAATATAATGCAATGCGAGTAAGCCAAAAAATGCAAAACAAAACTATTCTCACTGCGCGATTGAGGCCGAAAAGGCTCCCAGAGCGTAGAGGCCCTTAAACGAACGAAGAAGACCCACAAACAAAGGAGTCCCAAACAACATGGCATAAAACGGGCCGGACCTACTTTTCCAGGCCCCCAAGGCGTCCAAGGCCCGGTAGGCATGTCTAGCCCCAAAAACAAAGACGCCCCGGTATAACTTCCGCAAAGCGGTCCACTCTCGAAAATCGCCTTCGCAGCTTGCGCCCGAACAATTCCGGTTGCAAGGAATATCAGGCTTAGGCTTAGCCTCAGGCTTGACGCCCCGACTGAAGACTCCCCAAAACGAAGAGGCCCTATTAAAAAACCAAAAAAATTATTTCAAATGACATTTTATACGAAGAAAAAATTTCTTCAAAATGAAAAAATAGGGTGCGACGTGCATAACATACCACCTGCACAAGACTGTAATCACATGATTACTTCAATTTCAACAAGAAAATTCAAAAAATTTGCATCGTATAACATGCCACATCCTATTTCTTCGTTTTGATTTTTTTCTCATTTTTGAGGGCCTTTTCGGAGTTTTCGCAAAAATGACAAAAAGGAGGCCTCTTCGTTCTTTTTATGGGGGCCTCATTTGATTGGCCTTCCTTTTGAGCCTTGTAAAATGAAAAAAAAGTATGTAAATCTTACCCGTACGAGTCGCGCGGCGCGTCATCATCCCGGTCCCGGTTCGACGACCACCCATCTTTCTGAAAGAAAACAGCTCAAAATAAAATCGCAAAACGCCACAAAAGTACTCCCAAACAACTTACTTCGAGGCCGGTATTTGGCACGGGCTTCTTTTCTCTTCTCCAAGCGCCTCCCCATGGCGACCACTTGTACTGAAAAAACACAAACTTATTTCGAACAGGCTGCCAAAATGGTGGTTAACAAGGCCGGGAAACATCCCATCAGCCACAACTTACCCAGAACGGGGCAGAACCAACAAAGGCGATGAGAACAACTCCAAGGAACCCGGCGGAGAGGCCGACGAGCACCTTTCCCCTCTCCGTCAACAGACCTCTTCTGCGGGCCGCCGTTCGCTTTGGGGGTCTAAAGAGCGATCAAAACAATGTTATTCTTCCACTTACACATGCATGAACCGGACATAGACGTTTTTGAGCTTGTCTCGGGGAACGGTCGGGTTCAATTCGCAGTTGTGGACGACTTGGAGGTACTGCTGAAATCACCACGTTCCAAAAAACGGAAAAGGTTCCTTATTCTGGCCACAACAAAGGTACTCTGCGAACTGCGCCCAAGCTTGGGCACTAAAGTTAGGAAAAAACGCTTCGACCTAGCTGGTACTGAATTACTATAATAGCTATAGTTTTAAGAGTACCTACGAAGGCGCTGACGACTCATTTAGTTATATCCGGAGGCAATAAGTTTAGTTCCGGTCATGTTTCATCGTATAAAGTGTAAAATCGCAGGCTGCAGCCGTTTTTCAAGGGTAAGGTGGCACGTAAAAAAGATGGTACCTCACTAACTAAATCCACTGTCCGGGAATTGACAACGATGAATTGAGCGTGCACGCTAAATTTGGGCTAATTCTGACCAGTTTCCGCAAAGTTATAAGTTGTGGCCAGAAAAAGGAACTTTTTCCCCAAAAAAACGACTGTTTGACCAAAACTTACGACATGATGCCATCCGGATGCTTCATTGGCAACCAGAGTAATCTTCTCGCCGTCGCATGAATGGGGTTCCCAGGATGTAGTCAGTGGACCGACAGTGACTTCTTTACAGTCCCCATGGTCGTTTGTGTACACATAGGTGCCTTTGGCTTGATTCACACCAAAATCGTCGTCCCCTTCTATGGGTATTTTCTTTTCTTCAATCACGCTTCCACCGAGACTAAAAATGAAGGTGTACCTGTAGGCGTGTCGTCCAATTCCATAGAGCCGGTCCTTGATTCGGTACACGAAGTAGTCGTTATCGCACATAGTTGGTCGGGTAACCATGCGGATTCCGTTTGTGTCGCCGGCAACGGGGCATTGACTAGAATACGTCACATATAAATTAAAATGTGAATTGCAACTTACACCGTATTTCCGATATCACTTTTAGTGTTGACGTGGCCGCCAAGTTCAATCCTATCTCCATCCACTACCATCTGCAGGTTAGCGCCGTTCATTAAGATTGGACCGCTGAACGGGATCCGAGATCTGAAACAGAGAAGACACTCGTAAAAATCATCCTCAAGTCGGGCCGAGTGGTTGACTGGGGCCTGAGCCGATTCTCCGCAAAGTTGTAGGTTGTGGCCAGAATCAGGAGTTTTTAAAACAAAATGGGGATGTCTGAGGATACAGGGAAAAAAGGAATTTTTAAAATTTGGCCCAAAATTAAAGAAGTTATAGCCAATTCAAATCGGGGCCACAAAATTGGTACACCCTGTGCAAAAACCCCAGCTCCAACTTACAACTCAAGCGACCCGTTCCAATTCCTCGTTTGCATCCAAATCTCGCCGTCCTTGTACTCCAACACCTTGAGCTCGGCCATGTTCGGTGTTGGACCGTCGAACAGCGCGCTGCACATTAGAAGCGAGTTCACCAGCGCTTGAATCGCTGTTTCTTCCATGTCCGAGACGATCTCCAAAGAGCGACCACCGAACAAAGTATGGATCAACCGAATGAGAGGCGATCGTTGGAAATCCGTGGCTTTTGTAGCTTATTCGGCTTTTATGCAAATTTCTTTTTGGGAAAAACAATTTCAAAATTATGATTTTTTTTTGAAAAATTAGCATATTTGGAGATTTTTGGCGTAAAAATTTAATAGAAAAAATTGCCAAAAAAGTAAATTTGAGGTACTTTCCTTGTTTTATCCGTGACTATTTTTGCCGTCAAATCCGAAGAAATTGATTTGTTTCTTTTCGACATCTTTCTCTCGCCCAATAAATCATGAAACAAAGAGAATTTTCCCTAAACAAAAAAGTGCATTATTCATATAGTAGTGCCCTCTTCACCCTGTTTCTTGCGATTCCTTTAAACCCCTGAAAATTTTCTCCGAATACCATGAGGTTCTGTGGAGCGCAGTGCCAGGTAAGCTTTGCTTTATTACTTTCCTAGGCCCTCGAAAAGTTCATGACTCCCAATTGCCGTATTTTACCCTGCCTATGGAGGCTCAGAAAAACAGTCTATCAGTCTGTCCGGAAAATAATGAGCACTCTGTCGCATCGAAAATCGCATCGCCGCCAAGAAATTCATTTGTGTCGCGGCGAAATCAAATTGCAGCGACATTGTGCTCATTATTTTCACATACTGATAGTAAGAGAGCATTTCGAAATTTGAGCTGATTTTCGAACCCGCAGAATGCTTCCAAACCTCGGCCTCTGAATTCCCAACTAACTGATATAGGCAATCTTTTAAGTGAGGCGTTGCATTTCCGGAGTTTCCGGAGTTTTTCTAGTTGACGATGGAGGCATTTTGCCACATTTTTTGATACTTCCCGAATGTAAAATGGTACGTTTTTTGCCACTGGATCAGGTTCGTCAGTGGACTCTGTAGACATGACTTCATGGTTCGCTGAATACAACTCGAGGCAAAAAGTCATGTCGATCGGGAAATTACAGTAAGGGACCTGATCAAGTGGCACAAAACGTACCATTTTGCATCTGGGAAGTATCAAAAATGTGGCGAAATGCCTCCCTCTCCAACTAAAAAAACTCCGTTTTGAAGCGCTTCCTCGCAAAAAGAGTAGGTGCGCTTTTGAAATCGGAGTTTTTCACTTGGCCAGGGACGTGTTTTGCTGCATTTTTGATGCTTCCCGGATGCAAAATGGCACGTTTCTGACCAATGGATCAGGTCCGCCACTGTAATGAACATCTTTTTTTTCTCGCCTTCCAGACCTACACATGGCTGATTTCGTTGATAAACATTGTCATATGGTCGTCAATGCTTCTACGAGCATTCGTAATACCCACGCAATTTTTGGCCGAGTTCGGTTTCGTGCAAGTTGTATTGCTCTTCACAACCTTACTTGGAGTTGCATTGAACATGGCACTGTTGATTGGGAATCAATTCGAATTCGATGACTTTTATCGGCTTTATTTTTATGTTGGGGTAAGTTTTTAAAGTTCTTGAATAACGTGTAAGCTCTGTACAACGAGGCCTAGAGATGGCTATGGAGCCGGCCCGGCCTCGGGCCGACATTAAAAAATTTTTTTTGAAATGGGTCGGTTACTACTTTGTAGCACATTTTTCAACCGCTCTATATGTATGTATGTTATAAAATAAGGCTGAAAATTAGGTCATATCAGTCTGTCGGGAAAATAATGTGGACTTGTCGCGCCTCGGAATCGCCCATAATACACTTTCCGATGGCTGGAGATTTGGTGTGGGAATGTGACTAGGAAAGACATTTTTCTGCAAAAATTCCACATTATTTTCCCGACGGACTGATAGCATCTTCATACCAGTCTGTCGGGAAAATAATGAGATTCATTTTTTCGGCGAGGCGGCGATGTGATTTTCGATGCGACAGTATGCTCATTATTTTCCCGACAGACTGCTATATGTATGTTACATATAGTCCATAGCCGATTTTAGCACCAAAGAAGCGGCAAAATCAAAAAAAATTTGGCAGCTCGCGCCCTATACAAACCTATATGAAAACGGTAGAGACTAGTGTTCGCCGGGCCGGACCTGCAAACCTTTAAAACAGGCCGTGTTGGGCCTGAAAGCGAGAAAAATCGGTGAATTTCCATTCCGGGCCAACGATCATCGACAGGTTTCACTATACCAGAGTTTATTCTAAAGATATTTATAAGAAACAACTATTTTTGCAGCCAATTCTCTCACTGATCCATATGGTATGTTGTGTGATCATCTCCAGTTTACTTCGAGTCCAATTAAAGTTACTGCACATGAATCCGAACAAGGAGTTCTTCTTTGTAACCTTTGATTTCATGCTTGGCGTCCTCAATTTGTGCGCTTTCATTCATACTGTAGATATTATTTATTTTGACTACTGTAACTTGAAAAGACAGCGTTATGGATCATTATCGTTATAGATCTCTGCCAATAAAAGTATTTGTTGTGTCCCCTAGTGTAGTGTTTTTCTTCGTACAACACAAAATTTTGTGACGCTCATATTTTCTTTAAATTTTGCATACATTTTGGACGTAGCTAACATATCAATTCCTAGAAGTTTTAGGGCGCACTTTGCAGCGAGAGCCGGGATATTCAACGACCTTTGCGGCAGAGAAAGTACGCGAAACGTGGAGAGCGGTCAGAGAAAGAGCACGTTTTGGCTTCCCATCTTCGTGCGGAAAGAATTGGGCTTTTTGCGCCGAGTAGTAATCTTTTAAAATTTCCCATTTCCCATAGAATCTTCATAAAGTGCATGGACATTCGAAAAAAATCTTCTTTTTGCAGCCTGCAAAAAAAGAGTCCTAAATTTTTGAAAAAAAAATCTGGATTGAAAAATATTTACCATCAGCCACTGTCGGGAAAATAATGAACAAGGCTGAAAAGTTATTATGGATACTTTTTTTTGGCATCAAAGGGTATCATGGAGACTAAGGTAAAATTACCTATCAATCTGTCGGGAAAATAATGAACAAGGCTGAAAAGTTATTATGGATACTTTTTTTTGGCATCAAAGGGCATCATGGAGAAAAAAGTAAAATTACCTATCAATCTGTCGGGAAAATAATAAAAAAGGCTGGAAAGTTTTTATGGATACTTTTTTTTGGCATCAAAAGGTATCATGGAGAAAAAAGCAAAATTACCTATCAGTCTGTCGGGAAAATAAAGACCACACTGTCGCATCGAAAATCGCCTCGCCAAAATGAATTGTGTCACGGCAAAATCAAATTGTTTTCACTTCAGCGACCCGATCGGCTCAGCGACATTGTGTTCATTATTTTCCCGACAGGCTGTAAAAATTGCCCTCTTTTTTCCAACACCTTTTCCAATCTTGTGAGCACTGTTTTCAAATTCATTTTTTGCCTCTTATATCCCATTTTTACGTATTTTTTGATTCCACAAAGTCTCCTTCAGACAACTTATTTTCTCACCAATTTCACACAAAAAATTCTTTAAACGGCACGTTCCAATTACAACTCCAGTAATTCCCCTTATATCATAATTGATTTCCCTATAATTCAGTTGAAATCAACGTCAATTTGAGATGTTTTACAGCGCAAAAAAGGGCTCGCTCCGGGAAAAAAGGGGATCGCTTATCGGCACGAAACTTGTAGTATTAAATGCTCCGCAACCCACCTTTGTTTCTTTTTCCCCAGATTCTTATTTTTGTCGATCTAGCGGGGAGGAAACGCTTAGTTCAGGGAGAAGGAAAAATAAATGTTCATTGTGGGCGTTTTGGCTTGATTTTTATACTTGTTTCGGTAATACAAGTAAGCATTATATGCCTATATTATACGATTATACGTATATATTAGTATACATCAGTCTGTCGGGAAAATAATGCGGATTTGTCGCAGAAAAATGCCTTCTCCTCGACCCAGCCGTGCGTCAAATCTTCAGCCCGTCGAAAGGTGTAGATAAGCGACGAATCCACATTATTTTCCCGACAGACTGACATGTATTAATAGTATTTTCATATCAGTCTGTCGGGAAAATAATGAACACAATTTCGATGCCCCAGTCGTGTAGTGAAAAGCAATTTGATTTTCTCCGCGACACAATTCATTTTCCCAAAGGCGATGCGATTTTCGTTGCGACAGAGTGCTCATTATTTCCCCGACAGACTGATAGCATCTTGAGCTTTTTCTCGCGCCTGTCGTAAACGCATTTTCCCTTTTTGCAAAGTAGTAGGTTTTTCAGGACATATTGTAGATATTTAGGATTTTTAGCTGGCGATTTGCAGAAAAATCGACATTTTTAGCTCGAAGATTTCAAACTTTTATTTTGGATTGCAATTTCGCGTCACTTCCAACTTTTTGAGTCCAACTTCTTTACCACGAGCTCGTATTTTTTTCAGAAGATGACACAATTCAAGCAACCGAGCGGATTTCAAACCGTCACCGTCATCGGTGGAGGCTTCATGGGAGCTGGGATTGCGGAAGTAAGTCGTACTTGGGAAAAATGCGGGAGCTTGCTGCATTTTCCGTATCAGTCTGTCGGGAAAATAATGAGCACAGTCTTGCTGCACCAACGACCTCGCTGAAGTCAAAAGCAATTGATTTTATACACACTTCATTTTCTCGGCGATGCAATTTTCGATGCAACAGAGTGCCCATTATTTTTCCGACAGAATGATATAAACATATTGACTATGTCTTTCGGTCTGTCGGGAAAATAATGTGGATTTTCCGAGCCTTGAAATCGCCCATTGCCGCTGCTATAAATCTCCAGCAGCTGGCCGCGGCTGGAGATTTGGTGGGCGACGGCGGCGAGACGTTTTGCTACGAAAAATCCACATTATTTTCCCGACAGACTGATAGTATTTTTTACTATAAAAAATTATATTGGTCTGTCGGGAAAATAATGAGATTCATTTCCCCGCCGGCGATGCGATTTTCGGCGCGACATTGCGTTCATTATTTTCCCGACAGACAATGATATATCAGCCCATAGCCGATTTTAACACCAAAGAAACGGTATAATCAAAAAAAAACTTGGCAACTCGCGCCCTATACAAGCCTATACGGGTTGACAGACAGATATATGATGACTTTTTTTTGATATATGATGACTTTTTTTGTACCAATCTTAAAACCGCTCCACTTTTCAGGCCTTTGCCTCGCATGGCTTCGACACTACAGTCTACGATATAAATCAGCAAGCCATTGACAGATGCAAGCAGCAAATTGAGAAGAGTATTGAAAAGGCCTACAAAGGACGCTTTCACAATGTAAGTTTGCCATTTTTTGTCACTTCAATATGATCCTACGGTACTTATTAATAATATAAAAAAGTGGAGAAGATGTGAGATGGGTGCTTTTTGCTCATCACTCACAAATTTTATATTATGATCGGTGTTGATTGCAAGAGAGAAAACGCTCTTATCACACTAGAGCAATGTGTAACTGAACACACATTGTTCAAGGTGTCTTTTGTGTTTTATGAAGCGTATAATCAAGCACCTAAAAGTAATCGTTTATTCTTAAAAAACTGATTTTTTCGGCTTTCGTATTTTACTATGCAAAGGTTCTGACAACTTTTTTTTGAGTTTCCCTTGATTTTTAGCCGTTCTCAGGTTTTCGTGGTGGGACCAAAAAAATCTTTTTTTTCTAAAAAAATGAAAAAATCATAAAAATTAGATATTTTTGAGTACTTTTTAAACGAAAATAAAAAGAATCTACTGATTTTTTCAACAAAAAATCGCACCATTCTAGAAGCAGTTAAAGTTCTTGTTTACCATTCAAAAAAGATTGTAGGATCGCACCCATTACAATGCACTTTTCATTCAGTAAACACGTTTTTTACAAAGGTTAACGATTAGTAATTGACGTCATGACGCTGTACAACAATCGGTGAATTTGATACACCAAATTAAGCAATTAGTTTTGAGGCAGATGTTTTTCACATTGAAATTGGACAAAACGTTGTAGCGTCTGTAAAAAAAAGTCATTGTCAGCGTAAACAAGGCCGCCGGGCCGGGCGGAACCAACTTTGAAATGGCCAATTTGTAAACGAAGACGACTTTTGAGCGCTAGTAGTATTAGTCTGTCCAGAAAATAGTGACGGGTCGTCCCAGCAAAATGCTTCGTCTCGTCGAAAAAAGCGCCGAGTTGACCCTCGAAAAGTTATGATGGACGATTCAAAGGCGCGATGATACGTCTTTTACAGCGATAGACCTGATCCAGTGGCAAAAAACGTACCATTTTGCATTCGAGAAGTACCAAAAATGTAGCAAAATGCCTCCCTCTCCAAGTGAAAAAACTTGGTTTTGAAGGGCGCCTCACAAAAAGAGCGGGCGCGTTTTTGAAATCGGAGTTTTTTTCACTCGGAGAGGGAGGTATTTTACCACATTTTTGATACCTCCTGGGTGCAAAATGGTACGTTTTTTGCAACTGGATCAGGTTCCCTTACTGTATTTTCCAGACAGACCGATATTAGCCAAGTTTTGTTAAATTAGGATACAGTACAGTGGCGGAGCCGGTCCATTGGCAAAAAACGTACCATTCTGGATCCGGGAAGTATCAAATTGCCACATTTTTGATACTTCCCGGATGCAAAATTATACGTTATTTGCCAATGGATCAGGTCCCTCGCCGTAGCAGGCCTAGAAAAGCCGGACTTGGCCGAGGAAAGTTTGAAACGAGCAAGGCCAACCTAACCATTCGAACCCAAGTTTGGAGAAGTATTTTTCGGGGTCTTTGCTGTAAATGTTTTCCTCTTTGTGTATACAAGCTTATGTGTCAGCCCGCAGAAAGATTTAATGATTTTCTGACGTCAAAAAATCCATGTTCCATTGAAAGGTTTTCGTGTCTGAACCCCAAAAACCGTGTGTCCCAACTTTCCAATTTGCCGTTCAAATCAAAAATTTGCAGCCAGGCCAACAGTTGAGCTTGAACTTGAACTTGGATTTAGTCACGTTGAATTCCAAGTTCAAGCTTTGTGAACCTGAAATTGATGAGTTATCGAGCTTCAACTGAACCTCAAAATTTTACAAAGACCTTCTCGAGCCCGCAACTGCAACGATTGGTTTCCAAATCTCAGACATTTCCAAATCTCCCTTTTTCAGGAGCTTCACAATTACCGCACTCATGTCTACGGTCATCTCAAGTTCTCCACGAATCTGGAGAGCGCTGTGAAGAGCGCCGACTTGGTGGTCGAAGCCATTCCCGAAGACATGAACATGAAACAGGATTTGTTCGCCAAATTGGAGAAGATTTGCCCGAAAACCACCGTATTCACGACAAACACGTCCAGCTTGTTGCTCAAAGACATGAGCCAAAAAATGGTGGACAAGTCGCGCCTCGGAGGCCTTCATTTCTTCTTCCCGGTGCCGTACAGCGGGGTTGTTGAGGTGAGTTGGATTTTTCTTCAATTGAAGGAAAATTTCAATAAAAATTTTTATGAATTTTGAGATTTTTTACTCCAAAAAACCAGTTTTTGCCAAAAAATCGAATTTTTTATTTTGATTGTTTTCGTGGTGGGACCTGAAAATAGTCTGTTATTCTTGCAGAAATGAAGATTTTGAAGCATCGTATTTTATTTACCATGAAAGTTTTGATGATTTTTTTTGTTTTCCGTTGAATTTTAGCCGTTCTCAGGTTTTCGTGGTAGGACCAAAAAATTTTTTTGTTCGAAAAAAATTTTTTTTAATTTCTAAAAATTGATTGATTTTGAGTATTTTTAAAAGTCAAATAAAAAAATACAATCTTTTTCACCTCCAATCTTCAGAAAAAATGAGATTTTTTGTGCGAAATATTGCAAAATTCAAAAAAAAAAAAAAAAAAAAAAAAATTTTTTGCGATTTTTGAATTTAAAACTTGGCATTCTGTTTCAAGTCATGATACAATATTTCCACAAAAAATCAACTTTTTTCCCAAAAAATTCGCAAAGATATGGCTGAAAAGATGGTATTTCTCTGCCCGTCTCTCCATTCTCGCACTCTCTCGTCCCAAATATCGGCGAATATCTCAGCTCTTCTTGCAAAACTCGCGACAAAAATTTGAGGGATTGATGTGTAACTCTTACAGAGTAAATACACAAAATTAGAAACAAAATTGAAAAAAAAATTTTTTGATTTTGAAAAAAAATTTATATCTCAAGTCTCATTTCCAGGTCATGAAGAGCATCTACACCTCCGACGCCATCTTTGCGAGACTCGTCAAAGCGGCGGTGGAGCTGGAGAAATACCCGTTGAAGTGCAAGGCAAGTGATTAGCTGACAACTTTAGCTTTTTCAGGACACCCCGGCGTTTATTGTGAACCGAATCAACAACGCGATGTTCGATCAGGCCCTGGCTCTGGTTGAGAACGGAATTGCGAGCGTTGAGGACGTGGATACGGGCCTAGAGAAGGCTATGGGCTATCCGTTGGGACCGTTTAAGACGCTGGACAGGATTGGGTTGGATACGGCGAAGAGGGTTAGAGATGGTAAGAATTGTCGGAATTTCAAGCAAAAATGAGTCAAAAACACTCAAGAATAATATAAAAAATCGCTAGAAAAGTAAGAAAACGGTTGTTAAAATACGACTTGAGGATCTTGTGAACGTTTTTTTGTAGTGTTGAGAGTTTTTGACCGATTTTTGGAGCTTGCGACAGAATGCCAAAATAGGCGGGAAATTCGAATTTTTGAAATAATTTGAAAATTTGAAGTCTATGCTCTAATAGAGGACGTTTTTAGCTAATTAGCAGTCATTTCGCACAGTTTTTTCAACTTGCAACAGAATGCCAAGATTTTAAAATTTTGGCGGGAAATTTGAATTTTTCGCGGCAAATTTTATAAAAAACCACAAAAGATTTTTCAAGAAACAAGATAATGCATTCTAAAATAGATTTTTCATGTTTTTTCACCTTGCAACAGAATGCCAAAATCTCAAAATTTTGGCGGAATATTTGAATTTTCAAAAATTTTTCAATGTAAACTCGCTGTAGCAGTCTCTCTAACTCGGAAAATTAGCTTTTTTTTATTTCAGAACTTCGCCGATTGTACCCCGAAATCGGAGTTCGCCCTCCGGGCATCATCGAAAAACTGGTCGCCGAAGGCAAATTGGGACTCAAAACTGGCCAAGGATTTTACGATTACTCGAAAAAATCTAAATTGTAGAATATTCGCACCTTACTTCAATAAAAAACATATTTTTTGAAAATTTTGATTTCTTTTTATTTGTCAAACTGAAATCGGTCGAGAAATGTCGGTCTCGTCGGTATGTCGAAATTTGCTGTGCTGCACCTCGGATCGGGTAAGATTTTAGAAAAGTTTTAGCCCTTTTTAGTGCATTTTTCCACTTCAAAGGCTTTCGTGTCGGGACCTGGGACAAAATTTTTGAAATTGATTGAATCTTGATTAAACTTGGGGAGATTTTAGCTTTTAAATTTTTAAATGATATGCCAGAGATTTAGCTCGCGCTTTGCAGAACCACGGATCTTTTTTTTGGGGTCAAAAAATTCAAAAAATTTTTTTCGATTTTTTTCAAATTTTTTGGAGTGAAAAACATGGATTTTTTGAAGAAAACATTGAATTTCTTCCAAACTAAAATTTCCAGCCAGTTTCTGGCGAAAAAATCGAATTTTTAGTTTTTATTGTTTTCGTGGTGGGACCTAAACCTAGTTTTTTATTCTTATAAAAATGAAGGTTTTAAAGCACCGTATTTTATTTACTATCCAATATTTTGATATTTTTTTATTTCATCTTGAATTTTTGCCGTTTTCAGGTTTTCGCGGTGGGACCAAAAAAAATTTTTTTTTCAAAAAGATTTAAAAAATTAAAAAAATCAATTAATTTTATGCATAGTGAATAAAAAACCACTAATTTTTTCGCCAAAAAGCCGTCCATTTTTCCAGTGGAAGCCCAAGTTCAAGATGGAGTTGAAACTGGTTCGCCCCAATAAATTCGACGAATTCATGAGTGTTGATGTCCAGTTGAATGTCGGAGAACCACTTCAAGATATTTTGCATCGCATCTTGTTCAATTACCATCTGTTTTCCAAGTTCGACGCGAATTCCGCGGCCTTTGCTCATCAGCCGCAGCTAAATTATCAGATCGACCGGAACAGCTGCGTGGATGTCAACTTCAAAAAGGTTACGGTGGCTGTAAACGAGATGGAAAAGACGTTAAAGGTGGGTAAAATACGAACTCTTGACTCTTGGGATATTTTGAGATGGAAAAGAAGAGTTTTTGAAATTTTCAAGTTTTCGTGTCGGGACCAAAAAAGCTTTAAAAACTGTTGAAGGACAAGGTGGTTAAGATGAAGGAAATATTTTTTTGATAACATTGGTCTATCTTTTAGACATTTTGACGGCATTTCCGAACGTTTTCGAGAGTAAAAATGTTTTCGTGTCGGGACCAAAAAATTTTTTTTATGTTTACAGATTTTCATGAAACTTGGCGGCAAATTAGAAATAGAATTTTTTAACGTATATTTGACATTTTTGACCCACAATTTGCGGAAACTACCGAGATTTTTAGGTCGATTTTTTATACCTTCCGGCTTTAAAATCTCGGTTCTTTCTGCAAAGCGCGGGCTAAAAATTTTTCACAGGCGTCAAAAAAGTCTACTCTAAAGTTGTTCCAAGATTCAGCAAAATCCATGGCACTTTATAAAAAATTTTGGGTCTCGCCACGAAAACATGTTTAGTTTCAAAAATGGTCGGAAATGCCTGTAAAATGTCTAAAAGTTAGACTAAGGCTATCAAAACATTTCTTTTTGATTTATCTTCAATTTTCAGTGCATTATCAGCTGCAAAGTCCAGTTGCCAGATGGCGAAACCATCTATTCCAACGCCTTGTTACCCCATCGCTCTTCGATCGATATGGCCGTAAATGACGTCATCGACAGGAATGGAGTCCCAACTGAGCTTTATAATCGATATTCGGCGTACAGAATGCGGCAGGATGGCTCATTGAAGGAGCTGGATGAGAACTGCATGGTGCATCACAATGGACATTACGTCATTTTTATGCATAATTGCCCTACTGTAAGTGTGGAGTTTAGGGGGAAAAATTAAAAAGAGGGAATTTTCTTGATATGCTTTTTTCACATCTTTTTTTATTTTTTTTTTTTATTTTTTGCGGTTTTAAAAAAATCCAAAAAATCCGTCATGATGACGTATTCAAATACTCAAAAATATGATCACCTATTTTTTAAAATATGTTTAGTAAGGGCCTGTGGTAACCTTAAAATTTTTTGTTTTGAAAAACCGATTTTTTCGGAGAAAGTTCCAAAAAATCCGTCATGATGACACGTTAAAGTGATCAAAATTATAGTAAGTTTTTGTACAGAACAAGTTTAGTGCGGTCTTAAATTACACTCAAAAAAATTTCTGTTTCCAAAAATCCAAATTCACGGAAAAATCCAAAAAATCCGTCATGATGACATCCAAAATCTCTAAAAAATCATAGGATTTCATATCGAAGTTTCATTGGCATCGAAATTTCAAAGTCCTTCATAGACTGAAAAAAATGTTAATATTGAAAATGGTCGTATTTTACAAGATGTGAGTAGTAGGATGACGGATTTTCTGGAATGGCTTCAAATATTTTGTTTTCGGCACTTCCGAAAAAATTCTATAAGTTTGTTTCAGGCCTTAGTGACGTTACTTTTCAACGACCAGGAAATCAATCAAAAAGTCTTTTTGGACAATTACCGCACCATCAATGACGCGGTGAAATTTTTGGTCAACAGATTGGAGATTTATTCGTATAATGTAACGAATGTTAAATGTAATCATAAGAATGGAAAAGAGAATATACTCTATTCGTTGGAGCACACAATGGTGGATCAAGGACGGTATAGAGTTACGATTAAGGAGGTAAGCTGTATTAAACATGCAAAATTGGAATTTTTTTATGAATTTTATGCATTATTCAAGCTGAAAAGGTGTTTTTTACATTTAAAATTGCTTGAACACCCATTTCTGGCGATTTTGAGCAATTTTTTCACAATGCCAAGTTTTCGTGGTGGGACCCGAAATTTTAATTTTTTTTGATTTTTCAAAAATTTCTTTTTTTAACCCGCTTGTAAGCGTCAAATATCATCTAAAAATAATGGTTTTCAACTTTCCCACATTCATTTTCCACTGTATTTTACCATTTCTTTCCAGTGCATCATCAAGATCCAAGTGGAAGTTGGAGCCGCCGATTCCTTTGTCCCAACAAATTTGTTTGTACCGGCGGGAATTTCTGTCGATAAAATGAGACACTCTCTTAATTCTCAAGCCACTTTAGAAGAGGATATTATGGTCTATGACAAAGAATATGACACTTGGATATTAACCATGAAGGATGAGAAAGTCAAGGCGGAAAATCGCTATCGGTTGATTGTCAATGAAGATTCTGTAAGTTTTTTGGGGTTTATTGAGGCCTGCGGTGGATTTTTTTGCATTTTTTGGCTGTTTACCCAGGGGGATTAGCTAAATTTGCAAAGAATCGAAAATAAAATCAAATTTGATATAAAAAACGTTCAAAAAGGCTTTGGAATCCTCAGAAAAAGAATTTAGAACACCGGCATCTAACCCAAAATTCCCGTAGGGCATTAATAAAAAATCCAAAAATATTGTCCGCAGTCGACAGGATTCGAACCTGTGCGGGCAGAGCCCAATTGATTTCTAGTCAATCTCCTTAACCACTCGGACACGACTGCACGGGCTCTCCGTTTGCTCTTTTCTTTCTTTCCTCTCTCGGAATTTTTTTGGCGCGAAAAGAGGGGAAATGCGAAGAAAAGACGGAGAAATCGCGACTTTTGAAGGTCAAAAGTTGGAAATATTTGTAATAAAAAGTTGTAAAACATTGGTTATAGTAACCTCCTTGACTTACAACATAATTTTTTTGTTTTTTTCGCTATTTTTTGCCAAAAAACGTCTAAAATCTCAAATTTTCAGGTTTAAACCTCCATATCTCGGTTGTTTCTGTATAACGACGTAAAAATTTTTTGCATATATCTTAGGGTGTCATGATCTTCATCTTTGCCAAGTTTCATCAAAATCGGAACAAGCTCAATTTTTTGAAATTTTTTGATTTTTTTCTGCATAACGCTTTTTTTCAGATTTATCCCAACTCGAATGTCATCGCCAAGACTCCAGAATCACCTGTCAAGCTTGAAAAGACACAAAACCCCGATGATTTTGAGGGAATTTTGACCGAAACTTCGGATTTGCGCGCTCAGACCACCTCCAAAATGAAGTCGGATACAAATTTGGAGCAATTTGCTGTCCTCAAAGACAAAATGGACGGTTCGCCAACGCCCGACAGCTTTCATGAGTGCCATGAAAGAGATGAAAGGAGATTTGAGTGCTTCGAAGCCGGCGATGGAGCCGATAGAATGGCCAAAGAGACGATGGAAGATGAACAAAGTCCTTATTCTAGTGTCCGCAGTCTTTATTATTCCGTGGTTTGAAGATAAATTGTATTTTTGACACTTGGGAGAGACTGATTTTTTAGTTTTGAACGGAAAATTGAGGTTTTGGATAAAAATTTTTTTGGATACTTTTTGATACTTTTTGCCATTTTTCCTCAAATTTGACAGTTTTTAGTAAAAATAACATTTGAACGCTGCCCTCAGGGTAATTCGCTTGTAAAAATGACGAATAGATATTAAACTATCTTTGCTGCCGAGAGAGTACTCAAAATGCGGAGAGCGGTTAGAGAAAAAACACTTTTTGGCGATATCTTTGCCAGTTTCGCGCGGAAAAAATTGATTTTTTGTGAAAACATCACTCTCTGCGGTAGAAATAACCACGAAAATTTTCATGCTAAAATTTGCAAAAAAAAATTTTCATTTTTTCCAACATTCCGTTTAAAAATCTCGGTCATTTCTGCAAAACGCGACCTAGAAATCTCTAATATACCTTGTAAAAAATTATTCTAAATTTTTCCCAAGTTTCATCAAAATCTGACCGCATTTAGAGCACTTGCCCTTAGGCCAAATTCTTCCAAATCCCACTGATTGGAGGCAAATCATTTTAAAATGAAATTAAAAAGCCAAAGATACAACAAATCGGCTCCGAGTTCCACCCCCACTACCATAAAGCGGCTTTGACACGACGGGAAATATTACATTATCCCATAATCAAATTCTTCCCCACATATGGCCATATAAAGCAGGTCATCTGTCGCTCTCACGACAAATATTATATTTAGCGGCTTTACGATGGATCACTGTACGGTTCGGCAGCTAATTAAACATTAAACTTTTTGGAATGGACAGTATAAAAGGGAGAGGAGTTAGCAGCTTGTGCAGTCTGCATGCTCTTGTGACATTTGAGGGAATAGTCATGATTTTTTTTGGGTATTGTTTCAATCATTTTTGGGGGAGGTACTCCAATTTCGACGCTCAGATTTTGATGAAACTTGGCACAAATTTAGAATGATTTTTTCTAAGATATATGCGAGAATCCTAGCTCGCGCTTTGCAGAAACAACCGAGATTTTTAGATCGAAAGTCGGCCAAAATTTAGGACTTTTTGCCGAATTTCGGCACGAAAAGTTTCATGCCTATTTCTACTGTAAAGGACAATGTTTCTACAAAAAATCAAATTTTTCCGCACGAAACTGCCAAAGTTATGGCCAAAAAGCGTTTTTTCTCTGACCGCTCTCCACGCTTGGTGTGCTCTCTCGGCGGCCAAAATCGTTCGATATCTCGGCGGCGCCCGCAAAGCGCGAGCTAAAACTTTCAGGAATTGATATTTAGTCTATTCCCGACGTGTGTGCAAAATTTAAAGAAAATCTGAGCGTCGCACTTGGAGTACTTCCCTTGTGAGATAATCTAAAACAGTCCGGTGAATGGATTGGCAATTTGCCAAAAAAAGACGCGAAAAAACGTTTTGTCGGGGAAGAAATGGGGAATTTTTGGGGCGAGAGAGTACGCTTTTGCGTGTATTTTTTCTCTCTTTCTCTGGAAATCAAGACGAAGTGTAAAAAATCGATAGCGAAGAGTCTATAAGAGTCTATAGGACTCCTCAGTTTGACGTGCGACGCTCAGATTTTCTTTAAATTTTGCACACACGTCGGGTATGGACTAAATATCAATTCCTGAAAGTTCTAGCTCGCGCTTTGCGGGCGCCGCCGAGATATCGAACGATTTTTGCCGCCGAGAGAGCACGCTAAACCTGGAGAGCGGTCAGAGAGAAAAACGCTTTTTGGCCATAATTTTGGCAGTTTCGTGCGGAAAATTTTGATTTTTTGTGGAAACATTACCCTCTATGGTAGAAATAGGCATGAAACTTTTCGTGCCGAAATTTGGCAAAAAGTCCCAAATTTTTGCCGACTTTCGGTCTAAAAATCTCGGTTGTTTCTGCAAAGCGCGAGCTAGGATTCTCGCATATATCTTAGAAAAAATTATTCTAAATTTGTGCCAAGTTTCATCAAAATCTGAGCGTCGCACTTGGAGTACTTCCACTGTAAAGTGAAAATCAATTGATTTTGAAATTTTCAAAATAACATACGGGATTTTTTACCTTGGCAAAAAATCTCAATTTTTGTCATAAATTTTGACCTTATTTTTGTGAATTATATAAAAAAATAATTTTTTTTTTTGCGTTCGAGCTACTTTAAAATTTAACAAAATGATCCATTACCCCCAATTTCGGAAACTCCATTTTTTTCAAACTTGCTCTCAATTTTCCGCCTCTCTGCTCATCCATTATAATCCTGGGAATACGTAATTAGAATGCGGCCTTTTGTTTGTCCTCTACTCATTTTCCCCACTCTTCAAGAGTAGGGGGGATCGATCTCCGCTCGAAGATGACATCACTGTTTACTTTACACTAAATTTTGGTCCATTTCCTGATTTTTAAAGCAAAAATATTTTAACAAATTTTTGAAAAGACCCTGCGGAATGATGATTTTTTTAAACTTTAAAATTTTTTTTTAGGATTTTTGGTAATTTTTTTATTTAAAAAAATAAAAAAAATATTTATGTCCCAGATAAAATTTATAAATGATTTTTTAGATTTTTTGAAAAAAAAATATAAAAAAAATGATTGAAAAAGTACGATAAATGATTTTTTTTTAATTTTTTTCAAAAAAAATATTTTTAAATTAAAAAAAATATTATGCCTGAGGCAAAATTTGCAGCAAAAAATATAATAAATGATTTTTTAGATTTTTTTGAAAAAAAAAATATTTTTTAATTTAAAAAGAAATTATTATGCCCGAGGCAAAATTTGTAGCAAAAAATTTTTTACCCGTGATATTTTTTAAACAATCATTATCATTTTTCAAACGTCACCTGAGGCCATTTCAACCATTTTTTAGAGCAAAAATTTATCAGGCGGCTCTTTTTTGATGACGTCATTTTTTGAGTTCAACAAAAAAATCTCAATTTTTCATGTCAAAAATATTCCGGGAAATATATCACCGTATACCATGATGCGGTTATAAATTCCATATATGAATGGGAGATCAAAAGAAAATAATTTTTTATAATTTGACCATGAGGTTTATGGGTATGAAATTTAATATGGAATTTCTCGATGTACGATTCTCCGATTTTCTTTAAATTTGGCATATATTTTCTGCATAGCCCATACTCCAATAGCTGAAAATTTGAGCTCTCTCTTTGCGAAGAGAGCCGAGATATTCAACGATCTTTACCGCCGAGAGAGTACGGAAAATGAGGAGAGACAGTCAGAGAAAAATCTTTTTTTTTAGCTGTATCTTCGCGAATATCGCGCTGAAAAAGTGGATTTTGTGGATGAATATTGTGCTCTCCACTTTAAATTGATCGCCAATTTTTTATTTCAAAAAAATTAAAAAAATTTTTTTAAATTTTTCGAAAATTTTTCGACGTAAAAATCGCTACGATTTCTACAAACATCAAGCTAAAACCTCTCACATGCTTGAGAAAATTGTAATTTAATTTTGTGCCAGGTTTAATTAAAATTTGGAAACTTAAAATTCCTCCAAATTTCGCACAGTGCAAAAAAAATTTTTTTCAAAAAGTAAAAAAATGAAATTCTCGGATTTTACAGAGTTTTTGAACGTTTCACCTCAACATTTACCCACTGGATTACTCTTCTCAGCACCCTTTTTTCCCGCCTTTTCTCAATGGGTTACGGTATCCAAATTCCAGTAAAACAAAGCTCTGCGGAAACAGAAAAACAACCCCAGAGCCGCAAATTCTATTACCGAATGCACTCAAATTTTGCCAATTTCCGCCCCATCCCGCGCCCTCCCCATTAACGCCCTCAAACGAACACTTCTCGGACTTACCACCTACTACAATATAAATTGAAGTGCTGGACTAAACCTACAAACAACTCTTTTGCAGAAATCATTTTTACACTTGTTTTTTCCCAAAGTTTAATCTGCCATGCGAGCCATGTTTTTATAAACACCCAAATCTGACTTATGACCAAAAATTTATATTACACTAGGCTATTAAAATCTTGAAATTTCGACTTCAAACCCACTTATTTTGACTGTAACAAGCCCGTCTCTGAACTGTGTACGTAGTCTGCGGTGTAATTCGCGGAACAGAGTCATCGTTTTTTAAATGACCTGAGGCAATTTTCGCAGTTGTAAAAAATATATTTCTTTAAAATCTCTTTGCGTCTAAAAATACCTTGTTTTTAGAGAAAATGATCCCGAGAATACGAAGTTTGTGGTGTCTACAGCTAATACTTTTCAATCAGTAAGTTTTTTCGCTACCGGGAACTTGCTTTACATCAGTTTTTGACTAAAATAACGTGATTTTTGGCGATTTTTGACAATTTTTCGCAAAATCAAAGTATTTTTATAAAGCCGGAGGGCGATTTTTTCATTTCGCTTATATCCTTTCCCTCCAGAACCGATTCCCACCCCTTGCACTGCCTAAAAACCTTTTCCAATAATTTTGTGACACTTCGTCCACAAATCCAATAATTCCCTGACATTCCGCCAAATTTGATTACAACCCAGGTTAGCCACAAAAAAATTTCTGGAGGTCAGCAAAAAACGCATGATTCGCAGTGACGTTGCACGCGTATTGACGGTTCGGTTTTGCAGAGCGCTCTCACTTCCGTCCCGGTCATTCCAATTCTCTCCCGGCTTGACACAAGCCGAGACTCTAGAGCGAAACCGGAATTTGTTGCACGAAGACCGCGAGAAGATCATGGCCAAGGTGTTCGACATCAAGATCAACGTCACCGAATATCCGTTGGCGCGACGGGACGAAAGTGTGGTCGAGGAGCTGCATGGAGTCAAGGTATGGATAATATCGTTTGTTTCTTTGTGTTTTTTGGCGTTTAGGGAAGGAAATGAGAATCCGCAGCATGTCAGAAGGGCTGTTTTACTTTTAGTGGGTCGTTTTAGGGCATACCGAAAGGTTTATTGGTGTTTTTACAAGTTTTCCATCCATCAAGTGTCCATGGATAATATTTTTGAGATTTCCTCTGTTTTTTGATGTCTGGACGAGTTGAACATAGCACACATAGTGTATTTTGAAAAGTGTTAGCTTATGATATTTCCTTCCGGCCATCACAGAGTTTATTTGTTCAGTTCTTATCTGTTTTTATACATCAAGGTCCTGATGGATAATATAATTATTTTCTCACACATAGCCAAACTTTAGATGTGCAGATGGCTTGGAAAAGTTTCTTGATGGCTCTAGCTATCTTTATTTAGATTCAAACCATGTTACCTATCCTTTTATCTTCTCCTTTCAGATCGCCGATCCATACCGATGGATGGAAGATCCGGATGCTCCAGAAACCCAAAAATTTGTTGAGGAGCTGAACAAAATCTCAACACCATTCCTCCAGGGTTCAAATGCTCGAGGCATTTTGAAGGAGAGGTAAGATTGTTTCTTTTTTATATTATACTTGAGATTTAGACTAACCAAGCTTTGGGATTACGAGAAATTCGGATCTCAGTCCAAACAAGGAGACTACTACTACTATTACCACAATACGGGTCTGCAGAATCAAAGGTATGTTTTTTACTGTGTTTTGATTTGATTTTTAGAGAAATTTATATTGCACTAGACCATCAGATGAAAATCTCCCATAAATCGTTGAATTTTTAGTGTGCTTTACAAGCAAAAGTCTTACAAAGAGAAGGGAGAGGTCTTCTTGGATCCTAACACTTGGTCGGAGGACGGGACCGTCGCCATTCGTCAGACTGCCTGGTCTCGTTGTGGTTCATTATTAGCTATCGGAATCAGCGAGAAAGGCTCGGATTGGACGACTGTCAAAGTAATCGGTCATTTAAAGTCTTATGAGTTCATTTTAGTTCCGTAAGAACACCGGTGAAGAGTTGAGCGACGTGATTCCCGGGGTGAAGTTCAGTGGTATCGCCTGGAACAAAGCAGATGGCGTTTTCTACTCGGTAAGTCATTTTTATGTTGTTGGATTTCGATTTTTAGAAATATCCCAGCTACAAGAGCGCTCAGGATGGTGTTTCGGTGGAGAAGCACGAGTTTCACTCACTATATTATCATAAGTTGGGCACCAATGCTCAAGATGATATCCTGGTCGCGGAGTTCCGCGAAAACCCCGATAATATGGTGTAAGTGGATCGCTAAGAGGTCTAGTTGGATATATGAAAGTCTATTTCTTGATCTGCCAAAAAATTTATATTACTTTAGATCGGGAATGGTCTCTTTTGACAATAAATTCTTGGTGGTCAGTGTGAGCAAAGGCTGTGACCCGACGAACCAACTCTACATCTACGATTTGGAGTCGATTGGGCATAATGTGACCAAGAAATTGGAGCTGAAGCCGGTGTTCACAAAGTGGGATGCGAAATATGATGTAAGTCGATGTTAAAAACTTGAAATTTTTGGTTTAGTTTGTCCACAACGAAGGCAATAAAGTCCTGATTGAGACGAATAAGGATGCCCCAATGTCCAAACTCGTCAGATTCGACTTGGCTGACCTTGAAAAAGGAGAATCGGCCTGGCAAATCGTCCTTGCACACGACGAAAAGAGAAAATTGAGCTTTGTGGTCCCAGTAGCGAAGGATAAGCTGGTCGTAGCTTACATGGAGGACGCTTGTGTAAGTTGAGATAGGATTTTGAAGAAATTGGAGTGAGATTTTGATTGGGTTTGGCAAAAAATAGCAGATTTTTGTCATGGATAATATAATTTTTGTTCGGAAATGGCATAAGAAATGTTTGTAGAGGTTTAGGGATGAACAAAAAGCAATTTGTAAGGCTTTAAAGGTCTTTATGGGTTGGAAATTGTCAAAAAATAGAAGATTTTTGTCATGGATAATATAATTCTTGACGAAAATTTGTTTTGTTGTGTCGTTTATGGTGTTTTTAGGGCGCGATTGTTGAACTAGAAGCAATTTTAGGGGTTAGTCAGGCCATTTGACTAAAAATTTTGCCATGGATAATATAATTTTTGACGAAAATTTGCTTTGTTTTGTCGTTTATGGTGTTTTTAGGGCGCGATTGTTCAACTAGAAGCAATTTTAGGGGTTAGTCAGGCCATTTGAGTAAAAATTTTTTCATGGATAATATAATTTTTGTTCAAAAATTTTTATGTTTTTGTATTTTAGGACTCGCTCTACATCCATGACCTCGAATCCGGCCGTCAGCTCGAGAAATTTCCCTTGAGTTTGGGCTCGGTGGGCTCATTGTGGGGCCGAATCACGCACGACGAGATCTTCTTCTCCTACGAGTCGTTTGTGGAGCCCGCCGTCATCTACAGAGTGGACTTTTCGAAGCCGCGAAGCGCCACGGAGGCGCTGGAATTGGAAGTGATCCATCGAACCGAGGTGCCGGGCCTGGACCCCAAGAAATTTATCGCCAAACAGGTGTTCTTTTCCAGCAAGGACGGCACCAAAGTCCCCATGTTTATTGTCCACCCGAAGAATTTGACGCTGAACGGAGAGAATCCGGTGATTTTGAATGGATACGGAGGCTTCAATATCGCCGAACAGCCCGCCTTCTCGGTCTCCCGCTGCCTTTTCATGGAAATGTTTGGCGCAGCGATCGCTGTCGCCAACATCCGCGGCGGCGACGAGTACGGAGAGACCTGGCACGAAGCTGGAATGAAGGCCAACAAACAAAACGTGTTTGACGACTTTATCGCCGCCGCCGAATATCTGATCCGTGAGAAGTACACCAACAACAAGAAATTGGCCATTCAGGGCGGATCGAATGGAGGATTGTTGATGGGCGCGGTCTCACAACAACGCCCAGACCTCTTTGGAGCTGTGGTCAATAGAGTTGGGTAAGAAAAGGGGATTTGGAAGGAGTTTGGGGGAGTTTTTATATTGTAGTAGGTATCAGATGGGAGAATTGATTTTTTTGTATGATGAATTGGTGGTCAAGGAGGTTTATGGGTAATTTAGAGTAGCTCAGTATAAATGCAAGGTTTTTTATGCAAGTTTGTACAGTTTGTCATAGCTTGAGATTTACTTTCGGCTGATATTGCACTAGGGGTAGTAGTGAAGTAAATTTTGATTTTTTGTCGCGTTTAAGCTAAGGTTGGATAATTTTTTTGGTGAATAGTCTATAACAGAGATTTGTGAGCAATTCTAGAGCAGCAGCAGGTTTTTTAGACCTTCAGTTATGTTGTAGTAGACATTACTTTTTTTTAGTGTTCTGGACATGCTCAGATTCCACAAATTCAGCATTGGAAGTGCGTGGTTGCCAGAATACGGAAATCCAGAGGATCCGAAGGACTTTGAATACATTTATAAGTGAGTCTTGGTTTTTGATTTTATATTTTATATTGTACTTGGCCAAAATGTGTTTTTTGGTGAAAAAGCTGGTTTGAGCCGTGTTTTGCGGCAGAAATAGGATTGAATTAGTCTGTCCGGAGTTTTGGCGGAATTTCTGATGAGTTATTACAGAACAGATTGGGAAATTTTAACTTTTTTTAGCATGAATAATATAATTTTTGTCGAATTTTTGAGAAAAAGTAATGTTTTGGTCATGGAGTAGTGTCTAAATGGCGTAAAAATTGTCACAAATTTTTTTAAAGACCCTATTTTATGGTTTCAGATACTCTCCGCTCCATAATATCCGCCTCCCACCAGGTCAGCAATGGCCCTCGACGCTGGTCATGACCGCTGATCACGACGACCGCGTCGTCCCCGCTCACTCCCTGAAATACATTGCTCAGCTCTACTACACCCTCCAGAAGGACTACAAGGACATCCAGACGAACCCCGTGCTCGCCAGAATCGACGTAAAAGCGGGCCATGGCGCCGGGAAGCCCACCGGAAAAGTGATCGACGAAATTGTCGATATCTACTCATTCCTCCAACGTGTACTTAAATTGGACGTTAATTAGGACTGTAACATGTTTATTTATAGATTTTTTTTTGTATTACACTCATGACATTGTAAAAATTTTGGTGAGATAACCGCTGATACCAAGTATAACATTGAGAGATTTCAAGCGACTGTGAATCTTTGGTTGTGTATTTATTTTTTAATTATGATGGAAAATGAAGGAATTTTTGATTTGGGATTGGTTTGAATGGATTTTTTTGAGGGCTACACCCAATTTTTAAGTCTTTGAAAGAACCAGACCCCGATGGAATTCACAAGGGAAGCACCGCAAGTGCGACGCTCAGATTTTCTTTACAAGGAAAGTACTTCTATGGGGTGTGGAGTTACAGGTCGAGATATATATCAAAAAATTCGCAAAAATTTTCTGATTCAGAATATATAAAAATTAGCTGCCTAATTTTGGTCTATCAACGAGTTTTATCAATAAATGTATTTCTCGAGGAAAAAAATCTGCGGCAACAAAAGCGCGCTCGGTCTCTTCCTCCGGAAGAGAGCGGTGTGGCCGAGTGGTTAGAGCGCTAGATTGGGAATCCGAAGGGAACGGGTTCGATTCCTTTTGCCACACTAGAACCCATTTTTTACATTGGAACTACTTCTAAGGTGTAGTTGTAATCTAATTTGATATTTTAAGGCTTGTCAAGGCCTCAGAATTTATTTTAGCACAAAACAAAATTTTTTTATTGGTAAAAACACGGTCAAAAAGACACTTGCATGGTGTCGCGAGAAAACTTCTGAGGACAAAAACATGTCATCAGACCAAAATTAGGCAGCTAATTTTTATATATTCTGAATCAGAAAATTTTTGCGAATTTTTTGATATATCTCTCGACCGGTAATTCCACACCCCATAGAAGTACTTTCCTTGTTAAATTTTGCACACATCTCGGACATAGACCACATCTCAATCCCTGAAAGTTTTAGCTCGCGCTTTGCAGGCGCAGCCGAGATTTTGAACGATCTTTGCGGCTGAGAGAGCAGGCAAAAAACACTTTTTTGGCCGTAACTTTGCCAATTTCGGATGAAAATTTTTTATTTTTTCTGGAAACATTACTCTCAGCAGTAGAATCGGGTACGAAGCTTTTCGTGCCAAAATTTGGCAAAGAGTGTCAATTTTTTGCCGACTTTCGATCTAAAAATCTCGGCTTTTTCCGTAAAGCGCGAGCTAGGATTCTGGCATATACCCTAGAAAAAATTATTCTAATTTTGTGCCAGGTTTCACCAAAATCTGTGCGTCGCACTTGGGGTACTTCCCCTGGAATTGCAGTTGAAACTATCCGGGAAGTATCAAAAATGTGGCAAAATGCTTCCCTCTCCAAGTGAAAAAGCTCCGATTTCAAAAGCGCGCGACCTTCAAAATGATGTTTTTCACTTGGCGGGTTGAAGCACTTTGCCACATTTTTTATGATTCCCGATGAAAAGTGGTACGTTTTTTGCCACTGGATCAGGTCCGTCACTGTAGACGGATTGTATAGCGGCTCTACTGTAATTCATCAATCTGATTTGTAAGGCAAATATATAATACATAATAATGTTTTTTTTTTCATCTTTAAAACTGTCTCAACGCCATCAGCTTGCCGCTAAAATTGCGTTTCGCTCCATAAATTTTATTTCCAATTTTGAAGTTTCTCTTAAATTTCGGAATCTTCAAATTGCAATAAAAACTGTACAACGCCTCCGTCGAAATAAAAAAGAATAATTGCAAGTTAAATGACCGTTGAAACGTGGTATATAAAGAGTTTTTGACATCAAACAACTATAGTATTTTTGTCCAGTTTGTAAAATGAATACTGCATGTCTACTGTTAATTTTGGCGGCAATTATCGCCGTTACGACGGCTTCTCCGTACTATTATGGGGGCTACAGTGGCAGTTACTATCCCTACAACAGCTACAGTGGTGGTTACTACCCGTACACCTACAGCAATGGCTATGGATATCACTCGCATTACGACGATTATCACCACCATCATCATCACTACGACAGTCATGAACATTGGTAATTTGATGGTTGTGTTTTTTTTTCAATTGCTGTAAAAAATGTGTAGCTTTGAATGAGGTGAAAAAAATAAACTTTGCTCAACAAAATGACGTGCCAAATACCCTTGCCCTTGTGTTGTTGAAGAAGAGTCGTTTAATCAATCAAATTTATTTAACAGTCACATATATGCACTATACGGACATGCCAAGAAGTTCTGACCCATCCAGTAATATCTTCATAAAGTGCATGGACATTTGTCGCGGTCTGCACCGTGCAGAAAAACCCGAATTTTGCACGGTGCATTTGACCTTTTTTGGGGGTTTCGCACTGTGCATCTTTTATCGCACAGTGCGAAAGAGAACAGAACATTCTTCGCGTCCCGCAGTGATTTTTTTTTATTTTTCGCACTGTGCATTCGAAATATCGCTGCGAGGGCGCCATTACACGGTGCAAAAAGGAGCAAGATGCACTGTTGGCCTCAAAAAAAGTCTACGCACTTTATGGAAAGACTGCGATCAGTCTGTCGGGAAAATAATGAGTGCAATTTCGCTGCGCCAATCACATCGCTGAAGTCAAAATCAATTTGATTTTGCCGCGACACAATTCATTTTTTTGATGCGATCTTCGATCGGACAGAGTGCTCATTATTTTCCCGACAGATGATAGGTAATTTAACCTTAGTTAGTCTCCGTGATACCTTTTGATGCCAAAAAAAAGTACCATAATATTTAGCTTTTCAGCCTTTTTCATTATTTTCCCGACAGACTAAAAGGCAGTTTTACTTTTGTCTGCATGATACCTTTTGATGCCAAAAAAAAGTATCCATAATAACTTTCCAGCCTTGCTTATTCTTTTCCCGACAGATTGATAGGTAATTTAACCTTAGTCTCCATGATACCTTTTGATGTCAAAAAAAAGCATCCATAATAACTTTTCAGCCGTGTTTATTATTTTCCCGACAAAATGATAGGTAATTTAATCTCAGTCTCCTTGATACCTTTTGCTACCAAAAAAAAGTATCCATAATAACTTTTCAGCCTTTTTCATTATTTTCCCGACAGACATATATTTGTGGTGCATCAGGGATGTGGAAGAGAGACTTTGCGAACCCAAATCCGCATTTCCCACCAATCCTTTTGGCCATGCAAGCGGAACGGGTATGTCTCATGATCCCCCTTCCTCTCATCCCCATATTTTTAGCCCAAAAGCGCCTCCTGCCCCCAATTCCTGACCATTTCACGAGCGGCGTTGACGTCACCCCGGCTTGACTCACCCCAAGTCCATAAAAAACCGCTCCGTCGAGCGACTCTGAGTCCTCGCGGCGCCTTCGTAAGTATTTGTGCTTTCGAATCATCCCAGAATAAACAATAAAAATACACCTTTATGTCCACAAGACGCACCGCGGGCGAATTGTTTTTTACGCGCCGCTCATAAAACTTTTGAAACGGAATTTTTGGAGTTTTAAAACTTCTGCGATCGCTTGGTTTGGATTTTTTGGCTAAAAATTGTGGTTAGAGTGATGAATGTGTACGTTGTTCGGCCAAAGGTTTGTTTTTGGGCATGAAAAATGAAAAAAGTGGTATTTTTTGGAGGCATAAGTTTGTCGGGAAAATACTGAAAGCTCTGTCGCATAGGCACTGACATTTTTGACATTCAAGTTTCAACTTTATTGCGCTGGACAAATTGCCTGTGCGCCATGATCGTCCGGTTCGGTGGTGAATCGGTCAGGATTGGTTAAACTGGCACGAAATTTAAATGTTTTTTGTCCTATATTGGTTTTACAGAATGGTGTTTCAAACCTCTGTCGCCTCAGGCGATAGTGGTGGCATTGGGAAAATTTGCATTTTTTGGCTCTAAAAATGCAATATAAGCTCTAATTTATATATTTAGTAATCCAAGTGTGAGGCGGAACGACCGAGCTTCGAGGATTTTCCCACGAGGAACGATCTACATTTATTCAAATTTGATTGTACTTTCCTACGTGGGGCTTCCCTATAAAAGGACCTCCTTTCCACTGAATAAATCACTTGACTCTTGAGCGTCTCGTCATCGTTACTGGGTTGTCGGGCCTTTCGACAACTCATAAGTGGCGATCAGACGACTCAGCGCGTGGAACGACTCACCGACTGCAGCGGCCGTCGACCTCCCAGCTGGTCGAACCTTCTCTGGTGTAGAAGGCATTCTTGGTGGTGGTATAGCCCCAAGGTAGTACTATAAGGTACTCAAAACCCGGATACAGGGTATAGAGCACAAGTAGTGCACAAATTCCTAAAGGATTGTAAATCCCAGAAAGGAAAACACGAGTAGGGTACAAGGAGTACAGAACTCGTGAATTGGCATTTTGTTTTCGCCTAGCAAACGAAAATGAGCCAAAATCAGCAGCCAAATCTTGGCAAGCTGTGGATCTTTGATCCAACAAAGAACCGTTGGAGTTCTTATGAGAGCATGATGCGAAGAATCATCATAGCTCGAGGAATCACCGAGGCAGATGACAAGAAAGTATTCTTGTTCAATCACATTGGTGCAGCTGCTTATGAAGCGCTGGAAGTTGCCATGAATGGTGACAATATGGACTCAAAGTCCTTTGATGAACTTTGCACCGTTTTGACGGGCTTGTTCGAACCAAAAGGTCTAATCGCTGCCACAAGGCACAAGATTTTTACTGCAAAACAGCAGTCAGACCAAAGTTCAAGACAGTTCATCCAGCAGGTGAAAGCTTGGTCAATGAAGGCCAGTTTCGAAAGTGTTCAGAACACTCGAGATTTCGTACAGGTTCAAGCTATAATTGCTGGACTGTCGAATCAAAAAATAAAGGAGAAACTCCTTGAAACAACCGATTTGACTATGAGCAAATTGGAAGAGATTGTGGAGTTGCTGGAAGGCACACAATCAGCCGCAAGTCAAATGGCAGCAGCCAGTGGACCAGGCACTATTGCGATGCTGGATAGGCGTCGTGGAAGGGACCAAATGGACGGGAAGTCCAAAGGTCGTCAATACAAATGTTGCTTCTCTTGCGGGAGTGATGCACATTTGAAGGCCGATTGTCCAGAGAGACAACGGAAACCTAGAAGGATTTCTAGGGGGACCCATCATGGACTTGATGCGGTTGACTCAGAATTGGAATATGATTCTGAATATTCGTCCGGATGTGACGGGATGCACGCCATTAGGCAGTGTGAAAGCGGACGGGAAGAGATCCCTCCGGTCAAGCTATGTGTCGGGTTAAATGACATGGAAATAGCTTTGGAGCTCGATACAGGAGCTGCCAGGACGGTAATACCAGAAAGGGTATGGAGACAGATTGGTCGTCCGGAAATTACCAGGTATACCGGGATACTTCAGGAATATGGCGGAAGTCCATTAGAAGTTATTGGTGCTGTGCGGGTAAATGCCAGCTTCCGGGGTCATCAGAAGATGACTGAAATCATTGTCGTGAGACGTCACGATTGCCAACCGACGTTGGGACGGGATCTTATGAAAGATCTCAAGTTGGACATGGGAAATTATGTCAACTTGTCACTGGTAGGCTCCCAAGTGGAGGAGACAGGTACCAGGGGAACTCGGGAAAATGAGTTCAAAAGCTTTCAAAAAGCTAGTGATGAAACTCGGGAAGTCCATTGGATTAGAGTTGTCACGAAAAGCATGGATCAGAAGCCTGCAAAAGCCAATATTGGCGTCTCAACCAGAAACACGGAAGGTGTTTGTGAGACCTACTCGGGAGATTTCAAATCTCAGTATTTTCCCCAGGTTGTTGAAAATAGGGGAGGGAGTAGAGGCCAAGGAAAGTGGCGAGGTAACCATGCCAAATCCACGGTAATGTGGTCGGATTCAGAGAGTCTAGCAAGCTCTAAGGAATCGCGGAAAAAACCTAAGGTCTGGATAGACAAGGTAAAAGATGAGCTAGCAGCTCAAATCAGAAGCTTTGCTTCTCAGGGTAAGCCAATTGTGTCCTTTGGACCTAGGCACCATTCGGAAAGGTATAAGCCTTTGGCAAGAAGATACCAGAATGGAACCCGATGCGTCAGTGGAAGGAATGTGCCGTTGGAAGTTCAGATCCTCGATGGAATCCAGGTCCAGTCCAGAATCTCAAGCCATCCAGAACCCAGGGAAGCACGCATGCTCGTTCGATGGATGTGGAAGTGCCAAGCCGTGCCCGACTTGATCACTTGGAGGAGATGTGAGGCGGAACGACCGAGCTTCGAGGATTTTCCCACGAGGAACGATCTACATTTATTCAAATTTGATTGTACTTTCCTACGTGGGGCTTCCCTATAAAAGGACCTCCTTTCCACTGAATAAATCACTTGACTCTTGAGCGTCTCGTCATCGTTACTGGGTTGTCGGGCCTTTCGACACCAAGTCAGACCTAAAATCAGCGGCGTAGCTGACCAAAAATTTTGGGAGAAGGGGGTCGCCTGAGAGTCAATTTAAAGCTACCTTGGTCCCCCCTCACCATTTTTTTTCCTTCTACTCAGCATTGGGGGACACCTCTTTCTTTCCCAGCTCGTCCCTGCCTCCAACTAGGCATGGTTCCCAGACCAGGCCGGGTCGACCCAGTCCGGCCTGCTATTTTTTGTTCTATCGGTCTGTCGGAAAAACAACGGCGGATCGTCGCAGCAAAATGTCTCGCCTCGCCGCTATCGCGCACCAAATCCCCAGCCGCGGCTTGCTGTCGCAAAGCGATGATGGGCGATTCCGAGTAACGGCGACGATCCTGATATCAGTCTGTCGGGAAAATATTGAGCACCCTGTCGCTTCGAAAATCGCATCGCCGCCGGGAAAATGAATTGTGCCGTGGCAAAATCAAAATGTTTTTCATTTCAGCGACTCTAGCGGCAAGTCAAAATTGAGCTCATTATTTTCCCGACAGACCGATATTCTGGGTTAAAAACTTGGCTGTCGCTGCCGTCTGCAAGATAAAGATTTTTTCTACGTTCTATATCAGTCTGTCGGGAAAATAATGAGCACCCTGTCGCTTCGAAAATCGCATCGCCGCCGAGAAAACGGGCTGTGTCGTGGCAAAGCCAAATTGCTTTGCAATTCAGCGACGCTAGCGGCAAATCGTCATTGAGCTCATTATTTTCCCGACAGACTGTTAAAATTGCAATATAGGCTCTAACATTGAACTAGATGGCTTGAAAAACGCGCTGGGCCTACTTTTTTTCCGGGCCGGTCTTCGGGCTCGAGCTTTGGATTTCGGCTCGAGGCCCGGTTCTCAAGCAAAATGAAAACTACCGTTGCAGCCGGGATGTGCAAATTTTGGGTCTTACAGGGTCAGGCCTTATATCGAAAACTTTTCGAAGAAGGCTGGAAAGCCCTACTTTCAAAAAAAAAAGAAAAAAACCCGGCCCGATTGCCTTTTCTGTTCATTTTATCAGTCTGTCGGGAAAATAATGATCATTCTTTTGCATCGAAAATCGCATCGCCGCTGACAAAATGAATTGTATCGCGGCAAAATCAATTTCAGCGACGCTAGCGACAAATCGACATTCCTCATTATTTTCCCGACAGACTGATAGTCGAAAATTACCTCTCGACCCCTTTGAAACGGCTTGTTATAAACAGTTTTGCTGTATGGGAGGTCGTTATACCCAGGTTCCATCGAATTTTATCTTTTTTCCAAGTCCCAGCCCAATTCCAACCGCTTTTATGCAAGCGGGTTTCGGGCGTTTCGGAAAGGGAAGCGAAAAAACGAAAACGGAGAGCGTCCGACCATAGCTCAGTTGGTAGAGCGGAGGACTGTAGTTCCAACGGAAATCCTTAGGTCGCTGGTTCGAATCCGGCTGGTCGGAATTTGTTTTTTGATGATTTTAAAGAGTCAAAAAGGAGAAAATAAGGCTGAAAAGTTTGTCGCAAAAGTTTTGCAACTTTAGTTTTCCTTATTTCAAGACAATTAAGAGCAATTTTTCTCATTTTTAGGCCAATTTTTATCTAAAAACTCAAAAATTTTTAGATTTTATGTGTTATTGATGTAAATTCGATTGCATTCCAGGTGCCATGCTTGGTGGTTTTTGGCCTCTGTCTCTTCATTCACTTGGCAATCTTCATTTATGGCTGTATTAACCTGGTTTGGTATGTAATGCTGTTCACATTCGTCATGTGCGTCCTCTACGTGGCGGCGATTGTTTTCACAATGCGCAAAATGAATACTCTCAGTATGATTACTGCGGGATGTGAGGTAAATTTTGAGATTTTTTAATTTTTCAAAAATAAAAAAATACCAAAAATTTGCATATTTAACAAGGAAAGTACTTTTATGGGGGCTCCTACTTTTTGACGGGACATATCTCAAAAAATCAGAAAAAATGTGCTGATCAAGGATATATAAATCTTAGCTGCCCATTTTAGGTTTTTAGGGGTGAAAACTCAGTCGGAAGTTGACTTAAAGTCCTATATGAACCCCTTTTCGCTTAATTTTTTCAAAGGTTTACAATTTTTATTTTGGCTTAAAATAGTGTTTATTGAGTTTCTAAGACGTAATAAGACAGTCTTGGCCCAAAAATTTATTTTTCCGACCTTCAACTTCAAAAAAGTTGATTCAGCCCAAAAGGGAAATCGAACCTGTGCGGCATCCCCCCTCTTGATTCCCAGACTACGGCACTAACCACTCGGCCACACCGCTCTCTTCCGAAGGAGGAGATCGAGTGCTCTTTTTATCGTTTCGAATGTCTGCCTTTTGTAGGGAAATTAAACCAGTTTTTGGGCATTTTCACCCTTAAAAACCTAAAATGGGCAGCTAAGATTTATATATCCTTGATCAGCGCATTTTTTCTGATTTTTTGAGATATGTCCCGTCAAAAAGTAGGAGCCCCCATAAAAGTACTTTCCTTGTAAAAAAAATTATTAAAATTTTTCAGACCCTAAAAAAATTTTTTGATGCTAAATTTTGAAATTTTTTTATATTCAAAAAAATTTTTTTTACCGAAAATTTGCATATTTAAAAAAGTTTTTTTTTCCAAAAATTTGCATAGTTCAAAAATTTTTTCAGGCACTAATGTTATTCCTACAAATAGTAGCTTTCATCCTGGTCATTGTAATAGTTGCGGGCAAACCAGTGGAGGGCATCGATATTGTCTATCAAATTTTCCCTCCGGGCGAGAACTACATCCCCAGTAAGTCTGATCGCTACCTGTATCGTCCTGATGCTTGTAAGTGTTTGCTTCATTAAAGGCCTTAAAAATAAGACAAAAAATTGCTTTTGCTTCACTTTACTTCGCTTTTTTTGAACTAAGCCTGTCGGGAAAATAATGTGGATTTGTCGCTGAAAAATTCCAAGGCGCGACAAATCCACATTATTTTCCCGACAGACGGAACTCACATTATTTTTCCGACAGACAGAATCCACATTATTTTCCCGACAGACGGAACTCACATTATTTTCCCGACAGACAAAATCCACATTATTTTCCCGACAGACGGATATTCCTTGGCCTTTGGCGCTTTCGCACTCTTTATCTGTCTGGCAAACTTTATCGCGTTGGCCGCTGCTAGAGAAATGTTTTGCAAAGTTCTTAGATCTTTATGTATAATATTATCATATTTTTCTTTGCAATTTTTCAAGTTTTTTACAGCCTACAACACCTTGGCGTGGGCGTTGTTCATCTGCATGCTACTGCTGATTGTCATCAACATTTTTGGATTGCTGGCCACCATTTACAATCTGGCTTATCGTCGGTACTACGAGGAAGATCAGATAGTGATAAGGGGTTGAGAAATTTCGAAATTCAGAATAAACAATAATTAATTTGTTGAATTTTTGGTCCCACCACGAAAACAACAAAATTTGCGATTGTCGTTTTTATTGATCGTGTACCTTCTGGAAACGCTATGTATGAGTGCAAAATACGCAAAAAACGTCTGAGTAGTTCTAAAAGCTTCTAAATTCTCCAGAAAGGGTGTAATAAATGAAAATGGTATTTTAATCACCATGATTTCTGTTTTTTGCGTCCCACCACGAAAACAATTAAACCTGGAAAATCGTTCTTTAAGCCTCACAAATTTACAAAAAAATATTTTAAATAGTTTAAAATATTTTCCCGTAAAAAAACGCAACATTTTCTTGTTCTTGGGTCCCACCACGAAAACAATCAAATTAGGAAAAACCCTCTAAAACCCCTCCAAACATTGGCTTTTCACCCCGTAACCTAAATTTACTCTCTAAAACTGCCATACAGTAGTATTTTACAACCATTTTTCATTAAAGTTCAAAGCGTCAGCCTCCCAAAATAACAAAAGTTGCAAAGTTTAAAGACAATTTCTACTTTCGACTCGAGTTCAAACACCTCCAAGACTACAGTTTTCAAGTTCAAACGTACATTCTGTTACTGTCACAACTACAATCATGCAGAGGAGCGGGGTGTCATGTGAGTGGCATCAAGTGAAACACAGCGCTGAAGCTTTAGAAACTGCGACATTTTCGGATGGAGTGTTGCACAAACTACATTGTATTCAGATGAAGCTTTAAAGGGCTGATGTGGGAGAAGAGTTCGGTTTTAGGTGGATTTTTGGACAATAATTGTGTATATATTGTATAATAGGTATTATTCGCGGCAAAAAGCCCTGAAGACTTGGGCTTTGCGGTTTTGGTGCGTTCCTGCGATAAGGTCGTAAAAAGAATGGCTTGTACAGAGTGTATGGGAGAATTCTAGCTAGTCCCTTGCAGAAACCACCGAGATTTTTTGGTCGAAGATTTGAAAAAATGGGAATTTTTTTTTTGCGAATTTTGGTATGAAAAGTTAGCTACTTATTTCTACTGTAAAGTGCCATGTTTCCACAAAAAATCAAATTTTTCCACGCAAAACTGCCAAAGATATGGCCTAAAAAGTGTTTTTTCTCTGACCGCTCTCCGCGTTTCGCGTACTCTCTCTAAAGATCGTTGAATATCTCGTCTCTCCCAGCAAGCCGTGAGCTGGAGCTTTGAGGAATTGATATATGGCCTATTCATGATGTGTGTGCAAAATTTGGAGAAAATCTGCCCTTAGGGCAGCTCCCCCTAAGATCATTTTTGCTGAGACGCGTGACATTTTGCTGAGACGAGCCGCCGTTATTTTCCCGACAGACTGATAGTATTATACATGTGTATATGAAAATACATAAAGACCATAATTGTTTTTGCCTCTTTACATATTACGGTACGATTCCAACTGCTCCTTCCTTATTGTTTTCCATCGTTCCTGAAAATGTCTGTAAAGACGGTCCCACGCTCTGAATGCCGCGTGAATCGTAAGTGCTAATTAACCTAATTAGCAGAACACTTTTGTGTTTCTGGCCAAAGAGCGGGAGCAATAACAAATTTTGGGGAAATTCGGCGAAATTTTGGGGGATTTTTTAGTTTGATTATGTTTTATCCGTCTAACTATAGCCTAGCTACAAGGGGATTTTTGCACGACCATTGACTCTCAAAGGTCACAAAAAAGTGCCGAGTTTAGGGAAATTTGAAAACGGACCGGTCCTACATCATCGCACCGGCGTTTCGGGGCTCTAGGCCTAAAATTCCGCGTCCCGACTTTTCGGGTCGATGACAGTTCGGGTCAGCGCAAAATCGATCCATCCGACACGTAAGGAATGATACCCTATTCGAGGACATCTCTATTCGCGGACACCCTTTTCGCGGACATTCCCAGTTCGCGGACACGCTGTTCGCGGACGCCCTATATGGAAGGGTGTGACGTCTTCTTTATTCCTCCGGTTTTTGTCGTTCACGGCACGGCAGTAGGCACAGACGTATCGTAGAATTCCCTTTCTATCAGCTTTTCCACCATTGGTTAATGCTTACACCAAACCATCGTCGTCTGGATGGGGCGCCGAAAACCTCGTATACGTCCCTCGACGTTGCGACGGCAATGCAAAAGGCTTGAACGAGGCTTCTTCATCAGGGTTAGTGATATCCATTGTACAGCGTTGGTAACAAAATACACGCAGAAATAAGAAATAATTAGACGGAAATACTTGGGCGTCCGCGAATGGGGAAACCCGTGTCCGCGAGTTGGGAGTCCGCGAATAGAGATGTCCGCGAAGTGTCCGACACGCCACGTAAGGCAAGTGGATACCCAAATAAACGTTGTGGGAAATGCATACGAGGCCTGGTGAAGCCGTTGGATGCTCGGCGAAGGCTCGGCGAAGGCTCGGCGAAGTCTCGGCGGAGGCTTTCAAAAGCAATTTTTCTAATTTTAGCTCTTATTAACATTAGTTTTCTTTGCCCTGAGTTATTGCAACATATAAAAGACCAAAATTTGCGGCAATAAACAAAGATCCGTAACTTTCATCTAGATATTATTAATGTGAGTACATGTAAAATAGTGCCTCAAATAGGTGATAAGCTATCCTAGAACCCGATCAATCTTATTATTTCTACCAACTAAGCCTTCTCCTAGCCTCCTCCATGCACGACGAACCTGCGGGTTATGGTCAAACATGAAATTAAGAAATAATTGTGGGGGTTTGCGAACTGTAACAAGGTTACAATTACTCATTCCTGTCGTGTAATTGCAAATTAAGTGTCAATGGCAAAAATAAAAAATATTTTTGCCGACTTTTCCTACACAGACTGGCTGTATGTTGTCGAAAACTTAGGAAAGCTCCCCATAAAGATTTCATTTTTCGGTCGAAAATTGGTGAAAATGTGAATTTTTTTTTTGAATTTTTGGGATGAAAATATTTACACCTATTTCTACCAAAGAGTGAAATATTTCCACAAAAAATCGATTTTTTTCACGCAAAACTGGCAAAGATACGGCCAAAAAGTGATTTTTCTCTGACCGCTCTCCACCTTTCGCGTACTCTCTCGGCCAAAAACGTTGATATCTCGGCTCTCCCTGCAAAGCGTGAGTTAAGATTTTGAGGGATTGATATGTGGTCGATGTGTATCGTATGTTCAAAATCGAAAGAAAATCCGAGTGCCGTGGAGCTACTTATTTAATAAAATATTTTTGATTTTATTTTTTCAGCGTATGAATGAATCTGTTTCAAACGGCCGGCCTGGTTGTTTGCATCACCTCGATTTGTTGTTTTAGTTTCAATTTGTTCGTTTCTCGTGGGATTTTTCGACTGACCAAGCAGAATCCAATGTTCTACCTCATTTTGAGCCAGGTAATTAAAATTTTCGGTAAAAGTTCCTTATTTTGGCGACAACTTATAACTTTGCGGAAACTGGTCGGAATTAGCCCAAATTTAGCGTGCACGCTCAATTCATCGTTGTCAATGCCCGGACAGTGGATTTAGTTAGTGAGGTACCTTCTTTTTTACGTACCACCTTACCCTTCAAAAACGGCTGCAGCCTGTGATTTTACACTTTATACGATGAAACATGTCCGGAACTAAACTTATTGCCTCCGTATGGAACTAAATGAGCCTTCGTGGGTACCCTTAAAACTATAAAGCTATTATAGTAATTCAGTGCCAGCTAGGTCGAAGCGTTTTTTCCTAACTTTAGTGCCCAAGCTTGGGCGCAGTTCGCGGAGTACCTTTGTTGTGGCCAAAATAAGGAACTTCTTCCAAAATGTTTTTTTAAATCCCGTTTTCCAATTTTTTTTCAAAATATCTCATTTTTTCAAAAAAAATCTTTTTCAAAAAATTTAACTTTTCCCAAAAATTTTTTTTTCAAAAAAATTGGATTTTTTCAAAAAAAATTTTTTTTTCAAAAAAATCCGTTTTTCAAAAAAAATTTCAAGAAATCTCATTTTTCCATATTTTTTAAAATTTTCAGATAGTGTGCGACTGTTGGGGACTCTCCCAAACCTTTCTTCTAGCCCTCGAAACCTTCATCGCCTACAAGATCCCCGTTTCGAACAAGCTGAGTGCCTTGGGCAGTCGGATTGGATTGTACACGATATGCATGCATCACATGATAATTGGCGTTAATCGAGTGCATTCCATTGTTTTGCCGCATCAATACAAAAATTTTTGGACCATTTTGTAGGTCTATTTTTGTTTGTAAATTCAAGAAAATTCAAAATTTCAAAAAAAAAAAAATTGCCCAAAAAATCGGGAATTTTTACATACAGAGATCTTGCCATAGGTCAACAATATTTCTACAAAAAATCAAACTTCTCCTAACAAAATTCGCAAAGATACGGCCAAAAAAAAGAATTTTCTCTGACCGCTCTCCTCATTTTCCATAGTCTCTCGTCCCCAAAGATCGTTGAATTTCTCGGCTCTCCTTGCAAATCACGGACTAAAATTTTCAGCGATTGATATGAGGCCTGTTTATAGTCTATACACAAAATTTCACGAAAATCTTACAGTTGCAGTTAGAGGAATGACATTATTTTAGTTGATCAGGCCTTGAAATTTTTAATTTCTATTTTTTCCATATTTTCTGGCAAATACTAAAAATTCTTTTTTCACTGTAAATTCAGAGGGCTAGAATTTTCATTTTTAACAAGTTACCATCAAATTTTCAGAACAAGTAAAATCACTATCGTCATTTTATGGACTTGCTCACTGACCATAAGTTCGGTAACAATTTACGCCGTCGACGTCTCCGAAGACGACATTCTTGGCCATTGTATCGAGCGTATGTCCTATTGTGTCCCCGATCCTACATCGGCGGGGTATCGACTGGAAATCAAGATTAATTTGTGTTATTATGGGACCACCTTATCCTTGGCGTTTCTATTTTACATTCTCGCGCTGATAAAAATGCTAGTGGACAAATGCGCAAACAGTAAGTGATTTAAAAAGTAATTTAATGCGATTTATCATCAAAACTTGATTTTTACAATTTTTGAGATTTCCAAAAAATTCGTCATCATGACGTCATTTTCTATGGAAATGACGTCATCGCAAGTAGAAAATTTTTTCATAGCTTAGAAATGACTTCTTAGAAAATCTCCGCCAAAATTTTCATCGATTTATGTTTCTAAAATGTTGTCATCATGACGGAATTTCTGGAATTTTTGCAAAATCCTACTATCCTCGAATTTGTGTGATATTAAACTGAGTTTTTGATACAATGAGCTTTCATAAATGTATTTATAACCCTGTGTATTCAAAAATTTTCATTTTGTAGCACTATTTCACTACTTATTACAATAATTGTATTTTAGTGCAAAAACGCCATACGAAAATGTTCTTCGCCCCCAATTGGCAATGGAACATGCATGTACGCTTGTGCTTCATCTGTTTTCTGACCCTTCTGCCTATGTTCCTCTACATGTATGTCCTGTTTTTCCTGCGCCCCGCCACTCCGGTTACCGTACTCTTGGCCCGATGGCTGGACAATTTTAACGACTCTGTGAACGCAACCCTATTGTTTCTGTTCAGCAAAAGGGTTCGGAGGTCAGTGTGGAAATCGCGAACATCCACTAGCCATGTTATGACGGTCGTCAGCTCGAGCAAACAAAAGACGCCACAATAAAAAGATATTAGACACCATGGATAATACAACTCGCAAAATTATCGTAAAATTTATGGACAAAAGCAATAATTGTCGAAATAAATGCTCTTTGACACTTCAAATTTCGTTATTAAATCCAGTTTTACTCGAATTTCCGAGCAAATCAGTTGTGGCATTTCGTCCAAACGAAGTGTCAATGTATTTCTTGACATTTCGTCCAAACGAAATGTCAAGAAATATTTCGCGCCCAAAAAATTTCTTTTTTCTTGCGAAATTGTATTGTTGAGTTTGTACTAACTGTAGAAACAGTAAATAATTAGAATGGAGCCGTCTAGAGCCAAAATGCGGCGATTACAATCATCCGTGGAGGGAAATCCATCGTTGTCCAGAGAATTGAGCGCTTCTGAAGCTGCGTTGTACGATAGACAAATCCGTTTGTGGGGGCTAGAAGCTCAGAACAGGTAAGAGGTTGCGCTTTACTTTATTTCTTGGTTTAGGACACTTGAAAAATAAATGGAAGGACTTTTCGATATTACCCATGAGGTTGGCTAAAAAGTTAAATTTTTGGAAAACTTACACTTCTTTCTGATGCCTTTTACTTTTGAGCCTATTTTACATGGCGTATTTTATCTTTTTTTGTCTGCTTTTCTCTGTGAAACAGTCTTTTCACAAAGACAATTCAAAATTGTATTGTACTAGACATTTTTTTCACGGAATTGCTCATAAATGGTTTTGTTCTTTCAGAATCCGAGACTCTGCTGTTTTGATCGTTGGCATGGGTGGTCTTGGGGCTGAAGTCGCGAAAAATTTGATCTTAGCCGGTCCAAAATCTGTTACTTTACTTGATGAGAAAGACATCACTGGAGACGACTCGTTAGCTCAATTTATGATGCCAAGTCAGCTTCCAGAGAAAGCAAATGTAAGTCACAGTTTGACTGTTGCTTTTTCCCGAGTTTAGACTGCATTTGACATGGAGTAGAATTAATTTTCTCATGGATAATATAATTTTTAGCGTGCTGAAGTCTCGCTCGAGTTTTGCAAGAAGCTAAATCCACTGGTTGATCTTTCCGTTGTAACTACACCTTTGTCAGACCAGCCTCGAAGTTTCTACAAGAAATTTGATCTTATTTTGTGCTTGGATCAGGACTTTGTGGTCACTTCGGAAGCCAGTTTGATCTGCAGGCAAGAAGGGATTGCATTCATTGCCGGCTCGGTATTTGGCTGGGCTGGGTATGGTTTTATGGATTTTACCGGCAGAGGGTTCATGGTGTAAGTTTTCTTCCATTTTTGCTTTGATTTCGACTTTTAGAAGCAAGAAGAAGGAGATCGAGATGGCCGAGCTGGAAGTGGATTTGAACGATGAAAATGAAACGGAAGAGTCGGCAGACAACACCAAAAAGGTGGCAGTTGTCACGTTGGAGTCTGAGGAAGAGGAGAAGACCATGATGGTGGGAGATTTATTCAATTTTCGACATTATCCATCATGGAGAATATAAAAATTTGATTTTTTTGCTTTTAGCTTTTCCCATTTCCAACTTTTTCGGATGCCTTCGATGTGAATACGAAGACCCTTTCTCGAAGACTTCGGAATACCGTTCCGAGATCGTTTTTCTTGATCAAAAGTAAGGCTATATTGGACTTGAGTACTTGATTTTTAGCTCTCTTGAAATTCAACGGCTTTGAAGATGAAGCTTTGGAATTGGAGTACCGAAAGCAACTTGAAACTTTTAGCCACTACAACGCCAGCGATGAGAATATCTTCACCGAATTTAGATTGTAAGCGCAATTTATATTCCACTTGATGTGTTGCCTAAAATAAGGTAATTTTTTGTTAATATTTGATGTTTTAGGTTCACTGGCCCTCAACTAGGAGCTTCCTGTGCTATTATTGGTGGTTTGCTCTCTCAAGAAGCCATCAAAGCCATGTCCTTGCAAGGCGAACCTTTCCGAAATGTCCTTGTTTACACCCCTCTGGATTCGGCATTTGTCTTTCTGATGCCTCCCAAGTAATCTCATCTGTTTTTTTGCAAGATTTAACAGGTATTACGATCTTAATTTAACGTTTTCAATAGTATTTTTTTTTTGTGAATGTAACTTATACAGCCTGAAGATTAAAATCTTCTCGATTTCTCCTTCAGAGCAGTAATTTTAAGGGGAAAAATACAGTGAAGGTGTTGTAAACAACTTTAAGATAATTTTGAAACAACGAAAACAATATTTTTTATGATGAAATTGGGTCAAAATGAAGTTTAAAATATCATGAGCAATATAATTTTTGGATTGAAAAGCTGAAAAATTTTGTGTAAATGGTCTAAAATGCTGTTGAAAGTAATTTTCAACCGTTTTTCCTAGCAATGCGGCAAAACATTAGTGTTTTTTGTTAGTTTTTTTTGTTTTGATTGTATTGTGCTAAACCCAGCAAAGAAATCGGAACGATTTATTCCAAAGTCACAAATATAATTATAAGAGTGCATACATGTCGACAATTTGAAGGAGAGGAGAGTGTAATTTAATTGGAGATTTGGCCTAACCGAGGACTTGAGATCCCAACTCGGCTCCAAGAACGGCGCCAATCGCGGCTCTGAAATGAAAGAAAATTGTAAAAATAATAATGAAAGTTGAGAAATATAAAGGTGAACTCAAAGGTCTAGAAGGAGATCAACGGGACCTGAATTTGATATCAAGCGGTATTGCTGAGACATAAAGGATTGCCGGCTTTGAAGAGGGAAATCTTATAACTTGAATCGATGACCTTCTGCCTCGAAAAATGTCTCAAAAGAAGTCCAAAGTTTTCGGGACATCTTTTGAGTCATTTTTCGTGTTGCGGAAGGTCGCCAACACTCCCCTCTCAAAATCGGCGGTCTTTTCATGTCTCTGCAATACGTTTTTGATCAAATTCAGGTCCCGTTGATCTTTTTTTTTGATCGTTCTGTTGACCGATGAAGGTCGGCCTCCGAATCATGCCGGGCGGATTCTTTGCGGCGAAAGGGTCAAAAACGAGATTAATGAGGCCTCGAATTTGATATCAATGGTCGAAAATGAAATTAAGGTAACCTCAAACTTAACCATTTCGTATCAGTCGGGAAAATAATGAGCACAATGCCGCATTGAAAGTCGCACCGCCGCAAGAAAATGAGTGGCGAAAATCAATTGGGTTTTTCACTCCGGCGACGTGATTTTCGATGCGGCATCGTGCTCATTATTTTCTGTACGGACTGATACGAAATGGTCAAGTTTGAGGTTGTCTTAACTTCATTTTCGACCATTGATATCAAATTCGAGGCCTCCTCAATTTCATTTTCGACCACCTTGCCAACTAGAACTAGTGAAATCAAAACTTACCCAGGATTGATTGGTGGATATCCTCCGCCGTATCCTCCGTATCCACCATATGGATAGCCGTACGGACTACCGTAACCGTAGCCCCATTGCGCCGAAGCGACGGCAACTAATAAAAGGAGAACGATGAAAAATTTCATTTTTGCCCTTCGGACCCTTCCGTTTCGTTTCCTTTATATAAGAATTGATGTCATAATCAAAATCAAGGTCACATACTGTTGATTTGTTGGGTGGAAGCGCTGCTTCTAGAACGCCGCAAGGGGCGGTGATTGACCGAATTCGGCGAAAGACAAAGTTCGAAAATGAGGTGACGTACGAAAAGTTAGTTTTTAACAAGTTTTAGACGACTCACTGCGTAAATTGTTGTTTGACGAAAAAGATTTTGAAAAATTAACAAGTCTTGGCGTAAGAATGTTGCTATAATGCTAGGTAGGTTGAAAATGAGTAGATTGGCAGTATTTTTATACGTTTTCGGACCAGTTTGTAAAATGATGCAACCCGGTCTCCGAAATCAGGTTGATTTTGTGATGAAAAAGCTATAAAAATCGTTTCCATGAGTTTATTTATGATATGTTGTCGATCAGGGGCAAGAAATAGCAGGTTCGATAGAATAGTAAGGACTCGTATGCTGGGTCAGTGTTTTGTTTCCTAAGGGTGGGCTGGAAGAACTTTTCCACGACATTCGCCGAAACCCACGCGAACGCCATCCTTCTCGCAGTAGCCTGAAAAATGGTAAATTAGAAAATAGCTTCTGGAACTATGCGATTCTAGAGATAAAAATTTTGAAAACAGATCGAACAGACTTCATATTTGGTATCAAAAAGTATCACGGAGGTGTAAAAAGACTGCTGGTTTTGAAGAGAGAACAGCTTTCTCTTTTTTGCCGATCTTTTGTTACTCAAAAAAGCGTCTTGAAAGGTATCTTAGAAATTATCTCTGTAGGATACCTTTTGAGACTTTTTTTTGAGTATCCAAAGATTGGCAAAGAAGAGAAAGCTGTTCTCTCTTCAAAAACAACAGTCTTTTTACACCTCCTTGATACTTTTTGATTACAAATTCGAGGTCTTTTTGATCTACTATCTACTTTGGCATTTTTGTCGATTAGAGCCATAAAAGTTTAACCCAGTAATGAGGACTTACCAGTCATGACAACCTGATCTCCATCCTGCAAGAACTTTCTTTGCTGCTCTCCCACTTGAATCCACTTGCTTCCACGCCAACTCAACTCCAACATGGAGCCGTATTCGTTGTCCTCGGGGCCGGAAATGGTTCCCGAAGCCAACAAATCCCCGGGGTTCACATTACATCCATTCACGGTGTGATGCGCCAACTGCTGCTTCAACGTCCAGTAATGATGACGTAACGAAGTTTTCGAGACAGCATGGGCTGTGCTCGAATCTTTGGGCTGAATCGCCACTTGCAGCTTGATATCGAAACTGTAGGGATCGCTATGTCGCAGATATTCGAGTGGAGTTGGCTCTTGTTTAGGGTTGTCGACCAAGAATGGTTTTAACGCCTCCATGGTAACAACCCAAGGACTGATTGTTGTGCCGAAGGACTTGCCTAGGAAAGGCCCTAGCGGGATGTATTCCCATTTTTGGATGTCTCGCGCACTCCAGTCGTTCATTATGACCATTCCGAAAATGTGATCCTCGGTTTTCTCGATGGGAATGGTTTCGCCAAGCTCGGTGGGTCTTCCGCCCACAAAAAATGCCATTTCCAACTCGTAGTCGAGCAATTTGGAAGGACCATAGGTGGGCGAGGACTCTGAAAAAAAATTATTTTTGGGAAAATCTCTTCCAGATTTTGAAAGAATGAGTGTTTAGAAATGAGACTTACCAGTATCAGCCTTGGTTTGTCCTTTTGGCCGTCGAATGTCCGTGCCAGAAACGACAACACTTGAGGCTCGGCCATGATAAGCGATTGGGATGTGTCTCCTAAAAAGTGGTGGTAAAAATTGGCATTTCAAGGGCGTTACTCTGTTAGAGTCGACAAAACAATCGAAAAAGAGATCAAAGCGACTCGAATTTGGTGTCAAAGGGTGTCACAGATAAATAAAGGACTGTTGATTTTGGAAAGAGGGCAGTTTCTTGCTCTCTTCAAAATCAACAGTCCTTTTATGTCTCTGTGATACCTTTTGATACCAAATTCGAGTCTTTTTGATCTCTTTTTCCACTTTTTTATCTGCTGAAAATAGTGGGCAGTGTCGTTGTTCAGATAACGAAAGCCTTACCAATTTTCACAAAGCGCGTTGTCCTTTCCGCGGAACAGTGTTCCAACATTGAAGGCGTGATAATAAGAAGAGTAGAAGTCGGTGTAATCTCCAATCTTGGCTGGCAGATGCATTTGAGCATCCGATTGTTTGACAAAAGCCTTTGAAACCAAAGGCTGGTCATTTTGAAGAGTTGGGTTACTCTTCGACAACAATTTTTGGATCGTCTCGCGGGCTTCAATCCAAGCAGCTCGAGGCAAGGCCATGAAGGAGTTTAGGGTCTCCTAAATTGATGAGTTTAATGTCAATTTAGTCTCTGCTAGTCCGTCTAGAAACTTGTTGGAGTGATTTCTGCGACATGCACATTGCGAAAACAAAGGTTTACTTTGGATTGTGCAATTTCGGGCTTTTGGCACCGTGCAATAGGCTTTTTTGGGCTGTCTCTTGCACTCTGACTTTTTTTGCACTCTCCAAACGCCAAAAATCAGTCCAGCGACTTTCCGGACGGACGGACTAGTATAAAATGCACAAAGTTTCATACTAGCCCGTCCGAGGACTCATTTTTGACGTTTGGATTGTGCAAAGAAGCTCAGGGCGCGAGCGACAGTCCAAAACAGCCGTTTGCACGGTGAAAAAACCAAGAAATTGCACAGTACAAAGTGAAACTTTGTTTTCTCACAATTCATGTTGCAAAAATCGCTCCAGCGAGGCCACGAAGGGACTAGTGTAAAGTGGACAAAGGTTTATATTAGGTTGATTCAAAAGTTTTTCCACATTTTTTTGAGACACTTCAAAATAAAATTTCTGGAGCCTGATTGAATGTATGTTAAAACTGAAAGCATAGATGTATGGGGCAGAATATTGCAAAATTTTTGATTCGTAGCATTTTATTTTCTACAAGCTTCCTTTCAGAATATTTCAAAAATACTAAAAATTTCTTCGTTTGTGTCATGGTGAATATCCCGGTCCCTAGCAATTTTCCAGCCCACTAAAAAGTCTCGGGTTTTGGGTTATTCGTACTTGGGATGGCTGTAGTTTCTTCTGAATTTATTGCTCTACTTATATCTACACTGACTTTTTTTGTAGCATCCTATAAAGTTGGCCGGAGAGCCGAGCTACCGATCTAAAGCAGATTTTTAAAAATTTTTTGAAAGGAGTTAGATTTTTTTGACTCGGCTGCTATTCAGGTTGTACAAAGACAGTATGCTGATGATACATTCAAAAAGTCACCAACTGAAATTGCCTTATAAGGTAGAAAAGTAGCATGAACTGCACTTTTAGGCGAATTTTTGTATTTTTTTTACTGGTATGGCAAGAGGACCTTCAGCTTAGCGCGTCTAGCAACTGATAGTGTATGTCAAGTAGGATCAACTATTTATTAAATAACTAGGATACCGGGCGAGAGTAATGAACAGAAAACGTTTTTGTAAAAATCCCCTAAATTTCGTAAAATATTGGTAGATTAGAAAGATTCGATTTTTCTGCCGCATAGCTAAAGCTAGCGCGAATGTTTAGCGTTAGCGTTGTAGTGCTACTCATACACTACAATAACAGAAAGCGTTATCTCTTAGTGCTTCTAATAGCTGCGTCTACAGGGTCTACTTTTGCCAGACCCTAATTTTTGATTTTTCGCACTAAAAATTTTTCGACTAGCCCTATAGCAAATTGTCCTCGATGCCATAGAGATTACATACAGGCATACCATATTCTAGAATATTAAGAAGATACAGCCACTCTAGACGTAACGCCGGCGGTTTACTTTTTCTTCCTTCGAGTAGTTAAGGTTTAACACGGCGCTACTACTACAAATTGCTGAGTTGTAAAAAGTTATTAATCTACTATAATCTACAAACAGCCCTCTTTCTAAAAAGATATATACCAGGCCCACTGGCTTTGGTCTAAATTTTTTAAAATTTTTTAAAGACATGTGGAAAAACTTTTGAATCAACCTAATACAAATCAAGTAATCGGCTTACCTCAGCAAACACATCTTGATGAGTCTTCAGTTCGGGCCCGGTGAAAAGATGCTTAACGGCGGACAAATCCAAGATTTGCTCGCCAATTGCAACGCCAATCCTCTTCTTTGGCTGAAATTGGAATGTAGGGCGTGGAACAGAATGTTTTTTGTACAAATTCTGTTAGTCACTTACATTGTCCTTGGTTGAGAACACACCATAAGGCAGATTGTGAATGGTGAAATCGGATCCTTCGGGAACCTCGATGAACGTCATGATTTGTCTGAAAAACATAAAAATGGCTTGAGTAGGAAAGTTCAAGGTTAGTTTCTGCAAAACGCGAGATAAAAAATTACATGGATGACGCAGAAAATGCTAGCGCGCTATAGCTTTGTTTTGTGTGCAAAATTTCCCTAAAATCTGATCGCTGTCTTGCGGGAATTTTGTCTGAAAATTTTTGAACGCATTTTTTCTGCAAAATTTTGCGAAATTTTTTGCAAAAAAACAGCGGTGTCCCAAATGAAACGCTCAAATTTTCTTCAAATTTTGCACACACGCCCAGCAAAGAACATACATCAATTCGTGAAAGTTTTAGCTCGAGCTTTTCAAGGAGAGCCGAGATATTCAACGACCTTCGTGGCCGAGAGAGCACGCGAAATGCGGAGAGCGGTCAGAGAGACAACAACTTTTTCTCCGTATCTTTGCCAGTTTTGTGTGGAAAAAAATTGATTTTTTGTGGAAACATTACTCTCTGTGGTAGAAATAGGCATGAAATTTTGTATGCCAAAATTCGCAAAAAAAGTGTATAAACTTATCCAACTTTCAACCTAAAAATCTCAGTCGTTTCTGCAAAACGCGAGCTAGAAATCTCTCATATGTCTTACAAATAGTCAGACTAAATTTATGCCAAGTTTCATCAAAATCTGAGCATCACTCTTTGAGCACTTTCCCTGCAAAAAATCGTCTTTAAATTGACAGTTAAGAGCATTCAGCCTTTTCCATATCAGTCTGCCAAAAAATTTTTGTTTATATAACGTCTTTGAAACATTTTAATCCGCATCACAAGTCGAACTGGGTTCAAAAAGCCTCTGCACAGTGATATTTTCGCCCTCTTATCTAGAGAACCATAAGTCGAATTTTTGGGAGATTAATGAAACAAGAAAACAAACGAAAAATACTAAAGTTTATCAGCTGCAGACATGGAAAAGCAAATAAAAAAAGCGAAAGGGAAACAGTCTTTTTTCTAGAATGACCTTCCACCTCTCTTTTTGGGCTGTTTTTTAGAGCGCGCAGCGATTTCTGGGTCTATTTCTTTGATAATAGTGGGTTGCGCAATAGTTCAGAGGCCAATTGGTTTACAATAAGCGAGAGATTTTGATCGGAGGGATTGTCGATGAAACAATTACACTGTATTTTATGATAAGAAACTGCAAAAAAGCCGATTAGAAGGGGAAATAAAAATGAGGGGACGCTTTTTACTATCAATTTTCGCTTTGAAACTGCTCGGATTTGGATGAAACTTGGCAGAAATTTAGTTTGACTATTTGTAAGACGTATGAGAGATTTCTAGCTCGCGTTTTGCAGAAACGACCAAGATTTTCAGACCGAAAATTGAGAAAAATGTGACACGTTTTTTTGCGAATTTTGACATGAAAAGCTTCATGCCTATTTCTACCATAGAGAGTAATGTTTCCACAAAAAATCAATTTTTTCCGCGCGAAACTGGCAAACATACGGCCAAAGAGCGAGTTTCTCTCTGACCGTTGTTCGCGTTTCACGTACTCTCTCGGCCGCAAAGATCGTTGAATATCTCGGCTCCCACTGTAAAGCGCGAACTAAAACTTTCAGAAATTGATATCTGGTCTGTGCCTAGCGTATGTGCAAAGTTTAAAGAAAATGTGAGCGTCGCACGTCAAACTGAGATAAGCTAAAGCAGTCCGGTGAATGGATTGGTAATTTGCCAAAAAAAGACGCGAAAAAACGTTTTGTCGGGGGAGAAATGGGGAATTTTTGGGGCGAAAGAGTACGTTTTTGTGTGTCTTTTTTCTCTCTTTCTCTGCGAAATAGACGAAGTGTAAAAAACCGATAGCGAAGAGTCTATTCCGGTCACCGGACTCCTCACTTTTACGTGCGTCGCACTTGAGGTACTTCTCTTGTCAACCGATTCACAATTCGACTCTTATGACCAGTCAAAAAGCTATCTTTTCTCTGTCCGCGGTTCGCGTACTTTCTCGGCCGCAAACATCGTTGAAAATCTCGGCTCTCACTGCAAAGCGCGAGCTAAAACTTTCAGGAATTGCTGTGGCCTAGCTGCAAGCTGGACAGACAAAAAATCGCGACAAATCCACATTATTTTCCCGACAGACTGATCTAACAAAACTTGTAAAACTTTTCCAACATTAACATCAAAAAATTTGGTCCCGGCACGAATACAATCCAAAAAATCAAATAAAAAATTCACAAAAAATTTGCATAATTCCGACGAAATTTCACACCTCCAACTTGCCGCCAAAATTCGCTTCATTTGTTCCATTTTGCTGACGTTCAGTGGTCGAGTTTCATCCGCCATCCGCGAATCGAACTGCAGTCATGAGCAACACGCCGAATCAAAAGAAGAATGAAAAGCCGTTCCCCGGCTTCATGAAGAACCTCCGAAAGTTGAAGAACAAGATCCGCGGCTCCCAGGACGACCTCAAGGAGAGTGAGGAACGCAAGGTAGGCGATGATGAAAAAATTACAAAAATATGGTCAAAATTCATTGGGTTTGTTGATTCAGAGTTTGAAAGAGCATTTGGGAGATTTTTTCGAATTTTCAAGTTTTCGTGTCGGGACTCAGAAATTTTATTTTCTAGCGGAATTTGGCAAAGGGACTCAAGATTTATCACAAGCCACATTTACAACAAAGAATTTGAGTTTATAAGCTCTCTTGGAAGATTTTTTCGGATTTTCAAGTTTTCGCTTTGGGACCAGAAAAAATTGTTTAGGACAATATTTTTTTCGACATCTCTTCTTTAGCCGGAGCCTCAGAAATCGGGACTAAAGAAGAAGAATGTCAAGCAGCGGCAAGCACGGACCGTGTCCGCAACCCCGCCGGCCAACAGCCGCTACGACCAAAGGAGGGAAAGAGAGAAGGAAGAGGAAAGGAAAAGAGAAAACAGGAAAGAGAAAGAAAAAGAGAAGGAAAATATTCAACAGTCCAAAATAAACAAAAAAACTAAAATTGCGTAAGTTTAAGTACGGAAATGGGTGAAAAGTTTTCGGACATCAAATGATGTCATGTGTAATATAAATTTTGCGTGAGAATTTGAATGAATTGTGCAAGATGGCTTAAAAACAGCGACTACAGCTTTGCAATTGTTATTTGGACTTTTTGGAGCCGTTTTAGCAGCTTGTTGCATAATGCCACAATTGGCGGGAAATTCGAAAATTTGAATTTTTAACAAGATTTTGATTGCAAAAGGGATAAAATGAGATAAATACGATATAATAAGGCATTTACCGGTTACAATGATGGTTTTAAAAGTATTTTGGCACCTGAAACAGAATGCCAAACTTGGCGGGAAATTCGAAAATTTGAATTTCAAACCAGATTTGGTAGATTACAATGTATTTTGGTCATTTCTGAGGCGTTGTGGACCTTTACTTAACTTGGTAACCCATAAAACATGACGCCAAATTTGCCGGGAATTTAAAAATTCGAATTTTCAAACCCCGCTTTCAGCAGGAAGAAGGTGGCGGAGACCCCGAAAGAGGTTCCGGAGACCGTCACCGACAAGTTTAATTTCATTGGGGGCATGCTGGCGAAAGAGGTGAGCGGAATCCGCAAAGAATTCAACGACTTCAAGGCCGAAGATCGACTCAGATTCCCGGTGGCCACAGTGTGTCAGGAACTAGAAAATTTGCCGAAAAATCGATACAAGGTGAGATTTTTTTCGATTTGGAGTGCTTCTGAGACAATTGGGAGTGCTTTTGACACGATTTGGAAGCTTTTTATAGAATTGAAGTTTTCGTGTCGGGACAAAAAAATTTTTTTTGAAGTGTGGTGGATTTTGAAGATACTTGGGGAAAATTGAGAGAAGAGTTTTTTAAGAGTTATTTCCAATTTTCAGCTCGTAATTTGCATAGATCATCGAGATTTTTGATGGAAAAAAATTGAAAAACTTCAAATTTTTTTGCGATTTTTGGACCGGAAAATTGGTGTTTTGTTTGACGTGGTGAGTACAATGTCTCTGCAAAAAATTATTTTTTTTTCCGATATAATTCGAAAAGATATAGCAAAAAAAGTATTTTTGACTCTCCTCATTTTCCATAGTCTCTCGTTGAGAAAATTGTTGGATTTCTCGGCTCCCTGAGAAAACTACGTCCTAAAACTTTTAGAAATCAGTAGTTGACCCGTTGAGACTCACTCTGCAAAATTTCAAGTCATTGGAGGCAGTTGGGATACTGTAATTTGCACTTTTTTCCAGAACATTCTCTGTCTGGACGCGTCGCGCGTCAGACTGTCGGATGGGGGCTACTATCACGCGAATGCGGTGGATTCGCGTTTTATTCTGGCGCAGTCGCCGTTGCCCAACACTGTGGAGCATTTTTGGGACCTGGTTCAGGCGGAAGCTGTCGAGGCGGTCAGTTTATATTGTTTTAGTCATCAATTTTGAAGTTTTTTTAAAAAATTAGATTTTTTGGATTTTTTTTTTAATTTTCAGATTGTCCAATTGTATCCATGTGATGATGGAAAGCGATGCGCTAAATATTATCCGCCGCAAGTTGGAGAAAGCGCCGATTTTGGGGCTTTTAAGGTCATGAATTCTAAGGTAGGTAAAATAGATTGCTCCTGCCGAAATAAAGCTTATTTTTTTGTAAAATTTGGCGAGTTACTGACAAAAAATCTCATTTTTTAGATCGACCCCAGCCCTGTGGACGAGCCCACCCTCCTTTTCAGCCATCTCAAAGTTCAAGGCCCTAAGGGCGAGATGAAAATCAAGCATGTGTTCTGGTCCGGCTTCCCTCCAACCGGCTTCCCCGAGCCTTCGAACACAATCCCGTACATTTGGAAGGAAATCAAGGGCTTCAAGAAGGTCCTGGTCCATTGCAGCTCGGGCGCAGGTCGCAGCGCGGTGGTGGTGCTGACCTGCCAAATGCTCGAACGAATCCATCAGACGGTGGAGATGGATGCGATAAAAATGTTGAAGGAGCTCCGAGAGAAGCGTCATTGCGCCATCCGCAATGAAATGGTGGGTTTGGAGGGGAGTGGTGACATTGGTTTATGTTGTACTTGGGAGCTGATGGGAAAAGTGGGATATTGGCTGGATTTCATTCTTAAAATGTCTCCATGGTTTACTGAATAAAAATACAGTAATCTGAGATCATGATATAGCGGTTTTCGTCATCAAAAAATCGATTTTTTAAGCTGATATGACCTTATATTACTTTAGGCATCAGTTGATGGAAAAAGTGGAATATTAGCTGGATTTAATTCTTAAAATGTCACCAGGGTTTACTGAATAAAAATACAGTAATCTGAGATCATGATGTAGCGGTTTTAGTCATTAAAAAATCGATTTTTTAAGCCGATATGACCTGATATTACTTTAAGCATCACCTGATGGGAAAAGTGGAATATTGGCAAAATTGGGTTCTAATTAACTTTTGAGCATACTAGTTATAAAGAATATTTAACAATGAGGCTAATAGACGAATTTTTAAACGAATTGTTGTCATTTTTTGGTCGATATTACCTTATATTACTTTAGGTACCGGCTGGTGGCAAAAGTCGAGTATTGGTCAAATAAGATAGTAAACTGATGTCTATGTAGTCTATATGCAAAAAATAATTGTTAGGAAACTTTAATATGCCTATTTTTTGGGTGCTGAGGACGTTTTTAGGTCGATATGACCTTATATTACTTTAGTCATCAGCTGGATGGAAAGTGGAATATTGACCAAAATAGGTGGTGAATTGATGTCTAGACAGATGGAAGGTAAAGTGTATGCTATAGGAAGCGTAAAACCACTTGATTTTGAACAAATGGCTATCATGTTTGGGTTGATTTTACCTTATACTACTTTAGTTATCAGCTGATGGGAAAAGTGGAATATTAGCTGGATTTCATTCTTAAAATGTCTCCATGGTTAACTGAATAAAAATACAGTAATCTGAGATCATGATATAGCAGTTTTAGTCATTAAAAATCGATTTTTTAAGCCGATATGACCTTATATTACTTTAGGCATCAGCTGATGGGAAAAGTGGAATATTTGCTAGACTGATGGTACGGCATAACTCTAGATTCATTATTAGTGATAATTATGAAGATTAGAGCCTTGTTCAACTAGCTTCGAAGGCATTGCTTGCCTTTTTTTGCAAGAAATCACTTGATATTAACTTTAGTCATCAAGTGTAATATTTACCCCAAATTTTTTTGTTTTTTACACGCCTTTTATTTTCAGCAGTATGTGTACGTGATGCGCATCATCCTCTTCTACTTTATGAAGTACAATGCGGTGGAGATGTCGCAGAATTTGCTGATTTTCCTCGACGATTACGACGCCTATGATAAAAAGTACGGAAAGGAAGAGAAGGAAAGGAAAGAAAAGAGTCCCAATCCACCGCCTACGGACCCCACTGATGAATTTCAGAACTTTATTTGAATAAACTTTGATTTTTGAGAATTTTGAAAAAAAAAAATTTTTTAATTGAAAAAATTGAAAAAAAAAGTTGAAAAGTAGAAAAAAAAATTTTTTAAATTGAAAAAATTGGAAAATTTGAAAAGTAAAAAAAAAAATTTTTGAAAAATGAAATTTTTTAATTGAAAAATTGAAATTTTTTTTTAAAATTGAAAAAATTGAAAAAAATTTTGAAAAGTAAAAAAAAATTTTTTTTAATTGAAAAAATTTTTTTTTGAAAAATTGAATTTTTTTAATTGAAAAAATTAAAAAAAAAAATTTGAAAAGTAGAAAAAAAAATTTTTTTAATTAAAAAAATATATTTTTTTTTAAATTGAAATTTTTTTTGAAACTGAAAAAAAAAATATTGTTTATTTTAAAAAACAATTAATTTAGGCGAGGTTGGTGACGGTGGTAAATTTACTGCCCGCTGGCATTGTTCTCGAACGCACGGACACCGGAACAAACGGAACTTTTCCCCCAATTAGCCGTTGAATTGTCGTCCGATATTCGGCACTGCAAAAAAAGAAGAATTTTGGAAATTTGAGTGTAAAATACGTTTGGAAATCATTGATCAGTGCGTTTCAAGGACTGACAATAAAGTTTTTTCAAGCATCATTTTTATCGCACTGTGCAAAAACAAAATTTTTTTGACTGCACGGTGCAGTCCGATTTTTGCACTAAAAGTCACACTGCACAGTGCGGTGAAAAATAAAATTGATTTTTTGGAGGGTAGTGGAAATAAAAAAATTTTTTTTGAGCAGAAGTGTAATCAGCAATGCCGAAATCAAGTTTTGACACTATATTTTGGGGGCGGCTTTCAAAAAAATTCTCAAAATCAAAAAAAATTTTTTTTTTTTTAAAGTCTGGCAAGTCAAAAAATTAGTACTCAAAACTTTGTAGAGTACCCAGTCACCAAATTCTACTACATAACATCCAAAAATACATAATAATTAAAAAAATAATCAAATTTTATTCGACTGCACCGTGCAGTCCAATTTTTGCGCTAAAAGTGGCACTGCACGGTGCGGTGAAAAATAAAATTGATTTTTTGGAGGGTAGAGGAAATAAAAAAAAAATTTTAACAGAAGAGTAACCAGTAGTCAAATTTTGATACTACATTTTCGGTATACCGCGGTATAGGTATCAAAAAAATTTTTTTTAATTCAAAAAATTTTTTTTTGAAAAAATATCCTGAAATTCTGAAAATCGGTGCTCAAAATTTTGTAGAGTACCCGATCATCAAATTTTACCACAAAATAATCAAAAAAAATTTTTAAATCAAAAAAAATTGAAAAATTTTAAAACCCCTACCTAAACGTATACATGATGAACACATTCGAAGCTGAGGCAACATTTATAAAAATTCCGAATATCGACTCCCAATAGTACCACTGGCTGATTGGGAAATTCGCCAGAGGCAAAAGGATGGCTTTAACGAAACCTTCCAGCAGCCAGCCCACAACTACCGTAACCATGATCGCAGCCAGCGATTTGAACACTTTTTTCATTGTATTGGATTGTCCTGCTCGGCGACGAAGGAGAAGCCAAACGATGGAATAGACAACTATGTCGAGCAGGTTGACAAGCACGCACATTTGGAACCAGACTTGGCCCGCTGTCCCGCCGAAACTGTCGATTATTCGACATTGGACTGGTCTAAAAAAATTATTCAGTCGATAAAAACTTGTAAATAGTAAAGGTTTAAATGGGAATATGTTATTTTGACATAATAAGGCGTTTTTTGAAATTTTCAAGTTTTCGTGGTGGGACCCAAAAAATTTTTCTTGATTATCCCAAATCTTTTATAGATTTTAACATACGTTGCATAATCTCAAACGACAATTTTCTGGTGTTTTTTTATAGTCAAGAGCCCATTTTTGAAATTTTCAAGTTTTCGTGGTGGGACCCAAAAAATTTTTCTTGATTATCCCAAATCTTTTATAGATTTTAACATACGTTGCATAATCTCAAACAAAAATTTTCTGGTGTTTCTTTATAGTCAAGAGCCCATTTTTGAAATTTTCAAGTTTTCGTGGTGGGACCCAAAAAAATTTTTTTTGGTCATCCCAAACATTTGTTGGATTTTAACATACGTTGCATACGCTCAAACAACAACTTTCTGGTGTTTTTCATAGTCAAGAGCCTTTTTTTAAAATTTAAAAATTTTTAGGTTTTCGTGGTGGGACCCAAAAAATTTTTGATAGATACTGCAAATTCAAGTCAAAAATTTTTCGGAGATGCAATTTAGGCTACAAAAAGAATGCATGCCAAATTTGAAGAAAATTGGTGTATTGCCCCTCGGGCAATAGGTGTTTTTTAAACATGTCCCTCCAACTTACAATTGTTAGCAAAGATCGTTGAAATTCTCAGCGGCACCTGCAAACTGATAGCTAAACTTTTGTGGAAACACTATGAATTCTAGCTACAGTATACATGCTAAATTTGAGGAAAATGTATAAACTCCTTCACTGGGAATTTGCCTTTCTTTGCAACCACCCCTCCAACTCACTCATCGCCGAACTCTCCCCACGCATGTTGCAGGCCCAAGTAGAAGACCCAAAACGAGAACGCCAACGCCACGAACATGAAGAACCCATCGTATAAGAGGAGATTCAAGTTCCTGTAAATGGTCGGCAACGAGACGCCAATCAAGCGGTCGATTCCGACGAAAAATGTCATCAGAATGGAGAGAGTGGCGCCCACTTGGAAGAAGGCGTCCGCGTAGAAGCAGAAACGGTACGGAATAAAGTTGTGCCCGCTGGCCATGTTGCCCAAATACAGCCAGTGCGTGGAGAGGTGCATCATATCTCCGAGGCACACCATACAAAGAAGGAAGTTGTAGGAACCGTGCAGGTTTCTGGAGGAAATAAAAAGAGTTTTTTTTTTGGATTTTGGAATTTATTTGCAGGGGAAGTGCTCCAAGTGCGACGCTCAGATCTTGATGAAACTTGGCACAAATTTAGAGGAATTATTTTAAAGGCATCTGAGAGATTTCTAGCTCGCGCTTTGCAGAAACAACCGAGGTTTTTGCGGCCCAACTTTTCGAGCTGACGAGGGTTCTGGAAAGCCGAGAATCGATTGAAACAAGGTGTAGGATAAGCATGGACGCATAAAAAGATTGTAGGAGGTGTCTGCAGAGCCAGATATAACCTCGTTTCTAGACCATTTACAGCTTTTACAAGTCATAAAACAGAAGGCCAAACTTGGCGGGAAATTCAAAATTTAAAAATTCAAACAAAATTTGAGTGTCGCACTTGGAGTACTTCACCTTGGGACACAATTTTAAAAACTTCTCACTTATTTTTGACTGTTGCTATTAGCACCAATGCATTCCCAACATAGCTGAGAAGCATAAAGCAGAAATAAATTATAGGGATGAACAACATCTCAATGCAAACTCCTTGACCGTAGTAGGTTTGGTAGAGCTGAAAACATGTGTTGCAAATGTAAAAGGGAATTTAAATTGCTCGTATTTTACAACAAAAATCATCAATTTGTCACTCCTTACATGCTGATTCCCCAACGACGAAAACTTGCCCTTATATGGAAGATTGGTTAGTTGCGGTGATTCTGCCGTTGACATGGCTGGAAAAACTGTGTCTTCGAAATTCACGAGATTTTTTTTTGCTTTTCGTACTTCGCTTTTTTCACGTCACGGCGATACTTTTGAGGCACGGTGCGAAATCTGCGTAACAGGTGAAATGCACGGTGCAAAATGGGGTTTTGGCCAAGCGGCAAGGAGCTATGGACTTTAGAAAAAATATAGCACCGAAAAAATTATTAAAATTTTTACATGAATGTAATATCAGTCTGTCGGGAAAGTAATAAGGACAATTTCGCTGTGCCAATCCTGTCGCTGAAGTGAAAAATCAATTCGATTTTCTCCGTGACACAATTCACTCTCTCTGCGGCAATACGATTTTCGATGCGACAGAGTGCTCATTATTTTCCCGACAGACTGATAGCAAGTGGAAAAGACAAGAAAAAATGGCGTCAAAGCTTTTACGATATGCCTACGGGACTTGGCGAAGCCGTTGGACGCACGGCCAAGGCCCGGCGGAGACTTGGCAAAGCTTTCCATATGATTTTTTTTTGCCTCCACCGGCCTCTGGAAGTCGACATAATTGAGCGAAAACTATGGCCAACTCTTCCGAATACAGTGGCGGACATGACCCAGTGGAAAAAAACGTGTCATTTTGCATTCGGGAAGCACCAAAAATGCAGCAAAATACCTCCCTATTCAAGCGAAAAAACTCCGATTTCAAGAGCTCGCTCGCTCTTTTTGCGAAGACCGCCCTTCAAAAAGGAGTTTTTTACTTGGAGAAGTGAGGCATTTTGCCACATTTTTTATACTTCCCGGATGCAAAATGGTACGTGTTTGCCACTGGATCCGGTCCGTCACTGTAATAGCCGTTTTACGTGATTTTCAGCCAGTTTCCGGACGGTCCAAGTTTTCGTGGTGGGACTCAAACTCGAGCGTCATGTATAACATAAATCCCCCAAAAAACTGTACCAAAAAGACCAGAAAGAGAGTAAAAAGGATGATAGATCAGTTTTACGTGATTTTCAGCCAGTTTCCGGACGGTCCAAGTTTTCGTGGTGGGACTCAGACTCGAGCGTCATGTATAACATAAATCCCCCAAAAAAACTGTACCAAAAAGACCAGAAAGAGAGTAAAAAGGATGATAGATCAGTTTTACGTAATTTTCAGCCAGTTTCCGGACGGTCCAAGTTTTCGTGATGGGACTCAAACTCGAGAGTCATGTACAACATAAATCCCCCCAAAACTGTACCAAAAAGACTAGAAAGAGAGTAAAAAGGATGATAGATCAGCTTTACGTGATTTTCAGCCAGTTTCCGGACGGTCCAAGTTTTCGTGGTGGGACGCGAACTCGAGAGTCACGTATAACATAAATCACCCAAAACTGTACCAAAAAGACCAGAAAGAGAGTAAAAAGGATGACAAAGATAGATCAGTCGTATTTTACCTAATTTTACCAATATTCCAAACAAAACGAATGAAAAAATCCAAAAATCGTACTTTTTTGCCACTGGATCCGATCCGCCGCTGTACGATCGCTTAGTGTTTTACAAAATATTTTGAGGTCTTTTCTCCCTTCCGACAGAAAAAAGAAGCCGAACCGAACGGTCCTGGAGCGCGCTTGCCAAGTTTATTTTGACTTTTTCAGGTTCCAATCCGCCCGCCACGAAAAACGTAAGAGCCCATACGGATTGCAATTCGTATGGGGGCGAACTGGTAGATACATAAACAATTTTTAAACATTCATTTAATTTTTATTAAATTTAGTGGTAAAAGTAGATTTTCCAATTTCTTTGCATATTTTACGACAACATTTCGGCATCACATTTCTGAGCTGACATTTTCAGGTGTGCCAACAAAACTGGCTGGTGTTTGAACTGTAAACAAATTACGCTCATATGGAAAAAAAAGAAAAAAAAATTTGCGGCTATTAGTACGAGAAATTCAATAAAATTTGAAATGTTTTCGCTTTGGGACCGGAAAAACGAGCTCATTCTGATAATTTTATTGACTAACAGGGATGAAAATTGATGCAAATTTAGAATGATTTTTTCTAATTGTAAGGCATACCACTCTCCTAGCTAACGCTTTGCAGAAGCGACCGAGATTTTAGGTCGAAATTTGGAAAAAATATGACATTTTTTTTGCGAATTTTGGCATAAAAAATCTCATGCCTATTTCTACCACAGAGTGTAATGTTTCCACAAAAAATCAACTTTTTCCATGCGAAATTGGCAAAGATACGGCCAAAAATTGTTTTCCTGTGGGCGCACTCCTCCTTTCGCGTACTCTCTCGACCGCAAAGATCATTCAATATCTCGACTCTCCATGCAAAGCGAGAGCTAAAACTTTCAGGAATTGATATGAGCGCTATACCCAAAATATATGCAAAATTTAAAGAAAACTTTTATAAGAAAACCTTGCACTTGGGACCCTATCCTTTAGCAAATTTCAAAAATTTCTCATTTATTTTTGACGATAGCTATCAGAGACCAATGCTTCTCCAACATAGTTGACAAGCATACAAAAGAAACGCTTTTCTCTGAGCCCACCCGCTCTCCGCGTCTTGCGTACTCTCTCGGCCGCAAAGCGGCTGCTTAAACTCTCATGGCAGAAGTTAATGATATGTGGCCAATGTCCAAAGTGTGTGCAAAGTTTAAAGAAAACCTGAACGTCGCACTTGGAGTACTACAGTAGGGGACTTGATCCAGTGGCAAAAAACGTCCCGTTTTGCATCCGGGAAGTATCAAAAATGTGGCAAAATGCCTCCCTCTCCAAGTGAAAAAATTCCGATTTGAAGAGCGCCTCACAAAAAGAGCGGGCGAGTTTTTGAAATCTGAGTTTTTTCACTTGGAGAGGGAGGTATTTTGCCACATTTTTTGATACTTCCTGGATGCAAACTGGCTCGCTTTTTGCCACTGGATCAGGTCTCTCATTGTACCCTTGGGAGCCAATGACAAATCGATTTAGCCCCAAATATCGTTGACCCGAACTGTCACCCGAAAAGTGAAGAAAAGGCCCTCAAAGTACCATGCTCAAATAAAACGTTTATGAAGGTTTAAAGTACTTGGAGGCGGAATAATAAGTGACTATTTGCTAACCTTTTTTTAAGAAACCGTAAGGTTTATGGCAATCTGCTTAGCGTTTACAAAAAATGGAAAAAGCGAACTAATTAAAGAGCTGAAAAAAGGCCTCAAAAAGAGATAAAGCCGTTTGTAAAAGTTGGCAAAATATTTAACATAGTAATTACTGGTGACCTAATTAGTGGTTCCATAAATTAATTTTGCAGAGGGAGTTCACAAAGAGCAACTTTATAGGGGAAGGATTGAGACCGAGGAGTCCGTTTTTTCGAAGTCACGCTAACTTTTTTTGAATAGATGACATGTTTTGCGATTAAAATTTTACACAACCTGTTTCAATTTACAGGGGAAGTACCCCAAGTGCGACGCTCAGATTTTCTTTAAATTTTGCACACACGTCGGGTATGGACTAAATATCAATTCCCGAAAGCTTTAGCTCGCGCTTTGCAGGCGCCGCCGAGATATCGAACGATCTTTGCCGCCGAGAGAGCACGCTAAATGGGGAGAGCCGTCAGCGAGAAAACACCTTTTTGGCCATAACTTTGGCTGTTTCGTGCGGAAAAATTTGATTTTTTGTAGAAACATTATCCTTCAAGGTAAACTTTTCGTGCCGAAATTTGGCAAAAAGTGTCAAATTTTCGCCCACTTTCGTAGTAAAAATCTTGGTTGTTTCTGCAACGCGCGAGCTAGGATTCTCGCATATACATGTCTTAGAAAAAATCATTCTAAATTTGTGCCAAGTTTCATCAAAATCTGAGCGTCGCACTAGGAGTACTTCCCTTGTTAGTGTTAAAACTTACACTTTGAAAATTGGACGAAATTTTTTGATCGGATAAAACGTGGCTCAAAAGAATCCACACATTATTTTCTCGACAAACTTATATTGCCTTACAAACGTTTCGAACGTGTAAAGCAGACGCTGAAACAAATGCTGTCCATGTATTCAGATGGTATACGTTTTGATGAGCACTCTGGGGATTGAAATAGAATTCCCAGTGGAAAATTGCGCTCGCTGCTTTCAATTCCTACCACTCTTTAATTAATTGAAAAAAATGTTGAAGCCAGCCTTGTTCGGAGATTTATGAACACATACCTGGAGGGAACGTTTCACACGTTTTTCTATATGTTTACGGGGGTTCAGGAACTCACAAGAATGTGTGGGAAAATGTCGAACAAAATGGCGATTAATGAGCAAATCAGGGCAATTGTAATTGCTTTCACAGCGCTCTGCACAAGTCCGAAAGAACAAGGGTTTAAACCTGTAGTAAAGGAAGATGTAGCAAGATAAATACTCGCCAGCCATGATTTTGCCACCGTTGGAATCCCCACATCATAGAGGGTTATTTACAGTAATTAAAGGGGTGTACAAGTATGCAATTTTTTAAGAAAAATCAAGAATATGAGATTTATATATCCTTGATCAGCGCATTTTTTCTGGTTTTTTGAGATATGTCCCGTCAAAAAGTAGGAGGCCCCATAAAAGTACTTTCCTTGTAAGGTATATGCGAGAATCCTAGCTCGCGCTTTGCAGAAACAATCGAGATTTTTTGATAAAAAGTCGGCCAGAGTTTAGGACTTTTTGCCGATTTTTAACACGAAAAGTTTCATACCTATTTCTACCGTAAAGGACAATGTTTCTACAAAAAATCAAATTTTTCCGCACGAAACTGCCAAAGTTATGGCCGAAAAGCGTTTTTCTCTCTGACCGCTCTCCACGTTTAGCGTGCTCTCTCGACGGCAAAAATCGTTCGATATCTCGGCGGCGCCGGCAAAGCGCGAGCTAAAACTTTCAGGAATTGATATTTAGTCCATACCCGATGTGTGTGCAAAGTTTAAAGAAAATCTGAGCGTCGCACTTGGAGTACTTCCCCTCTAAGGTTGTACCATGTTTTATAATTGGTTGGGTTCGATTTGAAGCCTCTTTTTGGATCGTTAATTACTAGTTAGGATTCATTATGAAGGTACTTATTTTTTAAATATATAAAACAGCTTGTAAAGATGTGTAATTTATCCGACCTTCAAAGCAATAAAAGACCCCAAACATGTCTGCGCGCGCAATTAATATCTACAGTAACCAATGACTTTGTCTCGGTCAATTATTTGTCAATGGCTGCGCGGAGAATTAAACATTTATCCAGCGAAAAAATCTCAAAAAGACACTCTCAATCCTTTTCTGGACAATAATTTTTGACAAAAAATGTTGTCGACCCAAAATCTATATGTTATTTTGATCGTTTCGGCCTGTGATTCCACAGCATTTGCCCGGCATTACATCGCGTTTCCGTGCGAGCGAGAGAACGGGACTGATTGGCATTGCAATTGGAGGCTGAAGCCGAATACTTGGGGCTTCAAGGACATGGCACGTAAGCGGGGGATTTGCTGCGGAGCGGATAAGTTCTAGCGGTAAAAAGCGTCTATAAATTCATGCCGGCAGACATGGCAAGGGCCGGGCACGTCAAGAAAAAGTAGAACAAAAGCGCTCAAGCAATGAAAAATTCTTGGCATTCTGGTTTAGCTCAAAGATAACCTGATTACACATGAAAGACGGGGTAGAATGGGTCTATTGCATACATAAATTTGAAGCTGGACTCCTGCTTAACCTCACCATATATGTATGTTTCATAGAAAAAATTGCTCGTCTTCTATCTGTTTGAAGCCTAAACTGACAACGCTTAAAAAATGTTGCAATTTTGTCGATTTCTCCAAGATTTTCCCTCGCCCCTGTTTGAAGTTTGAAACATAGTCTGGAACAAGGCGGATTTTTTGAGCCTAAAACGAAAAAAAATCGAATGAGCCAGTTTCGAGATAGAAAATCTCTTCATTTTACGCAATATTTCGCCTTTTGTCTGACCTTGTCCAAAAAAACCGTCACTGTGACGGATTTTTTGGACACTTTCAAAAGCGGAGACAGAATGCCAACTTTCGTGTTGATAGATAACCCTTTCAGCGCAAAATCTTGACGTGCCGGGCTTTGCAAGTTCCGGAATGGGCTACCTTTTCTCTGGCCAAGCTCGGGGCTAGACCTGATTTTTGGGGTCGTACATCGGGACTGAGATTGAAAATTTTGGGCCTACCCCTTCCGAAAAACCTTTTTTTAATCTCAAAACGAAAACTTGAAGTGCCAATTTTGGGTTCTTGGCATTGTGCAACAAGTTGTGTTTATGACTCCATATGGATCGAAAAGATTTTTTGATGTCCGAAATGTTTGCTGGCAGCGATAAAACACCCTAAAACCAGCCATAAACACAATGCCAAAATGTTGCCTGAATGGCGGAAAAATTGTCATTCAAAACTATTCAAAAAAACAATTTCAGCGGAAGTCATCGAGACCCATCGCCGTTGGGCCAACTCCTCGCTGAACGAGGCCCCCATCTACGACTGGTCGTGGATGTTTTGGGCGGAAATCGATCCCCGCATCTACGAGATCTACGACGAAGACTTGTACATGCTGGACTACGATCGGCCCGCCCGATTGGCCAAGGCCAAGGAGAGAAGGGCCGAGGTTTGGCAGTATTCGCTGCTCGGCGTTGCGGCAGTCTCGATTTTGCTGCTGCTGCTTCAGCCAAGGAAGAATTTCAGCGTCTGGAGACACGATTACAACGCGTTGAAGGAGAAGCTCAAGTCCAAGGCGGCGGAGAAAATGAGCGATAAGAAGGCGGAGAAGAGGAGTGTTGTCACTATTGTTGATGAAGGAAACTATGGAAAGGTGGGGTCAAAGGGCTGGGTAGAGTAGCCGGAGAACCATTTGTCGACGCTAAAGATATCTTGCAACGCTTGCAAACCTGGGGCCTGTTTCACGAACGCAAAATAAAAAAAATAGAAATATGAGTGAGCGAGGGAACAGAGGAAATGCATACGAAACGGGAGAGACGGCAGGAAAATGAGGATTGCGCCAATTCTCAATCGGAGTGACTTTTTACGTCCAAAATTACGGATTGGCGGTAGTATTTGAGCCATAACTTTCCTCTACTTGGGCCTACAAGCACCCTCCAAAAATTCAAATAATGCTGAGACTGCGGGCTATATAGATCTATAAAAATTTTTGCTCTACCGCCAATGACAAAGTTACCATAGGCGTTGTAGTGTTGAATTCTTCTACTTTATGACGCTAAAAGGCCTTTTTTCGCGTTAATTGAAACAGTAAAAAATTCTAATTCATGTCAGTCGATAGACAATTTAATTCTCTACAAAACATTTTTAGAGGGCCAACTGTAAGTCATTTTTTGGCTGAGTAATAACTGATTTACTTTGACAATCCCTCGATTTTCATCACAAAAAATCTTTCGAAAGAGCCCTCAAATCAAAAGAAGAGAGAAATTTTACGGTAAAAAATGGGATGCGGCTGGACTAAATCACCCATAACTTTATCAGTTGGTGAGATATAGACGCCCCTCTAAAAAATGAGGTAGCCAAGACAATTTTCTTTACAATTATATAAAATTTTATACTAATATTTTATTATTTGGAACAAAAACCTATTTTTATTCTGAAAAAAATTAAAAAATGTTGCAAACTGCTGCACTACTATAAATTTGTTCGTTCCGCAGATCACCAAACATCCTAAAAAATTACATTACTGTAAACCGCGGACTCAGGTCTATATGATTTTTTTTAAACGGTGTCGATCCGACAATTTTGGACCAAGTTATGAGGAAATTAATCTAGAATTGCACAAATTTTGTAGAAAATAGAAATATGCGCAATACTACAGCTATTTTCGAGCGCGTTTTTGCAACAGTGCAACGAAACTTGCACACATGACAGTCCAAACAGTTAGCATTATTCGAAATTTTGAAGGGTGATTCTACGCCCATGGAGGGAAAAGTTATGGCCGAAACACTGCCGCCAACCCTGATTTTGGACGTAAAAAGTCACTCCGATTGAGAAGAGGCGAAATCGTCATTTTTCTGCCGTCTCTCCCGTTTCGCATGCATTTCCTTTGTTCCCTCGCTCACTCATATTTCTATTTTCTTTAGAAATATGAGTTTTTGCGTTCGTGAAACAGGCCCCTGAGTCGCTTTACAGCATTTTACAGCTTTTGAGTTCGAAGAGGCCCCATAAACGAAGAGGCCCTTCAAAACAAAGAGGCTTCTAAAACGAATAGGCCCTCAAACGAAAAGGCCCTCAAAAAAGAGACCTCAAAACCAAGAGACACCCATTTTGACGAATAGGACCCCAAAACTGAAAGACCGAATAGGACCCCAAAACTGAAAGACCGAAGACCCCAAAAATGAAAGACCGAATAGGACCCCAAAAGTGGAAGACCGAAGAGGACCCCAAAACTGAAAGACCGAATAGGACCCCAAAACTGAAAGACCGAATAGGTCCCCAAAACTGAAAGACCGAATAGGACCCCAAAACTGAAAGACCGAAGACCCCAAAACTGAAAGACCGAATAGGACCCCAAAACTCTAAGACCGAAAAGGACCCCAAAACTGAAAGACCGAATAGGACCCCAAAACTGAAAGACCGAATAGGACCCCAAGATCCCAAAACTGATAGGCCGCCGACCGAAGAGACCCCTTTATGACGAATAAGGCCCCAAAACGAAGAGGGCCCTTTTCCGAAGAGTCCCACAAAACGAAGAGGGCCCCTTTTTCGAAAAGGCCCACAAAACGAAGAGGTCCTTTTTAGAAAATAAAAAATTCAAAATGAAGGGTGACACGTCATACGATGAAAAAAATTCATCGCAGTTTTTTCATTTTTTCAGGTATCTTTGTCTTTTTTTGGGGACTCTTTGAAAAGTCGGCCGCGCCTGCAATGTCTTTTCTCCGCCCTATGATCACCAATTTTCAGTTTGAGACCCTATCCGAAAGCTCCGATCTCTCCGTTTTGACGGAGAAAGGCGTCAATTGACAACATTATACATATATCACATGCTTTATGGTTTATTCAGTCAATAACCGTCAATAAAATAATCGATATTTTTTCCGAATTTTGATGACAATTTGGTATGACATGCCGATAAAAATATTTTCTATTCTTGAAATACATGCTAATCAGGGCGCTTCAGCCCGACCCCAACTTTAGCTTGCCATGCCGGACGAAGAGTTCTACGTGGACCACGGGAAGAAGGTGGACAAGGACGGGAAGCTCATCCTCGAGGTCGACGACAAGCCCTGGCTTCTTAATGCCATTTTCGACTTCAAAACTTATGCAGTTTTCTTCCTTTGGTCGCTACTCTTCGAGAATTTGTTGAGGGTCTATGTGCGAACCAGCTTTTACACAATTGCCTGTGGAATCGCCGGCCTATACGTTGGGTTCAAGGTCTGGAAGAGTGAGGTTCATAAAAGGCGCGATATCATCTTGGCTATTGGATACGCTGTAAGTTGTCATTGGACAGTTTCAGCGCTCCGAACACAAGAGTCAACTCCAATAAGGGAGAAATCAGTCTGTCAGGAAAATAATGAAGGTAAAAGTTCCTTATTTTGGCCACAACTTATAACTCTGCGGAAACTGGTCGGAATTAGCCCAAATTTAGCGTGCACGCTCAATTCATCGTTGTCAATGCCCGGACAGTGGATTTAGTTAGTGAGGTACCTTCTTTTTTACGTACCACCTTACCCTTCAAAAACGGCTGCAGCCTGTGATTTTACACTTTATACGATGAAACATGTCCGGAACTAAACTTATTGCCTCCGTATGGAACTAAATGAGTCGTCACAGCCTTCGTAGGTACCCTTAAAACTATAGAGCTATTATAGTAATTCAGTGCCAGCTAGGTCGAAGCGTTTTTTCCTAACTTTAGTGCCCAAGCTTGGGCGCAGTTCGCGGAGTACCTTTGTTGTGGCCAAAATAAGGAACTTTTTCCAATAGTGAAGATTCTGTCGTATCGAAAATCGCATCGCCGCCGAGGAAATGAATTGTGTGGCGGAGAAAATCAAATTGCTTTTCCCTTCAGACGACGCGGCTGGCGCAGCGACAGAATGCTCATTATTTCCCCGACAGACTGATAAAATGAACGGATAAGGCAATCGGGCCGTAGGCAGGCCCACACTTTGCGGGCAACTAGAAGAACGGCGGGGATTCCGTGGACATGTTCGGAAATCAGCCAACACTTCCTTACAACAGGAAATTCAAACGATGGATTTGACAGCTAGATGTTGCGAATTAAATTTTAAGGTGTACAAGTGGCTTGAATAGTCACCATAAAGTCAAACAAGCATTTTGAACGGTTCAGAAACCATTTTTTTGAATACAAACCCCATAACTTTGAAAGCGGAGGGCGAATTCACTAGATTTGTGGACTTATCAGTAGCACGGAGTTGTCAACGAAAAATTTTTGCCATACCACGTTGACAATACGCTAAAAACTCATCATAATCATGTTTTCAGTACTGCCTTCTTCTCTCCAGCACGGCTCTTCGCAGAGCCGTGTTCGCCTACGTATACTCAACTCCCACCCATTGCAACCCCCGATTTTCGCTAACCCTCGCCCTTTTCCTGGACATCTCCTTCATCTGGGTTGTGGTCGCGTCGATGGCGTTGATGACGTTCACCGGGATCGAGAAGATTTTTTGTCGCGGCGACAAAAAATGGAAAAGTTTTCCCCTGTTCTTCCTTCTGCTGGCCTTCTCTCTGATATGGCTGCCATTCCCGCCGCAGGGCTTTAACTTTGTGCGGAAGGTGTTGCGAAATGGGGCCGGTCTGATCTATCGGAATGAAGGGAGGGCTCAGTGGATTGTCGAGTTTTGGAGTCATCCGGAGAATAAAGTTTAAGATGGTTATTCGAAGTTTTAAATACAGGGTGGTTCAGTCGAACCTTCCATTCTTATTTCATGTATTTCTCCGCCAATAATGCACCAATTTCTATAAACTTTATATCAAATTGAAGCTGAGGTACGCCGTTTTTTGTTCGCCAAATATGACAGCCCCAAGTTCACGGCGGCTCTCGTACTGACATAAACGTATAATATGTTGAGTTTATTGCCATCCAACTATAGTATTTTCATAAAGTGCAGGGACACTTTTTTCGTTTCGCACAGTACGTTCTGAACCCTTTCCCACAATTGTCCCAACGCACAGTGCATTCGGAATTGTTTCGCACAGTGCAAACGCCAAATAAATACAGGGTGTCCCAAACAAAATGCATGTTATTTTTATGGCTACATTTTACATACCAAACAAAATTTAGCAAAACTAACGATGGATATAAAGGTGGTCATATAAGATCTCGGAATTTTTTTCCCAAATCACGATTTTCGGTGCACAAAAAAGTCGACGCCCAAATCGAAAAATTGGCGTCAACTTAATTTTTTCAGCACCGAATTCCGAAATGCGGTGCTGACTTAAGCACTTAAGTGTTCGGTGCAGACTTATGACTTTGTGCACTGATTTCGAAAAACTTTGAAAAATTTACTAAAAAAGCTCTGTTTTGAAGAGCGCGCATTTTTTCCTCACAAAAAGAGCGGGCGCGCTTTTGAAATCTGAGTTTTTTTTTACTTGGAGAGGGAGGTATTTTGCCACATTTTTGGATACTTCCTGGATGCAAAATGGAACGTTTTTTGCCACTGATCAAGTCCCCCACTGTAGCTACCGTTGGCCTGTTGTTTAATGTCGCTTTGTGAACGTTTCCGCCTTTCCCAAGGACGCATGGAAGAGCATGTGAAACATATTTTCGCACATATACTTTACCAGAACCAACACAATACGAACTTCAACAATCAATAGTAATTAAAAAGGTAAGTGGGTGCAGAAGGAAGACCAAAGATTTTTGCTGGGAACCTGAGCTTACCCCATAAAAAGCATCGCTCGTGAGAAGGCAAATGTGAGGTTTGTGTTCGCGTTAGCCGACGGTCGCAGAGTATTTTTATCTCCGTTGAGTACTTGCTGTTCCAGGTGCGGAAGAGCACGCTGTAGCTGCTGATAATATACTCACAAATTTAGTGAATGTTAAGGGGTCTATGCAGATTAATTGTTCAAAACTTGAGGACAATCTGAGAATTGCTCTTGTAGCATTGGCCATATCAATTATTCCACCAATTTTGGCTACTTTTCGCCGAAAAAAATCGATTTTTTATCATATTTTCTTTAAATTTTTAAAATTTTGAATTTCCCGCCAAGTTTGGCATTCTGTTCTATGGCTCGAGGAAGCTGTAAATTGTCTAGCAACGAGGCTATATCATACCATCCGCACTGTATATAGTCATCAAACTTTTCAACAATCTTTTTGGCCGAGAGAGTACGCGAAATTCGGAGAGCGTTAGAAAGAAAAACGCTTTTGGCCATATCTTTCTCAGTTTCACCAGACATAGCACAGTGCTCACATTGTCTCTCAATTTTGCACACACACTGAGCAGGGATCACCTAGCAATTCCTGAAAATTTTAGCTCTCGTTTTGCAGAGAGAGCCGAGATATTCAACGATCTTTGCCGCCGAGAGAGTACGCAAAAGGCGGAGAGCGGTCAGAGAAGACAGCGCTTTTTAGTCATATCTTTGCCAGTTTTGTGCGGAAAAAAATTGATTTTTTGTGTAAATATTACCTTCTACGATAGAAATGGGCTAGGCAATTTATCATGCCAAAATTTGCAAAACAATATTGCTTTTTTGCCAACTTTTGGCCTAAAAAATCTCGGTCGTTTCTGTAAAGCGTGAGCTGGAAATCTCGCATATGTCTTATCAAAAATTATTTTAAATTTATACCAACTTTGGATATTTATTTCAGGGATCTCCACTGCTTTCCGAAAAGAAGACGTACTGAAATTATCGATACGGTAAGTCAAGTCCACAAGACAAAAAAAAGATTCTCGTAGGTAAATTTTCCTGTATTTCAGTTGCTCCATTCTGCTCCTCTGCTGTTTTAAACGGGGACTGAGAATCCCACTTGAGATGTCAGCAACACCAACCTTACCACTAACAAAAGACCTCCCGTATAAAGGCAATTTCTCATCGCCAGAGAATCAATATGTAAGGAGTGACAAATTGATGATTTTTGTTGTAAAATACGAGCGATTTAAATTCCCTTTTACATTTGCAACAAATCTTTTTCAGCTCTACCAAACCTACTACGGCCAAGGAGTTTGCATTGAGATGTTGTTCATCCCCATAATTTACTTCTGCTTTATGCTTCTCAGCTATGTCGGGAATGCAATGGTGCTGATAGCTACCGTCAAAAATAAGTGAGGAGTTTTTAGAATTGCATCCCAAGGTGAAATACTCCATGTGCGACACTCAAATTTTGTTTGAATTTTTTAATTTTGAATTTCCCGCCAAGTTTGGCCTTCTGTTCTATGGCTCGGGAAGGCTGTAAATGGTCTAGAAACGAGGTTATATCATACTATCGGCATTTTAATAGATATGCAACGCTCAGTTTTTCTTTTAATTTTGCACCCATTTTAGGCATATGCCACGTATAAATTCCTGAAAGTTTTAGCTGGCGTTTTGCAGGCACAGCCGCGATTCAACGAACTTTGCGGCCGAGAGAGTACGCGAAACGCGGAGAGCGGTCCAAGACGACACACTTTTTGACCGTATCTTTCTCAGATTCGCGCGCAAAAAATTGATTTTTTTGTGGAAATATTACCTTCTGTGGTAGAAATAGGTATGCAACTTTTTATGCAAAAATTCGCAAAGAAAATTGTCACATTTTTTTCAACTTTCGAACTAAAAATTTCGACGCTTCGACTTTTGGGACAAACGATACTTCAGGTCGCATGGATTCTTTGCATGAAGGAGGCTAGAAAAAGACTCTGTTTATAGAAATAAGAGGATTGATTACGTTCTAAGATAGTGTATCACCTTTAAAGGTATTTTACATGTATTATATTACACTAATAACATCCAGATAAAACTTATGGAAATCGGTTTCTGTAGGCTTTTTCAGGCTTTGCAGACAGCTCCTGCTATCTTTTTTGGGCCTCTGCTTATCCTACAACTTGTTTCAATCGATTCATGGCTTTCCAGAACCCTCTTCAACTCGAAAAGTTGGGGTGCAAAAACCTCGGTTTTTTCTGCAAAACGCGAGCTAGGAATCTCTCAAATGCCCTTAAAATAATTCCTCTAAATCTGTGTGAAGTTTCATCAAGATCTGAGCGTCGCACTTGGAGCACTTCCCCTGCAAATTAATTCCAAAATCCCCAAAAAACTCTTTTTTTTATTTCCTCCAGAAACCTGCACGGTTCCTACAACTTCCTCCTTTGTATGGTGTGCCTCGGGGATATGATGCACCTCTCCACGCACTGGCTGTATTTGGGCAACATGGCCAGCGGGCACAACTTTATTCCGTACCGTTTCTGCTTCTACGCGGACGCCTTCTTCCAAGTGGGCGCCACTCTCTCCATTCTGATGACATTTTTCGTCGGAATCGACCGCTTGATTGGCGTCTGGTTGCCGACCATTTACAGGAGCTTGAATCTCCTCTTATACGATGGGTTCTTCATGGCTGTGGCGTTGGCGTTCTCGTTTTTGGTCTTCTTCTTGGGGCTGCAACATTCGTGGGGAGAGTTCGGCGATGAGTGAGTTGGAGGGGTGGTTGCAAAGAAAGGCAAATTACTAAAGATGGAGTTTACCGATTTCCCTCAAATTTGGCATACATACTCTATCTAGGCCACATAGCATTTCTTCAAAACTTTGGCCAGCAGTTTGCGGGTGTCGCTGAGAAATTCAACGATTTTTGCTAACGATTATAAGTTGGAGGGTGAATGCAAAGAAAGGCAAATCAATCGGATTTTATAGCAGTCTATCAAGTCAATAAATAATTTTTTGAGTTTATGCAACGTATGTTAAAATCTAAAAAATTAACGATTCAAGAAAAAGACTTTGGGTCCCACCACGAAAACCTGAAAATTTCAAAAAGGACTCTGAATTGCTAAAAAAAAAGCCAGAAAGTTGCCGTTTGAATTTGTGCAACGTATGCTAAAATCTAAAAAATATTTGGGATGACCAAGAAATTTTTTTTGGGTCCCACCACGAAAACCTGAAATTGTTAAAAATTGCCTCTTAACTGCTGAAAAGCACAAAAATGATTGGGCCCGGTTTTGTCCCCACCCCGGTTTTGTCCCCACTTTTTTCGAGCCTTTTTGTCCCCAGACCGGTTCTGTCCCCAGGACGGTTTTGTCCCCAAGACGCTTTTGTCCCCACTTTTTTTATTTTTTTGTCCCCACACCGGTTTTGTCCCCAGGACGTTTTTGTCCCCAAGCTGGATAGTACGATTAAAAATCATGCATTCAGATGTTAATTCTGTTAGTTTGGTGCACAGTACTGATCAAGCAACATGTTCTTAGCACTTGGTACTGTATAGTACAAGGTGGTACTATATAGCACGAGGTAAAAATTAAGCCATAAGGCGTTAATGCTGTCGGTTTGAAGCCCCGGACTTCTCGAAAAATGTGTTTTTAGCACTTGGTACTATATAGTACAAGGTGGTACTATATAGCACGAGGTAAAAATTAAGCTATAACGCGTGAATGACGTTGTTTTGGTATGACGTTCATTTTGTGCAAAAACAAATTCGTGCTATATAGTACCATGTGCTAAAACACATTTTTGAGAAGTACTGGGCTTCAAACCCATAGCATTGACGTGTTAAGGCTTAATTTTTACCTCGTGCTATATAGTACCACATCGTACTATACAGTACCAAGCGCTAAGAACAAGTTTTTTGAGCAGTACTGTGCACCAAACCAACAGCATTAACATCTGAATGCATAATTTCTAATCGTACTATCCAGCTTGGGGACAAAAACGTCCTGGGGACAAAACCGGTGTGGGGACAAAAAAAATAAAAAAAAGTGGGGACAAAAACGTCTTGGGGACAAAACCGTTCTGGGGACAAAACCGGTCTGGGGACAAAAAGGCTCGAAAAAAGTGGGGACAAAAACGTCCTGGGGACAAAACCGTCTTGGGGACAAAACCGGGGTGGGGACAAAAACGTCCACTACGCACAAAAATATGTTGCTAGAGCTTGTGCAACGTATGTTTAGATCTAAAAAAGATTACGGATAATCCAAAAATATATATTTTGGTTCCCACCACGAAAACCTGAAAATTTCAAAAAGTGCTTTATAATGTCAAAAAAACTTGTAGTTTTAACCTTTACTAATTTACAAGTTTTTATCCACTGAATAACTTTTTTCAGGCCAGTCCAATGCCGAATAATCGACAGCTACGGCGGCGCAGCGGGTCAAGTCTGGTTCCAAATGTGCGTGATTGTCAACCTGCTCGACATAGGTGTCTATTCACTTGTCTGGCTTCTCCTTCGCCGGCGAGCGGGACAATCCGGCACAATGAAAAAGGTGTTCAAATCGCTGGTTGCGATGATGATTTCGGTAGTTGTGGGCTGGCTGGTACAAGCCTTCGTGAAAGCCATCCTTTTGCCTCTGGCGAATTTCCCAATCAGCCAGTGGTACTATTGGGAGTCGTGCACCGGGATCTTGTTGAATGTGGCGTCAGCTTCGAATGTTTTCATCATGTATGGGTTTAGGTAGAAATTTTTATTTTTTTTTTTTTTTTGAAAAAAGTCATCAAAATTTTTTAAAACTAAATAATTTTTTGATTTTTCGACATCGTTAAAAATGCTTTGAAAAAATGTTATTAAAATCTTTTTTTTTATTTGCCAAAAAAAACATTTTATTTTTCACCGCACCGTGCGATGCCATTTTTAGTGCAAAAACCCGACTGCACAGTGCAGTGTCACAATTTTTTATTTTAGCGACCTGTGAAAACAAAAAAATTCTTTTGCAACTGCTGATTCAGAACTTTTGAGATCCAAATTTGATCCTATAAAGTTATTCCATAACATTTTTTTATTTTTTCAGTTCCGAATATCGAATGACAATTCAAAGGCTAATTGGCGGGAAGGTTCCGTTTATTCCACCGCCAGACGTCTCCAAAACGGCGTTCGCTACCAGTAAAATCAGCACCGCAACCAACCTCATCTAACTTATTATTATTTGTTCCGAAATATACATATAATAATTACGACAAAATATTTCGTAAAAAGTGCCCCTAGTTGAAACAACTGTTATAACTTTTTATAACGAGCTATAAACCATAAACTATCACTAAATTAAAGTCGAAGAGTCCTACTACTGCTATATCTAAAAACTGGCTAAATCGGGCCACAATACGATTGGTTATCGATTTTTGAAAATTTACCTTTAATTTCGGTCAATTTTGAACACAAAATCTAGTAAATCTTCCGCCGGAAACAAACATCACCTACCCAAATGTGATTTTTCAGAATCTCTAGTGCTGATAGCCTCTTCCTAAAATATTTCCCGAAAAAATCTATGCGGGATATTTCCGTAAAACGCGAAAATGTTCAGAGCGTCAAAGTTTCATCGTATAAAATGTCGCCGCAAGCCGAAGAAGGTCGGACGCAGCTCGAAACAGGGGAAAAATAGATTTCCCTTGAAAGAGACATTATTTTAGTCTCTAGAAGCTTCAGAATGGTCAACAATAAGGAGGTTTACCGCCAAATTAGTACATCTTGTAAATGAAGAAAATTCTTCCCGAGCAGGATCGTTTTTTCCGACAATCCTCGAACCTTGTTACAGCTGATTGTAGAGCAAGTTCATAGCTCCAATCTAATACCAATTTCGAACCAGAAACGGCGAGTTTCACGAAAATTTTATATTGTACTTGGTTCTCGTGTTTGGTCCCTCATTCAATCAGTTACCCTATAAAATTAGCCCTGTTTACTTGATAAAATTAACCTATTGCCCGTGGCACAACTAGCACCACAAAACTCCAAAATTTTGGTGGGTTATTCCAACAGAAAACGGGCAAGCTTGACATCAAATCGAATGGGACAGCCTGCTCTTGGTAAAGGCCCTTTTTTGGACAAATTTCAAGTCGTCTTCATTCAGTGGGTCTTTTTTTTATACAACATCTCTAACATAGGGCAAAATTCTTCTCGAGCAGGGTCAACTGCTCTCCTAGTACACACGAGGACCGAGTAAAATATAAAAACAACACGAGGACCAAGTACAATATAAAATTTTCGTGAAACTCGCCGTTTCTGGTTCGTAATGGATATTAGATCGAAGCTAGCAACCTGCTCGACAATCAGCTACAACTAGATTCGAAGAGTGTCGGTCGAAACAGCACGAAAATGCCATTTGCATTATCCACGTTTCGACAAAGTCGCCTCACAAAATTCCAAAGTTTTGGTTGATTATCCGACCACAAAACGGGCAATCTCGACATCAAAACGAATGGGGCAGCCTGCTCTTGGTAAAGGTCCCTTTTTTGGACAAATTTCTAGTCGTCTTCATTCAGAAAGTTCATCTTGAACATCGCGGAAAATTCGTCTCGAGTGGGAAGTCCTGGGTCAACTGTTTCCCTAAGTCTTCATTCCAAAAATTCTTCTCGAACTTTCGACGAATTATCTCTCGATTTGCAAATTTTTGACGTCGTCAAAAAACGGATTTTTTCCCACCGAAAAAAATTTCCATAAATTCGCATGAGTTCCCACTATAAAAGCGATGGATCTCCTGGAATTCCGCTCACTTGGTGTCGCATCCTCGTCAGCGGCGGCTCGTTGGTTCATCCGGCGCCACTTCCGGCGGGAGGTGAAATCGCTCAACGCGAGGTGAGTTGGCTTTGAAATTTGTTGGCATTTAGGAGCGATACGATTTTGGGTTGAAGAGAAAAAGCTTAGCATCGACACTTTGCTATGCATAGGGAGGCTAGGTAATAAAATTGGTCGGGTCCTAGGATAGTTCATAACAAGAAAAACTCCCAGGGCGTAGATTTTTCCAGGCTTCGCCCGAGCTTGAGTCTCCTTTTTAGTCCCTTTTAGCTGGTTTTCTTTTTCTATATTTACCCTAAAAATTTCATAGTTTCACGACCTTGTTTGAATCCTCTTTTTTCAGGCAGTCTCGCCTTGTGGAAGCGGTCGATCCGGGCCAATCTCCGAAGTTTGTCTGCAGCTACGAGCGGAGTGTTCAGGACGCCTTGAAGGGCCGCTTATTTTTTTTTTATTTGATCTGAAGTCGTGGAACTACATGCAGGGCGAGTGGAAGCAGAATAAGGTGGGTTTGTTGGGAGGAATCGAAACGGTTGAATGGACATTTATCGCGCTTCGCACTGTGCATTTTTTTGCACCTTGCGGAAAATGAATTTCCCGCCGCACTGCAAGAGGTCAAGTTGCATAGTGCAATGTGTCGCAAGAATTTTGTTCGCACTGTGCAATTTTTGTTTTTCTCTTTTCTTTTTTTTTTTTGCACAGTGCAGTTTTGTGTTTATTCGTGTTGCACTGTGCAGAAAGTTTTTCGGCTGGAAGTTTTTGAGTTTTATGTGGAGCAATATGATTTTTTGTAGAAATTTTCTACTCCCTACTGCAGACAGATTCCAATTTTTTTTGCTCGGAAAATCGCAAAAGTTTTTTGCGATAAATTTTTTGGCCTACTATGGACAGCGCAACCGGCTTTTTTGAGGCTTTCACTGTGCGAGGAGAGAAAATGCACTGTGCGTTGGCGACAAGCGTGGGAAAAAGTTGGAAATGAACTGTGCGAGCGTGAAAAAATGTCTATGCACTTTATGAAAATTTTCACCGCACCGTGCAGTGAGAGATTTTGGCTTTGATTTTTATTTTTCGAAATTTTTCGAATAGTTGTCAAAAAGCGGGACCTAGAAATTATTCCAAATTTGTGCCAAAAATTGTGTTTTTGCCTGAAAAGCGCAGAAATGACCAAGTTTTTCAGCTCCTCATTGTCGGCTTTGGATTTGTGAAGGTTTGGAGCGAAATTCCTAACTGGCCGTTTCGCCTATTCAAGCCCACTGATGACACACTAGGCCCCTGTGGAGGTGTACTTTGAGGCGCGGACCGGATGGCGTTCCGCAGTTCCCGACCGCTTCGGAAGAGCGGGAAATTATTGGAAAGCTCAAAGGACTTGGTCTGCGAGAAGATCAAGGGCGCTATGATCGATATGGGGCGGATTTGAAGACTATGGGTAGGTCTTTTTTTATTTTTATCTTGATTTTTTTTTTTATTTTTTTTTTTTTTTTATTTTTTTTTTTTTCAGCTGCAAAGCCAGTTTGAGTTCAAGTACGCACGGATCCCCGATGGGCCTTTCTACAGTCAGGCACCGCCCTTCTCCCCCCGTTGTCTGAACTCGCCCCGAAGAAATGGAAGAAATCAAAGAGATAGAAGAAAAATGAAGCCCGGAGCGAATGAAAATCCTGAATTCGCCCCGAAGAAATAGAAGAAAAATCAAGTGTAATTTAAATTTGAATAAATTTTTGCTTCCTGATATTTTTGTATTTTTTTACTCTGCAAAAATCTGGGAATTTCTTTTTCTTGCACGGTGCTGATGTTTTTTTTGGCATGAATGTTGATTTCCTGTCTGAAAATGGTCAACTATTATTTAAAAAAACGAGGTTTCCGGTCAGCGATACTATGGATCGCGTCGGTTCGTCGTTTTGTATGCATGGGGATAGAAGAAACAATTCCCCGCCCCTTTTTGGCGATTCGTTCAAAACGAAATGTCACTATCCGAAAAAAAAGCATTTTCTTATCTTTCTTCTTCCTTTTCGAGAAAAAGCAATTATTTCGGGCGAAAAAAGGTGCCGATAATTTCGCGACATTTCGTCTCTCTCTTAAATCAATGAAAACGATACGAAGTTTCGAAACGGTTCAGGAAATGCGCTGGATTGACGTGCTACGCCTTCTCCTAGCCTTCCCATGCATACAAAACGACGAACCGACGCGATCCATAGTATCGCTGACCCGAAACCTCGTTTTTTTTAAATAATTTTTTATGAAAAATAAGCGTTCTCGGAAAAAGAATTTTTATTTCTACAAAACATTTTCCCATTTTTTACATTAAAAAATAATACACTACAATTGAACCTCTTCGCTTGCGGATTTGGCTTCGTCGGCTGGGCCCTTCTTCGTCTCCTCCTCCTTTTTCTTCTTCTTCTTCTTCTCCCCCCTCATTTTCTCCATCTTCTTCCTCTCCTGCTTCGTCTCTTCATCCGTCGTCTCCTCCTCCTTCATCTTCTTTTTCCCTAGCCTCTTTCTAAACCAGGCCGCGTATTTCTTCCGATTCACCTGAAACAAACGCAAATTTTTTCGAACAGATAACAATGACGGGCTTTAGGCTAGAAATGGCCGGGAAATGACCAATCCGACCGGTCATTGGCACAACGTTCGTTTGTCCTATCGGTTTTTGGTCTATCGGTCGAAGACAGCGCCACAAAACTCGAACTTACCGCGTAATGCCCGCTAAGGAAACTAATGGCCACAAGGAGCACAACACCCGCTACCGCCAATCCGATGTACACCTTCTCCACGGCCGAGAAGAGAGGGAGGTTCGGGTCAAATTCCGTTGTGCTTTCTCTAAAAGCCGATCGAACGATGAACATTCCACTTACACGTCGCCGTATGAGAGGAACCGCACATACACGTTCTTGAGCTGGTCGCCGGGAATGGTCGAGTTCAGGCAGTTGTGCCTGACCTCGAGGTACTGCTGAAATTCGAACATGAGAAAACTGACTGTTTTATCGAAGCCTACGACATGATGCCATGCGGACGCTTCATTGGCAACCAGAGTGATCATCTCGCCGCCACATGGCTTGGGTTCCCAGGGCGGATCCAGAGGACCGGCGGTGAGTTCCTGACACTTCCCATCGCCGTCTTTGTACACAAGGGTGCCTCTGGTTTGATCCACACCCAATTTATCGTCCACCGCTAGGGGCATTTCCACCCTTTCGATCAGGGATCCATCAACACCGAAAATGAAGGAGAACTTATCAGCCTTATTTGCAAGCCCATAGAGCTTGTCCTGGACTCGGTACGCGTAGTAGTCGGCATCGCACAAAGTTGATCGAGTAACAACGCGGATTTCGTTTGTATCGCCGGCAACCGGGCACTTGCTAAAATACGTTACATATCAATTGAAGGTGCAACTTACACTATTCCGTCGCTATCTTTGCTTGAGACTTGACCACCGAGTTCAATCTTCTCCCCATTCACCACCATCTGCACGTTGGCGCCCTCGATTGTGCCGTTGAACACAATCTTAACCGTCTCTCTGAAACAGAAAAGACATTAATTTAAAAAAATTGACGTGGCTTTCGTTTGATCCAGCTATCAAGTCTTCTACGCCTTTTCGGGGCTTTGTGTAGCTGGAAAAAAGTTCAAAACGTCAAATTCACTCGTAAAAAGTTTCCTTGCAGCCTGCGAAAAGAAAAAAAAGGAAAACACTGTTTTGGGACAAAAAACGGAAATTTTTCGCTTTCGAATAGACATGGCTCTCGGGCCGGGCCAAAAATCGCGGCCCGGCGCCTTTATGTAAACTTCACGGGAGAAAGCTGGACGGGGAGGGTAAATTAGACTGGCGGAAATTGGACGGACTTTTTATTCATACAAAGAGAGAAAAAGAGCGCCATTTTTGGCAAAATCAGTCCAATTTCCGCCCGTCCAATTTACCCCTCTCGTCCAATTTCCTCCCGTCTAATTTCCATACAGTCACCCCGCACGTCAATCCAGCGCATTTCCTGAGTTTCGAAACTTCGTATCGTTTTCATTGATTTAAAAGAGAGACGAAATGTCACGAAATTACCGGCCCTTTTTCGCCCGAAATAATTGCTTTTTCCCGAAAAGGAAGAAGAAAGATAAGAAAATGCGTTTTATCGGATAGTGACATTTCGTTTTGAACGAATCGCCAAAAAGGGGCGGGAAATTTTTTCTTCTACTTTCTCGGCCTGGCCCAGCCCGGCCCCGCAGCCAGGTCTACTTTCGAAGCACAGAAAAGGAAAATACACTTGAGTGAAAGAAACGGTTCAGTATAAAATGGACCAAGAAACGCTGTAAATCCTCCGCCCAAACCTAACAAGTGCTAAACTGACACAGACCCCAACTCACGACACAAATGATTCGTTCCAATTGAAGGTTTGCAGCTGAATCCCGCCATCCTTGAACTCGAACACCTTGAGTTCGGCTGCGTTAGGCTGCAGACCCTCGAACGCCGCGCTGCATATCAACAGCGAATTCACCAGCGCTCGAATCGCTGCCTCCTCCATGGCCGCTGAGAGGATCCAGGGAGCGACCGATGCGTGCGACCAGAACACACAAAATGATTTCCACGAAATCAGGATAAATAAAAGTAATACAGGGTGCGGCAATTTTTCGGCCGGATTTGAATTGGCTATAACTTTTTTAGTTTTTGGCCAAATGCCAAAATTCTTTTTTTGCCTGAATCCATAGACATCCTCATTTTGTTTAATACCAAATATTTGATACCCATTTATTAGATTACAGTAAAAATTCAAGACAAAGGAAAAGCTCTAATTTTGATTGCTGACAATGGAATTACCCCTAGTGCGACTCTCAGATTTTCTTTAAATTTTGCCCATGGGCCGGACATAGGCCACACATCAATTCATGAATGTTTCAACCCGCGTCTCACAGGGGCGGCCAAGATATTCAACGATCTTTGCGGTCAGGAGGGTACATGACTGGTCACACAGAAAAACTTTTTGGCTCCAGTTTTGTGCGGAGAAAGCTGATTTTTTGTGGAAACGGTATTCTCTATGGCATGAACAGGCATGAAACTTTTTATGACAAAATTCGTAAAAAAAAGTCACTTTTCTGGAAATCTTCACACACGCCGAAAAAGCCGAGAAAACGACCGAAAGGTCAATAATACCTATGAACTAGGCCTATATATATAACATATTTGGTATTAAACAAAATGGGGATGTCTATGGATTCAGGGAAAAAAAGAATTTTAACATTCGGATAAAAACTAAAAAAGTTATAGCCAATTCAAATCCGGCCGAAAAATTGCCGCACCCTGTATTGCAAGTCTTCGCCAAGTCTCTAACGAGTCTTTGCCAGGCCTCGTAGGCACTTCCTGCAACCCTTCTTTGGGTGTCCACCTGCCCTACCCGCACAGTGCACTACACCAAAATAAAAAAAGCTAGCTGTCAAATAGATAACCGTTTTATTTCCTAAAAAATTTGGCTCTGAGAACCTATGATTTCTTCGACTTCTTGGTGGTTTCAGATTTGGCACTGGATGGTTTCTCCGTGGGGAGAGAATCCCACCAGGGGTCCGTGTAGTTGAACTCGAACTTGACTCGGAACTGAAAATAAAAATAAAATTCCTTTTTTATAAAAGTTAAATAAAAATAAAGCCTCACCTCATCCAGAGTCTTCAAAACCGCGGCCATATCGATCGTATTGCCCGGGGGCTTGTCCCAGATCAAGTTCCTGAGCATTGCGATGATTTCGTCATCCTTTGAAGGGTACTGCGGAACGTCCTCGGTCTGCGCCTTCAAATACAACTCGACCAGGCCTTCGGTTTCGTCAGGGGTTGGCCGAGAGTAGGCGAACTCGCCCGTCAGGACCACCACACAGCAGTGGAACCAGGACTGCATGTCGTCCACCATGCTCACCTCCTGGCCACGCAAGGCGGGCAGCGACATGTACTCGAGGGTGCCACAGCCGGCGGGACGCTTCGCTCCAAATTTCTGCACAAACCCAAAGCCCACGATGTAAAGCTGAAAAAATTGGGCATTCTCTTGTTTTCGGGACGAAACGAAGCAATTTCTGGTAACAAGAAAAAAAAACAGAAAAATTGGAATTCCACAGTGCACATCATTCCAAACTTTTTTTGTGAGCAAAATCCGGTGTCAAAAAAGCAAATTTTTTTGTAATGATTTTTTAACGCGCCTCAGACATGGCGTAATAAAGCGCGGAAAAATATCAGATCGATAAAACACATTTCGCTGGTTATTTCTTCTGCAACGGTTCAAAAAAGAATAATAAATGATTGTCATTTTCTTGCACCACTTCAATTCCCTCACCAAACCCACCCTGTTTCCATCCAACTTCCACTGCATATAATTCGCGGGCTTGATGTCTCCATGCGCGTATCCCAAGCGCTGCAACTCCAGGATCCCCTGCAGCATTTGATAACACACGTTCAGCTTCTGACCGTAGTTTGAACACGGAAGATCTTCCAACACGTCCTGAATACTGCGTTCGAAGCAAAGCATGATGTAGAAGAAAAGGTTCGGATAGTGGCCATAACCGCAAAAATCTGCAAGGTGAAGACTTCCGTAATCCCTGAAAAAAAGAGGAATTTAAAAAACGCGTTGGTCGCATTTTTTGCAGTAACTTTATACAAAAATGTGCTAAGAATTACAATTTCTTGGAAAAAACCCCATTCTTTTCTAAAATAAAGATGATTTTTTCTATGAAAAATATGGCGCTACGACATTTCGGGTCAGGGACAACTCGAGTCGCGACAACTCGGGTCAACGATACCGTTTAATATTTTCGCTTCGGGACTCGGAAAAAAGAGTTTTTTGGAGAATTTGAACAAATTTTTGAATTGTTTTCGCTTTGGGACTTGGGAAAAGGAATTTTTTGAGAATTGAGGTTTATTTTTTTAATTTTTTTATGAAAATAGTGTATAAGCGAGGATCAAACAAGAAAATCGTATCCATAAAAAAATTTTTAAAATAAATCTCAATTACCCCTAAAATAACTATTTATCTGAAACACTCGTACACTCCGCGCATTTAATTTGGATCAACCTGGATCTCAAAAACTAAGCAAGGCCTGGACTTGATTCTTTTCGCGTAATAATCTATAGTCATAAAGAACATGTTTGAGCAACAAACAATCACATTTCAGGTAAGTGTAAAATTTTAAATTGCAATTTAAGATTTCGGGTGCGCAGAAAATTTGGATCAACCTTGCAAAAAATTATTTTGCTCGCTGAGGTGGTCGATTTTAATGTTGTAAATGGTGAATACGGACACTACGGAGAAATAATATTCTGAGGGTATCAATTTTGTGCAATATTTCTTATGACATGGCCCATTAGGGAGATACCAAGGAATACGGTAAGAAAACTCAAACAAAGCCCAAAAACTGATAATTGTAACTCCTCAAATTTCTTGCAAAGTGTACTAATATTTACTTATAGGCCATGCAAAGTATTTTAGTAAGGCATCCAGTGGAGTTCACGGCATCTACGACTTCTACGAGACATAAATCAGAATTTTTCTGAAAAAAGTTTCTAACGGAAAGTTTACGGTACTTTTTAAAAGTTTTCTAGTGCCTGTTTTGAAGGTTCAGCAGATACAGGACATGATGTGGTAGCTTTTGATTTAATTAGTTCATACGATTCGTTGGTATCAATTCCGTAGGGCACAAAACTTTAGCTTCCGCGAAAATTCAGAATATGGAAGACTCGTTGAGAAGCTACAGTGTATCCGAGAATTTCATCTTTTGTTTGCTTATTAAATATGCACCTTGTAGACTGCTATAAAAGCAAATACAACGGTGGTTTTAGTTCAGGGAGGGAATTTCCAACCGAACGCGTGTGATGCACGGTGTAGTTTTTGATCCCCGCTCCGTCAGGCGACTTCAAACGGTAAAAATTGACAAATCTTTTTACGTAGAAATTTCAGCAATGTTGTTGTCTTTTTGTCGGCGCATCGAACAACCCATCAGAAAATTTTTAAAAAGTACCGTAAACTTTCCGTTAGAAACTTTTTTCAGAAAAATTCTGATTTATGTCTCGTAGAAGTCGTAGATGCCGTGAACTCCACTGGATGCCTTACTAAAATACTTTGCATGGCCTATAAGTAAATATTAGTACACTTTGCAAGAAATTTGAGGAGTTACAATTATCAGTTTTTGGGCTTTGTTTGAGTTTTCTTACCGTATTCCTTGGTATCTCCCTAATGGGCCATGTCATAAGAAATATTGCACAAAATTGATACCCTCAGAATATTATTTCTCCGTAGTGTCCGTATTCACCATTTACAACATTAAAATCGACCACCTCAGCGAGCAAAATAATTTTTTGCAAGGTTGATCCAAATTTTCTGCGCACCCGAAATCTTAAATTGCAATTTAAAATTTTACACTTACCTGAAATGTGATTGTTTGTTGCTCAAACATGTTCTTTATGACTATAGATTATTACGCGAAAAGAATCAAGTCCAGGCCTTGCTTAGTTTTTGAGATCCAGGTTGATCCAAATTAAATGCGCGGAGTGTACGAGTGTTTCAGATAAATAGTTATTTTAGGGGTAATTGACATTTATTTTAAAAATTTTTTTATGGATACGATTTTCTTGTTTGATCCTCGCTTATACACTATTTTCATAAAAAAATTAAAAAAATAAACCTCAATTCTTAAAAAATTCCTTTTCCCAAGTCCCAAAGCGAAAACAATTCAAAAATTTGTTCAAATTCTCCAAAAAACTCTTTTTTCCGAGTCCCGAAGCGAAAATATTAAACGGTATCGTTGCCCGAGGTGACGTTGACCCGAGTTGTCCCTGACCCGAAATGTCGGGACGCGAAAAATATCATTTTTTCTAAGCATAAGTTTTCTAGGAAAAGGCGTTTTTATTTCTATGCGAAAAAACATTTTCCCTCCCTCAAATCATATAACGATGTATCGAGAGTCAAAAAAAACTGAATAAACTCACTTCGGGTGGGATTCCTTACACTCCGAAAAGAATCGGAGCAGTGCAACCTCCTGTTTGGCCCGCTGCATCTCCATCTCGTCCCTGACGACCGTGAATTTGACGGCGGCAAACAGTTCACACGGTTTTGCATGCACGCTGTATTTGTGGACGACGCTCATTCTGCCGTGACTCAGCTTCGCAACATGGTGATAGGTAGACGCGTCGAAGATGGTTTGCGGAAGCTGCAACCCCAAATCTTCGTCTTTAAAGCTGTCGTTCAAGTCCAGGACCCTCTGCATGTCGTATGCTGACTTCTCCATCCTCAAGTTGCAGTCAACGTTGCTGAAAATACAATACGATGCGAAAATGCCAAAAAAAAAAACGATTCGCACTGCGCGATTGAGACCGAAAAGGCTCCAAACAGCAGAGGCCCTCAGAAGAGAACGAAGGGACCCCCATGAAAAGTATCAAAAAATATTCCAAATGATATTTTATACAATGAAAAAAATTTGCAAAAATCGAAAAAAACAGCGCGACATGCTCACGTCACCCGCACTCTTCGTTCTTTTTTTGGGGGCCTCATTTCGTTGGCCTTCCATTTGAGCTTTGTAAAATCAAAAAAAAGCAAATCTTACCCGTACGAGTCGCGCGGTAAGTCCTCAGACGGCGACTGAAAGTAGACAGCATAGACTTTTAAAACAAAGTCGCAAAACTCCACAAAAGCAAACAACTTACTTGGAGGTTGGTATTTGGCACGGGCTTCTTTTCTCTTCTCCAAGCGCCTCCCCATGGCGACCACTTGTACTGAAAAAATACAAGCTTATTTCGAACAGGCTGCGAAAACGGTGAATACAGTGGGGGACCTGATCCAGTGGCAAAAAACGTACCATTTTGCATCCGGAAAGTCTCAAAAATGTGGCGAAAGAAAATCTCCCTCCTCAAGTGAAAAAACTTCGTTTTGAAGGGCGCTTCCCTTCCCTCTCAAAAAGAGAGGGCGCGCTTTTGAAAATGGAGTTTTTTCACTTGCAGAGGGCAGCATTCTACCACATTTTTGAGACTTCCCGGATACAAAATGGTACATTTTTTGCCACTGGATCAGGTCCCCCACTGAAACAAGGCCGGAAAAACATCCCATCAGTCACAACTTACCCAGAACGGAGCGGAACCAACAAACGCGATGAGAACAACTCCAAGGAACCCGGCGGAGAGGCCGACGAGCACCTTTCCCCTCTCCGTCAGCAGACCTCTTCTGCGGGCCTTTGGTGGTGGGGGTCTAAACACCAATCAAAACAATGTTATTCTTCCACTTACCTATACAGGAACCGGACGTAGACGTTTTTGAGCTCGTCTCGGGGAATGGTCCAGTTCAATTTGCAGTAGTGGACGATTTGGAGGTATTGCTGAAATTCGAACATGAGAAAACTGACTGTTTTGTCAAAGCCTACGACATGATGCCATCCGGATGTTTCATTGGGAACCAGAGTAATCTTCTCGTCGTCGCAAAAACGGGATTCCCAGGATGAAGACAGAGAACCGGCAGTGAGTTCCTGACACATCCCATAGCCGTCTTTGTACACAAGGGTGCCTTTGGTTTGATTCACACCCAATTTATCGTTCACCACTAGGGGTATTTTTTTCTCTTCGATCAGGGATCCATCAACACCGAAAATGAAGGAGAGCTTATCAGCCATATTTGCAAGCCCATAGAGCTTGTCCTGGACTCGGTACACGTAGAAGTTGCTATCGCACAAAGTTGATCGAGTAACAACGCGGACTTCGTTTGTGTCGCCGGCAACGGGGCAATTGCTAAACTATGTCGCATATCAATTGAAGATGCAACTCACATCAGACCCCTGTCGCTATCTCTGCTTGAGACTTGACCACCGAGTTCAATCTTCTCCCCATTCACCACCATCTGCAACCTGGCGCCCTCGATTGTGCCGTCGAACTCAATGTTAATTGGCGTTCTGAAACAGAAAAGGCGTTAATTAAAACACGTTTTTTCCAAGGGTCGAGCGTAGTTGCGACGTCCATTCCAGAGTTCAGCGGCGACATGCACTGTGCAAGAAAACTCAGGGTGCGGGCGACAGCCCGAAAAAGCCTATTGCACTGTGCAAAAAGCCAAAAATTGCACAGTGCAAAGTGAACTGTCGTTTTCGCGGAGTGCATGTCGCCGAAAACATTCCAGCGACTTTACGAACGGACTAGTACCCATCTGGGACGCTCAGATTTTTATGCAACTCGGCACATACTTAGAAGCTTTCTGCCGAACTTCGGCACGAAAAGTTTCATACCTATTTCTACCGTAACGGGTAATGTTTCCACAAAAAATCAAGGAACTGGTATCTATTCCATTCCCAAAGTGTGTGCAAAATTTAAAGAAAATCTGAGCTTCGCGCTTGGGTACTTCCCTTGTTAGCGGGTTCAGTATAAAATGGACCAAAAAAACGCTGTAATCTCTTCCGCCCAAACCTAATCATTGCAAAACTGACACAGACCCCAACTTACGACACAAATGATTCGTTCCAAGTCAACGTTTGCATCTGAATCCCGCCGTCCTTGAACTCGAACACCTTGAGTTCGGCTGCGTTAGGCTGCAAACCCTCGAATGCCGCGCTGCACATCAACAGCGAATTCAAAAGCGCTCGAATCGCTGCCTCCTCCATGGCCGGCGAGATGATCCACGAAGCGGCCACTTGGTGGGATAAGAACACACAAAAAATTTATTTTCTGAACGAGAACAGCTTGGAATTTGCAAAGAAAAGGAATTTTTACCACGCGCAAGCTGTCCCATTCGATTTGGTGTCCACATTGCCCGTTTTCTGGTCGGATGACCCGACAATTTTGGGAATTTTGTGGTGCTTGTTGCGCCATGGATAATGTAAGTCGATTTTTCTATTTTATTGTGCAAACTAGCTAAAAAGGACAGACATAGATTAGGTGCAGGCCACTACGTTAATTTTACCACGGAGACAGGGCTAATTTCATAGAACGGCGGCTTGAACGAGGGACCAAACGTGAGGACCAAGTACAATATAAAATTTTTGTGACACTCGCCGTTTCCGGTTTGAATTTGATATTAGATCGGAGCTAATAACCGACTCCACAACTATCTGTAGCTAGGTTCGAAGAGTGTTGTTCGAAACAATAAGAAAATGCCACTTTCATTATCCACGTTTCGACAAAGTCGCCTCGCAACATTCCAAACTTTTGGTGGATTATCCGCACAGAAACGGGCAATCAAATTGAACGGAGTTTGCATTATCCAGGTTGTTGAAACGCGGATAATTCAAGTGGCATTTTCTTATTGTTTCGAACCGCACTCTTCGAACCTAGCTACAGCTAGTTATGGAGTAGGTTATTAGCCCCGATCTAATATCAATTTCAAACCGGAGACGGTGAGTTGCACGAAAATTTTATATTGTACTTGGTTCTCGCGTTTGGTCCCTGGTTCAAGCCGCTGTTCTATGAAATAAGCCCTGTTTACGTGATAAAATTAACCTAGTGGCCTGCACCTAATCTATGTCTGTCCTTCTTGGCTTGTTTGCATAATAAAATAGAAAAATCGACTTACATTATCCACGACGCAACAAACACCACAAAATTCCAAGATTTGACGGGTCATCCGACCAGAAAACGGGCAATCTGGACATCGAATCGAATGGGACAGCCTGCTCTTGGTAAAGGTCCTCTTTTTGGATAAAATTCAAGTCGTCTTCATTAGGATACGAAGTCGAAAAAGTGACGTTTTTGCCAACACCAAAAAGTTGGAACTCGTGTTGGATTTCGTGGCGAAATGTCACAGAAATTATTGTCTTGCTTTTTGCGAACAAATTTTGGCAGGGAAAGGTTTATCAGGTATTATGCGAGTATAAATGTTGTTTTAGACGGTCTGTTCGGCACGTTTGCCACGAATTTTGCTATACTAACATTTCTGACAAGTTTTGGAAGTCGAAAACCCCTTTCTTTCCTTTTTTCGTGAAAGAATAGGTCAGATTGCGTGTAAATCCGGGAGAACCCGCAACTTTCTTTGACAAACGCTTGCGATCAATTTTCAGTCTTGCATCCACAGCTTACGGCTGCAAGATGGAGGCAAGAAGATTGGTTTTCCATGTTTTAGGTACAAATTCAACGAGAAAGTGGATCTCTATGAAGGTAAGTCTTTCACCTTATTTTTGGTTGGTTTTTAGGTATGAAATGGAAGGAATTGGGCGCGGTAAATTTATTCATCTGTGTAACCAGCTTTGTGTACCTTTTTGCCTTGAACTTGAAGGAATTCTCAGTTTTTGCGTTGTTGAGAGGTGAGGATGTCCGAAGGTAGCTGTAGATGGATGTTGGGAAGGTCACAAATGCCGACCGACATTTGTTTTTTGCAAATTTTTTTTGTTCCGGCCAAATTTTTTGCAGTTCGATGGGCTCCGCAAACCATTGCGCAATGCGCACTGCAAATCTGCATTTGAGGCCAATAACTGTTGTAAATTGATAGATGATGTTATACTCTGATAATTCAAAAATAACTTCGGGCTGCACTGTGCGTTTTTCCTCCAAGGTGAAATCGCACTGTGGAATCAGGTCAGAAAACGAACATTTTTCGAAGCCGCATCCCCGAAATTACGACAAGAAATGTCGATTTTTGTTCTGCGATTTCCGAAACCCGACGAAATTCTTGCACTGTGCAAAACGGCGAAAAACGGCCGCACAGTGCCGATTTTGGCTCTTTGCACTGTGCAAGCTCAACATGCAAGCCAGAAATTTTTTCACAACAAAATCGCAAATTTCCCTGAAGATAAAAATTTATTTTTCAAACTCAATTCTGAAATTCATCGGTGGGTTCCGTAGCCTCAGGAATGGGACACTTTTCTTTTCTTTCCTTCTCTTCTCTCTCGAACTTTTTGGCATAGGTATCAAAATCATCTACGAAGATGAGCAAATTCTGCGACATCTCCACAGCATTGTACTTCATAAAGTAGAAGAGGATGATGCGCATCACGTACACGTACTGCTGAAAATAAAACGAGTGTAAAAAATTGGGAAAATGGTACGCTTTATGAACGCGAACTGATTTGCCAGCTCCCAACCCACCATTTCATTGCGGATAGCGCAATGTCGCTTCTCCCGGAGGTTCCTCAACATCCTGGGTGCATCCGCTTCTTCTCCATGCTGGATTCTTTCCAGAATTTGGCAAGTAAAAACCAGCACGGCGCTGCGACCTGCGCCCGAGCTGCAATGGACCAACACTTTCCTGTGGCCTTTGATTTGCTTCCAAAGGAAGGGCATCGTGTTCGAAGGCTCGGGGAAGCCCACCGGAGGGAAATTGGACCAGAAAACATGCTTGACTTTTTGCTCGCCCTTAGGGCCGCTAACTTTGAGATGACTGAAATGGAGGGTCGGCTCCTCCACAGGGCTGGCGTCGATCTGAAAACCAAGAATTGTTGATAATAATAGGTCCAACTGGTAAAAGTTCCTTATTTTGGCCACAACTTATAACTTTACGGTAACTGGTCGGAATTAGCCCAAATTTAGCGTGCACGCTCAATTCATCGTTGTCAATGCCCGGACAGTGGATTTAGTTAGCGAGGTACCTTCTTTTTTACGTACCACCTTACCCTTCAAAAACGGCTGCAGCCTGTGATTTTACACTTTATACGATGAAACATGTCCGGAACTAAACTTATTGCCTCCGTATGGAACTAAATGAGTCGCCACAGCCTTCGTAGGTACCCTTAAAACTATAGGGCTACCATAGTAATTCAGTGTCGCGGAGTACCTTTTTTGTGGCCTACTTACTCTGCAATTCACGACCTTGAACACTCCAAAGTCGTTGGTTTCGCCTACTTTTCCTGGGTAATATCTAGCGCACTTTCTTCCTTCATCACATGGATGCAACTGCACAATCTGAAAACCAAACGAAATAAGCAAAAATTTAAAAAAATATTCAAATTCTTCAAACAAATCGCAAACTTGATGACAAAAACAATAAAAACCGACCATTTCGACTCCTTCGTTCTGAACCAAATCCCAAAATTGCGCGGTAGTGTTGAACATGGGCGACTGGGCCAGAATAAAACGCGAATCCACCGCACTCGCGTGATAGTAGCCCCCATCCGACAGTCTAACGCGCGACGCGTCCAGACAGAGAATGTTCTGAAAAAAAGTGCAAATTACAGTATCCCAAGTGCCTCAAATGACTTGAAATTTTGCACAGCAAGTCTCAATGGGCCAACCACTGATTGCTAAAAGTTTGAGCGCCTAGTTCTCGCGGAGAGTCGAGAAATTCAACAATTTTCCCGATGAGAGACTATGGAAAATTAGGAGAGTCAAAAAAATTGTTTTCAGCTATACCTTTTCGAATTATGCTGAGAAAACAGCATTTTTTTCTAGAAAGATTGTGTTCCCCAATTAGGGTAGAATGCAAATTTTTCACGCTGAAAATCGCAAAAAATTTTTTATTTTTATTTTATTTACATATTTATTTATTTTTTTTTTTTTTGATTTTCCGCCGAAAAGTCAAAAATTCCTGCACAGTAAGAGCCCAAATCTTGAGAAATACTTCAGAAAATTCTATTACAAATTTCCCCAAAGTTTAATCAAGAAGATTTGATTCGCAAATTTTTTGAGTCCCACCACGAAAACATGCAGATTTCAAAGCACGCTCTAAACACAAAAACACCGCGGTTTCTCTCACCTTGTAGCGATTCTTGTCCGCATTCGCGGGATCTTGACACGCCATGGCCATATGGACCTTTGCCTTGTCTTCGGCCTTGATGTCGTTGAATTCTTTTCGGATCCCGCTCAACTCCTTGTTCAACATGGTCGGAATGAAGTTGAATTTGTCGGTGACGGTCTCCGGGACCTCCTTTATTTGGGTTTCCGTCTCAACCACCTTCATTACGGTGACGTTGGCGTTCGGTGCTTTCTTTTTATGGCTGAAATCGAAACTTTAGTTTTGAATTCCGGCTTTCCCACAGATTCTGGCATTCTGTTGCAAGGCTCAAAAGGTGATCCAATCGCTTTGGAAGTGAGCGTGGAGTAAAATACAACCGTCTCAGTTCGATAACGTACTAATTATGCCAAAGAATTCAAATTTTAAATTTCCCGCCCAAATTTGGCATTGTGTTTTATGGGCTCAAAAGGGATCGAATTAATTCAAAAAAGGTAAAATACCAACACTCCATCTCCCACTAAAAAAGGCATAGTGTGAAATTCAAAATTCGAATTTCCCGCCATTTTTTGGCATTCTGTTTCAGGGACGCAAAATGGTTGCAAAAGCCTCAGAAGTGGTTTGAACGTAAAATACGTCTGCCGTAGTGTTATAATCAAACTCACTTCTTCTTTTTGACACTTCTGGAGGCATCCAATCCGCTCTCTTTTTCTTTATCTTTGTCGCGTTCTCGGTCTTTCTTCTTCATGACCATAGAGGATGCGGTATCATCTGATTTGCTTTCCTTGGGAGTATTCGTAGCCGTATTCTTCTTCCTACGGGCCTGCGTCTGCTTTTGATTATCCTTTTTCTAAAAAAACTGGTTAGAATTGAAATTCAGCAACTTTTCAATAATTTGCAACGAAAAAATCGGTGGCTTACGCAAGATTCCGGCGAGAAATGTCAGAAATGTCTCAGAAAATGTCTTAGAAATTCTTGATTTTCCGTATTTTCCAAGCCTAGTCAAAGTTCAAAGAAAAAATTTTTTTGTCCCACCACGAAAACTTGAAAATTTCAAAAACTTTGCGCAAGCCCCATAAAACCAATGTTTTTGGGCTTGGAACTCACCTTGACGGATTTCTCCTCAGCTGTCACGCCGCCGTTCCCATCGTCGCCTCCGCGGAACTTGTTCTGCGCCTTCTTCTTGAGGCGCTGCAAGAACCCGCCGACCTGCGTGACTCCGTGGCCCTTTTTGTCTTTCTCTTTTTCCATTACAAGGGCCCGCAGATTACTGTGGAAGTGGGACAAAAAAGAGGTGCAAGCTTAGCAACCGATCAACGAGTGAGCGTCGAGAAGGTATGAGGGGAAGGGAGGTGTGGGGAAGTGAGGAAATTTGGGGAAATTTGCATAAAAAATTTTTGAAATTTTTTTTCGAAAGTCGCAAAAATTAAAAAAACATTTAAAACGCGTTTTACTACAAATCGTAGATTGGCCCGGACATTGTTGAGTCGATGTCTCAGAATTCAACCAAAATTGGTTAACCGAATCACCAATCGACATGGAGCAATCGCTTGATTTTTTTTTGCCCATAGTCGTTATATGGTGCATTACTGTAACTTTCTTTCTGAGAAAAGAGTTGCCTTTTCTGCAGATATGGTGCGGTATTTTAGTGAGACCGAACCACCACTTTATGTTTTCGACCATGTAGAACGTTTTTGTAATTATGGCCAAAAGCTCAGAATTACATCTAAGCAATGTTTCGCCTGCGGTAACATACCATTTCGGGCATAAAATTGGCTACTGTAACCAGATGCACTTTTAAATACGGCAAAAAGAAACTTCAACCTTTATCCAATAACCCATAAAAATTTCAAAAAAATCAAATATACAACTTTTGAGAAAATGGGCATTCAGTATCTCATGTACAAGGTCATCTGGGCCCGAAAAATCTGGCATTCTTGGGATTCCAACGGGATGCACTTTTTCAAAGTTTCTAATACATTCTGAGGCTGATTAAAGATGATATGGCAAGTTTCAGGAGAAAAAATAAACAACTTTCGAGAAATTGACCAAAATACCTTACTTTAGGTCATCAGAACGCCGAAAAAGTCTGGCATTCTTGGGATTCCAACGGGATGCACTTTTTCAGAGTTTCTAATACTTTCTGAGGCTGAATAAAGATGATATGGAAAGTTTCAGGAGAAAAAAATATACAACTTTCGAGAAATTGACCAAAATACCTTATTTTAGGTCATCAGAACGCCGAAAAAGTCTGGCATTCTTGGAATTCCAACGGGATGCACTTTTTCAGAGTTTCCAATACATTCTGAGGCTGATTAAAGATTAGAGGCTATCAAGAAGTGCTACAACCTCAAATCCCAAGAATGCCAGTTTTTTCGGGGTTCTGATGACCTAAAATAAGGTCTTTTGGTCATTTTCTCGAAAGTTGTGCATTTTTTTCGCCTGAAATTTTCGTTATCATCATTTACAAGGCAAATAATGTATTAGAGGCTATCAAAAAGTGCATCCCGTTGGAATCCCAAGAATGCCAGACTTTTTCGGCGTTCTGATGACCTAAAGTAAGGTATTTTGGTCAATTTCTCGAAAGTTGTATATTTTTTCTCCTGAAACTTTCCATATCATCTTTATTCAGCCTCAGAAAGTATTAGAAACTCTGAAAAAGTGCATCCCGTTGGAATCCCAAGAATGCCAGACTTTTTCGGCGTTCTGATGACCTAAAATAAGGTATTTTGGTCAATTTCTCGAAAGTTGTATATTTTTTTCTCCTGAAACTTTCCATATCATCTTTATTCAGCCTCAGAAAGTATTAGAAACTCTGAAAAAGTGCATCCCGTTGGAATCCCAAGAATGCCAGACTTTTTCGGCGTTCTGATGACCTAAAATAAGGTATTTTGGTCAATTTCTCGAAAGTTGTATATTTTTTTCTCCTGAAACTTGCCATATCATCTTTAATCAGCCTCAGAATGTATTAGAAACTTTGAAAAAGTGCATCCCGTTGGAATCCCAAGAATGCCAGATTTTTTCGGGCCCAGATGACCTTGTACATGAGATACTGAATGCCCATTTTCTCAAAAGTTGTATATTTGATTTTTTTGAAATTTTTATGGGTCATTGGATGAAGGTTGAAGTTTCTTTTTGCCGTGTTTAAAAGTGCATCTGGTTACAGTAGCCAATTTTATGCCCGAAATGGTATGTTACCGCAGGCGAAACATTGCTTAGATGTAATTCTGAGCTTTTGGCCATAATTACAAAAATGTTCTATATGGTCGAAAACATACACCTGAACTCGATTTGTGCTAAAATAGAGCTTCGTTTTCTTGATTAGGCCATATCTTTTTTTTAAAAAAATGTTACAGTATGCCGTCATACGGTAATTTTGGGCAAAAAGAAAGAAAGCGAATGTTTTACCTGTCATGATGATCAAGTTGACCGATTTTGGTTAAATTCTGAGATACCGATTTTAACAATGTCCGCCCTCTGTTAGGCTAAACTCCAAAGTGTGGCAAAACGCGTTTTAATTTGAAGTTCCAAAAAAAAGATTTTTTTTTTTGAAAATATGAAATTTAGTATTTTCATAAAGTGCATGGAAGTTTTTGAATTTTTTTTCGAGAATCGCAAAAATAAAAAAAAAATTAAATTTGAAGATTCAAAAAATTTTTTTTAACAAGGAAAGTACTTCTATGGGGTGTGGAGTTACAGGTCGAGATATATATCAAAAAATTCGCAAAAATTTTCTGATTCAGAATATATAAAAATTAGCTGCCTAATTTTGGTCTGATGACATGTTTTTGTCCTCTGAAGTTTTCTCGCGACACCATGCAAGTGTCTTTTTGGCCGCGTTTTTACCAATAAAAAATTTTTATTTTGTGCTAAAATAAATTCTGAGGCATTGAAAAGCCTTAAAATATCAAATTGGATTACAACTACACCTTAAAAGTAGTTCCAATGTAAAAAATGGGTTCTGTGGCAAAAGGAATCGAACCCGCTCCCCTCGGATTCCCAATCTAGCGCTCTAACCACTCGGCCACACCGCTCTCTTCCGAAGGAAGAGACCGAGCGCGCTTTTGTTGCCGCAGATTTTTTTCCTCGAGAAATAAATTTATTGATAAAACTCGTAGATAGACCAAAATTAGGCAGCTAATTTTTATATATTCTGAATCAGAAAATTTTTGCGAATTTTTTGATATATATCTCGACCTGTAACTCCACACCCCATAGAAGTACTTTCCTTGTAAAATATGAAGTTGAGTATTTTCATAAAGTGCATGAACTTTTTTTTCTCTTCCACACAGTGCATTTTGAACCTCTTCCCGCGCTTGTCGCCAACGCACAGTGCATTTTTCTTTTTCGCACAGTGCAGCCTGGAAAAAAACCGTTTGCACTGTGCAATTTCCTGGCACCACCTAGAGGTGGCAATCGGGCTGGGCCGGCCCGGCCGGGCCGGGCCTGAGCAGATTTGAAAAAACCCTGGGCCGGCCTGACCGCTTCGGCCCATCGGCCGGGCCGACACTTTCGGCCCGGCCCGGCCCGGAAGGTTAATTAACAGGGGAAGTACTCCAAGTGTGACGCTCAGATTTTCTTTAAAATTTGCACACACGTCGGGTATGGACTAAATATCAATTCCTGAAAGTTTTAGCTCGCGCTTTGCGGGCGCCGCCGAGATATCGAACAATTTTTGCCGCCGAGAGAGCACGCTCAACGTGGAGAGCGGTCAGAGAGAAAACCGTTTTTTGGCCATAACTTTGGCAGTTTCGTGCGGAAAAATTTGATTTTTTGTAGAAACATTATCCTTTACAGTTGAAATAGGCATGAAACTTTTCGTACCGAAATTCGGCAAAAAGTCCTAAAATTTCGCCGACTTTCGATCTAAAAATCTCAGTTGTTTCTGCAAAGCGCGAGCTAGGATTCCCGCATATATCTTAGAAAAAATTATTCTAAATTTGTGCCAAGTTTCATCAAAATCTGAGCGTCACACTTCAAGTACTTCCCTTGTAAGTAAAAAATGTTTAATGCTAAACCATCAAAATAAAGCACAAATGCTTTGTAGAATGGATGGAAATTAGATTAAACCTTTTTTGACTTATACGCTGTTTTACTACCTTTTAAAATTATGTATACAGTAGTTGACAGCGAATTGTCAATTTTTTTATTTCGTGTGTAACTTCACTCAGACTGAACAGAATTTGATGAGACTAAGAGCGTTTAAGAGGCTGGGAGACACGCTTTAACCTTATGAAATTGTTTTATTTCATATCGGCCACAGGCGTGGTAAAAATTTCAAAACAAATTTTTTTGGGGGACAACGAATTGTCAATTTTTACATTTTGAGGCATAAGATCTCAATAAACCAGCATATAAAGACTAGAATGGAGAGTAATCAGTTGCCAGCAATCATAGAACAGCATACAACGGGTTTCAGCCATTAGTATAATCTCATTCGCTTTCTATAGGTCGGGCACTTGGGGGTGGACCATGTACAATATAATGTCAGCCTGGGGGCTTCCTAGGCCGAAATTATCTTATATTCCGGTTTTTTATGGGCGGTTACATCTTACTACGCTAGGGCAAGTCAAAAAATTACACCTAACGGGTTACACTTGCGCCTTGTTACCTCGAATATGTTAATCATGGCCTTTCATACTGTTGGTCAGAGTATCAAAAATCAAAAAATGTCGCGCATGAAGATCGTTGGAGAAACCTTCTATGTTTGAAAACAAACTACACTAAAAGACAAATATTCAGTGCCTTTAACATGTCAGTACCAGCACTCATGGAAGAGGTATGCAGAGGGAAATATTTGGATTTACATGAATTTTCACGTCGGGTTTGCAACACCCAGAAAAATTCTTATTTCTTCAAGCCTGCAACTTCCAAGACATTTTATTAGCATATTAGAGATTTTTACAAGCATTAAAAATATTAGTTTTAACGTTTAAAAAGGCAGAAGACGCGCAATAAAATGATTAATATACTCACCACCCTAGTGTGGCACAAGAATTAATTGGACCGTCAGAATCTCACCCGGAAATTTCAGGGCGTCGAGACAGGTAATGAAATAATTTGTAGAATGTCGTTAGTTTGGCCGTAAAGGAGGATTAAATGAACCTATGCCCCCTGTCGGCAAAAAAATTATCGATTTTTGGGCGAAACACAGAGTTTAAATGACCAAAAATAATATTATCTGACGAATTTTTGACCCGTAGCCCCTACAAGTTGTAATCCGGTGCAAGTGTGTTAAATATATGCAATAATCTTCCATAAAAAACCGGAATATAAGATAATTTCGCCCTAGGAAGGCCCCAGGCTGACATTATATTGTACATGGTCCACCCCCAAGTGCCCGACCTATAGAAAGCGAATGAGATTATACTAATGGCTGAAACCCGTTGTATGCTGTTCTATGATTGCTGGCAACTGATTACTCTCCATTCTATTCTTCATATGCTGGTTTATTGAGATTTTATGCCTCAAAATGTAAAAATTGACAATTCGTTGTCCCCCAAAAAAACTTGTTTTGAAATTTTTACCACGCCTGTGGCCGATATGAAATAAAACAATTTCATAAGGTTGGAGCGTGTCTCCCAGCCTCTTAAACGCTCTTGGTCTCATCAAATTCTGTTGAGTCTGAGTGAAGTTACACACGAAATAAAAAAATTGACAATTCGCTGTCAACTACTGTATGTATGTGTAACTTATTATGTATATATGGCTCGGGACTTCTAAATCTCTCCGCAAGACTTTTTAGTAAACAATTGCGAGAGAAATGGAGAGTAAAGAACGCTCACAAATTTTTCCCTTTACAAAAAAGAGGAAAGATAAAAATAATATAGTTGCAAAAACTTTTTACAATTCTTTGCGAGTCGAGTCGCAACACATCCGAACCCTGGAAATTTAGTCCAAAGTTAAAATTTGACAAAAAAGGAGGAGACGACAGAGAAAGGCAGAAATTCTTACAAAGAGAGAAATTGCGCAATGTTATGTCAGATTGCGCAACTTTTAACTTTGTACTAAATTTGCAGGGTTCGGATGGACTCTTGCGGAGAGATTTAGAAGTCCCGAGCCATATATGTAAAATCCCACCCAAATATGCATTCGAATTTTTTATGATTCTTTTTTTTTTAAATTTCACTGTAGTTTTGATTCCTTGATGTAAATGAAAGTGTTTAAACAGTTTTTGGTTAACCATGTACCTCATAACGTCCATACTTTTATATAGCTAACTTCCTAGAGGATTAAAAAATTCAACACAATCCAACTTTTTGGCTAGGTTTTAGCTACCTATACGGATGTTCCAGTCATCCGACTAGACTTTAATTTCACGCAGACACACGTAAAAACCTTCTGGAAAGCATAAGAACTTCCAGTAGAAAATGCAAAGACTTTTATCCAACTTTTCTGTATTAGCGGGCCAAACCGGGCCGGGCCGGCCTGGGCTTTGATCGCGCCGGGCCGGGCCTGAGCAAATTTGAAAAAGCCCTGGGCCGGCCTGGTCACTTCGGCCCGCGGGCCGGGCCGCAAAAATCGGCCCGGCCCGGCCCGATTGCCACCTCTAGCCCTCCTCAAGGCCAAAAGGGTCTTCTAGGCCCACAGGGCTCTCCACAAGGCGGATTCTTTGATCAACAGCCTCAACAAGGGGCTCCTTGTCCAGGCCAACAACAACAACAGCCAATGCAAGCGCCACAAATGCAGCATCGAATGTCGGATGCTAAAATTGCGAGTTAAAGCCTTCTGTATATCATACACCAGTTCGAAAAGAAAACCAAGCTTTTTTAACTTCATATTTATTACAGACATCCAATAATTACAATATGTGTTTCTGTAGTAATACCACTTCAAATTTCTCATCGGAATCCTCAGCACACACAAGGCCTTTGCGGTTGGCAAACGCATTGCGCGACAGTCTGCGTCATGGCGGCGCGGTTTTGGAATGGAGATGGCTCGCGTTGGAGGGGGCCTTGGAATTCTTGAAGAAGTCCGGGGACCGCGTTCCCTGGCCGATAGGAGTTCTGGCCCTGAGGGGAGAATTGCTGCTGAGGCGGCTGCTGAGCCTGCTGGGCTTGTGGGAAAGCTTGCTGGCCTCCTTGACCTTGTTGATACTGTTGTTGACCTGCCTGGCCTTGTTGAAATTGCGGTTGACCTCCCTGGCCTTGCTGGAACTGCGGCTGACCTCCTTGCGCTCCAAGTCCTCCGGCATTTTGCCCTTGTCCGGGCTGGTCTTGGAACTGGAATGGCTGCTGGTCGAAACCGCCTATTGGCTGGGGCTCTGGCATCCCATTATAGGCAGTATTTGGGACTTGTTGGAAGGGCTGACGACAGCACGGATCCTGCTGTTGTTGATGCTGTTGTTGGCATGGACAAGGAGGGGCTTGTTGGGCCATTTGCGGGGGACAAGGACAAGGGGGTGTCTGCATTTGAGAAGGGCATGGGCAAGGATCATGTGCTGAAAATTTGGAAGGTATTACAACGACTACATCTTCATGTTAAGATTTTTTATGACTAAAAGCTTTTTTATTGGACTTTTTGATGTCTAAGACATCTTCCAAGCTCTATAAATCCTTCCTCACCTTGCTGCTGAGGCTGGAACTGCTGTTGTTGGCAGCACGGGTCCTGTTGCTGTGGTGGAGCGCATTGGCAAGGCTCTGAAAGTTTAGTTATATGTGATTAGAGGCGGTTTTCTTACGCTGCTGCTGATAATTCGAGGGGCCCTGTTCCGGATTGGTCTGTTTAATAGTCACTAAAGAAAAAGACTAGTTTTAGAAGAACTGAGGACGTTTATGATGCGTGTTAGCTCACTAAACTCACCTTGAACACAAGTGCAACTGAGCGGCTCAAGTCCTTGCGCGTAGCCGGGGTCTTGGAAGGTCTGTTGAGTGCTTCCACAGCAACAACAATCGGATTGCGGGTTGATTGGTTGCGGCTGAGGCATTGGAGGGTACTGCTGCTGCTGTTGGCAGCCACAGTCAGCTTGCTGTTGTTGGCATGGACATGGGGGCGCTTGTTGTTGCTGACACGGACATGGGGGCGCTTGCATTTGCGGTTGGAACTGCTGCTGAGGCGGGCAAGGCGACGCACAAGGCTGCTGCATTGGCGGAGCCTGTTGTTGAGGCGGGCATGGACAAGGTGGCGCTTGCATTGGCTGTTGCTGTTGTTGACATGGACAAGGAGCCCCTTGTTGAGGCTGTTGATCAAAGAATCCGCCTTGTGGTGGACCCTGCTGCCCCAAAGGACCCTGTTGGCCTTGATGAGGGCAGGGAGAGACGCAGGGCTGTTGCAGAGGCTGCTGCTGCATTTGCTGTGGTGGACAAGGGCATGGGGGAGCTTGCTGTTGCTGTGGAGGACAGGGCAAGCACGGAGGGCCTTGTTGGGGCGGTTGGAATTGAGAGGAAGCATGCTGGCCTTGGCATGGGCATGGAGGGGCCTGTTGTTGGCCTTGGCATGGGCAAGGAGGAGCCTGCATCTCATGCTGCTGGCCTTGACAAGGGCATGGGGGACCCTGTTGGAATTGAGGAGGGCCCTGTTGTCCCTGCTGGAACTGTGGCGGTGCCTGCTGGCCTTGACAAGGACAAGGAGGCGCTTGCTGCTGTTGCTGGCAAGGACAGGGAGGCGCTTGTATTGGTGGGCCTTGCTGGAACTGCGGCGGCGCTTGCTGACCTTGACTAGGATATGGCGGCTGCTGTTGCGCACCATGGAACTGCTGACCCTCGCAGGGATTGCAGTCTTGTTGCGGAGGGAAGGCTTGTCCGCCTTGGCAAGGACAAGGCGCTTGTTGAGGCGGCTGGAACTGCTGTCCTTGGCAGGGACAGGGCTGTGGAGGCGTTTGGAATTGTTGTTGCATTTGGGGAGGCGGCTGTTGGAAGGGATGTTGGCAGCCGCAGTCGGCGCCTAAGCCTTGAGGCGGCGAGAATTGTGGAGGCTGCTGGGACTGGCCGCCCGGTGGACAACATCCTTGTTGAACTGGAAATGGAGGTGACATTAGATGCTTAAATATGCTTTATTTTGTAAATCGAAAAAGTGATATATGGTCTAATGCGGAAAAAGTATATCTTTGAAAAAAAGTAGTTTGATGTCAAAAGTGATTGCAGAAACATAGAAAATTGCTGGGGTTGAATGAATGTCATCGTCCACTTTGATCGACCTTTAGAGTCTCAAAAAAGTACTAAAAAGTAAGCCAAAATATCCATTAACGTCAGAAAAGTATCTATTTTACTACAGGCGCTTTCTTACGACTGATTTTTCGAGCGAAAAAAGCTGCTACCACATTACCATGGCCTATTAAATCTTACCTGTAGCACAAACACACGTTGTCGGCTGTCCTTGACCAAGTCCTTGCCGTTTCTCTCGATTTACAGGCTTCTAAAATACGGTAAAATCATTTCTAGCCTCTTGTTCATCTCTGTTAAACATTTATTTACATTTTCCGAGCCTAATCCCCTTAAAACACTACAAATCAAAAACCTGAGGCGATTTATTTTTACCGATCTTCCTCATTTTCGGAAATTCGACCCTGTTCGCTGCAAGAACCAATACCTTGCGCAAACAGTTGACAGTTTTAAAAATAAACAAAAGGACTAACCGCTGCGAGCCGTGGAATGGACAGGTTGAGGACGAGGAAGACGGCGAGCGCCGTGTGTCGATACCTCCAGATCATCCTGAAAAACGAGTTCAGTATAAGATTTTTTGCCATATCAAAAAAATTGTGAATAATATCTGAATAACAGGAGATGAATGTATCAGTCTGTCGAAAAAATAATGAACATTGTGGCATCGAAATCGGGTCGAAGGTGAATTGTGTCGCGGCAAAAAACAAATTACTTTTCACCTCAGCGACACGATCGGCACAGCAACGTTATGCTCACTATTTTCCCGACAAACTGATAAGCAAAAAATAAATTAAGACATGGGCATTCATTATCCGTCTGTCGGGAAAATAATGTGGACATGTCGCAGCAAAATTTTTCGCCCCGTCGCAGTCGCACACCAAATCCCCAAACGCGCCTACTTTGCGACGTTCAAGGGATCCACAGTATTTTCCCGACAGTCTGATATAGCATCAATTTTTACCAGAATAGGGAAAAACTTCCGTTTCGAGGAACAAGTGTATTCATTTGTTATAGAAAGGTTTTGTTGGCCCGAACAAGGCCTAAAAACTGACTAACAATACATTCGCTAAAAGTCTCCGTTGTAGGCAGATTTTGCTGTTGGAACGTTTGTTGTGCGTATGTTACGCTGTATTGGAAATAATTCTGAGAATAATAACAAAAAATAAAGCATATGGATGTTGCTCACAGAACACTAGCTCTGCCTTCAAACATTGTTTAGATAATATAAGGTATATGGAATATATTTTAACTATTACATCAAAGTCTAACAAGAACGTCAACCAAAACATTGCAAACGTTTCGAAACCCTCACTTCCCAACCGTGATTACGGTAACGTCGGCCGTCGAATACCCTCCGTCACTAATGAATGTCCCGCCGGGCTTTCGGCCGGTCTTCTATTAGAAGTGCGCGGTCGGGTGGGCGGGCGTTGCGCAAGACGTCGAGTTTTTGCGTCGCTCGGGGGGTTTTTTGAGCGTGAGGTCCAGACGGTTTATAACCGGGAAAGTAGGAGGAATGGAGCATGCACTTGAGTAAAAACTACAAACCAAAAAAATTTTTGAACATTCAGGGTGGTATGTAAATATATTTGAAGATTGCCGGAGGCGCAGAGCTGGGATTTTGCTGAAATTTTGTGTGCGAGATTTCAGTAGACGACAGATTATATACTGAAAGTTTTAGCTTCCGCATTGCAGCGAGAGCCGAGATATCGAACGATTTTTGCCGCCGAGAGAGCACGCTGAACGTGGAGAGCGGTCAGAGAGAAAAGCGCTTTTTTGCCATAACTTTGGCAGTTTCGTGCGGAAAAATTTGATTTTTTGTAGAAACATTATCCTTTACGGTTGAAATAGGCATGAAACTTTTCGTGCCGAAATTCGGCAAAAAACTCCTAAATTTTCGCCGACTTTTGATCTAAAAATCTCGGTCGTTTCTGCAAAACGCGAGCTGGAATTTTTACATCAGTCTTAGAAAAAGTTATTCTAGAGTTGTGCCAAGTCTCATCAAAATCTGAACGTTACACTTGAAGATCTTCCCCGTAAAAAAAACTATGCAAAATGAGGAGAGACGGTCAGAGAAAAGTGGTTTTTCTGCTGTTTTTTCGCAAGCTTTTTGTAAAAAAATTATTTTTTATTATTCTCTTTATTACTATCATCAAGTTCAACAAGATCGTCTCAGTTTTTCCCAGCGATTTGGCCATTGAATTTGGACAAAGGCACTTCTCAAGTTCCCACTGGTTTCAGTTCGTCGCGCACGTTACTTTACAGTCGTTTAGATGGGATACAATTGCCTTGGGCGAAACTTGAAACCGTTTGGTCAAACGGCCATCGCGTTGAGAGGGGAGAGCTTTCACGGGTTTTGTGACGTCGCCAACACTCTGAAGATCTTTGAAGATTGTTTCTGGATAAAAAATACAGTCAAACCTCTGTGAAATCGCAGAGGATCAAATAATAAATAATAGATTTTTTATAGAAAGGCTTCGTTGTACGAGGTTTCATTTTGCCCTAAAATTGACTCCTGAAACATCTATCAGTCTGTCGGGAAAATAATGTGGACTCGTCGAGCCTTGAAATCATACGTTCGTTATAGGAAAGCTTCGTTGTAGGAAGCTTCATTTTGCCCTAAAATTGACTCTTGAAACATCTATCAGTCTGTCGAGAAAATAATGTGGATTTGTCGCAGAAAAATTTCAAGCCTCGCCACAGTTGCGAACCATATCTCTAGCTGTCGGAAAACGATGAAAAGTTAATTTCAAAGCGTAAAAGACCCTGCATTATTTTCCAGACAGGCTAAACAGTCTGTCGGGAAAATAATGAGCACTTTGTCGCATCGAAATTCGAATCGCCGCCGAGAAAATGATTTTTTTTTTCTGTCGAAATCAAATTGCTTTTCACTTCAGCAACGCAATTGGCGCAGCGAAATTGTGATCATTATTTTTCCGACAGACCGATAGATGTTTAGATAGCGTAAAACAAGAATCATTCAGATTTTTCTTTGCTTAAACAAAGAGATTTGACATTTTTTTTAGGTATTTTCAAAGCGAATAATATCTGTGGGAGTCTCTTCGTTTTCCATAGTCTCTCTATATCATGTGAAGATCGTTGAATTTCTCAGCTGGCTGCAACACTGCAAAGCGAAAGACAACAAATGTCCATGCACTTTATAAAAACACTAATATCTGTCTGTCGGGAAAATAATGTGGATTTTTTGCGCTGCTTATCGCTTTGCGACGGCTTGCCAAGAATGAAGATTTTGTACTTAAAAAACTGCGACAAATCCACATTATTTTCCCGACACACGAATATTTATGGTTGTGGAGCTTTATTTCGGCCAAATTTGACGACTGTACACTTCAAATTGTTTGTTATACACAAGTTTTGTTGCACAGAGCACCACTAAATCATAGATCATCTTTTTGCATAGCAATTGCCAAAAAATTTTTTTTTTTTTATTTTTTCATTTTTCATGTTCTCTCTTCAGGTCCTTCTCTCAACATTTTTCATAACGAAATTTCAATGCATTTTCGACGAGTTAACACCCACTGTTTACACGAGAAGTGGTTTGAAGGGCCGGTTTTAAGGGATTAATTATTGCTCGCGCGAGTGGTCACTCATTTTTTGTGTGTTCAAGACGTGAATACAAACCCGGACGAATATCCGGCCCACTGTTTGCGCAACACGAGATTTCACGCGATTTTTTTTTTTTTTTTTTTAAGAAAAACAACTTTAATGGACTCCGAGGGGAAAACGCAAACGAAAAGATGGCCTACAATACATAAAGGTGAGGTCAGAATACGGAAAAAGGTGAAAGTAGAGTGAATAGAGAGGATGTATAGTACAAATCGAAGAATACAGTTAGATCTCTGCATATCGAATGGCAAGGGAAAGGAAAAAAGATTCGTTATATCAGCCTGTCGGGAAAATAATGAGCAGAATATCGCTGGGTCGCGTCGCTGAAGTGAAAAACAATTTGATTACCGTATTTTCGGTGGAAACTGTCGACTATGCACTTCATTCACTTTCATTGGCCCCAAATCGAAAATTGTCCGTTCGCAAAGTCGCTGAATTGTTTTTTGGCCATTGCACAGTGCAAAAACCCGAAAATTGCGTAGTGCGCTGTGAACGTTTTCTTTCGCACATTGCGTGGTCGCCGAAATCACTCCAGCGAATTCGCGAACGGCCCTATACAGTCAGACCTTCGCAGAGATATCTAGCAGTGCGTTACGGGCCCAGTGCGGCACTATAGGGGGCGGAAATCTTTTAAAAGATGTCGCTATGGGTCTATTTTTTGGGACAGTGCTGGAAAAAGCGTCGAGGCGCCCGAAAAGATTGGCCCAGCGATAAAACCGTCCAAAAACAATGTAAAATACGCTCTGCGACGGTCTGATCATTTGAACTTAAACTTGGATTCGTGCTGAGTTTAGAGTCCAACGTTTTGTTTGTTGGCCTAAAATTTCGATAATTTTGACAAGATAAAGCTGAAAATCTCAAATAAAGTTTTATCCAATTCTTGCCTAGTTTATCAAAATCCAAAGCAAAATTCTTTTTTTTCCTTGTCTTCTATTCTGTTTTTTTTTTTACATTATTTCATCATCATCCCTCCGAAAATAGAGCATTTCCCAATTCTCTTCTCCATTCTCTCCGCAATTTCCCAATCATCCATTCAATCGGGTCCCCCTTTGATATTGTACATGACTAATCAGCAGTTCCATCGTTTTTCTTCCCTTTCCTCTCGCTGATTCAGCGGTATTCATGCGAAAAAAAGCGTGGGACATAATCCTCGACTATAATATTATACCATGTAAACATTTCCCATCAACGATTATTGAGGGCCCTGAGGCAATTAGTGGTCTTAGTTTTTGTCATCGTTTTTTGCGGCGGGTCATATAGCGACTCATAAGCCTAAGCGTGTTTGTTTATTTGCGAAAACGATCAGTGGCCACAAATTATTATATTGTCCGGCTATTTTTCGCTTCTGCTCCAGCAGAATGGGAGATCACAGGGGTTGTATGGCAGTGAAAATTACAAAAAAATATCAGAAGAAAATCTAAAATAAAGATCCCCAAGAACGGCACTTCAATTTCGGCGTTAAATCAGGGGCCTGTTTCACTAACATAAAAATAAATAAAAGAGAAGTAGGGGGGAGCGAGAGAGCATCGAAAACGCGTTTGCGAGCAAGAGAAACCGGACGAAAAGCAGAAGTAGCCTACTTTTGCGGGAGTGACTTTTTACGTCCAAAACCGCGGTTCGCGGCAGTATTTTGGCCATAACTTTTTTCTCAGTTGGTCTAGGAACACCCTTCAAAATTTACAATGAAGCTGACAGTTGCAGCTATCACCAAGATTATTTTCATTGCTGTGGTGCCAAAACCCGTCCTTAAAAAAATCGTAAAGTACGCGTGCTTTAATTTTTGAGAAAATCGACTAAATTTGGGCTTAAAATTCCCATAACTTGGGTAAAACTTTTCGGATTGAAACCCTCCAAAAAACAACACATAGAATTTTTTAAGTAGTTTTAGACAATATGTGTTTTGAATTCCTTTTATAGCCCGGTGGACCGCTAATTTTACAGTAGTACGGCCAACCATCTCGTTTTTTCTTCTTCGCGGTATAAAAACGCATTTTTCTCACCAATTTTTATAAGAATAATTACAAATTTCATATCAGTGTGTAGAGACGTTTCTTAGCTACATTATGTTTTTTGAGGGGTGGCGATATATCATAAACTGATAGAGTTACGAGCAATTAAATCAAGGTACCCTCCATTTTTGACCATAAAAAGTCGTTCCGAAAGGGGCGAACTTTTCCTCTTCTTTTGATTTGAGGGCTCTTTTTATGACAAAAATGGAGGTAAATTTGCCATAACTCAGCCATAATAAGACCTACAATTGGCCCTCTAAAAAAGTCTCATAGAAAAAAAGACGGGCTATCGACTGGTATCAATTAAAGCGTCAACATTTTGAAATTGACCGAGAAATAAAACATTTCGTATCTTCAGTGTAAATGTACTCTGTACTTTAAGCTATATAGCTAATCTACTCTTGAAAATAAAACAACGAAATTTGGATATGTTGTAGTCTCAACCGTCAGCTTTATTTGGTTTATTGAAGGGTGTTCCTATACCAATTGAGAAAAAAGTTATAGCCAAAATTCTGCGGCCAACCCCGGTTTTTGGACGCAAAAAGTCACTCCGAAAGAGAAGTAGGCTACTTTTGCTTTTCGTCCGGTTTCTCTTGCTCGCAAACGCGTTTTCGATGCTCTCTCGCTCCCCCCTACTTCTCTTTTATTTATTTTTATGTTAGTGAAACAGGCCCCAGCTTTTTTTAATTTTCAAGTTTTCGTGTCGGGACCAAAAATTTTTTTTTCAAAAGTGCTTCGTTTAGAGCAAAACTTAAAGCAAATTTAGAGCATGGTTTTTTAACCAATACTAGTCGCGGAAAAAAGTCCTGGGAATTTTCTGCGACTCTGCACTGTGCATGAACCCGAAGAGTGCATTTGCACAGTGCAATTTTCTTGTTTTTGCCTTATTGTCGCGCGCGATTCCCGCGACAAATCAACTTTTCGGAGCGCGACGGAATTTGGGGGGCGCGAGAAAATCCCAGGACTTTTTTCCGCGACTAGTATGTGAGATTTTTAGCTCGCGCTTTGCAGAAATCTTCGAGATTTTTAAGTTCAAAGTTGGCGAAATTCTGAATTTTTTCGAATTTTTTTAAAATCAAAAAGGTCTTCCTTGGGGTACCCTTACTTGAGAATGAAGATATTCTAATATAATATATGTATGTTGTCGGCTTTATCCTCGCTTTGGATAAAGCGCTTTCACCATAACACAGTTTTTCCACTCGTCTTTTTCCGCAGGTATTTCATTCCATTCAAAACCACGGTAATGCAATATGCATTTATTGCGCCGTAGATGATGAGCAGAAGAGCCAACGTCATGTAGTCCTGGAAATAAATTTGTCTGGAGCTGTTTATAAGGGAGTTAATATCGCTTTCTCCAAAAAATGACTGTGATTTTTGACCTGAAAAATTTCGAAAATTTTGACGGTTTTCGTCATTGCATTTCTCAAAGAAGTACCCCCAAAAGGTTTCAAGTTTCGGCCAAGGCAATTGCCTCCGTCTAAATGACTGTAAGTAACGTGTGCGACGAACTGAAACCAGGGGAACTTGAGAAGTGCCTTTGTCCAAATTTAATGGCCAAATCGCTGGGAAAAACTGAGACGATCTTGTTGAACTTGATGATAGTAATAAAGAGCATAATAAAAAAGTTTTTTTATTACAAAAAGCCAGCGAAAAAACACGAGAAAACCCATTTTTCTCTGACCGTCTCTCCTCATCTTACATAGTATTTCTTTACAGGGGAAGATCTCCAACTGCAATGCTCAGATTTTGATAAAACTTGGCACAAATTTAGAACACCGTTTTCTATGTCATATGAGAGATCACGGTACCCGAACCACCGAGATTTTTTGATCAAAAATTTACAAAAATTTGGCAATTTTTTTGCGAATTTTACTTTGAAAATGTTCATGTTTATTTCTACTGTAGAGAGTAATGTTTCCACAAAAAATCAATTTTTTCCGCACAAAACTGGCAAAAATACGGCCAACAAAAGTTTTTCGCTGACCGTTCTCCGCATTTTACGTACTCTCTTGGCTGCAAAGATTGTTGAATATTTTGGCTGCCCTTGGAAAGCGCGAGCTAAAATTTTCAATCATTGATATGTGGCGTATGGCCAAAGTTTGTGCCAAATTTAAAGAAAAGTGGTGGAGTTGCACCAAAAACCTGATTGCGGGATATCAGTCTGTCTGGAAAATAATAAGCACAATGAACAGCGTTTATTTTCCCGACAGACTGATATATACTTCCCATATAACTTGCAGCAAAATGTCATCAAAATCTGTGTTTCAAATTTCACAAAATCTACACATACCCAAAAATCGTCGGTCGTCTCTTGAATATACCTGTCGTCATCGCCGGTTTTGGCCATCAAAAACGATTTGATGAATAAAACAAACACAATCAGCATCAAAATTATTTGAAGAAAGACCTGAAAGCAAGATATGCCAACAATTATGTATTGTTCAAGATGTACCAATCTTACATGAAACGCCAAATACGGCAAGTACATAAAGAAGCAGCCCATTCGATTGCCAATAAGAAGTAGTAAAGCCACACCGAAATTTACTGTCTGGATTACGTCGTAGCTTGAATATCGTTCGTCTGGAAACAGCTCTATGTACTCAAAATGAAATTTTGCCCACTTACGACGCTCGGCAAAGAGAAAGACGTCGAAAACGAGGTACAAGAGAGAGCCTATCGTCACCACCAAGGATATGATGAAGGTTAGTCGCTGAAATTTCAAAAAGCTATAGTAAAATATACTCGGTGAGAAATAATAGTATGCTCTGTGGAAAAATAATAGTATACTCTGAGAAGTTATGGCAAAAAACCGATTTTATCTCTAACCGCTCTCCGCATTTTGCGTACTCTCTCGGCCGCAAAGATCGTTGAATATCTCGGCTCACACTGCAAAGTAAGAGCTAAAATTTTCAGGAATTGATATGCAGCCTATGCCCAACGTATGTTCAAAATTTGAAAAAAAATCCGACATATATTTTTTTACCGAAAATTTGAAAAATTTCGAAATTTTTTTTGCGAATTTTGCCATGAAAAGTCCCATGTCTATTTCTACCGTAGAGAGGGATTTTTCCACAAAAAAAGAAATTTTTTCCGCGCAAAACTGACAAAGATGCGGCCAAAAAGTGTTTTCTCTCTGACCACTCTCCGCATTTTGCGTACTCTCTCGGCCGCAAAATTTGTTGAATATCTCGGCTCACCCAGTAAAGCAAGAGCTTGGATTTTGAGGAATTAAAATATGGTCTATGCGTGACATGTGTGCAAAATTTGAAGACAATCCAAGGGTACCCGTTGGGGTAGCGACCAATACAAAATTGGGGCAAAATTAGGTCGAAATTTTTTTCTACTGGTAAAAAAACTTTTTTTTCAGTTTGTCGGGAAAATAATGAAGATCGAAAATCGCATTGTCGGCGAGAAAATGGCTTGTGTCACGGAGAAAATCAAATTTCTTTTTATTTCACCGACGTCGCGGCATTATACTCATTATTTTCCCGACAGACTGATATTACATATAACAAACTTCCATACAGCAAAACCTGTCTATAACATGCTAATTCAGAGTTTGCAAGGTCCAAATTCAGACTAAAATGAACCTCCATATAACCAAAACCTTCTATAACGAACAAATTTTTTTGTGGTTATTATTTTTCCGACAAATCTATACTGATTTTGGTAATAAATATGTAAAAACTCACATGACTTGAGATTTTCCCACAAACCGACATGTATTCCGGTGGAATGTCCTCCTCCTCTTCGTCATCCTCTATTCGCTTCTTTTCCGCCGGCTCCTGCTCGTAGAACGGGATTCTGGTCTCGTTGGGCGGCGCGCAATACACCGGCTCCTCGTAATAGTCGGCGAACGTTCGCTTCATTTCGAATAAAACCCACCACGGAATGGAAAGCGCCTCAGGCGGGGCTCGAATGTTATTTGGAACATGAATCGGGGCCTTCGATCGCTGTCCTTCTTCTGTTTTCTGACTCAGACTTGGCGTCGCATGTACAAATTGTTTTAACATTTTTGATGATTCCATTGTACGACCGGCGTGGAGGCGAGCTGTATTATGCTGTTTGACGGGTCCTGCGAGATTTTTTTCAGTTTTGGCAAAAAAAAAATTTTTTAATTTTGCACAGTGCGAAATTTTTTCGTTTTTGGCTAATTTTTTGTGTTTTAAAAAAATTTTTACAAAGTTTTTGGCCTTTAATATGCTTTTTTATACCATTTAAAATTATTCAACAAACATTTTCAGGGCAAAATTTTGGCTAAAACAGAATGCCAAACTTGGCGGGAATTTAAAAAAATCCGCCTTCTCTATACGTTTGTTGTAAAATACGCTCTCCCATGGCTCGGCGGAGCATTTTAGACTATCCCGAATAGATCTTGGCCCTTAGGCGATCCATTTTTCCCCATAAAACAGAATGCCAAATTTGGCGGAAATTCGAAAAACTTTGAATTTCTATATCAATTTTGGTAAAATACGAGTTCTTTGGATTCAATGCTCTGTTTTCTCGGACAAAATTTGTGAACTGTGCCCTTAGGCAGCCAAATCTTGCCTTAAAACAGAATGCCAAATTTAGCGGGAATTCAAAGTTTTTCGCAGATTTTACGCAGATTTTGGTAAAATCCGCTCTTCAACGACACACAGATTTCTTTCGTGACAAATTTTGGAGATCTGTGCCCTTAGGCAATCAAATTTTGTTCTTAAAACGGAATGCCAAATTTGGCGGGAATTCAAAAAACTTCCAGACTTTTTTCATTTTTTTTGTAAAATAGGCGTTCACAATATGACAACTACTAAATTAAACGTTCTAAATGTTTTTTTCCCTTCAGAAAATCCAATTTTTCCCTCCAATTACATCAAAAAAACGTTTATTCCAGGATAATATAATCTCATCTAGCGGAGGGTCGATTCGAAGGAAATGAGTTCATGCCCGACGCTTTGGAGGTTGATTCTTCGGCTTCTTTCTTGAACTTCTCCAACTCTTTGAGGAAGTCTTCGTTCTCGGGCTCTGGAGGTTGTTCGTTCGGGCACAACGTTCGGAGCAGATTCTCAAAGGTCGGACGGGCTTCTGGGTTCTGAAAATCGGGCAGGGTGTGACCTCTACGTAATAAAGTTTATTTCTACTCTGATAACTTTGAGGAAAATTTTGGAAAAAATCGAATTTTTGGGTATTTCCAAAATTTTTGAGTCTCGCCACGAAAACCTTAGCTTCTAAGAAACAAAGTATGAAATATATAAAATATTCTCACAACAAGGTTCTACGTTCCAAACAGACTCACCATTAAAATCCTCAACAAAGTTTAGCTATTTTTCGAAAATTTTGGTCCCACCACGAAAACCTGATTTCTCGAAAATCCGCTCCAAAACTGTCAAAAATTGATAATTGAACTTATTTATGCTATCAAACTACAGTTCCACTCTTTTTTGCCATCCACAGCAAATTTTTTGAGTCCCGCCACGAAAACATGATTTTTCAAAATCCGCCTAAAATTGCTAAAATTTATTTTAAAATTTGCCTGAATTATCTAAGTACAGCTATTTGGCATTTTCTGCCACTTACAGCAAAATTTTGAGTCCCACCACGAAAACCTGATTTCTCAAAAACCGGCCCAAACTCTACAAAACCGTCATCCTTGGCAATTCCCGGCCTACCTGTGTAAAGCACAGCCTCATGAAGGACTGCATATTCACCGGCATTCCCTTCGGCGGCTCCATCGGGTTCTTTCCACTCAAGATCCTGGCCTTGGCATCCGCATTCGACAGCTCCGGGAATGGGTCGGTCTTGCAATACGAGTAAATCTCCCACATCATGATTCCAAACGACCACACGTCCGTCTTCGTCGTGAACAGCCCGTTGCGAAAGGTCTCGGGCGCCAGCCAACGGACCGGCATCTTGTTGAGGCGGTCCAGCTTCAGCTCCTTGGTGGAGACCGACAGTCCAAAGTCGCTGATTTTCGCTTCGTTCTCCTTGCTGAGCAGGCAATTCCTCGCCGCAACATCTCGATGAATGATCTAGAAGGCGGATATTGCGTCAGAAATATAGTTTGGAGAATTTTTAGGTCTCGCCACGAAAACAATAAATTTTGGAAAACTTGTCCAATTCGTCGCAAAATCAAATTCTCAGGCCCATGGATACATTTAGCATGTAAAATACGACACTTAACACAATAAAAAAATTTTTGAACAATTTTTGGGTCTTGCCACGAAAACAATAAATTTTGGAAAATCTCTTCGATTTATCGCAAAATCAGTTCCTCATGCCCTTAGATATGCTCAATATGTAAAATACGACGTTTATAGCACCAGAGACAGTGTGAAAAGAATTTTTTTTGGTCCCACCACGAAAACAATAAAACATCAGAAATTCGAAATTCAAAAAAAAAATTTCCTCTCTTACCTTTCTCATTGATAAATAGCACAGTCCTCGGCATGCATCTTTCACAAATCCAGCCAGCTTGTCCTCCGGCAACGATTTTTGTCGCTTCAAAAAGGAGGAAAGCGCTCCACCAGGGCATAATTCGAGAATAATTAATATGGGCTCTTCCTAAAAATGGAAAAATGATATAAAATCTATTATGAACTCTAATAAACGTATTGTTAAAGTTTTTCGGAATGTTTGGACGACGTGAAACACTATGCCAAGATTTTCAAAATTTGGCGGGAAATTCGAATTTTCGAAACTTTCATGCTCGCAAATTGAACAATTGGACTTAAAATAGTCCCTCCATCTCCATCTAGTGTCTTTCTCATTCTTTTCGGCTTTTGAGGCCCCTAGAACACAATGCCAAGATTTTTAAAATTTTGCGGGAAATTTGAATTTTCGAGACTTGAAGGTCAAAAAATTGAGCAAATGGTCCTAAAATAATCCCTGCAGTTCCATCTAGTGCCTTTCACATCACTTTTTCAACCTTGAAGACCACTAGAACACAACGCCAAGATTTTCAAAAAATGGCGGGAAATTCAAAGCTTTAAAATTTTTCGATACTAAAAACAGTTTTTACCGGCCTATTTTGCTTTTTCTGACACTTTTTTGAACAGTCATAATGCATACAACACAATGCCAAGCTTTTCAAAATCTGGCGGAAAATTTGAAATTCAAAAATTTTTGGCTGAAAATTTTTCAAATCTAATAAAAAGAAGTCTCCAAAAAATGTTTCCGAAGCTTCAAAAGCCGATTTTTTCTCAAATACGACTCCAACTCTACCTGCGGTGCAACGCCGATGACCTTGACCACATTCCGATGGTTGAACCTGCGCATAATCCTCGCCTCCTTGACGAACTCGATCCGCTGCTTCTTCTTGATATTCCCTTTGCACTTTTTGATGGCCACATCAATGCTCTCTCCGCCCTTCCGCAGCACTCCTTTATGGACGTCGGCGTAGGCTCCGCCGCCCAATTTCGGGCCGATTGTAAGGTGATCGTGGAGGATGTAGAAGTCGGGGCGGGGGATGGGATTCTGGATGGTTGTGCCGTCCGATTGGACCGGGATTTTCTCCTTCAAGTGGTGCTCGACCAGCTCTTCCACACTGGCTTTCTTCACGCTCCGCACCGACCACATGTTGTCGTGGTGGGTGAGCAGAATGTGGCGGATCCGCTTGTTGTAGCACACGCTGATCGCAATCCGAGGTTTTTTGGAGACATCGGTCTGAGAATAAAATTTTTAGATGGTCATAAGGTCTCTGGAACGTTTTTCCCAGCCTCTCATATCAAAAAACACTCATTCTTACAAAATTTCCAAAAAATCCGTCATCATGACATGTGCAAATCCAACGTAATCTTCAATTTACAAAACAAAAATGCAAGCAATATTCATAGCGGACTCCAGTTAAAAAAATCAGAGGTAAAATCCGTCATTATGACCAATTTTTGAGCCAAGGATGACGGATTTTCTGGAATTCTTTTAAAATCATCGTTTTTGCATCTTTTTTTAAAATTTCGGATTAGAAATGACAAATTGAAGCCCATAACAGACTCTACTCAAAAAATTTCAGAAGTAAAATCAGTCATCATGACCAATTTTTGAGTGAAGGATGACGGATTTTCTGGAATTCTTTTAAAATCATCGTTTTTGGATTTTTTTTTAATTTTGGATTACAAATGATAAACTGAGGCCCATTGCAGACTCTACGCACCTTTCGGAGCAAAAAATCCCCATCATTCTTGAGCAGGTCTTCAATTTCATCTCTGGGCATCATCCCATGGTACCATTGATGATGATTCAACCTCGACGCAATCTCCTTGATCTCCGCATCTGCATCCGGCGCGCTTGGGTCGCCCTTATGTTCGTTCTCCTCTCGGCTTGATCTGGAAAAAAAATTATATTATACTAGGTACTAGAAATGGCTATAAAAAAGTCAGTTTTCCATCGATTAGAAAAAGAATGGTCTCAAGTTGTTGGAAATCAAATTGGCACCCCTTTAATACAGCCTTCTTGTGCTTGTTGTCCTTCTGTTGTTTAGATATGGCCTCTTTGCTGGTGACCGCCCGACCCGACGCCAACTCCCGACCACTCGCCATCTTGTCTTTCCTCTTTTGTCTAAAAGTAAATAATGTCATTTTAGGCTGTAGAAAACATCAAGCAGCCATATTTTGCTAGAGAACCATGTTTTGAGGACCAAAACTTATATTACACTTGCCTGAGTTTGTCCATCGCGCTGAATTCGCCGCGCTGAAGGGGTCCGACTGTGTTTCGGAGATGAGTAAACTGTAAATGACTTGATTCCCCCGAAATCTCAATTTGAATTTCATTTTAGAGCAGTTTAAGGTTTGTCCCGCAGCGAAAACAATTAATGCGAAATTTCTTGGCATTCTGTTTTCCACCATGCGAATGGAGGAATTTCTGTTTTCGGAGGAAAACAGGCAATTTATCTGCTCTGTGATCTTGTTTCGAAGGAAAAATTGGACGTCTCTGTCAGTCAAGCTTCGTTTTGTTTCCATAAACATCGAAAAACCTTGATTTACCCGAAATTCTTGATTTTTTTCATCTTGCTCATGTTCGATTTGCGAGATTTTGATTTCAAAAAGACAGTACAAGCCCCACAGATTGATATTTCTCTCATTCCAGCAGATGATGCGGTATGGTATGCCGCCACAATGTAAATTTGTCTTCGAGTGCACCTATCAACCTCTAAATCATGATGAGGAGCGGGCTCGGGTCCGCATGTCGCTGCAGACCATTCGAGGAACGAAATTGAGGGATGCTCTAAAGGATTGTCTCAAAAAATACGCATTGTTTCCGGAAGCGGACTGGAAAAATGCGGTTTTTATCAAGGAGGGGTCTCAACTGTATGGACAACGTCAAATGGTCAATGACGTCTATTGTGAGGTGTATGTCAAGGAAAGAGTGAGTTTTTCTGATTCCTGTTTTCTTCTTCTACGTTTAGATGGCAAATTCAAGGGGAATTGAGTTGGTTTTTGCTACGAAACAAACAAATTTCTGTTTCGGCCATGTGCAATATAAAATTTGACGAAATTTTAATAATATAATTTAGAAAAAAGTGCCCAAGAGGAGGTTGTTTGACGACAATGGAGAACCACTCACTGAAAGAGCATTCTTTCAATCGTCGGACGAAGAGGACGATGATAAGTAAGAGATTTTTTATATTATTATTGTTCGAAATTTAGTTTACTCCCCAGCTTCGCCCGTCCCGGGCCGTCGGAAGAGATTGCGGAGGAGATGCGGAAGGTCTCCAACATTTATCGCGTCCAAAAGGACTATTTTCCGGACGGCTCATACAGCGAGCATTTGATTCGCTCGTGTCGGCGGCTGTTCCAGCTCAAAAAATCCGAACCTCCATGTCCGAAACACCTCCTCGTCACTTATGGACTTGCGAACTGGGTGGAGCCGGATCCGGACGAGGAGCGCTGCAACGACAGCAGGAGGGTGGTGTTCAGGAAGACCATTGATTGTCAGATTTCTCCAAGTCCGGGAGGATATGTCTCGATGAACAATGGAAGAAATGTCGGATACAGTGGATGGAGTCAGAATAGCCAAATTTTGCCGCAGAGACATGTACAAAAGACTGAGCCCCTCCCCAAACCCGTGATTCAAACTGGTCCAACTACTAAAACACTAAATAAAAGGGAGATCAAAGCCTCGAAATTGACGTATCTGGATGATTCCGAAGCCAAGCGACGGGAAATGGCACGGAGAATTGCGATGAGAAGAAAGAAGGAAGAGGAGAAAGAGGTTGCTTTGAAGGTGAAGGAAAAAGCTCTTCACAAAGCCTCCAGTCCATGGAAAAATACGAAAGATACCATCCAGGCAACCCGAAGGGAACTTGAATTAAGCAGTAAGTAGTTTAAAATTGAATTTTATGTGTTTAGGTTGAATGGAACATCAATTTTTGAGTTTTGGAGAGATCAATTATATTGTCCATGGCAAAATTGATGCTTTTCGGAAATTAAATCTTGCAAAAGTTTGTTAGATAGACTCTAAATAGCAGTGAAATTGTTTGCCAGAGATTTTTCATACATCAGACAATCTGTTTGATCAGTTTTGAAGAAATATTTATATTATCCATGACGACTTTGAACTTTTAAAAATTTTCATGGCTTTTGACCTCATCCTTAGATTGATTAGACGCTAAAATCTTCTCAAGTATCACGGTTAAGTTTTTATTAGCATTAGAATCGATTTTTATGGAGTTCTGAGAATTTTTTATATTATCCATGATGACCTTTAACATAACAAAATTTTTGACGATATTAGTCTCAAAATCGATGGAAAAGACTCTTAATATATTGAGGATTGTTTGCTAAAAATTTCTGTTGTGTAGTTTAAACCTTGGCTGAGCTGTGGCCATTTTCTTATATTACCCATGAGGCTTTTGAAGGATTTTGAAAAAATTGATATAAATCTTTATAAATCTGGATTTTTTGAGGCTGGAAATGAAGGCTACTGACATTCTTCTCCTTTTAGTTGGATTTTTCTCAAGTTTCAATTATTTTTTAGACGAGGATGAGGAGGATATTGAAGAAGAGATCAGCTCGATTGTGGTGGAAAAACGAGTCCGTTTCCTCTTGAATTTCATCAGCATAGAGAACAAGGATCCCGTCATCAAAGAGCTGAACGACATCCTCAACGAACACGACGACGAGGAGTTCATTGACGACGTTTTTCGCCCGATTCTCTTCGACCATCTGGTTTTTGGGCGCAGAAATCGAATTGTGTTCTCACACCTGTTCCCCACACTCCCCGAACGCATCAGATATCAAGTTTGTGAGGATGTGATTCAGGCCTTCAAGTTTGGCCACAACCCGCTGGACATTCAGATCCAGCTCATGAAGGAATCGACCTTGACCTTGAGCAACGACAGAGAGAAGCGAATGGCCAAACGGACGGTCGAATTTTTGGAGGCAAAGCGGAAACGAATGGTCGTGGAGAACTTGAGGTGCGATTTGGAAGGGGATTTGCGAGAAATTTTTGAGTTTTTTGGCGAGAAATTGAATTTTTTTGAAATTTTTGAGGTTAAGAAAAAAAATTTTTTTTGGTAGTGTTGTAGTAGGTCGGAGTGATGTAGAATGGAAGAACAGGGATGAGATTTTAATTTTGCGGGGTTTTGGCTATTTTTTGGGGGAAAAGTTTGAGTTTTGAACAAATATTTATATTATCCATGAGAATTTTTTCAAATATTTTGGTCAATTTTTGTGATTTTTTAATGCTTTTGGACTTGAAATGACTGGAATAGAAGGTAGATTGATTTAGAGGGCATTTGAAGTTTGGTTTGAGATTTTTTGGGCATCTTTTTATATTATCCATGACAAAAATGGGTGTTTTGGCTGAAAAAATGATATTTTTCGCCGATTTTTGTTGATTAAACTCTATGAAATTTATTTTCAGACTAATTTCGGACTTTTTCCTCTATGATCTGTTCGACGCGAGCCTGATCGAGGACATTTTGTCCAGCGTGATTGACCAAATGATAAACGGCGGAATCGACCGGGTCCTCGACCACGCCGCCGACCTGATCCACCGAATCGGCGAGAAGTACATAACCGAAACCCCGGAGCTAATGCGGCAATTCACTGACGTCCTGCGGCGGCGAATGCAGAACGGCCAATTGAAACAACTGGACACACGCGCAGCCAAGCGAATTTTCCGAATTGCGGAAGAATTTGAAACGGAAGAAGTGAAGAAAAGGCTCCGAGAAGAGTCGGACTACTGTGTAGAAGAGAAGAAGCCAATAATTTTGAAGGTGGAACGGGAAATTACCCAAATTTCCCCCGATATTACACATGAGGTGGACCATGAAGAAAAAGTAGAAGAAAATAATGATGTTTTATGCGATTTTGACGAGGAATTTGAACAAGAGATTGCCAAGGTAGCTGGTTTTTATGTGGTTACTTTTTTTGGAAAATTTTTTGGGGAAAAGTTTGAGTTTTGAGCGATTTTTTGAAAAGGGGCGGAGCTTACGATTCGTTAGAGAGAAGTGGGCGGAGCTTGGAGTTTGAAGTTTAAAATGGGGGTTTTATGGCATCTTTTGGAAAGATTAATGGCATTGAAGGCTTGAGGACATCAGATTTGAGATTTTGAGGGTTTTTGAAAATTTTTGAAATTTGAATTTCCCGCCAAAATTTGAATTTTTTTATTTTTTGAAATTTTTGTCAGAGACTGGGAAGGAGCGGAGTAGATGGAAAGTTGTGAATTAAAAAGCGTCTTTTTAAGATTTCTAGTGGTTTTTACGCAAGTTTTTTGAAGATTTTATTGTTTTTTATTGAGATTTTTTTAGATTTTTTTTTGAAAAACGTTTATTTTTGTGTAGATTTTTTTCTTTGCTGTTGGTTTAAAATTAAATTGGAGGGAGTTTACGAATGATTGGGATTTTAGGAAATTTTACTTTGTGTTTTTTCGAAATTTTTTAATTTTCTTACATTTTTTTTTTATTTCCAGAGATCGCTCTCTTCTTTTGCCGAAAATACGAGTAAATCTCGAAGTGGAGCCTTTGAAAGTGAACAATCTTTCTACGAAAATGCCTCGGAAGTGGTGGAGAATCAAAAAAATCGAAGTGAAAATTCCGCACAGTGCGACAAATCGCAGTTCAGCATGGATACCAAAGAAATTGCTCAAATTTGTTGTGTTACCATTGCCGAACCATCGAATCACTTCCAAAACAGTGATCACAGAGCCTCTGGAGATCATTTCGTCAGCAGTGATGAACGGAAAGACGAGAGAAATGGGGGAAATGAGGAGCTTTTTCAGGACGTACAAGAAGGAGAAAAGAGCTTTGTTTTGGAAAATAAAGTGAATTCCGTGAACAAAAATGAAGTCCCACAATACAATGGAGGTACGTAGAGTGTTTCGGAGAGGTTTGGCGATTTTTTTCCGGAAATTTTTGGAAAATTGCCGGAGGCATTTTTTGAAAATTTTGGGGATTTCTTGTGATTAAAGGCTAGAAATGGTATTTTGGGGGTTGTTGAAGGTATTTGAGGCAAAAAGAAGGGGAGATTTCGCGATTTTGAGGAAATTTTTATATTACTTTAGGTAAGAATTTGACGATTTTGGGGTTTTTTCTTGGATTGCTTGTGATTGGAAGCTGGAAAATGATATTTGTGGGTTGTTGAAGAAATTTGAGGCGAAAATAGAGGATGATTTTGCCATTTTGAGGAACTTTTTATATTACTTTAGATAAAAAAATTGATGATTTTGGGGAAATCGTTGAGTTTCAGGGGAATTTTATAGAAGAGAAAATTGATTTATGAGGAATTTGAGAGCTATTGAGTAAAAAATTGGATTTAGTTTTGAAATTTTGAAAAATTTTTATATTACTTTAGGTAAAAATTTGATGGTTTTTGGACTAGTTTTATAGGCTAGAGGGCTGAAATTTCTTAATTAGTTGTTTTTATCCTGATTTTACAATTTTGATTTATTTTTAATTGATTTTTAAATTTCAGAAATCAGTTTTGAGTCGGACCACACTCCCGACTTGGAACTTTCCCAAAGCAGCTGCTCGGAATTCCACTCGGAAGCCAAGGAAATTCTCTACAAGACCGCTGATACCGGCTTGGAAGAGCGGAATGAAAGCAAAGAAGAAGAAAAAGCAGAAAAAGAAGACGATGAAATACCCCAAAAAGAAGTGGATGATTATGTCAGAGAAGCTGAACACTTCCTGAAACATGGCTTTGTGAAGACGGAAGAGGATCCATATGAAAAAATCAAAAAGCAGATTGAAGAAAAGAAGGTGGAAAAAGAAGAAAAGAAGGAAGAAAAAGTAGAACAAAAAGTGGAAAAGAAGAATGAAAAGAAGCCGGAAGAAGAGAAAAAAGAAGAAAAGAAGCAAGAAAAAACAGTTGAGAAGCCTGTGGAAGTAAGTATCGTCAAAAAAATTGGGGGTTTTTGGGGGTTTTCATCAAAAATTACCTTATTTTAGCTAAAATAAGGTCGATTTTTGGGAAAAAGATGGGATAGAGGAAATTTTAGTGGGTAAAATGAATAAGTAAAGTAGTATGAGGACATTTAGAGGCTGTCATACCATATTGGACCAAAAAATCTCGAAATTTTTTGAATTTCCCGCCATTTTTGGCATTGTGTTTTAGACTTCTAAAATGCGTAAAACGAACGTATAATTGCGAAACTAGCATTTACAATTTATTTTCAAGCGATTTTTATTATGTAATGGATGAATTTTGAGGTCTTATTATATTATACATGATGATTTTTTTCGATTTTTGAAAATCCCGATTTTAGAAGCCAGTTCAGGCTGAATCCAAATCCCCAGAGCGATCGTCGCAGTCATCGAAGGTCGAAGCTGCCACAACAGCCACTAAAATCGCCCCGAAGCCAAGCCTTCGCCCCACAATTTCGTTTAATGCGATCCAACTGGCCATGTTCGGAAAGGAATTCAAGCCTCAAGTGGTGAGTTTGGGGTTTTTATTAGAGGTGAAAAGAGGTGCCACGGGTAGAATGAGATGAAATTTGGAAAGGAAGGGAGTAATTATGGAAATTTATAGCGGTTTTTTATATTAAACTAGAGGTCGGATGTTGGTTTAGTCGATTTGAAGGGCAAGAATTGGGGTTGTATCGCATCTTTTGCATTGGAAAGGCGTATACTGAGGATTTATAGCTATGAGAAGAGTTTGAGCTTGATTTTTGTAGCAGAAAACTTTTTTATATTACACTGGGCATCTGATATTATTTTGGTAATTTTTGTGTTTAAATCATGTTTGATCTCCCAGTGTTTGCTCTAGAAAGTAATAATAAGCCATAAAAAGCCGTTTGATGCCTAGCTCGGGTGTACAGATGTGACTCAAAAAATTTTAGACGTCGTTTTATATTACACTAGACATCTGATATAGTTTTAGTTATTTTTGGTGTCTAAGACATGTTGAATCCCTCACTTTTAGCCCCCAAATCACGTACGCATCAAGATTGTGCGCGTGCAAAAAGAAGCAACCTCGAAGAACCTGAAAACCATCGAAGAACATTACATTCCGCTCATGGACCCCCTAACAGTAACTCAAGTGGCCGTGGTGCTGCGCAACTTTTACAAATGGGCCGGATACCCGCAAATCAAGGAAGACAAGAACCAATGGCGAACCATGGGACCGAATGATGTGGTCACAGCTGACAATGTGTACCGCTACTACGCACTTTTTCAGTAACCGCCTAGTACAAGGTCTTTCATGAAACATGAAGGAAGGCCGGAGGCTATAACTTTCGGCGGAGGCGGCGCAGAGACTTTGTTTTTGGAATATGTATTTTTAAGCGACATTATTTTTTGTCTATGAAATAACAAGACTTTAAAGTGCGAACTGAGGTCGCTACGACCTTTTGAAGTAGGGCCCTTTTACCTCCGAAAATCAGTTTTTTTCGGTTGAAAATTATCGAGAAATTTCGGATTTTTTCGGTCGAAAGTCACCGAGAAATGGCGGATTTTTTCGGGGGCTTCGATAGGCTTGATGTTGAAAACAAGAAAAAATTTGTAAGGTGTTGGAAATTTCCATCTCTGTTTTCAACATCAAGCCTATCAAAGCCCCCTAAAAAATCCTACATTTCTTGATGTGTTTCAACCGAAAAAATTCGAAATTTCTCGATCATTTTTAACCGAAAAACACTGGTTTTCGGAGGTAAAAGGGGCCTACTTCAAAAGGTCGTAGCACCTTCAGTTTGCACTTTAAAGTCTTGTTATTTCGTAGGCAAAAATTAATGTCACTTAAAAATACATATTCCAAAAACGAAGTCTCTGCGCCGCCTCCGCCGAAAGTTATAGCCTCCGACTTTCCTTCATGTTTCTTGAAAGACAATGTACAGTGAGGGACGGGATCCAATGGCAAAAAACGACTCATTTTGCATCCCGGAAGGGACCAAAATGTCTTCAAACCCTTCCCGTTTCTAAGCTAAAGAACCCCGATTTGAAGAGCCCGCCTTGAAGGAAAGGGCGCGCTTTTCAAAACGGAGTTTTTTAGCTTAGAGAAGGGAAGGGTTTGGAGTCATTTTTTGGCCCCTTCCGGGATGCAAAAGGAGACGTTTTTTGCCATTGGATCAGGTCCCTCACTGTAGAATGTAAATAATTGCCGGAACTTTTGATTCCCCCGTATTTTTTGCGCTCTTAGCCTCGATTAGGAACGGGTTTAAAAGTCATGTAATTTTTTCGAATTTTTTGGTGGGTTTGGTCCATTTCTTGTTGTTTTCTTCATATTTTTTCCTCCTCATTTTAATACGAGTACCCCGCTAAGATGTGTATGTAATCTTACAGGTTTATTCCTAATTTTAATTGTTTTTATATGGTTTCTAGCGGACGTCCCGATCGGACTTCTAATTGTGAAGAATAAAGTTGCTGTACAAAATTTTTTTTTTGGATTTTTTTTTTTATTTTTGTTTTCGTATGGATGTAGAGTAGCCAGAAATGAATTCCAGAAAGTTTTGGAACATGAAAAAAAGGTTCCCAGTGGTATTACAAGACTTTCATAGACCGTCTTACACAAATTATTTTTATTTTTAACTCTTTTTCTGCTAAAAAATCGTCAAAAAATCTCGAATTTCCACTCCAAATTTATTACAAACTTATCGATCAAATTCGCTGTGTGATATACTCCCCGAATCCAGAATTCTTTTGGACTTAACGGATGTGTCCACGGAGGTGAGGCTAGCAGACTCCAAGGGTTTTTCGACTTCTTCCGGCAATGGGAGGCGCCGCCATTCCGGCCGATGAACAATAATCACAACACAGAGGAAAAAGATGGTCAGCGACAAGCTCAGCGCGTTCACCACGATCCGATCCATGCAGTACCAGTCAGGACACGTGGCTGAAAATGGTTTTTGCGATTAAAAATTTTAAAAAATCGAAAAAAATTTCCGTATTTTAGCGAAAAATAAAAGTCATCGGATTCGGATGAAAGTTGGCAAAAATAAAGATTATAGTTTGCCAAGACAAAGCTGAAAATTTTAGCTCGCATAGTGCAGAAATGACTGAGATTTTTAAGTCGAAAGATCAAAAAATTTCGAAAATTTTTTTGCAAATTTTGCCATCAAAATTTGAAAAGTTATTTCGTAGGCTGAGTCAGATATTTCTACAAAAAAAATAATTTTTTCCCAGCAAAATCCGCAGAGATATAGTCAAAAAGAGAATTTTCTCTGACCGTCTCTTCATTTTCCAAAGTCTCTCGTTTGGAAAAATTATTAAATATCTCGGATACTACTGTAAATTTCGAAGTGAAAATTTAGGTAATTGATATTTAGAGCATAAAGATTTTTTTGAAAAATTTTTTTTATTTTTCCCCTGAAAAATTTGGAAATTTCAAAAAAAAATCTCAAAATTCCAAAAAATCCCAAAAATAATTTTTTTGAACTCCTTACTATGCCAAATCGAGTACTGAGTAATTCCCATCATCGTCACTGCAAACGCCATCCCAAAAAGTACCAATCCGAACGCACGGTGCATCGGCATGTTGCGTTTTCGGTCGGCCGGAGAAGTGAAATGGAGGCCGTAAATCACCAACCCGCTCAGATATTGTATTGTGTACAAGATGCAGGTGGCCAGTCCGATCCAAGAGTGGCTGGAATGGAGATTCGGCCGCGGCGCGGGGGCTCCATCCGCCGTTTTGTGGTAATTATGGGCGTCGAAGGCGGCTTTCAGCCCGAAAATGATGAAAATCACGTTGATAAAGTGCATCAACGAGTGGATTCCTTTCGTGTACAGCTTTTTTGTGCCTCTGAAAATGGGAAAAAATTTTTGAAAAAAAATAAAAAAAAAATTTTTTTTTGAAAAAAAAAATTTCTCCAATTTTGATAAAACTTGGCAAAGCTAAAGAGGACTATTTTTTAAGACATGCCTAAAATTTTCAGCCCGGTTGCCGCAAAAATAACCAAGATTTTTTGGTCGAAAATCGGGAAAATCTCAAAATTTTGGTCGAAAAATTAGAACTCCAAACTTGATGAAACTTGGCGCAAATTTAAATTAGAATTTTTTAAGACATAAGATGCATTTTTAACTTGCGCTTTGCAAAAATAACCGAGATTTTTTGATCGAAAAATACCAAAAAATCGAATTTTTGGGATTTTTCGACTGAAAAATCTCGATGGATCTTGCAAAATAAAGGCTAAAAAATTGGTAATAAGGTTTAATCTACATTTCTGCCAAGTTTCATCAAAAAATAAAAAAAAAATCAAAAAAAAATTTTCTTTTTCAAATAAAAAATTAGACCAAAAAATCACTTTTTTCCCACCCATTTTTATGACAAAAAGTCTTTTTCACTCACCGGTACGCTCGATACATACAAATCGCCAGTCCATTATTCACCACCAAGAAGCTGCACATGGCCATAACATGGAGTTTCATCCGCCTCTCGGGGAAATAAACCCCATCAAACAGCGGCCCGTCCAAGCTCAGCCAATCCAGCAGCAGGAAAATGGACGCCATCCCTGCGGTCAGCGCCGTGCCATAGAGAATTCGGCAAAAAAAGAGTTGCGGATGGACCTCCAGAGACGTGGAGGACATTTTTTGCGTAGAAACCACCGAGAAAACGGGAAAATTGATGTTAAAGTTGAAAAAATTGAACAAAAAAAATGTTTTTTTGACAAGAAAATGAAAAAAGTGGAAGTTTGAACTTCAAGTTTTTGAACTTTGACGATTTTTTGAAAATTTCAGGGTTTCGTGCCAGGACCAAAAAAAATTTTTTTTGTTGACCTGGATTTTTTTGGATTTTTTATACGATTCCACAAGCTCAGGCGACAATTTTCTAGTGCTTTTTTGCGCAGTCTGGAGCCCTTTTTTGAATTCTCAAGTTTTCGTGCCAGGACCAAAAGAAATTTTTTTTGTCTGACCTGAATTTTTTTAGATTTTTTATACGATTCCACAAGCTCAAATGAAAATGTTCAAGTGATTTTTAGCTGTCTAAACCCTTTTCTGAAAATTTCAGGTTTTCGTGCCGGGACCAAAAAAAAATTTTTTTTTGTTGACCTGGATTTTTTTTAGATTTTTTATACAATTCCAGAAGATCAAATCAGAATTTTCTTGTGATTTTTAAAAGTTTAAACCCTTTTTTCAAAATTCTCAGGTTTTCGTGCCGGGACCAAAAAAAAATTTTCTTTGTTGACAAGGATTTTTTTGTATTTTTTATACCATTGCACAAGTGCAAATGACACTTTTCTAGTGATATTTTCGCAATCTAAAACTTTTTTTTTAATTTTCAGGTTTTCGTGCCGGGAGAAAAAAATTTTTTTTTGGTTGATTTTGAACTTTTTTAGATTTTTATGCGGTTACGAAAGTTCGAATGACACTTTTCTAGCGTTTTTTTGCAGTCTAACTCCATTTTTGAAATTTTCAGGTTTTCGTGCCGGGACTCAAATTTTCTTCGGAAGTGTTTTCTTGTAAGCAGCCATCACAGTTGTGCGACCATTAAGGCTTCTTTCTTTATATTCTTTCTTACCTTTGACTTCTACCTCCGTGTATTTTCTGCAGTTGCTCCCCAGACTCCTTTACACGACCAATTTCCATTTGAATAGCATTTGTTATTATTATATCATGTAGCTCATAAAACGAACCCTCTTTAAACCAAAAACATGTTACAAAACCGCTGATATTTATACTCAAAGGTCTGATATTTACACTCAAGGAATCGGTAGTCAAATTGATGTTCTAAATGCTGCGTTGTAGTCTGTTGTTGCCGGCCGTGCTGACTGTATGCTACGGCCAGGGCTTGGATGCCGATCTAGCCGTCAATGAGCCAGCAATGGGGCAATTTGGTGAGGATTTTGGCGGGGATTTTGGTAACGGAGGCTTTGGAAAAGTGGGCCAATCAATAGGCCTGGTGGACGGTAAGCAATCTACTTTTTTGTCTCCTAGTTGGTTCATTTCTGAGCCCGAAAAATAATGAAAGATAAAATTTTCAAAAAAAAATGTAATCACAGTTTCATAGGGGAGAAAAAGCCATATTAAATATAATATATTCCCTTTGCCAAAGAACAAACAATCCTTGTAAAAAAAACAATGAAAAAAACGAACGAACTTTCTGGACGACCTAATAATTGATGGGCGATTCCACGGCGCAATGAATACACATTATTTTCCCGACAGACTTATAGGTCAATTTCAGCTGAACACTCGCTTGGCCCTATGGATTTCCAGCCTGACTTTGCTGCCCATAATTTTATGGGCTTTCCAGCAGAGCCTTCAATGAACTCCATAGACAGCTCAGCTGGAAATTTCATCGATTTCCCTTCCCAGAATTCGATGGATTTCTCCTCAAGCTCCATGAATAACATGAACCCCGAGCTTGAAGGATCCTTCCCAAACGCTGAGATTTCCTTTCCCAAATCGGTTTTTGATGACATTGACATCTTCAATATCAGTCAGCCAAATGAGTGGATCGCCGGTTTGGACAAGATCGATGAGCAAGTCAAGCGAACACTTGAACTGGCCGCACAGGAGAGGGAAAAGTTTGACAAAGACATGAAGGAGGAGTACAATGAGTTCTTCAAGTTTATTGGGAAGTAAGTTCAGTCCTAACTCTGTACAACGAATCGCAAGGGAGCAAAAAATACATTTTTATTGGAGGATTTTGTTGTTCAAGTTGACCTGCAACAGTAGGGAATTTCTTTAGTCGCATAAAACGGACCATTTTGCATCCGGGAAGTATCAAAAAATGTGGCAAAATGCTTCCTACTCCAAGTGAAAAAAACTTGGTTTTGAAGGGTCCTCACAAAAAGAGAGGACAAAAAAAACTTCGTTTTGAAGAGCCCGCCCTTTTCCTCACAAAAAGAGCGGGCGCGCTTTTGAAACCTGAGTTTTGTCACTTGGAGAGTGAGGTATTTTAACACGTTTTTTGATACTTCCTGGATGCAAAATGGTACGTTCTTTGCCACTGGATCAGGTCCCCCATTGCAGCTTCCGGAGCTATACCGCGAAAACTTTTGCGGATATCTCTGAGCTCTTCGCAGCTATCCCAAAAGTTTCGGCTGTATTTAAAACTCGGAGTTGTGAGTTCGAAGAATATCCGGAAGAATTTTTTCTCGCCTCGGCGGAGGAACCATTTTTTGGCGGAGACATTTTATGTCTTTTTTGAAACTGCACCTTGTTACAAAGCCCGGACGCTTTGCTACGGATGAAATTAATATTGTCCGATCTGGTATGATGACATCTGTTAGTCTCGGGAGCTTCAAAAATGCTTCAAACATTCTCAAAAGCTTTACGAACGGACTAATTATCTATTAATATATATATATAATATATATAAAAAACAAATTTTTTTGCTTTTTCAGGCATACTATTTCACTTTTAAGAACCGTTATTCATACGATTTTTCAGATACCAAAAGACCTACGAGGACTCAGAAGCCATTTTCGGCCGATTTGAGAACATCCGCAACGCGATGGACCAAATAAAAGCCGAAAATGAGGAATTGGGAGAGCAAGTGTTTGGGTTGACCCCGCTATCCGATCTGAGTGATGACGAGTTTATTCACGACTACACTGGGCTATTCCAACACAAACAGCCTCTAAATATTTCGCTGGCGAGCGAAGATGACCTTACAATTGTATTGCCTCAAAGTAATCATGGGACGGCTAATGAAACAGTCCGTAAAGAAGGAAAGCAGTGAGTTCATAGGTTATTTGAAACAGCGTGAGTTTTCAACAGGCATGGCAGGGGTCGGACTTCGAAAATTTCGAAAAGAGCCTGGCAAATCCGGGGAAATTTTACGGCTACCCGCTTCAGAGAAAAAAATTTTTGTCTTGAAAGGAAAAATTGGAATGCCAATTTTGGGTTCTTGGCATTATGCAACAAGACGAATTTAGACTTTTATCAAGTTTTGAGAGTAATTAAACCACTACGGACACCATAATGCGGTAAATCTTCAATTTGATAGCTCACACAAAGCCATGAAACACAATGCCAAAGTATTGCCAAGATGGCGGGAAAACTTCGAAATTCCAAAAGCCCGGCCCTCTAGCCATGCCTGGGTTTCAGACAAGCGGCAACAAGAACTCGGCCAAGTGCCCAAGTCCCAAAGCAATTTGACTACAGGAAGAAGGGCGCTGTTGGGCCGGTCGCTCATCAAAGGGGATGCGGGGCGTGCTACGCCTTCGCTGTTGCGGCTCAAGTTGAAGGTGAGCCAGCCAATATCTTAACAATTTTGTCGGGAAAATAATGTGGATTTAGCACATAAGTCTGCCTCATGGCAGTCGCGCACAAAACCGCTAGCCGTCGCAAGGCGACAGGGTGCTCATTATTTTCCCGACAGATTGATATCAGTCTGTCGGGAAGATAATGTGGATTCGCCGCGCCTTGGAATTTTCTACAGTGGCGAACCCGATCCAGCGGCAAAAAACGTATCATTTTGCATCCGGGAAGTATGAAAAATGTGGCAAAATACCTCCCTCCCCAACAAAAAAAAACTCCGTTTTCAAGAGCGCGCACTTTTTCCTCACAAAAAGAGCGGCCGCGCTTTTGAAATCGGAGTTTTTTTTTCACTTGGAGAGGGAGGTATTTTGCCACATTTTTGATACTTCCTGGATGCAAAACGGCATGTTTTTTGCCACGGGATCAGGTCCGTCACTGTAGAAAATTCCAATGTGCGACGAGTCCACATTATGTTCCCGACAGACAGATAATTCCAGGCGCTGTGGCGGCAAAAACGGGAAAAGTTGTGCCGTTAAGTCCACAAGAACTCATCTCATGCACCACGAACGCGAACGGCAATGACGGATGCAACGGCGGCTACTTGGACTTGGCGCTGAAATACGTCAAAGAAGAGGGGCTTTCGGCCGCGAAATCGTCGCCATTCGTCTCTTCGCGGGGCCGAATTCCTCAATGCCAAGTGGGCCGGAAAGTGGGGAAAATCAAAAATTACAAACAAATCCCAAAGAGACGCGAGGACTTGATGCAAAGGTTTCTCTACAACCAGGGACCGTTGAGTGTTAGTAAGTCGATTTTTCAGTTGTCTACGCTCGCAAAACGCCCCTTGTTTTAGCCATTGACGCTCGCCAACTCCGCCATTACAAGCATGGGGTTCTTCGGCCGCGGAAACCCGCCGGCGGCTGGCAAATCAATCATGCCGTCACGATCGTCGGCTACGGCGAGGAAGAGGTGCCGTTTTGGATTGTGAAGAACTCGTGGGGCACGGAATGGGGAGAAAAGGGGTTCTTCCGACTACTCAGAGGGCAGAATTCATTGGCCATCGGGCAGGAGAGCTACGTGGCGTTTGTTTGAAACGAAAATTAAACTTTTTTTGAATTGGAAATAAATTTTGCAAACTTTTTGATGTTTTTCAAAAATCGAATCTCCTCCCAGCGCAAGCTGTCAAATTTTTGGTTATTTTGGGTTACTGTGGATGGATCTATGTATTACAAGTCTGTCGGGAAAATAATGAGCACTCTGTCGTGCCGAAAATCGCATCGCCGCTGAGAAGATGAATTGTTCGCGGCGAAATCAAATTTTCTTTTTTTTCAACTCCGTGTCCCGATCGGCACAGCCACATTGTGCTCATTATTTTCCCGACAGACTGATATTAGCGTTTTTATAAAGTGCGTGGATATTTTGTCACGGTCTGCACCGTGCATAAAAACCCCCTATTTTGCACCGTGCATTTCATTTTTTTATGGTTTTCGCACTGTGCATCAAAATATCGCTGCAATATAAGCAAGTTCGAAGTCGCTGCGGTGGTGCCAGGAAATTGCACAGTGCAAACGGTTTTTTCCAGGCTGCACTGTGCGAAAAAGAGAAAAATGCACTGTGCGTTGGCGACAAGCGTGGGAAAAGGTTCAAAATGCACTGTGCGGAAGAGAAAAAAAGTCCATGCACTTTATGAAAATATTAAATTTCATATTTAAAAAAAAAATTCTTTTTTTTGAATCTTCAAACTTAATTTTTTTTTTATTTTTGCGATTCTCGAAAAAAAAAATTCAAAAACTTCCATGCACTTTATGAAAATACTAAACTTCATATTTAAAAATTTTTTTTTATTTTTGCGATTTTCGAAAAAAATTTCAAAATTTTTTTATGCAAATTTCCCCAAATTTCCTCACTTCCCCACACCTCCCTTCCCCTCATACCTTCTCGACGCTCACTCGTTGACCGGTTGCTAAGCTTGCACCTCGTTTTTGTCCCACTTCCACAGTAATCTGCGGGCCTTGTAATGGACAAAGAGAAAGACAAAAAGGGCCACGGAGTCACGCAGGTCGGCGGGTTCTTGCAGCGTCTCAAGAAGAAGGCGCAGAACAAGTTCCGCGGAGGCGACGATGGGAACGGCGGCGTGACAGCTGAGGAGAAATCCGTCAAGGTGAGTTCCAAGCCCAAAAACATTGGTTTTATGGGGCTTGCGCAAAGTTTTTGAAATTTTCAAGTTTTCGTGGTGGGACAAAATTTTTTTTTTTTTTTTTTTTTTGAAACTTTGACTAGGCTTGGAAAATACGGAAAATCAAGAATTTCTAAGACATTTTCTGAGACATTTGTGACATTTCTCGCCGGAATCTTGCGTAAGCCACCGATTTTTTCGTTGCAAATTATTGAAAAGTGGCTGAATTTCAATTTTAACGAGTTTTTTTAGAAAAAGGATAATCAAAAGCAGACGCAGGCCCGTAGGAAGAAGAATACGGCTACGAATACTCCCAAGGAAAGCAAATCAGATGATACCGCATCCTCTATGGTCATGAAGAAGAAAGACCGAGAACGCGACAAAGATAAAGAAAAAGAGAGCGGATTGGATGCCTCCAGAAGTGTCAAAAAGAAGAAGTGAGTTTGATTATAACACTACGGCAGACGTATTTTACGTTCAAACCACTTCTGAGGCTTTTGCAACCATTTTGCGTCCCTGAAACAGAACGCCAAAAAATGGCGGGAAATTCGAATTTTGAATTTCACACTATGCCTTTTTTAGTGGGAGATGGAGTGTTGGTATTTTACCTTTTTTGAATTAATTCGATCCCTTTTGAGCCCATAAAACACAATGCCAAATTTGGGCGGGAAATTTAAAATTTGAATTCTTTGGCATAATTAGTACGTTATCGAACTGAGACGGTTGTATTTTACTCCACGCTCACTTCCAAAGCGATTGGATCACCTTTTGAGCCTTGCAACAGAATGCCAGAATCTGTGGGAAAGCCGGAATTCAAAACTAAAATTTCGATTTCAGCCATAAAAAGAAAGCACCGAACGCCAACGTCACCGTAATGAAGGTGGTTGAGACGGAAACCCAAATAAAGGAGGTCCCGGAGACCGTCACCGACAAATTTAACTTCATTCCGACCATGTTAAACAAGGAGTTGAGCGGGATCCGAAAAGAATTCAACGACATCAAGGCCGAAGACAAGGCAAAGGTCCATATGGCCATGGCGTGTCAAGATCCCGCGAATGCGGACAAGAATCGCTACAAGGTGAGAGAAATCGCGGTGTTTTTGTGTTTAGAGCGTGCTTTGAAATTTGCATGTTTTCGTGGTGGGACTCAAAAAAATTTTTCGAAAGTCAAAGCCTCTTGATGAAACTTTGGGGAAATTTGTAACACAATTTTCTGAAGTATTTGTCAAGATTTGGGCTCTTACTGTGCAGGAATTTTTGATTTTTCGGCGGAAAATCAAAAAAAAATAAAAAAAAAATTTGCGATTTTCAGCGTGAAAAATTTGCATTCTACCCTAATTGGGGAGCACAATCTTTCTAGAAAAAAAATTCTGTTTTCTCAGCATAATTCGAAAAGGTATAGCTGAAAACAATTTTTTGACTCTCCCAATTTTCCATAGTCTCTCGTCGGGAAAATTGTTGAATTTCTTGACTCTCCGCGAGAACTAGGCGCTCAAACTTTTAGTAATCAGTGGTTGGCCCATTGAGACTTGCTGTGCAAAATTTCAAGTCATTTGAGGCACTTGGGATACTGTAATTTGCACTTTTTTTCAGAACATTCTCTGTCTGGACGCGTCGCGCGTTAGACTGTCGGATGGGGGCTACTATCACGCGAATGCGGTGGATTCGCGTTTTATTCTGGCCCAGTCGCCCATGTTCAACACTACCGCGCAATTTTGGGATTTGGTTCAGAACGAAGGAGTCGAAATGGTCGGTTTTTATTGTTTTAGTCATCAAGTTTGCGATTTGTTTAAAGAATTTGAATATTTTTTTAATTTTTGCTTATTTCGTTTGGTTTTCAGATTGTGCAGTTGCATCCATGTGATGAAGGAAGAAAGTGCGCTAGATATTACCCAGGAAAAGTAGGCGAAACCAACGACTTTGGAGTGTTCAAGGTCGCGAATTGCAGAGTAAGTAGGCCACAAAAAAGGTACTCCGCGACACTGAATTACTATGGTAGCCCTATAGTTTTAAGGGTACCCACGAAGGCTGTGGCGACTCATTTAGTTCCATACGGAGGCAATAAGTTTAGTTCCGGGCATGTTTCATCGTATAAAGTGTAAAATCACAGGCTGCAGCCGTTTTTGAAGGGTAAGGTGGTACGTAAAAAAGAAGGTGCCTCACTAGCTAAATCCACCGTCCGGGCATTGACAACGATGAATTGAGCGGGCACGCTAAATTTGGGCTAATTCCGACCAGTTACCGTAAAGTTATAAGTTGTGGCCAAAATAAGGAACTTTTACCAGTTGGACCTATTATTATCAACAATTCTTGGTTTTCAGATCGACGCCAGCCCTGTGGAAGAGCCGACCCTCCACTTCAGTCATCTCAAAGTTAACGGCCCTAAGGGCGAGCAAAAAGTCAAGCATGTTTTCTGGTCCAATTTCCCTCCGGTGGGCTTCCCCGAGCCTTCGAACACGATGCCCTTCCTTTGGAAGCAAATCAAAGGCCACAGGAAAGTGTTGGTCCATTGCAGCTCGGGCGCAGGTCGCAGCGCCGTGCTGGTTTTTACTTGCCAAATTCTGGAAAGAATCCAGCATGGAGAAGAAGCGGATGCACCCAGGATGTTGAGGAACCTCCGGGAGAAGCGACATTGCGCTATCCGCAATGAAATGGTGGGTTGGGAGCGGGCAAATCAGTTCGCGTTCATAAAGCGTACCATTTTCCCAATTTTTTACACTCGTTTTATTTTCAGCAGTACGTGTACGTGATGCGCATCATCCTCTTCTACTTTATGAAGTACAATGCTGTGGAGATGTCGCAGAATTTGCTCATCTTCGTCGATGATTTTGATACCTATGCCAAAAAGTTCGAGAGAGAAGAGAAGGAAAGAAAAGAAAAGTGTCCCATTCCTGAGGCTACGGAACCCACCGATGAATTTCAGAATTGAGTTTGAAAAATAAATTTTTATCTTCAGGGAAATTTGCGATTTTGTTGTGAAAAAATTTCTGGCTTGCATGTTGAGCTTGCACAGTGCAAAGAGCCAAAATCGGCACTGTGCGGCCGTTTTTCGCCATTTTGCACAGTGCAAGAATTTCGTCGCGTTTGGGAAATCGCAGAACAAAAATCGACATTTCTTGTCGCAATTTTGGGGATGCGGCTTCGAAAAATGTTCGTTTTCTGACCTGATTCCACAGTGCGATTTCACCTTGGAGGAAAAACGCACAGTGCAGCCCGAAGTTATTTTTGAATTATCAGAGTATAACATCATCTATCAATTTACAACAGTTATTGGCCTCAAATGCAGATTTGCAGTGCGCATTGCGCAATGGTTTGCGGAGCTTGCCGAACTGCAAAAAATTTGGCCGGAACAAAAAAAATTTGCAAAAAACAAATGTCGGTCGGCATTTGTGGCCTTCCCAACATCCATCTACAGCTACCTTCGGACATCCTCACCTCTCAACAACGCAAAAACTGAGAATTCCTTCAAGTTCAAGGCAAAAAGGTACACAAAGCTGGTTACACAGATGAATAAATTTACCGCGCCCAATTCCTTCCATTTCATACCTAAAAACCAACCAAAAACAAGGTGAAAGACTTACCTTCATAGAGATCCACTTTCTCGTTGAATTTGTACCTAAAACATGGAAAACCAATCTTCTTGCTTCCATCTTGCAGCCGTAAGCTGTGGATGCAAGATTGAAAATTGATCGCAAGCGTTTGTCAAAGAAAGTTGCGGGTTCTCCCGGATTTACACGCAATCTGACCTATTCTTTTTTTACACGCTATCTGACCTATTCGAAAAAAAAGGAAAGAAAGGGTTTTCGACTTCCAAAACTTGTCAGAAATGTTAGTATATCAAAATTTGTGGCAAACGTGCCGAACAGACCGTCTAAAACAACATTTATACTCGCATAATACCTGATAAACCTTTCCCTGCCAAAATTTGTTCGCAAAAAGCAAGACAATAATTTCTGTGACATTTCGCCACGAAATCCAACACGAATTCCAACTTTTTGGTGTTGGCAAAAACGTCACTTTTTCGACTTCGTATCCTAATGAAGACGACTTGAATTTTATCCAAAAAGAGGACCTTTACCAAGAGCAGGCTGTCCCATTCGATTCGATGTCCAGATTGCCCGTTTTCTGGTCGGATGACCCGTCAAATCTTGGAATTTTGTGGTGTTTGTTGCGTCGTGGATAATGTAAGTCGATTTTTCTATTTTATTGTGCAAACTAGCCAAAAAGGACAGACATAGATTAGGTGCAGGCCACTAGGTTAATTTTATCACGTAAACAGGGCTAATTTCATGGAACAGCGGCTTGAAAGAGGGACCAAACCCGAGGATCAAGCGTAATATAAAATTTTCGTGAAACTCGCCGTTTCCGGTTCGAAATAGACATTAGATCGGAGCTAATAACCTACTCCACAACTAGCTGTAGCTAGGTTCGAAGAGTGCGGTTCGAAACAATAAGAAAATGCCACTTGAATTATCCGCGTTTCAACAACCTGGATAATGCAAACTCCGTTCAATTTGATTGCCCGTTTCTGTTCGGATAATCCACCAAAAGTTTGGAATGTTGCGAGGCGACTTTGTCGAAACGTGGATAATGAAAGTGGCATTTTCTTATTTTTTCGGACCACACTCTTCGAACCTAGCTACAGCTAGTTGTGGAGTAGGTTATTAGCTCCGATCTAATGTCAATTTCAAAACGGAAACGGCGAGTGTCACAAAAATTTTATATTGTACTTGATCCTGGCGTTTGGTCCGTCGTTCAAGCCGCCGTTCTATGAAATTAGCCCTGTCTCCGTGGTAAAATTAACGTAGTGGCCTGCACCTAATCTATGTCTGTCCTTTTTAGCTAGTTTGCACAATAAAATAGAAAAATCGACTTACATTATCCATGGCGCAACAAGCACCACAAAATTCCAAGATTTGGCGGGTCATCCGACCAGAAAACGGGCAATCTGGACATCGAATCGAATGGGACAGCTTGCGCGTGGTAAAAATTCCTTTTCTTTGCAAATTCCAAGCTGTTCTCGTTCAGAAAATAAATTTTTTGTGTGTTCTTATCCCACCAAGTGGCCGCTTCGTGGATCATCTCGCCGGCCATGGAGGAGGCAGCGATTCGAGCGCTTTTGAATTCGCTGTTGATGTGCAGCGCGGCATTCGAGGGTTTGCAGCCTAACGCAGCCGAACTCGAGGTGTTCGAGTTCAAGGATGGCGGGATTCAGATGCAAACGTTCACTTGGAACGAATCATTTGTGTCGTAAGTTGGGGTCTGTGTCAGTTTTGCAATGAAGATTTACAGCGTTTTTTGGTCCATTTTGTACTGAACCCGCTAACAAGGGAAGTACCCAAGCGCGAAGCTCAGATTTTCTTTAAATTTTGCACACACGTCGGGTATGGACTTAATATCAATTCCTGAAAGTTTTAGCTCACGCTTTACAGGCTCCGCCGCGATATTGAATGGTCTTTTCCGTCGAGAGAGTACGCTAAACGCGGAGAGCGGTCAAAGAGAAAATCACTTTTTGGCCATAACTTTGCTAGTTTCGCGCGGAGAGAATTGATTTTTTGTGGAAACATTACCCGTTACGGTAGAAATAGGTATGAAACTTTTCGTGCCGAAGTTCGGCAGAAAGCTTCTAAGTATGTGCCGAGTTGCATAAAAATCTGAGCGTCCCAGATGGGTACTAGTCCATTCGTAAAGTCGCTGGAATGTTTTCGGCGACATGCACTCCGCGAAAACGAAAGTTCACTTTGCACTGTGCAATTTTTGGCTTTTTGCACAGTGCAATAGGCTTTTTCGGGCTGTCGCCCGCACCCTGAGTTTTCTTGCACAGTGCATGTCGCCGCTGAACTCTGGAATGGACGTCGCAACTACGCTCGACCCTTGGAAAAAACGTGTTTTAATTAACGCCTTTTCTGTTTCAGAACGCCAATTAACATTGAGTTCGACGGCACAATTGAGGGCGCCAACGTGCAGATGGTGGTGAATGGGGAGAAGATTGAACTCGGTGGTCAAGTCAGCATTAAAAATTCCCTCGGAATTCCGGTGCAAGTTGCATCTTCAATTGATATGGGACGTATTTTAGCAATTGCCCCGTTGCCGGCGACACAAACGAAATCCGCCTTGTAACTCGATCAACTTTGTGCAATTCCGGCTACTACGTATACCGAGTCCAGGACAAGCTCTATGGGCTTGCAAATCAGGCTGATAGGTACTCCTTCATTTTCGGTGTTGATGGATCCGTGATCGAAGAGAAAAAAATACCCCTAGTGGTGAACGATAAATTGGGTGTGAATCAAACCAAAGGCACCCTTGTGTACAAAGACGGCTATGGGATGTGTCAGGAACTCACTGCCGGTTCTCTGTCTTCATCCTGGGAATCCCGTTTTTGCGACGACGAGAAGATTACTCTGGTTCCCAATGAAACATCCGGATGGCATCATGTCGTAGGCTTTGACAAAACAGTCAGTTTTCTCATGTTCGAATTTCAGCAATACCTCCAAATCGTCCACTACTGCAAATTGAACTGGACCATTCCCCGAGACGAGCTCAAAAACGTCTACGTCCGGTTCCTGTATAGGTAAGTGGAAGAATAACATTGTTTTGATTGGTCTTTAGACCCCCACCACCAAAGGCCCGCAGAAGAGGTCTGCTGACGGAGAGGGGAAAGGTGCTCGTCGGCCTCTCCGCCGGGTTCCTTGGAGTTGTTCTCATCGCGTTTGTTGGTTCCGCTCCGTTCTGGGTAAGTTGCGGCTGATGGGATGTTTTTCCGGCCTTGTTTCAGTGGGGGACCTGATCCAGTGGCAAAAAATGTACCATTTTGTATCCGGGAAGTCTAAAAAATGTGGTAGAATGCTGCCCTCTGCAAGTGAAAAAACTCCATTTTCAAAAGCGCGCCCTCTCTTTTTGAGAGGGAAAGGGCGCCCTTCAAAACGGAGTTTTTTCACTTGAGGAGGGAGATTTTCTTTCGCCACATTTTTGAGACTTTCCGGATGCAAAATGGTACGTTTTTTGCCACTGGATCAGGTCCCCCACTGTATTCACCGTTTTCGCAGCCTGTTCGAAATAAGCTTGTATTTTTTCAGTACAAGTGGTCGCCATGGGGAGGCGCTTGGAGAAGAGAAAAGAAGCCCGTGCCAAATACCAACCTCCAAGTAAGTTGTTTGCTTTTGTGGAGTTTTGCGACTTTGTTTTAAAAGTCTATGCTGTCTACTTTCAGTCGCCGTCTGAGGACTTACCGCGCGACTCGTACGGGTAAGATTTGCTTCTTTTTTTTTGATTTTACAAAGCTCAAATGGAAGGCCAACGAAATGAGGCCCCCAGAAAAAGAACGAAGAGGGGAAAAGTTCCTTATTTTGGCCACAACAAAGGTACTCCGCGAACTGCGCCCAAGCTTGGGCACTAAAGTTAGGAAAAAACGCTTTGAATTAGCTGGCACTGGATAACTATAATAGCTCTATAGTTTTAAGGGTACCTACGAAGGCTACGACGACTCGTTTAGTTCCATACGGTTTAGTTCCGGACATGTTTTATCGTATAAAGTGTAAAATCACAGGCTGCAGCCGTTTTTGAAGGGTAAGGTGGTACGTAAAAAAGAAGGTACCTCGCTAACTAAATCCACTGTTCGGGCATTGACAACGATGAATTGAGCGTGCACGCTAAATTTGGGCTAATTCCGACCAGTTTCCGCAGAGTTATAAGTTGTGGCCAAAATAAGGAACTTTTACGCGGTTTTGTGCGGGTGACGTGAGCATGTCGCGCTGTTTTTTTCGATTTTTGCAAATTTTTTTCATTGTATAAAATATCATTTGGAATATTTTTTGATACTTTTAAAACACGATTTCTGACTCACTGAATCAGCCGTGTGCAAGGCCGGGACATAGGAAATTTTCGATTTTGAGATTTACAGCTGGATATGTCCGCACCCATCATATAAGTGTGTTCCTGAAGCCTTTTGCCCTAATTCTCCCGTTAACCTTGTTTTATTTACAATTTAAGAAATTTACAGTAACGTAAAATAGCTCAAAATTGAGAAGATACTGAGCCGTAAAATTGTCACCGTATATGTTTTTGGGCACTGGGAATCCAATGGAGGTGATTTCGGATCGAAAGGATTACTGTAACATAGCAAACTTACGCTTCGGCCGCACAAAATCGGCCGTAAAAAAGTTGTTTCTAAAAACCCACAGCTGAATTTTTGATATGTTAATCAGCATAAAATTCTGCCCTAGAAACATTCAAAAAAAGTCCAAAAATCCGTGTTGCTATTTTCGTGGTGTAGTGGATTTTGACAAAATCTACCAATCTGACGTCCCGGGTTCGAGTCCGGGTGGGCGCAAATCACTGAGAATTGGTCGGGAATGACTCCAATGGAGAGAATATATAAGCTTGAGTTTATTTTAGGTGATTTTTATAAGATTCTGAAGAGTTTTCAAATTTTTTGGTAGAAAAAAGCCGAAAATACAACTTTTTGACAAATCATATTTTACACTGTTTTTTTGTGTTCATGACACAATAAAAACTTATATGTAACAATTTTAAGGGGTTCTTCGACAATCCCACCCGTTAAAAAATTTGTTTAATGTTGCACTTGACACCTGATAAGCAGGAAGTGGATAGATCTTCCAGATTGCACTTTCTTTTGCTCTGACTTGCCAAATTGTCCGTAAATGGTATAACTAGCATAAAATTTCAATTATTTGGCGGGTAACCACAAGAAATCTAGTTTGAAAATGAAATTTTCTCCGCGTTTCATCAATTGTTCTATAGAAGAAAATCACTTCAATAATGAACCGTTTTCTGAAAAAAATGTGAAGTATGGTCACAAAGCAGTGAATTACGTTGTCACTAGCCACGATTATAGTTCCCACAGATGTCTGTATGAGGCAAGATTAACAGATACCAAGTATAATGTCCAAATACTCAGGAAATGGTTTCTACTTGTTGGAGACTCCTTACAAACACTACATATACATTCTTATTGTGTCATGAACACAAAAAAGCAGTGTAAAATACGATTTGTCAAAAAGTTGTATTTTCGGCTTTTTTAGGCAAAAAAATCTGAAAACTGTCAGAATCTTATCAAAATCACCTAAAATAAACTCAAGCTTATATATTCCCTTCATTGAAGTCATTCCCGACCAATTCTCAGTGATTTGCGCCCACTCGGACTCGAACCCGGGACGTCAGATTGGTAGATTTTGTCAAAATCCACTATACCACGAAAATAGCAACACGGATTTTTGGACTTTTTTGAATGTTTCTAGGGCAGAATTTTATGCTGATTAACATATCAAAAATTCAGCTGTGGGTTTTTAGAAACAACTTTTTTACGGCCGATTTTGTGCGGACGAAGCGTAAGTTTGCTATGTTACAGTAATCCTTTCGATCCGAAATCACCTCCATTGGATTCCCAGTGCCCAAAAACATACATGGCCACAGTTTTTCGGCTCTACGTCTTCTCAATTTTGAGCTATTTTACGTTACTGTAAATTTCTTAAATTGTAAATAAAACTAGGTTAACGGGAGAATTAGGGCAAAAGGCTTCAGGAACACACTTATATGATGGGTGCGGACATATTCAGCTGTAAATCTCAAAATCGAAAAATTCCTATGTCCACGGCTAATTCACCGAGTCAGAAATCGTGTTTTAATGGGGGTCTCTTCGTTCTCTTCTGAGGGCCTCTGCTGTTTGGAGCCTTTTCGGTCTCAATCGCGCAGTGCGAATCGTTTTTTTTGCATTTTCGCATCGTATTATATTTTCAGCAACGTTGACTGCAACTTGAGGATGGAGAAGTCAGCATACGACATGCAGAGGGTCCTGGACTTGAAAGACAGCTTTAAAGACGAAGATTTGGGGTTGCATCTTCCGCAAACCATCTTCGACGCGTCTACCTATCACCATGTTGCGAAGCTGAGTCACGGCAGAATGAGCGTCGTCCACAAATACAGCGTGCATGCAAAACCGTGTGAACTGTTTGCCGCCGTCAAATTCACGGTCGTCAGGGACGAGATGGAGATGCAGCGGGCCAAACAGGAGGTAGCACTGCTCCGATTCTTTTCGGAGTGTAAATCCCACCCGAAGTGAGTTTATTCAGTTTTTTTTTGACTCTCGATACATCGTTATATGATTTGAGGGAGGGAAAATGTTTTTTCGCATAGAAATAAAAACGCCTTTTCCTAGAAAACTTATGCTTAGAAAAAATGATATTTTTCGCGTCCCGACATTTCGGGTCAGGGACAACTCGGGTCAACGTCACCTCGGGCAACGATACCGTTTAATATTTTCGCTTCGGGACTGGGAAAAAAGAATTTTTTGGTGAATTTGAACAAATTTTTGAAATGTTTCCGCTTCGGGACTCGGAAAAGAGAATTTTTTGGAGAGTCGTTCCGAATGTTGCAATTTTATTTTACAACTTCTATGGGGTGTGGAGTTACAGGTCGAGATATATATCAAAAAATTCGCAAAAATTTTCTGATTCAGAATATATAAAAATTAGCTGCCTATTTTGGTCTATTAACGAGTTTTATCAATAAATGTATTTCTCGAGGAAAAAAATCTGCGGCAACAAAAGCGCGCTCGGTCTCTTCCTTCGTAAGAGAGCGGTGTGGCCGAGTGGTTAGAGCGCTAGATTGGGAATCCGAAGGGGACGGGTTCGATTCCTTTTGCCACACTAGAACCCATTTTTTACATTGGAACTACTTTTAAGGTGTAGTTGTAATCCAATTTGATGTTTTAAGGCTTGTCAAGGCCTGAAAATTTATTTTAGCACAAAACAAAATTTTTTTATTGGTAAAAACACGGTCAAAAAGACACTTGCATTGTGTCGCGAGAAAACTTCTGAGGACAAAAACATGTCATCAGACTTCTGAATCAGAAAATTTTTGCGAATTTTTTGATATATATCTCGACCTGTAACTCCACACCCCATAGAAGTACTTTCCTTGTTAAAAATTTTTTTATGGATACGATTTTCTTGTTTGATCTTCGCTTATGCACTATTTTCATAAAAAAATAAAAAAAAATAAACCTCAATTCTCAAAAAATTCTTTTTCCCAAGTCCCAAAGCGAAAACAATTCAAAAATTTGTTCAAATTCTCCAAAAAACTCTTTTTTCCGAGTCCCGAAGCGAAAATATTAAACGGTATCGTTGACCCGAAATGTCGTTGACCCGAAGTGTCGTTGACCCGAGTTGTCGCGACTCGAGTTGTCCCTGACCCGAAATGTCGTAGCGCCATATTTTTCATAGAAAAAATCATCTTTATTTTAGAAAAGAATGGGGTTTTTTTCCAAGAAATTGTAATTCTTAGCACATTTTTGTATAAAGTTACTGCAAAAAATGCGACCAACGCGTTTTTTAAATTCCTCTTTTTTTCAGGGATTACGGAAATCTTCACCTTGCAGATGTGTGCGGTTATGGCCACTATCCGAACCTTTTCTTCTACATCATGCTTTGCTACAAACGCAGTATTCAGGACGTGTTGGAAGATCTTCCGTGTTCAAACTACGGTCAGAAGCTGAACGTGTGTTATCAAATGCTGCAGGGGATCCTGGAATTGCAGCGCTTGGGATACGCGCATGGCGACATCAAGCCCGCGAATTATATGCAGTGGAAGTTGGATGAAAACAAGGTGGGTTTGGTGGGGGAATTGAAGCAATGCTAGAAAATGACAATCATTTACTATTCTTTTTTGAACCGTTGCAGAAGAAATAACCAGCGAAATGTGTTTTATCGATCTGATATTTTTCCGCGCTTTATTACGCCATGTCTGAGGCGCCTCTAGCTGTTAAAAAAATCATTACAAAAAAATTTGCTTTTTTGACACCGGGTTTTGCTCACAAAAAAAGTTTGGAATGATGTGCACTGTGGAATTCCAATTTTTCTGTTTTTTTTCCTTGTTACCAGAAATTGCTTCGTTTCGTCCCGAAAACAAGAGAATGGCCAATTTTTTCAGCTTAGCATCGTCGGCTTTGGGTTTGTGAAGAAATTTGGAGCGAAGCGTCCCGCCGGCTGCGGCACCCTCGAGTACATGTCGCTGCCCGCCTTGCGTGGCCAGGAGGTCAGCATGGTGGACGACATGCAGTCCTGGTTCCACTGCTGTGTGGTGGTCCTGACGGGCGAGTTCGCCTATTCTCGGCCAACCCCTGACGAAACCGAAGGCCTGGTCGAGTTGTATTTGAAGGCGCAGACCGAGGACGTTCCGCAGTACCCTTCAAAGGATGACGAAATCATCGCAATGCTCAGGAACTTGATCTGGGACAAGCCCCCGGGCAATACGATCGATATGGCCGCGGTTTTGAAGACTCTGGATGAGGTGAGGCTTTATTTTTGTTTTTTTATTATTTAAAAAAATTTTACTTGTTTTATTTTCAGTTCCGAGTCAAGTTCGAGTTCAACTACACGGACCCCTGGTGGGATTCTCTCCCCACGGAGAAACCATCCAGCGCCAAATCTGAAACCACCAAGAAGTCGAAGAAATCGTAGGTTCTCAGAGCCAAATTTTTTAGGAAATAAAACGGTTATCTATTTGACAGCTAGCTTTTTTTATTTTCGTGTAGTGCACTGTGCGGGTAGGGCAGGTGGACACCCAAAGAAGGGTTGTAGGAAGTGCCTACGAGGCCTGGCAAAGACTCGTTAGAGACTTGGCGAAGACTTGCAATATTACTTTTACAGGGTGGGACATCTTTGTGGCCCGATTTGAATTGGCTATAACTTCTTTAGTTTTCGGCCAAATCTTTAAATTCTTTTTTTCCCTGAATCCTCAGACAACCCCATTTTGTTTGCTACCAAATATGTTATACATAGGTAAGTGTCATCTACATTTATTGGATTTATTCTTGGAGTTCATTTTTTCGGTCGTTTTTCGGTTGTTTTTTTTGGTCTTTCCCGGTGTGTCCGAAAATGGAGTACGGTGTGGAAGAAAAAGCTTGGTCTGTGGTTTGGTGTGGCAAATATGCTTCGCCGATAAATGTACAAAGGGAAAATGGATAAGGAGCCCCTTGTTGTCGCTGTTGATCAAAGAATCCGCCTTGTGGAGGGCCCTGTGGGCCTAGAAGACCCTGTTGGCCTTGAGGAGGGCAGAGAGAGACGCAGGGCTGTTGCTGCATTTGTTGTGGTGGACAAGGGCATGGGGGAGCTTGCTGTTGCTGTGGAGGGCAGGGCAAGCACGGAGCACATCAAACTGAGACAAGCTAAAACAGTCCGGTGAATGGATTGGCAATTTGCCAAAAAAAAAGACGCGAAAAAACGTTTTGTCGGGGGAGAAATGGGGAATTTTTGGGGCGAGAGAGTGCGTTTTTGCGTGTCTTTTTTCTCTCTTTCTCTGCGAAATAGACGAAGTGCAAAAAACCAATAGCGAAGGCTCTATTCGGGTCACCGGACTCCTCAGTTTGACGTGCGGAGGGCCTTGTTGGGGCGGTTGGAATTGAGAGGAAGCATGCTGGCCTTGGCATGGGCAAAGAGGGCATTGTTGGAATTGAGGAGCGGCCCTGTTGCCCCTGTTGGAACTGAGGCGGCGCCTGCTAGCCTAGACAAGGACAAGGAGGCACAATTTTGTTCTCGAGAGACTTCTCCGCGCATAAACTGGCAAGTTTGATAAACGGCCAAAAGGTGTTTTCCTCTCCGGCCGCTCTCCGCGTTTCTCGGTCTCTCTTTGCCAAAAAAATCGTTGAATATCTCGGTTCTTGCCGCCAAGAACTACAACTTCCTAAATTTAGTATGTGGATTCTGCCCGGCGTGTGTACAAATTCAGAGAAAATCTGGGCGTCTAACTTGGTGTACTTACCTGTACCTTCTTACTCAACTTGAAATTTTGCTGCGACAATTCCACATTATTTTCCCGACAAACTGATAAAATTTTCAGCCATCGATATACCACTCATATCGCAAAAAATAAACGTATTATAGCATAATATATGTAGGCGATCAAACCGTTACGCCTCCTTTGCAAGCCCAGTTTTTCTTCGCCGTTATCCCACTTTTACGTTAAACCCATGCGGCTGTAACCTCATCGGAGTCATTGAACGGATCAAGGGCAATAAACCCCCTTTCTTCCCTCCGGCTTTCGGGGCGGAGAACCCACCCTCAGGCGGCGTAATTTCGGGCGGCGCCGTTCAAGATGACTTCTTCATCGAATCCGAATTATTCCATTCGGATTCCCAGTTTCCTCCTCGCGTTTTATTATTTCACTTTTGCGAAATTCGAAATCCCATTTGGATCGTCAATCTCGGGTGAAAGGGAAGTCTTGAGGGATCAACTGAGGCGTTAAAATAACTTTTTCCAACAATATCGCATATTGTATTTTACACTGAACCGAGGTGCATTAGGGCTAAAAATTTTTTCTCGCGACCTTTGACGTGTCAAAATGAAGGATATCCAAAGATCTTTTGCTCAGTTTTCAAAGCGTTGGAAAGTTATTTCCATGTTTTTGACGTGATGACTATCGAAACCCCCGAAAAATTCCGACATTTCTCTGTGATTTTCAACCGAAAAAATTAAAAATTTCTCTATCATTTTGAACCGAAAACACTGGGGTTCGGAGTAAAAGGCCTTCTGAAAGCGGAGCCTTTGCTCTACATCCACGCCTATTTTCAAGTCTCTATCAACGGCTAGCGAGCAGTGTATTGTTAAAGAAGTTTTAACAATGTTAAAGAAGGGGGTCCAATATGAAAAAATAGAAAAAATGCGGGAAGACCGGTTCTGTCCCAAAAATACAGCATGCCGTGAAAGGGCTCTGCTTCAAAAGGCCGTAGAGACCAGAGATTGCCACGGCTCCGGAGCCGGCTCTTGGCTCCGGCTCTGAGCGGCTCTGGCTCCGAGCCGGGAGCCAGAGCCGGAGCCGGAAATTTTGGGGTCGGCTCCGGCTCCCGAGCCCAAAGTCGGAGCCAGGCTTCCCAGCGGTCAGAAAAGTAAAAATTTCGTGATCTTGTTAAACCAAATTGCTTGAAAAACACTGCGGAGGATGTGACTTGACTGCAGAAACGTTGGCTGTATGATCTCTGGCACTAACAACTTTTATTTTTGGAAAAATATTTTTAAAAAAACATTTTGCATAGGAGCCGGGATTCGGAGCCGGAGGCCTTTTGAAATTTTGCACGGAGCCAAGAGCCGGAGCCGGAGCTGCAAATTTGGCCTCGGCTCCGGCTCTGGGAGCTAAGAGCCGGAGCCGGAGCCGACATTTTAACCGTGGCAATCTCTGGTAGAGACCCCAGTTTGTACTTCAAAGTCTTGTTATTTCATAGACAAAAATTAGTGTCACTTACTATTAAAAATACATATTCCACTAACAAAGTCTCTGCGCCGTCTCCGCCGGAAGTTATGGCCTCCGACTTTCCCTCACGTTTTTGAAAGACCCTGTAATTTTTATTTTTACAGCCTTCCAAGTGTAACTTTTCTACACCAAACTCGAAGTGACATCATCATCTCTTCTTCGTCTGCTCAGTTCACTAATTTTTCCAGCCTTACTTATAGCCGACGGGGCGTAATTGCAGATCGCCTTTTTGGGATCGGCGACGAAATCGGTTGGAAGGAAGACGGAGAGAAAGAAAGAAAGGGATTAGCCACACTTTCTCCGGATGTTTTATTTACAAGACAACTAATGCGGAATAATAAGCCGGAGCGCGGTACAACATCCCTTCACAAGTTTTGCGCTGTCGAACGTATTAGAAATCAGAGCTAATTCGTCGAAGGAGAGAGTGATTGCCAACGCTAAGGACTTTATTTTTGAGCTTTCACAGGTAAGAAGGGCCGCTATTTTTTTTGTCTTTGGATCTTTTGAGTCTTTTGGATATCCACATCTTTATTATAGACAGTTTTTTGTCGTGTATGGGGATTTTTTGCACAGGGTGTCCAGAAATATTAATATGTCAAAAAGTTTTTGTCGATTTCTCGGCGCTCAGATGAGATATCCAAAAAATTCTTTTTGCATAAGCAAGAAGAAGAAGAGGATTTTTTTCGTTCAAAAAAATATTTTCTCCGCCATCGCGAAGGGTTGTGTATTCGGCGGAGACTTTTGCGGTACTTTTTGGTCATCATACCAACTTTATACTCTTTATTTTGATTGGTGGTGGCGGAAAAAAGATATTTCCTTATTTTTGTAAATACCAAGTATTCAGTAAAAGTACGGAGGATGTTTCACACGTTCGCAAAAGCTCAGCGGAGAAATTTTTTACATTTTTACAAGCGGAGGCCATTTTGGGGGCTTGGCTTTTGCGAGCAAACAATTTTTGGCCAAAAAATCGCCCATATTCTTCTTCTATGTTCTGGAAAAAAATATTTTTGTTTCTCTTGACTAGCCGCAAAAAAATCGAGAATTTCTCGCTGTACAATAAGTTTCTATACAACAAAGTCTGTCTATAACAAAAATTTTTACTTTTTTCTAAATTTTCCCCAAGTTTCATCAAAACCTGAGCGTCGCATTTGAACGAAGGAATACTTTCCTTTTCAGTGGTAAAAATCAACTTCTTCCCGGAGAAAAATCGCCCAGACCCGGTCAAAAAAAACTTTTCCGCTCTTCGTCTCCGCTCATTTTACGTAGTCTCTCGTCTGCAAAGATTGTTGAATATCTTTGGCTGGACCTGCAATGAAAGAGTTAAAATTTGAAAAATTTAATCTCTAGCCTACATAGACTACGATGTATTTTTTCAAAACTTTAAAAATTAAAGATAAAAGTTCCTTATTATGGCCACAACTTATAACTTTGCGGAAACTGGTCGGAATTAGCCCAAATTTAGCGTGCACGCTCAATTCATCGTTGTCAATGCCCGGACAGTGGATTTAGTTAGTGAGGTACCTTCTTTTTTACGTACCACCTTACCCTTCAAAAACGGCTGCAGCCTGTGATTTTACACTTTATACGATGAAACATGTCCGGAACTAAACTTATTGCCTCCGTATGGAACTAAATAGGTCGTCACAGCCTTCGTAGGTACCCTTAAAACTATAGAGCTATTATAGTTATTCAGTGCCAGCAAGGTCGAAGCGTTTTTTTCTTAATTTTAATGCCCAAGCTTGGGCGCAGTTCGCGGAGTACCTTTGTTGTGGCCAAAATAAGGAACTTTTTCCAAATTAAATTTCAAAATAAAAAAAAACAAAAAAATTGGGAAGTTTTGTAAAATACGACAATCTTTTTTCAGGATGTTCCAAAACCTCGTCATTATCGCCATTCTCGCCATTTTTTCAACTGCCGACGAAACCGATGACTCCCTGCGAAATGTTGGGCTGGGCCCCGACGAATTGGCCATGTTGGACGACTTTGAGGTGAAATTGTTGAGGGACTCGATCCGTGGAGTGGGCTCGGTTAGTCGGGGCTACAATCTGCAAAGCGAGAAGGCCCCGTCGGGCTTCGATTTCGGGGCGTTTCCGGGCATCCGAGGCACCAAACAGCTGGCCACGGATGATGTTGTCGTGCCGGTCGGTGGAGCGGTAAGTTTTTTTTTTATTTTTTGGCCTTAGCTGGTGTATTAATGTCTGAAAGACAAAGGAAAGGGAAAACCAAAAAAATTTTTTTTGTAAAATACGGATTTTTTACGAATCTTTTTTTAGACTAAAAATTACAATGAAATTGTAATTTCTCAATCTTCAATGGATGAATTTTTGTGAAATTTAACCCAAATAGTCTACACGGGAGACATTTCAATTGCTGAAAATTTCAGCTTTCCCGTTGCAGGGGCCGCCGAGATATTCAACGATATTTTTGGCCGAGAGAGTATGGGAAATGAAGGGAACGGTCAGAGAAAAAACCACTTTTTGGCTGTGTCTTTGTCAGTTTCGCGCGGAAAAATTTATTCGAAACAGTCAGCTAAAATTTCCAGCAATGAAAATGCAGCTGAAGCGGAGCGTATTTTACAAATTTCAAGAGAATCAAAAACACAATTTTTTTTTTAAAAAAAAAATTAATTTTTTAGGAGTAAATCTGACTTTTTCAGTTTGCCGAAGACTCGGCTGACCTTGTCACTCCACCTCAGCTGTTTCAAGTGCATAAAGACGAAGATGTCACCACGGCTAAGCCAAAGCACAAGCTGAAGGCTCGAAGAAAGAAGCCCAAAAAGAGTGATCCCCGGAAGGAGGGCAATACGGACACGGATATTACGCCGGCTCAACAGAAACGCCTCGAGGTCTTGATTGAGGTAATTTTTTGTTATTTTTTTGAGCAATTTTCCAAAAATTTTTTTGAAAAAAACATTTTTTTTTTTAAAATTTTTTTTCGGTAAAATATGTAATGACCAAAAAAATAGTTCTTTTTAGAAGGCTTTTGTTATATAGAGGTTTATTTTGGCCTGAAATCGGCTCTTCCAACCTCTGAAATAGTCTGTTATAAATAGGTTTTGCTGTATGCCAGTTTGATGATTATATGTATTATAATATCAGTCTGTCGGGAAAATAATGAGCAAACTGTCGTTGCTCTTTTTTGACCGATTTCTCTGACTTTTAGGAATTTCAAGTTTTCGTGGTGGGACCCAAAACTTTGAAAAGCCCCGATTATGCGATAACTATTGTTGAATTATGGTGTGTTTTTGAATTATAAGTCTGTCGGAAAAATAATGATCACTATGTCACTTTGCCTATTACGTCGCTGAAGTGAAAAACAATTAGATTTTCTCCGCGACACGATTCATTTTCTCAGCGGCGATGCGATTTTCGATGTGACAGAGTCCTCATTATTTTCCCGACAGACTAATAGTCAGTTTGCAAAGTTGCTGCAGTGATTTCAGCGACATGCACTGGGCGAAACGAAAATTTCATTTTGCACTGTGCAATAGGGTTTTTTTGGGCCCTGACTTTTTCTGCACAGTGCAAACGCTAAGAATCACTGCAGCGACTTAATGAACGGACTAGGACAGTAATTTTACGGTAGAAAAATTTTATTTTTTCAAAGATTTTTTTCGTGAAAAATTTTGGTTTTTCCAAGAGGTTTTTGTGGAAAAATTTTGATTTTTTATGAAAAATTTGATTTTTTCGACGGATTTTTTTTTGTAAAAAATTTTTTTTTTGATTTTTTTAAATTTCAAATTTCAATTTTTTTATTCTTTCTTCTTTTTTTCAAAAAAAAAACATATTTCAGATGCTCCTCCAAAAGAAGCGAAAATTATCGCAACTCTCGAAACCCGACGAATGGGAAGACATCGAGCCCCAAACCGACGCTCCGGCGACTGAGAAAGCAACAAAAACTGTAACGAAAAGGCCGGTTACACTCACTCAAAAAAGTGAATTTACCGTCAGCGTGGACGGAGCGACCAAGCCGCCGAGTGGGAGGAGAGGTGAGCAGACTTAACAGGGGAAGAACCCCAAATGCGACGCTCAGATTTTGATGAAACTTGGCACAAATTTAGAATACTTTTTTCGAAGATATATGCGAGAATCCTAGCTCGCGCTTTGCAGAAAAAACCGAGATTTTTAGATAAGAAAATCGGCGAAAAATTAGAACTTTTTGCCGAATTTCGGCACGAAAAATTTCATGCCTATTTCTACCGTAAAGTATAATTTTTCTACAAAAAATCAAAATTTTCAGCACGAAATGAAGATTTTGAAGCATCGTATTTTATTTACTATGCAATATTTTGATAATCTTTTTTGTTTTCCCGTGAATTTTAGCCGTTCGCAGGTTTTCGTGGTAGGACCAAAAATTTTTTTGTTCAAAAATTTTTTTTAATTTCTAAAAATTAATTAATTTTGAGTATTTTTAAAAGTCAAATAAAAGAAAATACAATCTCTTTCACCTCCAATCTTCAAAAAAAATGAGATTTTTTGAGCGAAATATTACAAAATTGAAAAAAAAAATTTTTTGTGATTTTTGAATTTGAAACTTGGCATTCTGTTTCAAGTCTTGAGTACAATATTTCCACAAAAAATCAAATTTTTCCGCATGAAACTGCCAAAGTTATGGCCAAAAAGCGCTTTTCTCTCTGACCGCTCTCCACGTTTAGCGTGCTCTCTCGGCGGCAAAAATCGTTCGATATCTCGGCGGCGCCGGCAAAGCGCGAGCTAAAACTTTCAGGGATTGATATTTAGTCCATACCCGACGTGTGTGCAAAATTTAAAGAAAATCTGAGCGTCGCACTTGGAGTTCTTCCCCTGTTAAAATGAAGACTTTCTTAAAGATTACGGTATTTATTTATCATCACGATACAATATCAGTCTGTCGGGAAAATAATGAGCACTCTGTTTCAGGTCTTTCGATGATCACTGAGCAAGAAGAAGAGGACGAGGCCGAATTTGTTGTAACCGAAAAACAAAAAGAGCCCGAACCGACGCCAGCGCCGGTCAAAAAATCCCAGGTTTTCAGAGGCGACGAGAAAATCAATCGACCCGCCAATACCGACGAGGTTTTGAATGGGCAGCTGATTGATAATGAAGTGGAAGCGAAAAATCCACAAGGTAAAAGTTTGTGCCAAATTTGTTTCTAAGGGCAGAAACTAATAAGGAGGATATTCAAACTCGTATTTTACCCTTTTAAAATTGTTTTCTAGGTTTTAAAATACGATTTTTTCAGTTTTTTTTATTTTCCGTCATATGTGAAAAAGCCGTATGTCAAATTCGGAAGCCGTATTTTAGCTTTTTAATGGTATTAGAGGGTTGTAAAAATCGTATTTTAGGATTTGAACGGTGTATTTCTGGTTTTAAAAAGTCGTATTTTAGGATTTTTAAGTCCTGTTTTAGCTTTTGAGATCCGTATTTTAGCCGTCTAGGTTGTATTTTAGGACTCAAACAATCGTATTTTAGGATTTGAACGTCGTATTTCTTGTTTTGAAAACCGTATTTTAGGATTTTTAAGTCTTATTTTAACTTTTTAATTTGTATTTTCGGAGTTAAAAATCGTATTTTAGGATTAAAAAATCATGCTTCATATATTTTTTGAGTCATTTTTAAGCTTTTAAGATCCGTATTTTAGCTTTTTAGTATGTATTTTTGGATTTAAAAAATCGTATTTTAGGATTTGAAGGTCTTCTCTCTTATTTTCCTCGTATTTTACCTTTAAGAACCGTATTTTAGCTTTCAATAGTCGTATCTTAGCTTTTTGGTTTGTATTTTCGGAGTTAAAAAATCGTATTTTAGAAATTTAGTGTTGTATTTTACCTTTTGAAAATCGTATCTTAGATTTTAAAAATATTTTTTTTGACATTTAAATATCGTATCTTAGTATTCAAAAAAGCGTTTTTTAGCGCTTGGGAGTCGTATTCTAGCTTTTTTAGCTACATATTTTACCTTTTAAAACACTCATCATCATCTTTCTTATTTTCAATTTTTCAGATTGGGAAGACAAAATGCGCGCCCTCACTCGAGAGCTGGGATTTGTCCTGCAAAAATTGCGCATCGAAAAAGAAGAAAGCCGGAAGCTGAATAAAACAAATTTCGATCCAAAACCCCCAACAATCGTTGAAGTGAAAACAATCGATGCGAATACGAACAACTTGGATGATAATGACAGGGCGCCGCAACAACGGAAGGCGTTTATCAGCATTTTGAGAGAGGTGAGAGAAAAAAGTTTGCAAAAATTTTGCTAAAAATTTTTTGTTTTTTCTAAATTTTGGGACAAAAAAAATTGAGTTTACAAATTTACAGTACCTTATTTTCTCAAAAAACCCCTCAGGGCATAGTAAAAAATCAAAAAGTTCTATCCGCAGTCGACAGGATTCGAACCTGTGCGGGCAGAGCCCAATTGATTTCTAGTCAATCTCCTTAACCACTCGGACACGACTGCACGGCCATTTCGCCTTCTCTTTTGTTTGGGGTTTGGCGGGAAAAGAGAAAGAGCGACAAATTTCGCACCGTGCGATGAAAGAAGATTTCAGTGCACAGTGCAGTGGAGAAGAAATATGTTTTGGGTTGCACAGTGCGGCGAAAAAAAGTTGTGTTTTATCGTACTTTGCGACAAACAAATTATGTTTTTTCACTGCACTGTGCAACGAAAAAAATTCTTTATAGCACTGTGCGACGCAAAGATTACATTCGTTTTCACTGCACTGTGCGGCGCAAAAGAAACTTTATTGCACAGTGCGACTCAAAAAAAATTTCTACATTGGTTTCCAATGCACTGTGCGACAAAAAATTACATTATTTAGCTGCACTGTGCTACTCAAAAACAACATTGTTTTTCATTGCACTGTGCGGCGCAAAATAAAAAATCATTGCACTGTGCGGCGCAAAAAAGTTACATTCTTTTCCAGTGCACTGTGCGGCAAAACAAATTATATTATTTCACTGCACTGTGCGACAAAAAAAATTATATTATTTTACTGCACTGTGCGATGCCAAAATTGTATTTTTTCACTGCACAGTGCGGCGCAAAAATTTTTTTATTGCACTGTGGAACGCAAAAAAATTTCATGGCACTGTGCGACGGAAAAAAATGAATACAAATTACAGCAACAATACTCAAAATAAATTTTTATATGATATTTCAGGGAGTAGCTCGTCAGACCGACATCAACGAGTACGTGTTTACAGCCAGCATTACATTGATTCGAGATGGAAATAAAATAATTTTGGTGGACACGGGACTGGCCACGGATATAAATGGGCATACGGATTTGTTGAATAGTAAGTATATCAATTTTGCTAAAAAAAAAAAAAAAAAAAAAAAAATTAATTTTTTTCAGAGCTCTCAAAGCTGAGTATATCCCCGCCTCAGGTGAACTACGTAATCACCACTCACGGCCATCCAGACCATAGTGGAAACACCAATGACTTCCCGGATGCCATCCATTTCCAAGGGAATATGTTACATCATCATATCAAATTCAACTTCTCGGACTTGTTTGAGGTGAGTAAACGTTGAGCAAAACACTTTTTGGCCATATTTCTGCCAGTTTCCTGCGGAAAAAAAAATTTTTTTTTTGGAAACATTACCATCTACGGTAGAAATAGCCATGGAACTTTTCATGTTAAAATTCGCAAAAAAATTTTTCATTTTTGCCAAATTGCGACCTAAAAATCTCCATCGTTTCTGCAAATCGCGGGCTAAAAATCTCACATACGTGTTATAAAACTTTAATTCAAATTTGGGCCAAGTTTTATAAAAATCTCAGCGTCACACAGCCTTCTAAAAAATTTTTGGGTCTTGACACGAAAACTTCAAAATTTTAAAAATTCCGTGCTTCACTTCTGAATCAAAAAGTAAACAAAAGAAAATCAGTGCGATCAAAAATTTTACGTTCTTTTTCAACTTTTCGACCGATTTTTTAGGCCTCTCTATCAAAAAAATTTGTTTCCAAAAAGATCTCACATACGTCTTTCAATATTCTACTCCAAATTTGGACCAAGATTCATCAAAATTTCATCTTCACACACACTTTTAAAAAAATTTTTGTGTCTCGACACGAAAACCTGAAAATTTCAAAAAACCCCGTTTTTTGTTACTACAAGAAGTAAACAAAATAAAATTAGTTTAATCAAAAAATTTATGTTCTTTCTCAACTGTTCAACCAATTTTTTTAGGATTTCCTACAAAAAAAATACAAAAAACCAAATTTTATTTTATTTCCAGAAAGACTCCCATCAACTCACCCCCAACGTGCAGCTGATCAAAACCCCCGGCCACACGCCCGACGACATCTCCGTGTTGGTCAAAAACACCGACAAATATGGGACCGTGGCGGTGGCGGGCGACGTGTTCATCGCCGAAGAGGACATGGAGTTCCCGCTGATGTGGAAGCCGATGGCGTGGAACGAGCGGATCCAGGAGAAGTCGAGGCAGCGGCTCCTCTGCGACGCCGACTACATCATCCCGGGCCATGGGAAGGTGTTCAAAGTCAAGGACGAGATGCGGATCAAGGCGCAGTGCGCCTCGCAATGGGGTAGAGGCGTGTGAAGACCCGAAAAAGGCGGAAATAATAGTAATAAAATTGAGTTGTATTACTGCTCCTTTGTTGATCTCTCCTTGGCTTTGTTTTTGAGTACGAATAAAAGTTTTAATAACAGCTCGGAGGTCAGAATTTTATTATATTAGATTGCATTCAGCAAGCTACATTCTCATGTATAAATCACAGCAAAGCTTCAAGCTTTTCCATTTGAAATTTACGATATTACCCATGACATCAAATTTAGTGATTTGCGCCACGAACTGGAAAAACGACCTTAGCGCAGGAGGATTTAGAACAAGTGATTACTACATTGCAATGTCTATTTAATAAGCTACGATTTCATATATAAATCATGTCAAAGTTCCGACTATAACCATCTCAAATTTCCGATATTATCCATGACATCAAATTTCGAGATGATGCTGTTCGAACCAAAAAATGTGCCTGAAGCCAGAAACTTTTTGGATAATTAAATACTTTGTTGCAATATATGCCAAACAAGCTACAAGTTCGTATATAGATCATCTAAAAGTTCAGACTATAACCACATAAAATTTGCTATATTCTTCATGACATTAAATTTAATGAGATGCTGCAGTTTGAACCAAAAAATGTGCCTGAAGCCAGGAACTTTTCAAGCGACTAAATACTACGTTACAATCTTTATTCAATAAGCTACAATTTCATTTATACATCAGATCGCAATTCCAATTACAACCCTCTCAATTTCCTCCACATTCTCCATGACATCTCTCCCCATCTAACCTTCTCGAGCAACCGTCTTGGAGTCTCCAAAATTCATGGCCAAGGCGTTGGCAAGGATCTGGTCCAGGCCTTCAGGTCGTTCCACAGAAATACGAAGTGTTTTTCCGTGGTCAAAGTGCTTCAAGAACAACTTTTTGGCGGTCTCGACGGAACTAATTCGATGTCCATCCATCTCCAGGATTTTGTCGCCAACGTGGAAGTAGAGGGGACTCAGTGAGCAATCGGCGGTTCTGTAGACGTATACGTGCGAGCCTTTCTCCTTGAGGAACTGAAAAATAGAGGAAATTATATTATAAAAAAAATTTTTTTTTTTGGCAAGCTGCGCCCTACAATTAAAGAAATTGATTTTTTTTTGGGTTAAGACAAGTCAAGACCGCTCACAAAATTTATATTTGGCTTTAATTTTTTATTTCGAAAAAAAAACTATTTTTTTATTTTTGGCAGGCTGCGCCCTAGATCTTTTAAAATTATGAATTTAAAAAATATCAAAATGACTTATTGTACTTTACCATCCTATTTTAAGATAGAGTTTAAAAAAAACTCTTTTAGAACTTTTTCTGCATAGCGAGCTGCGCCCTAGCATTACCCATTTTTGACTAAATTTTCAATTAAAAGGGATGATATGTTCCACGTATTTTACCTTCACCTTATTTACAAAATTTTCTTCTCTGCCTTTCAATTACGTCTATTTCAAAACGGAAAAAAATCAAGCCGCAGCTTGCGCCCTAACTTTCACAGTTTTCTACTTCAATCCATTCCAAATTGCGAATAATTGTTTATGGCGGTCCTTACCAGTCCCAATTTGTCACTTCTATTAATGTGCATATCAAAGTTCAGCACAGTGCAGCTCAATGTGGGGATTTCTTGGACGTCAACGATTTTGCTCACGTCTTCTTGCACTTGGACTTTTCGAACTGGCTGCGGAGACAGAGTGGGATCGCGGGAGAAAACCAGGCTGAAATATGGAGGTAGTGAGGTCAATTGTTTAAAATTCGAGGTAAATTAGAGCAAATGAGCCAAAAAATTTGAATTTCCAAACTTTCCGCAAGTTTTTTTTAGATCTTGGCATTCTGTTTCACCCCTTGAAACTGTCAAAAAATGGTAAGGAATAACTAAAGACATATTTTTAAATCAAAAATATTCGTTTTAAAATTTTGTAGACCACGATTTCTTTTGAATTTTTGAATTCCCCGCCAAATTTCAAAATTCTTGGCATTGTGTTTTAACCCTCAAAAGTTGGTAAAATACGGATGAGAAGAGCGTTAAAGTATTTTTACTGAACATTTCATTGAGTAAACGCACAATATTTTTTGAATTTTGAAATTACCCGCCAAATTTCAAAATCCTTGGCATTGTGTTTTAACCCTCAAAAGTTGGTAAATTACGGATCAGGAGAGTGTTAAAGCATTTTTACCAAACATTTCATTGAGTAAACGCACAATATTTTTTGAATTTTCAAAGCTCCCGCGACGTTTCAAAATTCTTGGCATTCTGTTTCACCCCTCAAAAATTGGTAAAATACGCATCAAAAACACCAAAAAATCGTTTCCTACCGTGCCGTTCTGAAGTGAGCTCGGCAAATCAAGTGCTCCGGCAACTCCTGAAGACTCGAAATTCTGGCCCCGTCAACTTGAATGAGCTTATCTCCAAGCTTGTATTTGTTCTCAGTGCAAGATGGATGAATGTAGATGACTGTCAACTAAAGTATTGGTAATTATTGGTCCAAAAATTTTGACTTACATCATTGTCCAGCTGAATATTGAAAGCATCACGGTCATGAATCATCACAGCGACTTCTTCAGTCATTTTGTGTTGAAGTGTTACAGAAGAGACAACTTGAGACAACCCGAGTAGATTGATCGTACTGGTTTATTTGAGCGAAAAGCGGCCCTTATATAGGGAAATCCCACGTAGGAAAATACAATCAAATTTGAATAATAAATGATGATTTCCGTAGGAATTTGGGCTCGAAGTTCGGTCGTTCCGCCTCATATTTTGAAAAGAGGCGACCGAGAAATCGACCGCGAAATTTGGAAAACCGAAAAAATTTTTTTATCTAGGAATTTTGACCAGAAATTTACATTTTTTAGACGCACTGTGCAGTCGAAAAAATACTGTTTCTCCGCACTGTGCAATCAAAAAAAATTGCTTTTATTGCACTGTGCAGTATGAAAAATATTTTTTCTCCGCACTGTGCAAGCGACAAAAATTATTTTTTCGCACTGTGCAGTAAAAAACCACTTTTTTAGCAATTTAGTTTTTATTTTTGTGTCAAAACAACAAAATTTTTGTAGGAATATTGTACTCCACACCTAGAACAAACACAGTGGCAATTTATTGATCCAAAAAATAAAAAAAATTTTTTTTTTTTGCAAACTTTTGACCAAAAAATCTCGGTTTTTTCAGCAAAGCACGAGCTAAAAATCACCAATATTCAATAGAAAATTTTTGTTTCAAACTTTCACCAAGTTTCATCAAGTTTCAGCAAAAAATTTTTTTGAGAAAAAAATCCAAAAAAATGTCAAATTTTCAAAAATTATTTATTGAGCTATACACATTCGAAATTTTCTACAGAATAAACTTATTCCTCCACACGAGGCGAGTCGTCGGCGCCGAACGCGACTCTCGGCGCGATCGGAGTGGACGGTTTGGAGGGGGTGGAGGGCTGCGAAGAGAGTTTGGTCATGGTGGACGCCATGGACAGGGTGGAGCCGGGAATAACACGCTGCTTTATGATGAATTTGGGACGAGAGGGGGCTGGAGGGAGCGACTCGACTTCGGGCTCCTGAAAAAATTGGTTTGGGGGGTATTTTTGAGATTTTTTGTTTTTTAAATGTTTTTTTTACTATGTAAAAATTTTTTGTGGTATAAAAAAGTATCCAACATTCATTTTATGTTATTCCAAGGCTTCAGAGCCATTTTTTACGACTTTTTCAAATTTTATTGTTTTCGCGTCGAGACCCAAATTTTTTGAAAAACGATAAAAAATGTTGTTCTGCTCATGATAAGGCGTAGCTCTGTATAAAAATCAGTTTTTTCTAGTAAAATTTAAAAAAAGCCGGGCCAAAAATTAAAAAAAATTTTTTTTAGCCGACCCATAGGTATCCATGAAAAAATTTGAAAATTTCGAAAACAGCCGGGCCGAATTTGTTTGGACCAAAACCATAGCCTGCAATTGCCAAAACCCCGCTCTCTAGTCATTTCTGGAAAAATCAGACCTCTAAATTTTGAAAAATTTCAATTTGAAAAAAAATTTTTTTTGATCCTCTACGTCAACTTCAGACCTCAAAAGCACCCAAAAAATGTTTTCAAATTCAAAATTCCGACCTGTAGTCTTCTCGTTGGTGACACTGAGATTCTGAATCTTCTCGGTTGGGCCTCGGAAGGGCCGGCTTCGTCCATCCTGGACGGGGTTTCAGCACGATGGATCGAACTGGACCGATCCCGGAGCGTGTCGGGCCGTGGACGGTCCCGGTTCTTGGGCAGAAGGTGGGCTCGTTGGGCGCGCACCTCTTCGATCGAGGGCCAGGGAACGAACTCGTCCGTGCGCGGCTTGATCTCCACTCTGAAAATTTGGGGTTTTTTGGGGAAAAATGAAAAATTGATTCTTTCAGGAAATTTACGGAAAATAAGATTGTAAAATACGATTGAACAAAAATACTCAAATTTTTAAAATTTCTACGGGTGTAAAAATGCATTAATCACGATGGAAACAGCAAAAATTGCGGATTTTAGGACCCACCACGAAAACTTTCAATTCTTGGCATTATGTTTTAGGGCCTTAAATAAGCTACACTCGATCTGATAATCAACAGGAAAGAGTTTTAGCATATTCTAATTGACTTTTAGCGAAAATCAAACATTTTGGGTACCACCACGAAAACTTGCAACTTCTTGGCATTCTGTTTTAGGACCATAAATAAGCTACACTCGACCTAAGATCAGCTAGACACAGTCTTAAAAATTTCTTTTTAGATATTTTTACTGATTTTTAGAGGATCTTGAAAGAGAAATCAAAATTTTGGGTCCCACCACGAAAGCTTGAACTAAAAGTTGCCTCGGTTTTCGCACTTTTGAACTTTAAAAATCAAAACTGTATGTTACGATCTGTTTAGCGACTCACCTTTGCGGCTGCGGCGGTTGCGGCGACTCCCGTTGGCTGTAGGAGAAACGTCGGGGCGGGGCGGAAGCGCTGGAGGCGAGCGGAGACTGCCCTAACCGGCGTGGTTCGCGGTTGTACATGGAGATGTTTTGAGAGTGTTCCGGAACCGACTCGCCGTTTCTCAATTGACCGCTGAAATTTCGTTCGACCATCAAAACGGGATTTTTTGAGGAAATTCCGAAAATTGGGAGATCAATTATATTACACTTGAAGGAGGTGAGTTGCTCGAAGGTCGATGCTTGGATTTTCTTTATATTTGGTGTATTTACTATACATTGTCTATAGTATTATCTGTTTAAAGGCTGGTTCAGATTTTGTAAGCACTACCGAGATATTGAACAATCTTGTAGACCATCATCATCTGCATGGTCACTAATCAAAGATCGTCCAATATCATGGCTCTCCTTGCAAGGCATAAGCTACAGTTCCCAGCGATTATTCTACAGTCCATAAGAAGTAACTGCGCCAAATTTGAGAAAAATCTAACTATTGCCCTTAGGGCAATTTCGCTTTTCCCTCCCGAAAACTCCATCTGATGGTGAAGTATAATATAATTGATATTTCCCTTAAACCTGATATCAAAAACAACAAAAACTAAGCCCATTGGGAAGAATATTAAACACTGCTACGGCAACAAAATTCACAACACGTCCAACCGGTTAGTCCGCGACATACAGCGAGGTTTGTGGCATCGAAAACGGCAAACAGACATTGTCCACGGAGCGCAGCATCTTGGACAAACTGCTCCGCGACGCATTCTGCGGGATTCTGGAGATCTCCGACTTCTCGTTGTCGTACAACGACACGAAACTGTCGCGAAGTTTGCCGCCGGTGAGGCTGGAGCGATTCCCGAAGATTACCGTGACATTCTCTTCGCTGGGGAACTGCGCCAACGACAGGGCACTGCCAGTGACGGCGGAGAGCAGCGGCGCCATCAGTTTGCTGAAGGGTTAGAGTTAGGGTTAGTGAAGAGTGAAGGAAAAGGAGTGTTAGAAGTGGTAGTAAAGTAAGGTCAAGGAGACTTTTTGGCGAACATTAAATTTGCTTGAGCCAGGCCAAACTTAATGAAAATAGCCTTTCTTAATAGGGAAAGTACGCCAAGTGCAACGCTCAGATTTTGAAGAAACTTGGCACAAATTTAAAACATACTTTTTTGAAGGCATATGACAGATTTTTAGCTTGTGCTTTGCAGAAATAGCCGAGATTTTTAGATCAAAAATTGGCAGAAATACGAAACTTTTTTGCGAATTTTGGGATCAAAAGTTATTTTTATAATATCTAATATTTTTAACCTAGAGTCTAAAGTTTCAACGAAAGATGATTTTTTTTCCGCATGAAACAAGCAAGAATACGGCCAAAATGTGTTTTTTCTCTGACAGCGCTCCGCGCTTCGGCTGCTCTCTCGTCCTCAAAGATAGCTCAGTATCTTGGCTCTCCCCGCAAACAAAGAGCTAAAACGTTTACAATGTGGCCTTTATTATGTGGCCTATGCCTGGCGTGTGTGCAAAATTTTAAAAAAATCTGAGCGTCGCACTTGGGGTACTTCCCCTGTTAAGCAAACCTAGAAAAGAAAGTCCAGTGTATTTGGAATGGCCCAAAATTCAATTATGATGAGAATACAGGCTGAATTTAGCAGAAAAATATATATTTTTCTTATGAAAACAAAAATGAGATAACCTTTTTTTGTTTGAAATTTTGTTAGCTTTGATTATGGCAAACCTACTGCATGTCAAACTCTGATAATACAGACACTTACCGAATTTCCTCCGGAGTTCGAACCTCCTTCTTTTCCTGTTCGATGGTCTCCATAGCTGACCAGTCGATTCGGTCGTTCCTCGTGGCTGAACATGACTTGGTCATCAGCCCCGACTTTGTCTCGTCGCTGTCTTCGTTTAGGGAACTGGAATCAAAATTGTGTGGGAAAGTCGCTGGCGGACCTGATCCAGTGGAAAAAACGGGCCGCTTTGCCTCAGGGAAGTATCAAAAATGTAGCAAAATACCTCCCTCTCCAAGCGAAAAAAACTCCGACTTCAAAAACGCGCCCGCTCAGAAAGGGCGCGCCCTTGAAAACGAACTGTCTTTTAGTTGTAGAGTGATGTTTTTTTCTATATTTTTTGATACTTTCCGATGCGAAATGGTACGTTTTTTGCCCTTGGATCAGGTCGATTGAGAACGGAAAGGTCCGCTGCGGAAAGGTCCGCTAAAAAAAGGAAAGAGGAGGGCGGGGGAAGGGTGGGGGTAGGTTTTCGATAGCGCTGATTTCGAAAATCATATCAATTTTTATCCGAATTTTACAATTTTGCTTAAGCAGTAGTGTCATTTTCGCTGTAAAGACGAAAAAAGCGTCATTAGTTTTCTTACAGTATCATACAAGTTTGACCAAGTTTTTACCAAGTAGAACATTTATTTTAAAGAATTGAGGAAGATAGGCAAACATTCAGAAGAAATGGATACGATTTTCAAAATCAGCACCACCAAAAACCCCTAAATCTTACCGAAAACCCCTAACTCAAAAAAAAATTTTTTTTTTAAATTACTAATTAACACTACTGCTTAAGCAAAATTGTAAAATTAAGAAAAAATGGATACGATATTCGAAATCAGCGCCATCGAAAACCTCCCCCCTCCCCGCCCTCCTCTTTTCTTTTTTAGCGGACCTTTCCGCAGCGGACCTTTCTGTACTTCGTGGTTTTCTAGCAAAGAAAATTTCTATTTTCTGGGCGCAGCTCGCGCTGATTTTCATTTTTTGAGGTTTTTGCCAAGCTGCGCCACTTTTTCCCCACTCTATACTTACGTTAAGCTCATTGCTTTGGGAATGGCACGCGCTCTGTCATCATAATACTCATCCGGGCGGGCCGACCGTTTCCTGAAACTGGGCGGACTCGGCTGTTGGCTGGTCGGGGAGTTCGGCGAACTTGGCGGTTCGTCCGTCGGACAGAGCGACGCTACATTGTCCCTGCCATTGTACGCCCTCCACGGCTCACGCCGCTTCTGCTCCAGCTCCGGCACGTGTTGGCCCATCTTTCTGGGGGCACTCTTGTTGCCGGTGAATCGACTGAACGGGTTCTTCTTGTTCTTTTGACCACCGCCCGCCAGCTCGAAGATCTTTTTCTTCTCTTCGGTGCGCTCCTGAAAAAGGGCATAAAATACAAATTTTTGAAAACTTAATGAAGGGAATAATTCGGATTTTTTTAATGCAAAAGTGTGGCACAAAAGCAATGACGGTGTATTTTACAAAAAAGTACTTTTTAATTTTTTAGGGACATAAAATACGAATTTTTGAAAACATAAAAAATGAAGAGAATAATTCGTATTATACATTTTTTAAATGAACCTGAAAAAGTGCGGCAGAAAGCAAAACTGGCGTTTTTTACAAAAAAAAAAATACTTTTTTATTTTTTAAAGACATAAAATACGAATTTTCGAAAAATTAAAAAAATGTAATAATTCGTATTTTACATTTTTTTCACAAAAAGTAATTTTGAAAAAGTGCGGCAGAAAAGCAAAAATGGCGTATTTTACAAAGAAAAAATATTTTTTTTATTTAAAAAAATAAAAAAAAAAAATTTTGGTCAAAAAATGACTCGTATTTTACATTTTCGGAAATTTTCTCAGAACAAGCAAAAATCGCGTATTTTACAAACAAAACTACCTTTAATTTTTTTTAGGAACATACAAATTTTTGGAAAGTTTAAATATATTATCTAGAAAAGTCGTATTTTACATTTTTTTTATAGTAAATAAATAAATAAACGTGAAAATTAGTGGTAAAAAAATTTTGGATTTTTTTGTTTGTAAAAGTCCCAAAAAACAACTTTTTTCCAAAAAAAAATTTTTTTAATGGAAATTGTAAAATACGAAATCTTAAAAAAGGTATCTAAAAAAGTAATGTTTACTTTCGTCCAGTCTTCCTTCTATTTTAATATTATTATTTAAAAAAAAAATAATAAATATATCAAACCTATACATGAATAAGTTATTCAACAAAAATTTTCAATGAAAATTGTAAAATACGATACTTAAAAAAATCCCTGTTTTCTCCAAAAAAGTCATTTTTTACCTCCGTTCATCCTTTTTTCATTCAAAAAAAATATTAGACTTACATGAACAAGCTGTTGTTGAAGGTCGGTGTTGGCTTCACGGAGCCCTCGAACCAATGAGACCAAGAAGTAAATTATCAGCCTGAAAAATAGAATATATATTTTTTGATCATAAATTTTGTTGAGACGTATTTTACCATCAAAAATTCGAACTTACATCAGCAACAGGAGGACTGGAATAACAACGCCCGGCGATCCCACATAGCGGATCCATTTGAGCACATTTTTGTCAACTTTGTCTTCAAGAAGCTGTGTGATGACGTCATAGAAATGATGACGACCGCTGAAGGGGAGAAAATTGGATTGGAACAAGGGGGGAAATGATTTAAAACTGGGATAAAATACGAAAAATAAAGCGAAAAATCAATTAAGCTGTTGAATTTGGATGAAATTTGGTGTAAATTTAGGTAATCGGTCTGTCGGGAAAATAATGAGCACTCTGTCGCAGAGAAAATCCCATCGCCGACGAGCAAACGAATTGTGTCACAAACTCAAATCGCTTTTTACTTCAGCGACGCAATTGGAGCAGCGACATTGTGCTCATTATATTCCCGACAGACTGGTAAGTTAAGCCTGGAAATCGCTGAATTAGGTCGGCAAATGATTTTTTTGGTTAACGTAAGAAATCTTGACATGTTTTCCCGCAGTGGTCGGCGCCAAATTTTCGGTCATTACTACCGACAAAAAAGGCCAATAACTATGAACTAGACCACTGTGTATATAACATATTTGGTATTGTACAAAACGGGGAAGTCTGAGGATTCAGGGAAAAAAAGAATTTTAATATTTGGCCAAAAACTAAAAAAGTTATAGCCAATTGAAATTCGGCCGGAAAATTGCCGCACCACGTATCTTCGACCTCGTATAACTTTTGATTTCATCGGCTTTATAAATTATTTACAGTCTCTATAAAACCTTCAAAACTTACGCAAACGGTCCACAGTTGCCGCTCGGCTGTTTGCTCGCAATTACGTATCCAACGGGCAGTGTGCACAACAGCAGCCACAGCAACAAGATCATCAGGTAGAAGTTGCTGGACCTTAAAATGAAAAAGGTCACTCGAACCGTCAAAAGCATGATGGCCAACTGACGTGGCCCCGCAAAAGTCTCCGGGGCCCTCGGGGCATGATCGGTCACTTTTATTTTTTCCGACGGACACGGATTTTCAATTTTTAAATGCCCCGAGGCGAAAAGGCCAAATGACCGGAAATTGCGAGAGGGCTTATGACAAACAAGTGGCCGAGGGGTTTTTGCGACAAAGGAGTGGGTTTTATTCGATTTATTCGATCGGAATCGGGGATTTTGAATTTTTCAACTTTTCGTGGTGGGACCCAAAATTCGATTTTTTTTTTGAAAAAACGGGATTTTTTGTGTTAAAATGTGGAAAAGTAATGTAAAATGGTTTTAAAACATAAATACAGTAAACATTTAAAATTTCGTATTTTAAAATATAATAGCTTCCAAGGACTTTCAAAATTAGGCGGGAAATTTGAATTTGCAAATGAAAATTTTATATTATTGTTTCAAAGTAATCATATTCCATCTGTTAGGCTCCCAAAATCATTTTCAAAGCTTTTTCGGCCACTGAGACAGAATGACAGACTTGGCGGGAAATTTTGAATTCAAAAAATTTCCTCTGGAAATGATTTAATCATTTTTCTAAAGCATTTTAAACGTCTTCTATGGTGCCGAAAACCTTCTTACAACCTTTTCGACCGTTGAAACACAATGCCAAGATCGGCGGGAATTTTCGAAATTCAAATATTTTTTATCGAAAAAATTAGTGATTATTTTCTTAAAGTAATTATATAGCGTCTGTTAGGCTTCAGAAATCTTTTTCAAAGCTTTTTTCAACCGTTAAAACACAATGCCAAGGTTGGCGGGAAATTTGAAATTCAAAAAAAAATCCTCTGGAAATCATCTAATGATTCTCCAAAAGAATTCTTATACCACAAAACCGTCTCGCAACCCTTTTTGACCGTTAAAACACAATGCCAAGATTGGCGGGAAACTTAAAATTCAAAAAAAATTGGCCAAAATACCCTAAATTTCCTCTAAATCTCCCATCAACTTGCCTGGAAGCTCTAAAAATCTCTCTGGCCGGCACATTGCACGTGATCACGGCCCACGCTCTGATGTACATGAAGATGATCAGCTTTACATTGTTGATGGCGGGCAAGAGAGGCGCGAAAAAGAGTCCCAGCCACACCATTCCCTGATTGTTGATGATATGCAGCACATTCTCGGCGACCTTGAACTCTCCATATTCGGGGAAGACGTTCTCCACGTCCCAACACCACCACGTGGCGGTGTAGCGGATCCAGAGGCCGCGCAAAAAGTCGATGACCATGATGGAAGCAATGGTAATGTAGAGGTCCATCATGACTAGGCGCACGATTTGCTGGAAAATTTATGGGGAAATTGTAAAATACGACAGCAAAATCTTGGTGGGTTTTAAGCAAATGACATTTAAAAAAATATTTCTGTACAACGCGTTTCTATAAAACGCGGATAGAAAGAGGATTTCAAAACCAGTTTTTTATAGCTAAAATCAAAAAATGATCGAATTTTCGTCAATTTTCAACAAAAAATCTAGCTCGCGTTTGCAGAAATAACCAAGATTTTTAGATCAAACAGTGGAAAATGTTTTCCAAAAAAAGTTTAATCCCTATTTCTACCGCGGGGGGTAATATTTCTACAAAAAATTAATTTTTTCCGCACAAAAGAGTTCTCCTAAATTTTTATATGACACAAAATTACTCCTACAAAAAAAAGCTTTATTTCGCGATGACGTATTTTAAAAACCTAATACAACTCTACCTGTCCAATCATTGTCTCCCAGCAAATCTGATTGTTGTAGACCTCTTTGGGACCCTCCTCGCTGGCTATGATCTTTTCTTGGGAGCCGGCTGAAAGCAATTCTTATATTAGCCAAACAAAAGTTTTTCGAAAAGTCCATTTTCGACAGGATATTGCCGATTTTTTTTTGACAGTCTCTCCTCATTTTCTACATTATTCATTTGCAAAAAATCAAAAATATCTCAACATGCCTGCAAAGCCACAGCTAAAATATTCAAAAAAATCATGTCGTACAGATGGACAAATGCCAAAGTTCAAAAAAATTCAATTATCTAGCCTCAGAAAGGAAGGAGAGGCCGATACTGATGACCTAGTGGATGTTCTAGGCCTTAGGAAGTGTAAGAAGCACCTCCCAAAAGCGTTTACGGGCCCTGAGTTCAAATTTATGGCTCATAAAGCCATAATAAATATACAGGGTCTTACAAAGAACGTGAAGGAAAGTGGAAGGCTATAACTTCCGGCGGAGGCGGCGCAGAGACTTCGTATTTGAAATATGTATTTTTAAAAGACATAAGTTTTTGTCCACGAAATAACAAGCTCTTAAAGTGCAAACTGAGGTCGCTACGACCTTCTGAAGTAGAGGCGTCTCTACCCAGAAAACCAGGTTTTTCGGTTGGAAATGATCGAGAAATTTCGGACTTTTCCGGTTGAAAAAGTCCGCCGGAAGTTATAGCCTTCCACTTTCCTTCAGTTTTTTGTAATACCCAGTATATAGTATATACTCCATCAAAAAAACCTCCAAAAAACGGACTTGAAAAATAGAAAAATGAGGTTTGATGGTAGAGTGACATCCACCAGGCCACCAGTATGGACCAATCCGCGAAAAAAGCGACCTCCCTTGTCGGGGGAGTCGTAGCGCCCGTCAAAAACGATGTATCCTCTGGCAACTTACGATCCGGCTGTTCCAAGCTCAGCACGGGCACTTCGCTGACTTCCTCCTCGCTCTCCTCCTCCTCCATGAACTTCCTCTCCCAATGCGGCCCATATTCTTCGTCTCGGTTCCGATGCGAGGGCAGTCTAAATTCACAAACACGCCTTATGTCATCAATTTTTCATTTACCGTATTTTCGGTGGAAATCGTCGACTCTGTACTTCATTGACTTTGGTCGGCCCCAACGGCCTCGTCTCGAAGCGCGGGATCGGCGTTACGAGCAGACTTTTGTTGCGCAACAACGCCGTCGCATGGTTCACTCCAACCGGCCCGAATTGATTCGCAATTTCGACGTTCACGCCGTCGACGGTGACGGCTGTGGGGCGTGGGGTCGTGGTGGTTGGACGGCGACGTTTACCCGTGTAGGTGAAGGTGCCTTTGCCGAAGAAGTTTTTGAGTTGTTGGAAGTCGGAGAAGTTCCGGCTTTGGAATGACTAAAAACATGAAAAAAAAATATTTTTTGAGTTATAATTTGCTAAAAATATTTTAGAATCGTACTTATTCGATACAGAGAGTCGATAAATTAGCAAATAAAAAAATAGTTCCATAAAACGCTGTTTCTGTATAACGCGATTTCTGCTTAGCGCGATTTTATCTTGTGCTTTTTGAAGTCTCTAAGCTCTCTGTCTTCATTTTTGCTTACAATATCCCTATATAATGCGTATTTCTGTATAACGCGATTTCTGCATAGCGATATTTCCATATAGTGCGACTTTTACACAACGCGATTTTAGTTCACTATGACTAAATTTCAAAAATCTTTAAGCATTTTTTTATTCTACACTACGCGATTTCCCTATAACGCGAATTTTGGATAACGCGATTTCCCCATAACTCGCAGTTTCACTTACCTTTCCATTAAAATTCACGTGCAACTGTCGTTTCGCCCTTGAATGTTCCTCATTAAGAGCCTCCGCATGCGTTGTCGCCTTGCTATCGCGAATTTTGTCCAGCTTCTCGAAGAGCGCGATAATAAAAGTCATATAATTCAGAACGTAGAGAACCAAAACTCTGGCCAGATGGGCGCGCAGTGCGGTGCGCGGATGGTAGTTCTCCATGCGCCCGATCAGGTCGAAAATCATAGGAAAGAAGTGGGTAATCAGTGATATGACGGTTGGAACCTGGAAAATTGGATTTTGAGATTTTTTACTGCTTTGTGGCATGGCCAAAAAATGAATTTTTAATATTTTATCTGTCGACATAAGGCTTTGGTCGAATTCTACCACGTATTTTACAATACTACACAATAAAATAGAGTTTTTTGGGTCCCGCCACGAAAACATCGATTTTTATGTTCGCTCGTTGGAAATTTATAAAAAGATGACTTAAGGTTGCTCTAGGGGCATTTTGCAACAGCTTTTTTACATTTAGCAAATGAATTAACCGTATTTTAACAAAAAAATAAAAAAATTTTTTTGGTCCCGCAGCGAAAACCCTGAAAATTCATCTTCTTTTCTTGGCAAAGTTGACCTTATATAAAGCTTACAAGTAATTCGAAAAAAAATGCTTTATTTACTCAATCAAATGAGAGGTTTTTGGGTCCCACAACGAAAGCCTGATGTTCAAACTCGCACTGATTCGAAGAGAAAAATGTTTATAAAGAAGATTAGAGTCGTACATAAAGAAATGGTATAATTCTCGTATTTTACAAACAATTTCTTCTTTTTTTTGGGTCCCACCACGAAAATCTTGAATTTCAGGTTCATCGTTTATTTTTGATAAATTTATGCCTAGATAGGCGTTATAAGCCGTATAACGCTCGATTCCACTCAAAATTTACTCACAAGGAAAGTACTTTTATGGGGGCTCCTACTTTTTGACGGGACATAACTCAAAAAATCAGAAAAAATGTGCTGATCAAGGATATGTAAATCTTAGCTGCCCATTTTAGGTTTTTAGGGGTGAAAACTCAATCGGAAGTTGACTTAAAGTCCTATATGAACCCCTTTTCGCCTAATTTTTCACGGGTTTACAATTTTTATTTTGGCTTAAAATGATGTTTATTGAGTTTCTAAGACGTAATAAATCAGTGTTGGCCCAAAAATTTATTTTTCCGACCTTCAACTTCAAAAAAAGTTGATTCAGCCCAAAAGGGAAATCGAACCCGTGCGGCGTCCCCCCTCTTGATTCCCAGACCACGGCACTAACCACTCAGCCACACCGCTCTCTTCCGAAGGAAGAGACCGACTGCGCTTTTTATTGTTTCGAATGCCTGCGCCTTTTGTAGGGAAATTGAGTCAGTTTTTGGGCATTTTCACCCCTAAAAGCCCAAAATGGGCAGCTAAGATTTATATATCCTTGATCAGCACATTTTTTCTGATTTTTTGAGTTATGTCCCGTCAAAAAGTAGGAGCCCCCATAAAAGTACTTTCCTTGTCAAAAAAATTTTTTGGGTCCCACCACGAAAACCCCTGATGTTCAGGGTCATCGTATATTTTTGATAAATTTAGACCTGCATAGGCTCTATAAGTCATATTACGTTCGACTGTGTCAAAAATTTACATAGAAAATTTTTTTTGAGTCCCACCACGAAAACCCTGATGTTCAGGTTCATCCTTTATTTTTCCGAGATTTGACCCCCCACCCCTCAAACCCACTTGATTCTTGTCGATAATTAAGCTTGATGATGTTTCCACGGTGCTTGATGATTGGACGGCGAACGAAATGCAATAAATCGAGAACGCCAGCATGGCCAGGATGACCATGTTCGCGAAGACGCGCAGCGAGAACCGCAGACACTGGAACTTCTCCTTCGTCTGCACGCGGCTCTCCGCAATCGACTCGCGCAGCTTGATGATCACGGCCATCACGGTGTTGGTGGCCGTCTCCGAGTTGCCGATGGTGTAGTCCCAGCCGGTGAAGAGTTTCCAGTTGAAGATGTACTGCTCGGCCTTGCTGCCCGCCAGCTTCGACATGGAGGCGTTGGAGGCCATTCTGAAGTGGGGTAAAATACGGAGTAGTAAAATTGGTGGAAACGTTACTTTTTTTAAAAAAACTTTAACCGCGTTATGCAGAAAATGAAGAGAAAAGAGAACCTTTTGGTCAAATAACTTTGGTAAAATACGTCCTTACAATTTTTGGGTTTTATTCATAAGTAAAACCGCGTTACGCAAAATTCTATATTCAAGAAATTTGAAAAATATCAAAACCGCGTTATGCAGAAACAGTCAAAAAATTCTATAGATATAGTTTTTGCTCACTCCTGGTCGGGTAAAATACGGGGTGCATTTCTGCCATATAATTTCCATTAAAAAATTGAAACCGCGTTATGCAGAAACAAAGACAAATTTTGTAAAAAAAAACGATAAATCTAAGTCTTGGAGACAAAAAGAAAAAAAATCTCAAAGCATTTGAAGATTATTTAAAATCGGAAACCGCGTTATGCAGAAATGGCCCGAAAAAATTTAAAAAATCAAAAAATTTTTTTAAAGCTTTAAAATCCACTTACTTCCTCAAAATCGCAAAGAAACTGTAGCCAAAAACCAATAAAATTGTGAGAAAATAGGCCAATGGCAGAGAATACCGAACCCCGCTGGCGGCATCATATTCGTCCGCACTGTAGTATCCGTAGAACAGTGGGGAATATCGGACATAACCCTAGAAAATATTTTTTTAAATATGTACTAAAAAGGTAAAAAACCCAAACTGTGAAATACTTGAAGTGTGACGCTCAGATTTTGTTAAAACTTGGCGCAAATTTAGAATAATTTTTTCCAAGGCATATGCAAGATTACTAGCTGGCGCTTTGCTGAAAAAATTGAGATTTTTTGACCGAAAATTGGAAAAAATTTGAGACTTTTTTTTTGAGAATTTCTTGTCTGAAAATTGGTCAAAATTAAAAATTTTTTTTTGCGAATTTTGGCATGAAAATTTTCCTGACTATTTCTACCATAGAGGGAAATGTTTTCACAAAAAATCAATTTTTTCCGCAAGAAACTGGCAAAGATACGGCCAAAAAATGGTTTTCTCTCCCTCTGACCACCGCTCTCCGCGTTTTGGGTGCTCTCTCGGCCGTAAAGGTCGTTGAATATCTCGGCTACGCCTGCAAACCTCGAGCTAAAACTTTCAGGAATTGATATGTGGACTAGGTACGAAGTATGTGTCAAATTTGAAGAAAAATTGAGCATCGCATTTTGGGGTACCTCCTTTATAATAAAAAAATTTTACAAGGGAAGTACTCCAAGTGCGACGCTCAGATTTTTTTTTTAATTTTACACACACGTCGGGTATGGACTAAATATCAATTTCTGAAAGTTTAAGCTCGCGCTTTGCGGGCGCCGCCGAGAGAGCACGCTAAACGTGGAGAGCGGTCAGAGAGAAAAGCGCTTTTTGGCCATAACTTTGGCAGTTTCGTGCGGAAAAATTTGATTTTTTGTAGAAACATTATCCTTTACGGTAGAAATAGGCACGAAACTTTTCGTGCCAAAATTCGGCAAAAAGTCCTAAATTTTGGCCGACTTTCGATCTAAAAATCTCGGTTGTTTCTGCAAAGCGCGAGCTTGGATTCTCGCTTATATCTTAGAAAAAATTATTCTAAATTTGTGCCAAGTTTCATCAAAATCTGAGCGTCGCACTTGGAGTACTTCCCCTGTTAATAAAAAATTCAAAGTAAATAAAAAAATCAGAAATGAAAAAAAAATATTAGGAAATAAATAATTTAAAAAATTCTCACATCATAATGCCAAATGACTTGTATTGTATCGGCGTGTTTTCTCTCCTCAAACGGCAAAACTTTCCGTGTTCTTGTCCGCTCTTGTCGTGCCGGCGTCGCTGTAGCATCAGCGATGGTCTGAAATATAATTAAATTCTCATTTTTGTTGTTGTAAAATCGCGTGAAAACGTCTTTAAAATTCAAAATATTTTTTAAAAATCTAAATTGGAATATCCAAAAAACAATTTGAATTTCTTAAAAAAATAAAAAAAATTTATGGAATATAAAATACGTTTGCAGAAACTATGTGTCAAAAAATAATAATATTATTATTTTTTTTCGAAATTCCGAAAATAAAATAACAATAAAATAAAAAAACGTAAAAAATATAACGCAAAACTCACCTCCGGCAACACCACAAAAGCGCATATGAGCAGTGTAATAATTAAGTTCATGAAAAGGACCCAACGTAAGAATGTGAAATATGATGAGACAACTGACCCGAAGTGACCTAAAAAAATATAAATTTAGAGCGATAAAATCTGTCTGACATCTTTAAACAAACATCAAAAAAAATAAAAATTCCTAAAAATAAATTAGAGATTTTTTGACTAAAAAATCAAGGTGATTTAGTGCAAATCGAGGGCTAAAAATGCAGAAAAATTTGTTAGAAACCTCAAAAAATTTTTTTTGGAAAAATTCGTAAAAAAATTCAAAAGCTATCAAAAGGCATCAAACATTATCAAAAAATTTCAAAAATGATCAAAAAACGTCAAATGTGATCATGAAGCTACAAGCTTTCTATATACTAAAAAATTTTAAGTGGTAAAATTGACTTAACAGTGATCAAAATGTCTCAAAAGCGATCCAAAAAACGTCAGATATTGCCAAGAGGCCTTCAGATCTAAATAATTTTTAAAATTTCAAAAGTAGTAAAAAGACCTCAAAAATGATCCAAAAAACGTCAGAAATTGCCAGGATACTACTCCGAGATCCTGAATAGCTCAAAAATGCCTTAAAAGTGATCTAAATGTCTCAAAAGTGATCCAAAAACCGTCAGATATTGCCAAGGGCACGAAAGGTCCGCTAAAAAAGAAAAGAGGAGGGCGGGGAGAGGGGGAGGTTTTCGATGGCGCTGATTTCGAATATCGTATCCATTTTATCTTAGTTTTACAATTTTGCTTAATAGTAATTAAAAAAAAATTTTTTTTTTGAATAATGGATTTAGGGGTTTTCGGTGGTGCTGATTTTGAAAATTGTATCCATTTCTTCCGAATTTTTGCCTATCTTCCTCAATTCTTTAAAATAAATGTTTTAGTTGGTAAAAACTTGGTCAAACTTCTTGTATGATACTGTAAGAAAACTTATGACGCTTTTTTCGTCTCTACAGCGAAAATGACACTACTGCTTAAGCAAAATTGTAAAATTCGGATAAAAATTGATATGATTTCCGAAATCAGCACCATCGAAAACCTCCCCCCAGCATTCCCCCCGCCCTCCTTTTTCCTTTTTTTTAGCGGACCTTTCCGTACTCAATCGAAAAAATAAAAACGATTTTTTCTCCCAAAAATTGGCTTACTTTCAATTTTCTTAATCTTGCTTTCCCACGGTATCAAATACGTGTTGATGTTGCTGCCCCATCGCACAATTTGATGCCATTTTTTACTCAACTCCTCCTTATACAAATGACCCGTTGAGACTTTGTTTTCGTGCTGTTCCAAGTACTTTTGGGCCAGCCGTAAAGTCCGCCTCTTTCGATTCATACTCCATGGTTTGCAACGCAAATTATTGATGACTTCTTTCTTTTCGCGGATCTTGGAAAGGAGGAGTTGACGGGTCATTGGCTTCTTGCTGGTTTCGTCGTCCTCTTCATCGTCGTTCTGGGCGAGTTCGTCGCTGAAAATGGAAGATAAAAAATGGTTTTTTTGAGGATTTTTTTTAATTTTTTTATTTTTAGAATAGAAAAATATATATTTTTTTTTGATTTTCTGTCTTTTTTTAACTTTTTTAAATAAATTTAAAAAAATAAAATAAATTTTTTCGTGGTCTCCAAAAATTTTCAATTAATTTTTTGTATTTGTTATTATTTTTTTAGTATTTTTCTTCTTTTTAAATTTTTAAATCCTGAAAAAAATCAGTCTTTTTTCGAAAAATCATTTTTCCATATTTCTTTTAAAAACCATTTTTTCCAATTTTCCCATAGAAAATCGCTGATTTTCTTATTTTATTTTTATTATTTTTTTTTTTCATTTTTTCAATTTTTTTCAAAAAATTCTCAATTTTCATATTTTAATTTCTTTTACTTTTTTTTATACTTTTTTAAAATCTTTTTCTCTCAAAAAATCCCAAAAACTTCATATTTAATTTTTTTTTCCATTTTTTGTTTTTCGAAACTTTTTCTCCCAAAAAATCATTTTTTTCAATAAAAGATTCCAAATTTTCATTCTTTATTTTTTCAATATTTTCTTTAGTTTTTCGATTTTTTTTTGTTCAAAAAATTCTAAATTTTCGCACTTACTTTTTTTATTTTTTTTTTAAAAAATTATTTTTTTAAAAATTTTCCCATAAAAAATCCCAGATCTTCATATTTTATTTTTTCAAATTTTTCAATATTTTTTCTATTTTTTCGATTTTTTTTTGTTCAAAAAATTCTAAATTTTCGCACTTACTTTTTTTATTTTTTTTTTAAAAAATTATTTTTTTAAAAATTTTCCCATAAAAAATCCCAGATCTTCATATTTTATTTTTTCAAATTTTACAAATTTTTTTATTGTAAAATTATTTGTTTTCCAACCTTTTCCCCAAAAAACCCCCAAATTCCCTCCCAAATCTAACCCTTTCGACAACAACAATCCCTGTTCCAACGTGGCGGCGGTTGATTTCCGCCTCGGGGGCGGTCGATAAACCGATCTCCGGCGACTGGTTGTGCTCTTCCGGAACAGGGTCATGAGATCCGAGAAGACGGAGGATCGTCGACTCAGTGGCTGTGATGAGGCTTGGGAATCCTGATACATGGGGGAGTGGGGAATGTGCTTGAAGGAGTCGGAGCGAGTCGGCGACGACATCTTCGCTGAGAATTCGAATTTTCAGATTTTCAGAGGTTAAAAACGGTCGATCTCACGGGTTTGAATGCAGTGAAAAATCTGTACGACAAATCTCATTTGTCGATAAGCTAACAGGCGAAGTACTCCAAGTGCGACGCTCAGATTTTCTTTTAATTTTGCCTATACGTCGGGAATAGACTAAATATCAATTCCTGAAAGTTTTAGCTCCCGCTTTGCCGGCGCGGCCGAGATATCGAACGATTTTTGCCGCCGAGAGAGCACGCTAAACGTGGAGAGCGGTCAGAGAGAAAAGCGCTTTTTGGCCATAACTTTGTCAGTTTCGAGCGGAAAAATTTGATTTTTTGCAGAAGCATTATTCTTTACGGTAGAAATAGGCATGAAACTTTTCGTGCCGAAATTCGGCAAAAAGTCCTAAATTTCCGACTACTTTCGATCTAAAAATCTCGGTTGTTTCTGCAAAGCGCGAGGTAGAATTCTCGCATGTATCTTAGAAAAAATTATTCTAAATTTGTGCCAAGTTTCATCAAAATCTGAGCGTCGCACTTGGAGTACTTCCCCTGTAAGTATCGTCAACCCTGTAAGTTACGACAAAATTTACCATGGAAGATATGTCTTAAAAACTCAAAAAAACGTCCCTACATAGTATAACAAACGGGCTTTCAGAGGCTAAAATAGGCGATTTTTTGCCAAAATTCGGCACAGAATCGATCGAGAATAAGCGTAGGACAGGCAAACCCAGGAAGAGGTTGCAGGAGGTGCCCAAGGGGCTTGGAAAAGCCGTCGCACGGCATTATGCACTTTTGGGACACAACCGATCTCCGCGACTTTTTCTATTTTTTTCGGAATGCGCTTGCTTTCTGTCTCCATATCTCGCTAGCCATTTGAGCTAGAAGGCTAAAATTTGACATGACAGTAGAGTAGAAAGCCGGCTTTCAGAAAATATAAATATTGTAAGGAACCCCATCGTATAAACTTCGCAATGAAAATTGAAAAAAAAGCATTCTTAAAACTCATTCTTAAGAATGCCGTGCGTCGGATGCTTGGATGAGACTCACACTCACAATGAAGGCTCTTCAATTTCGTTAGCACGTCTCAAAACCCTTGCTAATTAACATAGGGCTTACCGGGGGCTTACAATACCACCTTTTCTTTTTTTTATATTAATAACCTTCTTAATAACCTTAGGTTTCACTCCGACCCACCAAACGGCCACCTCAAAATAAGCGATAGACTGCCTTAGGGCCTAATGAATCTTATTATTTTTATTTCTCCTATAAAAAAACTTTCTCCTAGCCCTCAAAGCCCTCAAAATCTCGATTACACGGTCAGAAAAATTTGAATAATTCGCAGCCTTCCCGTTTCTCAAATCTCCGACAGCGGCGTTCGTTTTTATGGCCCTTTGTAGTCATTATAAGCGCCAAATCTCCGAGGACATAAGAGCGAAAAGTTATTTATGTCTAATGCGCAAACGATTACTTTGGGGTTTCGGAGGCGTTCGGAAACAGTTGGAATGAGATGTTATAATATAGCAAATAAGTCAAAAGACTTCAGAAAATTTTCGACATGTCAACCCTATTCGTTGGCGACTGTGGCAAGACAAGATGCTTTCTGCGGAAAATCCACATTATTTTCCAGACATGCTGATATATCTGGCTCCTCATCAATTTGGTTGGCTTTTCGTTGCAAAAAAACATCGCAAAAAAATTCTGTCGATTTTTAGGCCGAACTGATAAAAAAATTATTATTTATTTTTTCAAAGCTCCTGTCGCGACGCGATAAGGGCGATAAGGGCGACAAGACGGCGCCACCGCCCTCTTATCGCGAACAAGTCGCAATCTGTTCGTGATAAGAGGGCACAAGTGGAAGAGAAGAGCGCTATATAAGGCGCATTCAATTACTTACATATCATTTCATATATTCAAGTTAATAAAGTGTCTAACTAATTTACATGGTGCATTAGGCCATAATGGCCTTAGGACTTCAGAGGTCAGGCCAGCTGGTCGTCAAAATCAAAAGGCTTGTGGAGTCAGCCGCAGACGTCGAATTCTCGGTTCAGAAGACGGGAAGACCACCTGCGCAAGTGCAGGAAGACTCCGCGCAGCTCCGGAAGAAGCTAGAGGATATTCAAGAAGCGCTGACCAGTGCCGTCCAGGAATATGAGGAGGAGTTGCAGACAAAAAGAGATCAGATCGAAGCCAGCCGCACAAAGAGGATGGGAAAGCGCAGCTCGAAGAGAAACTCAAGGGAAGTGGCACAGAAAAAGGCAACGAAGACGCAGTCAAAGCGGCAAAGGAATGGATAGCAACATTCGATTCAGTGGCCAAGGAACTGGTACTATTGGAAGCCACACTAACACGAGAAGCAGGGGAGGTATTATCAAGACCTCTACCAAGGCCAAGCAGGGACATTCCACCTCCACTTCAAGTCCCCGCAAATCCATGAAGAATGCTCGGTGATCTATGGAAAGACAGTCCAAGAACAGCTCAAACTCAACGCTACGGTTCAAGGAGTCAAGATCAACAACATCCCGGATATACGAGGTGTCATAGATATCATACTACACACGCCGCCATTCCAGCTCGAGTTGATAAAGTTTCAACCACCATGGGTGGTCCTCATCATCGTCATCATCAGCGTCATCGTGGTCAGCAAGCGGTGGGGGAGTGTCGCGACGCAATAAGGGCGAGAAGACGGCGCCACCGGCCTCTTATCGCGAACAGGCGTCAATCTGTCCGTGATAAGAGGGCACAAGTGGAACAGAAGAGCGCTATATAAGGCGCATTCAATTACTTACATATCATATCATATATCCAAGTTAATAAAGTGTCTAACTAATTTACACTAGTAGTATTGACCGTTAAAAAATATTTAAAGGGGAAGTACCAAGTGCGATGCTCAGATTTTGATGAAACACGGCACGAACTCAGCCGAGATTTTTAGATCGATCGGAAAAAAATGGGGACTTTTTGTCGAATTTTTGGCACGAGAAGTTTCGTACCTATTATATTTCTACCGTAACGGGTAATCTTTCCACAAAAACAATCCAATCCTTGCCGCTCGAAATTAACAAAGTTATGGCGAAAAAGTGTTTTTTGTCTGTTCTCGGCTCTGGCCTCAAAGTGCAAGCCAAAACTTTCAGGAATTGATACGCGGGTTATGTCCGAAATGCATGCTAAATTTAAAGAACATTTGAGCGTTGCACTGGAGTATTTCTCTTAAAATCAGTCTGTCGGAAAAATAATGAGCACTCTGTCGAGCCGAAAATCACATCGAAGAAATAGTAAAGTAAGGTCAAGTAAATCTTTGGCGAACAATAAATTTGCTTGAGCTAGGCCAAACTTCCCTAAAATCGCCGTATCAGTCTGTCGGAAAAATAATGAACGCTCTGCCGTATCGAAAATCGCATCGCCGTCGAGAAAATGAATCGTCTCGCGGCAAAATCAAATTACTTTTCTCTTCAGCGACGCGACAGCGACATTGCACTCATTATTTTCCCGACAGACTGATAGTGTATTTTTCCAATAAATTTTTGGACGAAAAGCCATTTTAATGAGTCTTTTCTAGTTTGGAATTCCTTCCAACCTCCGAAAAAAACCCCTCAAGCCAACCGGATCAAAAGCTCAGAAGTGGCCCAGTCCGCTTTGTTCGTAATATGCGTATTGAAAACCCTTTATCGGATGACATAAAATTTTTATGTTCGAGCCTCGAATTGAACTTCGAAATGATCGTAAATTTGGCCATGACGGAGAAAAGCGCCGCCGCTATTTACAAGAGAGGAAGAAAGCAAAAACATTGTGATTAATGGTTTCGAGATTGACCAATCAATTATGGCTCGTTCCGAGGGGTTCGAAAACGAGCTGACGAGGCGAGAAAAAAGCGGGGAATTGCAAGACTTTTGCTACATTTTCGCAGAGATTTTTGGTCTAATGGGCAAAGTTCAGAGGGTAAACCTCTAACTTTCGACCTCAGAACGTAATTGCGGCCGAGAGAGTACGCAAAACGGGGAGAGCGATTAGAGAAAAATAACTGTTTAGCCGTAAAAGGCTAACAGGGGAACTACTTCAAATGCGACGCTCAGATTTTGATGAAACTTGGCACAAATTTAGAATAATTTTTTCTAAGATATATGCGAGAATCCGAGCTCGCGCTTTGCAGAAACAACCGAGATTTTTAGATCGAAAGTCGGCCAAAATTTAGGACTTTTTGCCGAATTTTGGCACGAAAAGTTTCATGCCGATTTCAACCGTAAAGGATAATGTTTCTACAAAAAATCAAATTTTGGCGCATGAAACTGCCAAAGTTATGGCCAAAAGCGCTCTTCTCTCTGCTCTCCACGTTTAGCGTGCTCTCTCGGCGGCAAAAATCGTTCGATATCTCGGCGGCGCCCGCAAAGCGCGAGCTAAAACTTTCAGGAATTGATATTTTGTCCATACTCGACGTGTGTACAAAAAAATTAAAGAAAATCTGAGCGTCGCACTTGGAGTGCTTCCCCTGTAAAGTTTAATTTCTGCGGCCTCCAAAATTGATCGATATAGACAGGTTTCGTCGTACAGAGGTTTATCGGTCTGCGGAGAAAATAATGAGCACTCTGTTGCATCGCAAATATCGCGTCGCCGAAGTGAAAAGAAATTTGATTTTTCCGCCATACAATTCATTTTCTTGATGCGATTTTGGATGCGGCGGATGTGCTCATTATTTTCCCGACATACTGATAACTTTACCTTTGACTCCTCAAAAATCCTCAACCTCCAAAAATTAGAGCATCGCTAAGCGCTCAAACCCCCGAATTCCCAGACAGAAGCCCACAAAACAAGAGATTTGTTCGCATCGCCGGCCCCCACGGCCATAATTCATTCGAAACGTGGACCGGTCACTTGAAAGCCCAAAAAACAAATAACCAGGATTAATTAGACGAAGCCGGGAGGGCCCGAAATTCGCAAAACGGGGCACTGATTTTTTCTCGAACCCAATTTTTTGGAGGTCTCAAAAAAAAGAATTTTTTTGGGTCTTAAAAAAATTTTTCAAGGCCGAAAATTTCCTCCAGCGCCTTAATTCCGAGCCCTCAGGGCAATTTGCGAAAAGAAAGGGCCTTTTGTTTTTTCGATGGCACGCCCGCTTATCATTCATAAATGAGTGTCCAGGTGTCCATTTCGCTTCTCCTGACACTTATGACTTGGAGGGAAAAGGGACAGTAGTCATTAGGGAAGTCATTTTTTGAGACTTTTTTCGAGATTTTTCGAAGAAATGGGATTTCTGATCCGCTGGGTTTGCTGGAGGAGATGAGGAGTTTGGAAATGTGTAATTTAGAGCAAAATGGCAGGAAAAAAGCGAATTTTAAAGGGGAAAACTTTGAAAATTTTGGAAAATTATTCAAATTTTAATTTATAAAAATTTTTGAAAAAAATGAGTGTGAAAAAAATTAAATTTTTTTTATGAAACTTGAAAATCTCACTAAACAAGTGCTAGACAGTTTTCATAAAGTGCGAAGACTTTTTTTCGCTTTTTATAACGCACCGTGCATTTTATGGTTTTTCGCACAGTGCAAACTTGAAAAAGCGGCTTGCACTGTGCGAATAATTTGGCAAAACTGCAGCGACGTAGTTGAACAAAAGCTTACGTTGCGGCGATATTTTGACCCCCGAGTGCAAAAAGCTTCGAAAAAAGACTTTTTTTCTGGCGATGAAAAGTCTATGCACTTTGTGAAAACGCGATTTTGATGAAACTTGGCACCTATTTAGAATAATTTTTAAAATATATGCTATTTTTAAGTCGAAAGTTGAAAGAATATGATATTTTTTTTGCAACTTCTGAAGTGAAAAAAAAAATTTTTTTTTGAAATCTTTTGACGTAAAAATCTCAAATAAAATTTCTACTGTATCTTTAAAAATTCCAACCTAAAATTTTCTAAAATCTCACAAAAATTAATTTCCTCTCAATATCCATCCCTAATTTGGCCAAAATCCGAATAAATTTGCATAATTTCCAAAATTTGCATAAATCATTATGATTCAAATTAGCATAAACCACATAAAACAATGTTAAACACAATTAATCCGTCATCCTGACACATTTCCCGTTGCATTTTTCGGAGATGTGTCGAAAGCCGGGCCCAATCCCCTGAGGGGATTTGGCCGCGGATCGCTCTTGTTTAACCCCTCAAAAAGTTGGAGCGCAAAAATAGTACAATGTTAAAAACGTCGGAGTGCAAACATAACCCGGAACGGTCATAAAATAATCCCCCGGAATTAAACGCCCCAAGGCCACGGAACCGAAAATTGGAGTCGATTTCCAATGAACAAAAAAAACGTTTTTTTCGTCGGCCCACGCGATTCGACTTCCGCACTTGATGCCCAAATGAAATTTACATTGAAATTCTGGGCCCGATGAAAAAATGGTGGCGAGTGTTGAAAATGAAAATCGGAAAAAGGGCCCCAGAATTGAGATTTTTTGACAAAAAGTTTCAAAAAAAGTTTTTTTTTTAAATTCTGAAAAAAATTTTTTAATAAAAATTATTTTATTGGAGCCACAAAATTATATGAGATATTATGTGAGATTTTTAGATATCTTTTTTTATTTTCTAAAAAACAAAATTTTTGGAACAAAAATCCCAAAAATTTCATTTTTTTTTATTTTAAAGACTCGAAAATTTGAATAAACAAGGCAAAAAAACCATCTTTTTCCCCAGCAAAATCCAAAAAAAAACAATATCCAAAACACATCAGTCTGTCGGGAAAATAATGAGCACTTTATCACTGTCGCGTCGCTGAAGTGAAAAGCGATTTGATTTTGCCACGACACAACTCATTTTCCCGACGGCCCGGCAGACTGATATAAGATCACAGGTTTGCGGAGACTGCAGACAGTCAGAGAAATGAAGTTTCCCTAAACGAAACGCGACGAACAGTTTGATGGCTTTTTCTTCTATTCCTGTGGTAACCAATTCTAAATGATAACTGGTCTCATCTAAGTCTCCGACAGAGGGCTCATTACTTTACCGACAGACTGGTAATTTTTTTCGGGCCGTCTCTCCTCTTTTTCTATAGTCTCTCGTCCACAAAAATATTGTTGAAGATTTCGGGTATCGCTGCATAGAAAAAGCTGAAATTTTCGGCAATTGACGTGGTATCTAAGAAAGAGTAGGGCATATTTTAGAGGAAATCTGAAGATTCTAAAAAAATTTGTTGATGATTTATAGAAATTTTGCTACTTCCCGACTTTTTTTAGTTTTTTCTTTATTTTAAATTTTTTCTTTACTTTTTGTTGCATAGCTGTGAATTTTTGCACTTCGTTTTTGTCATCCAGCAAGGTTTTGTTTCCCAATTCTTCCTCATTTTTCCATAATTTCAGATTTTTTAAAATTTTTCCCTCAAAAATTCTTTCAAGCCCATTTTTAGCCATTTCTCAACATTCCATAAGCGTTTTTCCTCTTTCCTCCCTTGAGCATAAACTCTCTCTTCCTCTTAGAGAAAGTTTAAAGCATTTAAAATAACGCCGGAATTGAGTTATATTTCCCCGAAATCAAATTAACCCACCCAAAAGCGAACAAAATGTCATATAACTCCTCGTCCAGAGTGAGTTTGCTGCTCGTCCGATCGCCCAACTCCAACAACGAGCCGGACGAAGGTCTGAGCGGGACGTTGGAGGAGATTGGGACATTGGAGGTGGTTGGGCGACGAGAAAATACCACGGAAGTTCGACGGGAACCGGCTGAAAGGAGAATTTGTAAAAAATAAAGAAATAATCGCATTTTTTTAATTTAAATAAATTTATTTAAGCGAGAATTACTCTTCAGAGGGCGTTCACATCACTTTTCACAATTTAAAACCCAAAAAAATGAAAATCAAGTTTTCGTGGTGGGACCCAAAAATACGTTTAAAAAGGGCCAAAATGTCGTCAAAAAATAAAACTTAGTAAAACGTAGTAACCTATATTCTCGTTAGAGCCTTCCAATCCGATTGCTGGAAAATTAGGTTTTCGTGGTGGGACCCAAAAAATTTTTAAATGGCTCAAAGTGTCTTGCTTCTAAATTAACTGCTATTTACTTGGATTTTTGAAGATTTCCTATTAATCTAGAGGCCTCCAAACCTAAATTTAACACCATTTAAGCTTTCGTTTCCGGGACCAAAAATTTTTTTTCAAAAAATCTCTCAAAAGTTTTCAATATGAAAAAAATCTAAAATTGGTCATCATTAAAAGGACTAAAATTTTTACCATGATTCACACCAGCATTCCAATCTATAACAGTAGAATTAAGCGGATGATGGGGAAGATGAGAGAGGCCCGAGACCGAAGGATGCCCAACTCTGGCCGAGATTGTGCTCAATCTGTGGACTTGAGGTACCTGAAAAATGCAGAAAACGTGTCTTTAATCAACAAAATTATTGGTAAACTTTTTTTCGTATTTTTCAAAAATCTTGATAAATATTTCTTAAAGATTCCATCGTATAAAATGTCACCTAGTCTAAAATTCGTTCCTGATCAAAAAAATCTTATAATTTCCAGTAAAAAACCAAAAAACACACATTTTTTCCAAAAAATTTTCATCGTATAAAATGTCCCTTTTCGTAGAAATTATTGCCAACCCAAAAAAAAATGCCTAAAAATCTGTCAAAAAATCTATTTTTTTCGCAATTTCTTCCCGAAAAATCTCAAAATCCTCCACAAAAAATTCATCGTATAAAATGTCCCTGTTTCCTAGAAAATATCGGCGACTCTAAAAAATCCCAAAAATTTGTCAAAAAAATCAATTTTTTCCTCAATTTCTCCCCAAAAAATCAAAAAAGTCTCAAAAACCCCACAAAAATTATTCATCGTACAAAACGTCTCCGCCTACCTGCACATCCGCCTCATCGGTCGGCATGACCTGCGCAGCAGGTGGTTGGGGGCGTTGCGCGCCCAACGAGCTGGTCTTGGCGACCAGGACCGGCTTGCGTTTGGCCGAGTTGGGGCCGGCGCGTGAGTTGGGCTCCTCCTCCCGGCGAATGCCCTCGGGGAGCGGGTCGGGCCGCGGCTCGCCGCCGCCGTCATGATCTGTCATGGCCGCGGGTGGTGGTGGGGTGTGTGTGAGTGTTCCGGCGGGGCCCCGGGGCGGACGGATGATTTATGCGGGCGCGGAGCCGTCGTCGACTTTTCGCCTGCGGGATTCTGCGAGGATTTATAATGTAATCATGGAGGGGGACGGTGCGAATCGGGGTGGGATATGAAGTTATGAGGTCAGGGGTGGATAGGGGTGGGGTGGGGAGTAAAGACTACTGGGTAGAATGGGTAAAGAGGGTCGAAAAAAATAGTACCGAGTAAACAAAGTTGAGCGCAAAAAAAGTATTATAAAAATAGTGTGAAAATGCTCCGACAAATGGAGAAATATCAATCATTTATGCAGATTCAAAGGTCAAAAGTCATGAAAATGTGGAGAACATGACCTTAAAGGGCTTAGGAATAAAAACGATGACCTTTCCAGAACTTCTCCTTATAGTATTATTAGTAGATAAGCCTCTAAAGCCAATTTCGAAAAAGAGCCAAAATTTTTTAAAAAATGAAAGAATACCTTAATCGAGGCTACATTAGTCACAAAACTAGTCAAAAATAGGATATATAGACCTCCAATTTGAGACCAAAAGGTATCACAGAGACATAAAAGTCCGCTAGTTTTGAGCAAGGATAAAGTTGCAGTTTTCTCGGCAACTTTTTGTCCTAAAAAAGTCCTCAAAAGATGCTCAAAAACCTAAAGAAACCAACCCAAAAAACGTAATTCGTTATAGAAGGGTTTTGCTTTACGGAGGCTCGGCCTAAAATTGAATTTTGCGACGTGAAAATTTGTATGTTATAGAGAGGTTTGGCTGGACAGAGATTTTTCAGTCTTCCGGGAAAATAATGCGTGCTCTTTTGCTGTGCCGATCGTGTCGCTGAAGTGAAAAGCAATTTTGATTTTGCCAATCCATTTTCCCCGCGCCGATGCGATTTTCGATGCGACAGGGTGCTCAGAATTTTCCCGACAGACTGATAGGGAATTTCACTTGGTCTATGTGATACCTTTTGATACCAAAAAAAGGTATCCAATGAAACTTTTTTCGACTTTTTTTGGGTTGGCCCTAAAGAAACTTTTTTACAAGCCTTGCCTCGTAAAAAATAGAGAGTTTAAGGGTCAAATGATACCTTTTCCAACCAAAAAATGGTATCCATGATGAGTTTTGCGGCCTTTTTCGAACCCGCAGGCACTCAAGAAACTTTTTTATAAGCCTACTTGATGAAAAATCTACATTTCAAATGCCACAATAATACTTTTTAAAACAAAAAAATGGTATCCAATATAACCTTTGCCATAAATTTCCTACAATTACAAACTAAAAAACCCTCCCAAAATTCCAACAAGTTTCCCATATAAGGTCAAAAATCAGCATTCCTCGCCCCAAAGACTGAATAAACCCTGAGGGCATAAACAATTGAGGGCCCCATAAACCGTGACCTCACATGCCCCGCAGAATGATGACCGTCAATAAACCCGCCCTCAACACCTCCGACCGCGGTCCGTGCCCTGCGGGGATTTTGGCCATAAAATTTTTGCGGACAGACACATTCCTCGGATTGGAGTGCAATCTTAATTTGGAGGCGTTTTCGAGATTTTTTAAACAATTTTACAGGGAAAAAAGCTCATTGCCTGAGGCGAAATTTAGAGAAATCGGGGAATTTGGAGGGTAATGTATATTTTCAGTAAGAAAAATGTGAAAAAATAGTTAAAATTTAATTGTAGAATACGAAGATAATAATTAAAAAGTCGTTTTCATAGTATTTTTGACCCTTGTACTACGTAAATACATATATATTTTTTAAATTTTTTGAGATTTTTTATATTATTTAGTAAAATATAAGATTGTAAAATACGTTTTTGAACTTGAGGACCTTCTAAAAATCCATTTTTTCTCAATTTTATAAGATTTTTTATATTATCCATAATAAAAAAAATTACAAAAAATGGAAAAATTTAATTGTAAAATACGCCTTGTATCTCTGTGAGTGTTTATATATAGTAATTTGAGTCTCATTACTACTAAAAATGATATTTTTTCGAGATTTTTTGAAATTTCTTATATTATCCGTGACAAAAAAAAATTTTTTTAATACCAAGATTAGATGGTAAAATACTATCTTCAAGTATTTTTTACGCTTCTGCCAACTCTATTACTATTTAAAAATCAAATTTTTCCCAGATTTTGCCATTTTTTATATTATTCTTCAAAATTTTTGCGCTTTTCCGGCCCCATAGGCCTTTCGAATTATACAAATGACTTTTCTGAACCCTTCAAAACAGCATGAAAGCCCTGTTCCGCGAGCGGCTTTGACAATTCCCCTGCGGGCAAGAAGCAAAAAATCATCGAAAACAAAAAGAATATCGCAAAAATATGGATGTTATTAAAAAAGTGATAGAAATGTAGGCTAAACGTTACGAATTTTACTGAATTTTAAGGCAAATTTAGTGTAGAATTTTATGGTCTATATGTGAGATTTTTTGAGCTGAGAAATCGCAGGGATTTTTGGGATTTTTTGAAAAAAAAAGAAATGTTTTTTTTTTTTTTTTTTTTTTTTTTTGAGATTTTGTGACCAAAAAAGATTTACGGTATCATAGTAAACAAACATTAATCAAAAAATTTGTTTTTTCAATTCAAAATCTTCAAAAACCCGCTGAAAAAATCTTTTCTCTAACCGTCTCTCCTCATTCCCCATAGTCTCTCGTCTGCAAAGAAATAAAAGAACGAATATCTCGGCTCTCCCTGCAAAACTTGAACTAAAATTTTTACTATTTGATTTATGAACTATTAACATCATTTTTTTCAAATTTCAAGAGAAATTGATTCAGGCAATTTTTTCTAAAAAAAAATTTCCACAAAAAATTTTTAAAAAATGAGTTTATTTGCTCGAAAACTGACGTGCCTTTGAGCTACCTGACTTTGAAAATCATGAGGAAATCGGGAGTGGAGAAAAAAATATTAATCGAAAATGCAAAGGTTCGACAAACAGGACAACAAAAAGGCAAGAAAGGTGAGAAAAAAATGTAGAAGTGGCCCCAAATGTGACCCAAAGATTTCGGTCAAACTTTACTCAAATAATAATTCGAATTTTATAGAGTATATGCCAGATCTTCGGCCCGGAATTTATAGAAAATATCATCATTATCAGAGAAAATTTCAAAAAAATTTTTTTATGTCCAAAATTTTTTTTTAAATTTAAAATTTCGAGAATTTCGCGTCCCGACTTTTCGGGTCAACGACCGACCAACACAAAATCAATTAATACCGAGCGTAGGGCAGGTGGACACCAGAGATTGCCACGGTCAAAATTTCGGCTCCGGCTCCGGCTCTTAGCTCCCAGAGCCGGAGCCGAGGCCAAATTTGCAGCTCCGGCTCCCGGCTACCGGCTACCATGAAAAATTGAATCCCGGTTCCCGTGCAGAAAACTTTTTAAAAATATTTCGCCAAAAATAAAAGTTATGCCAGAGATCATAAATCCAACATTTTTGCAGCCAAGTCGTATGCAACACATCCTTCCCAATATTTTTCGAGCAATTTGGTTTAACAAAATCATAAAATTTTTTCTTTTCTGAACGCTGAGATGCCTGGCTCCGACTCTGGGCTCGAAGCCGGAGCCGCACCCAAAATTTCCGCGGAGCCGGAGCCGCTCAGAGCCGAAGCCAAGAGCCGGCTCCGGAGCCGTGGCAATCTTTGGGGGACACCCAAAAAAAGATTGTAGTAAGTGCCGATTATTACAACCTTTGACAAAGCCGTTGGATGATCGGCGGACGCTCGGCGAAGGCTCGGCGGAGACTTGGCGAAGGCTTGCAAATATCTCTTTTTCTAATTTTAGTCATCACAAACGTTAGTTTTCTTTCTTCTGAGTTTCTGTAACATATGTAAAAAACAAAAAATTGCGGGCAAAAAACAAAGATCCGTAATTTTTCTCTGGAAATTACATTGTTGTGAGGACATGTAAAATCTCTTTGAAAAAATGTGATACGCTATCCTAGAGCCCACTCAATCTTGTTATTTCTACTAACTAAGCCTTTTCTTAGCCTCCTCATGCATTCAACGACAAAGCGACGCGATCCATTTATCGTTGACCCGAACTATCGCTGACCCGAAAAGTCGTAACGCCGAAAATTTTACATGAAAAGTGTCATGTCTTTTTCAAACGTAGAGTATAATATTTCCATAAAAAATAAATTTTTCCGCACGAAACTGGCCAAGATATGGCCTAAAAGTGTTTTCTCGCTGACCACTCTCCTTTCTCTCCTCGGAAAAGATCGCTGATATCTCAGCCGTCGTTGCAACACACGAGCTAAAATTTTTAGGAATCAAAATATGGGCAACGTAGAGTATGTGGGGAAAATTTGAAAGGAATTGAATTGTTGCCTTTAGGGCAATTGCCTCTTTAATTTCAAGAAAAAGTCATCAGATGGTCCAGTGGAATATCGTGGATATCTCCCTCGAAAACTAACATCAACAACTGAAATTTTGAGGAATCTGAAAGTGGTTTATTTAGTATATGTGTGCGAAATTTGAAGAGAGTTGAGTCATTGCCTTTAGGCCAATTACTTTTTTAAATAAAAAAAGTCATCAGATGGTCCAGTGGAATATCATGCATATCGGCCTTCAAAAGAGGTATCAAAAGCCAAATTTTTTATGAATCTGAGTGTAGGCAGTGTAGTATATCTGGATACAATTTTGAAAAAGTTAAGCCATTGGCCTCAGGGTAACAGAATTTTTAATTTCAAGACAGGTCTTCGGATGTTCAAGTGTAATATCGTTCATATCTCCCTTCAAGATTGATGTGAAAAGCTACATTTTTCAGAAGTCTGAAAGTGGTCTATCTGGTATATGTACGCGAAGTTTGAGGAAAGTTCAATGATTGACCTCAGGGCAACAGCATTTTTAATTTCAGAAAAAGTTATCAGATGGTCAAGTGCAATGTCATGCATATCTCGGTTCAAAATCAATGTCAACAAATGGAATTTTATGGGGTTAAGACATGCCCTATGTAGAACAGGATGGCAAATTTTAAGGACTATTGACTCGTTGTCCTCAGAGCACCAGCACGTTAAATTTCAAAAAAAAAGTCATCTGATGGTGAAGTGTAATGTCATCGATATCTCCCTTCAACATCGATAGCAAAAGCTGAATTTTTCAGCAATTTGAAATTAGTCTATCAAGTATACGTATGCTAAATTCGAAGGAAATTGAACCATTGTTCTCCGAGCACTAGCATTCTTCATTGCAGAAAAAAGTCATCAGATGGTCAAGGACGATATCATTGATATCTCACTTCAAAATTGATGTCAAACGCTACATTTTCCAGCGATTATTCTGTGATCTTTGTGCATCACTTTGACACAGTTTGCCGAAAAAACTAAACGACCACTTTTTGCCTACAAACAATACAAATTAATGAAGCAACATCAAAAATGATGACAATCCCCCATCAAACACTCCCTCAAATAAGGTCAACATCAACCGGGCGTCTCTCTCATGAGCTCTCGCGGAACGTCAATTTAAATGCGACTGGACATTAATTTCGGCGGCGCGGCCGGTTATGAGTGCCGGGGGCCCGGCCGGTTTCCGGCGCCCACCGAATTCCGACGGCCGCCCGAAACAATGGCCCATGCATTTTTGGCGGAAATGAAAAGGTCGACTCACCTCCGGCGTCGGCGGGCACTCCGACGGAAATGGAGCAGCACATTAATTTCCCCGTGAGAATTGTCAACAGCAGCGATTCGGTGGTGAAGAAATGGGGAATTATTTAAAGTTTTTGGGGATTCGTTAGATGGTGAAGATTCGAAAAATAAGCTGACTTATTTTTTGATCATTTCTGTCGAGAGGCCCGGGGAGACAATCACACCAACGACTAGAGCTCGAGATCAAGTGATTTATTGAGTGAAAAGCGGCCCTTATATAGGGAAATCCCACGTAGGAAAGTACAATCAAATTTGAATAATAACTGATGATTTCCGTGGGAATTCGGGCTCGCAGTTCGGTCGTTCCGCCTCACATCTCCTCCAAGTGCTCAAGTCGGGCACGGCTTGGCACTTCCACCGAACTGGCTTCGGAGCTTGGCGGGAACACGGACTGGCAACAGGGCATGCCGGGACCAAACTGACTGGGTTGACCATCGGGATTGCGTTCCATCGAGCGGGTACAACCATCGAGACTTGAACATAGGGCACTTGCTTTCCACTCTTCGGTGACCGTTCCAATTTGGTTAAAACTGGGGTCGTAACGAAGTCTTTTAGGAGACTTCCGTGATCTGGAAGATCTTCTAGGTAACACACCAGCGTTAGGAACCACTGAGGTTGGCGTGACTGATGTGTCTCTGGATGACTCCATGACTTCATCTTGACTTGGGGATTCATCGATTTCGGCTCCATCCTCAAAGGATTCAGGCTCGAAATTGGGATCTGAGACTTCAGTCGACATTTCGTTGTCTTCCGAATCTGTCCGCTCTATCGCGGTTTTCAGAGTGTCAGAGATCTGACCTTGATGACTTTCACGGCCAATATCCCCTCCCCCATTTCCAAACTGAGGGAAATCTTGAGATTCTTCATCAGAATCTGAGTCACTCTCCTGAGCAACTACACGACGCTTTACTTGGTCGTAATGGCGTTTCAATACACCAAATTCGGTTTGAATGGCTAAAAGCCTTTGACCGATGAGTTCTGAGATGACACCTGGAATCCAACGAATTCTAGGGTCATTGAACTTTCTGGCATATACCAGATCTCCTTGAGCGAATTTCTTTTCGCGTCTTCCTTTATTCGCATTTTCAGCGAGTTTCAGACGGTATTTACTGACCGCTTTCTGTTCTCCTTTACTAACCTTTTGAGGTTTTCTAGGCAGAATATTGAGACGAGATCTGAGTTTTCTACCCATAAGTAGCTCAGATGGACTCTTTCCAGTAGCTGGATGTGGTGTTATTCTATAAGAAAACAACCACTTAGTAACTTTCAAGGAAATATTACTATCGTCTCCTCCAAATTTTCGGATGGCATTTTTGAAGGTTTGAACCATTCTTTCTGCCTGTCCATTCGAACTTTGCTTTTCCGGAGCAGAAAAGTTTTGTTCGATCTTATTCAGCCTACAGAAATTTGCCATTTCTGATGATGTGAACTGAGTACCATTATCTGATACTATTTGTTCTGGAATCCCATGGATACTGAATAAATTTCGCAGTTTAGAGATAACCGCTTTTGAAGTGGTATTCCGACCCATATCGATGGCTTCTGGCCATTTAGAGTAGCTATCAACTACAATTAACCACATTTTACCATGGAATGGACCACAGAGGTCGATATGAATCCTTTCCCAAGGATTATTTGGTCGAGACCACAACTGTATTGGAACTCTAACGTTATCCTTTCCGACAACGGCACAATCAGCACAAAGACTGACATAGCGCTTTATTTCTTGTTCCATGTTTGGAAACCAATAGTTCTGCTGAGCGAGCGAGTACATTCTTGTGGCACCATCATGAGCACCATGTAACTCGGTGAGAATTCTTTGTCTCAACTCTCGCGGAATCACAATTCTGTGACCTTTTACAATACAACCTTTGACAATAGTCAAGCTATGTCTTTTGCGGAAGTAAGGAACCAACTTATCAGATGGACATTTTGCTGGCCATCCTTTTCGGATGTGCGCTAACACCTCTTGAAGAACTTTATCTCCTTGGGTGAGTTTTCTGACTTTGGATAACGAGATCGGCCAAGACTGTTCTGCTTCAACAGCCAAGACATGCCTCTCCTCCATTCTACGAAACTTCTCAGGTTTCTCTGCTGGATCGGGAAGTCTAGATAACCCGTCCGCATTACCGAACTTGTCGGTTGACACATACTGTATTTCGAATGTGTACTGCATAAGCCTTATGGCCCATCTTTGCAGTCTTCTTGCTGCAACCGTAGGTAAACCTACTTTCGGACCGAAGATTCGAACCAATGGTTCATGATCGGTTTGCAGTATGAACTTTCGTCCATACAAATATTGAGAAAACTTCTCAACGCCAAATAGGATCCCTAACCCTTCTTTTTCAATTTGGGCGTAATTTTTCTCTGCTGGAGTGAGCGTTCGACTGGCATAGCCAATGACCTTGATGCTTCCATCAGGATATACATGCTCCAATTGAGCTCCTAGACCGTAGTCTGAGGCATCTGTACTGAGTCGAACTGGGATCTTTGGATCATAATGAACTAGCAATTCTGTACTAGTCAACCTTTCTTTGAGCTTTTCAAAAGCTTCTTTCTCTTTTCTACCCCACTGCCATTTTGCAGTTTTCTTTCTGAGGGCGTTTAGAGGAGCAGCGAGTGCTGATAGTCCTTTTACAAAGCGACTGTAATATTGAACCATGCCTAGAAAAGAAGCGAGTTGCTTCAGATCTTTTGGAGCTGGCATTTTGGTTATAGCTTCTACCTTGTTTGGCAGAGCTCTGATCCCTTCAGCATTTAACTCATGCCCTAATAGGGAAATACTCTCTTGAAAGAGTTCACATTTTTCTGGCTTCAGTCGAAGACCAGAATCTCGGAGTCTCTTGAGGACTTCTCTGAGATTTTGTATGTGAGACTGATCATCTGGACCAGTTACTGTAATATCATCAAGATATACAGCGACTCCTTGTATTCCTTGCAGGATCTGTTCGATCGTTGCTTGGAATCTTGCTGGAGCTGACGCAATACCAAACGGTAAGCGAGTATACCTGTACAGACCTTTAAAGGTACTGATAGTACAATATTCTTGCGCTTTCTCTGACAACCTGAGTTGATTGAAAGCTGCCTTTAAATCGATCTTGCTGAAAAGTTTTCCACCATTCAGCTGCTGAAAGATCGATTCTGGCGTCGGGAGTGGGTACTCGTCGACATCGAGTTGAGGATTTATGGTCCTCTTGAAATCAACACAGAGTCGAATTTCATTGTTGGCTTTCGGAATGATTACCAACGGTGATGCGAAGTCTGAATTCATCACTCGTTTGAGTGAACCTTCAGCTTCCAATCTATCCAATTCCTTGGATACTTTTTCGACAAGTGCGAATGGCACAGGTCTACTTTTGAGGAACACTGGTTGCGGTGTTTTCTTGAACTTTAGTTCAACGGCTGGACCTTTGTAGGTTCCATGGCCAGGCTCAAAGAGCTCTCTAAACTCATTTTTCAGAGTATTCTCGGTTTCTTTATTGGCCTCCAAAGGGGCTACCGAATTGAGATTGACATGAGGTCCCATATCAACCTTGAGATCTCTAATAAGATCTCGTCCGAATAGGGCTTGACCCTGTCTGTCTCGGACAATGACCATCTCGGTCAATACTGAGTGCTTTCCAAAGGACGCGTCAATATACGCTGTTCCCAGCACATTCAATGGTTTACCACCATATCCATGAAGTTCTCCGGTATACGAAGATATTTTAGGTCGACCTATCTTTTCCCATACTGGTTTGGGGATGACTGACCGGACTGCTCCACTGTCCAGTTCCATGGCTACTTCAATGTCATTCAATTTGACCTTTAGCCAGACCGGAGGGATTGAAACCCTGCGAACTTCGACTTCTTGCTCCAAGGCAAGGCAAGCATCATCATCATCATCGGATGATACCTCAGAATCATATCTAGACTCTGGTAGAACAGCTCTGATCCCACTGTTTCTGCCGTTTTGGCGTCTTTGGTACCCTTGATTTGTGGGCGGCTGTCTTTGTCCTCTTTTTGGACAATAAGGCTGCATGTGCTGGCTGGAACCGCACGTATAGCAAGTTCCTTGACGCCCTTTTGGCTTTCCTGATTTACCCCAAAGGGGTTTCTTTTGGCGCTTTTTATCCAGCCTGGCGATAGTGCCGGATGCGCTTGAGCCAGCCATTTCTTTGGCAGCCGATTGTGAACCTTCTACGAGTTCAACAATCTCTTCCAACTTGGTCATGTCCAAGTTTGGAGTTTCAAGGAGCTTTTCCTTGACTTTTTTGTCTTGCAGTCCAGCGATAATTGCTTGGACCTGGACAAAATCACGAGTGTTCACAACACTCTCAAAGTCAGCCTTTATAGACCACGACTTTACCTGCTGTATAAACTGTTTGGACGTTTGGTCCGCCAGTTGTTTTGCAGTGAAGATCTTGTGTCGCGTAGACGCAACGAGACCTTTGGGTTCAAAGATACCCGTGAGAACTCTACAGAGTTCATCGAAGGACTTGGAGTCCATATTTTGACCGTTCATGGCCACTTCTAACGACTCATAGGCCGCTGGACCGATGTGGTTGAAAAGAAAAACTTTCTTTTCACCATCAGCTTCAATAGTACGAGCAGCCAAGATTCTTCTCAGCATGCTTTCATAAGAAGCCCATCGGTTCTTCGTTGGATCAAAGATCCATAACTTCCCAAGGTTTGCCTGGGTGTTACTCATTTTCTTGGTTGCTAGCCAAGATGGTTTTTAGATTTGTACCTTGTAGTACTATTTCAACTCGCGTTTTGCGGTTTCTAAAGACTTTTATGTCTTTTCTTTCTCTATTTGAGACTTTGTACTATTTAGTACTATGTACTCTGCGGTAACTTGTACCGCTTGTACTGTTTAGTACCGGAGTACTAATCCTTTCCTTCCACAGAAAGGGATTTCAAAGCTCAGCCAGATGGAACAGGCGCGACCTGTATCTGGGCCTGAGTTCGAATCGGTGATCGCCACTGCGTGTGGTTGTCGAGAGGCCCGGGGAGACAATCACACCAACGACTAGAGCTCGAGATCAAGTGATTTATTGAGTGAAAAGCGGCCCTTATATAGGGAAATCCCACGTAGGAAAGTACAATCAAATTTGAATAATAACTGATGATTTCCGTGGGAATTCGGGCTCGCAGTTCGGTCGTTCCGCCTCACAATTTCTAACACCCCATCAGTAGTATGGCCAAATAATAAGCCTTTTTTTGAGGGAAATTTTAACCACATCACTTATTATCAGTCTGTCGGGAAAATAATGAACACAATGTGGCCGTCGCGTCGCTGAAGCAAAAAGAAGTTTGATTTTGCCCCGAGACAATTCAGTTTCTCCCCCGCGATGCGATTTTCCCTCCGACAGAGTGCTCATTATCTTCCCGACAGACTGATAGTGTAAATTTAACGGTTCATTTTGAAATTTCTTGGTGATTTTGTACCAAATCAAGTCTGAAAAATTGAAAAAAATATGTGATATCTTGTCACTTCTAAGCCTCCAAACACGTTTTTTAACGTTTTTTGAAAATTTCAAGTTTTCGTGTCGGGACCCAAAAAAAAATTTTTTATGGAAAGATCTATAACCGTCGTATTTTAAAAAACTTGGAATAAATCTAAACATGTATTTTAAAGAAACAACATTTTTAGCCTGCATTTTGCAGAAATTGTTGAAATTTTTAAGCCGAAAAACGAGAAAATTTTGAATTTTTTGATCTTTTCAAAAATAAAAAAAAAAATGGAATTCTGTCTTTTCAGGAGAGTTGAACGTCAAAAAAACAAAACAATTAGATTTTTTCTTCCGAAATTGGCAAAGGTACGGCCAAAAAGGTCTTCTTTTTCCGAGCTTCTCTCCTCATTTTCAATAGTCCCTCCTCCACAAAAATCGTTGAATATCTCGGCTCTCTCTGCAAAGCTCGAGTTAAAATTTTCAGGAATTAAAATCTAGCCTTTAACAACCATCCAGTAAAAATAAATAGGAAATCCAGTAATCACCCTTGGAGTAATGACTCTTTTTAGTTAACAATAACATTAATCATTGCAGGTTTTCCGAGACTCGTATTTTACCCTCTTCCGAAAAAAATTCAAACCCCAAAATACCCTTAATCCCACCTCAGCCTATCCTAAATCTCCCTGCCATTCAAATTTCAAAGTATTTCGAAAAGTTTTGTCACCTCGTCCCCATAAAATGTCAACGAATGGGCTCGAGACTCGTATTTTTATTGAATTTCACGCCTATTTGAGTTGGATATGGGTTATTTCAACAGCCCTCACCTTGGACTAGCACATTACTCTCAGTTTTCCAGGGATATGAGCACAAATAATAGGAATACCACCAAAAATTTAAAATTTTGAAAAAAGATAGAGAATAAAAAATTTTTAGCAAAAACTGAAAGTTAGGGGTAAAATTATCGTTGGAAATTGAGTTATATAAGAGCGAAGGAATAAGAATTTTTTTCGAGCTCGAGAATGTTTGCTGGATTCGCTACCAATTTCAAGAGGTAGCGAAATGATCAATTTGCAACCTCCAAAAAAGACGTCGGAAGCAAATCGGCCATTTTGCGACGGCGCAAAATTGGGAGGTAGCAAATCGGCCATTTTGCGACGGCGCAAAATTGGGAGGTAGCAAATCCATGGATTTGCGACGTCCCAAAATAAGCCCCGCCCCCTCAGTTTTTCAGCCATCACGTTTTTTCTTTTTTGACGGAAAAACACCGCACGCCACGAAAAAAGTGGAAATAGAGAAATTCGCGGGAAAATGTTTTCGACATTTCATACGCTGAAACCGTTACAAATAAATAATAAAAATCTTTCCAAAATTCTAATAAACAACAATTTACGTGTGAAGCCGGCGAGAAAGCATCGAAAGGATTCTAGGAGGTGCACCCCGAACTTCTCAGATTGATCGAAGAAGAGAAAAGAAATTATATTGTACTAGGCAAAATTGGATCAGAATCGACGAATTTGACCGAATTCGAGCTTTTCGTGGGGTAAACAAGACAAGCAGAGCTTTGGTCTTGCTACAAAACACCACTACTAAATTGAAATTCATCAAATCTTCTTTAATTCCACCTAAACATCAAACCAATAAGAATAATCAAAATTACATAAATTTTTGACAATCCATCGCATTTGTCGGATGCAATCTGAACTCGGAAATCAATCTCCACACCCTTTGGTACATTATGCTGGCTTTCACATTCTACTTCAACATGGACCGGCTGAAATATCAATTATATTATTTTAGGTATAACCAGAGAAAATTATTAGCTCAACTGCCTAGAAAAACAAAAAAATCAAAAAGACAACGTCACAAACTTACCTTGAAGTGTTCTGAACGTCGTCTGCTTCCTCAGATCCAGCTTTGCTCACGCCTTCTCTTCGCGTTTCTCCATCAGTTCCTGCAAAATGATGCAATAATCTATTGACAAGTGCCCTTTTGCTATTGTCAAATTTCCAGATTTCTTTTTTTACAACGTCCGCTAGGATGTTCCACACAATATCCATCGTTCAACGTACCACTAAAGAGCCCAAAAAAAAGAGAAATCTTACACTTTCTGAAGCCACGTCCATAGCTGGAGAATCAATGTTTGGGTCACGGCGCGATGGGCCGGGCTCCATGGACTCATCCATTATATTCAACACTTGAAACTGACAACAACGTAATTTTTGACATACTGTTCATCCCTAAATTATTCCAAATCGCAGAGTTACAATACTATCTAACACAATATTCACTCGTTCAAAAAAATCAAGAAATATTGGGCGCAGCTCGAAATCTCTATTTCCAATTTTGCATTGTCAATGGATTATTGCATCATTTTGCTGGAACTGATGGAGAAATGCGAGAAAGGGCTGGAGAAGGCGTGAGGAAAGCTGGATCAAAGGAAGCAGACGACGTTCAGAACATTTCAAGGTAAGTTTGTGACGTTGCCTATTTGATTGTTTTGTTTTTCTAGGCCATTGAGCTCACAATTTTCTCTGGTTATACCTAAAATTATATAATTGTTATTTCAGCCGGTCCATGCTGAAGTAGAACGTGAAAGCCAGCATAACGTACCAAAGGGTGTGGAGATTGAATTCCGAGTTCAGATTGCATCCGGCAAATTCGATGGATTGTCGAAAATTTATGTAATTTTAATTATTCTTATTGGTTTGATATTTAGGTGGAAATAAAAAAGATTTGATGAATTTCAATTTAGTAGTGGTGTTTTGTAGCAAGACCAAAGCTCTGCTTGTCTTGTTTACCCCACGAAAAGCTCGAATTCGGTCAAATTCGTCGATTCTGATCCAATTTTGCCTAGTACAATATAATTTCTTTTCTCTTCTTCGATCAATCTGAGAAGTTCGGGTTGCACCTCCTTGAAGCCTTTCGATGCTTTCTCGTTGGTTTCACACGTAAATTGTTGTTTTTTAGAACTTTGAGATCATTTTCATTATTTATTTGTAAAGGTTTCAGCGTATGAAATGTCGAAAACATTTTCCCGCGAATTTCTCTATTTCCACTTTTTTCGTGGCGTGCGCTGGAAAAAAAATTCCGCCGGAGTGGGCGGAGTCAATTTGGGAGGTCGCAAATCCATGGATTTGCTACCTCCCAATTCCGCGCCGTCGCAAAAACGCCGTTTTGCTACCTCCTCTCTCGCGGAAGTAGCGAAAACGCCGATTCGCGACCGACTTTTTTCGGAGGTCGCAAAAAGAAGGATTCGCTACCGAGACCACGTCGCAAATCGACCATTTCGCTACCTCTTGAAATTGGTAGCGAATTCAGCAAAAATTCTCGAGCTCGAAAAAAATTCTTATTCCTTCGCTCTTATATTACTCGCAATGCCCACAAAAAGTTCTCTGCCAACTTTTGGAACGGTCAAATTTTTCAAAATTTAAATTTCCCGCCAAATCTTGGCATTGTGTTTTACGTTGTTTTGTGGTTTATATTGGTGCTAAATTATGTTGTAAATGAAGTAACACTACTAATTAGAGCATATAGCATCATCTTAGCCTATATTCACAGCAATCACGGTCCAGGGGAAACAATTATTATATTATCCATGACGACTTTTGATGTTTTTTGTCAATTTCTCCCCCATTTTATGCCATTTTCAGCCTCTAGATGGATTAAGTTTGCCGCATTATGACTCACCCTTCTCTCTCGACCATTTTCGTCAACTTCTTCAAGCGAAAATATCAAGAGATTGCCATTTCCTATATCCCCCAAAAATGTCACTAAACGTATTTCCAAACTCTTTTGCGTATGTTCTCCTAATCCTCAAACTTTCGTCACGCCTTTTAGTTTTTTCTTACGGCTGTAAAACTTATTTTTGGCCAACTACAAGTTAAATTTGGACTTTATTTTAATCAACCTCAAAATTCGCTAAACTTTTTTGAATTTCCCGCCAAAGACGGTAAGTTTCTTCGAATTTTGCTTTGAAAAGCGGGGAGTTTGATTATTTATGGAGAAAGGAGTGGATAAAGCGCGCTCTCGTTTGTTTACTTTGGGTAGTTTTCTTGGAATTTCAAAGTTTCGCCTTTATACTTGCTGATGTCTAAAATAAGGTCAGAAATCCCATCTAAATTGGGATTTCTTCCATTTTTTCGGTAAAATATTTCTTATTGTGTCTTCTGTCTTGATTTTTTTTAATTTTGAGGCGAAATGTCATCTCTCCGAAATTTCCAATATTTTTGTGACATTTCGCAACATTTTAATCACATGTGTGGAAGCTGCTGAAAAGTTTATTTCAGGCCAAAATTCATTCAACTGTGGTCAAATTCTAATTTTCTGGCCTTTCCGGCCGCTACAGCAGCTCTTTCAAATTTCCAATAATCTTGTGACACTTCGCAACACTTGCACTATTATTGATTGAAACAAGGAGAAGAAAAGAATTCTTTTTTCGGCTGGGCCGTTTATCCAGGCGGCAAATTTGATAACACTACTCGAATATTCTCCTGAGAATTGTCTGAATTTTCCGCTTTCACCCTTTAATTATTTCCGATATTATAGTAGGCATCAGCATCAAAGAAATCCTTCTCCCGCTTTCCCACAGATTCTGGACCTCTTCCCGGAAATTTATTATTCATGAATAGTTTAATGTTTCGTTTGGCATGTGATCCGCTGTGAATAATGCAGATTTCCATACAAATCGGCCTTTTCTTACATTGTTTTACACCTGTGAATTTTCCGGGAGATTTTTTCGGTTGCCATGGTGAAAATGAAAGGGAATGGTGGAAACATTTATTTGCACGTGTGAGCAGGCTCTAATTGAGTTTCGTTTTTATTTGCGGTGCCTATTCTTTGGATGGTTTCAAAACATTAATTTGCGATTTTCGGAGGTGGGCAAAGGTTGAGTAATTTAATCGCTTCAAGTTATTTTTGATATGTAGATTACTTTTTAGGTAATAACGCAGGTGTGTGAGCAATTATGAGTTAATCCAATACGTAAACGGGGAGATACGAAGGGATCTTATACTAGACGGTCATTGATAATATAATCCTTGTTTGAAAGGGAAATCCTTTGGTTTTTGTGTTGAACTTTTGTGATTAGCTGTTGTTTGACCTCTTGTTTCTTTCTAAACACTTTTTACTCCATTTTAGTTGTTAAATTCAACAGATTTACTCATTTCTTTGACGTCGTCTCTTCATGGATAATATAATTAATATTTTCCGGAGTTATCTTTAATTTTTTGAGTTGAATTTTTTAGTAGAGTTTCAATAAGACTTACAACAACTTTCAAAACATTTTTTACCTTGGTTTTCGTTGTAATTTCGTAGTTACACTCCGTTTTTCGTGATCTTATACCTATTCAAAGTCTTCTAGAAAACCTAATCCAAATAATAATCCAATCTTATTGTAGACGCTCAAAATGTCGAGCGGCAAGAAAAGGAACCCACTGGGGTTGTCGCTACCGCCGACGGTTAAGGAAGAAGGCAGTGGTGCTAGTTTATCCGACACTCCCGAGAATAAACCCGAACTTGCCGCTCATCTTCAAAGTTTAGTGCTGTCCGAGCCGCAAGTGGAGCGCATGAACGAATGGAAGGACCAGAAGAAACAGGTAGGCATTTGAAGTGTTTTGTTCTTGGTTTTTAGGTGAATGAACGTGGTCTGAAGTGAGAGAGAAGGTTGATGACTAGTGTAATATAAAAATGTGAATATTTTGGAGATTTTCTTGGGTTTAGTAGAACAGAGAGCTGTTATAAAGTTTAAGGAAGCTTTAGATTGTCTTTTAAGGCGTTGAATAGTTTTGCGGAATAAATTCTTCTTCCCCATCTAGTGTAATATAAAAATTGGTAAAAAAATTATGTTTTCCGTAAAGTGAAAAGTTGAAATTCGTTGGTAACACAGTCTCACAGCCTCCTCTCACCTCACAAAGCATGTCTTGGACCAGACCTCACAAGATACGACAATGCCGGCGGCTTCCTTCTTACCCATGCTAATCACCCAACGTTTTGTTGTTTTTAGGCCAGCCCGTTTGATTTGAAGTTTCTGCGGGGTGTGATTGATGTGGCTTTCTATTACTGGACGCCCATCTGGAAACGGATTAACTTTTTCAGCGACTCCGTAAGAGCGAAAACACAAAAACCTCTTGTCGGCGTTCTCTCTCCGGACTTTTGCTCAGTTCACTTTTAGTGTGATTGTCGTATCTTTTGAGTTGCAGCGTGCCTTGTGAGAGTGGCTAACCTTTTGAGGCTTACTGTTCTCCAAATTTTGAGCCTTGGCGAATGATACAACGACTTTCAAATTTTGGCTTCATCTGATCCTAAGATAATATAAAAAGTTTTTGATTTTGGCCTAAAATGGGATAAATTTTTATCCAGATATCTTCTTTAGACTGTCGTTGTATCATAAACTTCTTTTTTTAACCAGTTTTCCTGCTGAAACTCTCAAATCTTATCAATCTTTCCAGATTGGTGAGCTAAAAGAAGAACAACTCGATCGGATATGCGAACTTGGCCATGGGAACGGCGGAGTTGTCCACAAAATGCGCCACAGAGAAAGTGGACTGATCTTGGCCCGAAAATTGGTCCATTTGGAAGTGAAACCGTCGGTCCGAAATCAGATCCTCAAAGAGTTGGAAGTCCTCCACAAATGCAATTCCCCCTACATTGTCGGTGAGTTTTTTTGTTTTGAATTGTTTGTTGGAGTTTAGAAAGAAGTCAGAAAGAGTTTGGAGATGTTTGGAGAATTTTTCGATCGGCTATGAGCGATTTGCTATATTATCCATGATATCAATGACAAAAATTTGGTTTTTTCGAGACTTTATTATGCCCAATTTGATCTCAAAAGAACTTACATGGCATTTTATGACTTATGAAGTAACTTCCGACCTGTTTCAGGGTTCTACGGTGCTTTCACGAACAACAATGACATATCCATTTGCATGGAGTATATGGACGGACTGTCGCTGGACATTGTCCTGCAATACAATCAACGGATATCCGAAAAGCGCGTGGGTCGCATTGCCGTCGCTGTTATCAAGGGTCTAACTTATTTGAAGGAGGAATTCAATATTCTTCATAGAGGTGGGTACTACAATATAAAAATTTGATTTTCATTGCGAGAACCAGTCTTGTTGACGGAAATTGTTGGATGACAGGATTATTACAGTGTTTACGAAATTATAAAAGCAGTTTCGAGATAAAGAACGAAAAGAATTGTGTTTTTTTTTTCAGTGTTTGCAAGTTTAGACCTTATTTTAGAAAATTTCTTTGATTTTTGAGGAATTTTTGTCTTCCTGAGGATTGGAATTTATTTTATTTAATGTTTCAGACGTCAAACCTTCCAATATGCTAGTCAATTCCCGAGGAGAGATCAAATTATGCGACTTTGGCGTCTCTTGCATGCTCATCGACTCCATGGCGAATTCTTTCGTCGGGACTCGGTCATATATGGCGGTAAGTTGATGGAATTGGTGTTTTTTGGATAGCCGAGACCATGGGCTATAAGTTTAAACGAGATTTGGGGTGGATTGATCGGATATTTAGGGGTTTTGAGACGTTTTTTCCAAGTGGTATGACCTGGTCATGGATAATGTAAAAAAATGAGATGGTAGAGATTTTTTTGGGCAAATTTCTCTTTGGTTGTTGCAAGTGGCATCAAAAGAAGGTGTATTTAACATTTTGGATACTTTGAGGCCCATAGAACGGAATGCCAAAAATGGCGGGAATTTGAATTTTGATTTTTTAAAACGATTTTTTTGTGAAAAAATGAGTAATGTAAAGGAAGTTTATCTTGTTTCCAGCCCGAACGACTCACCGGCACCCGCTACAGCATCCAATCCGACGTCTGGAGCTTCGGCCTTTCATTAGTGGAACTTGTACTTGGCCGCTACCCAATCCCCTCACCAAATCGACACGAATTTGCGAGAATTTTTGGAGTTTCGCCCGACGAGGTGCGATTTGACACTCCAATCGATGACGGTGGCGACGCCAGCGAAGGCCCGAAAACTATGGCCATTTTTGAGTTGTTGGATTATATTGTGAATAAGGTAAGCGATTTTGATGGCAAAAGAGGAGGAAAGTGAGGATTTTTAGGTGAATTGAAGTGCTGAAAGGGTCTGGAAGCTAATTTTAGGTTGAAATTGCGATTTTCCCGGAATTTTCCCTAAGGGCATTTTGCAAATTTTATTTGATTTTGGTGTTTTTAAGGTCTAGGATTGACTCAGACGGGTTTCTAGGAGGTTTACAGACCAGGAGGACTTGATTTTTAGCAATTTGAGTTTTATGCCCTCAGGACGTTTTTAAAATTTTGAAGAATTTTGGTATTTTAAAGGTCTAGAATTGACTCTGGTGGGTTCCTAGGAGGTTTGCAAACCAGGATGACTTGATTTTTAGCGATTTGAACTTTATGCCCTAAGGGAAAATTCGAGATTTTTTGATTTCAGAACCCTCCCCAACTGCCCAGAGGCCTGTTCTCGGACAATTTCATCGACTTTGTGAACAAATGCTTGGCCAAAAACGTCGCCGAACGCGCGAATCTGACCGTTCTCATCCAAGAACCCTTCTTCCGAGAGCATGACACCCAGTCTGATAACGGAGAATTTGCGCAATGGGTACAGGAAGTCATTAGAAAGTAAGTGGAACACGTTTTGGAGGGATTTTAGAGGATTTTTTTTTGGAGTTTTTGAATTTTACGTTTTTTCAGAAAAACCGAGCACGAAGCCGCCGCCGCCAACTAGTCCGAACCGTTGTTGAGAGTTTTGTAGTCGAGTCGACCCTGTTTTTAGATGATTTTGTAGTTTTTGTTACACTGCTTACATTTCTAATCTTTGAAACTTTTTTAACCGTTTTATTTTGTTGTCCACTGGATTTGTTCGAATGGATTTGGAGCGGAAATCGGATTGGTGAGCCCATCTGCACCTAATTTTGTCATTTCCCGGCGTTTGAGCCCACTTTTTGGTCGAAGCCAGGGCGCAGCCTGCGGAAATCCAAAATCGCTCGGGCGCAGCTCGCCGCGGATCCGACCGCCACCAAATCCATCTATGTTGTCTTTAGGGAATTCTTACACATTTTCCCATCGTCTACAGTACCCCTAGGTATGTACCCACATGTATTTGGTACAGTAACCCGAAGGTTACTGTAATATTTAAAAATTTTCGTCTATTTTGTCCCCCTCTGTGAGACTCGACAACAATGCGTTGTCCGCGCATTGTCGGTAGGTCCAAATTGACTAACTATCGAGTGTTTTTCCGCCGCTTGTGAACACTTGTTACCACTTTTTTACCGGGAGAAATCTCCGAAACCCATGTGTAATTTGTAACCCCCAGTCTACGATCTTTCAACCCGCACTCCCCCCTCCCCGGTGCCCTTCACAACAAGTTGTACCCCCTAACTTATCCCCCACACCCACTCTGAGTAACGTGACGCCTGTCTTTGTAAATTTGTAAACCCTTTTGACAGTTTTTTTTAACTTTTTTAGAAAAGAAAAGTAAAATTTTTACATCAAAATTGGATTTGAAATGAGTTTGAAGACTGCGAGAATTAATTTTTAATCAAAAATTTCAAATATTATGACGTATTTTACACAAAAAATGAGATTTTTTGGGGAAAAACGTCGTTTTTTGAGGAAAAAGTTTATTTTACGGTTAAAAATGTTGGATTTTTGAAAGGAATCGGAAAGATTATGGATCAATAAGGAATTCTGAATGTTTTATAGTAATTTGCCTCAGGGAATTTGACTTTAAAATATAGAAAAATAAGGTTTTTTGGAAGAAAAACCGAGCTTTTTGGCGAAAATTGACGGTTTTTGAGGAAAAAAGTTAAAATGAAGTCGAAAAACTTGATTTTCCGTATTTTACATTATATGTAATTTAAAAACACTTTGATTTCCGGCCATTTCCAAACGTATTTTATGCAGAAATTCGTATTTTACCTCAAATTTATAGCTTATTATGTTATACATGGCGGTTCGATTATTGCTTCTGGAAAACAAGTGTGTGATTGTGGGCGGGCATTTCGAAGACATCGGTCAAGATTAGCGAATGGCGGAGGGCCAGATCGCTGAGATCTTCGATGAAACGAAGGCCCCATTCCGGGTTCTCGCGCTTCAACGACTCGTTGAAGCGGACGTTGGATTCGGGAGTTATGCGGCCTTCGCGTCCGAATGCGTCGTAGACGAAGAGACGACCACCTGGAACGAGATTATAGTATCGAAAAATAAATAAAGAACTTTTGTAATCGGAAAAATCCAAAAATCGGGATTTTTTGTTGAGGCGAGCTGCGCCCTAGGTTCGGAAATGAAAATAAAAAATATTAAAAATAGCATTTTACAGCTCTGTAAAAGCAGTAGTCTGGTATTTCGAAGAATTTCATGCGTTTTTTAAACTTTTAAATTTCGCGAGCTGCGCCCTATCAAAACGGATTCTTTTATAGATGACGTATTTTACCGAAAATAATCTGTCATTAGTCTTGTAAAATATTACCATTCAATAAAAACCAATTTTTACAGTGTATTTTGGCCAAAATTTTGGGAAATTCACCCAAATTTGAGTTTCCGAGCTGCGCCCTACCTTAATTTTCAAAATCGTCATAAATCAAAAATTCAAAAAGCCAACCCTCTTACCAGTCTTTAGGAGTCCCTCAGCCGATCTGAACAGCCCTTCGACCGCCGAATTCGATGAGATATGAAGCATGTTCACGTTGACCATCAAGTCCAAACTTGATGGCCCGAAATCCGCCGGCAATGCCCATCGATCCGGCGACTGAGCGACGTCAATGAACAATGGGACTCGGACATTCTCTAGCTATAATTTTGCATCATTTAGGAATAAACAGCAAAAGTTACAAAAGGCTTAAATTTCGCACTGTGCAGAAAACTTTTTTTTGTCATAGAAGTCGTATTTTAGAGTTAAAAACATTGAAACTCACTCGAAAATGGTCCACATGAGCGACAATTGAATGGAGATTCCTCGGGTTGCATTCGGAGGGCTGGAATGTTATGTTTGGAAAGTTGGAAGCGAAATGAATAACATGTGAACCTGTGCCGGAGGCGATTTCTAGAGCCTGAAATTGTATTCAGATTAACTAAGTGTGCCTTGTAAAATACGGGAGTTATGGTTCCTGAAGGAAATTTGAATTTCGCACTGTGCAAGCGAATTTTTTAAAACTGCACAGTGCGGGGAAATTTAATGCATAAAATTGGACAAATAAAGGCCAAACGAAAAATAGCGTGGCCTGAAAAATATTCTAAAGTACTTGTAAAATACGTTGGCTCTTTCCGTGGAGTCGAAAAAATTGAATTTCGCACTGTGCAAAGGAATTTTTGAAAACTGCACTGTGCGGGAAAATTTAATGCGTAAAATTGAACAAATAAAGGCCAAACGAAAAATAGCGTGGCCTGAAAAATATTCTAAAGTACTTGTAAAATACGTAGGTTCTTTCCTGCAGTCGAAAAAATTGAATTTCGCACTGTGCAAAGGAATTTTTTAAAACTGCACTGTGCGGGAAAATGTAACATAAAAATTGGCCAATTAAAAGGGGAATGAAACGTAGTGTGGCCTGAAAAATATACTAAGGTACTTGTAAAATACGAGAACTCTTTTTTAGAGCTAAAAAATTTGAATTTCACACAGTGCAGAGGGATTTTATAAAAACTGCACTGTGCGGGAAAAATGCAAAGCATAAAATTGGCCAAATAAAGGTCAAAAGAAAAACAGTGTGGCCTGAAAGATATTTTAAGGTACTTGTAAAATACGATGACTTTTTCTGTGGAGTCAAAAAAATTGAATTTCGCACTCTCCACATGCAATTTTTAAAACCCGCACAGTGCTGACCTAGTGCAATATAAAAGTGGGCAATTTTGCGCGCAAAAATTTAAAAGTGGATGTAAAAGATGTTCTATAAGTATTTTCATAGTCTTTCCTACCTTCCCAACAAAGTTTTGAGGGTAGAATCGTTGTATAACTTCCAAAATCGGGCCCTTATTCCGTTCGGCCGCCGGCGCTGTCAACATCGTACTTGATCCAAATTTTTTAAAGTCTGGAAATAAAAATGTCACAAATTGCACAACTAGGCATTTTAAAATCCATTCGTATCAAAATCGTCATTTTGAATAAGAAAAAAATCCAAAATAAAAAATTGACCATCAGCTCCTCAAGTACAAGGTAAATTTTTCCTTTTTGCAAGCATCCAAAACCCTCAAACAAGCTGCAAATAAAGGCCAATTGAAACCCAAGTATTTTTTGTACACAAAAAGCGTCAAACTTCGAATCAAACAATAAAAAACCCTCAAAGAATCGCCTCCGAAAACGGGATCGCGAGTGAAAAGGAAGCCCCCACTCGAATATGTATTGATATTACTTTCAAATTCCATTGTAAACCCTGACTGAGCTGCGAGACTGTGAGGAACAGTGTTGCTGAAAGTTTCTCGGTGGTTTTTTAGAGAGAGGAATTGAGTTTGAGCTTGCAGGAAATTTGATGAAATTTGATGACTAAAGTTAGGAAAAAAATGGGGAATTAAGGTGGTTAGAGGTAATTTGCGAAAGTAAAAAGTGCTGTAGATTAATCAGCAAAGCGTTAAAGCCCAATAGAGTTTATATTTGATATAATTTGGAGAGGCTATAAACTAAAAAATCATCAAAAACCTTATACTCCACATCATTATGGTCATGAATAATATAAAAGTCAATTTATGGCATTATATCGCCAGTAAACTACTTGAAATCACTTTTCTATCTAACTACAAGACACTCACGACTTATACACTTCATATTCATTATAGTCTGTGCCCGTCTTCATTTCGAAAATTGATAAGAAACCTGACCTACCCTCCAAAAGTCATGGAGAACATGAAACAACAAAAATGTCCTTGAAAGCCAAAGAATAAAGAGATGCCGCTATAAAATATGAAACTACAATGTGTTAGCTATATGAAAAATATAGAAGTTACTTCCATCCCATTTTATTTGTCGCAAGAGGCATGAACAAAAAAGGGACCATCGGATGTCGTGAATAAGGTCCAAGACTCGTAAAAATCCATTGAAACAATAAGAAATTACGATTGGAAGGTAAGAAAGGCTTGGAATGACCCATCCCACATTTACTTGCACTGTTTACCTTCGAAATTTTATATTATACTTGATGTTTTTGGAAACTCATATTATTCTTGATACTTTTTGCCCATAAAGGAGAAAAATAGCCTTCACTTACGTAATAATGTGTTGATTTTCACTTTCAAGGTCATGAAACGTCGAAACTGCTCGAATTCCAGTAAAATTCCATTGTTTTGTTTACAGAGGAACACTTGTCACATTTTCCATGAGTCAACTGTTTCTCTTAAAAATTATCTCTATTTTTTCTGCCCTAATTTTACTGTGCTGGCTTTGCAATGTAAAACTACACCTATTCCGCGTCCTTTCATCGTATTATTTCTGTTTTATCGTGCGTTAACGGCTTAAAATAACACTTGACATGGTGAAGATAATCGGGTCAAGTCTTCCGCTTTTCTCCTGCATCTTTTGCGTTCCTCTGCCCCGACCGGACCACTCTCCCCGATTCGTGTGGTATTTCGGCGAGTGCGTGTTGGTGTGCAGAGACGGGCGAAATGTTTTTCTGCGAGAGAAACGAGAGGCCGAGTTCTGTTGGAGCTGCGGGCCGAATGACGCGCTTCTGTCTGCGCTCTCTCCATTCCAAATGATCTCTAAAGTTGTCTCTCATCATTCAGCACAATCTTTTCGCTTTTCTCTGCGTGTTTTAAGAACTTGAAGGGTTTTTTGCTCATTTTGGGCTGTTTTTCTCCATTTTGGACGGGAAAACAGCGGATTTTCGGGATTTTCGACCGGTCGATTGACTGAAAATTGTTAAAATTAGTGAACTTATGCCTTATCAAGCCTGTAGAGCGTGTCCCAACAGTTTTTTTCATATACTTTATACCTAAATTTCGACATCTCCCCAATCTTTGGTCCATGGTATACTGTAATTGCACTGATAATTTTTTTGTCGAAAATTACTCCAGCTACCGTGTGATGTGTATTTATAACGTTTTCCATCAATTTAAGCGAGTTTTTCGACCCTTTTGTCTAGTATAATATAGTGAATTTAGATGGAATCTCAACCGGCGGAATCAACCAACGACACTGTAGAAGCTTCAGAAGCTCCAGCAACCTCGGAAAAACCGCAGAAACCAGTAAAAACCGAAGAACCGCCGTCTGGCGACCTTAATTTAGGTGTGAAGGAGGAGCAAGATGAAGATGTTAAAGTTGCAACCAAAAAAGAGAACTCAGAAGTAAAAATGGAAGTGGATCAGGAGGCTGATGAAGCCAGTAATCAAAAGAGCGAGGTGAAGGACGAAGAAGAGGAGGAAAATGAGGTCTCGGATGAGGAGCAAGGTTCAGATGAGGACGAAGAAGAGCGGGAAGAGTCGCAAGAACCTCCGAAACAGGAAGAGAGGGTGTTAACAAGGCTAAATCCGAAGGTATGAGGTTTTATTTTTTTTTGTGCTTGAAGTTTAGGAGCAAATATGGAGGATAGTATATTGCACTACCTGAAATTGATAAAACGTGAAAATTTTGGTATGTTTTCCATGTTCTGATGGGAAATTCTAACGGAATGTGCTTTACTAGGCCTCATCAGGGATGTATTCAATGGCTTCTTTAGTCTTTTCGTTGTTTAATGTCCTTTTTGGGGCAAATTTATATTGTACTAGACCTAAATGTGAAAAAAATTCAATTTTGCTAATTTTTTTGATTGGTGATGCGAAATTGAAGTACCAACAGCTTCTGTAGACCATATATGGTCTTTCTATAGCGATTTCACGCCTTAAATTTCCTTAGGCATTCGGTGAAACTCAGATTTTACCATCAGTCCCATGGATAATATAAAAAGTCATAATCCTTCTCCACTTGTCTCAAAATCGCTCAAGAAGAATGTATAACTCCTATTATTTCAGTTTCTCTATGAAGATCCACAATTCGCTCATGTTTGCTCGTTTTTCAACACATTTGGATCTGCTTTAGGTGTTGGACCGACAATATCTAAATTGGAAGAACTTTTTACGACCGAAGAGAATGGAGAACGTAAGTGTATTACTTTTTACTGAGTTTATATTAAAATTCGAGGTGTTTTGATCATTTTTCATTTCAATTTTTACAAATAATTAGCTTTTTTTGTCATGTGTAATATAATTTTTTATGAAATTTTTTGATTTTTGATGCTAATATCATGCATTTGGACTGATTATGGTTAGAAAATAAGATTTATAGCCTTTTCGTTCTGAGAAGAACCAAATTTTTTCTGATTTTTGTCATGGATAATATAAATTTTGTTGATATCTCTGAGTTTTATGCCTAAAAATATAAAATATGAACAGAGTATAACATAAAAATGCTTGTCAAACCTGTTCGAAGCGAAAATTTTGTAAAATTTTGATCAATTTTTGTCATGTGTAATATAATTTTTTCCAAAATTTCACTTCAATTCCTTTAAAAACGCTTTTTTCAGCCCTCCCAGAGCTCGCCGAACTCCAGACATTTCTTTTCAAGCGCCTATCATACATGAAATACGCGCAAATCAAACGATTCCCCGGCTGTATGAAGAAATTCGTCGAAACAAACATTGAAACACAAGAATATGCGGCCGAATTGCAAATGCATGGCTATAATGATCTCTCCTATCCGACCAAAATCAACATTCTGACCGCTTTATGTCATGCGCAGTTCGATTACAACTTCAAATTCAAAGAAGTGGTGAGTTTTTGATGGAGAACTTTTGAGGGGTTTTGAAGCAAGTTTAAGGGTCTTTTGGATCGCTTTTGAGGCTTTTAGGGAACTTTTGAGAGAATTTTGATCACTTTTGATTTTTTTGGGATTGCTTTTGAGGGCCTTTTGGATCTCTTTTGAGGGTTTTTTGGATCACTTTTGAGGCTTTTAAGGATCACTTTCGAGTGGATTTTTATTAGTTTTGAGGGGGTTTTGGACCACTTTTGGGGCCTTTTGAATCAAGTTTGAGGGAATTTTGATCACTTTTGAGGGGCTTTGAAGCTGTTTTGCGGTTTTTTGGACCACTTTCGAGGCCTTATGGATTACTTTTGAGGGTTTTTTGGATCACTTTTGAGGGGGTTTGAAGCAATTTTTAGGGGGTTTTGGATCGCTTTTGAGGGTTTTATCGATCACTTTTGAGGGAATTTTGATTATTTTTGAGGGGGTTTTGATCTCTTTTGAGGTCTTATGGGTAACTTTTGAGGTTTTATGGATAACTGTTGAGGGGTTTTTGGATCACTTTTGAGGCCTTTTGAATCACTTTTGAGGGGGTTTTGCATAACTTTGGGGGCCTTTTGAATCACTTTTGAGGGAATTTTTGATTAGTTTTGAGAATTTTGATAATTTTTGAGGTCTTCGGCTCACTTTCGAGGGGATTTCAAACACCTTTGAGGCCTTTTGAATCACTTTTGACGTGTTTTAAGAACTTTTGAATTTTTATGGGAGGTTAAAAAATAATTTTATATCTTTTTATCTATTTTTTTTCACCTCATTTTTTACTCAAAATCACTCTAAAATTCTTAATTCGAAATTTTTTGATTTTTTTCCGATAAATTTTTTTTTCAAAATTTTTTACTAAAAATAACCCAAACTTGCTCCAGATTCACCACACTTTCCATGTGTTCGACATGCGCTGGGGTCCGATCGGCGTCGACAAGAACGGCGTTCAGTTTTTCTACCAGGAAGACAAGGACTTCAACGTCCGAGTTTTCGCCGTAGACGCGAATGACGTCACCTACGAGTCGTGGGAGCTGAAAGCCCGCACCTTGAAAGAGCTGTACAAATTGATTTCGAACCTAAAAAGCGCCGATTATGGCAGCAAAGCCAAGGAGGAAAGCGACGATGACGAAGAAAAAATCCTCGAAATTCAGCAGCAGAATGGCGAGGATTCGCAGCTCAGCCAGCCGGATGATGAGCCAGTTTTGGAACTAAAGGAATCAGAACGAAATAAAGTGGAATTTAATACGAAACACTTTACCAGACTAAACAAATTTTGGCCCGAGGAAATGCTCAATAATGTAAGGGATTTTCGTTTTTTGCTTTGAATTTTAGGTAAAAAAATGAGGAATGGCATCTTTTTTGGCCTTGGCGGAGCTTGATTTAGTCTTTTTTGAGGAAAAAATTATATTACTTTAGGTTGATTTTGATGAATTTTAGTGTTTGTGCAGGGAATTTTGAGGATTTTTGGGAGAATTAGGGCAGAATATATTTATTTATACTTTGATTGGGCTTTTTGAAGAGAAAAATTTGGAAAATTGAGGAAAATTTATATTACTTTAGGTCGATGTTGATGAATTTTAATGTTTGCACTGGGAATTTGGATGATTTTAGTGAGGATTAGACCACTATGCATCAATTTATGCTTTGATTGGGCTTTTTGAAGGGAAAAATTTGGAAAAATTATATTACTTTAGGTTGATTTTGATGAATTTTAGTCTCTGCGCTGGGAATTTTGATGATTTTAAGGAAAATTAACACACTTTTCACTCATATGAATCTTAGCTAGGCTTTTCTTGGAGGAAAAACGAAAAATTTTGGAAAAAATTATATTATTTTAGGTAACATTTGATAAAATTTCGATGTTAACCTGGGAATTTTAGGGATATTTTGGGTTTTTATGTGATTTTACGTCACGAATTATCTATTTAGAGCTTTTATTTTTTAGAAATTGCAAGAATTTTATAAAAATTATGTTATTTTAGGTATGTTTAGTCGATTTTTGAGATTTTCGGCGCAAATTTTTTGCTTTGATCAGATTTTTTTTGTATTTTGATCCTATTTGGGCTTGATCTGTTATTTACAATGTAAAGTTGTTGTTGAAAATGTAAAATTTTTTATTTCTGACCTTATTTTAGTCCCCTTTGATACCACAAAAAAAATTTCAGAAACGAAACCTCAAGAACATCAGAAAAGCCGCGAAATTGAATCCGACACCAGTCAAAAAGCCCAAAAAGCAGGAAGTTGAAGAGGTCGAGGAAGAAGAGCCCGTTGAGGAGGAAGAGGAAAAAGAAAAAAGCGAAGAAGTGGAAGAAGAAAGTGAAAAAGAAAAGTCGCAAGAAAAGGAAGCGGAAGAAAAGAAGGATGAGAGCAAAGAGGAAGAGGAATTGATCAATATGGAAGAGCTTGCGGTAAGATTTGAGCGATTTTGAGAGGATTTGCACCTTGTTTTATGTAATTTTATCTTATTGTTGGCTAGTATAAGGTATTTTTGGAGGTGGAATACGGAGAAAATGTTTAAAAATGTGATTTTAGGCCTCTTGAGAGGAGTTTGAGATTGATTTCATAAGTTTTGGACACATTTTTTATATTACACTTGCCTAGTGTAAATATAATTTTTGGTTGTAAAATACGTTGATTGGTGTTAAGCAAGCCTTATTGGGGCTGTTAAGTACACTTGAGATTGATTTTACAGATTTTGGAAACATTTTTTATATTACACTTGCCTAGTGTAATATAACTTTTGGTTGTGAAATACGTAAGCGGGTGTCAAACCAGCTATATTGGAGCTGTTAAGTGCGTTTGAGATTGATTTTAGAGGGTTGAATCGAATTTTGGAGATTTTTTTATATTACACTTGCCTAGTGTAATATAATTTTTGTTTGTAAAATACGGAATTTTGGTGTTGAATTGTTTTTTTAGTCGTAAAAAGTTGATTGAAATTATTTTTGGGGCATCCAATTTACTTTTGAGAGCCTGATTATCTTTGACTTGCCTAGTGTAATATAATTTTTGATGGTAAAATACGCAGTTTTTTGTTGTGATGGTTGCTTTTGGTCCATTAAGACTATTTATGGAGATTGAATCGACTTTTGAGATTTTTTTTATATTACACTTGACATCAGATCTAGTACAATATAAAAATTTTTGAAGTTGTTCATAAAATAAAATTTCAGGACGAACGCCGGATCCTCCCACGGCGTTCCGCACGAAATGCCGCCTATTCGAACATGAAACAGTTCACTACGCCGACTCGAAAGCGCGCCGAAAAGAAGGAAGAGCCCGAGAAAAAAGAGTCCGAACCCGAGGAAGAGGAGGAAGAAGAAGAGTTCGAAGACGATGAAGACGACGACGAGATCAGATCCTCCGATGATGAGTTTGTCGTAAGCAAAAAGAAGGGCCGACGGCGGAGGTATGAGCAATTTTATATTATACTAGGCCATCTAATGAATTTTTTTGATTTTTTTGGAATTACGCAAATTTTTAAAATTTTTTGATGGATTCCTGGTTGCAGAAAGGGACTAACCCCAAGAAGGACTCGAAAGCCACGTCTGGACGAGGATGGGGAACCCATAAAACGCAGAAAACCGAAGCCAAAACCCGCCGTTTTGGAGGACTCCTCGGAGGAGGAGGATGTGGAAGAAGAGGAGAAACAACGCAAAAAAGCGAATGAAAAAACGTTGTGTATGAAGTGCAACAAGGCCACAAGACCCAACGTGGTAGGTTTTGAGGGAATTTGGAGGATTTGAAAATTTTCAATTTGAATTTCCCGCCAAATTTGGCATTGTGTTTTTTGAGGGTAATAGAGGTTGGGAGAGGTGTGCGTAGGAAAAAAGAGGAATTAAAGAGTATTTGGAGTGAATTTCAAGTGATTTTAAGAGGTTTGAGGGGATTGACGATCAAAAGTATCAAGGATAATATAAATTTTGATGGTTTTTTGAAGAAAAAGTTATGGTAGACCCTTAATTTCGGCCGATCTTGATGTCCAATGGCTTTTGAATTAAAATACAGGTGTTTTAAGGCAAATTAGACGATATATTTTTTCCAAAATTTTGTGAAAAATAACAAAAAAATTCAATTTTTCAGCTCCTCCTTTGCGACGAATGCGACGACGCCTGGCACACGTTTTGCCTCACCCCCAAACTCAAGGAAGTCCCTCCCGGCGACTGGTTCTGCCCCAAATGCAACCACAACAACCTGATCCTGCGCCTTTCCGTGTGCTATGTTGATCTGGCCGAGAAGATCAAAGCCAAGAGGATTGAAGACGAAAGACGTCGAATTCAAGAAGAAAATGAACGAAGACGGATGGAAAGAGCCTTGAGAAGAGAGCACGTCAACGGAATTGACCTCCGCAACATTGTGGATGCAGAGGTAGGCGTTTTAAGCGGGATTTTTTACATTTTTATGTTATCCATGATGGATAAGGTAAATAACCGAAAATTTTGAGTGTTCATAGTGATAAATTGACCTGAAAGTTTTTTTGAATGGTTCCTGGGGACATATAGGATCTGTATGAAACTTTTTGGGAGATTTAAAAATTTGAAATTTCAAATTTCCCGCCAAATTTGGCATTGTGTTTTAAAGCCTAATATGGTACGGAAAGGTTGAGAAATGAATGAAATATAGCTTTAAAGTGGGTAAAATACGCACTGAGAGATTTTTTGATTTAATTTTGAACATGAAATTATATTATCCATGAGAATTTTGGACTTTTTTCCGATAAAAGCTCAATTTTTCCTTTATCGGTGAAGCAGAGATGTCAAATTGATAAAACCCGTGATGTAAAAGTAGTTGTCAATTTCTTCAGAAAATTTGGAGAACGTATTAAGTTGAGTTTTTGCGATTTTTTGGCTTTAAAATTGATTTTATGGGGATTTTTTGGTATGAAATTTATTTTTTTTGGGGCTAAAATACAAAGAGAATGCTGTAATAGAGTGTGATCTTTAGTTTAGATCACTTTTCTTATCAGTTATTAACAAAAAAGTGAGTTTTTGCGATTTTTTTTTGATTTTTCCAATTTTTTCTAACAAAAAATCAAAAAAAAAATATCCGAAAACAGTGGATGAGCTCTCCGTTTGAATTAGGAAAGATTTTGTGCCCTTTGGAGAGTGGCATCAGCCCGAAAACAAGTCCAAATTACCACTTCAAATGGCTTGTTTACCACTTTTTTGGCGGAAAATATAGGAATTCCGAAAAAAACTCGTGATTTTTACAAGAAAACGACACCCAGAAGGCATCAATCGTGTCGGAAGAGCATAAACGGACTCTAAACATTCTTTTGCAGTTTTTGGACTATTGATTTTTTGAGCGAATTTTCGAGAAATTTGCAATTTTTTGGAATTTTTTAAAAAATTTTTGGAGATTTTTGTGCAAAATGTTATAGAATAAGGTGCAGTAGGGCCTTAGAATGCGTTATCTAATAGTTTTATCTGGTTTTTTCTTCGAAATTTGAGAAAATTTAATACTTTTTCGAAATTTTTTGACTTTTTTTCTCACAAGGAAAGTACTCCTATGGCGTATGGAGTTTTCAGGTCGAGACATGTATCAAAGAAATCGCAAAACTTTTCTGATTCAGAATATGTAAAAATTAGCTGCCCAATTTTGGTTTGTAAGGGCGAAAAAATCCTCAGAACTTTTATCGCAACACCACACAAATGGCTTTTTGACCAAGTTTTTACCAAATAAGAGCGAAGGAATAAGAGCGAAAAAAATCTTCTGAAAAAAATGCTTCAGCCTCTTTCTTTTTTTGTCGAAAGAGTCTCGAGCAGATTCTCACCACTTGGGAAAGCGTCTGCCGTCACACTCTTTCTTCTCTTCTGGAGGAAGCGTCTGCGAGCAGGCTCTTCCCGACGTTTATAAGCCCCGCCCCCCCCTCGATTTTGAGCCAATCGCTGAGTTGGTGGTTTTCTTGCAGAAAACGGTTGCCTTGGGTGAAAATTTTTGCCGTTTCATTATTCCGGTGATTTGGGCATGTTTTTATTTGTTTTAGAACTGTGATAGCCTAGTCTTACTATGGCTGTCATTTGAAGATTCAATTGAAAATCAGATACATTCCTGGTTAACACAAAGGTTAAGAAAATATTTACAGAACAAGTTTCACAGATATATTTATGTGCAACACAAGTAACATCGAGTTACATTTAGATGTAGAGGGCCGCGGCGGATTCTGCCCATGGGCATTCGTTTCCATATTCGCGGTCTCCCTTTCTTCCCCGTTGTTACTGAGATTGGCAGTGCAATTTTGGGACATTGAGGCTGAATTTGGAAAAATTAATAACTTTTCGAAAATTTTACATCTAAAATAACATCAAAACTCCTCAAAAAAACTCTCTCGGTCCTACTTATTATTGGCGCACCTGCAAACACTCACTAAACTGCACATTTTACCTTATTTTAGACAAAGATACCTGAAAATTTCAAAAAATCTCGGTTTTGACGTAGGCCTGCAAAAAATTTCAAAAATATCAACTAAATCACTATTCATACTTTCTTTCTCCGTCTCCTAGGTATTTCATCACTCACAAAAAATTGCACAAACAAAAAATAATATTACTTTAGATCCAATCCGCTGAAAAGCCCAAAAACGCCTCAAAAATCCCTTTCTTCTCCCTCAAAAGTCTATGAAACTGTTACTTACTTTCCATTCAACAAGTGGTGAATATCCCTGTCATTGCTGGATCCAGCTTCATCAACTATCACGAGGACCTTATCCATGGAGACCAAATTCTTCTTGTCGCATTTATATCTAAAATGTTAAAAACAAAAAATTCTAACTTACAAAGTCGTCCGAATTCATCGCTGTAGCGATCACGTACTGTTGAAGTCGAACATCAAGTGGGCCTGAAAGGTGTAAAACAAGTTCAGATATGGAGTTCGCAGTTGGCCAAGTAGGAAAGATTAGGCCTAAAATTACGTAAACATGCTAGCAAAATGAGGCAACTTACATTTCGCCGCGTCGGTCCGCTCTTCTTCGTCAAAATTCGCTATCATTCATCGATGAGCTAGGTTCACCTCCATCTATTGTTGTCGGCCACTTTTCTTTGGTCAAAACGACTGAAAATTGTTCGGGCGCAAGCTGCGGAACCTTTTTTTCGCTTGGGCTGGAGAAATGAAGTTTTACCAACAACTTTGATGCCAAAAAAGGACGACGAAGATTGATATGCGATTGATGAAGGCCTGGAAACACCGCCCATAAGAGGTTGAACTGGATCTACTGCAAATCATGGACTTATATTCGGCCTCCAATGTCTGGACTCGGAAAAGGTACGTAGAATGTTAAATTGTTGATAGTATTGGTAAGTTTAAGCCGAAATATCTCCGCATCATGTGCATCGAGATGTTTCAATAGTTCAGGTGGAGGACAAGCATAATAATGATGCGGCTTACGAAGTAAATGAAGTCCCTCTTCATCGGCTTGAAAGATGGTAAGTTCTTTTCTTCTGTTTTGCGTTGTTGATTTAGGAAATATTCAACCACCACACCGTCTTCATCAATCCGATTACAGATGTGGTCTACTAATGAGAAACACGTGATCTTCTGGACCCCTCCTATGCGCAAGACTGTTTGCTCCCGGCGACTAAACCCAAATGTAAGGAGTACACCAAATTCTGGATAAGCTAGCTCCACCGAATGCATTCGCAGCCAGCCGTTCAACAACCCCATAGGTACGCGAAAAAGTGCACAACTTTCCGGCTATTATTCCTATTACAATTCAGCCACCATGGTTTATTATCTCTGTTACCTGAATTACATTTTTGTGACCTTTATATCACATTTATATATTATATCTGATTTCTCCGATATCTGTTTCTTAGACGCCTTTATTTATTGTTATTAAAGATTAGTTATTCATTTATTTTATAGAAAATGAACGAAGAGTGTTAGATTGTACTGTCCAAACTTTTTTGTCAAAGAAAAAATGTAAAAAACATCGTATATTTGAAAAGAACAGTGCTTTATTTACTAAATGGCAACATTTCAATTCGCCATTTTTCCCCAAAATCCTGCAGAAGTGGGCGGAGCCAATAGGCGGAAAGAGTCTCGACCCACACTCTTCCCCCACCTTTTTGGCGCGAGCGTCTGCTCGAGACTCTTTCCGCCTCTCAGATTCTTTCCCAAATGGGAAGAGTTCGTAAACACACTCTTCCGAACGAAAAGGAAAGAAGCTGAAGCATTTTTTTCAGAAGATTTTTTTCGCTCTTATTCCTTCGCTCTTAAATCAAAAGCTTTTTTAAAAATCACGATTTTTTTTTGATATATGTCTCGACCTGTAACTCCATACCCCATAGAATATAAAATTGGTATTTTTTGAAGCCGAAACTTGATTTAGTCATTAAAACGCCTTGAATTACTATGAATCACACAATTTCCTTGAATTTCAACGACCAATTTTTCCCATTCAAAGCCATTTACAGCCTTTTTTGGGCCACTTTTTCTTCTTTTTGTTGTGTTTCCCTCGCGTTTTTTTTTATTACCCCAAAAAGAGCCCGGAATAGCGCCGCAAGAAAGCGCCGCGGCGTTCCACACATCGTTCCGCATCGGTTCTTCTGTCCCCGGAGTGAAGTGTTTACCCCACAAACAGCATTTTTTTGCGTTTTTTGAGCCTGTTTTTGCACCCAAAAAATCGAAGGAGAAATTTTTTTGGAAAACACGTGCCCGCTTTTAGATCCTTTCGGCCGGGTCTAACGCAAAATTGCGACCATCGATCGGCGATTTTTCATTGGAATTTTGAAGGCTTTGAATTTTTTGGAGGTTTTCGAGGAAAATTGGAATTTTCTGGAAAAATATTCGACTTTCTTGGAGGAATCCGGGGATTTTAAACAAGAATAAAGACTTGTGAAGCCGTTGGGCTTCATAAAATTGAATTTGGAAACTGTTTTGAGCATTTTTTTGAGGGGTTTTTGCGAAAATTTGGGATTTTTTGAGAATTTTTGGGATTTTTGAGGAAAATTGGAATTTTCTGGAAAAATATTCGACTTTTTTGGAGGAATCTGGGCATTTTAAACAAGAATAAAGACTTTTGAAGCCGTAGGGTATCGTGAAATTGAATTTCGAAACTGTTTTGAGTCTTTTTGGAGGGTTTTTTGCGAAAATTTGGGATTTTTTGAGAAATTTTGGAGGTTTTTGAGGAAAATTGGAATTTTCTGGAAAAATATTCGACTTTTTTGGAGGAATCTGGGCATTTTAAACAAGAATAAAGACTTTTGAAGCCGTAGGGTATCGTGAAATTGAATTTCGAAACTGTTTTGAGTCTTTTTGGAGGGTTTTTTGCGAAAATTTGGGATTTTTTGAGAATTTTTGGAGGTTTTCGAGGAAATTCGGAATTTTCTGGAAAAATATTCGACTTTTTTGGAAGAATCTGGGGATTTTAAACAAGAAGAAAGACTTGTGAAGCCGTTGGGCTTCATGAAATTGAATTTCGAAACTGTTTTGAGTATTTTTTTGAGGGTTTTTTGCGAAAATTTGGGATTTTTTAGAGAATTTTTGGGATTTTTCAAAATTTTCGGACTTTTTTCTTGGAGTTTATGTATAATAAGGCAGGAGAAGAGCTGAAGGAGCTCTGGGATGTTGTGAAATACGATTTTGAAATGTTTATTGACATTATTTTTGGGTTTTTATAGAAATTTTTTTTTAATTTCGGAAAATTTGGGAATATTTGGTTTTTTGAAGAAATTTTTTACATTTTTCGGTGAAATAGAGAGTGTAGAGACCCTGAAAAACCTGTAAGGTGTTGTAAAATACGATTTGTCCATTTTTTTGACCTTGATTTCGACTTTTTTTGAGGAAAAATTAGAAATTTCCCGGATTTTTGGTAAAAATTATAAAATCTTGAGTTTTAATGGGATTTTTTGGCTTGAAATGGTAGAATAGCGGATGGGCAGAGTCTCTTTAGTATTTTGAAATCGTAAACAACCTTTTATGCGGATGTTTTTGTCACTTCTCCGCTGATATTTGGTCTAAAATCACGTTTTTTTCGCGGTTTTGATGAGTAATTAGGATTTTTTGAGCTGATTTTTGTTATAATGAGTTTTTATTGGCTTAAAAAAAGATTTAGAAGGGAGATTTTCGAATTTGGAAAGAAAAATTATATTAATTTAGGCGATTTTTTGATCTTTTTTTCCTTAATTTTTTTTATTTTTTTAAAAAATTTTGCAATTTTTTTTCAGTTCCAAGCCCCACAACCCGAGCCCGAATCGGAAAGCGAGGAGGATTTGGATGACGGCCAACGAAAGTCGAAGAAAAAAGCCCTGAAGCAGTTTGGGCACACCAAAAAAGAGAAGCTCCCCACCTATCCGCTGGTCACAATTGCCGCCGGCAGAAGTCGAAGGCATCTGAACAACGTGGATTACAACTTCCGCGCCTACGACGACCAAATTATTGAAGCTATGGACGCGATTGATGAGCCCGGATCCAGCAATAGTAGAGGTAAGGGTCTTTTTTTTTGATTTTTTTTTTTGATGTTTAGGAAGAGATTTGGACAAGTTGTGAGGAGATTTTGAATTTTCGGGAGATTTTTTGAAATTTTGACATCAATTTTTATAAAAAAATCGAAAAAAAATTAATTTCGAAAAAATAAAAAGTCGTATTTTAGAGAGAGATTCGGCGCCATTGGGACGATTTTTGAATTTTTTGGGATTTTTTAAAAATTTTGACATCAATTTTTATAAAAAAACCGAAAAAAAATTAATTTCAAAAAAAAAATAAAAAATCGTATTTTAGCAAAAAATACCCTCAGTTTTGATGAAACTTGCCAGAAATTTAGATTAGAATTTTCTAAAACATATGTGAGATTTTTAGCTCGCGATTTGCAATAGCCATCCAGATTTTTAGATCGAAAAATGCTGAAAATTCCAAAGAAAACTCGATTTTTTTGTAAAAATTGATGTCAAAATTTTTAAAACAATCTCAAAAATTCAAAAATCGCCGCAATGGCCAAGAATCTCTCCCTAAAATACGATTTTTTATTTTTTCAAAATTAATTTTTTTTTCGATTTTTTTATAAAAATTGATGTCAAAATTTTTTTAACCCCCAAAAATATCCAAAATAGGCCCCGAATGTCACCCTAAAATACGATTTTTTTATTTTTTTCGAAATTCATTTTTTTTCGATTTTTTGAAATCTTGAATGACCAAAAATTTGTTCAGAAGAACGCCCCAACGGTCTGGGTCGCGGCAAGGACATGCAAAACATCATCGAAGCGGACGAAAAACGCCAAAGTCAGGGCTCGGAAAACGGGCAAGAGAATGGCGAAGAGCCGGCCAAAAACGGCAAAGAAAAGTCGCCAAAGAAGGAGCGAAAGCCGAAAAAGTCGAAGAAATTGACCCAACTCGATCTGGACAACATGACCGAGTCGGACACGGACGAATATAACGTGACCGAAGAGGAGGAGGAAGAGGAGGAAATCCCTTCCGAAGACGAATACGTACCCGAAGAAGAGGTCCGTCGAAGAGGCACCAGAAATAGACATCAATCTGATGATGAATTCATTGATGACAGCGATAGCGACTTTGAAATCGGAAGCAAGAAGAAAAAGGGAGGAAAACAGAAGAAAACCCCCGGAAAAAGGGGAAATAGACGAGGAAAGGGAAGGAAAAAGTGAGTGGAATTAAAGTTTATAGTCTTGCTGAAGTGTAGGACAGGTTTATTTGGAGAAAAAATAGTGTAAATTGAGGTTTTCAAAAGGTTATTGGGGAAAAATAGAGGAAAAATCAAAAATTTTTGGATTTTTCAAAATTTTGATAGCTAAAGTAAGGTCCAATAGAAGTAATAAGTCTTATTAGAGATGGAAATAACAAAACAAAGAGTAAAATAGAGTATTACTGGCTGTTGTTATTAATTTTAGCCATCTTTGGATATTATCCATGAAAATTTTTTGCGATTTTTGATCAAATTTCGATTTTAAACCTGCTTTTTGTTGCTAATTTAGTGTTCCGAGGGGATTTTTAGACTGTAAATTAATAAGGCTATCTATTTGGATGAAAAAATTTTTAATTTATTACCTAATTTTGCAACTTTCAGATGGTCCGACACAGAAGAAGAAACCGAAGAAGAGGAAGAGGAATTCATCAGCGAATCCGACTCCGAAACCGAACGCAAGTCCAAACGCAAGCCTGCACCGCGAAAATGGGGCCCTAAGGCGTCGTCGAGCGAGAGCGAAGAGGTGGAAGCCGAAGAATCGGAGGAGTCGGAAGACGAAAAAGAAAAGACCGAAAGCGGCCGACCACTCCGTCGCGCCGCCAAAGGGGTCAGCAAAAAGTTGCACGATCTGGAAGAGACCGAGAAAGAGCTGGAGGAGGAGATTGGCGAGGAGGAGGAGGACGTAAAAGATGAGCGAAGCGCCGCCGAAAAAGTCATCGGCCGCCCGCGACCGCGACGAATCGCCAGCGACGAGGAGGAGGAGGCGGACGAATTCCGACCCGACGAAGAGCCCGAGGAGGAAGAGGAGGCGGAAATTGAAGAGGAATTGGCCAAGGAGTTGGAGGAAAAGAAACGAAAAAAGTTGGAGCACGAAAAGGAAAAGGAGACCTCGAAGAAACGCAAAATTGTCGAAGAAGACGAAGAGGAACCGCCCAAAAAGAAGCCCGAACCGAAAGTAGAACAAAGGAAAGAAGAGAAAATAGAACAAAGACGCTCGCCAACCAAGAGCCCACCGAAGAAACAAAGAAATTCGCCGGCCAAGTCACCACCTAAAACAATATCCAGAAGAGGCTCCAACTCAACCCCCACGACCAACACACCCACCAGCACACAGAACAAACCAACACAACCCTCAGTGAAGCCGCTGGTACAGTTGGCGGTCCCAATTGCACCCCCAGTCCAACATCTCCCACATCCCCATCAACTACCCCCGCAGGGATATAATATGCATCCGTACGCACATCTCCCACCACACATGCGCCCGCCCACCTACATGCCACCCCCTCCGCATGGTAATCAATACGGTGACTATTATGGTGGTGGGTTTTACGTTCAGTTTTGAGTTGAATTTTAATTTTTGGTTCAGGTGCCTAGTGGAATATAAAAATTTTGAGTTTGTTAGGTTGGAGAGTTGGGAGAGGCGGGAAATTGTAGAGTATAGCTTTTAATGTTATTTGAGAGCATTTGGACCTTAGTTTTTTGGTTTTACTTGAGTTGTTATTATGTTTTTGGATCAGATGCCAAGTGTAATATAATGTCAAAAAATTGTCATTTTTCGATATTTTTTCTTTGAATAATGTTGTAGTATGAAAGAGTAAGCCTTAGAGAGTTGATTTGTACTAAATTTGTGTCCTTTTTGACATTTTTTGATCATATTTTACCTAAACTTTGGTTTAGGTAGTATAACATCCAAAAAAAGCTCCGATCCAATTTTTTATGGTTGATTTAAAAGAGAGTTTTTTACAAATTGAAGCTTCTCATAACAAGGGCCGGACATTTCGAAAAAACGACCGACTCAGAATCTTTTGATATTTTGCATAGTTGGTGTACTATGATAGCTGAACGTCAGCACGAATTTTTAGTTTCGGAAATTACCGTATACGGGGGTTACGGTAGGTACAATTTTTAGAAAGATTGGGTTCGTATGTAAAAACCTTAAGGAGTAAAGGCACAAAACCTCGCCGTTTTACGTTTTTGACCATGGGGAACATTTTCATAATTGACAACTTTGCCGTAGGATGTTGCCTTCGACTACTTTGAAAAATACCAAGGTACCATATTGAATGTAACTTTTTTGCAGAGCACTTGTCTCAACTTTTGAAACCTTTCAAAAATACGTTGACATGTATGGAACAACATATCAAAAATTTAGAAAAATAAAAGGGGGGGTTTTGGAGTTACGGTACTTTGAATGTTGCCGGTACGGTATATCAAAAAATTATTTTTTTCAAAATCGGTGTAGAAGACCCGCAAACATTGCTAAAATACGTTTTCGACCATGGCGAACATTTTTGTAATTGACACTTTTTTTGTAGGATGTAGTCTTCGCCTACTTCGAAAATGACCCAGATACCATGTGTAATGTAACTCTTCGGCATTCTACTTGTCTCAACTTTTGAAACCCCAGAAAAATACGTTGACATGTACGGAACAACATATCAAAAATTTAGAAAAATAAAAGGGGGGGTTTTGGAGTTATGGCACTTTTAACGTTGCCGGTACGGTATATCAAAATTTCATTTTTTCTAAAATTGGAGTAGGACAACCGCGAACCTTGCCAATATACGTTTCCAACCATGGGGAACATTTTTGTAATTGACAGTTTTGTTCTAGGATGCAGCCTTCGACCGGTTTGAGAAATATCAAGATACCATGTTCAATATAACTTTCCGGCATTCAACTTGTCTCAACTTTTGAAACTTTTCAAAAACACCTTGACATATGTGTAACAACATATCAAAAATTTAGGAAAATAAAAGGGGGGGTTTTGGAGTTATAGCACTTTGAATGTTGGACATACAGTACACCAAACTTTTTCTGTGATGCTGACATCCGATATTGATAGATTCCACCGTCGTATGGCACACACGTCTCTAAACCGTGTCAATTGTTACAAAAAAATTAAGAAATCACTGATCTTGCTGTTACAGTAACCAGTCATCTGCGCACGATATGTTACAGTATGCTTAGGTCTAGTTTTTTTGATTTTTTTGTGAAAATAGTTTGTGAGGGTCGTACAACATAGATAAAACATTACATTTTGTTTTTAAAATAATCTACGTAAAGTTAAGCCGAGAATAAATCGAGGTGTACTGTATGTCCAACATTCAAAGTGCTATAACTCCAAAACCCCCCCTTTTATTTTCCTAAATTTTTGATATGTTGTTACACATATGTCAAGGTGTTTTTGAAAGGTTTCAAAAGTTGAGACAAGTTGAATGCCGGAAAGTTATATTGAACATGGTATCTTGACATTTCTCAAACCGGTCGAAGGCTGCATCCTAGAACAAAACTGTCAATTACAAAAATGTTCCCCATGGTTGGAAACGTATATTGGCAAGGTTCGCGGTTGTCCTACTCCAATTTTAGAAAAAATGAAATTTTGATATACCGTACCGGCAACGTTAAAAGTGCCATAACTCCAAAACCCCCCCTTTTATTTTTCTAAATTTTTGATATGTTGTTCCGTACATGTCAACGTATTTTTCTGGGGTTTCAAAAGTTGAGACAAGTAGAATGCCGAAGAGTTACATTACACATGGTATCTGGGTCATTTTCGAAGTAGGCGAAGACTACATCCTACAAAAAAAGTGTCAATTACAAAAATGTTCGCCATGGTCGAAAACGTATTTTAGCAATGTTTGCGGGTCTTCTACACCGATTTTGAAAAAAATAATTTTTTGATATACCGTACCGGCAACATTCAAAGTACCGTAACTCCAAAACCCCCCCTTTTATTTTTCTAAATTTTTGATATGTTGTTCCATACATGTCAACGTATTTTTGAAAGGTTTCAAAAGTTGAGACAAGTTCTCTGCAAAAAAGTTACATTCAATATGGTACCTTGGTATTTTTCAAAGTAGTCGAAGGCAACATCCTACGGCAAAGTTGTCAATTATGAAAATGTTCCCCATGGTCAAAAACGTAAAACGGCGAGGTTTTGTGCCTTTACTCCTTAAGGTTTTTACATACGAACCCAATCTTTCTAAAAATTGTACCTACCGTAACCCCCGTATACGGTAATTTCCGAAACTAAAAATTCGTGCTGACGTTCAGCTATCATGGTACAACAACTATGCAAAATATCAAAAGATTCTGGGTCGGTCGTTTTTTCGAAATGTCCGGGCCATCCATCGATTTGTAAAAAACTCTCTTTTAAATGCAGGACAGTTTGAAAAGGCCTGAAATGTGATTTAACAATCATTTTGACTCGCTAGGGCCTTCAAAACAGCCTATTTTTAACAATTTCTAGTCAAGTTGCCTAGTGTAATATCGAAAAATCTCCGAGAAACCCCTGAGATCAGCAATTTTATTATTCCAAATTGCCTCAAAATAATGTCCATTCAATTTCAGGACCTCCGCAATACATGCCGCCCACTTCCGGCTACCCTCCACCACATCATCATGCGTATCCGCATTATCCCCCAATGCCGTAAGTTTTTGAGGGGTTTTTTGAAAAATTCAGTGGTGAAAATTGGAGTTGGACGATTGGGAAAAAAGATGATTGGGGAAAAGTACCATTGGGGAAACCGAAAAGTATTATTTTTCTTCGATACAAGTGTAGAAATTAGGATAATCGAGGTTCGAAAATGACATTAATTTTTTTTTTTTATCGTTACTTTTTTCTTTAAGTAGTATTGTAAAGAAGTAATTTTTTCAATTTTTTTCATGAATACTCGATTTGATGGTCTTCGATGGTGCTGCTTTCACAATGAAAGTACTTCTATGGGGTATGGAGTTACAGGTCGAGAGATATATCAAAAAATCGCAAAATTTTTCTGATTCAGAATATGTAAAAATTAACTGCCTAATTTTGGTTTGTAAGGGCGAAAAACCCTCTTGACTTTTCTTGCAATACCACGCAAATCCCTTTTTGAACAAGTTTTTACCAAGTAAACAGTTAGCAGTTTCAATATAAAAAAGAGGCTTCTGCGTGGTATTGCGAGAAAATTTATGAGGGTTTTTTCGCCCTTACAAACCAAAATTAGGCAGCTAATTTTTACACATTCTGAATCAGAAAATTTTTGCGATTTTTTGATATATCTCTCGATCTGTAACTCCATACCCGCATAGAAGTACTTTCCTTGTGAAAGCAGCACCATCGAAGACCATCAAATCGAGTATCATGAAAAAAATTCTAAAAATTACTACTTTACAGTACTACTTAAGAAAAAAAGTAAAGATCAAAAAAAATTAATCTCATTTTCGAACCCTCGATTATCCTAATTTCGACACTGGCATCGAAGAAAAATAATACTTTTCGGTTTCCCCAATCGTCCCAGTTCCGTAAAAATTGACTGTTCATGATGGCCTGAGATATTTTAGAGACTAATTCTTAATTCCCGATTGTTTCAGAGGCTACCCCATGCAACCGACCAGCGAATCCGACGTCGCTCATCTCCAGCCCCTGAGGCCAGTCGAATCGGACAGTCTGAGTCATGTTCTGGGCGGCGCAATGAACCCAGACGCCTTATAAGGCATTCAAATCGACCAGTACACTGACTTTTATCCCAGTCCGCCGAAAATTTTCGAAATCGACCGGTCGATTTTTGAAATTTAATTTTTTTTTTGAAAATTCGTATTTTAGCAAAAAATTAATTTGTAAGCGCTAAAATACGGTCGATTCGACAATTACAGGCCATTTCCATCATGTTCTACCCCCATTTCTAACATATTACTGTAGTTTTTACCGTATTTTTCGTAGAATATTTCCAATATTTTGCGCGCTGAACGCACGTTTGTAACGCAGAACCGGGTCCATCTCACACCACTCTCCGCACAGTATGGTTTCGTATTATTTAGTCTTGTTATAACTTTGGAATCACTTTTTTCCCCCCACTTTAATTTATCCAAGGGTCTCTCGCGAATTTCGTTGTTATTTGGTCTCCCCTCACACTATCGTTTGGTTATTTGTCAACATGTACGATATTTTGACTAACCTGTTTTCGACTACAATAAAGTTTGAACGGAAATTTGGCGTTTTGGAAAGCGTTTTGGGTCGAGGGAAAGACTTGACCCAAGAAGGGAGATTTTGGGTCAACTGTTTCTCTCGGCGGAAAATGGTAAAATACGCATCGACATAAACTGTATGCCATTATAATACGTCGAAAATAAAGTAAAACAATCAAAAATAAGAAGAAATAAAGTTAGAGACATCAACCTCTAAAAAATTTATATTACACTAGACCAAGCATGGGTCAAAACAAGAAAATAATTTATTAGAGGATCATTGAAGCTATTAAAATAGTAACAGAATAACATTTGCGAGTATCTTGTCATCAATCCGCCGAACAAAGACCAAGATAATCGTCCATTAAGGTGGCCAAAACACTCAAATCATTGGCGTCCTCGCGGATGTTCAAAATTTTGACACGGATCTCGTCATCGACTTTGATTTGCATTGAGTCATCTGCGGTCCGATAGCATGGGGTTGGGGCGCCATCGTCGTACTTCATGTCGGGTGGGATGGTGTATTGGGAGACGAAGCAACTCAACGGCCCGATATCGCAGAAGATGCCCATTTTGTTGACTTGTCGCACCACGCCGTCAATGACTTGCCCTTGGAAGGGCCGGAAAACGATGGCCTTGTAGCGGACTGGGTAGATCGCGAATCCACTACCTGCAACATGGATAAGATAGTAAAAAATTGGTGAAAATAAATGTAATTTGATGAATAAAACCACCGCATTAGCTTAGTTACACCTCAATACTACTATGAAAATATATTTTCTACTCATATCTGCTCAGTTTACACTCAATTTCGTCTATTTTTTTGATCAACTTTGATACCTAAAGCAATATCACCAAAAAATACTTGGAAATGTCGACACAGCAACGAAAAGTCGACCTATACAGGCTAAGAAATACATAACTAATACTACCCAATTCAAATAATCAACAATTTCTGGCAATTTCCTCAGAGTTCAGCCCATTTTTTGTACATACTTGACGTCTAAAACAACATCGCTCAGATGTGTCCAAAAATGGACTTAAAAATTTCAAAAAAAGCTTTAGCAGTTAGGCGATAGCACTTTAGTGCTGCAAAACACAAATTCACGCTATTTCAAAAATGGTTTGGCAAAGTTCTCGATTTCTCTTCATCAAGCCTTATGCCTAAAATAATATACCTCAATTCTCCTCAAAAAGTAGACAGAACGTAGTAAAGCCACTATCAAAACATTGAGGAACATAGTATCTCTCTATCAAAATAAACTTGATGTAATTTTTCAACATCTGAAACAAAATTCGGCGAACTCCACATCAGCCACCCAGTACAATATAAATCCGTCGAATTCGATCCTAAAACCAGAAAGAAACAATCTCAAAACCACATACCCGGCTGAATTGTTCCATGACCAATGTTATCTATCGTTGTGACGGCAATAATACTTCCATACTTCCCTTTGCAGGTGCCTTCCACCTCTTTGAAGAGCTTCTGCTTCACGGACTCCATGAGATTGGGGCCAAAATACTTCGGATGAAGTGAGATTTCATGTTCCAGCGATAAATGGAAGAACATCTCTCATGAAGTTGAAGATCGACCAAATCCGCGCCAAACGAAGCGAAAAGCTGAGAATAATTTGGGCGCAGGTCGCGGATTTGCGTGCTGCTGCAACCTGCGAAGCGACATGTTATACGAAGGATAATTGTTAAAAGACCCCCAAATAGGAGTTCGGAAGGTGTCCCCAAAATATTCCGAATATGTCGCCAAACACAAAAATTAGTGTAGGGTCCATGTTTTCGGGTAGTAATACCACCTCGGGCTAAAAAATTTGAAAATTCAAAATGGTGATTACGTAAAAAGCAAAACTTCAAAACTTTTGGGTAAAAATCGGATATAGGGGTAATGGGGTAATCGAGGATGCTGATTTTGAAAATTCAGCAGGTAAGAGTGTCGTAATGCTCCCTACTTGTTTCCCGTCTGTATGCAAAATCTATAATTTGACTCTTCAGACAACGCGACCGTCGACCTCAAATTCCTGGACGGCACGGTGAAGGCCGCTACTGGCTACGACACCCTCAGAATTGGACCTCATTATCGGCCCGGGCTCACCGCCAACAACATTCGATTCGGACGTGTGAAGGACTTCAAGACTACAAACTTCTCAACTACGATGGAGTTTTTGGGCTTGGTTTCGGCGAAGTGAACGGACTCTCCTCTCCCATCAAACAACTGGCTCATCATGGAGTCATTCCTTCGGCTCTCCTCACCGCCTACATTTACAACCAAGGTCATAACAACACTGTTGATGGTGTTCTCACGATTGGCGAGGTTGACAAAAGACGCTGTGGAGCTGTTGAGGGCTTTGCCGAGACCGTCCGTGCCGCCGATGCATGGGTGTTCAGCTCTCCGTCCTTCAACATCAGCACCACTAATGGGACAAGCAACGGAAGTTGGTTGGGAGTTCTCGACTTCAACACGGATTATTTCCAAGTTCCTCGGGCTGCTGTCAAACTCATTCAAAATAAACTGAGTGGCTCCATTGACGAGGACGGCCGTATCATCTATCACTGCTTTAAGTATGCCGAACTCTTCTTCAACATTGGCGGCCAACCGTTGGCATTAGACACTCCGATGTTCTCCGAACCTTATCGTGGACAAATGTGTAGACTCAAAATTAAAGAAACAGATCCCTCAGACAAGTACGCCTTCCGTTTTGGTTGGTTAATCTTGCACAGACATTGCATGGTTCTTGATTACAACGGCAGGCTTGCATTCACTCCTAAGACTGTCTGATTTACCGAATAAACCGAGGATAAATCGCGTTAACCGCAGACGATCGTGCTGTTGAAAGGCATAAACCCTACCAATTCAAAAAATCTCAAAAATTACTACTTTACAGTACTATTTAAGAAAAAAGTTACAATCATAAAAAACTAGTATTTTTTTCGAAATCCGCAGTGTCGATGACCTATACATCCACATCTCGTCTAAAATTTTCAAAAACTATTACTTTACACTACTACTTAAGAAAAACGTTAAAATTATGAAAAATGAATATCATTTTCAAAATCAGCATCCTCGATTACCCCTATATCCGATTTTTACCCAAAAGTTTTGAACTTTTGCTTATTACGTAACCACCAATCTGAATTTTCAAATTTTTTAGCCCGAGGTGGTATTACTACCCCAAAACATGGACCCTACACTAATTCTTGTGTTTGGGGACATATTCGGAATATTTTGGGGACAGCTTCCGAACTCCTATTCGGGGACAGGTCGTTGGGGACAGCCATTGCGTTGCACGTCAAACTGAGGAGTCCGGTGACCGGAATAGACACTTCGCTATCGGTTTTTTACACTTCGTCTATTTCGCAGAGAAAGAGAGAAAAAAGACACGCAAAAGCGTACTCTCTCGCCCCAAAAATTCCCTATTTCTTCCCCGAAAAAACGTTTTTTTGCGTCTTTTTTTGGCAAATTGCCAATCACGTCAATCCAAAATAGAAGAAAAAATTTCCCGCCCCTTTTTGGTGATTCGTTCAAAACGAAATGTCACTATCCGATAAAACACATTTTCTTATCTTTCTTCTGCCTTTTCGGGAAAAAGGAATTATTTCGGGCGAGAAAATGTGCCGATAATTTTGCGACATTTCGTCTCTCTTTTAACAAGGGAAGTACCCGAAGTGCGACGCTCAGATTTTTATAAAAATTGGCATAGATGGAGATCAGAATTTTCTTATTCGATTGCGAACATCCTAGCTCGCGCTTTGCAGAATCCGCCGAGAAAGAAGGGCCGGAATATCGAAAAAAATCTTCAAATGCCGACGAATTTCCCTGCAAATCCGCTTGATCTTGGCATTTCGTCCCAGGAGAAAAATATTTTTTTCTCGCAAGAAATTTTTTCTTGGTAATGTTCAAGACTATTTTGTTGCTTTTATGTGGAATATGGTGTTATTTTCACTTTTTTACACTTGATTCTAGCGCTATTAATTGGATTGTCGCCATCCGAGGGGTAAAATGTTTCGTCCTTTGACGAATTTATACAGTTTTTCCTCTGCTGATGGGCAAACCACTCTAATAGTTGCTTTAAAGTTGTTTAGGAGACATGCAAACGTTCTACGGTCGCGTAGGAACGTAATCATAAGGTAAGTGTTAAAAACATTTTATTTTTTCACTATTTTTCAGTTTATGCCATTTCAGAAAACAAAGTAAAGGTCCCAAGGTGTTCCGTCAGTGTTCCGATGGTGTACATTCGCTCTTGTTGTTGTTCAGAATTTGCTCACTGAAAAATAATAAAGTTTTTGTAACACTTACTTTAAGATTATGTTCATACACGACCGTAGAACGTTTGCATGTCTCCTAAACAACTTTAAAGCAACTATTAGAGTGGTTTGCCCATCAGCAGAGGAAAAACTGTATAAATTCGTCAAAGGACGAAACATTTTACCCCTCGGATGGCGACAATCCAATTAATAGCGCTAGAATCAAGTGTAAAAAAGTGAAAATAACACCATATTCCACATAAAAGCAACAAAATAGTCTTAAACATTACCAAAAAAAAATTTCTTGCGAGAAAAAATATTTTTCTCCTGGGACGAAATGCCAAGATCAAGCGGATTTGCAGGGAAATTCGTCGGCATTTGAAGATTTTTTTCGATATTCCGGCCCTTCTTTCTCGGCGGATTCTGCAAAGCGCGAGCTAGGATGTTCGCAATCGAATAAGAAAATTCTGATCTCCATCTATGCCAATTTTTATAAAAATCTGAGCGTCGCACTTCGGGTACTTCCCTTGTAAGCCAATGAAAACGATACGAAGTTTCGAAGCGATTCAGGAAATGCGCTGGATTGACGTGCCAATCCCTTCACCGGACTGTTTTAGCTTATCTCAGTTTGACGTGCGTTGTCCATACGGAAATAGCGTTCATGGTAAAAGCATGGAACAAAAGTGTAGAAACAAAGTTTAGATGTTATTTTTCGTTGTACAGATTCTACTAGCACGCCACGAAAAAAGTGGAAATAGAGAAATTCGCGGGAAAATGTTTTCGACATTTCATACGCTGAAACCTTTACAAATAAATAACAAAAATGATTCCAAAATTCTAATAAACAACAATTTACGTGTGAAACCGGCGAGAAAGCATCGAAAGGCATCTAGGAGGTGCACCCCGAACTTCTTAGATTGATCGAAGAAGAGAAAAGAAATTATATTGTACTAGGCAAAATTGGATCAAAATCGAAGAATCTGAGCCCTTCCGAGGTTTACAAGAGTAGCAGGGCTTTGATCCTGCTACAACAGACCACTACTAAACTGAAATTCATAAAATCTTCTTTATTTCCACCTAAACATCAAACCAATAAGAATAATTAAAATTACATAAATTTTCGACAATCCATCGAATTTGTCGGATGCAATCTGAACTCGGAATTCAATCTCCACACCCATTGGTACATTATACTGGCTTTCACATTCTACTTCAACATGGACCGGCTGAAATATCAATTATATTATTTTAGGTATAACCAGAGAAACTTATAAACTCAATGGCCTAGAAAAACAAAAAATCAAAAGGGCAACGTCACAAACTTACCTTGAAATGTTCTAAACGTCGTCTGCTTCCTCTGATCCAGCTTTGCTCACGCCTTCTCCAGTCCTTTCTTGCGTTTCTCCGTCAGTTCCTGCAAAATGGTACAATAATGAACCGACAAGTGCCCTTTTTCGATAGTAAAATTTCCAGATTTCTTCTTTATAACGTCCGCTAAGATGTCTCACACAACACCACATGGCGATTAATCAAAAATCTGGATGCAAAAAGAGAAATCCTACCTTTTCTGGAGACACCATCAGCTCCTGCAGAACAATGCAGTAATGAACCTTTTTCTATAGTAAAATTTCACGATTTCTTCTTTATAACGTCCGCTAGGATGTCTCACACAAAACAGATCAGCTCCTTTGTACCTAAACCGGATGAGTAAAGAGAAATCCTACCTTTTCTGGAGACACCATCAGCTCCTTGCAAAATGATGCAATAATGAACTGACAAGTGCCCTTTTTCTATAGTAAAATTTCCCGATTTCTTCTTTACAACGTCCGATAGTATGTCTCACACAACACCACATGGCGATTAATCAAAAATCCGGACGCAAAAAGAGAAATGTTACCTTTTGTGAAGACACGTCCATAGCTGCAGAATCAATGTTTGGGTCACAGCGCAGTGGGCCGGGCTCCATGGACTCATCCGTTACATTTAACACTTGAAACTCAAAGCAACGTAATTTTAAAGATAATATACTTCCCGAAATTGTTCCAAATCTCAGAGTTACAATACTATCTTACACAATATTCATTCCATCAAAAAAATCAAAAATATTGGGCGCAGCTCGAAATCTCTATTTCCAATTTGGCCTTACGTTTTTCGTGGCGTGCTACTAGAGTCGAAAATTAAAGGAAAAGACCAGTAAATCGAGGTAAAATAGATAGTTTACTGGCCTTTAATGTACACAATCGAAAAAAATCAAAATTGAATGCTTAGAGCACGGGCATGCTGCGATCGCTTTCAATGTCGCTGCTCTGACTGCTTTCGCTTTGCGTGCGCAAGTTCTTCCTGGATTTAGGGTCCTGCCAAGTCTTCATCTCGACCGTAGTGGTGCTCTTCACCGTGTAGACGGTCCCATCGGGTTTCTTTCCGCGCGTTTCGGACTGCGTCACCTTCTTCTTGGTGGTTTTGAGGACTCCATTCGCTAAACGGGCGGTTTTCTTGGTCACGAGGGGCTAAAAATTCAAAAAAATTATATTAGGTTGTCCCACAAATAATGTCGTTTTCGAGAGGGGCAGTTTCCAAAGTCTATAAAAAAGGTAAACGACAATAAAATTTCGCAATATTGCATCGTTTTGTAGTCGAGAACTCAAGCTTTCGTTCGATATATCATTTGTCAAATTTGGATCAAATTAAAGTATTTTAACCCTAATCAAAAATTATGAAAAAAAGTCGATTTGTGTCGCCATGTTGTACCTGCAAAAACAGGGTATGAAAGTTACAGGAGTTATACAAAATATCAACGCCGTGTTCGGCGAGTCTGATGTGAGTCTGAACACGGTGAAACGATGGTTCAAAAAAATTCGATCTGACGGTGAGGGACCAAAGATAAAGTCCAGCATATGAACTTTATGAATTTACCCTGGGGCCATTAGTTGTCAGATATCCTAGAATCAACATCCGACGTGTCTCTGACATCGTCTGGGTGTTGAAATAATCGGCGGCTAACCGTTGGAAGTCGATGGAATTCAACAAAATGCTCGGCAGCTTTTTCCCATATTAATGGACCAAACCATTAATGGAGGTGTCACGTTTGTTGCTTTTACAATCCGAAGAGCCGAGTTTTCTAGATCGGATCGTGACCCCTGATGAAGAGCAGATACTGTACGACAACCAGTGTGCCCAATGGAGTCCACCGAGGGTACCAACGCGGCACTTGGCAAAGCGACCTCCCATAAACAAGGTGATGGGCACTGCTGGATGGTGCAGCATGGGTATCTCACAATACAGCTCGTTGAAAGTTGGCCAAAATGTAAATGCTGGGTCCTGCTGCATTCAGGTAGACAGCTTATGGCAGAATATGCTTTCAAAAACACGCCGGGGAATTCCAAAAGTTCAAGACGACGATGCGCAACCCCACGTTGTAAAGACGACGCTCCAGAAGTTGAGTTAATGGAGATACGGGACTTTCCTTTGTCCGGAGTACTCGTTAGGCATGTCTCAAACAGATTGCTACCTTTCGAAGAATCTAATGGGTTTCATCCGTGGTAGGGAATTTATCAATCAAGACCCTGTTGAATGGGCCTTCAAAAGTTTCATCGGCTCCAGAAGCCGGGGTTTCAAAGCCGCTGGCAAAAAAATGCTTTCAACGCGTTGCAATAGCGTGGTATAACACATGGTGATTATTTTGATCAAAAATATTTTCATTATTACGGTAAATTTCTTTGTAAAAAAATCTTTTGAAGAACGACATTATTTGTGGGACAACCTAATATTATAGTAGGTAAAAAATTTTTAAGAAAACACCAAATTTTCTGATCTATTCTAGTCGAAAAGATTAAATATAGTAATAAGAGAGCTCTTACAGCGATTTTAAATTGAATTTGGCCGTTTTAGAGACAAAAATTATATTGTACTTGCCAAAAAATACAATTTTTGATAAAAAGTACCAAAATTTTGGAGTTTCTCCCAAAAGTAAAGTTAAATTAGATAAATTTGAGTTCGAATTTACAAAAATAAAGTAATTCAAACCGTATTTGAGACAAAATTTATATTACACTAGACAAAAAAGTAGAATTTTGATCAAAGTTGGCGAGAATTTTGGTGTATCTCTCAAAATCAATGCTTTTCTAGATAAATTAGAGTCCGATCTGTGATAATAAACAAATTTTACGTCTTTTTAAGACAAAAATTATATTACACTAGACAAAAAAAACTCCGATTTTGATCAAAATTTAGGTGTTTTACCCAAAATCAACGCTTTTTTAGATAAATTAGAGTTTTTCCTTCGATAAGAAACCAATTTTACGTATTTTCCGGACAAAAATTATATTACACTAGACAAAAAAAGTCGGATTTTGATCAAAATTTTGGTGTTTCTCTCAAAATCAATGCTTTCCTAGATAAATTAGGGTTGTTTCTACGATATTGAGCAGCTTTTATGTATTTGTCGGACAAAAATTATATTACACTAGACAAAAAATAAAAAATTTTCTCCAAAAAAGCCCCCAAAACCCTCCAAAAATCTGACCTTGGGATTGCTGACCAACGTGACCTGATCCGAGCAGTCGCTGCAACAGCATTGACATTCAGCGCGTGCTCGGCACTCCTCGCAGCCATTCGATTCCTCCAGACTGCCACTGTGTCTTTCGTCGCCACGCGACGGCTTTGGCGGCTGCACCAAATGCGCGTACTTGGTGCGTCTCAGCGCGCTGACCGCGTCGCTCAGGTAGCGATGAATCGAGGCTTGGCGTCGGGGCTGTTGTCTTCGGCTGTTTTCGAACTTCCGACGACATTCTCCCAACAGACACCGGCCGTCGGCTTCGGCAACGCCTGAAAAAAATTTTAGTTAATTTTCTTGCGTTTTGAATAAGTTTTGAGGTTTAACTGAAAAAAATGAAAAAGGTATCCAAAAGTATCCGAAAATTCCAGAAACCCTCAAAAGCGATCCAAAAGTATCCAGAAATGGAAAAAATCATAAAAAGCTCGGAATCGATCAAAAGGTATCCAAAAATTCCAAAAAAACCTCAAAAGTGATCCGAAAGTATCCAAAAACTAAAGAAATCAGAAAAACCCTCAAAAGTGATCCAAAAGTATCCGAAAACTAAAAAATTCAGAAAAAACCTCAAAAGCGATCCAAACGTATCCAAAGATTCCAAAAAACCTCAAAAGTGATCCGAAATATCCAAAAATTTAAAAAATCAGAAAAACCCTCTAAAGCGATCAAAAAGTATCCAAAAAATTCTCAAAATCCTCCTAAAAACACTCAAAAGCGATCAAAAAGTATCCAAAAAATCTAAAAATCCACAAAAAACCTCCAAAATTATTAAAAGGTAAAAATCGGTAATTCCAAAAAAACCTCAAAAGCGTATCCAAAAAAAATCCAAACATTCGCAAAAAATCGCCTTTTTTATCAAAATCCATTTCCTAAATTCAAAAACGCACCTCTCAACGGCATCTCGGTGAAGCAGTTGCCGCAAATCACATGCCCGCAGTCGTAGACCTTCAGCTTGCTGACATTGAACAACTTCTTGCAGGGCCCATCGCATTTCTGGGTGTCGGCCAGCACCGAGCTCAAGCTCTCCGGCTCCGAGCCATTCTTCTCCGAACTGGACATTCCTTTAGCGACTGACTGCTTCGTGGTGTCGTTAATCTTCCAAATGAGGATGTTTTGGCCAATTTTTGGGGTTTGAAAAGGATTTTGGGAATATGCAAATTTTCGAAAATTCAAAATATGCAAATTTTCCAAAATTCATAATATGCAAATTTTTGAAAATTTTGGAATTTGCAAATTTTCTAAAATTCATAATATGCAAATTTTTGTGATATGAGGTTTTTTGGCACTAAAATTTGCGAAATTTTATTGGGTCTTCCAGAAAGTTCGTTCGTTTTTTTACAAGGATTGTTTGATTGTTTGGCAGAAGGGGTATATCTATTTGATACAGCTTTTTCTCCTGTACAGCACTGTGTATTTAGTTTTTTTTCAAAAACTTATTTTTCGTTATTTTTCGGGCTCAGAAAGTGAAGTTTTTGAGAAAATTAAAAAAAAAATTTGAATTTGAAATTTTTGAAATTTTTTTTGCGATGGTATTTTTGCCACAAGTTCTGTCTAAGCCACATAGCAACTCCTAAAAATTTTAGCTCGCGCTTTGCAGGCGCGGCCGAGATATTCCACGAGCTTTGCGGCCGAGAGAGTATGCTAAGTGCGGAGAGCGGTCAGAGAAAATATACGATTCTTGGCGATATCTTTGCCAGTTTCGTGCGGAAAAAAAATGATTTTTTGTGGAAACATTACACTCTACAGTAGAAATAGATATATAAATTTTTGTGTCAAAATTCGCAAAAAAAATTTGAATTTTTGCCAAGTTTTGGTCTGAAAATCTTGGTTGGTTTCAAAAGAAATTTAGTTAAAATTTGGCGCAAATCTTATCAAATTCAGTAACTTTTTTAAATAGAAAAAAATCTTCTTTTCTCTAAATTGCGCAACAGGTCAGCGAGCGGAAGCGATGACTCAAAAAAAAAGAGATGAGATTCGAGTGAAAGTCGCGATTCCCCAAATGATCAATGGTTGTTAACACTCATGGGAGAGAAGGAGGGAGAATAAATAGCCAGTGGTCACGGTTCTAGTTATCTTTTTGGGATGAGGTTGATAAATAAACGTGGCTTTTATAGTCTCAGCGGAGTTTGAGGTTTGACGCTTGGATTTGCCTTACGCGTTGGGCAAACGCGTCTTGCGGAAACGTTGGGTCTTGTCCTCATATCAAATCTTGAAAATTTTGGAATAGAATAGGCCGTGGGCCAGGCGCTCGGCTTTGGCCCATCGTATACTGCCTACAATACTGGCTATGAAGTTCCGAATAGTGGCGGATTCTTTGGATAAATGAGGAGTCTTGGATACTTTTGGATCACTTTTGATTACTGTTGCTAATTTTTGGCTACCTTGGAAGATGATTGAAGATTTTAGATAGTTTAGATGGTATCAAAAAATATTGGATCACTTTTTGCACATTTGGATCACTTTTGATACCTTTAGATCACCTTTGATACATTTAGATCATTTTTGATCCCTTCGTTTACATTTGGATAACTTTTGATACCTTTTGAACAATTTTGATACTTTTGGATCATTTTTTACCCCTTCTGAAACATTTCGATCACTTTTGGCACCTTTGGGTCACTTTTGATATCGTTGGATCACTTTTGACAGAGTGTCGTTGAACAGATGTTTATCATTGCTTCAAATTGTCTTTGAACTTGTTTGTTATAAGGAGGTTTTGTTGCATGGGAGTTTGCTGTTTAGACCCTGCATTTTCAAGACTTCTGTTATAATATATGGCTTCATGAACTTTATGAAAACGCTATCGGTCTGTCGGGAAAATAATGAATACAAGTCGGTGGGCCAATCGCGTCGCTGAAGTGAAAAAAATATTTTGCCGCGACACAATTAATTTTTTAGCGACTTTCGATGCGACAAAGTGCTCATTATTTCCCCGACAGACTGATATGCAAATTTAACGGCTCGTTTTGAGATTTTTTGGTGGTTTTGTTCCACAAGTCTTGCCATTTCATAGCCGTCAAACACATTTTTGGCGTTTTTTAAAATTTTCAAGTTTTCGTGTAGGGACCCAACAAAAAATTTTTTTTGGAAAAAATCAAAATTTTTTTTCAAAGTCATATTTTAACAAGATTATGGTATAAAGTCGCCTTAATACAACGACTTTTTTTTACTTTTTTCATACAAATATTGTCGAATGTTCCAGAGTGATCTCTTGGCGTCACCGAAGAGCCCTTCGAGCCATTCGGTAACTCTTCTAAACTCACGTGAGCTGCGGAGGGAGAGAAACCAGAAAACGATTAAAAATATGATATCCTTTTCGTATTCTTCGATCCATTTATATCGCTCCTCTCAACGACAATATTACGACATCGTTTCCTTTGCGCTCACTACCATTTTTTTTTGGGGTGGAACTTTAATAAAAACCCAACTTTTCGCCAAAAATTATATTTTACATGAGATCTCGAGGCAAAAAAGTTTTTTTTCTCGCCGATTTTTTTCTTATTCCGCGAACAACTTGGCTGGAAATCCTTTGTGATCGTTGTGTTTTCGGTCTATTCGATACGAAGGTCGTAGAATTTTCTTTATTCCCCTTGTTTCGGCTATTTATTCGGCGGTTTTCAGAGCAAATCTCGTATTTTCATCGATGAAATATCACGTTTTCTTTGTGTTTACTGCATTTCTGGTGCTGTCAGAGGTATGTTTGTACTATATTTTTTTATTTTGGGAATTAGTTTGGAATTCTGAAAAAAAAACAATTTTTTCGCACGGTGCAAGGCAAATTTTAAGGCAAAAATTGGAGTGCACAGTGCAAAGCGAATTTTAGCCTAAAAATTGGACTGCACAGTGCAATGCGAATTTCAGTGAAAAAATTGGACTGCACTGTGCAAAGTCGATTTTAGTGGGAAAATTGGACTGCACGGTGCAACGCGAATTTTTGGCTTAAAAATTCGACTGCACTGTGCGGCTGGATTTTTAGGGCAAAAATTGGAGTGCACTGTGCGGCGTGATTTTTCTGTGTGAAGATTGGACCTCACGGTGCATAGATGATTTTGAGTGGAAAAATTGGACTGCACAGTGCACGGCGATTTTTAGTGCAAAACTGGGACTGCACCGTGCAATGCTAAATTTAGGGCAAAAAGGAGATTTCACGGTGTAAAGCGATTTTTAGGGCAAAAATTGGATTGCACTGTGCAGAGTGATTTTCAGGGGAAAAAATCGACTGCACAGTGCAACGCCATTTTTAGTGAAAAAAATTCGACTGCACGGTGCAACGCGAATTTTAGGGCAAACGTTCAACTGCACTGTGCGACTGGATTTTTAGGGCAAAAATTGGAGCGCACTGTGCAAAGCGATTTTTAGGTGAAAAAATGGACTGCACTGTGCGGTCAAAAAAAATTTTCAAAATGATATTTTTTTGAAAAAAATTATGTGCAAAAACAATTCCCATCGCTTAAAACTCCAATAAAATTCTGATTTATCAATTTTGAAGCTCAAAAATTCAAAAAAATCAAAAAAAAATCTCATCAAATCTCAAGTGTAATATAAATTTCAGGCGGATCGAGTTCCTTCCGCCGATGATATTGAAGACCTGAACGACCCAGTTTTGAGAGATGTTTTTGGGTCATCCAAAAACATCCGGCCTCAGCAAATCCAGCCAAATCCTCAATATCCACAAGTGGCGCAACAACGGCTGCCGATTCCTCAGCGAAGGGTGGCGCAGCCACAGCCGCAGACCACGGAATACCAACCAAACAGGCTCGTTCCGCAAGAACGTAAGAGGATTTTCTTTGCTTACTTTATTTTTACCCCATTTTTTATTTTCAGCCTATCCCGGTCAATACCAGCAGCCGCCTCCTCATTTGTCATCATCGTACTCGAATGCCCAGCCATACTATGCGCAGGGCTCGTCCAGCCCGTTCACTCAACTGGCCGTGACGGGAGCTCAGGGCTTTCTCACTGGAGCGCAAGCTGTGGGCCAGGCATTTGGCTTTGGCCCATCGTATACCGCCTACAATACTGGCTATGAAGTGCCGAATAGTGGCGGATTCTTTGGATAAATTAGGAGTTTTGGATACTTTTTGATCACTTTTGATTACTGTTGCTAATTTTTGGCTACCTTGGAAGATGATTGAAGATTTTAGATAGTTTAGATGGTATCAAAAAATATTGGATCACTTTTGATCGCTTTTGATCATTTTTGACACCATTGGTTCAACTTCGATACATTTGGATCACTTTTTGCACATTTGGATCACTTTTAATTCCTTTAGGTCACCTTTGATACTTTTGGATCATTTTTGATCCCTTCTGATACATTTGGATCCCTTTGGGCATTTTTGGATCACTTTTGATACCTTTAGATTACTTTTGATACGTTTGGATCACTTTTGATCCCATTGGATCAATTTTGATACATTTGGATCACTTTTGATACCTTTTGATCACTTTTGATACTTTTGGATCATTTTTTACCCATTCTGGTACATTTGGATCACTTTTGATACCTTGTGATCAATTTTGATACATTTGGATCACTTTTGATATATTTGGATCACTTCTGATACTTTTGGATTACTTTTGATACATTCGGATCACTTTTGCCACCTTCAGTTTTTTGTCCATTTCTTTCCATTGGTAGCCAAATTTCTACATCAATATCTGTACATACACTTGTCGAAAACATTAATAAATAATTATTTTGAATCCAGCAGCTTTTTCCACCTGAAAGTCCGAATAATCGTCATTGCGTAGAATTTTGAATTACCAAATATTGCAGTGAAATTTTCTGGGAAAGAAAGGGTCAAGTCTGACTCTACAAAGATTCTTGAGGAAATGATTGTAACACCGGTTTTAGGGAAGTAAAGTGAAGCTCACGATTTGAGATTTTTTATGTGTAATCCAAAATTTATTTCGTATGGCATTTTGTCGCAAAAATTCCAGGTTATTTTTCCGACAAACTGACATTCGTAGTGGGTTCCTTTACGATAGAATAAAGCAACGGAATAGTTCATTTTAAATTTGTGAAATTATTTTAATATCTGAGCATTGTACTTATCGCACTTCACCTGTTATGTGTACATACTACGGTTAATGTTTTGAAACGGTTTTGAAACCAATTCGGTTAATTTTATAAAACAGTCATGTATTTTCTCGCCAATATTCCAGAAAAACAATCTTTTTTAGTAAACTTTTAACTGGGTTAAGCCTAGTAAATACTCTAAATTTTCTGTTTTTGGCAATTTGTTTAACTAATTTGCCCTCCTTGACAAGATTACAGGTAATCACATCAGATTTGTTTTTATAACTCACATGAGAAGTACCCCGAGTGGGACGGTGGGATTTTGATGAAACTTGGCGTGGGAAATGGCTTCTGCAAAGCTCGCGCTTGGAGAAGCAAGCTCGCGCTTTGCAGAAGCAACCGGCATTTTTTTGGTGTTGCTGCCAAAGAGGCCCCCTGACCTAGAAAACTCTCGACCGAAGAGGCCCCCAAAAAGAAGAGGCCCCAAAAAAAGCCCCTTCATCGAAGAGGTCCCCTTTTAAAAAATTACAAAAATTTTAAATTGCATGGTGACATGTTATACGATGAACTTTTTTTTCAAGATGAAAAATAGGATACGATATGTTATAAACTTTTTTCATCGTATAACTTGGCACACCACTCAAAAAGGTAAACAGAATTCAAACTCAATTTGTAATGTATTTTTGTGTATATAAACGGCTTTGTTTTCACCTATACTATATACTCAAGACCTCAATCTTTGATTCCCAATACCGTATGTGTTGTAACCAATTTCGTTTATGACAAAACTCTATCGGCAGTAGAGCACATAAAGCGTGTGTTCTCGGAAATTTCATAGCCGAAAGTTTTGTATGCTAGTCATGGTGTGTTCTCAAGAAGTATGAATTTTTGAACTACAACTGGTTGTATTTAATGTATGTACATAACACTTTGTTACGCCTTCCGAAAAGTGTTCAAACAGCAACGCTCGAATTTTGATGAAACTTGTCACAAGTGTAGAACAATTTTTTTATTAAAACACATACGATACTTCTAGCATGCGCTTTGCAGAATCGAGATTTTTAGGTCGAAAGTTGGCAAAAATGGCACATTTTTTTTAAAATGTTGGCATGAAAAGTTTTACGTCTATTTCTGCCGTAGAGGGTAATGTATCCACAAAAAATTATCTTTTTCCGCGCGAAACTGGCAAAGATATGGCCAAAAAACGCATTTGCATACTCTCTCATAGTCAGCGAGAAATATAGTTCGATATCTCGGCTGGGCCTGCAAAGCGCGAGCTAAAACTTTCAGAGATTGATATGTGGCTTATTCCTGGTGTGTGTGCAAAATTCGAAAGAAATCTGAGCGTCGCACTTGGAGTACTTCCCGGTCAGTTACCCAAGAAAAATCGAGAAATGCGAAAGAATTTCGTGCCAGGTGGGGCTATATTCAGCTGTTCTGAATAAAAAAAATGTAAAGAAACTCCTTGAAACTTGTGTTCTTTGAGCCCCAGAAAGGTAACTTTGGTCAAATCCAAAGTGTGTTGGAAAAAAGGAAACTTTTGGCTTATCTAGTGCAATACTAGTCCGTTCGCTAAGTCGCTGGAGTGATTTCGGTGACACGCACTGTGCAAAAAAAGTTAAGGTGCCAGCGACACCCGAAAAACCCCTATTACACGGTGCAAAGCAAGCAATTGCACGGCCCAAAGTGCAATGTGGACCTTTCTTCCGTTTGAAGTTCAACGCTCAGATTTGCTATTAATTTCGCCAGCACACTTCCAGCATTGGCCACATACAGTGACGGAACTGATTCAGTGGCAAAAAACGTACCATTTTGCATCCGGGAAGCATCAAAAATGTGGCAAAATGCTTTCCTTTCACAGTGAAAAAAAACTTTGTTTTGAAGGGTTTCCCCCACAAAAAGAGCGTGCGCGATTTTGAAATCGAAGTTTTTTCACTTGGAGAGGGAAACATTTTGCCACATTTTCGATACTTCCCGGATGCAAAATAATACGTTTTTTTCCACTGGATCAGGTCCCCCACTGTATCAATTCCTGAAAGTTTTAGTTCGCCCTTTGCAGGCGCAGCCGAGATATTCAACGATTTTTGCGGCCGAGAGAGCACGTAAAATGTGGAGAGCGGGAGGAAATTTTTTCGGATACATTTTGCCAGTTTTGCGCCGAAACAATTTTGTGGAAACACTACAATTTCTTAATACTGTAACCGGTTCAAAGTATTTTTCGCTACAAAAAAAATTTTGGTTTGTAATTGCTTCGGTTATTGGAAATTATCCACACCCACCGTTTTTTTCAACTTTTGCTCCAATTTTCATACCACGCTTAAAAAAGTCACAGAAGAAATGCAGACATGGCTAGAGGGCCGGGCTTTTGCTGTGTAATTCCAGGCCTTGGCACAGCCCCCTTCATTTTTTATTTTAATTTTCTTGTGGCCGAGAGAGTACGCGAAACGCAGAGAGCATCAGAGAGAAAAAACTTTAGGCTATATCTTTGCCAGTTTCGCGGGGAAATTTTTGATTTTTTGTGGAAACATTACTCTCTACAGGGTGCGCCAAAAAAAATGGACAAAAATAAAAACGGTTGTGTCTCGCCACGAAAACCGTAACGAGTAGGGAAAAAGGGGCGATTACGACCGCAAAGGACCCATTTGCAAACCGCTTAAATCTCTTTTTTCCTTTACCACCAGTTTTTGCAACATGGACAAAAAACCAAGGAGGTACCTAGTTGTGCCTTTATTTTCTATAGAATTTTCTCGGAAGAAAATAGTTTGACGTTGCGGTTGTCTCGGTACAACTGTTACCCGAGCTTCGGATAAGTTCGAGGATGTTGATAGTGTCCAGAAGTTTCTAGGGAGTGATACGCCCAGGACAGAAAAGACACCGGCTCGGAAGAAGAGCATCGGAAGTCGGAGTGACCCAGATCCTTGCAGATTTTTGGACCGAATGGCTTCTGAATTGAATATCTCGGAGTTGTCGGTGAGAAGAATTGTAAAAACCGACATGAGGTGTTCCTCATATTTTATTCTACGTGGGCCATGCGTTGATTCTACAGAAAAATGCAAGGCGCGGCTCCAGTGCGTCCAAAACTTGAGAACAGAAGCCCCTGACACGGTCGTTTGCACGGGTATCCACCGTTTCCGCTTTGAGCCCTCGGCTCTCCGCCGAAAACGCAGGTTTAAGCTTGAAACTTTTTGACACTATAGAAGAGACGTAGATTTATTCAGGAGAGGCTGTTTGAGCCAGTTATAGTTAACCGCGGCTTTGCAGCGTATCTTTTAAGAAAATCATCCATTTTTTGTCCAAAATTTTGAAATTTTGTCACTACCTCGAAGCATGATGATGCCGGAAAGTCAAAAATCGGCGTGTTTAGTACGTACTTGGTCGGGTAACAACCCAAAGCTTAACAGTAATCCAAAGCCTAATCAGTTTCTCACTACAAAATTTTTTCTGGTTTTCGAAGTTTTGAATTTTATTTTTTTGCCTCAGCAACGCAAGTTTGGATGTCCGCGGCATTGAAATGGAAAGTTACTATTACTATTCCTTTGCTTATGTGATAGTACTCGTCTTAACGTATTCGGCAACTTTTATTTGAAGTTTTGGTGACGCCTCAAAAAATATTTATGCCTGATTTTCCAAAGGACCCATTTTCGAGAATTGTGATCGGCACATTGTCAACTTGAACTTCCGAGAAAAAAAGTTGCAGTAAAGTTACACCTTCATTCTTATCGTGAATATACTGTTTGAACATCGCTATTTATTGTACCAAAACGTTTCCCCAAATAATCTACCCAAGAGCCAGATATCTGCAAAAAATTTTTGTCCATTTTTTTTGGCGCACCCTGTATAGTTGAAATAGACATGCAGCTTTTCATGCCAAGTTTTTGTTTCTGCAAAGCGCGAACTAGGGGTCTCGATATGTCTTGTTCGAAATTTTTTTTCTAAACTGTCTAGGGGCATCAAAATCTGGGGCCTTTAAAGTTGTACGTTTATGCCTTGTGCTGAGGTTGCCGGCCCAGCCCTCATCAAAGTTTTATTTTTATTTTTATTTTGTGGCCGAGAGAGTATGCAAAACGTGGGAGAGCGGTCAGAGAGAAAAACAATTTTTGGCGATATCTTTGCCAGTTTCGCGCGAAAAAAATTGATTTTTTGTGGAAATATTGCTCTATACAGTAGAAATAGACCTGAAACTTTTTATGGCAAAATTGGCAGAAAATTTGTCATACTTTTTCCAAGTTTCGGTCAAAAAATCTCGGTCATTTTTGCAAGCGCTTGCAGTAATTGCTCTGTAAATTACTTTATTCATAATATGTATAGCCTCAAAATTCGTTCCCCATCACCTTGTCCTCTCACCTATACAATTCTCAATGTAAACACTTCATTTTCATACAACTGGGTGGCCGCCTCTTCAAAATTTTTTGGGCAATATCACTTTGAAGCCCTAGACTGTGGATACAAATACGTGACAATGTTTTCCGCATTCCTAAGTGACAAATTTGCAGCTGACAAACGGCTGTCCTCCCGGAGGGTTTAATTTTGAATAATTTAGGGGTTTTAATGCGTTCCATGTCGAAGTAAGTGGTTTGGGGGCCTTTTCTAAACTGTAGTGCCACGAATTCCATATTGGGTTTTCTTTTCTTGCCGAATGCTACAGTGGGGGGCCTGATCCAGTGGCAAAAAACTTACCATTTTGCATCCGGCAAAGCATCAAAAATGTGGCAAAATGCTTCCCACTCCAAGTGGAAAAACTTTGATTTCAAAAACGCGCCATTCAAAAAGAAGTTTTTTCGCTTGGAGAGGGAAGCAAAATAGGGAAGCATTTTGCCACTTTTTTGATACTTCCCGGATGCAAAATGGTTCGTTTTTTGCCACTGATTCAGGTCCCTCACTGTATAAAGTTGCTGCCTGCGAGCATAAGCACTCTGGGGCAAAAATGGCGTCATCTTGAGCCATTTTTTGGAAGAAAAAAATTTCAATATCGCTGTTCCTGGCAATCTCCTGTAAATTCTCTAGAAACCGCCAGAAAAATCCGGGAAGTATCAAAAATGTGGCAAAATACCTCCCTTTGCAAGTGAAAAAACTTCGATTTCAAAAGCGCGCCCACTCTTTTTTTGTGAGGGAAAGAGCGCGCCCTTCAAAACGAAGTTTTTTTTCACTCGGAGAGGGAAGCATTTTGCCACATTTTTGATGCTTCCCGGATGCAAAATTGTACGTTTTTTGCCACTGGATCAGGTCCGTCGCTCTGTGTGCCCTATGCTATCAGTCTGTCGGGAAGATAACGAGCACAATGTCGCTGCGTCGACCGCGTCGCTGAAGTGAAAAGCGATTTGATTTTCTCCGCGACACAATTCATTTTCGCAGCGGCAATTAGACTTTCGATGCGACAGAGTGCTCATTATTTTCCCGACAGACGGGGAGTTCGAACTTTGAACCTTTGCGGAGCCCAAGCTTTCATTTTCATTTCGCAAACTTAGCCTGTCAAAGATCATGTTGCCAAGAATTTTAATCCCTCGCTCTCTCAAAATAACCATGTTTCCTCTCGCTCAAACTTCATTACAACTCAATTACAGACCTCAACGTATCATGTCGACCGACCGGTAATTCAATTCTCCAATTCCCCACCGAATGCCCCACTGTTCTGTGGCCTAGTCCATGGAGGTCTTGGATGTGATGTACATCTTCTTGATCCTCCTGGAATGCATCTCCCTGGTCTTCGAACTCACTTGCATCTTCTTCAGCGTCTTCATAGTCTTCTGTTCATTGCGTTACAAGGCGTTTCATGTGAATCTACGGATAATTATGGTCGCATTTTATTCGGTGACTGGGCTGGTTGGAGCTTCTGAATTTCTGGCGACATCAATGGCTGCGATTGATATCAATTTTCGCGGTGAGTCAAGTTTTTCTTTCCCAATAATGTTACTGGCAATAGATGGGCCAAATTCAGCCTAGGACTCAGAGTGCTCAGATTTTGATGTACCGTAATATATATTTACGCAAAACAATCAATTTTTCGTACGACCCTGGCAGAGATATGGCCAAAAAGTGTTGTCTCTTGACCGCTCTTCGCGTTCCATGGACTCTCTCTGTCGCAGCGATCGTTGAATATCTCCGCTGCACCTGAAAAAAAAAACATTTTTTGTTTGTTCTCTAGATCCTGTACGGGGGTTTTGTATTTTAGAAAAGAAGATGAGGCTGTCGCTGTAAAGCGCTAGCTAAATCTGTCAGGAATTGGTATGTGGTCCAAGGGTAATGTTTCGATAAAAAATCATCTTTTTCGTTCCGAAACTGGCAAAGATATGGCCCATAAAAGTGTTTTCTCTCTGACCGCTCTCCGTGTTTCGCGTGATGTCTCGGCCTAAAAAGATCGTTGAATATCTTGGCTGTACATTTGGAGTACTAAAACTTTGAGTCATCTGGACATGACCTTTTCCGGGCCGGGCCGAAATTCTCTTCTATCTAAAGCCAATAATATCTAAAAAAAACTGGAAAAAAGAGAAATTTGATTTTTCCGCGACACTATTCACTTTCTCGGCGGCGATGTGATTTTCGATGTGCTCATTATTTTCCCGACAGACTGATAAAACGTCTTTTTTCGACCTCCGTTCACTTATCTAACTCTAACTTTTTCTCTCCAGAAACGTCAAACATGTTGGCTTACCTGGACAAACCGCTGTATCGCACGTTGATGACCTCCATTTTCACCGGCTGTACGATTCAGGTTGTGCTTTTGAATTGCGCAATAATGGAGAGGACTTGCGCCTCGGTCTGGTTGGTGGACTACGAAAGGAAGACGCATTTGTTCGCAATGACAGTAACCATGCTGCTGGTCGCGTTGTTTACTGCCTGGATCTTCGACAAAATCTATAACATGACATTGTGTAAGTTTTCGTTTTATATGTACCGCATTACAGTAAAAAATAGAAGTTTTTGGCTATAGAAAAAATGGGGTTGATGACTATAATTTTTCCATTTTCAGCTGATCGAATGCTCACTTATGGCATTGTTGTTGCGGCTGTAGTCGCGTCTGGTTTTTTGATTGTAAGTTTATAGAAGGAAGGACAAAAATCATCAAAATCTGTACGTCGCACTTGGAGCACTTCACTTGTTATGTAGTAGTTAATGTTTTGAAACGGCCCTAAACCAGTTCAATTTATAAAACAGTCTGTGTTCCGACTTTTTGGGTCATCGGTCGATACGAGGCCTATGACAGGCAAAAAGCCAAAAAAAGGTGGTAGGAGGTACCTAAGAGGTCTTGCAAAGCCGTTGAATGTTCGGCGGAGGCTTGGCGGAGACTTGGCGGAGACTTACAATATGACCCCTTCGCAAAGTTCGACGCCCGGATTTTGATGAAACTTGGCTAAAAAGTTTTCATTAGGCGTTTTTTTCGAAACACATGTGCGGGATTTCTAGCTCGCGCTTTGCATAGGCATGGCTCCGGGCCGGGCTTTGCAAAATTTTCCGGCCCGGGCCGGGCCGACTAATTTCTCGGCCCGGCTCCGGGCTTCGATTTTTAGGCCCGGCCCGGCCCGGGCCGGCCCGGTTTTTTTGAAATCTGAATTTTGCCCGGAAAAAAGGAAAAAATAAGCTTTTTCGACAAAATTTTTCATTTTTTCGAACACACTGCTGATAGCAAACGTAAAGTGACCTTATATACCAAGGTTTTGCTAAATTTTCTTTACATTTTCCGAAAATTTGCCATAATTTTCCTTTCATTCCCCGCTTTCTTTCTTTCCAACCTAGTACAGGGTGTTTCAAGAAATTCCGCGGAAAGTCGTCGTCGATTTCTCGGCGCTCAGCCACGATATCCAAAAAATTTTTTTTGCAGTAGAAAGAATGTAGTGGGCGGTTTTTTGCCTAAAAAGATTTTTTTCTACGCTGACGCGGAATGCAGTGTATTCGGCGGAGACATTTGATAGCTTTTTTGCCAATCCCACTTATCTCAAACGCTTTATTACGAATTTTGACGGTTCAAAAGAGGATGAATCTTGATGATCGAAGGAGGATTTGCATATTTCTATGTTTTTCAAGCATTCGGCGAAGGTATGGCGGACGCTTTCCATATCGGCGGAGGCCATAACTCATCTTCGGACAAAGACACAGAGCTGGGAAATGGCTCGAAATGATTCCTGTGCTCTAGTTAACACCATCCCTCATCATTTCTTATGAAAATCAAATTTTTCTCAGTTTGGCGGAGGAATCGGCGGAGGCCATAACACATCTTTGGTTAAAGATAAAGAGCTGGGAAATTGCTCAACATGATTCATGCGCTCCACAGTGGGGTTAGTCAGAGCACATGAGTCATTTTGAGCCATTCCCCAGCTCTGTATCTTTATCCGAAGGTGAGTTATGACCTCCGCCGATTCCTCCGCCAGACTGAAAAGAAGTGTGGTTTTCATAAGGAATGACGAGGGATGGGGTTGATCAGAGCACATGAGTCATTTTGAGCAATTCCCCAGCTCTGTGTCTTTGTCCAAAGATGTGTTATGGCCTCCGCCGATTCCTCCGCCAAACTGAGAAAAAAATTGATTTTCATAAGAAATGATGAAGAATGGTGTTAACCAGAGCACAGGAATCATTTCGAGCCATTTCCCAGCTCTGTGTCTTTGTCCGAAGATGAGTTATGGCCTCCGCCGATATGGAAAGCGTCCGCCATACCTTCGCCGAATGCTTGAAAAACATAGAAATATGCAAATCCTCCTTCGATCATCAAGATTCATCCTCTTTTGAACCGTCAAAATTCGTAATAAAGCGTTTGAGATAAGTGGGATTGGCAAAAAAGCTATCAAATGTCTCCGCCGAATACACTGCATTCCGCGTCGGCGTAGAAAAAAATGTTTTTAGGCAAAAAACCGCCCACTACATTCTTTCTACTGCAAAAAAAATTTTTTGGATATCGTGGCTGAGCGCCGAGAAATCGACGACGACTTTCCGCGGAATTTCTTGAAACACCCTGTATAAAAATTTTCCGGGCCGAACCGGGCCGGGCTTTCCAAACTTTCCAAGCCCGGGCCCGGGCCGGGGTTGGAGATTTAAGCCCGGGCCGGGCCGGGCTGGCCCGGTTTACAGCCATGCTTAGCTTTGCAGAGAAACGCGAGATTTTTTGATCGAAATTGGAAAAAAATGAGACACTTTTTTTACGAATTTTCGCATGAAAAGTTTCGTACTTATTTCTACCATAGAGAGTAATCTTTTCACAAAAAAGTGATTTTTTCCATGCAAAATTGGCAAAGATAAGAGATATGGCCAAAAAGTGTTTTTTCTCTCTGACCGTTCTCCGCCTTTTTGTGTTCTCTCGGCCACAAAGATCGTTGAATATCTCCTCTGCGCCTGCAAAGTGAGAGCAAAAACTTTCAATAATTTATATATTATCTTAGCGTTGCTCTTCAAAACACTCCCATGTTATCTATACGGTTATATGAGTATATATAAATAGTAAAATTTTTATCTTTTCAGCTCTTTGTTCTGGTCGTTCATTGGAACAAGGCGAGATATCGGGTGTCCTTGGTCAACAGTCGGCGCTACACTTTGAGCGAAAAGTTCCAACTGTCCGAGAACATTCGGATGAACGGGATCATTTGGCGGAGCATTTTCTATGGAGGCAGTGGCGGCTTTACAGCGGCGGTTCAAGTGGTGCTTTGTTATGTGCTGAAGGATTCGGAACCGGTAAGTAGACCTCTTTTAGTGTTTTAAAAGAACTGAAAAATGGAGTCAAACCTCTGTACAACGAATCGTAATGGACCAAAAAATTTGGTTCGTTAAATCCGTCTGTCGGGAAAATAATGATCAAAAAATAATCAAAAAATAAATTCGTTTTTGAAGGGATTTGTCGTACAAAGGTTTATTTTGGCTGTGATTGAAACTTCTACCAGTCTGTCGGGAAAATAATGTGGATTTTTCAGAGAGAAATTCCAAGTCCCGCCATAGTTACGCACCAATCTTAAGCGCTGATGGACAATTCCAAAGCGCGACGACTCCCCATTATTTTCCCGACAAAGTTGATATCAGTCTGTCGGGAAAATAATGAGCACTATTTCGCATTGAAAATCGCATCGAAAAATGAATTGTTTCGCGGCAAAATCAAATTTCTTTTCACTTCAGCGACGCTATTGACGCAGCGACGTTTTGCTCATTATTTTCCCGACAGACTGATAAAACAGACACTTTTGGAGGTTTCAAGGGTCAATTCTAGGCCAAAATGGGTCTCTGTACAACAAAACATCTTTATAACGAATGAAATTTTTGAAGGGTTTCCGAGGTTTCCGATTTATTGTGCAGATTTGTGGCAGTAAAATTTAGAAAGTTTATATAACCATTTTTCAATTTCTCATTATTTTCCCGACAGACTGATAGAGATGTGAGATGTTTCGCTCAATTTTCTCGGGTTCTCTGACGCAAAAAAAGGCGTCAAAAACGTTAGAGAAACAGAGAAATATCTCCGCTCTCTCGTCCGAAAAGGAACCCAGTCCTTTTCCGAAAAGCCGCTTTTTGAGTAAGGAAGAGAAAGGAAGCTTTTTTGTATACTTTTATACCAATCCAAGGTAAACTTGAGTTCCGAACCGTCTTTTGATGTGTTTGGAAACAGGATTTTTGGAATATGTCATCGGGGTTTTCCGATGACTGATATGGCGCTGTTTTTTTTTCTGATCAGGTTGATGATACTTTGGATGGCCTTGATTTGTCGTTGTATACGTTGGATGAGGCTAGAAGATAGCCTAGTTAATAGAAGTTATAATAAGATTAATCAGGTGTTTGGATAGTTTATCACCTAAAAATCATTCATATATATAAGGTGGATTCATAAATATCCGGCGGTTTTATTGGCGCGTTTTTTGTTAGTTAAAATTTGCGTTTTGTTAATGTTTTTTTATAAAAATAATCTTTTCTGGTTAGTTAATAAAATGGCAGTCGAAACCCATACTCATATTCGCCATATTATGTTCTACCACTTCGAGAAAAGTTGGAAGTCAGCACGGTCATTCCGCGATCTCAACGAACTTTTCGGCGAAGGAACAAAAAAAAGACACGATTTCCCAGTGGATGATTCCTCTTCTGTCCCACCACACATACCACGTAGCCTTCTTACAGTGGACGTCTTTTTGTACTCCTTTGGGCGAAACACCTGCCGATTTTTTTCCTTCGCCGAAAAGTTCGTTGAGATCGCGAAATGATTGTGCTGACTTCCAACTTTTCTCAAAATGGTAAAGCATAATATGGCGGATAGGAGTATGGGTTTCGACACGCATTTTATTAACTAACAAGGGAAGTACTTGAAGTGTGACGCTCAGATTTTGATGAAACTTGGCATAAATTTAGAATAATTTTTTCTAAGATATATGCGAGAATCCTAGCTCGCGCTTTACAGAAACAACCGAGATTTTTAGATCAAAAGTCGGTGAAAATTTAGGACTTTTTGCCGAATTTCGGCACGAAAAGTTTCATGCCTATTTCAACTGTAAAGGAGAATGTTTCTACAAAAAATCAAATTTTTCCGCACGAAACTGCCAAAGTTATGGCCAAAAAGCGTTTTTCTCCCTGACCGCTCTCCACGTTTAGCGTGCTCTCTAGGCGGCAAAAATCGTTCTGTATCTCGGCGGCGCCCGCAAAGCGCGAGCTAAAACTTTCAGGAATTGATATTTAGTCCATACTCGACGTGTGTGCAAAATTTACAGAAAATCTGAGCGTCGCACTTGGGGTACTTCCCTTGTAAGATCTGTACTTTTATCTGGATATTATTGGCTTGACTTCATGTAAAACACCTCAGAATAGGTGATAAGCTATCCTAAAATTGTTGCTTCTACTAACCAAGCCTTCTCCTAGCCTCCCCATGCATACAATCGAACCAAACACGACCCTCATTAAACGTATTTTACATATTTTACTAAATATTTCTTTTACCTTTTCAAAAATTCGTTTCAGCTGCTCGCCGCCACTTTCCGCGTGACCTGTTTGATCACCTTGAACATCCTCTTCATCCCCTCATTTCTCACCCTGATCTACCGAATTCCCCGCTGGAAAAAGGCGTTCATGGCACTGTATCGCTACACATTGATGTGCCCGCAAGTTTGGAATAAGGTTGATGTGAAAAAAGAGGTGAGAATTGTGAACACCATAACCGGGAAAAAGCTGAACTTTGCGATCCATGAAGAGCGCGACATCTACTTTGATCAACTTCAGCGCTCTTGGTCGGCAGGAATTTGAATTTTTGGATTTAAAAATTGAGTTATCAATATGTATTCTTACGGGTATTCAGCATAAATTTCACAGATTTTGATGAGATTTGCGGCAAAATTTTGTATAAATTTTTGTTAATGTTATTTGACATTGTTCAAGGCAAATTTTGGAATGGCTTAAGCCGAGGTTTTTTGATCGGAACTTGTTCGAAAATTAAAAAAATTTTTTTTTTGATTTTCAGTACGAAAATTTCAGGCCAAATTACTAGATAAGTCTACAATGTTTCCACAAAAATTCATCTTTTTCTGTCAGGAATCAAAAAAGTTACGGGCAAAAACAGTTTTTCTGTCTGACCTTCTCTCTTCATTTCGTGTGCTCTCTCGTTCTCGAAAAAAGACCTATGAATATCAGTCTGCCGGGAAAATAATGTGGATTTGTCGTGCCTTGGAATCTCCCATCATCGCTTTGAGACGGCTAGCTCTCGGCTGGAGACTGGAAAACAAAAACTTTTTTTTTGCAAAAAATCCACATTATTTTCCCGACAGACTGATCGCTTGATCTACACTGTTTCCACAAAAAATCATCTTTTTCTGTTAAGAAGCAAAAAAATTATGAGCAAAAACAAGTGTTTGTCTGGCCGACTCTCCTCATTTCGCGTGCTCTCTCGCAAAAAAACGACCGTTGAATATCTCGACTGCCGCTTCAACGGGCAACTTAAAACTTTCAGGAATTGATACACAGTCTATGTAGATAACCCGTGCCAAGTTTCATAAAAATCGATGAGTTACACTTGGAGTACTGTAAGATACCAAAATTTACACTTTTTCAAAAAATTTTATTTTTTCTTCAATTTATCAAATCACACATTATCATCACTCTCACTACTATTAATTGAGCTCAATTCCTCCGAGTCAGGAGAGTTTTCTTTTAAAAATAAAAAGCCCTTGTACACGATGACATTGTAAACGGTCTGCATGAACATGAACAGAACAAAAACCGCTGTGCATAGCAGACTGGTCACCGTAAAGCCGTCGTTTGCCAGTGTGAACGAGCGAAAGAGCATCAGCTTTTGGCTGAATTCACCTTGGATTAGGATGCTGTAGATGATGATGATTGGGAAGTACTGAAAGAATAATCATTTTTCTCAAAAAAACTCACCGAAATTCCAATGTAAATCAGATAAAAGTACTTCCAATCGAAGGCATATCCAGTCAGCAGTGACATACTCGCGATTAGCGACAATGTCATCGCGAATAAAGTGGTGTTATCCACATTGTAGACGGTCAAAAGAACAATTGCGCAGATCTTCAAAAACGCTCCCAGCATCGCCAAAATAAAAACCGACTCCTAAAAATACGATCCAAATTCTTTTAAAAGGCTATTTTCTTTATAAAAACAAGATGTAATACATCGTATTTTACAAAAAACTTACATTGTCCACCTCATCGTAGGTCTTCAAAAAATCCAATTTTTCCGAATATTTCATTCCGCTCTCCCCGCTCTTTTTTTGAGCCGTCTTGGTAATAAAAACTGATAAGATTCGAATGCAACTAATTTTTATTTACTTTGAACAGCGAAAACAGCAACATTATTTTTCGATTGCACGGTGCGAAGAGATTTTTGGCCTAAAAATGGGACTGCACTGTGCAAAGGGGTTTTTAGTGGAAAAATTTGATTGCACAGTGCAAAGGATGGGACTGCACAGTGCGGAGGAATTTTTAATGGAAAAATTGGACTACACAGTGCAAAGTCGATATTAGTGGATCAATTGGAGTGCATAGTGCGAAGAAATTTATGGCCTACAAATGGGCAAGAAATTTTTAGTGGAAAAATTGAAATGCACTGTGCAAACCGCATTAAAAATTTATTTCAATAGCAATCAAAAAAATTCAAACCTTTCTTGAATCACTTTATTTCCCCTTAAATCGCTTTCTAAAATACTCATTTTTATAATTCACATGCGAGATTCCACTGGTAATCGATACATCTCCCATTACCATCGGAGCCACAATCTCACTGACCCCGCAATCACTGGCACAATAGCTAGCCGGCACTCCAGGATACCCAGTCTCTCCGAATCCTCCTTCTAGTCCAGGAAGCCCGGGATATCCGGGCAATCCGACACTCCCATCCGGTCCGGTTAATCCTGGGGCGCCCACTTCGGAATTGGCTCGGCCCGGCATTCCTGGAGGCCCGATAGGGCCGGGTGGGCCTGGTTCACCTCGAGGACCTTTTACGCCGACTCCGGAGATCGAATTATCGCCTGGAGGACCGCGAAATCCGGGGCGACCTTTGGGTCCGAAGAAGCCGCGGGGTCCTGCAGCTCCTTGATGGCCGGCGCGGCCTGGAAGGCCGTCTGGACCGTGAGGACCGACAGGGCCACGTTCGCCGGGCATCCCTCGTTCTCCTTGAAGACCGCTGAAAAGTAGATTTTAGAGGTTTCAACGGATTCTTGAACCCATATTGACGACCGCTGAACCCCTGTAAAATTCAAAAATGATCAATTTCTTACTATCTTTTGGACTCATCAAGGTTCCAAAAACTGCAAAAGTTCGAGTCGCGGTCCCAGCCAGGCAACCCCAGTTGGAGGACCTCGCGAGCGCCATCCGCTCACTGTAACGGCGCGGGGAATTTAGCTTGCTCCCTGTGGGGCCTGGGCCAGTGCTTCCCTCTTTAACCGACCAGGAACTGCAGCCCCTGCGGGCACCGTCCCTTGTCGACGCCGCCCTTGAAACGGACGCTCGGTCTACAGCCGCCCCATCAGAGGCCGTTTGGTCCTGACTCGGGCCGTTCCCGCAAACTCAGCCACCCAGAAACTTGGTTTACAAGCGCCCGCCACGACGCCCGGCTGCACTGGACGGTTTGTTTTCGAATGGAGAGAGAAAAGGAAGAGGCGGGAATTATGGAGAAAAAACGTATTTTCGGTGGGGAATTTAGGGAGAAAGACGTGAAAAGGCGGGTTGAAAGGGAAAAATGGCCAAAAAAAAGGTAAAATTGTAAAATACGAAATATAAAATAAATTTTTAAATTATTTATTCTTAATTTTCTAAATCTTCTTGATGTAAAAATCAAAAAATCCCATTTTTCCTCCTTAAAAATCAGTTTTTTATGGGGAATTTAGGAAAAAAGACGTCAAAAGGCCGATTGAACAGGAAAAGTTACCAAAGAACCGTCGAATTGTAAAATACGGAGTTTATTCTGGATTTTTCCATTAGTTATCCCTAATTTTCTAAACCATTTTGATCAAAAAAAGGTTAAAAAATCCCATTTCCCCCTCAAAAATCATTTTCTCCACAATTTCTACCCTGTAAAATAAAATCAACCGCTAAAAATCTCATACCGTTGTCCTGGAGGTCCACTGGGACAGATAATGCAATGTTGTTCCTCAAAATCATCAATCATGACGTCATACCCGTCATCGCCGGCTTTTCCATTTTTCCCGATTTCCCCCGGAATTCCGTCCAACCCAGGTGGTCCGGCTGGTCCAGGATCTCCTGCCGGACATGATAAGATAGCACAATCACCACAAACATCAGGAATTATCGTATACGAAAGTTGGCGAGGTTTTCTGGCCTTTTGCGCTTGAATTTTGGCGAAAATTAGGTTGTTTCTGGCCTAAAAAGGGCCGGAAGATTGTGAAAATGGTCTTACAAAATAGCGTGGAGCATCCTACATATAGGAAGATATAATAGTCAAACAAATTTTTCCTTACTTGAAGGTTTTTTGCCATTTTTTCAGCAAAATTTTTGGCAAAATCCGCCTTTTGGACCAAAAATGAGCCGGAAAGTAGTGCTATCAAAACCACAGTAAGATTTACTGCTGCGATTACTGAGAAGTAGACATAGACCTTTGACATGACTACTTTTTTTGATTAATTTCTTTCTTTTAGCGACATTTTATACGATGATTTTGACCTAATTCCCCGATTTTTCGATGTTTCGGTAATTTTTAATGCATTTTCTCGGAATTCCTTGAACTTTAAGGATGGAATAAGATTTACAAAGTAGCTGAGATGACTTCTTCTTTATTTTGAATGCTACTTCAGTACATTTCAGAAACAAAAATTCGATTTATTTACAATTCTCCGCCAAATTTGATGACTTTTCCAGTAAAAAATTATTTTTCTCTATTTTACAGCAATATTCAGTACAGATAAAACTAAAATATATCTCAATCATCATGTCTAGGTGTCAAACAGCACGTTCCAGAAGCTCCAGTCCTGAAAAAAATCAAAAAATTTTTAAATTTTATCAAAAAATTCACCTTTTTTGTCGTTTTTTCATGAAATTCCTTCTCAATTAGGCCAACAAAGATGGCCAAAGAAATTGTCAGCATAGTCGAAGATGCGACAAATACCGTAACGATCACATTTATCCATTCGAAGAGGTCTTGATCCAGCAAATGTAGGGGGAAAAGGGGAATAAAAGAGATTGGAACAGTTATCCATAACATACCTAAAGAACATTTTTTTTTCAAATTTTGATGAAATTTAGGAAAAATTAAGTGTGAAATTTTCTAAAACATGGCAGAAATTTTATTATTTTTTTTATTTTTAGATCAAAAAATCTCGAAAATTTTTTTTTTTTTTTGAATTTTCAAAATGAAAAACTGATATCATTCATAATCCACAGCACTATTTTCCTTCAAAAAATCTATTTTTAAAACGACCAATTCCCAACGGCACCGCCAAAGAAACGGTTTTCTCTGGCCGCACTCCGCATTTTCCGTACTCTCTTGTTCACAAAAATCGTTCAATATCTCAGCTCCCCCTGCTAATTTTAAGCCAAAATTTTCAGTAGTTACTACCCGCCTTAGATGTACTATTCACTCCAAATTTGAAGAAAATATCACTTCGGGTGTTCGAGAAATTTCGCTTTGAAAAAAACAACTTACTTCGAAACCTTGCCATCGGCCGAAACAGTGTTTTTAGAGTGACCAATCCAAGTAGTGAGTTGAAAAACGCCAAAATCATGGTAGCACACATCCAGAGGAAAGATGATAAGTTTTTCGAAGTTATATAGACATCACCGCGGTTTGAATTTACCATCTCGTCCGGAGAGAGCTGAAATATTTGAAATTAACATTTTTAGTAAAAAATCGCCTTGGATTTTGATGAAACTTGTGACAGATTTAGATTAGAATTTATTAAGACTTTTTTGAGAACATAAGCTTGGGTTTTACGGAAATTATTGGGATTTCTGGTGAAAAAAAATAAAAAAAAATATTTTTTCGCTGATTTTTGGCTGAGAAAAATAACAGCATGTTACTAACCAACAGTATATCATTTCTACAAAAAAATAACTTTTTCCGAGCAAAATCCAGGGAGTTATAGCCAAAAAACAGTTTCTGTCTGACCGACCCTCCCCATTTCGCGTGCTCTCTCGCTAAAATGATCGTTGAATATCTCAGCTCTCTTTGCAAATTGAGAACTGAAATTTTCATAGATTAATTTATTGCCTATTGAGAGTGTTTAGGGAAAACTTGACAAAAATCGGAACGTCGGCTGCTGAGATATCACCTTATATTATCTGATGACTAAAACAATATAATTTTTCGATTTTTCTCAATTTTTCTAAAGTTTTCTCGTAAAAAAATTAAAAGCTAATTAAATTTCAAGTCCCTACCATATCTTCGACAGTGATTCTCCCATTCCATCGGACCACATTCAACATCAAATAGAGGCAAAACGCCTCCACCATGTACAATATCACCAAATAAACGCCGAAAACAATCAGCCATGTCTGCAGCAGCATCGGTCTAGAGTGCTGATTTTAGCTCGATTTTAGCCGGTTCGCGAGCAAAAAACAAACAAAAGAGGGAAGGGGGGAGAGTTTTGTCATCGCCCTCCGGCTTTTGAGAGGGCGACGGAATTACAGGGAAGAGACCGAAAAACAAGAGGATAAATGGACGGTAATTAACGAAATGCAATTATAATCGCGACAATACGACGTTGGGATTATTTGGAAACGATTTTTCGGAAAAAAATTTTTTGATTTTTTGTTCAAAATTTTGGAATTTTCAAAAAAAATCAAAAATTTTTCTGTCAAAAATTTATTTAGATGACAAAAAGCCATACAAAAAATTTTAAGACCTTTTTAAGCCGCATTATGCAGAAATATTAACCTATTTTACAAAAAATCGTGAGTTTTTGACTAATTTTGGTCAAAAAACCAAGTTTTTGATGATTTTTTGCATTCCGTGGAATATTCCGATAGCTAGAATTAGGACTATTACACAAAAAATATATAAAATAGCCCATTTTCCAAGTCGCTGGAGTGATTTTTCCGACATGCACTTGTGAAAAAAAACATAAGTTCACATGCACTGTGCAATTTTTTGCTTTTTTCACAATAGGCTTTTTTCGGCTAATATAAAATTTTCACGGTATAATGCATCGCGAAAACAGGTCTATAAAATTGCCGACTCATTACCCTTGCCATTGCAGAAAGTGAAAGAAAAAGTGGGTTATTTAAAAAAATTTCATTGTTAAAGTGCTTTTTCGGTTTGTTTACAGGGAAAGTAATGCAAGTGCTACCCTCAAATTTCGTTAAAATTTAAAAATTTTTTTAAAAATTTTTTAAAAAATTTTCGAAATTTTAAAATTTAATTTTGCGTATATTTCGGACATAGACCACATATCAATCCCTGAAAATTTTAGCTCGCGCTTTCTACGGGGCGCCGAGATATTGAACGATCTTTGCGGCTGAGAGAGTACGCGAAATGTGGAGAGCGGTTAGACTTTTTGGCCATAATTTTGCTAGTTTTGTGCGGAAAAAATTGATTTTTTGTGGAAACTACGATATAATTAAGCGTGATTGTCGATCATCGAACGGCGCTGATAAGCCCTGTATGAAACTCCTGCAACCATTTCATATGCATAAACTGCCGTCAAGCCGAAAAGTCGGAATTTCTTTTTGAACCTGTAGATATGCTAAGGAAAAAAGATTTTTAAAAAATCTCAAAATACGACTGGTCGATTTTCTTAAAATCTTGTGTACAGACTCTAGACAGTCCGTGTAGCAATGCCTGAAGTTTTTAGCTCGCTTTTTGCAGAGGGAGCCGAGATATTCAACTATCTTTGTGGCCGAGAAAGTACGCGAAATGCGGAGAGCGGTCAGAGAGAAAAACATTTTTGGCCGTATCTTTGCCATTTTCGTGCGGAAAAAATTGATTTTTTGTGGAAATATTGCTCTCTACGGTAGAAATAGACATGAAACTTTTCATGGCAAAATTTGCAAAAAAATGTCAAAATTTTCCCTACCATTTGACCTAAAAATCTCGGTCGTTTCTGCAAAGCGCAGGCTAAAAATTGCATCAAGTTTCACCAAAATCTGAGCGTCGCACTTGGAGTAATTACCCTGTTAGATGACAAAACAAGCTATAGAAAAAAATTTTAAGGAATTTTAAACCGCGTTATGCAGAATTATAAGCGTATTTTGGGGGAAATTGCGGCTTTTTGGCTATTTTTGGCCAAAAAAAGCAATTTTTGACATTTTTTTGTCTTTCAATTGGCTTCTAAATTAAATTCAACAGATAAAAAAATAATTCTCAGTACCTAAAATACGATAAACCACATTTTTTGACCAAAAAAATCGTCGATTTTCGATAATTTTCGAACAGAAAAAAGAAGTCATTATCCTCTTGATCCTTTCAAACTCGATAAACCAGAACGTCTGAATCCGAATACAAAAGCAAAAGAACTTTAGAGACATTCGAAGGAAGTTACCCTCTCGTTAAAACAATTAAACCATCGAAAGAGGGAAAAATGGGATTTCAACCCACTAAATCGCCGATTTACAAGGTGAAAATGGAAAAATCCGCAAGAATAAATGTGTATAATATAAAGTAAATGCATAAAGATTATCTGGAATGACAGTTTTTACCACAGTTTGAACAAAATTTTATCAAAAATTCGACTTTTCACATCAGATGATCAAGTGTAATATAATTTTTATTGAAAATGAATACTGTGTGTCATAAATGATGTTAAAACAGTATTTTTCTTCAAGTTGGACATTGTTTCGTCGCTGTTTTTCCCTATTTATTTTCAAATTTTATTTTCCACACTAAAAATTTTGAGTCCCACCACGAAAACATTTGATACTCGATACGGTCAAGTGTCCTCCTCGACCAAAAACAAAACAAGTTTCTTTCAACATCAACCCTGCTTGTATGACTGTTACTATTGTCGCATAATAATGTCCAGGGAAGAATCTCGGCGTAAGTTTACTGCCATTATATTATACTTGCCATAACATACATTTGGATTGGATTAAAATTTTGTTTTCAGTGTCTGCACAGCTTTCTCACCTTCGTGTCGCTACCAGAGTCAGAAATGAGGCCGAAGCCATCTTGTCCGAGCTTGGGGTAGGTGTATTTTATTTCGTTTTGTTGGTTTAGGTACCTTTTTACTAAAAATTATTGCATCAGCGAGGAAAAGGCAAAACACTGGAAATTTTTTGCATAGTCAGATACTCTCTAGTGTTCGTAAGGTCCAAGAGTTGATTTTGCTGTAATTTCGGGACCATTTCCCTTTGTTTTTAATGATTCTCTTAGCTTGTCATGGATAATATAATTTTTTGTAAAGTTTGAAAAAATTCATCAAAATTTTTGCGTCTTCAGATCCAAAAGGGAGAACCGATCGTGGTTGAACGTCCTCCACATCAGCAAACCGGAAGACCGGTCAGAGTGCGGACCAATATGTTCTCCATCCAGATGAACAAGCCAGTCCGTGTGTTTCGCTATGATCTGACGATCCAAGGCCAGTTCGGTGAGGGGAAGACCATCGACTTCACTCGCCGTTCCTCTTCTGATGCTTTGGCGTCGGATCGGAAGCAGTGTTGTCGAATGGCCTTCGAACTTTTGTTGGCCGAGCAATCCGACAAAGGATACCCACCAAAGGAGTATTGCGTCTATGATTTGCAAGCCATTCTCTTTTCCTTGAAGGAACTGCCAATTCAGGTCAGTTTAGAGGCTTCTGAGCGTAAAATTGCGTAAAAGCTGGCTTCTCTGACCTTATTTTTGATCACCATGTTATCTAAAATCTCAATTTCTGATTTTAGGGCCATACAATTGTCGAAATGGATATCCCAGAGCAATTTCGGCCTCATTTCGCGCCTTGTACTCGTCTCCACTTTCTGATCAAGTGTGTGGAGCAATTCAAGTTGACCTTGCGGAGCACTGTCGATAAGCCACCATCCAACTTGGAGCTGCAGAACTACGATCTACAACAGTTTTTGGAGATCCTGACTTCTCAGCATGCCATGGGCGCAAATTTGGAACATATTACATTCGAATCTGGAAGAAGTTATCTGCTCGATCCGGAGAAATTCGGATTCACCGTAAAAGATTGCCCAGAACTTTCTCGTGGCGCGTACTTGGCTATTGGATGTCAAAAGAGCGTCCGGATTGTTCAAGGTCCATCTGTAGATGATCCTAGAGCAGTTATGGTCTTGGAGAGTTAGTTTTTGATCTTACACTTGATACTGGCATGTTTTTTTTGAAATTTTGTAATTTCAGGTAAGAAAACTCCCTTCCACAAGGTCGAAAGGGTCATTGATAAAGCCAGATCCGCCTTTCCGGGCTTTCCCGCACAAGAAGCCACTTATCGTGGAGTAAAACAGCTACTTCAAGGTAATTTTTATTTTACTTCTTTATTTTGCTTTTAGGTCTCTATGTTCTCCCTAATCACACTCCAAGAATGGTTCCTTTCCAAATTCGAGAACTCTCTTCATCTGCCAGGGACACAACTTTTTCCTTTGAAGGCCGTGAAGTCAGTGTACAAGAATATTTCATGGTGAGATACCAGGTTGAACTCCAGTAAGTCGGGCATGGAAAATATCAAGCATTTTAGATTCCCCGACGCTCCTCTTGTGGTTGGAAAGGGCAAAGGAAAGGAAAATAATCTGTATTATCCAATGGAAGTCCTCGAAGTTTGCGATAATCAGCGCTTGACGTCGTCGCAGTTGACTCCAGATCAGACTGTGGACATCATCAAGGCCAGTTCGGTCCCTCCTTCGCTTCTGGACAGACAGATCCAAGCCAATTGTCGGTCATTGAGATTGAATACGGATCAAACTCTGGTAAACGCTGAAATTAAGATCAAAGAGACTCCAATCGAGGTAAATTTTGAGAGCTGGAAGATGTATCTGGAGCGTGATATAATTTTAATTTATAATGTAATGTCTAAAGTCCTAATTTTTTCCAGGTTAATGGCCAACAACTTCTCGGACCCAAGGTTGGTTATGCTGGCAACGCTCGCGTTGAATTGGACACTAAAAAGGGCTCTTGGGCCCATAGAATCGGCAAGGCCAGATACTTGATCCCCGCCACCGTTGGTGTCTGGGCGATTTACTTCTGCACCAGGAACGAAAGAGACATGAATGAAGCCAATCAACAGTAGGGTTGATAATTTTTATTTTTATTGCTTTCCATTTTTAGTATCTTTATTCGAACCTTCATGGAGCAATGCCGAAACAAGGGAATGAGCATCGATTTCCCCGCCGAAGTCGCTTTCCTTGGCCCTCCTCGAGAAGACGAAGAACCGAGCTCACTGCGTCGTCGCTTCATCAGAGCCCAAGGCAAGGCCCAGTTCATCGTGGTGATCACGGAAAAATCTGATCTCTATGTCCATAAGCACCTCAAGCAATTGGAACAAGAGTTTGATATTGTGACCCAGAATGTGACCATTGCAACAGCAAGAAATGCCGTCGATAACCAGAAGAGTCGTCTGACCATGGAGAATGTGGTGAACAAGACGAACGTCAAGTGTGGAGGACTCAATCATGCCATCATCTTGCCGAACAGGTATGAAGCTTGCTGATTTTGGCCGGAACATGACAAAAATAAAAAGATTTTTTTGACAGTTGAGTTTCTCAATTGATTTTTCAATTTTCAGCGACGAGCTCGGAAAAGACGATCTGTTCGTTGGCTTTGGAATGAACCATCCAGGCGGATTTGTCACCACCGAAGAGAGGAGACGCGGTCCGCCATCTGTTGTCGGAGTAGGTTGAATTTTGATTTTGTGTTTTGTCTTTAGGTTTCATGACGCGTCATATTGATTTATGATGGATTTACAAGTCAAGTTTGAGATGTTATTGACGTGTGAACTTTTCAGTATGCTGCCAATGACCTGAAACACCCATGCGCCTTCTCCGGCGATTATTTGTTCCAAGAAAGTCGACGAGATGAAAAGATCTCCATTATTGACATGATCCTGAAGACGGTGATCGACCGCTACAACAAACACCGTGGAAAGATGCCGAGGAGAATCATCATCTACAGAAATGGGTGCTCCGAAGGTCAATTCACGTCGGTTTTGAAATTCGAAATCCCAATCCTGAAGGAGACTCTGAGGCGCCTGAAATGTGACGCACAGATCACAATGATTGTCCCAAATCGTCAGCACAACATCAGGTTTTATCCGCCGAACTCGAGGCCCGGTGACAAGCCGTGGGATCAGAATCTGGAGCCTGGAACCGCCATCGACAGTGTTGTTGTCCATCCGACCTTTTTCGAATTCTATCTGCTCAGTCATCAGGCCAGACAGGTAAGAGGCTTTTCAACTGGATTTCGGAGACTTTTTGGGAGAATTTTGGGGCAAAAAAATTATATGTGGGATATTTTTTATATTATACTTGACATTGTCTACCTTATATTTTTCTTATTTTTGCTTCCAGGGAACAGCCAAAGCCCCCAGATACACTGTGATCTACGACGAAAACCATCTCTCCCTCGGTGATGCCGAAAACATGACCTACGCCCTCTGCTATGGCCATCAGATTGTCGCCTGCACCGTCGGACTCCCAGCCCCGTGCTACATTGCTGATTGTTATGCCGAAAGAGGTCGCAATATCTACAACGCTCACGCTCAATCCAGACATTTGGAGAGTGTCGATCAAATGGAACTCCAAGAGATGACCGAGAAACTCTCATATGCCGAGAAAGTTATCCGCAACAAGAGATTCAACGCCTAGGATGTTATTTTAGAGATTTACTTTGTTTTCAGCACATTTTTATTGTTTTTTTGTGCTTAGCTTTACGTCATTATGTACTTATTAGCGATTCACCATCAACTTACTGTAGTTTGAAGCATTTTCTTTGTTGTTTTTACGTTGTTATTACTTGTTATGTTACTGTTTTTAACGTTTGTAAATAAATGTTGTTAGTTAGAAAAAAATTTGAGATTTTTTGTGGTTTTTACGGCTAAAATAAAGAAATTTGGCTTGAATATGCGTGAAAAACGTGTTGAAAGCAATGTAAAATAAGCTACAGTAAGCCCAGATTACTTTTTCCACTCAAAAAAATCAAAAAAAGCACGCTTGCCCAAGACAGGAATCGAACCTGTGTCGCCACGGCCACAACGTGGAGTACTAACCACTATACTACTTGGGCCGGCAGCTCTTCTCTTTCTTTTTCGTGTGGTTCGGGCGGAAAAAAGAAAGCGCGCCTTTTCTCGCTTCGATAAGATTTTTTTTGTGATTTCCCGAGGGAATTTGCAACTTTTTGACTTCCCAAAATAAAAATATGTAATGTCGACTATTTCAAACAATTTTTCATTTCATTTTTCCTCATTTCCGTTCCAAAAACCAACCTTTTTCCGAATTCTTTCCCCAATTCCTTTAAAAAAATCACTTTTTCTCGCTGCCAACTATACCACAGTAATTTATTACGTCATTTATAAGTTAATTCAGGTCACTTGTGGTTCTTTCATGCTCCACAAAGCATAATAACAATCAAACTTGACTCCAATAAACCAATTTTTAAAATTCTGGACATCATCATCATGGATAATATCCGAAGATCCGAAAAACAACAATTAAAACATATTCCAGATAAAACAAAGAGTAAAACAGATTCCAAATAAAACAAAGAGTTGAACCATGTCTATCGCGAGGACCCGGAGGACGAGGATGAGCTGGAGCTGCTTCTGGAACTTGCTGAAGAGGATGAGGAGGACGAGGAGCTGGAAGAGGCCCTTCTTCCCCGAGATCTTCGTTCATTTCTCGACGGTCTTCTCGGAGGGGATCTTCTTCTTTGTGGGGATTTTCTTCTTGGTGGTGAGCGTGTTCTACGGGATCTTTCCGTTCTCGAGGAGGGTCTTGGAGATCGTGATCTTCTTTTCGGTGAAATCGACCTTCTTCTCGGTGAAGATCGTCGTTTTGGAGATGGAGAACGACGTCTTTTGGGGGAGGCAGCTCTTCTTCTCGGTGAAATCGACCTTCTTCTCTTCGAATCAGCTCCTCTTTTGGGTGAAATCGACCGTCTTCTACCCGAAATCGACCGTTTTCTCTCTTTTTCGGGGGATCTTGACCGTTTTTTCGCCGAAACCGGTGATTCATCTCTTCTTTTGGGGGAAACCGACTTTCTTTTCGGTGAAGTAGACCTTCCTTTCGCTGAGTCAACTCTTCTTCTCGGTTCTTCATCCCTTTTTCTCGGGGAAATCGACCGTTTTCTCTCCTTTTCACCTCTTTTTGCGGGTGATTTTGATCTTCTCCTCGGTGAGCTCGATTTTCTTCCCTTTTCCTTTCTCTCCTCTCTTCTTGGCGATCTGCTTCGACTTCTTCTTTCATTTTCTGCCTTCTTATGGGAGTCTTTTCGTTCTCTTCTTGGGGATTTTCTCGACTTCTCATGTCGATCTTTTAACGGTGAAGCGGATTTGGATCTCTCTCTTCTGCTGAAATATTCAAAATTACTTTCGATTCTTTCTTCATCTTCCATTTCCCGCAATCACATGCAAAATTACGTCAAAATTTTTACAAGAAAAGTACTTCAATGGGGTATGGAGTTACGGGACGAGAGATATATCAAAAAAATCGCAAAATTTTTCTGATTCAGAATATGTAAAAATTAGCTGCCCAATTTTGGTTTTGTAAGGGCGAAAAAAACCCTCAGGACTTTTCTCGCAACACCACGCAGAAGCCTCTTTTTTATATTGGAACTGTTAATTAAGGTGTAGAATTAATCAAATTTGATATTTTAAGGCTTGTCAAGATACCAGGATTTACTTTAGCTCAAAACAAAGCTTTTGAATTGGTACAGGCATGATCCAGCGGCAAAAAACGTACCATTTTGCATCCGGGAAGTATCAAAAATGTGGCAAAATGCTTCCCTCTCCAAGTGAAAAACCTTCCATTTCAAAAGCGCGCCTGATCTTTTTTTTTGAGGGAAAGAGCGCGCCTTTCAAAAAAAAGTTTTTTCACTTGGAGAGGGATGCATTTTGCCACATTTTTGATACTTCCCGGATGCAAAACTGTACGTTTTTTGTCACTGGATCAGGTCTGTACAAATTCAAAAGCTTTGTTTTGAGCTTATAAAGTAAATCCTGGTATCTTGATAAGCCTTACAATATCAAATTTGATTAATACTACACCTTAATTAACAGTTCCAATATAAAAAAGAGGCTTTTCGTGGTGTTGCCAGAAAAGTTCTGAGGGTTTTTTCGCCGCAACAAACCAAAATTGGGCAGCTAATTTTTACATATTCTGAATCAGAAAAAATTTGTGATTTTTTTGATATCTCTCGACCTGTAACTCCATACTCCATAGAAGTACTTTTCTTGTCAAAAAATTATATTCACCATGACCAAAATCCAGATTTCTTACCTTAATTTCCTGGGTGGTGATTCGGCCTCCCTTCTTTTGTCTCCATTCTTTTCCACATGCTCTTTCGGATCAATTCTCTCCTTTTCAATGACTTTATGCTCTCTTCTGGCGCGTTTTCCATGGTCCTTGGCCCAGTTGGTTTCTGGCTGGATCATCGGTTCGGTTTCGATGATATAGGTGGATGGGAGCTCCGCCGGTGGCATAATCGGCTTTCTCTTGATATTTGAGAGGTCTGTTTCCAAGGGGTTCACATTAATTGTCGGTTCGACCGGAGTGTAAGGCAGGGTCTTCTGATGACCTAAAACAATATCTGGTGATTAAAAAAATCCATTAAAAATCCACTTTTACTTATTCTACTGTCTTCTAACCTCACAATCATTCCACCGGAGTTGGACGATCGGGGAAAAGACGATTGGGGAAACCGAAAATTATTATTTTTCTTCGATTCAAGTGTGAAATTAGGACAACCGAGGGCGCTGATTTCGAAAATGACATTCATTTTTTTCTGATCTCTACTTTTTTCCTTAAGTAGTACTGTAAAGTAGTTATTTTTTGATTTTTTTTCATAAATATTCGATTTAGGGGTTTTCTATGGTGCTGATTTCGAAAATCGTATTCATTTTTTCTGATTTGAAAGCAGCACCAACGTAAAACCCCCAAATCGAGTATTCACGAAAAAAAATCAAAAAATTACTACTTTACAGTACTACTTAAGGAAAAAAGTAAAGATCAAAAAAATGAATGTCATTTTCGAAATCAACGCCCTCGATTATCCTAATTTCACACTTGAATCGAAGAAAAATAATAATTTTCGGTTTCCCCAATCGTACTTTTTCCTCAATCGTCCCAGTTCCCATCTCATTAACTCTTCAAAAAACCTCAAAATCATCGCTTACCATCCCCATCTCGTTGTTTATCACCATCTCCTTGATCTCTGAGGTCACCTCTTTTTCTCTCATCTCTATGATGGTCTCCACGTTCGTCTCGTCGTTCTCTTTCTCCATGACGATCTCTCTCATCTCTATGTCGGTTTTCACGATCTTCTCTGGGCTCTCTTTCGCGCTCCTGATCTTTTTCTCGTCTAGTTTCTCTTCGAGGCGAGCGTTCTCTGTCGAAAACTAAAATAGGCATAATAATAAAAAAAAAAAATATAATTAAAAGAGTATATCATTAACAACATTTTAAACTCATTTACCACTCTATTCTAAATTCCACAACAAATAAAAAAAAATTTTACCGATTTCCGGCCGTTTCCTCGGGTATTCTTGATGTACATCATCAGATCTTCGTCTGTCTCCAAGGCCATTTCGTTCCCGACGATCTTGACGTGAGCTCGGTCTACCAATTGGTGGAGAAGCTCTGTATCCATAGTTATGAACTTGGGCTTCTTCCTCTTCCTGTTCTTGCTTTTCTCGCTCTTCCTGTTTTTTCTTCAACTCATCAATGGTGATCAGTCGACTCTGAAAATTTACGACCAATTATGCCGATAATTCTATTCGAAAATCCAACCAGATATCATAACTGTCATTCACATTGGTTTAACCATTACAAAAGGCAAGAAGATCACCTAAATTTCGCAAAAAAATTATATTATCCTACCTCCTCTTTCTTCCAATGTGGCGGAGTGGCTGAGCCGTCTCTGGACAAACTTCTATAGCACAATCTGCCTCTGCCACGGACCTTCAGTCCTTGTCTGTCAACTCTAGCCCTTGGGGAGCGGTCTCGACCTCGTCTGTCACGATCACGACGACTTGAACGATCTCGGTCTCTTTTTTCTCGGTCCGATTTGGTATCCTTGCCATTTTTGGGGGATCTAAACTCAGAAAATCACTCAAATAGTTGTCAAATTTTTCTACAACATCTATCACATCACAAACAATCTATTTGAGGCAGAAAAATCGCTTACGTATTCCGCAGCAGCCACTTATTTGTCACCGGCTCTTCTGGAAGGTCCTCTGGGCGAACTGTCGAGATGTCCTCCGGCAATTCCGGGGTCGCCTCCTTCTCAGGGGACTTGGAATGACTTCTCTTTCTCTTCTTCTTGTCCTTCTTTTCTTTCTTCTTCTTTTTCTCTTTCACACTAAACACAAAAAAATAAATATTACACTAGACACCTACCTTTCCGAATCCGACTCCTCATTTTCTTTCTTCTTCTTAATCAATTGCCCACAATTAGCAATAACAACATCAGAAACTGGACGATTTTTAGGTCCGGTCTTGAGATTTTCAATTTTTGTCACAACATCTTGACCTTGCACAACCTAAACATAAAATAATATAATAAACCGGGAATCTTACCCTGCCAAAAGCCACATGAACGTCGTCGAGATGAGGAGTAGTATTGGTTGTAATAAAGAACTGAGATCCGTTGGTATTTGGGCCTCTATTGGCCATACTGACAATAAATGGCTGGTCATGTTTGACAATGAAATTTTCGTCCTCAAAAACTCCACCGTAGATGGATTCACCACCTGTTCCATTGCCATTTGTAAAGTCTCCACCCTAAAAAGATTTAACAGTCAGACTCATCAAAATTGATCTAAACGCAGGCTAAGCCGATGTATGCCACCACAGAAAGTTATCAGAGAGCTGAAGAGATTCATGAGCTTCATGGAGAACATAAAATTTCAAAGTTATTCCGTCTGTATCAAGAAATACAACAAAAAGTATATTGTACTTGACCACCTAAACTAAATAAAAGTCGGTCTAGGCTGGATTCAGCCCCGACATCAAATCTTTTGGCCTCAAAAGAGCAAATGCATCCTCTCCAAGATTTCCTAAACATCAAAAACCAAAAAAACTTCAAGATCTTACCTGAATCATGAAATTCTTCACAACTCGATGTATAATGGATCCCTTATAATGCAATGTCTTTCCAGTAGTTTTGCCGATCCCAGACTCTCCCACACATAGCTGGCAGAAGTTCTCACAAGTTTCTGGACAAATGTCGTCGTACAATTCAATCACAATCCTTCCCGCAAGTTCTCCGTCAATTGCAATATCAAAAAAGCAGCGACGTCGATCCTTCGACATTTTATTCTGAAAAAAGCAATGTCAAGTAGAGAAAGCGTATTTTACGAACAACCAAACAGATTTCCCCAACAGAAAGCTACCTAAACTCGATTCTTCTGAAGTATTACCTAAATTAATGTCTAAACTAAATTCAAAGCTCACCTTAAAATTAAATAATCTAGATTATTATTCAGGAATGAGTGAGGAACAATAACAACACTTTCACAACAAAAAATTCTGCATCAAGCCCGAAAATGGCGCACAAATTTCGTTTGGGTCAAGTCTCGCACTCAACAGGTCAAGTCTTCCTCTAGTACAAGGTTCCTACTGTAAAGTACGACGACGCGCGAGAGAGGTGACTAAAATTAGGTCTACTGATGTTAGAGGGATGTTTATTGAAGCACATAAACATCCATTTAACGCTTGTTATAAGATTTTCTTGAATTTGTATATTATACTAGATGTGTGATGTTTTTTGATGTGTTAAAAGTGAGTTTTTTAGTCGGGGATGTTTAAACCTTCCTCGCAGGAAAAGCAAAGCTCTCTCACTGAAATTTGACATCATTCCGGCTCATTTCATCGCATTGCGGCCCTGAGATTACACAGCGGACCCAAATTGACTTATAAAAACATATAATGACTTATAATGAAATGATTTTTTTATAAGTCATTATCTGTTCTTATAAGTCATTTTAAATGACTTATATGTTCATATATGATTTTATAAGGGTTCTCTATGCGCTCTTGTTGAATTGACTTATAATTTCATATATGTTTTTATAAGTCATTTTATTTATAACCGCACCGTGCAAAAAAATGAAGATTTATTTCAATCTATAACTCAAACAATTAAGCGGCACAAGTAGAATAAGACTTCAATGCACGAAGGACCTGATTGTGAGATTTTTTGATGGGGCGTTCGTCGCTTCTGTAGGCGGCCGTAGATGTATATTATTGCTTCTAATGCTTCTGGTTTCACTGAAAATATTTGGAGATATTAGAAAAAAGTTTTTTTTTCGGGAAACTATAATATGAGTTCGGCTTAAACTCAATTTTTTATGCGTTACATACTAACAGTAAAACAGATGAATTTGAAGTGCCTAAAAGGTTTCTGGCAGAAAAATTTTTAGACATGAAATTTGCGATATTGTACTAGGTCCAGGTGAATGCTATCAACCATACCTCAAGCTACCGGATGTCATCTTTCTATTCATCGTGTATACATTGTCCATTGGATTCCTCCATGACCATTTTTGTAGTTATCTAAAACCCAACGGGTTCACCTGGACCTAGTACAATATAACAAAACTTTGTCTTGAAGTTTTTTCGAGACCTCTGAAATGTGGAAAACAGTTAAAAAAACACCTACCAAAATTGAGCAAATGGATCCTTTAGCAATCCGTTGGTTGATCGTGCATGTTTATACATCTTCTGGGGATGGATCTTCTTCAGGCTGGCATGCTCCCTGCACGGAAAGGCTATTACGTTCGGGACTTTTCATCTAAACACTCTAAACTCTTGCAAAACAAAAAAAGGCTGATTAAAAGCACCTTACTTTGATCGATCCAAGGTAGAAATACGTCGCGACGTTCCAAAAACTTAGAATTTCACAAGTCCAGCTCACGCGTGCACAAAGCAAAAAGCGTATTTGGCGCTCAAAAGTTTTCTTTGCAAGGAACTTATTTGTTATTATAAGTTCTTATTTGTTTTTATAAGTAAAGAGAAATAAGCCCCTCCTCTTTTGACGTTATTTTGACTTATAAGTCATTATCTGTTCATATAAGTCGTTATATGTCTTTATAAGTCAATTTGGGTCCGCTGTGTACACCATCATTTCGGGATGAGTCAACTCTTCCCTTATTGTTGTTTCCTAAAATTTCGTGGACTTCCAAAGTGCCCATCGACCGTCTTCTGTAGCACCCGCCTAGTCCTTCAGCTGGGTTGACCGGCGGAGTTTGATTTTGACACTGATAACGGATGTTTTGCGGTCGGGGTGTGTGGGGCTGCTTTGTTTGACCCAGGAATCAGATCGGAACGGGCCTCTTGTGGTGCGAATTTGATTACGAGACGTCTGGAGACAGCTGGATGGAAATGGAGGACGATTCGGACCAGTTAAACGTGAGTTTTCTTTTGGATTTTTGAGTTTTTAGGATTTAGGTGGTCTACTATAATATTTGATGTAATGTCGAGTGAATCAGGGTTGTATTACCGGGAAACTGCTATGTTCAGCTGAATTATGGTCTGGTTCATGTAGGTAGCAGGAAAAACATGAACTTTTCATTCAATTTTTACTTCCAAAATCGATGTCTCGATGGTTTAGATGCCTAACTCTGTTTTTACTCTTGCAAAGGCTAATTTGTGACGTTAAAACCCGGCAAATACTTTCTGTTCTCTGCAATAGAACCATCTTTACCCGAACAGTCATAATTTCTCCACATCTCGTCCAGTTTCCGCTCGTAAAAACCATTTTTCCTACTTCAACACCTAAAGTAATATAATTTCTCGCAAAGTCGGGATTTTTGAAATTCTAAACGCCGAAAAGCACTTCGCGTTCTCATTAGCCATTCATTCTCGAGATTTTTTTCTCCTCTCCCATCCAAAACAGGGCGCTAATTGCTGTCTAATGACTCATAACTTGGCCCGACCCACCAAAAATGAGTGCAATTTCAAAATACGCGCAATTTTGGGCCTCAAACCTTGCGAAATGGCTGTCCGAAAATGTTTCAAGGCCTGTGGAAGTGGGTAATGGCTCGGATGGCGCGCTGAAACAGATGCTAGAGCGAGCAATTGCGTCGCGTTTACCTAAAATAATATCGGCTCAATGGAAGTGGGCGGATTTGCATTTTAATCACCCCACAGGCTTTCGAATCCATTAAATCTGGGGCTGTTGATGCGAATGGGATGTTGTAGCGGCGGGAAAAGGTTGTTTTAGGCGGGCGATGAGTCACGTTTTTGCAAAAAGTCAGCGTGTCTGGGGCTGAAGATGAGTGAAACGGATAGGTCGTCCGGCTTTTTGACGAGCGGAAATGGACCGAGCTGACTGGAAGAGGACGTAATGGGATATTTGACAATCTCACTAGCTGGTAGAGCATTGTTTTGGGTCGGTGAGAGCGCAAAATTATATTATCCATGACAAAAAATGTTGTCAGTTTTAATCAAAAAGGGCGGTAATTAAATTTATTTTGGTCTTTAAATATTGTTTTGGCCCTAGGGCTTTGTATAAACTCTGTTTTGGCCGAAAGTTGGCAAAAAATTATATTATCCATGACAAAAATGGTCTCAATTTTAATCAAAAGAGGCGGTAATTCAATTTATTTTGGTCTCTAAATATTGTTTTGGCCCTAGGGCTTTATGTAAACTCTGTTTTTCTAGAAAATTCGGTGAAAATTATATTATCCATGGAGAAAATGTTCGTTTTTTATCGAAAATTCTGATTTGGGGAGGATAGGTTACCCCGAGGATAGGTTACCCACCGGATAGGTTACCCCAAAAAACACGTAACTCGGAGGATAGGTTACCCCACCGGATAGGTTACCCCACGGATAGGTTACCCCACCGGATAGGTTACTCCACGGATATGTTACCCCTTACCAAAAAAAGAAAAAAATTTTTTTTTGAAATGTTTTCGCTTCGGGAGAGTAAAAAGAAGGATTTTTTGTGAAAATTGAAAATTTTTTTAAATGTTTTCGCTTCGGGAGTTTAAAAAGAAGGATTTTTTGTGAAATTTGAATAAAATTTGAAATTTTTTCGAGCTGACTGAGTATGAACTGACTGAATATGAAAACTGGGTTTCTGTTACTTTACTACCTTTAGGGATTCTTTTTGAAATTTTTTCGACTTATAACACTTTTAGACGTTAATGGTGTTGTTTTGGTGCCTAGTACTGCTTAAAAAACACATTTTTAACACTTGGTACTAAATAGTACTAACTGGTACTATTTAGTACGAGGTGCAAATTTGGCCGTAAGGCGGTAATGGCGTTGGTTTGGTGCGTAGTAGAACCCAAAAACACGTTTTAACACTTGGTACTATATAGTACCAACTGGTACTGTTTTGTGAGAAGTGAAAATTTGGCCGTAAGGCAGTAATGGTGATGGTTTGGTGCTTAGTAGAGCCCAAAAACACGTGGTACTATATAGTACCAGGTGGTACCATTGATTTTAGACAAAATTTTAGTGCTGGCGGCACCAAAGTTAATATTCATTCACACACCCTTTTTTTCTACTTCCGATGCGAAAAGATTAAAAAATTTTGTTGAGTTTTCCAAAAAATTCTTTTTTTTCCAGTCCCGAAGCGAAAACACTTCAATTTTTTTCAAATTTCACAAAAAATCCTTTTTTTCAACTCCCGAAGCGAAAACGTTTCAAATTCTTTTCAATTTTCACAAAAAATCCTTTTTTTCCAACTCCCGAAGCGAAAACATTTCAAAATTTTTTCAAATTTCACAAAAAATCCTTTTTTTCCAAGTCCCGAAGCGAAAACATTTCAAAAAAATTTTTTTTTTCAGGTAACCTATCCTCGGGGTAACCTATCCTCCGAGGTAACCTATCCGTGGGGTAACCTATCCTCCGAGGTTACCTATCCGAAACTTGGGGTAACCTATCCGGTGGGGTAACCTATCCGCTGGGGTAACCTATTTATTAGGGGTAACCTATCCTCCGAGAACGAAAATTCTAGTGGGATAGGTCTTAAAAGCTCCATTCTGAATTTAAAATAGTGTTTAGCAACCTATATTATCCATTTTTTTCTAAAATTTCCGCAAAACTTATATTATCAATGTCAAAATCTTTGAAATTTTGATGGAGAACATAGAGTAAAAGAATTTCCTGGGATGTAAAACGGTTTGTTTTGGTCCCAGAAGACTTTTTCTTTTCGTTTCCCCCCAAAATTCCCTCCCTATTTATATTACACTAGACGTTTCGGCCTGCACCCAATTAATCTGGGCGCTGTATTTGCTCAGAAACGAACAGATATCATCCAGTGCGTTGATTTTACCGCAAAATAAAGCGAGGAACGAAGGTCGTCGCGGGCCCGGTCTGTGCGCTCTTTTTTCGCCGGGGCTGGGTTCGAACGGCTTTTTGAAGGACATTCGTCTTCTTTCTGCCCTCCACCCTGGCTCTCCGTTGACCATTCTCTCGGGTTTTTTGCTCCAAAAACTCTTTTAATTATTTATTTGCACATAGACCATTGTTTTGGGTGGGAATTTTGACACTTTTCGCGGAATTTTGCGATTTTTTGGATATTTTTTGGAAAAATTTTTATTTTTCCAAGAAAAATCGGGTTATTGAGAAAAAGTTGTGTTGTATTAGGTCGTCCAGAAAGTAGAGTCATTTTAAAAATTGGTTCAAATATGATTTTATGGACAAAAAAATAATTAAAAATTATTTTACAAGGTCTGTTTGGAAGCTAGGAAATGAATTATGACGGGGAGTCTGGGCCAATCTGAGATTTTGAGACATTTTGAGGGGAAATTTTGGGATCAAACCGGGATTTTTTGAACATTCGTTTTAAAAATTGGTTCAAACTTAATTTTATGGACAAAAAAATAATTAAAAATAGTTTTACAAGGTCTATCACGCCTATATATATTAGGTCGTCCAGAAAGTTCGTTCGTTTTTTACATTTCTTTGTTTTACAAGGATTGTTTGTTCTTTGGCAAAGGGAATATATTTATTTGATACAGCTTTTTCTCCTCTACAAAACTGTGTTTTTAGTTCTTCTGAGCCCAAAAAATAATGAAGAATTAAATTTTCAAAAAAAAAACTAAAGACACAGTTTTCTAGAGGAGAAAAAGCTGTACCAAATAAATATATACCCTTTGCCAAGCAACAAACAATCCTTGTAAAGCAAAGCAATGTAAAAAACGAACGAACTTTCTGGACGACCTAATATAAAGACGGGATAGACCTTGTAAAATAATTTTTGATATTTTTTTTGTCCATAAAATTAAGTTTGAACCAATTTTTAAAATGAATTTTCAAAAAATCCCGGTTTGATCCCAAAATTTCCTCTCAAAATGTCTCAAAATCCCACAATATCCCAGATTCCCCGTCAAAATTCTTTTCCTGGCATCCAAACAACAGCTCCGAATTTTTTGAATTTACTTTACAACGAAATTTTTTTTTGAAAAACGCCAAAAACAGTTGGTCCGGACTAATGGTGGCGATTAGTCAGGGCTGGAAAATGAAGAAGAAAATTTTGGAGTGAGCAAACAAAAAATTTTTTTTTAAGTTTTGAAATTTTCAAAATTTTTTCAACTCGAAAGCGGGGTTATGATAATGAAAAAAGGTTAGTTAGAGTATTTAGATGCCATTTGTTGAAACTTTCCCCCATCAATTTGCCTTTTTTTACCCTCTTTTGACATTATTTATATTATTCATGATGATTTTGATGACTTTTCGCAAAAAATTGATGATATTTTGAATAAAAACTTTGGCAATTGATGATAGCCTAGTTGGTTAGGGTCTGTGGTGTATTTTAATAGCGAATTGACTAGGGTTTTCTTCAATATATTATATTATTTTGCAAAAAAATCGAAAATTTCCTCGAAAACCTCGGGTTTTCTCATAAAAAAGGTCAAAATAATGATTTTTATCCTGAGAAATGACTGAATTATGTTTGATAAATAATTTTGGCAACATTGGCAACGATTTCGCATACAGTCAGCTACTGTTTTATTCATGAAAATGGTCGGATTTTCTGTTTCGGAATGACTGGACCCAATGAATCAGAGACCATCATTTTTTCTCTCTCTGTGAAGGTTGCCCCTCTGCTTTTAACGGCTGGGAAATGTCCGAAGATTCTTTGAGAACACTTTTTTTCAGTGGCAAAGGTCAAAATGAAGATTTATTTGGCGAAATTGGGACTTTTGGGGTGATTTTGCGGCGTTTTTTGATGATTTTAAATTATAAAATTGATTTTTTGACGGTTTTTAGTTGTGAACTGCTCTGAAATATGTTAGGGATCAGTGACAGACCGTATTTTACCTTTATCAGAGGAGAATTTTTGATTTGCGACCAAAATTGTCTAGTGTAATATAAAATTTTTTGTTTTTGGTTTAAAAAATGATGTTCTGATGTGAGAAACCGCTCTAATATTTTTTCTATAATCCTAGTTGGAATTTAGTTACCGTATTTTACCATGATCTCGAGGAAAATTGAGAGTTCTGGACGTTTTTTCATCTCCCTCTTACCTACTACAATATCCGATTTTTAGTGCTCCACTTCGACCGTTTACACCCATCCCCATTCGTCGGCCTCGTCCCAGTACCACCCACTGTACGTGGACACATCCCTACCGCCGAGTTCGTTCCGCTATTCGAGGGCGTTTAGTCGGTCGCAAAACTTCTCGCCGCACAGTGCAATCCCATCGCCGCAGGTCGGATTCCAGATCATGAGCGCGCCCTCAAGGCAGATCAAATGCGTGGTGGTGGGCGATGGAGCGGTCGGTAAGACCTGCATGTTGATCTCGTTCACGACGAACTCCTTCCCAAGAGAATACGTTCCGACAGTGTGAGTTGAATTTTTTGATTTTTTTCTTGAGTTTTAGGTGGAAAATGTGAAGAATTGTGATGGGAAATGATAGAGATAGAAATAAATTTCATTTTGAAGTCATTCGCTTGCCGAAAATTGCTGTTGAAGACAGGAAAAAGATCAAATTTAGATTTTTTTATGTTGTTCATGGTGAAGGTTGAGGAAAATCAACTTGGCGGAAAAGAAGGCGCAAGTATTAGAGGTCTTGATGGATTTTTTGGAGGTCTGAGGTGTTAAGAAGATTTGTGTATGCGAGAAATATGATTTAGGGGTTGAATTTTTGCGGTATATTACACTTGATGACATAGAAAATTTTTGGTCGTAAAAATGAAAGTTGACCGGTAAAGTCAAGTTTTATGTTTTCTAGGTCTTCCATAACGTTTTAGGAAAGAGTTGCATAATAATTTTCGTTGTTGAGAAACTTAAAAGTTGGAGGTCGAGGCACTTATATTGTACTTGATATTTGGATGACAAAAAGTAATTTTAATATCCGGAATATTGTAAAAGCTGCAATAGATTGAACAATTAAGCAAATGATGTCATAAAAAGACGATTTTTTAGGTAAAATACGTTGAAGTTTTGTTTAAATTTTTCTCTAAAGTAATATAAAAAATGTGTTAAAACTCGAGCAATCTCGAATTATTAAGCTAAGTAAATGTCTCTAAGACTCTAACTAGATGTTAATTTTAGGTTTGACAACTACTCGGCACCGATGACGGTCGATGGGCATTCAGTAAATCTTGGACTTTGGGATACGGCTGGACAGGTGAGAATTTTTGAATAAAAAGTTTTCTTTTTTTATGTTTATGACACGTCTCGGTGTTATATGATTGCTTTTCGATGTAAATGAACTGAAAGTGGCCTTCAAGGAGCTCTATTTTGCCAAAAATTTGTTATTTCGGAGTTTTTTAGGTATTTTTTGAGGAAAATTTTATTTTTTGATGGTAAAGTAAGGTCGCTGGAGGTTAAAATGAAGGTCGAGGTATGTGAAATTCCCTGAGGTTTTAGGGAAAAATAGAAATTTCCCTAATTTTTCCGGGAATTTTGATTTTTATCTATTTTTTTACCTGGTGGTCTAGTGTAATATAAAAATGTCTCAGAATTCCTCAAAAATCCCAATTTTATTCAATTTAAATTATTTTCAGGAGGACTACGACCGACTACGCCCCCTCTCCTACCCCCAAACCGACGTGTTCATCCTCTGTTACAGCGTGGTGGCCCCGATTTCATTAACAAACATCACCTCGAAATGGGTCCCCGAAATCCGGAATTACTGCCCGGAAGCCCCAATTGTACTGGTGGGGACGAAAGTCGACCTCAGAGATGATCCAGCTCAAGTGGCACTGAATGCGAACTCAAAATCGAATCAGTTTGTGACGAGAAAAGAGGCCCAAAAAGTCGCGGATAAAATCAAAGCGGTTCGGTTGTTGGAATGCTCAGCGTTGACGCAACAGGGCCTGGGATTGGTAAGTGGAAGGGGAGATATTTAAAAAAAGAGATATTCAACGGTCTAGAGTAATATCTCAAAGACCCTTCATCAAAATTCCTTTCAATTTCGCCTATATACTCGAAATGGCAGACAAAAAGAACCCTAAAAATTTTAGTTCATGATTTGCAGAGACAGCCGAGATATTCAACGATCTTTGCGGTCGAGAGACTATGGAAAATGAGGAGACGGGTAGAGAAAAACATTTTTTTGCCTATATCTCTGCCGATTTTAGGAGGAAAAATTTGATTTTTTGAATTGTCAACGTACTCTCCATTATGAATAAAATACCCATTTTAAATTTTCAAAAATCGCCAAAAAATTAAAAATTTTTGCCTTTTTCGACCAAAAAACCTCAATTTATTTTGCAAAGAGCAAAAAGTCTCCCAAATGGCTTCAAAAATTATTATTTTAATTTCCACCAAATGTCAGCTAAATCTATCAACAAAATTTTCAAAAAAAAAAATTAAAAATATCGACTCAAAAATATCCGAAAAAAATCAAATTTTAGTTTCATTACCCGTTCACAAAGTCGCTGGAGTGATTTTATTTTCGCGACATGCACTGTGCGAAAACAAAGTTTCACTTTGCACTGTGAAGTTTCATGCTTTTTTCACCGTGCAATAGGTTCTTGCGGCTGTCGCTCGCACCTTGACTTTTTTCGCACAGTGCAAACGCCAAAAATCACTTCAGCGACTTTGTGAACGAGTAATGAAACTAAAATTCGATTTTTTCGGATATTTTTGAGTCGATATTTTTTATTTTTTTTTGAAAATTTTGTTGATGGATTTAGATGAGATTTGGTGGGAATTAAAATAAGAATTTTTGAAGCCATTTGGGAGACTTTTTAGTGCTTTGCAAAATAAATTGAGATTTTTAGGTTGAAAAATGCAAAAATTTTAATTTTTTGGCGGTTTCTGAAAATTTAAAATGGGTATTTTATTCGTAATGGAGAGTACGTTGAATATTCAAAAAATCAATTTTTGCCTCCTGAAATCGGCGGAGATATAGCCAAAATATTGTTTTTCTCTGCCCGTCTCCTCATTTTCCATAGTCTCTCGACCGCAAACATCGTTGAATATCTCGGCTGTCTCTGCAAAGCATGAACTGAAATTTTTAGTGTTCTTTTTGTCTGTTATTTAGAGTATACAGGCGCAATTCCAAGGAATTTTGATGATAGGACTTTGAGATATTACCCTAGTTACATTGGATGTCTAAAGTAATATAAATTTTGAATTTTCAGGTATTCGAAGAAGCAGTCCGAGCCGTGACGTCCCCAAAACAGAAGAAACGAAGGTCCTGCGTCATCCTGTAGATACGATGTAAAATATTATTTAAATTTTTATTCGTTATATTCAAAAAAACCTCCAAAAAGTGCCGTCCATTTAATGAATGCCTTAATAATGCTCCCCAAAAGATATTCCTGTTCATGTTATCGTAAAAGTTTTATTGCCTAAGGAATAAATTTGAAGATTGTGAGAGATTTTTGAGATTTTTTGCAATTTGAATTTGTGAAAAACGAAATTTTTTGAATTTTTTTCTATCAAAAATTTTAGCAAGTGCTAAACAATAATTTTGGAAAGCAATTTTGGAAATTAGCACCTTTTAAAAATTAGATTTTTTGATTTTCCCCCTGAAAAATTGGATTTTTAAAAAAAAATTCAATTTTAGCCCTCAGGGCATGTAAGTATATCCAAGGAAAACATCTGTGACGCTTCTTCTGTCATAAAGTTTTGGCTGCGATTAATTATAAGGCCCGAAATTGAGGCCAGCGCCTTGTGGACCCGCTCCTAATTAATCAACCCGTCCCCTGGGGCGAAGATTGAACGGATAAGAAGTGAGAAATAAAATTGAACTCCCACGATTTTTTGTTCGGATTTTATGTGGGTTACTTTGTCGAATAGTAGGGTTAAAATACGACTAATTTAGTTTTGGAGACGTAAAAAATTGGTTTTTTGTTGGTTTAGGGGGATCTGATGGAATTGCGGCGAAATCGCCTGAGGGGATTGTGAGATTTTGAGGAAATTTGTTATATATTTTCTAGATGAGATGCATTTCCACTCCTGAAAATTTTAGCTCACGATTTGCTGGGAGAGTTGAGATATTCAACAGGTTTTGCATGCAAGAGATAAAGGGGATAGCCTAAAGCACAATGCTCAGATTTTCTCTAAATTTCGCACACATGTCGCTCATAGGCCACATATCAAATCGTGAAAATTTCAGCTCGCGCTTTGCAGGGAGAACCGAGATATTCAACGATCTTTGCGGCCGAGAGAGCATGCGAAATGCGGAGAGCTTCAGAGAGGAAACACTTTTTTGCCGTATCTTTGCCATTTTCGCGCAGAAATAAATGATTTTTTGTGGACACATTACTCTCTACGGTAGAAATAGCCATGTAAATTGTCATAAAATTTCGGCCATCTTTCAGCTTTAAAAACCTCGGTTGTTTCTGAGAAATCGCGAGCTTGGAGTCTGGCATACGTCGTGGAAAAATTACTGCAAATTTTTATTCTTTGAAACATCTTTTTTGTCGCTATAAGCCTTATTTCAACCCATCAGTTTCTTCAGCTATGAATTGGTTGTCTCTATTGCTCCTACTGTCGATATATACCACATTGGGAGAAAGCAGAAAACGTTGTGTAAAAGCAATTGGAAGAGTTCGATGTCCGACTGATTGGGACCGACATTATCGAGTGACAGTCAAGCTAATGGACAAGGATCGTATGTTTTTTTGTCATTGATATGTTGAAACATTAATCACTAAACCTCTGTATAACGAATTGCAATTGACCAAGAAAATTGTTTGTTATAGAAGGGTTTTCCGTTCAAAATTTTTTTGGCCTAAAATTGATTATGCCGGCCTTTGAAATTGTTCGTTATAGAGCGGTTGTTGTTGTATGGAGATTTTTTCTTTTTTCGCACAGTGCAAAACAGGATTTTTTTTTATGCACGGGCACACCGTGTAATAAATGTCCATCCACTTTATGAAAAAACTAATCTAAGCTGGCGCATTTTACAATCAGGAACACAGTATGGAGACATTTTATTCTAGTGAAGTTTGTTATACAGAGGTCCCACATTATTTCGGTCTGTCGGGAAAATAATGAGCACAATGTCGCTAAAGTGAAAAAGCAATTTAATTTTGCCGCGACACAATTCATTTTTCTCGGCGGCGATACGATTTTTGTCGCGACAGAATGCTCATTATTTTCCCGACAGACTGACATAACAACATAATGGAGCGAATTTGCAGCCCTCCCTTGGGAAGCGGACGACGAAATGGGTACCACGCAGACCGATGAAGACGGAAATTACGTTGTTCAAGGCTGCGGTGAGGATCTGGGCGCGTGGAACGACCCCGATCCATACATTTTGGTGGAGCATCGATGCCCGGAGCCCGGCCATACGATCAGCATTCCAAGGAGAGCCAGAGTGTAAGAAAACACTTTTTTTGTCGATTTCTCGGCGCTCAGCCGAGATGTCCAAAAAATTGTTTTTGAAGTAGAAAGAAGAAGATGTGCGGGGTTTCGTCCAAAAAAACTGTTTCTCCGCCGACACGGAAAGTAGTGAATTCGGCGGAGACTTTTGATCGCTTTTTTGATCATCCCATCAATCAAAACTCTTTTTTATAATGATTTCTGTGGGTTGAAAAGACAACATTTGCTGATTTTTATCTTTATCAATCTTTCGGCGAAGGCATGGCGGACGCTTTTCATACCGGCGGAGTCCATAACTCGGTTTCGGACGAAGATACATTGTTGGGGGAATAGCCTTGATACTAACGGTAATTATGATATTTCAGAGTGACGATTGAGCGCAAATACTTGCCAGAGATTGTCTATGTGGAGACTGTGAGAATCGACGAAAACACACGGTTTTGAATGGATCTTTCCGCATTTTGTGTACACTTTTTCATACTTTTATTCCAATAAATATTAAAAAACAGCCGAATCTCAGTACAGCGAATCGCAAAGGGCTAAAAAATCTATTAGGTTGGCAACTAAGTTATTGAAATTTTTTTTGCATTATTCCACAGATCTTCTTAAGTCAGTATGGCTAGTATCAGACTATCCCACCTGTAGTAGGGTTAGAGTACTATCAAACCCAGAGGCATCGAATTCGCAGCTCGCGTGTTGGTGTAGTACCTTGAATTTGAATAAGAGCAATTTTGAGTGGTCATTTTGCAGTGCCATGAAATGCGTTTAGAACTCGAATGACATAATGCTAAGGTACAACGTTTACAACGTCAGGGCACCTTCAACACTCTTGTGATAACATCTTGTCCCAAAAGGATCAATAGAAATTATAACGACTTCGCTTAAAATTAGGCGGTAGGCTGTCTTTCAAGGTGTTGCCCGAGACGCTAAAGAAGGCAGCGCGGTTAACTCTTCGGGTAGTGACAGAGCTATTCACTAAGAACCAAATAGCAGCATAAACCCTCTTCCTTCTTGGAGCATGACATAAAGTCGCGACCGAATTTATCTTCATGACCTGCCTAGTGGCTCCCAAAAACTTAACCGAGTAGATGCTATTTTTTCCAACACCTTTGTGCCGCTCATAAATCTAGGGCCCTGAAAAGGGACGTCTATTCTCTTTGTTAAAAACCCATAGAGGAGCCAGCGAGCTTAGGCGCGGTATTCTGAAGTTTAGGCCGAACAGACCCTTTATACCCGATGAAAGCATTTTTAAAGATTTTAGCAAATTTTTTAAGCGCTATGCTCTCGGGAAAATTACCAGCACAGAGTATCACTCCTCCGAATATGTTTACATGGGAGATAGAAAAGATTCGGGCTGCGAGCAAAACGAAATCTAGAATATCCCCTTACGTCGAGATGCCTGTTTGGCCCGATAGAAATAATGATCGTAGAAAATTATCAAACAGTCCAAATAGAGTTTGCTTTCTTGAGTGTTGTGAAGTACTTATGTTACTCTCTGTGTCGGATATCACACCCATTTGGCTGCGTGCGATCTAAGGTATAAAAACTTCAGTATAACAGAACATCTAGAAACCGGCTTCATGAAATCTTCTAAGCCTAAGTTCCCTGGTTTCTCTGTTGGTGGTGCCATTGCACATTCAGATGATAAGGCTTGTATTGTTGTTACTAATAGTGGGTATTATAGTTGTTGACTGTCAAGCCTTTAAAGGTTGTGGCAAAAAGAAATGCAGTCAAAAATTTCAATAACTTAGTTGCCAACCTAATATTAGTCATAGGAAGATTTTGTTTTCCAAAGGCTTTCTTAGCCTGAAAAGTAAGTCTTTTTCGACACCTCTAGAACTGTTTGTTACAGACAAGTTTTGCTGTATGTGGCCTAGTACAGGGTGCGGCAATTTTTCGGCCGGATTTTAATTGGCCATAACTTTTTCAGTTTTTGGGCAAATGTTAAAATTCTTTTTTTCCCTGAATCCACAGACAACCCCATTTTGTTTAATACCAAATATGTTATACCCGTTCATTAGACTACAGTAAAAATTCGAGACAAAGAAAAAGCTCAAATTTTCATAGGTGACAATGGAATTATTCCTAGTGCGGCTCTCAAATTTTCTTTAAATTTTGCACATGGGCCGGACATAGGCCACACATCAAGTCCTGAAAGTTTCAGCCCGCACCTTTCAGGGGCGACCAAGATATTCAACGATTCTTTGCGGTCAGGAGGGCACATGAGTGGCCACACAGAAAAACTTTTTGGCTGTATCTTCGCCAGTTTTGTGCGGAGATAGCTGATTTTTTGTGGAAAGGGTATTCTCCATGGCATGAACAGGCATGAAACTTTTTACGACAAAATTCGTAAAAAAAAGTCATTTTTTTGGCGATTTTCACACACGCCGAAAAAGCAGGGAAAACGACCGAAAGGCCAATAACTATGAACTAGGTCCCTGTATATATAACATATTTGGTATTAAACAAAATGGGGTTGTCTGAGGATTCAGGGAAAAAAAGAATTTTAACATTCGGATAAAAACTAAAAAAGTTATAGCCAATTGAAATCCGGCCGAAAAATTGCCGCACCCTGTATATAAAATGAAAAAAGTCTGTCCTAAAAATAATGGGGATTTGTCGCAGCAAATGTCTCGCCTTGCCGCAATCGCGAACCAAACCCCCAGCCGTGGCGATGCGTCGCAAAGCGATGATGGGCGGTTTCAAGGCGCGATGAATCCATATTATTTTCCCTGCAGACTAAAATCAGTCTGTCGGGAAAATAATGAGCACTCTGTCGAATCGAAAATCGCATCGCCGGAGATAAAAGGAATTGTGTCGCGGTAAATCAAATTTCTTTTCACTTCAGCGGCGCGACCGGCGCAGCGACATTGTGCTCATTATTTTCCTCTGGTCACAAAGCTTATCAAAAACTGAATAAAGTCCAATTTTTCGAAAGCCGAATACGTCTCAAGTTCCCTCGTATTCGGATTTCATTATTTTAATAATTTATGCTCTGCTGCATCCATTGAGACAAAATTCTCTTCATATTTTTTCACCCTCGTATATACAGCATTGTCTGCAATTTGAGTTGGGTTAATATGGGACATTTTTGTTTTCACGAAAAATCAATCTTTTCCGCTTGAAACTAGCAAAGATATGGCCAAAAAAGTGTTCTCTCTGACCGCTCTCCACATTTTGCGTGCTCTCTCGGCCTCAAAGATCCTTCAAAATCGTTCAATTTCTCGGCTGCGCACTTATTTGCGGAATTTTGGACACTTATTTGCGGATTTTGGTATTGAAAGTTTCATGTCTATTTCTACCGTGAAGTGTAATGTTTCCACAAAAAAAACAATTTTTTCCATACGAAACTGGCAGAGATATGGCCAAAAAGATGCTTTTTGGCCTCTTTTACTGCGGCTTTCCACATTCCACGTACTTTCTCAGCCTCAAAGGTAGTTTAATATCCAGGCAATCGCTGCAAAGGTCGAGCTAAAACTTTCAGAAGTTAGTATGTGGACTATGCCCGAAATTTCTGCAAAATTTGAACAAAATTTGAGCGTCGCACTTTGGCTACTTCCCTTGTCAATTTACCCTCTTTTCCCAGCCTTTTTCTTCTCCTTCTCCCCTCCTTCCTTATCCAGCAAACAAATTGCAAACCCCGAAACATTGTCCGGCCCTCCAATTAGCACCGAAACCAGAGGGAGAAGATAATTATTTACAATGTCATTTTCGTTTTTTATCCCTCTTTTTTCCCCTCTTTCCCGAGGATTAACTCAAAGAACATGAGGCTTAAAAAGTCATCCCCAAATCAGATTTGAGCTCTCAAATTCATTTGGCCGTAAAAACAGAGGAGAAGACGGGGAACAGCCCCAATTGGCGTTTGATCCAGATAAATCGGAGGCGAATCGTTTTTTTGGGTGTCCTTTCGATGTTTAGCTGGTGTTTTTTGGCGGAGTTTAATTGGGAGAAAATTGGAGAAAACAAAATAAAATTAATAGTATCAGTATGTCGGGAAAATAATGTGGAATTGTCGCTGAAACGGAACGAAATTTGATTTTATCGCGAGGCTATTCATTTTTCTTCGATTTTCAATGCGACAAAGTGCTCATTATTTTCCCGACAGACCAATATCCATGATTTCGATGGCGTGTCGGGAAAATAATGTGGATTTATTCCCCTCGCGAAGCTATTCATTTTTATTCGATTTTCAACGCGACAGAGTGCTCATTATTTTCCCGACAGACCAATATCCATGATTTCGATGGGCCTGTCGGGAAAATAATGTGGATTTATTCCCCCGTCATCGCTTTAGGACGTATCGCCGCGGCTGCAGAATTGATGCGACCGTGTGCTCATTATTTTCCGGACAGACTAATACTATTAATTTTCGACTATCTCTATCAGTCTGTCGGGAAAATAATGTGGATTTGCATTGGAATCCCCCGTCATCGCTCTGCAACATCTAGCTGCGGCTGGAGATTTGGTGCGCGACTGCGACTAGGCGAGACATTTTTCTGCGACAAATCCACATTATTTTCCCGACAAACTATTTTCATAAAGTGCGTAGACTTTTTATGGCAACGTGCAGAAAATCCTGCTTTGCTTTGACATCTTTTAGGAGGAGAATCCGAGAGCTTTTTCTAATCAGTTTTCATTTTGACCCGACTTTTTTATTACGTTTTATGGCTAACAATAAAATGAATTATTGCCGAAAATCATAACGGTTTTTGGCAAAATTTTTTTTCCTTTTTACTTTTTACGTTCAAACAAACAACGAGCCCTAACTTGAGTAAGCGGTCAAAAAATAAGTTCGTTATAGAGAGGTTTCGTTTTACGGAGGTTCCATTTTGCCAGAAATAGACTCTTTGGACCTCTGAAATTGTTTGTTATAGAGAGGTTTTGTTTTAATGGGGTTCGTTGTACAAGGGTTTCATTTTTTTATTTTTATTTTTTAACTGTTTTATTTCCTTTTTTTATTTTTTTCTATTTTTATAAAAATTTTTCTCTGCAAAAATTGCATTTCCAGTAAACGCACTTCTTTAGTAATTTCTCATTTCCAATTTTCTTTTTTTGTTTGAGAAATGAGAAGATGGCAAAAAAGAAGGGGGAAAAAATTCAAGAGAATTGAGCGGTTAATCTAGTCATTTTTTGTGATATCTTGAAGAAGCAGACACGGAATGCCCTTAGGGCCGGACACGTGTTTTCATCAAATTTCTAGAGTTGGAGTTTTGGGGATTTTTTATTTTTATTTTGAAAAATTTAGTTTATTTATTATAAAAATAAAAAAAATTTATATAGTAATATCAAAAAAAAAAAAAAAATTTTTTTTAAAAAATTGGCCAGCTTTTTTCCAATTCTTCCGCCTTCCAAACACATAATCCGGCACCTTTATAACCACCAATCTTCTCCTTTCTGCCGAGTCAATTGGGTTTACGACTTTAAAATCGGCCGAAATTCCACTCAATTTCATCTTTGTTTAAAATCCGCGAATTTTTTGGTTGCTTTTTGTTTATGCCCTTGAATAATAATCAATTCCACCTAGAATCTTACGGATTTTTGTAGAAATCTATATAGCTTTATTCAATTTGAATTTTTTTTTGATTTTTTTCTCTCACCGTCTCTCATTATTTTACAGTCTCTCGTTGGCAAATGAAAGTTAAATATTTCAGCTGGACTTGTTTCAAGGTGTTAAAATTTAATAGTAATTTTTTCCACGACATATACGAGATTGTTAGCCCGCGATTTCTCAGAAACAACCGAGATTTTTCGGCTGAAAGTTGGCCAAAAATAAAAAAAAATTTTTGCGGATTTTATCATGAAATTTTTCATGGCTATTTCTACCGTAGAGAGTAATGTTTCCACAAAAAATCATTTTTTTCCACGCGAAATTAGCAAAGATATGACCAAAAACCGTATATTTTCTCTGACCGGTCTCCGAATTTCGCGTGCTCTCTCGTAAGACCGTTGAATATCTCGGCTCTCCCTGCAAAAGCGTGAGCTAAAATTTTCAGGAGTTGCTATGTGGCCTTTATCAATTTCTTAGCAAAAAAAATTTTTTGATTTTTTTTCGGAAAAATTTAGAATTTTCAAAAAATTAAAAAAATCGTGGAAGCCTCCATACAACAAATTTTAAGGTCCCATAAAATTAATTCATCATAGAAAAATGTTCCTAGAGAGTTCCAGAAAATTCGTAACTCTCAGAAAAGTCTCGAAAACCCCATAAAATATTCATTATGTACTGTTACGGAGGAATAATTTTGTTTACGTTGACGGGGTTGTTTTGGTCTTTCCGAAGATTCATCGAGACGACTTTTTCTTTTTGATATTTTTGACTGAAAAATATAGTCTTATCAAGTTTTCCACTAGCCGCTTGCGATAAAAACTTTTGAGAAAATTAAAATCAAATTTTTACTTTTTTAAATGTTCGTATTTTAAAATATGCACGTTGAAAGTTCTGTAAAAATGTTTTGGTTTTTTAATAGTGTCTGTCGGGGAAATAATGAGCACTCTGTCGCAGCGAAAATCACATCACCGCCGAGAAAATGGATTGTGTCAAAATGAGCGACATTTTGCTCATTATTTTCCCGACAGACGAATAAACCTCCGGTCAACGAAACCCTTCTATAACAAACTAATTTTTTGGGTCCTATCGATATTGATGTAGAGCTTCTTCAAAGTCCTAGTTATTTTCCCGACAGGGTTGTTTCAGTCTGTCGGGAAAATAATGTGGATTGTCGCAGAAAGATTTCTTGGCTCGCCAGCAACAAATCATAAAATCTGCAGCCGCGGTTAGTCATCGCTTGGCCAATTTTAAGGCCAAAGAATCCGCATTATTTTTACGACAGAGTGATATAATAAATAATTTTTTCATCATGGTCAATTCTAAGGCCAAAGAATCCCCATTATTTTCCCGAAAGGGTGATATAACAAATATTTTTTTCATCAAGGCCAATCTTAAGGCCAAAGAATCCCCATTATTTACCCGACATAGTGATATAATATATTTTTTGCGTCCTGCAGATCGCTATGCAATATTCCTATAGTGCGATAGCGTATTTTAAAACTTGCCCCTCTATTTTCGTCTTTTCAAACCACTTTCAAAAGTCTCATCAAAGTTGTTTATTATTGTTTATTCGAGTGTTCAGCTGTTTCTTTTTCCGGGTTCTCTTATAAAAAGTGTCATCCGAAAAGGAGGTCTGAAGCGGAAGAGATCCTCGAAATTTGAGGAGGATTACCAGTGGGCTCAACGGGTTATTTTATGAAAAAACTGTCTATGTTTACGAGCTCTATTAGTTATTGCTTTTTTGGGTTTTGCGCTCCGCGGAAGTTTCAACTATCAGTTTGTCGGAAAAATAACGGCGGGTCGCTGCGCCTTGGAATTGCCCATCATCGCTCTGCGACGGCTAGCCGCGGTTGGGGATTTGGTGCGCGACTACGCCCTTCGATTATTCAAATTTCAAAAAAAGTTCAAATCTTAAGAAATTTGGATTTTCAGCGCTCTCGGAGAGCGGCCACACCATGGGTGGTCAGTGGGCCGGCCGGGCTCAAAAATGGAAATTTGACAAACGGGCCGGGCCCGGCCCGTCTAAATTACAATGCCAAATCGTTGGCATTCATTGTTTTCGCGCCGAGAAAATTAATTGATGTTGTTATAGTTGCTGTCTCTCAAGTCCTAAAACGTTTACAAGTCTATAGTTCCATTATAAAACCACAAAACTATCACATTGATCCTTTACTAGCTAGATCAACGCCTTTTTTGTCTGAGTTTAGATCCCAAGCTTGGGCGCAGTTCGCAGCACCCTCTATAAACGGGCCTGCACGGGCCGGGCCGGGCCTAGAAAAAGACTAGACGGGCCGGGCCGCGGGCCGAAAATCGGAAAAATAGGGTCCGCTGACCACCCCTGGGCCACACGACCTCACCCCAGAATAAAAATGACCCCCAAATAAGCAAAAATTCAATTTTTGTGCAGATTTTGCACTAATTGTATGAGAGATTGGGGTTGTCAAATTGGTCCCCGACCCACTGCGATATTTCGCTGGGTCGGCGCGGGAAATTTTTAACGTGCAAATGCGAGAGAGGCAAGCGCAGGGAAAAGTTCAAAATGCACTGTGCATAAGAGAGCAAATGCCCATGCCCTTTATGAAAATATCAGTCTGTCGGTAAACTGTAGTTGCCATTTGTCAAAATTTTGTATATGTTTGCTGTTAGCGTGTTTTGAATAAAATGTGTTCAACCTCTGTACAACAAAGCTTATCTAAAGGCAGGTCAATCTTGGGCCTAAATGAATCGCCGTACAACGATCTCCTTTGCTACACAGTCTATTCGGAAAATAATCAGCACTTCGTCGCATCGAAAATCGCCGAGGAAATGAATTGTGTCGGGACAAAATCAAATTGCTTTTCACTTCAGCGACCCGATCGGCGCAGCGACATTGTGCTCATTATTTTCCCGACAGACTGATAGAGATGTTTTCTCGACTTTCTTGGGTTCTCTGACGCAACAAAAGAAGCGCCAAGTCTGGAAAACGGTTAGAGAAACAGAGAAATATCTCCGCTCTCTCGTCCGAAAAGGAACCCAGTCCTTTTCCGAAAAGCCGCTGTTTGAGTAAGGAAGAGAAAGGAAGCTTTTTCGTATACTTTTATACCAATCCAAGGTAAACCTGAGTTCCGAACCGTCTTTTGATGTGTTTGGAAATGGGATTTTTGGAATATGTCATCGGGGCTTTCCGATGACTGATATGGCGCTGCAATTTGATGGTCATGTTGACGATACTTTGGATGGCCTTGATTTGTCGTTGTATACGTTGGATGAGGCTAGAAGATAGCCTAGTTAATAGAAGTTATAATAAGATTAATCAGGTCTTTGGATAGTTTATCACCCAACAGCGACGGGTGCTCATTATTTTCCCGACAGACAGATAAAGCAACGTCTGTCCAGAACGACCAATTTAAGTCAATTTTGTCCCAAAATGAACCTTCGTACAGCAAACCCTCTCTATAGCGAACAATTTTTTTTGCTCCCTGACGATTCACTGTACAGAGATTTCACTGTATTTCTGCAATTTCACCTCTCCAGACACCTTTTTCGAACCGATTCCACTGTTTTTCCTTCAGGCCGTCCGATAGCGATCGCCTCTTCCCTCTCCCATTTATGACCTTCTACCGCTCACAATAATTGTCAAAAAAGTCGGGCGGGCTGCCTTCTCGATTCCATCACTTTCCGGCTGTCCGATTTCCCCCCTTTGAACATTATGTATAAGGAAAGAGGGGTGGCGTTTCCCCCATCACTTGATTCCGCTTTTTACGTCCTTTCCCCAAACACAGGCAAACAATTTCGCGATCTGGGCATGTTTTGACTACATTTCGGTCTTTTTTGAGCGCTCAAATTTTAATTTTTGAGTTGATACGGGAGGATTTTGAGATTGTTTGGGGTAAAATACGTCGAGGATGTTTGAAAAAATATTTTAAAGATTTTTTGGGTAAAATGAAAATTGATTTTTGATTTGACAGGTAAAATACGGATTTTCTTTTTACGCGTAGATTGAATATTTCATTGAATTTTCAAAAAAAAAAAAAAAAAAAAAAAAAAAAAATTTGAAAAAACATTGTAATAGAAAGGTTTCGTTGTACGGGGATTCTGAAAAAAATGAAGAAAAAAATGCTTTTTTACATGGTGATATCTTGGACTAAATTTACGCCGACTCAAAATAGTATTGTAAAGTGATTATAATACAAAAAAATTGGATTTTTATTACTTTACAGTACTAATCAGAGCGGGGAAATTAGGCAATTTCGGAGGCCAATGCAACTTGAGCAGCATGACTTTGTTTCTTCATCAACGCTTCCTCGTCTTTGGCGTAGGTCGACGCGTAGCTGCCACGCCGGATCACCGACATTTTGTGCGGACCCAAGCGGATGTCGGCTCGTCTTCTCGGCTGAAAATTGAAGGATGGTTACATAAAGTTTCGAAATTTTTTACCGCAAAACTTCTGCACAACGAATCGGAAAACCTTTAAAAATTTTGTTTGTTATAAAGAGGGTTTGTTGTACGGAGGTCCAGTTTTAGCCTAAAATTAACTCTTTTGACCATTGAAGTTCCATTATAGGTTTATTTCAAAAGTAAAATTTGATATTTTTGGTAAAATACGCGTATGACAAAGACGCCTTTGTTATTCAAGCGTCTTGTACGGAATCTCATTCTGGCAAAATTAAATTTTTTAAAAAATTTACGTGAAAAAGCATGTTTGACTTTGAAGGGTCATAACTCGACGTAGGATTGATCATTTTGAATGATCTTTTTTTTAAACAAAATGGCAATTGCTAAGGAATAAAATGACCCATTGCTCATAAAAATTGAACAATCCTATAAAAAGTTATAAGCATTTTACATCCGCGAACTTAGCTGAACCACCCTGTATGCTTCACTTCAAAAAAGAGCATTTTGTCAAACCCGTGGCAATTTTGAAACTTATTTTGGCCTAGAATTGACTTCTTGGCCTCTGAAATACCCATTATAAATTTGATTTGTTATATGGCGATTCATTGTATGCAAATTCCAAATATTTTTTTTTCTCTGACCGTCTCTCTAAAATTTGTCATCTCTAACGCGCAAATTTTTTTCCAAACTTCGCAAATTTTTCGTTATTTTTACATATTCTCATTTTTCAGGATGCCAAAGCAAGATTTTGAGTTGATTGACTACTTGGGGCCCGTGGTTGTGGCGATCATCTTCGCCATCTGCCTGCTCTTGATCTCCTTCACCGTGATCAACTGGTACTGCATTACACACAGGGATGACTTGACCGTGTTTGAAAAGGTAGAGTCGACATTTGCGATTGACGGAGGTACCCCAAGTGCGACGCTCAGATTTTGATAAAACTTGGAAAAATTTTAAAATACGTTATTTGCGGAGACGATCCCACACTCGATTTATTTATTTTTGTTCTCACAAAGCTGGCAGAGCTATGGCCAAAATGCGTTATTCTATGTGACCGTTCTCCGCGCTTCGCGAACTCTCTCCGCCTCAAAGATTGTCGACTGTCTCGGCAGTGCCCAGAAAGCGCAAACTAAAGTTTGTAGAAATTGTTGCGTAACTTATGCTTAGCGCATGTGTGACAATTTCAAAAAAAGCCAATGCCCGAAGCGCCTGCAAAATTCAGAGGCAATATGTGCGTCTCACTTGGAGTGTTTCGTCTTACAAGGGAAGTACTCCAAGTGCGACCCTCAGATTTTCTTTAAATTTTGCACACGCGTCGAGCATAAACTAAGTATCGATTCCTGAAAGTTTTAGCTCGCGCTTTGCCGGCGCCGCCGAGATATCCAACGATTTTTGCCGCCGGGAGAGCACGCAAAACGTGGAGAGCGGTCAGAGAGAAAAACGCTTTTTGGCCATAACTTTGGCAGTTTCGTGTGGAAAAATTTGATTTTTTGTAGAAACATTATCCTTTACAGTAGAAGTAGACATGACAATTTTTGTGCCGAAATTCGGCAAAAAGTCCTAAATTTTCGCCGACTTTCGATCTAAAAATCTCGGTTCTTTCTGCAAAGCGTCGAGCTAAGATTGTCGCATGTATCTTAGAAAAAATTATTCTAAATTTGTGCCAAGTTTCATCAAAATCTGAGCGTCGCAGTTGGAGTATTTCCCCTGTTGGTAAAATCACCTCAATCCCTTGATGGTCCCGCCGCGAAATTGCCTGATTACGCCGATAAAATTTTCGGTTCTAAAAATACCTTTTCTGGTCCTTTAAGACTTTTTTTTGTAAAAAACTTTAAAAATGTCTTTTTATCTCGAGTATATTAGTCTGTCGGGAAAATAATGAGCTCAATGTCGCTGCTCTCATAACGTCGCTGAAGTGATTTTGACGCGACATAATTAATTTTCTCGGTGGCGATGCGATTTTCGATACGACAATGCGCTAATTATTTCCCCGACAGATGGCTTAACGAAAAAAAGTTGTTGAGATTTTCCGATTCGTTGTGAAGAGGGTTTGCTGTAAATTTTTCGGAACTTCACATAACAATCTTCCAAATTTCAGCTGGGAAGACGAGCCGACATCCGCTTGGGTCCGCACAAAATGTCGGTGATCCGACGCGGCGGCTACGCGTCGACCTACGCCAAAGACGAGGAAGCGTTGATGAAGAAACAAAGTCATGCTGCTCAAGTTGCATTGGCCTCCGAAATTGCCTAATTTCCCCGCTCTGATTGGTACTGTGAAGTAATTGAAATCTAATTTTTTCAAAACTTATAATCACTTTACAATACTATTTGGGGTCGGTGTAAATTTAGTTCAAGATATCACTATGTAAATCCTCCATTTTTTTGCATTTTTTATGGAGAACTGTATGAAGTTCGAGGCGTTGTACTTCAGACATCTCCCTTTGTAATATGCATTTCTTTTTTACATTTTTTTAAATGTTTTTGAAACAAGTAATACGTATCATTGTCCATAAAAGATAATAAACTTTATTTTCTATAAGAAGTAGCAGTTTTTCATACAATTTTTAAATTAATCAAGCTTACAGTTGGGAATATCGTTGATTGTGAGATCCGTAGAAGATGTAATTTTTTACATGGTAATTTTACTTTTTAGGAGTTTCTTTTTTGGACGTTGTAACGTCTTTGGAGGCTCCAACAGGCACGATTGTTGCAGTCGGTTTCTTTGTTTCAGCCTTGTCCAGGAACAGTTTCACTGGCGGGCGAGTCAAAGGAGAGGGTTGAGCTGTAGTTGAGACGAAAGTGGATGCTGAAATTTACAAGGTAAGTACATCAAGTGTGACGCTCAAATTTGGATGAAACTTGGCGCAAATTTAGGCTGGTTTTTCGACATATGGGACACTCCTAGGTCGCGTTTTGCGGAAACGACAGAGACTTTTAGACCAAAATTTGGTAAAAACTTGACACTTTTTTGAGAATTTTGGCATAAAAAATTTCATTGCTAAAAGCGAAAAGGTTTCCACAAAAAATTAATCTTGTTTGCGCCAAACTGGCAAAGATTTCGCCAAAAAGTTTTTTTCTCTGACCGCTCTCAGCATTCCACGTATTCTCTCGGCCGCAAAACTCGTTCAATATCTTGGTCGTGCCTGAAAAGCGTAAGAAAAAACTTTTAGAGGTCCCACGGATCAATTTTAGGTCAAATGCATCTTCAAACAAGAAACCCTTCTATAACACGTACACATTTTTTGGAAATTTTCAATTCTTTGTACAGAGGTTTGACTGTACGTCTACCGACATTCATGCTAGTAATTTTACAGTCAAGTCTCGATAGAACGAATCGCTATTGCAGAGAACCTTTGTATAAATAAAAAAAATGTGTACAAAAAACCTCCTTATAGCGAACAATTATCAAGAATCGGGATTAAAAATCAATTCCAAGCCTAAATAATTCTGCATAGCAAAGCTATTATATATACAAAGAAATTTGGTGTCCCTTGGTGCTTATCGTACGCGGGTTTTACTCTACTTTCCAACTAATACTTAAAAAAGACCAGGTGAAAATGATCCTCCACACAACAAGCCCTTTCCACAACGGCTCACTTTTCTTCTCCGCGACTGTTGGCGCAGTCGTTGCGACAGCTTTTGCAGCTACTGTGCTCGGACTAAAGGCCGTAGAATCATCAAGGCTTTTCGCTTTTGTTGCGGTAGATGTAATCGGTGCCGCAGTTGTGGTTGTGGTAGGAAGTGTGGTTGTAGTCGTCGAGCTAGCCTGACGAGTTGTCTTTGCGGTGGCTGGCCTGATGTTCATAAAGTGATAGGGTCCATTCCGCCTTCCGTAGTAACCCAGCAATCCAAATCCCGGCCAGCCGGTGAAGACGGGCCAGGAGTGGATCTCTGTTGAGTGCACCATGGTCAGAGACGAAAATAGAGCGACGCAAACGAGGAAAGAGTTCATCTCAAATGTTATTTTTTCTTACAGAATAAGTAAATATGTACTTTTTAAAAGCGACAAATCCACATTATTTTCCCGACAATCGGATGTAAAAAATAAATTTTTGTGGCCCCTTGCAATATGGTGTAATATCGTTGGAAGTTAGTAGGCTTTGTAAATGGAAGACCCGAGAAATTCAGAGATCTAAGAAAACCAAATTGCATCTCCAACTACATTCTCTATGCTACTATATGCCACCGTGAGAAGACTGTAAAATCCTCCCAGAAATAACTGAAATCCCACGTAAAAATTATGACAGAATACAAAGATAACCGCCAAGCCTCTCTGCAGCAACCCCCTATTGCGACAAAACCTCTGTATAACGAACAATTTTAGAGGTATTAAAGTCACCTTTATGCCTAAATTTAATGCAAAAATCGATGCAACGAAGCCCCTATATAATGAAAAAAGTGTTTTTGATCCCCGTACCGTTCGTTTTACCCAGGTTTTACCGTATGTGGAAAAATTACATTACATATCATTCAGTCAGGAAAATAATGAACACTCTGTTGCATCAAGAATCGCATCGTCGCCGAGAAAACTAATTGTTTTGCGACAAAATAAAATAAAATTGCGTTTCGTTTCAGTGACGCGTTTGGCGCAGCGACATTTTGCTCTTTAGTTTCCCAACAGACATATATAAAGCTGTAATACTACGATTTTTCAAGGGGGCTTAGAATTTTTGTTACGCGCAGAGTAACAAAAAACATTTTGCTTCTTTCTGCACGGAGCGCGGGCGAATATAGTCAGGGGTGGCCACCCGGGCCCGTTTCGGCCCGTCTTACAACATTTTGAAGGATCAGCACCCCTCTAAACCTAGGGCTAGCCAAAGTTTCAAAGCCATCCGGTTACTCAGAAAAAAGATCGGGATTTTTTTTTTCAAATAAAACGGGCCGAGACGGGCCTAAACGGGCCCGGGTGGCTACCCCTGACTATAGTGCAAGCTCCGGGGCCGGGCCGAAAATGGCGGTCCGGCCCCGGCCCCCTTCAAACTTGCTTGTCCTGGCCCTAGAGCCATGTCTATGACCAGTGTTATAAACCATCTTACACTGTGAAATTGTCTGTCGCGCTCGTAAAATTGAAAAAAGTTTGCGCCGCGGCGATATTCCGCCTGCACAGTGCAAAATGGAGGTTTTTCCACAGTGCATACCCGTGACAAAAAGTCTACGTACTTTTCGAAAACCGTAGTATCAGTCTGTCGGGAAAATAATGAGCTCAATGTCGCTGCGCCGATCGTGTCGCTGAAGTGAAAAGCAATTTGATTTTCTCCACGACAAAATTCATTTCAAAATAAAATTTCCCCAGCGGCGATGCGATTTTCGCTACGACAGAGTGCTCATTATTTTCCCGACAGATGGATAACATCCTAACCACGTTCCATTCCACATGTTTCCAACAATAAGTGATGTAAAAATGTGACGAAAAAGACGTCAAAACCCAACTGTCCCACACATCTCATCCAATACTGACGCGATTAGCATAAATGTGCGAAATACCCTAAGCGCAACATGGACATCAACAAAAAAGTAATTCGATTACACTCAATTTGAAGGCCAATGGGGCCGGAAATCGGCCAACTGCGGCTTTAAAATTTATGAAACAAAACTCGGACCCCCGACTTGGCCGTTCCCGTCCCAATTTGCGATGTTTATCGGGGTTCTCATTTATCATCCTCTAATTTGTGCCATGGATGGAGGGGCGTGGGATTCGAGGAGACGAGGAGGACATCAATTATGAATTTCGGCTACTGGACAAGTTGCATACATAAAGAGACACCGCTAGTGTCTCTTTATGTCGCCTCTTTTTTTCAGAAACATTTAGAGAAAGTAGCCCAAGTGCGACGCTCAGATTTTAAAATTGGCACAAATTTGAAGTAATCTTTTTTATATAAAGCATATGCGCGACTCCAGCCTCGCAATTTCTCACAAATGACAGAGGGTTTTAGGTCAAAACTTGTGATATTTTTTGCGAATTTTGGCATGAAAAATTTCATATCTATCTCCACTCAGGCGGGTAATTTCTCCACAAGAAATCAATTTTTTCCGCTAGAAACTAGCAAAGCTATGCCAAAAAAAATGTTTTTCTTTCTGACCGCTCTCCGCGTTTTGCATACTCTCTCGGCCGATTGTGGAATATCTCGGCGGCATCTGCAAAGTGCGAGCTAAAATTTTCAGGAAATAATACTTGTTGTATTCCCGAGATCTGTGCAAAGTTTAAACAGAATCCGAGCGTTGCACTTGGGGTACTTACTTCCCTTGTTAAAAAATTATTGTAGTTTAAATTTTGGACTAAAAAAAACTCCAGCTACTTTCAAAATTATTTTTATAGACAGCTTTTGTTGTACAGAGGCTTTACTATCACATATATCTAGAAATTACAAAGAAAACAAGTAAACCTATTGACAAAGCCCACTCTTCTCAACCAGACCGGAACTGCTGACCCCAATGCTCGTAAAGTCTAATTCGATGCTAAAAGAGGTTTCATTTTATGCGAGCCCGGAGTGAAAGAGCTTCAAATGAGTGCAATCTTTAGTCTAGGCAAGTACTAGAGTCGCTGGGGTGGTTTTTGGTGTTTGCACTGTGCAAAAAAAGTCTGGCAAAATTGAATTTCTTTTCACTTCACCGACGCTATTGCAGTGGCGACATTGTACCCATTATTTTCCCGACAGCCTGATATATAATTTTTTTAAAAACATGCGAAACTCATAGCGTAGCCCTGCAGAAGGGACCACGATTTCCAATTCGAAAATCTTGGTTGGACAAAATCCGAACCCTGCGAATTTTAGTATAAAAAGTTTCACGTCTGTTTCTATTGCCCAAGGTAATGTTTCCAAAAAAAATCATTTTTTGCCTGAATGACAAGCTACAAAAAAATATTTGTTATAAAGGTTGTCGTAACAGAAGGGTTCAGCCTGCACTAATACACATTTTCATAAAGATCACGGATATTCGCCGTTGCCTGCAACGTGCAAAAAAACCCAATCTTGCATTGTGAATTTTAATTTTTTTTGTTTTTGCAACGTGCATCAAAATATCGCCGCGACGCAAGCAAGCTTCAACCACGTCGCTGCGCCGGCACCAGGATTTTGCACAGTGTTTTTTTTGAGGTTTTTGCGCTGTGCGAAAAGAGAAAAATGCACTGTGCGTTGGCGACAAGCGTGGAAGAAAGTTCAAAATGAACTGTGCGAAAGAGGAAAAAATGTCCATGCACTTTATGAAAGTACTAATTGTCCGTTGAAAATCTCGGTGGCGCCTGCAACTGACAGGCTTCGCAAAGCAGTCATGAAAAATATGACTTCAAGCGCTCCTCTTGTTAGCACAACATCCCAAAATCTCTGACAAACCACAACAAAGGCTATTCTGAGCCTTAATTCGGTTATATTTTTTTCTTCAGACATCGCCACTTCAAAAATTTGAAGCAAATTAAATAAATAAAAAATCCCAGTCAAAGCATTACGAAAACACAAAAATACCAGTTAAAACCCTGAGGCATCAGACGAAGCGTCTTGGCCAAAAAAAGAAAAAAAAAGTTTGGTGGCCAAAAACAGCGACAAAACATGGGTCCCCCGGGAAATCAGAGGCCCTTCCGAAGGCGTCTTTAAAGACTTTCTGCGGAATTACGTACAGTAACCTAAGGCGCTTACAAATGCTGGGAAAATGAGTAATTCGCAGAAAGCGAGTAATTAGAATGGGATAAAGTTGAGTAGCATGTAAATAAATGAAGAAACAGTGTCTTGTAATGGACCGAAAATTGACTAATCTCCTTGGTTATTGGATAAAGTAAAAAAATGAGGTAATGGAAAAGGAGACGCGGAAAAAGGGTAATTTTTTGGAGTAATCAAAGTGTAATAGAGTGGGAAATTGAATGAAAAATACTTTAAATCCAAATTTAGAAGTATACAAGAGAAATCCTCGTAATATGGCAGACCTGATTCAGTGGCAAAAAAACGTGCCATTTTGGGCTTGGGAAGTATCAAAAATGTAGCAAAATACCTCCCTCTCCAAGTGAAAAACTCCGATTTCAAGGGCTCTTGTTGTGAGGAAAAATGAAAACGGAGATTTTTTAGTTGGAGATGGAGGTATTTTGCCACATTTTTGGTACATCCAGGATGCAAAATGGCACGTTTTTTGCCACTGGATCAGACCGCCACTTATTTTGCAACGCTATTTCTCTTTTTCCTCTCGAAGAAATCCTTTTTTTTTGAGAAAATTTTGGGCGGAGGTACCCCAAGTGCGGCAGATCTTGATGAAACTTGGCACGAATTTAGAAGAGGGTTATGTTTCCACAGCAAATCAATTTTTTCCGCGCCAAACTGGCAAAGATACCGCCTAAAAGAGTTGTTCTTTCTGTCGTTCTCCGCGTTTTGCGTACTCTCTCGCTCGTAATGATCGTTGAATATCTCGGCTGAACCAGCAAAGTGTGCGCTGAAAACTTCAGGAATTGATATATGGCCTAAGTTTAAAATATCTACAGTTTAAAAAAAAACTAGGAATTCATCTCCATCCCCAGCGTAAACTTCAAAGGGAAAATATTATATACCGATACACGTATTTTACAAAAAATGGCCTTTCTTTGATTTTTTTGGACATCAAAAGTTAAAAAACTTAAGGATAATTACTGAGAAAATCTATTTGATATTTCGTATTTTACAATTTTACCTTTTTTTTGGCCATTTTCCCTTTCAACCCGCCTTTTCACGTCTTTCTCCCTAAATTCCCCACCGAAAATACGTTTTTTCTCCATAATTCCCGTCCCTTTTCCCTTTTCTCTTTCCATTCGAATACAAACCGTCCAGTGCAGCCGGGCGTCGTGGCGGGCGCTTGTAAACCAAGTTTCTGGGTGGCTGAGTTTGCGGGAACGGCCCGAGTCAGGACCAAACGGCCTCTGATGGGGCGGCTGTAGACCGAGCGTCCGTTTCAAGGGCGGCGTCGACAAGGGACGGTGCCCGCAGGGGCTGCAGTTCCTGGTCGGTTAAAGAGGGAAGCACTGGCCCAGGCCCCACAGGGAGCAAGCTAAATTCCCCGCGCCGTTACAGTGAGCGGATGGCGCTCGCGAGGTCCTCCAACTGGGGTTGCCTGGCTGGGACCGCGACTCGAACTTTTGCAGTTTTTGGAACCTTGATGAGTCCAAAAGATAAGAAATTGCTCATTTTTGAATTTGACAGGAGTTCTGCGGTCTTCAATATGGGGTCAAGAATCCGTTGAAACCTCTAAAATCTACTTGTCAGCGGTCTTCAAGGAGAACGAGGGATGCCCGGCGAGCGTGGACCTGTCTGTCCTCACGGTCCAGACGGCCTTCCGGGCCGCGCCGGCCATCAAGGAGCTGCAGGACCCCGCGGCTTCTTCGGTCCAAAGGTCGCCCCGGATTTCGTGGTCCTCCAGGTGACAATTCGATCTCCGGAGTCGGTGTATCAGTCTGTCGGAAAAATAACGGCGGATCGTCGCAGCAAAATGTCTCGCCTCGCCGCTATCGCGCACCAAATCCCAAGTCGCGGCTTGCAGTCGCAAAGCGATGATGAGCGACTCCGAGGCGCGACGATCCGCCGTTTTTTTCCCGACAGACCGATAAAAGATCCTCAAGGTGAGCCCGGTGAAAAAGGAGAAAGCAAAACTGTCGACTTTATGTCGCGGCTAGTAATATGTCAAGTCGGTAAAAATTTCTCACTCTGCATCTACAGTTGACAAGCCAGTTGGAAGAACAAATTCCCCACAAAAGACTTTGTTCAAACCAACAAAGAATCCAAATTTTTATATAATTTCATTGTCAGCAAGATTCGGATTTTTCTGTTGATATGCGTGATAGGCAATTTCTCCGCAAAACAAGGCCAGCGCGAAGAGGAACAACGAAGCAATGACAATGAACAAGCCATAGAAAAATGACATCTCTGAAAGCAAAAAACTTGTATTATATAACGTCAAAAAAATTCGATAAACAGCGTCTTGTTACAGTAACCTACTCAACGGATCTCCCGGCTTGAACTCGCCGCAAATGGATGTCATGACCGCCTCTTTGCTGATCATCTCCGTGTAGCGGCGGTAAATGGCGCCAAACTTCATCTTGTTCGCTTTGATCACTTGGTTCACTTTGGGCGTTAATGAGCTGTTTTTGGGCAAAATTAGGTGCGCTCCCAACGGAGGGAACACCACGTGCGTCTTGATGATATTGCAATGTCGACTGGCCAAGAAGTAGCTCTGCCAGTCGGCACGAGTGTACATAATTGCACCGTTCCGGGCAACCTCCTCTACCGCTTCTGAAAATTTTTGAAGTTTATGGAACAGTGATATAAAAATGTTTATCAGTCTGTCGGGAAAATAATGAGTACTCTGCCGCATCAAAAATCGCCGCCGAGAAATTGAATTGTGTCACGGCAAAATCAAATTGCTTTTCACCACTTCATCGATGCGAAAGGCATGCTCATTATTTTCCCGACAACGGATTTGTAGTATACTCATAAATTGCGTGGACTTCTCTTTTGCGCGGTGCAGGTTGAAGCTTTTGCAAGAACACACAGTCTGTCGAGAAAATAATTTGGATTTGTCGCGAAAAAAACGTCCCGCGTCGTCGCATTCGCCCACAAAATCGTCAGCCGGAGGAAAATTGTATTCTAATCGAAAAATGTCAGCGGTCCGCAAAGGTATTGTCTGCAAGGGTCGGGACGCCAAGGAAAAAGACAATAAGAGGGGATCAAGGTAATTTAAGACATGATAATACAAATAAATGAAAGAAAGAAGCTGTCGGCCTCACCTTTTGCACTCTTCCCCAGGATCTCCTTCCCTTCCAGGGCCAATTTAAAGTCCAGGTATGGATAGGTATGCCCTTTGGCCTTGCGCTCCGTAAACCACTTGGTTGACCCCTCCGTGATCAACTGTCGTTCCCCTTGTGCCAGTTGGTCAAAGACGTATCGATTGTGCCGCAGCCAGTCGTAATCGGGCGGTCGAATCAGCGAGTACAGAAACCAGGACGCAAAAACTCCCAGTAAAATGGAACATTGGAGAAATGCGAATAGCCAAAGGGAGAATTTGCCGGCTTTGAAGTGAAAGTCAAGCTCGTGATTTTGAAGACATTGCATGCGAACTACCTGCCAGATGGCCTGAAAAATAAGTTGTGTAATCTTTGGGAAGAGTGTAAGGTCTTATAGGTGTATATTTTTTTCTGTAAAGTAGGCATTTCCAATGGCATAGGTCTCGTCAGTTCACTCCGACATCTCTAATTCACTTTATTTTTTATTAGTGCCTAGTGTAATATCAAAGTGTTCGGCCTGTTACGGGCGCAGTTTGGTTCCAAAAAAGGTGAAACTTGGGGTTTTGAAATTTCATTCTGTTATGTTTCGAACGGTATAGGTCTCCTCAGTTCACTCCGACATCTCTAATTCACTTTATTTTTTATTAGTGCCTAGTGTAATATAAAAGTGTTTGGCCTGTTACGGGCGCAATTTGGCTCCAAAAAAGGTGAAACTTGGGATTTTGAAATTTCCTTCTGTTATGTTTCGAACAGTGTAGGTCAGGTCAATTCACTCCGACATCTCTAATTCACTTTATTTTTTATTAGTGCCTGGTGTAATATCAGAGTGTTCGGCCTGTTACGGGCGCAATTTGGCTCCAAAGAAGGTGAAACTTGGGGTTTTGAAATTTCATTCTGTTATGTTTCGAACGGTATAGGTCTCCTCAGTTCACTCCGACATCTCTAATTCACTTTATTTTTTATTAGTGCCTAGTGTAATATAAAAGTGTTTGGCCTGTTACGGGCGCAATTTGGCTCCAAAGAAGGTGAAACTTGGGGTTTTGAAATTTCATTCTGTTATGTTTCGAACAGTGTAGGTCAGGTCAATTCACTCCGACATCTCTAATTCACTTTATTTTTTATTAGTGCCTGGTGTAATATCAGAGTGTTCGGCCTGTTACGGGCGCAATTTGGCTCCAAAAAAGGTGAAACTTGGGGTTTTGAAATATAATTCTGTTATGTTTCGAACGGTATAGGTCCCGTCAGTTCACTCCGACATCTCTAATTCACTTTATTTTTTACTAGTGCCTAGTGTAATATAAAAGTGTTTGGCCTGTTACGGGCGCAATTTGGCTCCAAAAAAGGTGAAACTTAGGGTTTTGAAATATCATTCTGTTATGTTTCGAACGGTATAGGTCCCGTCAGTTCACTCCGACATCTCTAATTCACTTTATTTTTTATTATTGACTAGTGTAATATAAAAGTGTTCGGCCTCCTACGGGCGCAATTTGGCTCCAAAAAAGGTGAAACTTGGGATTTTGAAATTTCCTTCTGTTATGTTTCGACCGGTATAGGTCACGTCAGTTCACTCCGACATCTCTAATTCACTTTATTTTTTATTAGTGCCTAGTGTAATATCAAAGTATTCGGCCTGGTACGGGCGCAATTTGGCTCCAAAAAAGGTGAAACTTGGGGTTTTGAAATTTCATTCTGTTATGTTTCGAACGGTATAGGTCTCGTCAGTTCACTCCGACATCTCTAATTCACTTTATTTTTTATTAGTGCCTAGTGTAATATCAAAGTGTTCGGCCTGGTACGGGCGCAGTTCGGCTCCAAAAAAAGTGAAACTTGGGGTTTTGAAATTTCATTCTGTTATGTTTCGAACGGCATGGCTCACGTTAGTTCACTCCGACATCTCTAATTCACTTTATTATTTATTAGTGCCTAGTGTAATATAGAAGTGTTCGGCTTGGTACGGGCGCAATTTGGCTCCAAAAAAGGTAAAACTTGCGGTTTTGGAATTTCATTCAGTTATGTGAAAAAATATGTTTCGGTTCGACAGAGTGCTCATTATTTTCCCGACAGACTGATATATGCACTTTTCGAAAAGCGTGTATAGTAAACTGCATTGCTCATATCTTCCTCGTTTGCAACCCAATCCAGTATCGAATGTCAATGGCCTCAATGATATACTCGAAACAACAGTACGCAATAACATTTAAATCTTGTGTCTATCGCCCTGATTTTTGAATAAATACCAAAGGGTAAACGCACCTCTGAAACTTTGACATTTTCTCTCATCAACGCCTTCAGTTCAACCCGTTGCACGAACCAGATAAAGATGGCTTGGACGATGGAAATGAGGGCTATCATCCACCAACTGGCGTTGTCGTAGACCTTGAACAAGTTCCACCAGCTGTCCCTCTTCTCTTCGGAGCGGATCAGGATGTACGATTCGACCTGGAATGACGAAATCGGGGTTTACTAATACTGTGACGGATCTGATGTTTTATCATTTTTTTTTTGATTTTTGAGACCAATTTCGTCCACGAAGCCTCTTCCGAAAGAAGCCAGATAACAAAAAAAAATAAATGGCAAAAAAACGTACAATTTTGTATCCGGGAAGTATCAAAAATGCAGCCAAATGCCTCCCTCTTCAAGTGAAAAAACCCCGTTTTGAAGAGCGCCTCACGTCAAACTGAGGACCGGAATAGACTCTTCGCTGTCGGTTTTTCACACTTCGTCTTTATTTTACAGAGAATACAGAGAAAAGACACGCAAAAACGTACTCTCTCGCCCCAAAAATTCCCCCTTTCTGCGCCGACAAAACGTCTTTTCGCGTCTTTTTTTGGCAAATTGCCAATCCATTCACCGAACTGTTTTAGCTTATCTCAGTTTGACGTGCACCTCCTTTCCCTCGCAAAAAAGCGTGCTTTTGAAAGCAGAGTTTTTTTCACCTTGGAGAGAAAGGTATTTTGCCACATTTTTTATACTTCCCGGATGCAAAATGGAACATTTTTTGCCACTTGAGCAGGTCCGTCACTGTAGACAGAATAGCAAAAAAAGGACAACATCACGTAGAAGCCTTCCCTGTGTTAGTACTAATCTTGAAAAAATGAAGGAAATTGTCAGAACAAAACGGGATAGAGTTTGCATCCGTCTTCATAGTTTTTACAGTGTTAGAAATGGGCCTACCTGATACAAAGACGCCGAGATGTCGGTCAATCGGGCATGAGATTCCGAAAGCTGAAGTGGATACGCAATTGTGTCGTACACGCCCGGCTCCAGCAATCGCCACAGTCTTGAGTGTGAGACATTCGTATTGTCATGCAACTTGATCACCAACTGATAATTAATCCCTTTCGCTATGACCTTCATGATCTAAAATTAGCTTGCTTTTCTCTCACAATCCTCCTTAAGCCTACCTCGTACATCAGTCCGGGCAGCCCGCAGCGATACGCCATGGTATTGCTGCTGCCGCGCAAACACTCCTCATTGATGTAGGGGAAATAATTGGGGAACAGGACGTTCAGCTCGGGCCGGTTATCGCGCTTCCAATAATGGACGTACTGTGAAAATTTCGTTATGTTCAAACTTGCCATAGTTCGTAAAAGCCATTCGTCAACACATTTCAAACTGCTTGCTAGTCAAATTAGAGTCCACACCGAGGACCACTTCAGATTGTATTTCAGTGTTTGTTTGAGGCCGACTCCAAGTCACGAACGTGGCGGAAGTACCGTCCTCAGACTACATATGTTATACTGGGTGCGTCATCCACCCTCGAATGGATATTATACCGGTGTTGCAGCGAGAGGTCACGCGCCAGAGATCGGAAAAGGCTGTACGCGGAAATGCGTATATTGCAATGTAACACGTGGTTTGAAAAAGCGTACTATAGAGGAGAGAAGGGGAAATAATCCTTTTTGTATATGTTTTTACCAATTCAAGGTAAGTTTGAGTTCGAACCGTCTTTTGGTGTGTTTGGAAATGGGGATTTTTGGGATATATCATCGGGGCTTTCCTCTAACTTATGTGGGCTACGACTCTTCGATAGAACGATAGCCTGTCGATGATACTTTGGATTGCCTCGATTTGTCGTTGTATGCATGGAGGAGGCTAGGAGATGGCCTAGTTAATAGAATTTATAAGATTGGTCAGTTCTTAGGATAGTTTGTCACTTATTTTGAGGTATTTTGCATGTGTTACTTCAATAACATCTAGGTAAGACTTACGGATCTTTTTTTGAGCAGCTTTTAGTCTTTTCTATGTTACAATCGCCCAAAGGCCAGAAAGCAAAGGCTAGAAATAGCTAAAAATAATAGAAAAAGTGGTCGCATTGTGAGTCCTCGCCAAGCCAGTATCAGCGGCTTTCCCAGGCCTCGTAGGTATCAGTCCGTCGGGAAAATAACGACGAGTCGCCGTCATAAAGTCCGTAGAATTTGCAAAGTCTTGACACGTTTTTGCGGCTTATGCAGTCTGCTTTGGTGTCGCGCGACAAAAATTTGGCGAGGTGTGAAAAAGAGCACTGTGCTTTTGATTGCCCTTTCCAAAACGATTGTTTTGAAAATTGAGAGGTCGCAGTGCACCGTGAATTTGAACTTAGTCGCCGCTGTTTTCTGTTTTATACTTTCTATCCTGTGTATATGCCATAATTTGTTTTTTTTTCTCCCTACATTTTTGGCATATCCTCCGTGAACCCATTCTTATCGTCTTACCGACAGCGTGCTTGTGGACAATATCTGCATACGGCGGAATGACATTTCTTTCGGCCATGAAAATATGTAGTTTATAACCAAAGACTGTTTTATTCGTATTTTGTGAGAACATTATCAGTCTGTCGGGAAAATAATGAGCACAATGTCGCTGCGCCAATCGCGTTTGTTGAAGTGAAAAGCAATTTAATTTTGCCGCGACACAATTCATTTTCCCTGCGACGATGCGATTTTTGATGCAACAGCGTGCTCATTATTTTCCCGACAGACTGATATATAATACATACTATATGTGTACAATATATAATCTATTCCGTTGCCAAGTTCGAAGTGATTGTTGTGATCATGCCAATGGTTGATCCAATTGCGGCTGTTTTCGACTTTCCGACTGACTCCCGTAATCCCAATATCTCGTAGATTCTCCGCCGATAACTCGGGATCAAGCTGATTGTAATCAATGGCTTGAGGGCCGCGATCCAGCCGACCGAGATGTGGTAGAAAATCGAGAATTGATGGAAGTCAATATGAAGCATGGAGGTCACGGAGACCACAGAAACGGGAATTCCATTGCCGAAGAACGGGACAATCATCTGAAAATTGCTGAAAAACTCTTGCAAGGCGACTGGATACGTGGCAAAGACATACCATTTTGCATCCGGAAAGTGTCAAAAATATAGGAAAATGCTTCCGTCTCCAGATGAAAAAACTCAGATTTCAAAAGCGATCCCGCTCTTTTTGTGAGGGAAAGGGCACGCCCTTCAAAACGGAGTTTTTTAGTTGGAGAGGGAGACATTTTGCCACATTTTTGATACTTCCCGGATGCAAAATGGTACGTTTTTTTCCACTCGATCACGTCCGTCACTGTATTTTTAAAGTCGGCGTATTTTTAAACAGCGTAATATCAGTCTGTCGGGAAAATAACGTGGATGTTTCGCTGAGAAATTTGACGCCTCGTAGATGAGAAACAAATTCCCAGTGGCTAGCCCTGACAGAATGATATATGTATACACACAATAAATTTCATTGTTTAAAAGAGCGTTTCTCTTGCGCAACAACCCCTTACCTGTACCAAGATGACTTTGTTGATCTGCTGCTCCATTGAAGCTAGTGCTGAGAATTGATTGTAATTTACATGCTTCTTTACAGTTGTATGAATTCTTATATACGCCCAAAAGATTACAAAATATCCAACAGCGAACATCGTCATCAGCGTAAGCAAGTTGACATAGGACATAATGTCGCGCTGAAAAAGGGTTTGCTTGATATTTATGTAGCGTTCCAGTACATACATAAGAATTATAAGAAAACGATGGTTTGTCCTCAAACTCCTCCAATTTCCAAAGAGCTTCAGCCGCGATCCTCGTATCATTCGCTGGGCCATATTTGGCAAACGATTGATAAACAGGAAAGGCGTGAACGAAGGTGATGCTGTAGACGAACGCTACTATGGAATACAATCTTCGGTTGGATAAGGTTTTGTTCAGGCAGATCGTTTGGTAGCGGTAATAAAAGTCGATGGGAGTAAGACATAGCTCAAGCATTAGTGTCCAGAAGAAAATACTGATCAATATTCTTGTCTGTTCCACGTTGTAATGCCGGTTTATCCCGCAAAATACAAGATAGAGATTGCCGGAGTAGGAAAAGGCCTCCTGAAAGTAAAAGAAATCAATTTTAGCTCACAAGGGAAGTACTCCAAGTGCGACGCTCGGATTTTGATGAAACTTGGCACAAATTTAGAATGAAGAATTTTTGAAGTATATGCGGTAATCCTAGCTCGCGCTTTGCAGAAACCATCGAGATTTTTCGATCGAAAATTGGCAAGAATTCAAATTTTTTTTTCGATTTTCGGCATTAAAATTTATACGGTTATTTCCACCGTAAAGAGTAATTTTTCCACAAAAAAATCAATTTTTTCTGCCGAAACTAGCGAAGTTATGGCCAAAAAGCGTTTTTTTTTCTGACCGCTCTCCACGTTTAGTGTACTCTCTCGGCCGCAAAGATCGTTCAATATCTCGGCCCTTCCTGCAAATTGCGAGCTGAAATTTTCACGATTTGATATGTGGCCTATAGCCGATATGTGTGCCAAATTTATAGACGTGTGTGCAAAATCTAGAGAAAATTTGAGCGTCGCACTTGAGGTACTTCCCTTGTCAGTTGCAGCCATAAAAAAAGTTTCCCAGCACTTACGATGGTAGTGAAAATGAAGACGAAACTGTAGGCGATATCATTTATCGCATGGACCCGCAACACCCTCGAATATCCCTTCAATTGGACCGGTGTTCGCCAAGTTATAAGGTAGAGTAAAAACGAATTGGCTAGTAATCCGACTGCCATGGCAAATACATCATTTATCAAGCCCACTGTGATCTCCATTTAATTAAAGCAATGACACAAAATTTTAAGTTCCTTGTGTTCGTGTGGAATGTTTTGAGAGGAATTAAAATTTCATTAACATTTTATAGCTTCAAATTTTTTAGCAAGTAAAAAATACGTCACAAACTTCAATTTTATCAAGTTTTACATACAGCTGCGTGGGAGAAGACGTTACAAACCTTTGTTGCCAATGCTGGAGCATTTTTTTGGGCTTGGGGTTAAGATGTTCGTATCTGCATATACACGCGTATGTGAACAGCGGAGTACTTGAGCTTGGGTTGTTACAACTGCTGTTTTTTGATTTTCGGTTCAACAGGGTTAAATACGGATATTTAAATGTAACAAGAGGTTTTGATAAGGCCAAAGCTACCATGAGGTGACAAATTAGACGTCAAAGGATCGGCTTCTCAAAGAGAGAAGACTCAACTTTTTGGTATTCAAATGCCTGGAATTTTCAGCACATTCTAGGTTCACAGTTGATATTTTGTAAAAGTCAGACATACAGACATACTGTATAAATCGAACGACATTGCTTACAAGAGAGGTACTCCAAGTTCGACGCTAAGATTTTTTTAAATTTGGCGCACGCTTTCAACAAGGCCCCATATCAACTCTTGAACATTTTAGCTGACGCTTTGCAGGCGAATCCAGACCCACATTTGGTCCCGCAACGACAATGCGCCGCCTACTGTGAGAGAGAAACGGGCGGAGGAGAATCTGTGGAAGTGGAGAGTCAGGAGTTTGGAGAGAAGTCGGAGATTTGAATTGGTGGAGGAAGGAGGTTGGTGGAGAGGAACGACGTGTGGACGATTATATGAGACACCCGTGAAGAGGAATTGGTCTACTTGTTGGCGACTTCATTGAAACCGCCAATTCTTTCCCACAAATTTGCATAGATTCAAAGGACGAAGTCTTCATAAGACCAATTTCCCCTATTCTCAGAAGTCGGTGTCTCGCGCTCCTTAGCGTGCGGTTGTGTGTGTTTCTCGTGTATTGCCCAATAAATCGTCTACCTATTGTCTAATTCGTTTATATGGGGTGCTCGCCTGATCGAAACCGGGCCTCATCGTCGTTTTCCTTGGAGCAATAAAGGTATCGTTATCGTATTTTTTGTCTACCACCGGATTGGCCACCCGGTGTCTGTCTTTCAGTTCCCCCTTCCCCGGCCCCTCCCTGTGTTCGGTGTGAGCCAGGGCAGGTTACCCTAGGTAAATCGTGCTCTCTCGTTCCCTTCTCTACACTAGAAATTAGGTTCTAGGTGAATTCTTGTTTTCCTATCGTCCTATCGATTTTCTCGTTTCCTATCGTTTATCGTTTTCCCCCTAGTAAAGTCTCTAGGCTCCTCTTGTTTCCTTTCTCCAAGTCAATTTTCCCCGACTGGACCATCTCTTTTAATTTTCCCGGATTCCCCACAAACTTATTCGATTGTTGCTCCCTCTAGGCCTTTTATCAGACCATGAACCATTCTTCCTTCGACTCTATCCATTTAACTAGTGCCGACATTCTATCCTCCCCATTGTTCTCTCGAAATGCGTGGCAGCTCCATCTTGACTATCTACGTCAATACGGCGATCAACCGACCAATGACGCTCGTGATCGAGATACATTTAAGGACCTAGGTAGAACAGCAGTTTCCCAAGATCTCATTCAAATATGCCGCAAGATTCATGTAAACTATGGCACTACCCTCTCAGATATCCTCGAAGACTTATCCCGACCTCTCAACCAGATAAATGACCCCACTATTTCCCCTCGGGTGACCCTTGATCGTTTGAAATTAGTGTTGAGTGAGCTCCGTCGATTCGAGAAACAAGCAAATACCCTCCTAGGAGAACTCAGTGATATCTGTTACTCCAACAACGTTTCTAACGAGTCTTTGAATACCTTCTTGTCATCTATTGAGAGACCTATTATGTCAGCAATAATTAAGTATTGGAGCAATAGTTGTAAGGAAAAAATTGCTGATCTTGAAGAATCCATGAATCCACGAAACGACCACAAGTTAGAAACCGTTTCTCCCGTTACCCCTCCAAGGCCCTCAAATCTCGTTCCGGCTTTCTCTTCTTCCCCAATTCTTCCGTTAGGTTTTCCTCCTCCCATGAATTCTCCGCCGAAGCGATTAGGTATCGATCTGGCAAAGGCCAAAGTTCCCCGTTTCACTGGTCGAAAAGATGAATTCCCCATGTTTTTCGCCTTGCTAAATGAGATCCTCGACTACAACAAAGATTACCCCGAGACCACTCGCATAGGATTTCTCGTTTCCAATCTTATCGGTGAACCGTTGACAAGCATTCAATCCATTCCGATTCGGGCAGGTAGCTTAGCCATCATGTTGAAGTCCCTCCAGGATAGATACGGCGACTCCGAAGATCAAGTTGACCGGTTGATAAAGATCCTCAAAGATAAAAGGCTTTCGGTTCCTCGTACCCATCAAGAATTGACATCGTGGTATTATCAGCTGCGTGATATGAGTGTCTGCCTCCTTTCCTCAACTTCCGAAGCCCAAGAACGTCTCTTTCTCTCTTGTCTGTTCGATTCCCTTCCCTTCAATATTCATGAGTCCATAGTTGCTTCTTTCGATCGTTCAGGTCAAAAGGCTACCGTCAAGAATGTCATCAATGAATTAGGGATCATCGTTAGAACCCGTGAGAAGTTGCTTTTCCGAGCGGGAGATGTTTCTGATCGTCGAGAGACTTGTGAGTTCCTCAATCATTCGAATTTCGAACCTCGAGCCCTGTTCAATTCCGCCAGTCCTGATACTCGTTCTTTTCCCCAATCTCGGTCTAACAATACCAGTGTCTTCAATTCTAATCCTAGTATGACTCTTGCTTCTTGTGCCTTCTGTTCCCAGTCTCACGACTCTGCAAGCTGTCAGATTGTCCAAGATTTCGATTCTCGTCAACGGATTGTTCGTGAGAATAGGCTCTGCCTTCTTTGTCTCCAACGTGGTCATATAGTTGCTCAGTGCTTTCATTCTCGGTGCTCGAATTGCAACGGTCGACATCATGTTTCTCTCTGCGGTAAATTGTTTCCTCCAAGCGAATCAAACGCCAATTCCCATCCTGAAACCCCTGTGAGTTCCGTGAACCCTACTCCGAATCCAGCACTTTCTCGTTTCCCGAGGTCAAACCCAGTCGAATCAGTTACTCCAGAGATACCCATGAGAAGCTTTCGGTTGAATGGACACCAAGAAATTCCGCAATTGCCTTCCCTTATCGTTTCGCACCCTATCGTATCGAATCCTATCGCATCGTCTATCGCCTCGCCTTCAATTATATCGTCTCCTATCGTTTCGTGTCCTCTCGTATCGTCTATTGTAACACCCTCTATCGTCTCGGACTCTATCGTATCGCCTATTGTCTCGTCTCGTATCGTTTCGTGCCCAATAGTATCGTCTTCTATAGTAACACCCCCTATCGTATTTGGTTCGAGAAACGCTGTGATTTCGTCGAAAAAATCTTCCTCCATTCCCCAAGACTCCTCTCTGAATATTGGAAATCCATCTGATCTCGTTATGGTTCCCCATGTTCGTCATCGTAAATGGCGTCGTAAGAAAATTGTGGATCGAGGGCAGGTATTGCCGCTGGTCAATATTGGGTTCACGAATCTTCCTCAACCCGATTCCCCCTATCACACTCCATCCGAAACTCCCCACTCTTCCCCATCGCTCTCTGGATGTCATTTTCTACTGAATGAATTGCCGATGGAACAACGCACCCGATGCAAACTCAAATTCCTGGGCTTAGAACCTTCACATGGACAGCCATTCGAAGATGAATATCCGGACTCCCTCATGACGTGCTCTTGCCCTGATGTACCCAATCCGAACCCTCCAGTCACAGAAGAACCCTATCGATGTCAACCCATGGTCAAGGAAAGAAGAGGAAAAGTGGGCATGTTGGCGACTTCATTGAAACCGCCAATTCTTTCCCACAAATTTGCATAGATTCAAAGGACGAAGTCTTCATAAGACCAATTTCCCCTATTCTCAGAAGTCGGTGTCTCGCGCTCCTTAGCGTGCGGTTGTGCGTGTTTCTCGTGTATTGCCCAATAAATCGTCTACCTATTGTCTAATTCGTTTATACTACTGTTATCTTATCTTATATTGTACGAGCGGCCATCAATAAATATCTCAACGGAGATCCTTGGAGTTGGCATTTGGAGTGAGATTAAGAGGTGTTGTCAAATTTATGCCTTTAGAAAGAACTAGCGGACCCCGGAATCACCTGGAGAAAAGGTGATTCCGAGTCGAACTTGTCAGTCTGTCGGGAAAATAAAGAGCACAACGTCGCTGAAGTGAAAAGAAATTTGATTTGGCCGCGACACAATTCATTTTCTCGGCGGCGATGCGATTTTCGATGCGACATGCTCATTATTTTCCCGACAGACTGATGTATACAGTTTGCATTCCTTTACCGTATGTCAAAAATTTTTCTATTTTATATTTTATAAATCTCCACATAGCATCGTAATTTCGTATTTTCGTCCTACATTTTTTGGATTACGCTCTGCGAACCCTATCTTATTACCGACAACGTGCGCTAAATTCTATTTGCATACCGTCTATCTATTATATCATAATCTATCCATTTATTTGCATACAAAGGCGAAATGCCAAAGAGTATGTAGTTTATGATACCACAGTTACGTGAAGCCTTTCAATTTCCCGTGACCACTCATAAGTTCTTTGACAAATTTGTTGTTTTCCAAGCCGAACAAAACGTGAATCAGATGGCGAAACTGTCCGAGGAAGGGAAATGATTGGGATCTCCTAATTATAAACAAACAATCAATTGTCAGACGCGAAAATAACGGAGTTAAAGGGGTTGTTTTTGAAGGTAAACTGACCGGGTTTGCATTGATTTTTTTTGAGGGTTTGTCTTGATGGATGTGAAAAAATAGATGGAAGACTGGGCTAGCGGGACGATCCGAGTCTGGGGCAAAATTTACGGCGGTGATTGGGGGATACAGAGGAAATGAGGAAAGGAAAATATATTTTTTTTTGATTTTTTGGCTAGCCAAGACCAGAATTTGTTAGCCCATCTATCCAAGAGCTTTATTTATATATAAAGTAATGTCCTTTGCTTGATTGATCCGTCCAGCCTCGGAAAGGTATGCAACTGCGACAAAGCGAGAGATTTTTCTGCGACAAATTCACGTTATGTTCCCCGCCTCCAAACTTTTCGGGTCGACTACAGTTCGGCTCAACACAAATCGATCGATACGGGGCGTAGAGCAGGTGGATGTCCAAACAAAGGTTGTAGGAAGTGCATACGAGGCCTGGCAAAGCCGTTGGATGATCGGCGAACGCTCGGCGAAGCATAGGCGGAGACTTGGCGAAGGCTTGCAATATGCCCATTTTTCTAATTTTAGCTACATATTACTAACATTAGTTTTCTTTACCATGAAATTGTACAGTTAGAGTGATTGTTGGGCTACAGGATCATTTTTGGGTATATGAGAAAATGGGATTGATTGCAGTGAGGGACCTTATCCAGTGGTAAGAAAACGTACCATTTTGCATCCGGGAAGTATCAAAAATGCGGCAAAATGCTTCCCTCTCTAAATGAAAAAAACTCCGATTTCAAAAGGGCGCCCGCTCTTTTTGTGAGGGCGCCCTTCAAAACGAAGTTTTTTCACTTGGAGAAGGAAGCATTTTGCCACATTTTTGATGGTTCCCGGATGCAAAATGATACATTTTTTGCCAATACATCAGGTCCGTCACTGTATGTTTTTGGGCAGCCAAAACCAGCGAAAAAATTAATTTACTTTCCCCAATTGCCGTTGTCGTGGCTGAACTGTTCTAAATAACCCTTTTCTAGACTTTTCCATGCACTTTTCATACATACAGGGTGTTTCAAGAAATTCCCCGGAAAGCAATCGTCGATTTCTCGGTGCTCAGCCAAGATATCCAAAAAATTTTTTTTGCAGTAGAAAGAAGGTTATGGGCGGTTTTTTGTCTAAAAAGATTTTTTTCTTCGCCGACGCGGAATGCAGTGTATTCGGCGAAGACTTTTGACCGCTTTTTTGACCATCACACTTATCTAAAAAGCTTTACTGTGACACTGCAGCATCCGGAAAGTCTTCAGATTTTTTGCACAATGGATCAGGAGGCAGGGTATAACGCTATGCGATCCCATTTAGCGACTGCACATTGCAATGCAGTCGCTGCAATATCGATAAAGTCGAGCCCACCGCGCGAATGTTTGAAACAGCAGGCCAAAGAGAAATTTAAACAAAAATTTTTTTGTTGTTTTCTGGTGCACCAACTGGTTCCGTGATGGCTAGACATCTGCCAAGGCTTGACCACAAAATTTTGGAGGGTAGACGATACCCGCAGAAAATAGTTGCCAGACAATAAAGATTGTGTTGGACCATTTCTGGTCCGGATCTGAGTTAAGATATGGCGAGCGGCTGCCATACCTTTGCCGAACGCTTGATAAGCACAAAAATCAGTAAATTATCCGCGTTTCAGCCATCAGAAACCACAAAAAAGCGTTTAAGATGTATGTGATGGCCAAAAAAGCGATCTAAAGTCTTCGCCGAATACACTGCATTCCGCGTCGGCGTAGAAAAAACTCTTTTTAGGCAAAAAACCGCCCATAACCTTCTTTCTACTGCAAAAAAAAATTTTTGGATATCATGGCTGAGCGCCGAGAAATCGACGATTGCTTTCCGGGGAATTTCTTGAAACACCCTGTACTCTTGCCCTGTAGAAATTAGTCTTTGACTTCAAACTCGAGTAATTATATTTCTTCGTGCCCAAAAAATTGTAGAAATTACGTCAAAGCCGTTATATATAATCAAATTTACACAGCCATAACAGATCTCCAGTACACTCCCATCTCAATTTTATTTTTAGTTTTTACTCTTCTTTGCAAAAAAAACTTTACACTGTTAGTTTTTTTTTTTGGAATTAGCGGTTTCGGAACTCCGAAATGATGTCTTCTTTTGTCTCTTCATTCAATTTCGCTGGATGCGCAATTCGATTATGATGCATTCCCGAGATTTGGAGGGGCTTTAAACCGGTGGACCCGACGAATTCTATACGTTTAGACAACTTGGTTCGCTCCTAAAAGTGTTATGGATATGACGTTGAGGTTTCTTTAGATTTTTGCTCATTTACCCTCCGTATTCGTACCCCTTCAAGGCATTTCAAAGGGTACGAAAAGAAAGTCGTTATAGGAGGGGAATATTGTACGGAGTTTGGCCGAAAGCAGACTTTTGTAGGCACCCAAAATTTTTTTTTATCCTCAGGTTTCGTTTCACAGTAGTTCGTCATGTATACTATCAGTCTGTCGGGAAAATAATGAGCGCTCTGTCGCTTGCGTCGCAAAAGTGAAAAGCAATTTGATTTCGTCGCGACACAATTCATTTTTTCGGGGGTAATGCGATTATTGATGCGACATAGTGCTCATTATTTTCCCGACACACTGATACAAGCCTAATTACAGCGCACCCTCAATACAACGGCCTCCATGCAGTGAGACCCGTCTATAACCAACGATTTTGCGATATATAAAATCAGTCTGTCGGGAAAATAATGAGCAAAATGTCAAAGCACCCAACCAGTCGCTGAAGTGAAAAGCAATTTGATTTTGTCGTGGCACAATTCATTTTCTAGGCGGTGCAATTTGCAATGCTAAAAAGTGCTCATTATTTTTCCGACAGACTGGTTGAATTTTTTTTTTTGTCTTTTGTCGCTAACACACCGTGCATTTTCCTTCTTTCCCTTGTTTGTCGCTACGCACAGTGCATTTTGCCTTTTGTCGCTGACGCAGAGTGCAAACTTAAAAAAATACCGTTTGCACCGTGCCAAAAAAATAACATTAAAGCCGCAGTAGTCGAAAAAAGCTTTCGTCCCAAAGATAAATATATAGTATTTCAATGCGCGGTGCAAAATTTCTAGGGACCTAGGAGTCATTGTTGGGCCAAAATAAAATTTCCAGAGAACTAAACTTTTCTATAACGAACATTTTTTTTACTTTTTACAATTCGTTGTACCGAGGTTTCACTGTTTGTCTTAACACTGTGCACACTCTTTGTACCCTTAACTAGATCTCACGTATTTTACCATGACTCATGATTTTTTTTCAGGTTCAAAATCATGTCGAAACGAGTATCACTAGCCGTTTTTCTGCTGAGTTCACTGCTTGTTGATCATTGTCTGGGCGAGAAAAGTAAGTCATTCGTTCTTATCTCGTGTTTGCCTCTTCCACTGCCCACTTTCCTTTCAATGAAATTTCCGTCCTGATTCATTGTCTTATATTTACTTTCAAATAAAAATTATGACGTCATTGGATTTCAAAATTATTAGAGGGAAATTTGAATATAAATAAGGTTGATGGGGGCAGTTAAAAACAGGTTATTTCAAGATATTTTCTCGTAATTTTTTAATGACTGGAGCTGAATTAACTAGAGATTTGTTAAATCCTTTGTACCTAAAGCTCTTCCTTTCGAATTTAGGTAATCTTACTGGGCGATTTTGGGCTAAACTTCCGTATAACGCACCCTTCTATTACGTATATCAGTCTGGCGGGAAAATAATAAGAACTCTGTCGCATCGAAAATCGCATCGCCGGCAAGAAAATGAATTGTGGCGCGACAACGTCAAATTGCTTTTAATTTGAGCGACGCAACTTGCAATGCGACAAAGAAATCGCTGAGAAAATGAATTCTGTCGCGGCAAAATCACATTAATTTTCAGCTCTCGATGTGACATTGTGCTCATTATTTTCCCGACAGACATTCAAAAAAAATTTTTTTGAACTTTTTCGATTTATTGTACAGATTTTTTGACTTACTGCTAATTTTCAGCAGTGATGTCAGAAAACCCATCACCTTCCGAGAGCAGACCAGAGACCTCCGAAGAAGCCGGCAACGTGAGGCCCAGGGAAACGAAACGAGCTTATCATCTAGTGGAACACTTGATGCCCAAGGAAAGGATTCACATAGGCCCTCCGCCATTCGTTGGAACATGGGAGGAGATGAATAGTAAGTCTTTCTTGCCTACGATATGGCTTTACAACCGCGAGGTGATTCAAAAATCTCAAAACCCGAGAAACTACCTTGGCGAGCGAGAGAGTACGTAGAACGCGGGAAGGGATGGAGAAAAAATACTTTTTGGCCGTATCTTTGCCAGCTTCGCATGGAAAAAAAATACTTTTTGTGGAAAAATTACCCGAGGCGGTAGAAATAGGGATAAAACTTTTTATGCCAAAGTTTGAAAAAAACGTCGCAGTTTTTCCAACTTCCGGCCAAAAAATCTTGTTGATTTCCGCAAGAAAATTTTATTCTAAACTTGTGCCCAGTTTCTTTAAAAATCGGAGCGTCGCACGTCAAACTGACAAGGGAAGTCACTTAAATCACGGATCGATTTTGTAAAACGACTGTTACAGCGATGGGGAGGGTAGGACGGAGATATCAAATCTGAAAACCGCTACCTCCACCGGCCTCTGGGAACCGAGATAATTGACCAAAGAGTTTGACCAAATTCCTCCGAACATTTCTTCCTTCCGAAAGATTGTGAGATAAGCTAAAACAGTCCAGTGAATGGATTAGCCTTTTGCCAAAAAAAGACGCAAAAAACGTTTTGTCGGGGAAGAAATGGGGAATTTTTGGGGCGAGAGAGTGCGCTTTTGCGTGCCTTCTTTCTCTCTTTCTCTGTGAAATCAAGGCGAAGTGTAAAAAACCGATAGCGAAGAGTCTATTCCGGTCACCGGACTCCTAAGTTTGACGTGCGTCGCACCTGAGGTATCAGTCGCGCTATGAAATCCCGACACTTTTGCACTGTGCACTTTTTCTTTTTTTCGGACCCACCTAGATTCCCCGTTTTTGCACTAGCGACATGCACCATCGCACGAGCTCACTTCAATTTTTGCGCACGATAGTCAGAACTTTATGGCGACTAGTACTTCATCTGCGAAGCCACAAATAAATTCTCTGCAACGAGCGACGACCCGATAATAATATTTTTGCAAAAGTCGGAAAAATAATGAGTACTTTGTAGCGGCGCCAATCGCGTCGCTGATTGTGAGGGGAAGATCAATTCGATTTCTCAGCAACGCAATTCATCCTAAACGGTAACGTGATTTTCGATGCGACAGAGTGGTTATTATTTTACCGACAGACTGATATAGCAAAAAAAAAATTTTTTGGTTTTTTGCAATTCATTTTACGCAGGTTTAGCGATATTAACTTTTTCATTTTTGCAGGACTTCCAAAATGGGAGCACATCGAAGAAGCGATACGAGTGCTGAAACGGGAAGAAGAATTAAAACATACATTTAATCGGCCGTAAAACGCAAAATACGGAGAAATCGCCATACAAAACCGTTGTATAATTCAACAAGATGTCTCAGTTTGAACTTTGACGGATATTTTTGTTATTGTAAATTTTGAAAATTCCATGAAATTGTAATTATTTTTCATTTGTTTATAAAATTTGCAACGAAATCGGTGGCGCTTTTCTTGAATTTGATTATGAATATTTGGCTAATTTCTCTGCTGTTTATTGGACTTCCATGCTGTTACACGATGGAAAATAACGTAAGGTGTAAAAAGTTCCTTATTCTGGCCACGACCGTTGCGGCAGAGCTCTCCCCCCTTTCTGAACTTTCCGTCAATCTGAACTCTCCCCCTTTTTGAACACTCCCCCTTGAATGAACCTTTCCCCCTTTCTGAACACTCCCCCTCATTTTGAAAATTGAAAATATGAGGTGTGGCATGTTATACGATGAAATTTTTTTTCAAATTGAAAAGAATAAGGTGTGACATCTTTTTTTTTTATTTTTTTCTCAATTTGAAAAAAATTTTCATCGTATAACATGTCACACCTCGTTTTTTTAATTTGAAAAATGGGGGAGTGTTCAAAAAAGGGGAGAGTTGAAAAAGGGGGAGAGTTCACATTGAGGAAAAGTTCAGAAAAGGGGGAGTTCAGGCTCAACCGGCCACGACAAAAATGCTCTGCGAACTGCGCCCAAGCTTGGGAACTAAAGTTAAGAAAAAAGACTTCGACCTAGCTCTCAATGAATTCCTATGATAGCTCTATTGTGTTAAGCGTGCCTAGGAAGGCTATAACGACTCATTTAGTCCTACACGGAGGCAATAAGTCAGTTCCGGAAGGTTTCATCGTATAAAGTGTAAAATCGCAGGCTGCAGCCGTCTTTGAAGGGTAAGGTGGTACGTATAGGCTTCGTTGTACAGATTTTTACTTGTTTTTATTTAGAAAATTTGGTAAAAGTTCCTTATTTTGGCCACAACTTATAACTTTGCGGAAACTGGTCGGAATTAGCCCAAATTTAGCGTGCACGCGCAATTCATCGTTGTCAATGCCCGGACAGTAGATTTAGTTAGCGAGGTACTTTCTTTTTTACGTACCACCTTACCCTTCAAAAACGGCTGCAGCCTGTGATTTTACACTTTATACGGTGAAACATGTCCGGAACTAACCTTATTGCCTCCGTATGGAACTAAATGAGTCGTCACAGCCTTCGTAGGTACCCTTAAAACTATAGAGCTATTATAGTAATTCAGTTACAGCTAGGTCGAAGCGTTTTTTTCCTAACTTTTGTGCCCACGTTTGGGCGCAGTTCGCGGGGTACCTTTGTCGTGGCCAGAATAAGGAACTTTTTCCAAAATTTTTGAAACAAAAAATTATTACAGTTATTTTTAGCACTACAGCAAATCACACGCAGCTCAGAAAAAATATTTGTTATAGGAAGGTTGTCGCATTAAAAATCGAAATGCCGTCGGGAAAATGAATTGTAATTTTTTTTTATTTTTTTTTTATTTAGGAATTTGGGAAGTACGAATGGATTGGAAAAACCAGGAAACTGCCGCAAAAAGCCAAGGAGGTAAGATTATTACATTAATCTCTGTCCATAAAAAGACTGTAAATAACATTCTTTTTGGGGAAAAAACAGTGTTAAAAGTAGATTTTTCATTTTGAAAAAAATTTTTTTTTTCTAAAAAAATAAGAATTTTCAAAAAAAAATTTTTTTTTTCAAAAAATCAAATTTCAGATGTACGTCAAACTCTACATGAAGGAGCTGAGTACGAACAGGTTCTACAGCTACAAGAAGCGCAATTCAACGGAATTCGAGCTGGCCTCTGTTGAAGAGGCCATTCAGATCTATATGAATGCCAAAGAAGTCCCCGCGGTCTACCAACTCGTCTGTTTGAAAGTCATTGTTGTGAGTTTTACAGAGATTTTTGGTTTGATTTTTTAAAGGAAAAACAAAAAAAAAAAGATTTTTGGGAAAAAATAAAAAAATTATCAATTTTTTTGGAAAAAGTTCCTTATTATGGCCACAACAAAGGTACTCCGCGAACTGCGCCCAAGCTTGGGCACTAAAGTTAGGAAAAAACGCTTCGACTTAGCTGGCACTGAATTACTATAATAGCTCTATAGTTTTAAGGGTTTCTACGAAGACTATGACGACTCATTTAGTTCCATACGGAGGCAATAAGTTTAGTTCCGGACATGTTTCATCGTATAAAGTGTAAAATCACAGGCTGCAGCCGTTTTTGAAGGGTAAGGTGGTACGTAAAAAAGAAGGTACCTCTCTAACTAAATCCACTGTCCGGGCGTTGACAACGATGAATTGAGCGTGCACGCTAAATTTGGGCTAATTCCGACCAGTTTCCGCAAAGTTATAAGTTGCGGCCAAAATAAGGAACTTTTACCTTTTTTTCTATTTTTTTGGTTGAAAATTGAAAAAATTTAAAAATTTTCTTGAAAGATATTTTCAGGATTTTTTCAAACATACCTTTTTACCGACTTCTTGCCGGAAAAAGCAAAAAAGAGCAAAAAATTAATTGGCATTTCAACTATTCAAAACGGATACTTTTTGATACTTTTGCTGAATTTTTTTGCCTAATTTTTTTTTTTTATTTTTTGCTTTTTCAGTTCCCGAAACGAGAGCAGCACAACAAAAAGACGAAAGTGGTGTTCATTGCGGAGGAGGTGAGCACCCAAACCTATGATTTCCTCGACCGTTCCGATATTACTAGTTGTGAAATCCCTGAACGTAGGTGGTCAAAAAATTTAAGATAGTTATAAATGTTTTTAACTTTTTTTTTTTTAAAAAAAATAAATATTTTTAGCCAAGGGACCTTACATGCAGTATTGACGGAAGTATTTTGGAGTTTCCGATTGGACTTTTGATTTATATCACATTTATATTACATATTGTATATCAGAGCTTTGTTTGAATAAATATTGAATTTCGGTGGGGAAAGTTTTTTAATAATTTTAAAATGAAGCCTGAAAAATCCTCATACCGCCCAGAAAATCTTGTTAAAAAGCAATTTCGGGTGTGCCAATAGAAATAATAAATGTTAGTCCCAAATGAGCGGACCTAAGCCCTTCGTCTAGCACTGTGCATTTCGCCTTCATTGCGCGAAGCGACCTTTTCAACACATTTTAGCACTGTACAATTGCCTCTCGTGCTCTGAAATTTTGGGCGGCGCGATAGAAAAAAGAGCGCAATTTTGCTACTACTTGTCTTTCCAGAAAGTGCGTAGACTTTTTGTCGCAAGCCTTCCGCACTGCGCAGTTGAGATTTTGCACCGTGCAAGTGAAAAATCGCTGCAAAAAAGTCTAAGCACTTTATGAAAATAGTAGTGGTCCGTTGGTAAAGTCGCTGAAGTGATTTCGGCGACGTTCACTGTGCGGAAAACGTCAGGTGCAAGTGACAGCCCACAAAACCTATTGCACGGTGCGAAAAGCAAGAAACTGCACAGTGCAAAGTAAAATTTTGTTTTCGCATAGTGCATATCGCCGATTTTAGTCCGGAGACTTTCCGGGACGACTACTAGCACTTTCATAAAGTGTATAGACTTTTTTCGTGGCTTGCACCGTGCACAAAAAATCTCGATTTTTATGCACTGTGCATTCACCTTTTTTTGTTTTGCACAGTGCAAACGGCCTTTTTTTGAGGTTTGCACCGTGCGCGAGGGGAAAAATTCACTGTGAATGCGACAAGCGTAGGAAAAAGTTCAAAATGCATGTGCGAAAAAGGAAAAATGTCCATGCACTTTACGAAAATGCTCGTACTTGGATTTTCATAAAGTGCGTAGACTTTTTTCGCCGCGATTTTTCAATTGCACGGTGCAAAATCTCAACTGCACAGTGCGGAAAGCTTGCGACAAAAAGGTCTACGCACTTTCTGAAAAACACTAGTAGTATTAACACGGGAAGTACTCCAAGTGCGACGCTCAGATTTTGATGAAACTTGGCACAAATTTAGAATAATTTTTTCTAAGAAATATGCCAGAATCCTAGCTCGGGCTTTGCAGAAACAACCGAGATTTTTAGATCGAAAGTCGGCCAAACTTTAGGACTTTTTGCGAATTTCGGCACGAAAAGTTCCATGCCTATTTCTACCGTAGAGAATAATGTTTCTACAAAAAATCAAATTTTTCCGCACGAAACTGCCAAAGTTATGGCCAGAAAGCGCTTTTTTTCTGACCGCTCTCGACGTTTAGCGTGCTCTCTCGGCGGCAAAAATCGTTCGATATCTCGGCTGCGCCCGCAAAGCGCGAGCTAAAACTTTCAGGATTTTATATTTAGTCCATACCCGACGCGTGTGCAAAATTTAAAGAAAATCTGAGCGTCGCACTTGGAGTACTTCCCCTGTAAAGTGCACGTTTTTGCGGCCTTCTTGGCTTTGATCCCTCCTTTTTCCTCCATGTTTTGAAACCAGAAAAATTTGATTTCCCCTTGTAAACCCTTCAAATTTTAATTTCATTTCCTTATCACTTCATTCGAATTTCGTTCCAAACAAGTTCAGAGAATCGAAAAAAAGGTCATCGACTCAGCCATCATCTGACCAAAAAAAAAGGTTTCCTTCAAAAAATGTCATCTACCGTAGAGCGTTCATATCGTCCTCCCGCCCTACGTGATAACCCTTGTGGCTCCTCGAATTTAACAAAATTAAAGTGGCGACCCCCTCTGCGCCCTCGGGCATTCCATGGCGTTATCAGTTTTCCGATTTTTCCAATTTTTTCGATCAAAAATTTTTTGGAGTTTATTCGGTTTTCTGCGGAAAAGGGAACGTCCAGGTGCGACGATCACATTTTGATTGGACCTGGGAGAAATTTAGAATAGTTTTTTCTAAGGTATATACGAGATTTCTAGCTCGCACTTTGCAGAAACGACCGAGATTTTTAGCTCAAAAGTTGGCAAAAATGTGATTTTTTTTGAAAATTTTGGCATGAAAAGTTTCATAGTTATTTCTACCGTAGAGAGTGATGTTTCCACAAAAAATCAATTTTTTCCGCGCGAAACTGGCAAAGATATGGCCAAAAAAGTTTTTTCTCTGATCACTCTCCGTTTCGCGTACTCTCTCGGCCGCAAAGATCGTTGAATATCTCGGCTCTCCCTGCAAAGCGCCCGCTGAAATTTTTAGGAATTGAAATATGGCCTTTAATGACGCTGAGACTTTGAAAAAATTTGGGAAAAATTTATAGCTAAAAATGATTTTTTTTTCCGGAAATTGACCCAAAGTTGAGATTTTTTAAAAGCTTATCCACAAGAAGTTTTGATTTAGCTTTATCTCTAACGAAAAGAGCCATGTTTTCACAAAAAATCAATTTTGCTAAGATATGGTCACAAAGTTTTTTCTCTGACCGCTCTCCGCGTTTTGCATAAACTCTCGGCCGCAAAGATCGTTGAATATCTTTGCGGCGGCTGCAACACAAGAGCTGAAATTTTCAGGGATTAATAAGTAGCCTATTCCCAACATATGTACTAAATTTAAAGAAATTCCCATCACTACAGTTTGAATTTTTTAGTATTTTTTATCACTTTGCATTTTTTTATGCTTTTCAGCTATGTTCAACTTGACAATGCAGACGCTTGGGGAGAAGTGGAGCCAGTCGGACTCGCTTCTGCAAGGTCCATGGGACTATTTGAGGTTAAACTATGGAGATTATCTGCGATCACCACTGTTTCCGGTGGTTTTTGCCCTCTCAATCGACTACTTTTATGTGGCAATTTTTACGAGTAAGTAAAACACGCAATCTTCAGACAACGCTGAAAAATTTCGGTGATTTTTTTCCGATTCCGACTTTTTTTACATTTCGCATATGACGGGAAAATAATGAGGGCAATAAGGTTGCGCTTGCTGAATCCACATTATTTTCTCGACAGACTGATATCAGTTTTTGTCAAAGTGCTTTTGCGATTCTCCATGCGACAGAGTGCTCATTATTTTACCGACAGAAGGATATTAAAAAAAAAAGATTTTTTAGGACAAGTCACAGGGCGATAAAAAAATGAAATTTTTGACGCACAATAAAATAAAAAAAAAGCATTTTTTAAGACCACACACAGCGCAATAGTTTTTTTATAACTTTTCCAATTTAAATTTTTTTTAACAGATTTATCCTAATTTTGATTTCAGCAATTGACCTCTTCTTCTACGATGTTCCATTCTTCAAAAAAGCCAAGATTCAGAAACACATTCCGGTGACTTGGAAGTTGGTCAAGGAAACGCTCAGTCTCCAATTGCTAAACCAGTTTCTCTGGTGAGTTTTTGTTCTTTTGCGGGCTAAAATACGGAGCACGTCAAGAAAAAATAAAACAAAAGCGCTCAAGCAATGAAAAATTCTTGGCATTCTGTTTCAGCGAAAGAATAATTTTTTGCTCCAAAGAGAACCTGATTACACCATGAAGATGAGGTAGAATGGGGTTATTGCATATATAAATTTGAAGCTGGGGTCCTGCTTAACCTGAATATATATATTTCATATAAAAAATCGGTCGTCTTCTGTCTGTTTGAAGCCTAAACTAACAGCGCCTAAAAAGTGTTGCGATTTCGAGGATTTCTCTAAGATTTTCCCTCGCCCCTATTTGAAGTTTCGTGGAAACATAGTCTGGAACAAGGCGGAGCCTAAAACGAAAAAAAATCAAATGAGCCAGTTTCGAGATAGAAAATCTCTTCATTTTGCGCAATATTTCGCCTTTCCTCTGACTTCATCCAAAAAAACCGTCATTGAGACGGATTTTTGTACACTTTCATAAGCGGGAACAGAATGCCAACTTTCGTGTTGAAAGATAACCCTTTGAGCGCAAAATCTTGACGTGCGGAGGTTTTATTTATTTTTTTTTCAATTTGTATCTCACAATGAATTTAGGATCTACCCAATGGCACTTGTCCAAGTGATCTGGGTGCCCGAGGACACGCTACCGGAGAAAGCCCCAAGTTTATGGGAGCTTTGTTGGCAGAACGCCACATTCTTCGTCTTGTTCGACGCTGGCTACTTTGTCTACCATTTGATGTCACATAAGGTTGGTTTTCTTGCTTATTTTTGCTTAACTAAAGATCACTTTTTAAGTATATTTTTTTCTTATCAAGGTTATACTTGGTATTTTGCTCTTTTCATCCCGAAAAGAACGAAAAATGCAAGGTGTTTTGCCATGTTTTTGGTCAATATAATAGATTACAAAAAAATAGGAAACACTCGTCTTCCAAGCTTTTGCGAAAAATGGTTAAAACTTCTCATCTTGCCTAAAGAACTATGCAGTTGTGGAGAAGACCACTTTGCATGATGGTATCCTTCATGTAAAAAAATTGCATCTTTTTCCGTCTGACTGGAAAAAACTAATATCTGTCTGTCGAAAAAATAGTGAGTGCAATATCGCAGCGCCAACTGAAGTGGAGCCGCTGAAGTGGAAAGCAATTTGGTTTTGTCTCGACACAATTCGTTTTCTCGCTGCGACATTGCGCTCGTTATTTTCCCGACAGACAGATAGTACTGTGTTTCTTTGAAGCACAGGAGGTACGCCCTTTTACTACTAGGCTTTTCGTAAAATACGCAGACTTTAGGGATGGGTAGCATTGGGTAAAACCTGACGCTCTTCTTGCAGATCCGTTGGCTGTACCGTTGGTGCCACTCCGTCCACCACATGTACTCCTCTCCATTCGCCGCCGCCGCTCAGCATCTCCACCCGTTCGAGCTGTTCTTCACCGCCACCTTCATCACCTGCGTTCCGTGGCTGTTCAAGCCGCACTGCGTCACGTATTGGGTGTGGTTCCTGATCGCGCAAACCGTCTCGTACGAAGTCCACATTGGCTACGACTTTCCGTTCATGTTGCATCGCTTTATTCCGTTCTATTCGGGCGCTCCGGCCCATGATATGCACCATGTGAGGCCGTTGACCTGCTTTGAGCCGTGGTTCAACTACTGGGACAAGTTGTTCGGCTATCATGTGACGTATGAGGATGTGAAGAGGATGAATAAGGAAATGTCAGCGAGATACGGGATGTACAGTGACGAGGATGTGAAGGGATTGAAAATGTTGAATTAAGTTGCCAATTCTAACGATTTTTGAGGTCTGAGTCAAGTCTTCCGCTGGTTGGGTCAAGTGTTTCTCCGATGAAATTTAAATATTAACGTAATGAGATCGTGTGCAATAAATACTTTTTCGAATTTTGGCTGCATTTTGGTGTTTTTTAAGTTTTGGGTCAAGTGTTTTCCCACTATGGGTCAAGTGTTTCTCTGGTGAAATTTGAAAATAAATGTGCTGAAATTATGTGATATAAGCATTTTTTGATTTGTGACGGAAATTTGACGTTTTTCAAACTTTTGGTCAAGTGTTTTCCCACTTTGGGTCAAGTGTTCCACTGCGGGATTTTATCGCAAAAAAATATTTTGGCCTATTTGGAGGTACCATTTTTTGATTTTCACTCCTTTTCCAACTGTTTTGCAAACTGGGTCAACTGTTCCTTTCGTTGGGTCAAGTGTTCCCACGACTAATCACATTTCCGCAACCGTATTTTACCCCAAACTGAAATAAAATTTATTAAAATTGCTAAATAAGGAACAAATACGCATATTGTAACAACCGACGAATCCTCAGTGCTCGCACAAAACCGCTTCCTGCAGTTTGTTCCGAATGTCGCTGGGCGGTCTTTCCACGTCGAACGCAAACGAATAGGTGGAAATTTCATGTAGCTGCGTGACATTTATACTCGAACTCAAGCCGATCAACGACACACGGCCGAAACGGAGGATGTCCGTGAAAGAGTCCTTCGAATCTTCCACTTGGTCTTCGTCAATTTGGGAAGTGAAGATGATGATGGTCTCGGGAAGGCCGTTGTTTTCGTACGGGTGAGTGGAGAAGAAATCGTAGAGTCTGAAAAATTGTTTTTAATACAATTAAAAAAATAAAAAAAAATAAAAAAAATTAAAAAATCTTAAAAATTTAACATGTCATAATGACGGATTTTTTTGAAAAAATTGAAAAATCAGTCTGTCGGGAAAATAATGAGCACTCGAACATATCGCATCGAAAATCGCAAAAAAAAATAAATCGCGGCAAAATCAATTTTTTTTTTCACTTCAGCGACGCGATCGGCTCAGCGACATTTTGCTCATTATTTTCCCGACAGACTGAACCGACCGTGTCGCTGAACTGGAAAGCGATTTGATTTTGTCGCGACACAATTCATTTTCTCTGCGGCGATGCGATTTTCTCTGCGACAGGGTGCTCATTATTTTCACGACATTGAAAAATGATGATATTTTTACCTTCGCAGCACCGGCCTCTTTCCGAATCGTCCATTGTTTTGCTCAATACTGGCCAATTCCGACTTCACCGCATTCAAATCCCGATAAGTGCCTGGGGCGTAGACGTTGGGAAACTGGTCGAAATGCCCAATGGAAATGCGCTCGTAGTGGTTGAAGGTGTTCAACAAATCACTGGCAATGAGGTCTTTTTGCGCCTGAAATTTAACAAAATTGCTTTTGATTATGAACATACGAAGTGAGGAAACTTTTTTGGGTCTCGACACGAAAACTTGAATTTTCATGTTTTTTTATTCTTTACCTTATATTGCGCCGCATTTAGTATCCCAGAAGAGGAGTCGATCGCGATGTAGACTTGTCTTCGGCAAGGCTCCTGAGGCGTGTCCGGTTGGGTTGTGGTCGTTGTGGTTGTTGTGGTTGTTGTAGTTGTAGTGGTGGTAGTTGGAGGACCTTCAGTGGGGTGGTCAGGGTCACCGGCTAAAAAATATAATCTATGTAGGCTGTCGGGAAAATAGTGACCGCAGCACGGCATTAAAAATCGGGTTTCGTGGAAATTGGACAGATTTTTTTTCGCTGCAATCGTACGAAATGTCACTATTGAATCATCAAATAATTATTTTTTGCAGTAAAAAAAATCTGTCGAGTTTCACTCTCTCTCCAATTTCCACGGAGCCAAAAGTCGCATCACCGCCGAGAAAATGAATTGTGTGGCGCACAGCGTTCTGTACTTTTTTGGAATGATTCCGACACCGATTTTTTCGAATTTTTCTAAAATAGCCCGCATTTACGCGGGTGTCGCGAGGGAATACTGTAAGATTGACGTGTAAAATTTGCAGTACTTGTAGAGTAAAGAGAGATCTTTCCAACGATACAACTTACGTAAATTAATATGGAAAAAGAAATTTGTAATCAACGCTGAAAAATGACCGACTTTGGATTTTCGGCGCTAAAGATTGCCCTTAGGCAGATCTTTTAGAAGAAGTCGATGGTACCACCGTATGCGGAATTTAATTCTCTACAACATATCCAAAAGCTACAAAATTTTGCTATTTTAGAAAAATTCGAAAAAATCGGTGTCGGAATCATTCCAAAAAAGTACAGAACGCTGTGTGGCGGAAAAATCAAATTTCTTTTCATTTTAGCGACGCGACCGGCAAGGCCACATTGTTCCCAGTATTTTCCCGACAATGATGTAACGAAAAAATGAAATGCTATGAGGATCGCGCGCGATATATCAGTCTGTCGGGAAAATAATGAGAACAATGTCGCTACACCAATCGCATCGCTTAAACTCAAAGCACTTTGAGTTTGCTGCGACACAATTTTTTTTATCGCCGGCGATGCGATTTTCGATGCGACAGAGCGCTCATTATTTTTCCGACAAACCGATATATAAAAGAAAGTTTTTTTGTTGTCTTACAGCATCCGTAGGCTTTCCAAAACTCGTCACGCCAATTGTCGGGGGCGTCCTTTCCATTCTCCCAGACGATGACATCAAAGACGAGCTTCTTCAACAAGTCCGGATTGGCTCCGTTCACAGCGACGAACGTGATCTTATGGCCATGGAAGTCCCTGATGTACTCCTGGACCTCATCCACAATTTGTTGAGTGATTTGGCTGACAAAAACAATGTAGTACTGCTCGAGGTCGTGGACATTGTTCTTGGTTGTATCAATGATCTCTTTGATCGCTCTGAAATGAGATTTTTGGGGGGGGTTAAAATCCGCTGACATATGATATCTTTAGAGGAAAAAAGTGAAGTGCTAGATGTAAAGTAATCAACTTACTGTCGAAGACTGGGTTTCTTTTTGGATTGCTGGAGCGCGGAGAACCATTTCTTGACCGTGTCCTCGTTGGTGACTCGTCCAGGCACCTCCACCAGCGCTACCGAATCATAATATCCCAGAACAAGCCGTTCGAAATGCGTCCAGCCAGTAAAGAGTTGATTGATGAAGAAGCTTTTTTGACGCTGAAAAACAATGGTTTAGAACACTACGAGTTTGTCGGGGAAATAATGAACACAATGTCGCTACACCGATCGCGTCGCTAAAGTGAAAAACAATTTGATTTTCATTTTCTTGGCGGCGATGCGACTTTCGATGCGACAGAGTGCCCACTACTGCTAGTCCGTTCGTAAAAGTCGCTGAAATGATTTCGGCGACGTGCACTGTGCAAGAGAACTCAGGTTGCGAGCGACAGCCCCAAAAAGCCAAAAATTGCACCGTGCAAAGCGAACTTTCGATTTCGCGGAGTGCATGTCGCCGAAAACATTCCAGCGACTTTACGAACGGCCTAGTACTGTAAATTTTCCCGACAGACTGATATCCGAGACAAAATTTTCTGATAATTGGTTCAGCAATCATTCGGAATTCTGTCGCAAACTAAAATATGACGCAACGTAAGAAATCACAGGACTGTGTCGGATTCTAGTCGTTCCACAAAGAGTCTAGAGGGTTTTTTTGCGCTCGGTGTGGCCTACCAAAAAAGTGTACGCACTTTCTGGAACGACTAGCAGTAAAAAGGCCTTGTTGTATCGAAGTTCATTTTGGCCTAGAATTGACCCTTTGGACCTCTAAAATTGTTGTCATAACCAGGCTTTTTGTACGGAAAAGCACTGTGAAAATTATCATGATTTTTAGGCCCGCCTTGCATGATAAAATTGTCAAAAAATACCTCAAAGTCAGCGGCCGGGATGACACTGGAAGTGTCCACAATAATGTTGATCTGGCCTTTGCATGGGATCCATTTATCATCATCACCGTCCAAATTCTCCTCTTCAAACTCAACACTTCTCTTATTCCGAACTTGCACACCATTTTCTGCCTCTAAACCGCTATCAACAGCACTTTCATCATCAGAATCCTTGCAGCCGTACAAGTTGTAGAACAACTTTTCGTATTCAACTGGACTCTTGTTGCTTTGCGCGTCCCATTCGACGACTTTTGCTCCCAAAATTTTCTGAATTTCCGCGGTATTCGGCAACTTCTGCAGCGTAATTATGGTTAATCCACCGAGGCGTTTCAAGTCCTCGGCGAACTCTTTGGCTTCCTCGGCTTGTTCTGTTGTCACGTTGCCAACGAACACAATGAATTGGAGATTTTTTTCGTCTCGTGGGAAATTCTCGTTGACCAAGCCGCGGAGAGCGCTGAAAATTTGATATTCGAGGGTTAATAGGGGAATTGTGTGAAGTGCGGCGCCCAAATTTTCGAAAAATTTGCTTTTTCCATCGACGTCGCTGCGGTTTTGCAGAATCATTCGCACAGTGCAAATCGCTTTTTTTAACCTTTCTTGACGTGTTATTAGTCTGGCGGGAAAATAATGAGCACTCGGTCGCACCAAAAATCGCATCGCCGCCGAGAAAATGAATTGTGTCGCGACAAAATCATGCTTTTCGTTTCAGCGACGCTGTCGATGCTGCGACATTGTGCTTATTATTTTCCCGACAGACTGATATTTTCGTAAAGTGCATGGACTTTTTTCTCTTTTGGGACCAAGGTAATCTTGAAACGCTGCCTTGTGCGTTACAAACGGGCAAACAAATTCTCATGCATAAAACTGCGAAAACAACCTCGAATCTTGACCTACTTTCGACATAAAAATATAGGTTGTTTCTGCAATACGCGAGCTACAAATCTTGTATATGCCTTAGAAAAAATAAATCTGAATTTGGGCCACGTTTCGTTAAAATCTAAGCGTCGCACTTCAGGCATCTTCCATGTAAACCAGCAAGCAGGGGCAACGCAATGGCTATCCCCAAATTTATACCATTCTGTCCCCAAATTCCCCCATTCTCTCCCCAACGACCTGTCCCCAAATAGGAGTTCGGAAGCTGTCCCGAAAATATTTTTTTTACCCAAAAGTTTTGAAGTTTCGTTTGTTGCGTAATCACCACTATGAATTTTCAAATTTTTCAGCCCGAGGTGTTATTACTACCCCAAAACATGGACCCCACATTAATTTTTGTGTTTGGCGACATATTAGGAATGTTTTGGGGACAACTTCCAATCTCCTATTTGGGGACAGGTCGTTGCGGACAGAATCGGGGAATTTGGGGACTGAACAATTATCCATCAAGCACCCACTTACATTCTCAACGATCCTGCCTTTCTGCCTCTCGGGTATCCTCTCAGCTCTTTCTGCACCGCCGCAATGCCATCAAAGCTGCCCGGCGCGAAGAACACCTGCTCTCGGTCGTAGATCCCCAATCCCAGCCGCTCGAAGTGGTTGAAGTTCTTGGCGAACAGCACTTCCGACACAAAATCCACCTGATTCTGCAGCTATTTCTATTGTTCAAACCACAGTTTGCTGACTTACTTGGAACGCCTGCTCCGGCGTGTCACTGCCGACATCCAACATCAGGACGAACGTGCCTTCGCATGGGATGAACTGATCCGACGGGGGTTGCGTTGGTGGAGCTGTAGGGGGTGCGTTGGTTGGGCCGTTCGGCGGGTTGGAAGACGGTGTGCAGACGGAACTGTCGGCGGTTGGAAGATAGGACGAGTCTGGAAATAAGCGTTTTTGCTAGGGGTGGCCACCCGGGCCCGTTTAGGCCCGTCTTACTTATCCCGCGCTTTTTTCTGAGTAACCGGATGGCTTTGAAACTTCGGCTAGCCCTTGGCTTAATAGAATGGTGCTGACCCCTCAAAATGTTATCAATTTTTTGATATCTCTTCTCCAAAACGAGATATCGCAATTGCGGGCAAAGTAAGACGGGCCGAAACGGGCCTAAACGGGCCCGGGTGGCCACCCCTGGTTTTCGCGGTCATTTTTTGCTCTAACTGGGTTTCATGAAATTTAACTTTTTCTGGAGCTGAGGTTTGCCATTTTCAACCGATTGAATTTCAATAAATAAATATCCTGAATTCACCTTACTATGACTTAGCTGTACAATAAAAAATTGATTAAACTCAGGCCGGGAAAAGCTTAAGGTAGGTTTGGCCTAATGTAAGCTTAAGTTAGCGCTTAGTGACAGGCTTCTAATTTTTTTCTACGCATTGATTATTCACAATTTTTTTTGGGGTAGTGGCCTATCTGCAGAACTTTTTCCCATAAGAAAAGTACCCAAGTTCAACGCTCAGATTTGTATGAAATTTGGCGCAAATTTAACGCGTTCACTCTCGGCGAAAAAGGTCGTTCACTATCTCTGCTCTTCCTGCAAAGCGTGAGCTAAAATTTTCAGAAATTAATATGTGGCCTATCCCCGAAATGTGTGCAAAATTCGAAGAAAATCTGAGCGTCGCACTTGGACTACTTCCCCTGCTAGTGTGCTTACCATAAGTCTTCTCCACGCTAAACTTGTCTCCTTGGAATTTTTTGGTCAAGTCGTCTCGGGATGGAGCATATTCGGAGGGGTAGGCCACGGTTAGGATAGCAACTGGCGTTTCGTCCGCTCCGAACGGACCAAAGTTGATCTCATCGGCGGATTCTTTTTTGTTCGGCGACACTCCAAGCCTGAAATTGTAAAATACGACCAAAATACATAGTATAATCCGACTGTTGAAAAGTTTTGTTTTTTGCTGGATATAATCAAAAATATGTTCAAAATACCCTAACTAGCCGAAATTATTGTGTAACCCAAGACAAGACAATTTTACGTGAGTGAGTCAAGTCTTCCTTTCTTTAGTCATCAGTTTCCCTGACTTTGAAATCGAAAAAAAATTTACAAAATATAGTAAAAATGCATTTCCAAGCCGAAAAAAATCTGTTTTGAGTCATTTGTTTCAATGAGTCATCTTTTCCTCTCATTGGGTCAAGTGTTTCCCTGATATCGCTCAATTTCTTCCAATCGAAATTTTACTACCCATTGAAATTCTACCTTCTCATGCTCAAAATTCAACCGGCACTACCACTCCTCCTTGTTTGAGTCATCTTTTCCCCTCATTGGGTCAAGTGTTTCCCCGACTTAGAAATCAAAAAACAATCTCAAAAAGTTGTAAAAATACCCCTCCAAGCCGAGAAAAAAACGTTTCTGCTTTCACGAGTCATCTTTTCCTCTCATTGGGTCAAGTCTTTCCGTGATATCGCACAATTTTTTTACCCATTGAAACTCTCAAAATCCAACCTACACTGAGACCACTCCGTATTGCCCTGCGGCATCTTCGGCCTGCACTTTGATTCTCTCCATGCTCTTTTTGAAATCGGCCGCCAAATCCTCGTAGCTAACGTTCAGCGTTTGAACTTGAAGGATGAACGAGAATGGCGGCGTTTCCTTTTGTTCCCGGCTTTCGTTCAGCCGCGTGATCCCGATTCCCAGCATCACAGCGCCCGCAACCAGCAGCAGGAGCGAGAAGAGGAGCAGGAGCCCGATGACGGCGGTCCTCCGTGGACCGCCGAGCGTGTCCACAACACCCATTCTGAAAAGGCTTGGGATTTGGGAAGAGAAAACGAGTTGAGGGGTAAAATATGGAAGAATAGGAAATTTGCTTGAAGCCCGGAATTACTCGATTTTCAGTTTGCTATACAAGAAAGGCCCCAAGTCTCCGTCCAATACACTCTGACAACAACAAAATATTTTTCAGTTACGAACAGTTTTGCAACCTGTCTCAAGTGCGAGCCTACCGCCTAATTTTAAGCGAAGTCGTAATAATTTCTATTGATCCTTTTGGGACAAAATGTTATCACAAGACTGTTGAAGGTGTCCTGACGTTGTAAACGTTGTATATTAGCATTATGTCATTCGAGTTCTAAATAGAGGTGGCAATCGGGCTGGGCCGGCCCGGCCCGGCCGGGCCCGGTGATTGGGCCGGGCCGGGCCGGGCCTGAGCAGATTTGAAAAAGCCCAGGGCCGGCCCGGAAGGTAAATAAGTGAAAAAAAATTAATACTGAACCAGCAAAATAAAGCACAAATGCTTAGCAGAATTGTTGGATGGATATTAAATCAAACCTTTTTGACTTATATACTGTTTTACCACCTTTTCAAACTCTTTAAAATCACTGATTATGTATATGTAAAATCCCACCCAAATATGCAAGGATCGGGCAAATCTTCGAATTTTTGATGATAAACTTAAACATTTCGCTGTAATTTGATTCCTTGAGGTAAATGAACGCATCTACGCAGTTTTTGATTAAACATGTAGCCTCATAACGTCCATATTTTTACATAGCTAACTTTCTATAGGATAAAAAAATCGACACAATCCAACTTTTTGGCTAGGTTTTAGGTACCTATTCGGCTGTTCCAGTCAGCCGACTAGACGTTTTAATTCCACTCATATATATAGACGTAAAACCCCGCTGGAAGGCATAAAAAGTTCCAGTAGAGAGTGCATAAAGTTTTATCCAACCTTTTTGCAGTATCGGGCCAAACAGGGCCGGGCCGGGCCGGCCTGGGCTTTCACCGGGCCGGGCCGGGCCGGGCCTGAGCAAATTTGAAAAAGCCCAGGGCCGGCCTGGTCACTTCGGCCCGCAGGCCGGGCCGCAAAATTCGGCCCGGCCCGGCCCGATTGCCACCTCTAGTTCTAAACGCATTGCATGGCACTGCAAAATGACCACTCAAAATTGCTCTTATTCAAATTCAAGGTACTACACCAACACGCGAGCTGCGAGTTCGATGCCTCTGGGTTTGTTAGTACTCTAACCCTACTACATGTGAGATAGTGTGGTACTAGCCATACTGACTTAAGAAGGTCTGTGGAATAATGCAAAAAAAATTTCAATAACTTAGTTGCCAACCTAATAAAAGCAACGTCTCGTCACCAATTGTGAGAGCATTATCTCGTTTCCTTTCATTATGTGTGCGGTCTCAGTAAACCTTATTCTTAAACCTGTGTCTATTCTCGATACCTATCTACGTTTAATCATTCACCACATATCAATTAAAAAATTTAGCTCGCGCTTTCCAGTAGCAGCCAAGCTGTTCAAGAATCTTTGTGGCGGTCATAGTTTACGCAAAGCGGGTCTTGAAGGAAAGGGCGCGCTTTTCAAAGCGGAGTTTTTTAGCTTAGAGAAGGGAAGGGTTTGGGGACGTTTTGGTCCCTTCCGGGATGCAAAGTGGGACGTTTTTGCCACTGGATCCGGTCCCTTACTGCATAGATATTGCGAATTTCTGAAAAGTTTCATCAAAATCTGAGCGTCACACTTGGAACACTTTCTGTTGGATCAATAAAGACGTCTCAAGAAATGTCCAAAAAATATCCCTGCCCAAATAACGGTATTAGCCCGTTCGTACCCGTCGCTCGAGTAATCTCAGCGACGTGCACTGCGCAAAAAGAAAAGTTAGTTTGCACTGTGCAAAACGTTTTTTGGGCTGTCGCTAGCACCTGCCTTTTTTGCACAGTGCAAACGCCAAAAATCAGTCCAGCAACTTTCGGAAGGCATAGTACACGGGTTTTGACACCATTATCTCTCCGACGATTTTCCGGACAATTTATCAGTCTGTCGGGAAAATATTGTGTGCTTGTAGCGCTTTGTAATCTCTCATCATCGCGTTGCGACGGTTAGCCGCGACAAGAGACTTGGTCCGCAAATTTACACATTATTTCCCCGACAGACTGATAGTACCCTCCACACCACTTCGAAATAAAAAAAAGGCAGTAGTCGCGGCCCTTCCACAACTCCGTGACTCGCACTTCCCCACCGTACCGCCATCAGCATGACGTATACCGGCAGCCAAGCCCTTCGAGCGCTAAGCGCATAAAATTCAAGCCTAATTAGCGGATGGGCCGTAAAGACGGCGGCGTCCATAAAAATAATTGGAACAATGATAATGGCGAGGTGCTAAAATCATTTGCAGGCGTGAAAATTTTATGATCTTTCGCGATAAAGTTAATCAGCGACGCCGGTAATTAGTTCATAAAACCGCGTTTACGAGGGACGCAGCACTTTGTTCCGACGGCTTATTTGTAGATCGTTGGAGGGTTGTGATGGTTGATGACTTCAAAAAATTGTAGTGCAATGCGGAGTAGGCATGGCTCAGGGCTTTCCAAAATTCCAGCCTTTTGGGGCCGGAGTGTAATACGGACACAGTAATTTTGTCAATTTTCAATTTGATAGCCCACATAGAGCCAAAAAAGACAATGCCAAAATGGTGCCAAAATAGCGGGAAAATTCATATTCAAAATTATTCAAAAAAATTTTTTGGGGCTTGAAGTCTAAAGTTCCAGGATCCCGGCCACGCCCAGAAAAAATACAACAAAAGCGCTCAAGTAATGAAAAATTCATGGCATTCTGTTTCAGCTCAAGAATAATTGTTTGATCCAAAGATAATCTAAATACCCGTGGAAGATGACGTGGAATGGGGTTCTTACACACATAAATTTGAAGATGGACTATTGTTTAACCGCGCCATATATTATTTCATATAAAAAATCGGTCGTCTTCCGTCTGTTTGAAGCCTAAACTAATAACGACTTAAAAAATGTTGCGATTTTGCAGATTTCTCCAAGAGTTTGCCTCACCCGTGTTTGAATCTAAAAAATATCGCAGAAAATCTCTTATTTTATTTTTTATTCAAGAATTTTCCCAACAGTCAAGTTGAATCCAGTCAAACCATCGGACAAAACTGATGGGTAATATTGCTCGCCGCGGACGATGACCTTGTGGAATGGCATAGTAAAAACAGTACGCATTCCCAGCTAAAAATTGTTGAACTTTCCGGCTTATACACTCTATTATTGCCCTAATTTTAATAAAAATGACGTATTAGTATTTTCATAAAGCGCATGGACATTTTTCGCTTTCGCACAATGCATCTTGAACTTTTCAGAGGTTTTAGTATCATAATTACAGACGACAATGATAAGCATATTTATTCGTTCAGACAATAAATCTCCCAACAGTTAAATTTAATCCAGTCAAGCCGTCTTCCAAAACTGACGGATAAGGTTGTTTGCCATGGAAAATGATCTTACCAAATGGCAAGGTGAAAACGGTCGGCATTCCAAGCTGTAATGCGTTTAATTTTACAAAAAGATAAACAGTTAACACTTGCACAGTCAAGATTACGAAAAGTCTGCGCACTTTATGGAAGAACCAATAGACAAGTTTGTTCGTACAAAAGTTCGTTGTACAGTGGTGCCACTGTATGCATTTCCGATGCTCTTTCACTCACCTTGTTCGCGATTTTCGTCGAATAAACGGCCGCGCATTCGGCCGAAGCCCATTCCAAGCCCTCCGCTTTGGCCAGCTTTAGCGCTTCGGTCCATAACTTGAGCCCAATTCCCTGGCCTCCAAACTCTTTTTGGACGCCAATCCGAGCGATTCGAATGTAAGGCCCTACCGGAATGTGATGTTTGGCAAATCTTTCGACCTCATGCAGCGTGGTGAGGAAGATTTGTAGGTCAGGAGGACGTTGGGGATAGAGTTTCTCGGCTACTGAACAGTCAAAACATATGGGGTGAATAATATCAATATGTCGGGAAAATAATGTGGATTTGTCGCAGCAAAATTTATCGGCTCATCGCAAGACGCTGTCAAAATTTCCAGCCACGGTAAGCTATCGCAAAGCGATGATGGGCGATTCCAAGGCGTGACAAACCCACATTATTTTCCCGACCGACTGGCATTAGATTACAACAAATTGGGAGGGTTCCAAAAAAATGTTATTTGTTATGGAAGGAGGTTTGTTATAAAGGGGTTAATTTTAGTATAAGTTGACTCCCGATGCTTCCAAAATTGTTCGTTATAAAGAGGTTTTGTTGTAACGGAATTTGTTGTACAGAGGTTTTATCGTATACTAGTCCGTCCGAAAAGTCTTAGGACTCATATTTGACGTTTGCGCTGAGCGAAAAAAATCAAGGTGTGGGCGACAGCCAAAAAAGTCATTGCATGGTGCAAAAAGCCGGAAATTGCACAGTGCAAAATAAAATTTTGTTTTTGCACAGTGCATGTCGCGGAAATCAGTCCGGCGACACGCACTGTGCAAAAACAAAAATTTTCTTTGCACAGTGCATTTTCTTGCTTTTTGCACGGTGCAATAGGCTTTTTTCGGCTGTCGCTCGCACTCTGACTTTTTTCGATCAGTGCAAACGCCAAAGATCAGTCCGGCGACTCTCCTGACGGACTAATATAGCCATTTTAATTATCCTTACATTCCGCATAATCCGCCGGAATCTCATCGACTCCTTGATCCTCTGGCCTCACCTCCTCCTTTGTTGAGCCTTGAAACCCGACAATGTGGTTGTCGAGGAGGGCCAACAAGGTTCTGCCTGACTCAACTTCGTCTCGAATTATCGCCATAAACTTGTCTTTGTTTTCTTCAAAGGGAAAGTCTGAAAAAAAAAATAAATTTTATTAGTCTGTCGGGAAAATAATGAGCACTCTGTCGCATCGAAAATCGCATCATCACCGACAAAATTAATTTTGTCGCGGCAAAATCAAATTGCTTTCCACTTCAACGACACGATCGGCGCAGCGACATTTCGCATATTATTTTCCCGACAGACTGATATGCCAATATGTACAGGGTGCGGCAAAAAAATGGAAACTTTTTTCATTGGGTCCTGACGCAAAAATTTTTAAGTGCAGCAAAATTATTTTCATACCATTAAATTCTACGTAGCTTTCTCTCCTGGACCTTATAATTTCATGTCCATATCGGTTTATTAACATTCTTTTTTTGAATGACAAACAGAGGGACCTCGATTTCGGACCTGTTTTTTTACCTGTGCGAACTGTTAATTTGCCCGGCATAGAAAGCACGTTGTGTCCAAAGTAATCACACAATGCAGGGAGCTTTTTGCCAATTTTAAGCGTCCAGTAAGCGAAAGAAAACGCACCGCCCACACTTCTGCCAGCCGCAGAGTCATCAATAGCGAAATCCGTCGATTTCGAGAAAAAATTGCCCGTGAGACCGGCATCAGCGACCGACCAGTCGGCCAAATAGCTAAAAATCAACTCAAAGTCTCCCCACGCAAGGTCTGAAATGCCCAACTCCTAATCGGCAAGATCAAGCCCGTACGCCTGAAAAAATGCCGAAAATTCCGACGTCGGGCCGCAGGTCCGCGATGGGAGCGCATTCCATTCGCGGTGCAATCTTTGGCGGGTGCACAACCAACAGAACGTCATAGTCCAATCCAATGAGGCCCCCTGCACGTCGGCTAACGACGAACACCGTCAAAATAAGGGCCGTCATCGCCTAAGGCGGAATTTGTGCCAGCGGCAAGAATTCCGAGATTTTCGTGGATCAAGCGGGCAAAATTCTAGCGCCGGGTTAACTTCGATTTCCTCATGCTTCTGTTGGCTCAGTAGAACCTTGGCAGCACAAATTTGACGTTCCAACTAGACTCAGCGCCGACTCACAGGGCAACAACGAGTCAAGACCGATTTTGAGACGATTTTCCCGATTTCACCCCGTCTGCGAAAAGAGCGCCTGCTCGCCGGGTATAAATCCAATGGACTGTAATTTTTTTTCAATTGGAGGCCAGCATCTGTACTACACGCCACAAAAGTTTGGAGTCGCAAAGTAATCGCTGCGTCAAGAACGGGACCGATTTCCCCGAAAAAAGCTGCGGCCAAAAGGCCAAAATTTTAAGTCACGTTTGGAGCTCTACCTCGCCACAAAAAGCAGCCACGGTAAAACGGGTTGAATATGTTATAAACAATGCTCTATGTTATTGAAGATGACCGTTACTTTTGCGGAATTTGGATTGCTAGGAAAAATATAGCTATAAAAATAAGTTTCCATTTTTTTGCCGCACCCTGTATAACGAACAATTTCACAAGGCATAAGAGTCAGTTTTCGGGCAAAAAAACCTCTGTACAACAAAACTTTTCTATAACAAAAAAATTTTTTTAGGTCCCCAACAATTCGTTGTACAGGCTACATTTTTTTCAAAGATTCGTAGGCTTTTTGACGCGTCGCACAGTGCATTTTGCCTTTTTTCGCACAGTGCCGGCCTGTCTAAGGACCTTGCACTGTGCATTTTCATTCATCGCGCGAAATCTCTTCGCACGTCAAAAAAAAGTTTGTTTTACTCAGATGTTTGCTAAACGGCATCTCAGCGAGCTGCACTTCTACAAAGAATTTGGCCACAATTTCCAAGTCTTCGGCGATTGCTTTCACCACGGAGATGGTCTTTTTCCATTTTTCGACCTGAAATCAGCAATTTTCCTGCTTGTCCTAACAGGGGAAGTACCCCAAGTGCGACACATAGATCTTGATGAAATTTGGCTCAAATTTAGAATAATTTTTTCTAGGATATATGTGAAAAACCTTGCCCTGGTTTTGCGGAAACAACTGAGATTTTTAGATCTAAAGTCGGCAAAAAATTGACACTTTTTCCCGAATTTTGGCACGAAAAGTCTCATACCTAATTCTATTGCTGAGAATAATGCTTCCAGAAAAAAAGCATTTTTTTCGTCCGAAATTGGCAACGTTATGGACAAAAAAGTGTTTTTCTCTTTGACCGCTCTCCGCGTTTAGCGTACTCTCTCGGCGGCAAAGATCGCTGAATATCTCGGCTGCGCCTGCAAAGCGCGACCTAAAACTTTCAGGAATTGATATCGAGTCTATGCCCGATGTGTGTACAAGGTTTAAACAAAATCTGAGCGTCATCGCGCTTGGGGTACTTCCCTTGTAAGGGTTTTGCAGCTTGAATAAAGTTACGGCTTACCTTGAACTCACTGATCAATTCCCGATCAGCTACGGGCAATGGGTACCTCAGGGAAGAAACATCCATTTTTCAAATCAGTTAGAATTGAGAGCGCTTACCAAAAGCAAGAAAGTTTAATAAAAAGTTATTATTTTTTTCCGAAAAATAGAAAAACCGGTATCTTTTTCCTCTCAAAAATGTTTACAAATATTTTTGTAAACTATAAGTTTATTGGGAAAGGACAGAAAACGGATTTTGGGGCTTCGCCTGGGACATTACAGTGGGGGACCTGACCCAGTAGCAAAAAAAGTACCATTTTGCATCCAGGAAGTGTCAAAAAATCTGGCAAAATACCTCCCAATCCACGGGAAAAAATCAGATTTCAAAAGCGCGCCCGCACTTTTTGTGACGAATAAGGGCTCGCCCTTCAAAACGAAGTTTTTCACCTGGAGAAGGAAGTATCGTGCCGAGACGGGCTGGTAGTACAAGGCGACATTGTTTGCAACTTTTGCCTACCAAATATCGTCTTCTGCAAAGCGCGACTCGAGAAGGACGTCTTAGAAAAAATTGATCAATGCCCACTTTTTGTTCGATTTCCCGTTGTTGTTTTTTGATAAAAATGAACTCACCTTCCTTCATTTTGGACAAAAATCTGAATTTATGACGTTGAACGTGAGTCAGATTTACACCCGTTGTCTGTGCATCCAGGAAACTCAATGGGCAGATCTTGTTGTTTCTTCTCTCAGTCTGTGGAAAATAACGGCGGGTCGTCGCAGCAAAGTGTTTCGCCTCGTCGAAAAAAAGGTGCAGTCGTGCACCAAATCCCCAGCTTGGGCAGCTGTCGGAAGTCGATGATGGCGATTCCAAGGCGCCGTTATTTTCCCGACAGACTGATATTCATTTCCTGAAGCTTTTTCAACCTTTTGATGGCTTCCATTTCGGCTCTGCAGACTTGAGTTCTCTCCTCTAGAACCGTGCCATTTGTTCATCTGAAAACAAGACTAAATCCACCAAGAGTTTACCGATGAAAATGACTTCCGTATTTTCACCTAGTTTTTCGGTTAAAACCCGCTCAAATTCACTGTAAAAGGCCACAAAAATCAAGAGAAACACAACATACCCGAGGTGGAACCAAACTATTTTCAATTAGAGGTAATCCTCTCCTTCTTCCCTCTCTCTTCTCGTCGTTGAACTTCTTTCTTTTGTAGATATACTCGGAGCACGTGTTGGATTTGGGGAGGATAGGTTACCCCGAGAATAGGTTACCCACCGGATAGGTTACCCCAAAAAACACATAACTCGGAGGATAGGTTACCCCACCGGATAGGTTACCCCACGGATAGGTTACCCCTTACCAAAAAAAAAGAAAAAATTTTTTTTTTTAAATGTTTTCGCTTCGGGAGTTTAAAAAGAAGGATTTTTTGTGAAAATTGAATAAAATTTGAAATGTTTTCGCTTCGGGACTTGGAAAAAAAGGTTTTTTTGTGAAATTTGAATAAAATTTGAAATTTTTTCGAGCTGACTGAGTATGAACTGACTGAATATGAAAACTGGGTTTCTGTTACTTTACTACCTTTAGGGATTCTTTTTGAAATTTTTTCGACTTATTATAACACTAATATAACACTTTTAGACGTTAATGGTGTTGTTTTGGTGCCTAGTACTGCTTAAAAACACATTTTTAACACTTGGTACTAAATAGTACTACCTGGTACTATTTAGTACGAGGTGCAAATTTGGCCGTAAGGCGGTAATGGCGTTGGTTTGGTGCTTAGTAGAACCCAAAAACACGTTTTGACACTTGGTACTATATAGTACCAACTGGTACTGTTTTGTGAGAAGTGAAAATTTGGCCGTAAGGTGATGGTTTGGTGCTTAGTAGAGCCCAAAAACACGTGGTACTATATAGTACCAGGTGGTACCATTGGTTTTAGACAAAATTTTAGTGCTGGCGGCACCACAGTTAATATTCAGTCAGACACCCTTTTTTCTACTTCCGATGCGAAAAGATTTCAAAATTTTGATAAATTTTCCAAAAAATTCTTTTTTCCCCAGTCCCGAAGCGAAAACATTTGAAAATTTTTTCAAATTTCACAAAAAACCCTTTTTTTCCAAGTCCCGAAGCGAAAACATTTCAAAAAAAAAAATTTTTTTTTTCAAGTAACCTATCCTCGGGGTAACCTATCCTCCGAGGTTACCTATCCGAAACTTGGGGTAACCTATTATCCGGTGGGGTAACCTATCCGCTAGGGTAACCTATTTGTTAGGGGTAACCTATCCTCCGAGAACGAAATTTTTCGGATTGGACCACCGAGCACAAAGTTATTAATGAATAGTTTTTTCCATAATTCTAGGAACACCCTGTATGTGTAATGTGACTGGGTTATATTTCCCTGAAAATGATGACTATTTTTGTTTTCCGTTTTGGGTTGTTTTTTTTCTTTTTGTTATGTTTCCTTGAACTGGTATTAGTCACATTCTAATGGATTACAACTGCTATAACATTCAGCCACACATAATGGGCGGATGGAAATTGGAGGCTGGCCGATTCATGATTCTGGTCGGTTTCCCTGTGGCGGCGTTTTGGGCCTTCGACCAAACTGGCGTCTTCTCTTTTTTTGTAGGTTTCTTGACTTTCTCCCCGGTGACTCATGTTTTCTCTCCATGTTTAGATGAAAGGTTACCAAATCCCTTATAATGAAGAATCAGAAGAACGGGCTCGGAAATGGAAAGAAGAATTAGGTGAGCAGCGACGTCGAGAACAATATGAGAAACTCCTCAGGGAACAAATGGCATTCGAGGAGTCGCGGAAGCTGAGGGAACAACACGGAATCTGATCACAGCCTCGATTGTTGATCGTTTTTTGTTAGGCTGTGTAAATAATACTGTTTTTATCATGGCTTTCGTGTTTCACCGGACGTTTCGAACCGTGAATACTACGTTTTGGTCTTATTCCCATTCATTTTTTACAGTTTAACAGAACAATGTCGACCCTGTTGAAAGACGCGAAATTGTTTCGCAACAAGGGAGGTGCGTTCAGTCCGGCTGACGTCAAAGAGTTGGACGTAGGTTTATTTTACTGACCATAGTTGGGATGTAATTAATAGGAAATACGAGGTGATAAATAACCGAACCAACGTTTCAGGGGAAGGATGTGATTGCGTTCTATTTCTCTGCTCATTGGTGCCGTCCTTGCCGTGACTTTACTCCTCAACTCAAGGATTTCTACAACGAAGTAAACAAAGGTTCATCCAAGCTGGAGGTTGTGTTTTTTTCGTTTGATAACAACGAGGAGAGTTGTCACGATTACCTAAAAGAGGCTCATGGAGATTGGCTCTTTCTCGAAGCCGGAGACCCAAAAATTGGGTATGATGACAATTTAGAAATTAAGATCATCCGATTTCAAAATTTAAAAGACGATTTCTGAGTCAGTGAATCAGCCGCCAGTCAGGCGTGCACATAGGAAAAAATCGAATTTGAGTTTTTTGCATCAAAATGACTGTTGGCAGGTGCTAAACAACACTGAAAGAAAAAACATCATAAATTTTTGATGTTTTTCATCAGTCTATTAGATTTTGATAAAAACATCAAAAAAATTTTTTTGATGTTTCGTTTCATCAAAAAGAAAAAAAAATGCGATATTTTTTTTGATGTGGCGCACATCAAAAATTTTTGATGTTTGGAAAATCAAATATTTCTGATAATTTATCAAAAAATGATACAAATAATGTTAGTAAACGATTTATTCAAATAAACCGTTAGCCACAACATAATTTCGGCCGAATGGCTGTAATATTCAAAGAGGTTGACCATGTAGTCTACTCAATGAAACGGGCGTTTCTGGCTCTGATCCCAGACAACGATTGGAAGACAGGGTCGTTGCGTCGTGGAACATGTCATTCACCACGCCATTACCACCGGGTGTCCGCATCGCATGGCCTAAAGATCAAACTACTACAATATAAATAACTCACATGTTTGATGAATCCCGACTTCTCAAATATCGAAAGTATACTGTTTTCCATTGATCATCAAGCTTCTGGACGGCCCAGGCCTACAAATACACGATGTTAATTTTACCGTCATCAACCGCAGGCCGTCTTACCGAAAACACCATTCCAACTCTTCCATGTTAATGCTGACGATGGAGATTATCACGGGTTGATGATGGTCCTTGACGGAAAAATCGACATCCACCTATAAATTTACACAATCAAAATTTTAAAATTCTGAAAATATTTTGCGAGCTCACCATGGATAAGATACCAGACGAGTATTCCCTAAACAGTTATAGATGTAATTCTTCTTCTAGTTAGGCGGAGCGCAAGTCCAGGTAATCCTTCACGTCCGGGCAGACCTTGCGGTAAAGCGGATAGGTCTTGATGGTGCCAACTTCCATTACCCAATTGATGATGTTGCTGTGTGATGGGGCTTGTTCATTTTGCGGGAAAACAACACACCCAGAACGGGATTCGCTCTGAAGTCAAGTGTAATATAAAGAAAGGCCTGAAATTGAAGGAAATTCGATAAAATTTAAATCCAAAGACCTTGCAAACGAAGTTACATAACCTTTCATTTACTGATCTAAACATAAAAGGAAACAACAACAAAATTCGCTTACCTTACCTGACAATCACGATCGTTTACAAAAAATAGCAAAATTTATGAAGAGAAATCCGACCGATTTCTTGTATCTTCCTTTTTGGAGTTCAATTTGCGAATTGCAATTTGATAAACCCAAACATCAAAAAAAATTTTTTGATGAAAAAAGAGTGAAGATATAAGAACGCAAGAGCCATTTTCAAAAAGTACCGTAAATTTGCTCACTTTTTAGCTCGCAGGCGATTCTTTCATTTTGCTCACCGAAACGGCGAGCAAATTTTTCAAAATGCTCGCCGCCGCTGAAGCGGCGAGCAATTTTACAATTCCGCTCGCCGCGGCGAGCAATTTTCTAATTTCGCCTGCCTAGGGAAAGACTTGGCTTTGAGCCAAGTCTTTCCCCTTGGGCGGCTCTTCCTCCCAAAAATTTCTTTTGTCAAGATTAATATAAATTTCTTTATGTTGTAATCTGCATACATCGACAGGACAATAACTCCAAAAGTAAGTTAAATAAAGGGTCTTTCTAAATATGCCATGATTTTTTGCATTACATAAGCTTATCCTGGCGCATTTAGCCATTGTTGTAGGTATACAAATTTAGCTGAATGATGTTCGTTCTTGCGATTCCATGAATGAAATTTGAGAGTCTTCCACGCAAAAGAACCGGCGTCGGGCCTTTTTCGTGCCAGAATCGTTTCAGCATGAAAGGATTTTTTGTTGCTTCGATTTTAGATATTACAATAGGTACGTTTTTGATTTTTTTCTATTTTAGGTATGGAACAATTTTGACGTATCCATAGATGCGTATTTATACTTAGCAAACCATATTTCAAAGGTATCTGGTCGATCTAAAGCATGTTTAGAACAGTATGAGAGGTATTTCGGACTTTTTTTAGATCCACGTTATACTTGATCACTTAGGCCCTAAAACATCTCAAACCCGGGTTTGAAAGAATATTTATGTTGGGGACGGTTTAGTAATGGCTCACCTTTGTAGATGCGGGTTTAAACTTCAAAAACATTAGATTTTGCCTGCAACTTGATAAAAGTACCTAGTATAATATCGAAAATCGAATCAAGAAAAAAATCCTTTCATGCTGAAACAATTCTGGCACGAACAAGGCCCGACGCCGGTTCTTTTGCGTGGAAGACTCTAAAATTTCGTTCATGGAATCGCAAGAACGAACAGCATTCAGCTAAATTTGTATACCTACAACAATGGCTAAATGCGCCAGGATAAGCTTATGTAATGCAAAAAATCATGCCATATTTAGAAAGAGGGATAATTTAACTTACTTTCGGAGTTATTGTCCTGTCGATGCACGTAGATTACACCATAAAGAAATTTATATTAATCTTGACAAAAAAAAATTTTTGGGAGGAAGAGCCACCCAAGGGGAAAGACTTGGCTCAAAGTCAAGTCTTTCCCTAGGCAGGCGAAATTAGAAAATTGCTCGCCGCGGGAGGCGAAATTAGAAATTTGCTCGCCGCGAAAGATTTGCTCGCCGTTTCGGTGAGCGAAATCAAAGAATCGCCTGCGAGCCAAGAAGTGAGCAAATTTAGGGTGCTTTTTGAAAATGGCTCTTGCGTTCTTATATCTTCACTCTTAAAACATCAAAATCTCCTGCTTTTGATGTCGTCGACATCATAAATGCGTGATGTTTTATTTTGATGAATTTGAATTTGATGTTTTTTCTTTCAGTGAAAAGCGAACAATATTTTTTCCTAAAACTTTCAACAAGGTACCATTTTTTACTATTTACTGTTTTTGAAGTAATTGGCTACAACTGTCGTATCTTACCTTGAAATGCAATAATTTTGCGGCCTGCAACGTTTTCGACCCTTGCGAAGACGCTGGAAGAATTATTTTTGATCTATTCCTACTGTAACATACCGTAATACCGTATCGGCCGTCCACGGCTGACGCACTGACTCAGAAATCGTCTTTTAATTATTTGTTTTAGGGAAATCGCATACAAGTTTAAATTTATGGGAATCCCCGCCCTCCTCTTGGTCAACAAAAACGGAGAAAAGGTCGGCGATGTCCGTGCTGATGTCACCGTAGGTTGAACTCGTTATCTTTGACACTGATTATTCAATCTTCAGGATATTCCTCCCCTCGTGGCGATTTCGCAATGGATCGAGAAAGTGAAGCAATGAGTCAACTCCCGTTTTATGAATAAATGATATTTTTATTCGAAAGGAAATGCTTTTGTCATCTGGTTTGATACCCATGTGATTTCATAAAAATCTAATCTTCTGATTTTGACTTTTTTCTTAAGTAGTAATGTTAAGAAGTAATTCTTGGAATTTTTCTGTAAATATTCGATAAGGGGTCTTCGAGGGCGCTGATTTCGAAACTGATATACAATTTTTCTGATTTTGACTTTTTTCTTAAGTAGTACTGTTAAAAAGTAATTTTTGGAATTATATTCGATTTAGTGGTTTGGCAGCTTCCGTCGGTCGGGAAAATAATGTGGATTTGTCGCGCCTTGAAATCATCGCTTTGCCGAATCTCCAACCGCTAGCCGCGGTTGGAGATTCGGTCCGCCACTGCGACAAGACGAAGAATTTTGCTGCGACAAATCAACATTATTTTCCCGACAGACGGATAACAACGCCCATTAAAGAATTTCTGCGTATTTCGCCATAATCATATCTCCCGCAAACGTCGGTTGCCCGAAAATGTTGTGTCCGCAAGTGTGGATGCGTCTATTTGCTCCAAATCAGCGCCATCTTGAGACAAGCTTTCTTAATTCTGCGTACGAGACTTGTAAATCGCTTTGGTAACCTGATTCTTGTTAAAACAAAGTGTCAAGTAGGCTTATACACTGTCGTTGAAAATTGCCAACTAACAAAATGTATGATTTTTATGTTTTCATTAGCGAAATGAGGTTACAACGAGGCCTTCCGTCAAATATTTCGTACAAATACACATTTTTGGAACCGTTGTTGCCTGTTATCACAAAAATATTGTCGGCCATCCGTAAAAGTTGAAGGTCCTCCTTAGGGCAATCGAATGTGTTTACGAAGCCGAACTCGACTTTGAGCATGCCTTCATCGAACCGAGCAAACTAGAAATCAAACAAAATTCAAAGGGAAATTGATATAACAGTTGATCGTAAGGCGCTACGACTTTTCGGGTCAGCGACAGTTCGGATCAGCGATACTACGGATCGCGTCGTTTCCTCGTTGTATGCATGGGGAGGCTAGGAGAAGGCTTAGTCAGTAGAAATAATAAGATTTATCGGGTCCTAGGATTGTTTATCACCTATTTTGAGGTATTTTACATGTACAATAGGTAACAAAAACCAAAAAAGCTGGGTTGCCGTGCATGGCTTTGTAGGCACTTTCTACAACCTATTTTTGAGTATCTACCTGCCCTACGCGCCGTATCGATCGATTTTGTATTGACCCGAACTGTCGTCGACCCGAAAAGTCGGGACGCGAGTCGTAAGACTTTTCCTACCATCAAAACCCCGATGGTACAGTATGCAAAAGTCGTCTCATTCAGTCGCACACTGCAATCTTTCAAGTTCTCCCAAACCATTTTGATTCCGTCTTCGCCGGCTTGAAAAAGAGCCATCTTATGCTCGGTCTCCAGAAGCAATTGGTCCCCACATTGAATCATATCCACAAGTATGGCGTCGTACCATATAAAGCACTGTCTGCCCGTCTGCATGTCATAATAGTTGATCTTGGCATGCTCTTCGTAAAGCAAATCGGTCACAACGAAAAACTTTTCATCCGCCGCTTCCATAAAAGTCCTTGCATCGAGATGCGAGCGGACTTGAAACACACGGGTCCTTCCTCTCTCTCCTGGTGTTGAATAGAAGATGTCGACTATGTTGTTGCCATCACGTCCTTCGTATTCCCCGTAGTACAATCGGTTCAACTTTTTGTCGTAATACGCAGCAACAGCTTTTCGATCCACGAACTGCAAGAGAAACAGTTGTTTATATGTGTGTATGTATTAATATTTGATCAGTCAATTAAAGATTACAACCAGTCTTATATCTACAACCAACAAAACACGACATTCTAAAACGGACATATCCATACACAATGTTTCTAATTCGATCTTTGCTATAACTTTCTATGCAACCGCGTGATCCTATCCGTATCCTACAAGGAAAGTCTCCCAGCTGCGAATAATTTTCTCTTACAAAGGAAGTACCCCAAGCGCGACGCTCAGATTTTCTTTAAATTTTGCACACACTTTTGTCATATGCCACTTATCAATTTTAGCTCGCGCTTGGCAGACGCAGCCGAGATATTCAACGATCTCTGCGGCCGAGAGAGCACGCCAAACGCGGGGAGCGGCCTGATTGTGAGAAGAAAACACTTTATGCCATATCTTTGCCAGTTTATTGCGGAAATCTTTGATTTTTTGTGGAACTATTGCCCTCTACGGTAGAAACGGACATGAAACTTTTCATGATAAAATCCGCAAAAAAAGTGTTACACTTTTGTCAACTTTCGATCTAAAAATCTCGGTCATTTCTACAAACCGGTGGCTAGAAATCACGGATATGTCTTGCTAAAATCAATCTAAATTTGTGACAAGTTTCGTCAAAATCTCAGCGTCGCACTTACGATTAGAGCGTTTCCCTTGTTAGCTTAAAAACGCGAGTTAAAAGTTTCAGACATTGACATGTTGCCCATGGGTGTGCAAAATGGAAAGAAAATCTGAGCGTCGCACTGCAAACGCTCCTTTGGCAATATATATATCAACTCATGTTTTACGGAAATACGAACATTTATAATCGGCGGTCTTTGCTGATGATGGAGACCTATCTACTTCGACTTTTGACAAATAATATTCCAGAAATCTTGCACAGTCAACTTACTAATTGCGCCCAGATACGAAGCCACAAAACGGCCTCCTCCCGTCCAGCCCATTTCTTTTCGTTATTGTAGATCCGTATTCGCCCGTTGAATGTAACCCAAGACCAAGCGGAGTCGACATAGAACGGTTTGTCTTGCGGTTCTTCAAACAACACAGTGAACTCGATGTTCACTTTATGGTGCCTGTCGAAGGTTTGAAACATCTCCTTTAGCGTGTTGTTGCACGTCGGCAAAGCTTGAGATCTAAGGGTGTTTCTCGAAACGTAGACCAGCTCCCTAAAGGTGGCGTTGACAGTAAAAGAGGCATCGCAATCTGAAGTACCTGTACACTCTCTCAGCACGCGAAGCCGTCTTGTCCGTCGTGCAACGATGAACTGGTGGGAGTCGTTGGTCGGCCCAACTCATGTCCGAGCAGTTATGATGATAGAGCTTCAGGACGTCGAAAGTCTTCAAGCGACGCAAAATCAACATGCGAACCTGCAATATTGATATTCCTTTTTTCAACAACTGCAAGGACACTTTACGGAAGATTTGGTGCCGGATTTTTCTCATAACGGAAGCACCCATGTGCGACGCTCAGCTTTTCTTTAAATTTCGCGCACACTTCGGGCATAGATTAAATATCAATTTCTAAAGGTTCCAGCTCGTGCTTTGCAAGCGCCGTTGAGATGTCCAACAATGTTTAGGGCCGAGAAAGTATCCGACGCGTATCAGGGAGAGAAACACCTTTTGCCATAACTTTGCTAGTTTCGTACGGAAAAATCGATTTTTTATAGAAAAATCACCCTTTATGGTAGAAATAGGCATGAAACTTTTCTGGCCTAAATTTGGCAAAAGGTCTCAAACTTTTGCCGACTTTCGACTTAAAAATCACGGTGGTTTCAGCAAAGCGCGAGCTAGGATTCTCGCATATATTTTATAGAAAAAATTATTCTAAATTTCTGCCAAGTTTCAAAGCTAAAATTTTTAGAATTGATATGTGGACTATACCCGGCACGTGTGAAAAATTTAGAGAAAAAATGAGCGTCGCACTTGGCGTACTTCCTCTGTCAGTTCGGAAATTTAACATCTTCTTGCATGTGCAATATTTGACTTACTTCCTGCGGCAATTTGTGCAGCAATCTGTTGGAAATTAAAATTTCATCATTTACAGCTCCAAAATCCAAAATCTTTGGTACCGCGTCATCCTCGATTTCTCCGTTCTTCACATCGTTATAACTCCAAAATAGGGATGTAAAGCTTCGTGCAAAACTCAAGAGGAATGACATAGCGCGTATGAACCAGGTTAAGGATGAGACAAATGCATTGGTCCGCAATCCCAACGGAGAGAAGGTAAAAAGAGCCTAAAATGACTGTGCAGAAGAAGCGGTAAAGCGATGCAAGCGTTGAGAAAAGGTAACGCGAGCAAAAATGATTGCTCCTTATTGGCCCTCATCCTTCAGCAGGCTTTCTGTGTTTGTTAACGCTCACACATTCGGGCAGCCGCTCTTGTTACATTTGCGGGCAGCCGACACTTGCGGGCAACAGGAAAATTATACGAAGATTCAGCGGTAAATTTTTGGGAATCAACCGACAGTAGCGGGCGAATGGCACTTACTTTTGAAAAAAACGTAGTGAAACCTACGTACAACGAATCGCTAGGGACGAAAAAAGAGTTTCGTTATAGAAAGGTTTTGATGTACAGAGGTTTGTAGCTGACTCTTAGGGCTTCTGAAATCGTTCATTTTACATATCAGTCTGTCGGAAAAATAATGAGCACAATGTTGTTGCGCCGATTGTGTCGTTCAAGTCAGAAGGCCGGCTAGAGAGCGTAAAAAATGTCCATTTTGACCGATTCTAGTGTTTGGACTAACTAAAGCGAGGAACAACATCGTGGGGTTCGCTTTCGCCTTGATGGTGCCCTATATGGCCAAAAAATCCGTTGCCCGGAATCAGAGATTGCCACGGGTCCGGAGCCGGCTTTTGGCTCCGGCTCCCGAGCCCAAAGTCGGAGCCAGGCATCTAGCGTTCATAAAAGTAAAAATTTCATGATCTTGTTAAACCAAATTGCTTGAAAAATACTGGGAAGGATGTGAAGTTTACAAACAATTTTTATCTGCAAACATTCTCTTAAAGCGACGCGTGACGGCACCAAGCTACTACTGAAGGAATTTCAGATCTTCGCAGAAGTCTTGAAGGAACGTATCAACGAATTTTATAATGAAATGAATACTAAACTCGAGTAGGAAAGGAAATTGGTCGCCGAATTGAGACAAGACTCGAAGCTCTCCAAATCTCAATGCGAACTGAATCTGCGCAAGATGCAAGGCTATAAAAAACGGATGGACGAAGAGATTGAGCGAAACGCGGAAGTAAACTGGCGTCTTCAGGACATGGCCGAGGAATTAAACCGTCTAACAATTCATTCTAATACGATTTCGAGTGGCAAAGAATCGGAAAAGAAGCTCGAGGAGTCATCTACAGGCGAAAGTTTTGAGGTCCTTAATCAAGATCAATTCCAAATCTCCGACGATTCTCCTCATGACTGATAAATTTTTATTTTTTTCGTTTTCTGAAAAGCTATTTTCTTCCTGAAGAATAAAATGCGTTTTGACTATCAATATTTGAGTAATATTACGAAATACATGGCATCTGTGCCTTGCGCGGTTAATCAAGGCAGATTTATTTCAAGGTCGAAATAGTTCTGGAAGAAAGGCCTTTTTTGTCTGTCCGAATCTCTTCATTTCGCGTGCTGTCTCGACAAAAAGAAGACTGAATATCTCGGGTGCCACTGTAAAGTGGGTGGCAAAACTGTCACCAAACCTGCCCAAAAATTGACACTTTTTTTCCGATTTCGGTTCACAAATTTCACGATCGATTACTAATGAGGTCGCAAGATATTTCTCCAAGAGAGGAACATTTTCTCGTCCGTGGCAAGAAAGTTTTGGACAAAATTCCTTTTTGCCTGCCTAACTCCTCATTTTACATGCTAGTTCGAAAAGAAGGCTGCTGCATTTCTTGGCTACCGCTGTAAAGTGGAATGTAGAAATTTCAGGAACTAGCCGTAAATGCTTTCCTAAAAGTTCTATATTCCACTTTACAGTGGGAGCCGAGAAATTCAGCAGCCTTCTTTTCGAGATAGCATGCAAAATGAGGAGAGTTAGGTAAGAAAAAACGAGTTTTGCCCAAAACTTTCTTGCCACGGATGATAAAATCTTCCTCTCTTGGAGAAATATTTTGCGACCTCATTAGTAATCGATCGTGAAATTTGTGAACCGAAAATCGCAAAAAAAAAAGTGTCAATTTTTGGGCAGGTTTGGTTCAAAAACTCTCGGCGGTTTCCAGAAAAATAAAGGCAATCATTCCGCATATATCTTGAATTATGTTCTAAAACCTAGCCGGCTTTGATCCAACTCTGTTTGTCGCATGTTAAAGACATCTCATTGCCAGGCGTTATTGAAAAATGATGTTATACATGATGAGCAACATCTCAAAAGACAAAAATCAATTTCGAAAATTGTGCGAACAAATTAACTAAGATTATCAATAACCTAAAGCCAACTTTACTTCACTAGACAATAATGCACCAATAATTTCACAACAAAAACTGAATTTCTAAAATTCGCTGTGAAGATTTGACTGAAATTGATAAATCCTCGGATAACCTAAAACATCAAAGCCTATCAACTCTTCATTGTCAATTTCGAATGCTAAAAATGCAGTAAGTTCCTTGCTAATCGATAAAACGCCCATCTACAGCGATTTCACAGAATGCCAAGGTTTTTTGATAGTCCTCAATTTCGTTGTGGGAAGAAGAAAAAATATCGATTTTTTTTCGCTAGAATATTTATTTCGTCATTTTTGTTTATCATGATCATGAAATGGAATATGAACGCTTTGTACTTGAGTTTTTTTCTGATTTTGAGTGTTTTTTATATTCATGATGCGAGCATTCGTCTACCAACTTTTTTAAATGTCTCTAAAGCGTTTTAATTTCAGAATACCCACAAATTTACTCGCTAGCCATGGCTAAGATTCTGTTGGATATGGGAAATGACGAAATCGTCGAGCTCAAGAAGGACGATTTTGACCGTACCGAAACGATTTGCGGATTGATCGAGGAGTACCTGGAAAACAACGACGTTTATGGATTCTCGTACGAAAAATGCACGTATAATGGAGTTGACATCTTGCCATCTACTGTGTTGACTAAAGACCATAAGGAGATTTGTGTTAAAGTCAGACCAAATAAGGTAAATTTTGTGTGTTTAAATTGGTTTTTAGAAGAGAAGATGTTGTAATGCAACGCTCAGATTTTCGTAAAATTTTGGCGAAAATTTAGGTAAAATTTTTAAGAGATTTGTGAGGTGTCTAGCACAGCGATTTTAGGTCGAAATTTGGCCAAAATTCTGGGGTTCTTTTGCCTGTCGCGAGCTGAAATTTTCAGTAATTGATACATGGCCCTGATGCATTATGTGTGTTAAAAATTCGAAGAAGATCTAAGCGTCGGACTTTGAACGAACTCCTTTTTTCCAAGAGATTGTTTCTTCAGGGAATTAGTAGTTATTTTTGATTTGTTTTAGCTGTGTCGTATCTCCGAGTCCGTCGTCCGGCGGCTCACCCGCCGTTTTGACGCGAAATTTTCGGCTATTATGAATATTCTCACGGAAAAAGTGGATGACGACACTTTAAGCCGAGTTCAAACCGTCAAGTCGATGGTTGGCCAAGTCCTCAGTCCCAAAGACACTCCAGAGTACACGAAGTTGAACGCCGATTACAGCGATCTTCTCAAAAAGCTTGCCTCGACTGAGGAGGAAAACAGTAGATTGAAGGAGGTTATCCAAAAGTGTCAAGCTGAATGCAGAGAGAAGGACGAAATTTCCGGCAAACTCCGCGACGAACTGAACCGCTCTCGCTCCCAATGCAGCACGAACTTGCAGATGCTGGAGGGATACAAGCAACGGGTCGACGAGGAGATCGAGAAGAATGTCAAGTCCAAGAACGATCTCAAGGGCTTGAATGAGAAAATCGCACAGCTTCGGGAGCAAATCGAGCCGCTGAAAAAGGAGTTGGCTGCGAAGGAGAAGGCTCGGAAGCAACAGGAAGAACTTGGAAGAGAGATGGCCCAGAAGGCGTCGGATGCCAATGAAGAGGGAGAAGGGGAAGAAGAAAGTCTTGAGGAAGAAGAAAGTCTTGAATTAGAATTAACTTTTGATGAGGAAGAAGAAAGTTCTGAGGAAGAAGACGAATAAACAAGACATCAAGAAATTGAGGAAGTTAACGACGGAAACACGGCGACAGAAAGCGTCAGTGGTGGAAACGACCTCTTCTTGTCTCTAATCAGTCTCCAAATTAATCTGCCCATAATAATAATAATAATAATCTAACTCACATTTGTTATCCAATTTGTTATTTTACTTGTTATTTTCACAGTTAAATGTTGTTTTATTTTTGTTGAATAAAAACCCACAGAAATATGAAGTGCAAAGAGTAATTTTGTTTGTTCGATGTGATTACCTTTTGTCAGTGATAATAATTTTTAATTTTGATTTATTGCTGGGGGTTAATTGGCATTTCCCTTATCAGTGTGAAAAGATTTGTGGGGCAGGATCCGGTGCTAAAAAAGCGCATCCCATTGCTTCCAGGAAGCATTCCAAATAGTGCCAAATGTCTCCTTTTCTGGCCGAAAATAGCTTTCCTTTGAGGAGAGAAGGCTCATCCGAGCTAGGACGAATTGGGCGGCGCAAAAGATGCAATGATCAATTCTCGATCAACTGTTGGCAAAGGCTCCGTTTTCTGGCCGTATTTTTGCCAGTTTCGTCCGAAAGAACTATTTAGTTTTTTTGAGGAAACTTCTCTCCTTACGGGAGAAATAGGACATAAGACATAAAAAGTTTATGAACAATTTTTATCTGCAAATTTTCTCAAACGTCGATTTTTCCAACAAGCAAGTTCAAGCCAGTTAATCCATCTCGAAGTCTGAGCGGTAGCGCTGGTTTTCCATTCACGATTGCTCGATCAAATGGGAAGACAAAAACAGTGCGCAGGCCCAGCTAAAAATTCGCAATGATTATGGCGAAATACGCAGAAATTATTTAATGGGCGTTGTTATGCGCCTGTCGGGAAAATAATGTGGAGCTGTCGCAGCATAATGTCGCAGTCTAACATCAAATCTCTCGATTTTGCGCGATTTCAAGGAGCGACAAATCCACATTATCAGTCTGTCGGGAAAATAACGGCGGATCGTCGCATCAAAATGTCTCGCCACTATCGCGCGCCAAATCTCCAGCTTCGGCAGCCGTCGCAAAGCGATGATGGGCGATTCCGAGGCGCGACGATCCGCCGTTATTTTCCCGACAGACTGAAATTGGCCGAAAATCCGAACAAAAAAGTCTTGGAATGTCTGCACGGTGCGCTGTCGCACGAACAACTTGTCGCACGGCGGCGAGTAAAATACACAGTGCACACCGACCGCGCACAGTGCGAAGTGAATGTTTTTGGAAAGGATTGGATTTGCACAGTGCGTTTTTTATTCGCACTGTGCTGACTGTATGTCGCGAAAGCCATTTCGCGACGCCGACCGAACTGTGTAAAAATACGTCAAGACAAAAAATCGAGTTTAATCCGTCTGTCGGGAAAATAATGTGGATTTGTCGCGCTTTGAAATTGCCCATGATCGCTTTGCGACGGCTGGAGGTTTGATGCGCGACTGCGACGAAAAATCGCAAAACTTTTTGCTGCAAAAATTCCACATTATTTTCCCGACAGACGGTACAGTGAGGGGCTTTTTTGTGGTTTCGCCTGGGACAGTACAATCAGGGACCTGATCCAGTGGCAAAAAACGTACCATTTTGCATTCGGGAAGCATCAAAAATGTGGCAAAATGCTTCCTTCTCCAAGTGAAAAAAACTTCTGTTTGAAGGGCACTCCCTTTCCCTCACAAAAAGAGCGGGCGCGCTTTTGAAATCGGAGGCTTTTCACTTGGAGAAGGAAGTATTTTGCCACATTTTTGATGCTTTGCCGGATGCAACATGGCGCGTTTTTCGCCACTGGGTCAGGGACCTCACATGTGGCAATAGCGACTCACACTCTCCGCCAATTTCGTAGAATTCACCGCCGAACACTCGGCCTGAGCATACAAAATCCCGTTTTTCTTGGCCAATCGCATCGATTCTCTCCACAGAATCTTCCCGAAACCGTGGCCGAGAAACTCCTTTTGAATGGAAATTCGACTAATCGAGTAGTAGGGGCCAATTGGAATGTGGAATTTGACGACTTTTCGCAGCTCTTTTATCATCACTTTGATCATCCGCGCTTCGGCCGGAACTTTGGTTAACGCGTTGCAGTCTGAAATACGACAAAAAAATTTGTAGTAAAGAACAAAATGGGTAGTAAAAATTACCTTCGGCATAGTCAGCCTTGAATCCAGTGAAAGTTTCGTCGGCTTCTTTGACCTCGCCTTTAAATCCGGTCGAAAATCCGATTGCGTAGTCGTCAATGGCGACTATCACCGACAGACCCTCCTGCAGCTCTTCTTTAATGTCAGCGGTAGGAAGGGTTTCTTTGAACAGGTCTTCTGGAAAGAAAATAGGGTAGTATAAGTGTAATATACATATTCATTTTAAGGAAAGTTGGCATAAAAGCTTTCATGCCTGTCTCTGCCGAAAAGAGTAAGGCCTCCACAAAAAATTAATTTTTTTCGTGCCAAACTGGCAAAGATACAGTGGGGGACCCGATCCAGTGGCAAAAACATACCATTTTGCATCTGGGAAGCATCAAAAATGTGGCAAAATGCTTACCCTTCCAAGTGAAAAAACTTCGTTTCGCGCCCTTTCACTCAAAAAAAGAGCGGGCGCGCTTTTGAAATCGCAGTTTTTTCACTTGGAGAGGGAAGCATTTTGCCACATTTTTGATACCTCTCGAATGCAAAATGGCACGTTTTTTGCCACTGGATCAGGTCCCCACTGTATGACCAAAAAAACTTCCTATCCCAGAGATGCGATGAATTCACATTATTTTCCAGACAGACTTCACACTTGTCGCGCAAAGTCCGCCGAATTTTTTTTGGCCACCTCGTGGGGTGTGCCCGCGAAAAAAAACGTATCGCGTAGGATTCTACGGACTTTATGGCGCGCCTGGTGTCAGTTTGTCGGAAAAATAATGAGCACAGTGCCGCTCTCCCCAGAATTTTTGGTCATCTACGTCCTTGCGGTGCGGGGGACTCATAAAGTCTACGCACGAAAATATAATAATAATATCAGCTTGTCGGGAAAATAATGACGACAATGCCGCTGCGCCGGTCATGCCGCTGAAGTGAAAAGAAATTTGATTTGGCCGCGACACAATTCATTTTCTCGGCGGCGATGCGATTTTCGATGCGACAGAGGGCTCATTGTTTTCCCGACAGGATGATACCAGGTCTTTAATCTATTGTTTGCTTTGCGAAGAGCTCAGACAAGTCTGTAAATACTTACTCATCTTCTCCGTCATCGGATTCAGCGGCATCATCTCGAAAGCTCTGATTTCCGCAATCACCTGCAGGTCCTCCATCTCCGCTTTGAAATACTTCACAGTTTTCTCCAAATTATTGCAGTAAAACTGAAAAAGTAGGTCGCGATTCGCCTTAGGAAGCTGGTATTTTGGCCAAGATGGATCCATTTATAGCACTGAAAATTCAAAAAATTATTTTTTCAATGGAAAAAGAGAGAGATTAGAGTTAAAGAGCCCAGCATTTTTTTCGTTTCCAACGGTTGCAAAACGCCAAAAAGCGGGGCTTTTATGAACTTTTATGCGAAAAAATGATCAGAGAAATGTTTGGTGAGAGTGTTATTTCGCAATTAAGGGGTTGGTTGTGACTTTTGTACAACAAACCTCTTTTACAGGGTGTCCAGAGAAATTCCGCGGAAAGTGTTTGCCGATTTCTCAGCGCTCAGGCAAGATATCCAAAAAATTCTTTTTGCATTAGAAAGAAGTCTATGGGCGGTTTTTTTTCTAAAAAAATTTTTTTGTCCGCCGACGCGGAACATACTGTATTCGGCGGAGACTTTTGGTAGCTTTTTTGGCCATCACACCAATCTTAAAAGCTTCAGTACGATTTCTGATGGTTAAAAAGAGAATGTTATCTTATTTTTATGTGTACCAAACGTTCGGCAATGGAATGGCGAGCTTTCTGTATCGGCGGAGGCCACAACTCAGCTTTGGATAGGAGACGTCCCAAACATTATGTGGCTAGCATTCTTTGCTGATCCCATATGCTCTCTAAAATTTCGTCGCCAAGCCTTGGCAGCAGCTTAGCCATCAGTAAACGACTTGGTGCACCAGAAAACAACAAAATATTTTTCGTTTGAACTTCCCTTTGCCCCGCTGTTTCAAACTTCCGCACGGTGCGGTCGGACTTTATCGCTGTTGACGCAACTGCACAGTGCGGTGCAGTCGCTAAATGCGATTGCATATATGTCGTCGGTCCCCTGATCCTCTGTGGAAAAAACTGAAGGCTTTCCGATAGTTTCAGGATCATAGTAAAGCGCTTAAGATTGGTGTGATGACCAAAAAAGCTACCAAAAGTCTCCGTCGAATACAGTATGTTCCGCGTCGGCGGACAAAAAAACTTTTTCAGACAAAAAACCGCCCATAGTCTTCTTTCTAATGCAAAAAGAATTTTTTGGATATCTTGCCTGAGCGCCGAGAAATCGGCAAACACTTTCCGCGGAATTTCTCTGGACACCCTGTAGATAAAAATCCATTCGTTATATCTATTTTCTAACAAAAGACATACGCGAGGCTCCAACCACCGATTTCCAAAAAAGATCGGTGTTTTTAGGATGAAAACATGCACAAAAATGGAAAAAGTTCCTTATTTTGGCCACAACAAAGGTACTCCGCAAACTGCGTCCAAACTTGGGCACTAAAGTTAGGAAAAAACGCTTCGACCTAGCTGAATTACTATAATAGCTCTATAGTTTTAAGGGTACCTACGAAGGCTGTGACGACTCATTTAGTTCCATACGGAGGCAATAAGTTTAGTTCCGGACATGTTTCATCGTATAAAGTGGGCTGCGGCCGGTTTTGAAGGGTAAGATGGTACGTAAAAAAGAAGGTACCTCACTAACTAAATCCACTGTCCGGGCACTGACAACGATGAATTGAGCGTGCACGCTAAATTTGGGCTAATTCCGACAAGTTTCCGCAAAGTTATAAGTTGTGGCCAAATAAGGAACTTTTACCACAAAAATTACACTTTTTTGCGAATTTTGGCATGAAGAGTTTTCTATGATTATTTCTACCGTAGGGAGTAATATTTCTCCACCGAAAATCAATTTTTTCCGCACCGGTCTGGTAAAGAGATAGCCTATATAATTTCCTCTATGACGGCTCTCCACGTTTCTCGCACTCTCTCAGCCGCAAGGACTGTTGAATGTCTGCGACTGCAAAGCGCGAGCTACAACTTTTTGGAACTGATATGTTGCCTATGCCTGGCATGTGGGCAAAATTCGATGAAAATCTGAGCGTCGCACTTTTTTTAAAATTGTTTGTGTAGCCCAAAATTATTATCATTTACAAGCTTCCGCTCCAAATTTACGGTAAAAGTTCCTTATTTTGGCCACAACTTATAACTTTGCGGAAACTTGTCGGAATTAGCCCAAATTTAGCGTGCACGCTCAATTCATCATTGTCAATGCCCGGACAGTGGGTTTAGTTAGTGAGGTACCTTCTTTTTTACGTACCACCTTACCTTTCAAAAACGGCTGCAGCCTGAGATTTTACACTTTATACGATGAAAAATGTCCGAAACTAAACTTATTGCCTCTGTATGGAACTGAATGAGTCGTCACAGCCTTCGTAGGTACCCACAAAACTATAGAGCTATTATAGTTATTCAGTGCCAGCTAGGTCGAAGCGTTTTTTCTTAACTTTAGTGCCCAAGCTTGGGCGCAGTTCGCGGGGTACCTTTGTTGTGGCCAAAATAAGGAACTTTTTCGAAATTTACAATTTATTACACACCAATTTACAAGACTTTACAATTCTTCAATCCGGAATACGTATTCTTCGCCACCAAGATCACCATTTTGACAACAATATAAAGCGCTACAGCTACGATGCTGAACAAGTCCAGATAGAGGTACTGGACCCAAGAGAGTTCGATTCCCTTCCGCTTGAACCACGTGTTCTTGCCGTTCTTTTTGATGATGCGGTTCGTCAAATGGACGGCCATCTCCAAGTTGGAAATCGGGCCCGCCTTGTAGTGCTCACGGAGTTTGTTCATACGTGTTTGGTAGGAGGGGTCCGTGAGGATCTGAAAATCGTTTTTTTTTTGTGAAAAAGTTACTGTCTAAAATGAGACTTGTTGTCGGAAAATCGCAAATTCTTGAAGGAAAATGGTAATTTTTCGATAAAATTTTTTGAAAACATAGATTAGAGCTTTCGATCAGTCTGTCGGGAAAATAATGAGCACTCTGTCGCATCGAAAATCGCGTTGCCGCAGAGAAAATGAATTGTGTCGCGGAAGAAACAACACTTCAGCGATGCGATTGGCGTAGCGACAGTGTGCCCATTATTTTCCCGACAGACTGATAAATTTGAGATACCCCAAAAAAACTCTTTATAAGCTACTTCAACATACCTTATTCACTTCCTTGGCCACGTTGTGCTCGCTGATTGTGAACTTGTTAATCAACCCGGCCACCTTCTTCTTCGCCAATTGCCTTCCATTTCCGGCCTGTTCCGCGAATAATGGGAAGAAAACCGTCGGAGTTGCCGAGCAAATCGCCTCTTTCACACTTTTTATTCCACCATGGGAGATGAACATCACCGTAGATTTGTGATTCAGAATCCCGACTTGAGGCGCCCATGAGACGATCTTGAAATGGGGTTTTAGGTCGAAATGGATGTCCGATTTCGACGAAACAATTATCCGATAGTCGGTGAGTTTGTTGAGTGCCGAGAAGAGGGCGTTGACAGTGTGTTGCGGGGCGGCGGACCATTGAACCACGGAGCCAAAGGCGAGGTAGATTGTGCCTGAAATGGTGAGTTAGTTTACAACGGAAGTACCACAAGTGAGACGCTCAGATTTTGATGAAATTTTGCACATACGATATGCAGAGGCCACGTCTGAATTTCTGTAGGTCTTAGCTCGGCCGAGGTAAAACAGTCCTTGCGGGCGAGTCATGTCTACATATTCCCGAGAAAAGTACAGTGACGGACGTGATCCAGCGGCAAAAAAAGTATCATTTTGCATCCGGGAAGCATCAAAAATGTGGCAAAATGCTCCCCCCTCCAAGTGAAAAAACTCCGTTTTGAAGAGCACGCTTTTGAAATCGGAGCCTTAAACTTGGAGAGGGAGGTATTTTGCTACATTTTTGATGCTTCCCAGATGCAAAATGGTACGTTTTTTGCCACTGGATCTGGTATGAAAAGTTTCTTACCTATTTGTACTATAAAGGATTATATTTCCACAAAAAATTGTTTTTTTCCGCACAAAAACTGGCAAGGATAAGGCCAAAAAGTGTTTTTCTCTCTGACCTCCCTCTACATATCGTGTACTCTCTCGTCCACAAAGATTTTCGAAAATCTTGGGCCTGAAATCTCCACTTTTCCGTAGATTTTCTTCAGATTCCCCGATCTAACCTTTGGACGTCTTGTCTTCCATGAAAGCCTTCAATTCCCCGGTGACGGGATCTCCTTTTGCACAGTAAGCGCCCACCGAACGGAAGTCATAGGCTTCTAAAGAGAAGATGATTTACATTAGATATACCAGTCTGTCGGGAAAATAATGAACATTTCCAACAAAAAACCCTTACCTGCAGCCGTATCAAACGCTGTGAATCCGTCGCTAATGTAGAGCGATCCTTCTGTCCTCAATTTTTGAAACGAAAACCCATTCACTCCCAGCTCTCGGATGGCGGAAAACATTGCCGCTGGCGCGAAATTAAACAGCACAAATTCCAAGGTGTTCTCGGCAACTGTGGTCAGTCGATGAGAGAATTTTTTCACATCAAAAACGTCATCCGAATCCCTCGGAATCGGGGTGAAAACGCTCTGTTTCGCGGCCCAAGAGCGGCCTAAAATTGTGATTTTTGTTTTGTCCCAAAAATGGCCAAATTATTTGTTTCTTGGCCGATTTTCGATCAGTGTTTGGTTGATTGAGATAGAGCGATCTTACCCATGGAATTCCAAATCGCATCGGGCTCAAAAATATGCGATGTCATATAGTTGATGTAAGGGGTACCATAGTGCTGTTTATGGTATAAGGCCACGGCATATCCTTGATTATTGAACAAAGTATCGATGATAATCAAATCCCAGCGCCGAGTGAAGATTTTCATCAGCTAAAAAGCTGAGATTTTTTGGGAAATATCAGCTGAAAATGGGATTTTTTGAGAAAAATGGGGGTTTTAAACAAACACAGTAAAATCTTTTGGGGAAAACAGGAGTTGTGAATTCGGAGAAGCGTAAAATACGTATCGTTCGTCTATGTTTACCTAATTTTTGAGTCAAATATATGAAAAGTATCAAAAAGTATCAAACGGTATCCTTGATACTTTTTGAAACTATCAAAAGGGATCACGCATTTTTTCTATAAATTTTAAAATAACGTTGAAATTCTGTTGAAAAATTCATTCCTGGACGGTTGAAACAGAACGCCAAAAGGTTTGAAAAATGGCGGGAATTTAAACTTTTCCGTTTTTTTCCTGCCAAATATTTGCTGAAATTGTAAAATACGTTTGGGTATGCTCTGGCCTATTATTTATGTACCTTTTTTTACCCAAAAACCTCAAAAAGTATCAAGAGTGATCCATGATACTTTTCAAAAGTATCAAGTGTTATATCAACAGGAATCACGTATGGATTTTAATAAACTTTAGAATAATGTTACATTTGTGTTAAAAATTCATTTCTGAAAGGTTAAAACAAAATGCCAAAAAGTTTGAAAAATGGCGGGAATTTAAATTTTCCATTTTTTTTATGCCAAATATTTGCTGAAATTGTAAAATACGTTTACAAAACCAATGCTTGTTATTTATTTACCTTTTTACACAAAAAACCCCAAAAAGTATCAAAAGTGATCCATGATACTTTTCAAAAGCATCAAGTGTTATATCAAAATAATCACGTATGGATTTTAATAAATTTTAAAATAACGTTGAAATTTAGTAGAAAAACTAGTTTTTGAACGGTTGAAACAGAATGCCAGAAAGTTTGAAAAATGGCGGAAATTTAAATTTTTCCAAATTTTTCCTACTAAATATTTATTGAAATTGTAAAATACGACCGGATAATACTCGGGTTGTTATTTATTTTTCTTTTTACACAAAAACCTCAAAAAGTATCAAAAGTGATCCATGATACTTTTCAAAAGTGTCAAATGTGATCAACCTCAAAATAACTTACATCCTCCGAATACTCGTCAATTTCCTTCTTTAGAACCACTTCATGCCCAAAAGTGATCATTGGCGGCTCATCAGAATGGGAGCTCATTTGCCAGAAGATTGTTTTCATCTGGTTCACAACACTCGTCTCATTGACCCGACGAATTTCCATTTGAAAAATATTCTTGTGCTTGAAGGTCGGGGGTTTTTCAACGCCCGTATGGAAGATGGTCACGTTGTGACCAGCATCGGCGAGGCTGAAAAAAGGCTTTTTCGGGAAGTTTTGAGGATTTTGATGACTTTTGGAAGAAATTTTTTGGGAAAGGCAGTACTAAAAATGTAATGGCCGGATTTCTTTGAAATTTTGTAAATACACTGGACATAGGCCTTAGATTAATCCCTGATAATTTCAGCTGTCCATCTATAAACAAAATTTTTTTTGAAGCTATACTTCAATATTTCGAAAAAATATCATAGAGTAGCCAAAGTTACATCGATTTTTTTCAAATTTTTCATGGGCCTTCTACAAATACCATTTATTAACTGCTGAAAGTTTTGGCCAGATCCTTGTCAGAAGAGCCGAGATATTCAACGATCTCTTTGCGAGAGAGACCATGAAAAACGAGGAGTCGGTCAGAGAAAAATCTTTTTTTTGACTATAACTTTTTTTATTTTACTCAGAGAAAAACGATTTTTTGAACATTTATTTTTTGCATTAGGCTTATTATAATCTGAAAATTTCAAGGCAAAACTCAAATTTTTTTTTCTATTTTTTTCCAAAAAAAAATTTTTACCTCTCCAAATACGGATACATGCTGTACATGTGACTGAAAACCCCATCCGCATAGGTTGCCAAAATCTCAGCGCTTCGAACTGCCGAAACTGCAGCCAGCAGAAGAAGAAGGGCCGTCAACTTCATTCCGAGCAGCAGAGACTGAAAAACAGACAAAACTACGGGAAGAAACTACATATAAACGAGTATAAACGAGCCCAACAAGCAAAGCAGAAGTCAAGAAAGACGCTTGTTGTTAGAGTTTTCATAGCGCGAACTTTGGAACTCAAAAACAAAAAGGAGCGACAAGACAAAAACCAATATCGCAAAAAGTATGCTCAAGGAATCAAAAAAGATGTTCAGGGAATCCACATTTACAATATTATAGATAACACTCGGCTCAAATTTACAAGGTGAAATTTTGCGCATTCCTTGGGCAATTATTTTCTTGAACAAGGGGTTTTACTTGTCTCAAAAACAGCAATAAAAATTTAAAAACTGCACATTACAAAAGAGAGATCATTCAAGTGCGACGCTCATTTTTTCTAGGCCACATATCTCGAGATAAAAAAACTTTTTGGCCACATCTTTATGCAAAAATTACACCCTACGGTAGAAATAGGCGCAAAATTTTTTCTGAAAATCCGCAAAAAAATGTCGTATTTTTTCAAATTCTGACCTAAAAAACTCGATCGTTTCTGCAAAGCACGAGCTAAAAGTCTTGCATCTTTTTTCACAAAAAAAAAGAATTATCTAACTTTGTGCCAAGTTTCATTAAAATCTGAGCGTCGCTCTTCGGACCCCTTCCCTTGTAAATTAGAGAAATCAAAGAGGGAAAGGATTAATTTGAGTGTGCTTTGTGATGTTTTTACAACTAAACACCCCAAATTTACCGCTAAAAAAGAGCCGGCTAGACTGAAAAATTTCAAAAAACAAAATTTTAAAAAATTTGTAAAATACGATCACCATGAAAATTAGAATCATAAAATCAACTTTTCAAGATAAAATTAGCAGTAAAAAATAGCAAAACAGTAAAAAAAGTTCGAGTTAGCATTGAAACAGAGTTCACGTTCAGTTTTCTCGCCGGAAATCCGATATTCCTCTTGATCCGACACCTAAAAACCTTCAAATCGGCTTGAAAAATTCTCCATACACCTTCGAGAATACGAATTATTCGAAAAAAGACTAATTGAAATCAAAATTTACTATTTTTTGAACCCTTTCACCATTAATTAACCAAAATTTTCAAAAATTTTCGTTTTAACGAAAGCGAAAATTAATTTACAAAACCCCCCGTTAAATTTGGTTCCTTTTGTGTTAAAAGGCGATTTTATATCGACTACAACGAGAAGAAAAACACAATTTCCAGACTAGAAAGCAAACTAGAGGACACGGAGTTCCGCTGATTTCCTTGTTTTCAGCGATGAAATGTCGTGGAAAACTAGGCGCATTATACTCCATATCGCTCTTAGTGCAACTACAATCCACGTGCATATCAGATTTCATCAATTTACAGTTGTTTTTTGGGCTAAAATTGAGTTTTTGAGCAGTGATCACCAAGTACAATATAATTTTTTTCAACTCTCAGCAAATTTTACTAAAGCTAATAATTTTTCATCGACTAAACAGAAATTTCATCAACTTTTTAGTCATCATACATCTTGTACACAGTAGAAACAACAATTACAGTTTTCGTCGGCGCCTCGCCACGAAAACATTGGAGTGCCAAAACTTCTTGGCATTCTGTTGCCACGCATTTGTTATTTTTTCGGGTTTCTCGGGGTGAAATTGTCCACGTTCACTCACTGTCGAGAGTGCTTTTGTGTGGTTTGTCGGCTGGATCTTCCATCCATTTCGGTAAGGTTCTCTTTCATCCCATCCGCTTTTCACGTTTAGGTATGAATGTTGAAGTTTCACGGGGAATATCGGAAAAGCCTTTTGTTCTTGGCGAGAAGATGAGTAATACGGCGTTATCAGCTGGAACGCAACGTTTGATAACTGAATTGAGCAGAAATTTTGAAAACTTTCCCATGTTTTTTGGAGATTATATATTATCCTTCTTCAGTTTGAAGTGGTTGGGGAAAATTGCTAGTTTACCGGGCAAAATTTGAGTCAAACGTAATGTTCTTGGTCTTAAAAGATGTGACATGAGTTGATCTTGCTAATAGAAGTTCAAATTCCCAAATATATCCAGTTTAATTGAAGTTATACGGCTTTCCGATATTATCCTTCCCAGATCTAGGTAATTAGTATTTTCCGATAAATTTCAGCCATTTTCCGAATTTCCGGAGATTAAAATCACACCCCATCCGACTTCCGATATTATCTACCCCCAATACACATCATAGACACGTCAATTCACTGTATTGTAGCAGTTTCTTTTCTGGTCTGCCTACTCTAATATAATTTATTCAAAATTTGCGTGGAGCGAACACACCCCGCGATTGAAGTGCGACTCATGGTTTTCTCCGACTGTTTGTTGAACCATATCGAAAGCAAAATTTCCATTTTCGCCTCGGGAATTAGAATTTTTTTGTAAAAAAGGCGAGCGGACAACACTTTTTTCGACGTGGTGCGGAACGTGGCGTCCTTCTAGGGGCTGGGTAATGGGCTACGTGCAATTAAATCTGGTTAAAATTTTGGTTTTGATGTTTTTTCAAAAATATTTTGATATGATTTATGTCATGTGTAATATAATTTTTGATGACTTTGATGCCGAAAAGGCTTTTATTAGGTGCGAAATTCCTGTTTATTACATATTATGATAAGTTCTCCCATATTATTTGAAAATTTTCGAAGTTTTAGGCCGTTTTTATATTAATCCCCATGTGTAATATAATTTTTGTCGGATTTATTGCCCAATCTTTTTCCATTTGATGTAGAAGGACAATTTCAGATACTGGGTAAAGTTTACCGACAGAAGCCGGCGGTTTAGCCCCTAAATTTATGAGATGTTGCGACATCTCCTCCTTGTCCTGGCTGTTGGACTAGCCCCAGTGCAGACGTTTTATCTCCCCGGTTTGGCTCCAGTCAACTTCTGTGAAGCCGATCAGCGATCGGCTAAATGCCCGGTAGGAGATTTGGCCTCAAAAATCGATTTTTTTGATATTGTAGTAGTGATCTGAATATAAAAATTCAAATTTCAGAGCAATGTGACGTTATTTGTCAACAAATTGGACAGCGATCAAAGTGTAATCCCATACGAATACCATAGCTTCGACTTTTGCGTCGGCTCCGAGGACGAATCGCCCGTCGAAAATTTGGGTCAAGTCTTGTTCGGCGAGCGAATTCGACCCTCTCCATATAAGGTACGGTGTTTATGTTGTTTGTTTGGAGTTTTAGGATCATGAAGGAAGCAGTGATCAAAAATGGAAATGAGTTTTTTACTTTGATCCAGAAAAAAATTACGAATTAAATCAGGTGGTAGAATATCGAAAAACTTATGTTTTTTTGTCAGAGAAGAATAAAAATGAGTTTTTGGTGGTAAAATACGTGGCGCTTTGCAATTCAGTACTGTTTGAGTAGGAGGTTTCATGAGATCACGGAGTTGTAGACGTGGATAATATAACTGATGCCTAGTGTAATATAATTTTTGGCGTAGAAACTGCGGAAAATACCTTTAAATAGAAGTTTAGGAATGTTTAAAGCGTATGAAAATTTTTGGGACAAGTTTTCTTTCAATATGCGTCAATATCGGCATGAACAACATCCCGATATCAAGTGCAATATAAATGATTTTCAGATTAGCTTCAAAGAATCCCAACAATGCACCAGCCTCTGCGAGAAGACCTACGACAACGCGAATGCCGTCGACCAGGACAAAATCAAGTTGTTGTTCCGAGGAATGAAGCTGAACTACCAGCACCATTGGATCATCGACAACATGCCCGTCACATTCTGTTTCATCAACCAGCAGAATATGAACGTCTGCACCACTGGCTTCCCCATGGGCTGCTACGTCACCCCCGAAGGCAAACCGAAGGACGCGTGCGTGCTGGACACCAGATATCGCCAGCCGGACAGCTACTATCTGTTCAATCATGTCGATATCAAGATTGAATATCGCGATATGTCCAATGATCCCAACTTTTTGGACGAGAAAATTGGTGGAAGAATTATTAGAATCAAGGTCCAGCCGAGAAGGTGGGATTTTTTGGGGGTTTTGAAAAGTTTTATATTGTACTAGGTGGTAGATGTTTGAAGGGCAAAAAATCAAAGTTTTTGGTAATGAATAAGTCTTCCGAAGGGATTGTAGGGTAGATTAAGGCCCTATGTTGCTAATCCGTGGCATATCACCCGATTTTTTTAACGAAATTTGCAAGAATTTTGCATTATATTACTTTAGATGAGCTTCAAAAATTTGATGAAAGTTTTTTTCGATTTTTGTTTTCAGTATCAAGCATGAGGACCCCAACAAATTGGATTGCTCCCTTTCGGCCCCTCCTCAGGCTATCGGCAGCAATGACAAGAACTTTAAGGTTCATTACACCTACTCCATTGTTTGGGAGGTAAGAAATTAACTTTGATGGGGTTGTTGGGACTTTTTTGAGTTCAAATAGTGCTATAGAGTGTTTCTAATATTTTTTGGGTATGAAAACTTTTGAAATCGCGAAAAAGTATCATGGATACCTTTTGATACTTTTTGAGGTTTTTTGCGGAAATGATGGAAAAATCGGTTTGAATGTATTTTATGGTTGATTAGGAGTATTTTGAGAGCGTTGTGTTATAGTATCAAGCTTATTTTATCAACCAATTTGCGATGTTTTAGAAAACCGAAGTGAAATGGTCCTCGAGATGGGATTACATCCTCGATTCCATGCCCCACACCAACATCCAATGGTTCTCGATCATGAACTCGCTGGTGATTGTCCTATTTTTGTCCGGCATGGTCGGAATGATCCTCTTGAGAACCCTCCACAGAGATATCGCCCGATATAATCAACTCGATAATGAAGAAGACGCCCAAGAAGAGTTTGGCTGGAAATTGGTCCACGGAGATGTCTTCCGAGCCCCTAGACATCCCTTGTTGCTTTCGGTGTTTGTTGGAGCCGGATCTCAACTGTTGTTGTGCTCCAGTATCACTTTGAGTAAGCTTTGAGAACGGTTATTAAGATTTTGATGGGAGTTTTGAGGAAGATTGGGGGTTTGGAGTAGAGACGGTAGGAGAAGAGCTCGTATTTTACAATTTTTTGGGTTGGAAATTGAATTTTGAAGATTTTTTTGCTTTGGGGGCCTTGGACGTTATTTTAGGCAAAAATTGGGTATATTGTTGTTTTTTAGGGGGAAGTAGAGGTTATAATATTTGGAAAAGGTATTTTTTGGCGTATTTTACAGTCTCCTTAAAGGTGAAGTCGAACTTGATATTTTTTTTTGAATTTTGGATGTTTTTTGGCATTACAGTGACGGACCTGATTGATCCAGTGGCAAAAAACGTACCATTTTGCATCCGAGAAGTATCAAAAAATGTAGCAAAATACCTCCTTCTCCAACTAAAAAAAACTCCGTTTTGAAGGGCCCTCACAAAAAGAGAGGGCGCGCTTTTGAAATCGGAGTTTTTTTTTCGCTTGGAGAGGGAGATATTTTGCTACATTTTTGATACTTCCCGAATGCAAAATGGTACATTTTTTGTCCCTGGATCAGGTCCGTCACTGCAATGTCAAAAAGCATCCAAAATTCAAAAAAAAAAAAATTTTTTTTCTCAAATTCGACTTCAACTTTAAAGAGACTGTAAAGTACGCCAAAAAATACCTTTTTCAAATATTATAATCTCTACTTCCCCCTAAAAAACAACAATATACCTAATTTTTGCCTAAAATAATGTCCAAGGCCCCCAAAGCAAAAAAATTCTTCAAAATTCAATTTCCAACCCAAAAAAATTGTAAAATACGAGGTTTTCTTCCACCACCTCTACTCCAAACCCAAAAAAGAATTGAGTTTCTATTTTTTTCTTCCCCTTTTTACTATTTTTACCTTGTTTTAGTCTTTGCCTGCCTCGGTTTCCTCTCCCCCGCCAACCGTGGAGCCCTGATGACCTTTGCCCTCGTCTTCTACGTCCTGTTCGGCATTGTGAGCGGCTATGTGTCGGCGCGCCTCTACAAAATGATGGACGGCATCAACTGGAAGACGAACATCCTCCTCACCAGCACCTTGATCCCCGGCATCATGTTTGGGGTCCTGTTCGTCACGAACTCGATGCTCTGGGCCAAGGGATCGTCGGCGGCGGTCCCATTCGGCACCCTGGTCGCCCTCCTGGCCCTCTGGCTCTTCGTCTCGGTCCCACTTTCGTTCGTCGGATCCTTCTTCGGCTTCAAGGCCGATAAGATTACGGCCCCGGTGAGAACGAACCAGATCCCAAGACAGGTGCCCTATCAAACCATGTACACCAAACCACTCCCAGGCATGCTCATGGGAGGCATTTTGCCATTTGGATGTATTTTTATTCAATTGTTCTTCATCTTGAATAGTATCTGGTGAGTTGGATTTTTTTTGGGATTTTGGAGGTATTTTTGAAAAAAATGTGGCGTTTTTTGGGGTAGACAGAGAGTAGAGAGATTGTAGAGGATAGGAGAAGTAATTTCAGATTGGAAAATGGGAGATTTGGAGGATTTTTTCGCCTTCTGGGATCAGATGTCAAGTATAATATAATTTTAGTGGAATTTTGAGGACAATGATGGAGTATGGGGAGGATTTAGAAACTGTAAGGTGCATAATGAGATTTAAAGCTGATTTAAGGGTTAAAATGGCTTGTATTATAAGAAAATTACTAATTTTACCATCTGATGTCATGTATAATATAATTTTATGAAGTTTGTGCAATATATTTTGAAACTTTGCGGGAATTTTGTGATTTTTAGAAATTAGAAGCCTTAAAATACGATTTAGAATCATTTTTGTGGATCTAAATTATTTTTCCCATGTAAAAATTTCGATTTTACCATCACGTGTCATGGATAATATAATTTTCCCGTTTTCAGGGCCCACCAAGTCTTCTACATGTTCGGATTCCTCTCGTTGGTCTTCCTGATCCTCATCATCACTTGCTCGGAGGCCACCATCCTCCTGGCCTACTTCCATTTGTGCGCCGAGGACTATCATTGGTGGTGGAGGTCGTTCTTCACCTCGGGATTCACTGCTGTCTACCTGTTCGCGTACTGTGTTCATTACTTGAGCAAGTTGTCGATCCAGGGCACCATCTCGACCATTTTGTACTTTACCTACACCGGTATTTTCGTCTTCTTGTTCTTCCTTATGACAGGTGAGGAATTTTTGAAAATTTTGTGAGTTTTAGGTGGATATGGGGAAGATTAGTGGTGGAATGGGGGATAATAGGAAGAATAGAGGAGTTGGAAGGATGATTGAGGAGTTTGAAGTGGATTAAGGGACTGAAAAGGCGATATTTTCCATAAAATAAGGTGAAAATGTCATGGAGAATATAAAAAGTAGGTCTAAATTGGGCAAAATGGATGTCATTAGGAAGGACAAAGAATGTGGAGGCCTCATAGAGGCAGTTGAACTAGACTAGAGGTCCAAAAAAGGGATTTTTTACCTAAAATAAGGTAAAATTGTCATGGATAATATAAAAAGTTGGTCCTAAGTGTGATAAACAGCTGATTTATGGGTTGGAAATATCATAAAAGACATGGTTAGAGAATTTCTGAAGCTAGTAATGACCAAAGATTTGTTATCTAAAAAAATTTTTTGATTTTTTTAAATTTTTTGGCCATTTTCCCTCAAAAATCCCGAATTTCCAGGTGCAATCGGCTTCTTCGCCACCCTCCTCTTCATCCACAAGATATACGCCTCGGTCAAGGTCGACTAAAGCACCGCCAAATGCTCCACGGACCTGAATTTGAATATATTTTCCCTCTAATTATATTTAGAATAAAATAACGGATAATTTTTGTGATTTCTCCTTTAGTATTTGTCGTTTTTTAGCGTCACAACCGCCTTTTTTATATTGTCCATCCAGCTAAGTCCTAATAATGTCGTTTATTAGTGATAATAAACCCTGTTTTTTGATAAAATCTTCTGATTTTTAGAGCAATTTTGTTATAATTGATCCAATTTTTCGGTCGAATAAATTATTTGCCTTGATTGTTTTGGGGAAAAAATTGAGATTCTTGTGTGAAAAGGTGAGAAATGGCCAAATTTAGGCGCGTTTGAAAAATTACAGTACCCCCGAAAAGCTACAGTAACCCAAAAAAATTACAGTAATCTTTCAAAAATTTAAAATACGCACATTCCAATGAAGACCTGGTAAAATAAAACGACTTTTTTTTAGAAATTACAGTAATCCAAAAAAATTACAGTAACCCAAAAAGTTACAGTAACCCTCTCAAAAATGAAAAAAACAACGTAATACATAACCCAGCCGTCTGCAACACACACTCCTACGAACAAATAACCAAGAGTTTAAAAAAACAGTAACCCAAAAAGTTACAGTAACCCTCTCGAAAATGTGAAAAACGACGTTGTATACAACTCAGTCGTCTGCAAATACCCACTACACGTCAATCCAAAATAGAAGAAAAATTTTCCCGCCCCTTTTTGGTGATTCGTTCAAAACGAAATGTCACTCCGATAAAAAGCATTTTCTTATCTTTCTCCTTCCTTTTCGAGAAAAAGCAATTATTTCGGGCGAGAAACAGTGCCGATAATTTCGCGACATTTCGTCTCTCTTTTAAATCAATGAAAACGATACGAAGTTTCGAAACGGTTCAGGAAATGCGCTGGATTGACGTGCAAAGCCCTTTCCAATGTTGAAAATTCGACTTCTGTATGCTAATAAGGTCCTTTTATTGTCTTTTTGGGGACGAAACAGATTTCGGACCCCGGAGGTGCATTTATGATATGTGGGGTTGTCTGTCTCCATCACATCACATACGCAAATGAAACGACTTACAGACGCATTTAAGACGCGTTGGTTTTCATTTGTACATCACATCACATAAATGAAGGCTCTGTTGATCGCTGTGCTGTTGATTGTTTGTGCTCTTCTACTGGAAGCGTGGCCTGATTGCCTAATCGACCCGAATTGCGAAGGACAGTGCGAAAGTGACTGCAAATACTGTCATTGCACTATGTTGTTCAGCTGCGTCTGTTACGATTTGTGATGACCCACTGCTGAAAAATAAATTGTAATCATTTTGGCTTTATTTGTGAGGGCAAATTCTCTCCGTGAATGTCTTGTTCTTGTCCTTGCTGGAGTTCTACCGGTTGTGCAGAGAAATTCGCCGGACCCGTCAATCCAGCGCATTCCCTGAACCGTTTCGAAACTTCGTATCGTTTTCATTGATTTAAAAGAGGGACGAAATGTCGCGAAATTATCGGCACTGTTTCTCGCCCGAAATAATTGCTTTTTCTCGAAAAGGAAGAAGAAAAATAAGAAAATGCTTTTTATCGGATAGTGACATTTTGTTTTGAACGAATCACAAAAAAGGGGCGGGAAATTTTTTCTTCTATTTTGGATTGACGTGTAGTGGGTATTTGTAGACGACTGAGTTGTATACAACGTCGTTTTTCACATTTTCGAGAGGGTTACTGTAACTTTTTGGGTTACTGTAATTTTTTGGATTACTGTTTTTTTAAACTCTTGGTTATTTGTTCGTGGGAGTGTGCATTGCAGACGGCTGGGTTGTGTATTACGTCATTTTTTGAGAGGGTTACTGTAACTTTTTTGGTTACTGTAATTTTTCTGGATTACTGTAATTTCTAAAAAAATCGTTTTATTTTAAGAGGTTTTCATTGGTATGTGCGTCGTTTTGAACGAATCACAAAAAAGGGCCGGGAAATTTTTTCTTCTATTTTGGATTGACGTGCCGGAGAGTTTTGATCAATTCCTTCACGCTATTGATTTCTTGACAGGATGTGCTCGGACGCAAAAACGACAAGCCGTGGACCGAACCGGTATGGTTTGGTTTCTTTTTATCAGCTCTCTGCGCAACCACTGTGCTATTGAAGCAACCCTTTCAGCGGATTTTTTCCGCCCAAGAGAAAGACAGATTTTTGTTGCACAATGACCTACGAATAATACATTTTACAGTATACAGTCGCGGAAAGGTATACTGCAAAGCCAATAACCCCAAAAAATGACAGTAACCTCCAACTCGCCTAAATCATGTATTTTGCTGAACAAATATCACTTTCATAACGATAAAAATCGGGTTTAACAACCAGAACAAGTTCAAAAAAGCAAAGAAACGGCATGAAATCGGTGACAATAAGGCAATCTTTATAATCTCGGGATAATTAGAGGAACGGGGGTAAAACAAAGGTCCTAGATGAGCAAAAGTCGGTTTGATCAGTACGAGCGGACCTTCGGGGGGATCCAGTCGGTCTCGGATTTGTCCAAGGTGTCGTCGATGACGGGTCTGTAGTTCAATTTCACCTCGCCCGTTTCGACGTTCTGGTTGATGATCGAGTGTTTGCGCCAGTGTTCGTCGAACGACTTCTTGGTCTGGCCGTCCAGTGTGGGCTTCGAGTAGTCGTATTCGTCGAGGCGGTCCTGGAAATCGGGCAAGTTAGGAGGGACATAAAAAAATTTTTTTTGATGTCTAAATCAACCTAAAATAAGGTCAAAAATCTCTAATTTTGACCTTTAAAACAAGAAAAATAGAAAGAAAAAGCTGTCTAAAGGTTCAATTCATAATTCAAGCCCATAGATTTCTGTTCAAAAATCCAAAAAAAAAAATATTTTTTTTTCGAAAGTTCACCTAACGAGGGAATGGTCTGAACTTCCCCCAGCGTTTGGGAAAATGACTAGTACAGGTGGATAGAGCATGTCAACTTTGGTAAAAAGAGCCATTTTCCAGCTGCGAAATAAGCCTAGCCGACGAGAAAAATCGACCGAAAGTTCCACAAAAATTTCCTCTTTCTCTTCCCTCCGAAAAGAAGAGCAGTGTCCAGTGGTTCGGTTAGCCGAGTGGATAAAGCATCCGCTCGATATTCTTTTGGGGGTTGGTTCGATTCCGGGGTCTCCCGAAGGACCCGTGATAAGGCTATGATGGGCAAGATGAAACTCCAAAAAATATTTTGCCATTTTTATACGTTTTATAGGTATCAGCCTGTCGGGAAAATAACGGTGGATCGTCGTATCAAAGTGTCTCGCCTCACCGCTCTCGCGCACCAAATCTCCAGCTGGCCGCCGCACGTCAAGAAATTGCGGGCATTGCAAAGGTTCTCACAGCGAAAAAAAATTCATAAAATCTGTCATCCAAATTGCACATAACAACAATGTTTAACCTAATTTTTTTTATGGGAGCTCTAGGGAGTACTACTAGTCGTATACAACTGTTTTTTATACCACTGGCACATTCTGAATGGGTGTCGTCGTGACGCATTTTTTGAACACGGTTCGAGCTAGGCTAAAAATAGTGCAAATTTCAAGGCCGAATATCAAAAAAACTGTCCCATCAAGCGGGACGAGACCGATGTAGATACTTGAAGAATAGTTTAAGGATTTTTTTGACGTGGAGCCTATACCCCCTTCCAGTTCTCTCTGACTCGGTATCGTCGATACAAAATTTTATTTAGACGTTGTTTTCTTCGCCTTGGAAGACTGTCAAAATACTATGATTATGGGTATATTTTGGTTCTATTAGCTTAAGCAACTCTCGAGCTTTCTATTGGTATCAATATCTTGTGATTTACTAATAATCTTTATGTCAAAATATTGCAAACCATTTGGACAAAAACGGATTTGCACCGGCCAGAATGCCAAAAAAAAATTCTAGGCTTTTTCATTGGGCGCCCGTTTTTCTTTTATTTTTTCTTGACGTGCGCCGTCGCAATGCGATGATAGGCGAATCGGAGGCGCGACGATCCGCCGTTATTTTCCCGACAAGCTGACATATAAAAATTTTTAAACAATAACAAAGTGGGGTACAGACCGTATCAAAAAGATAGGATTTTTTGATAACCTTTTCTCTCACCAAACGAGTATAACTTCGACGTTTTATCGCTTTGAAGGTTCGGAAGCACCCAAAAAATGCATTTTTTTGACGATTATTGTTTTGGTATAAAAATGTATAAAAATGGCAAAATATTTTTTTTTGGAGTTTCATCTTGCCCATCAAAGCCTTATCACGGGTCCTTCGGGAGACCCAATCGAACCAACCCCCAAAAGAATATCGAGCGGATGCTTTATCCACTCGGCTAACCGAACCACTGGACACTGCTCTTCTTTTCGGAGGGAAGAGAAAGAGGAAATTTTTGTGGAACTTTCGGTCGATTTTTCTCGTCGGCTAGGCTTATTTCGCAGCTGGAAAATGGCTCTTTTTACCAAAGTTGACCTGCTCTATCCACCTGTACTAGTCATTTTCCCAAACGCTGGGGGAAGTTCGGACCATTCCCTCGTAAAATAAGGTCCAAAAACCCTAATTTTATCCAAAATTTCACCGGCACACATCACCAGAAATCCTAAGCATCCTACATTCTTCCATTTTAAACCATTTCCCACCAGTTCCCATCAAATCCCAACATTATTTTCACCTTATTTTACACACCTGTAACATCACCTAAAATAAGGTAAAAAATCTCAATTTTATCCGAAACGTGCCGACCTATACCTTCAACAAGCCATATCTATCTCTATTCTTTCATTTGAAGCCCCTTTCTTCCACTTTCAACCAAACTAAAACACAAATTTCACCTCACTTTACCAAAATTGACCTAAAATAAGGTCCAGACCCAAAATTCCTGCAAATTTTCCACTCCAATATTCCCCAAACCGCCCCAAAATCTTTCTCAATTCTTCTTCCACTCCTTCTTACCGGGAAATCATCTCTGGCGTGGGCTCCTCTCGACTCTTTGCGATTTTCGGCGGCCACAATCGTCTGACTGGCGTTGATCAACAAATTCTGCAGCTCCAGCGTCTCAATCAGATCCGAATTCCAGACACGCCCTTTATCGGTGACTTTGACATGTTTAGCTTGTTTATACAAATCGGCGACCTTTTTCACGCCCTCTTGAAGGAGATCTCCTCGTCTGAACACGGCGGCATGTCTTTGCATCGTTTTCTGGAGTTCCAAGCGCAAATCCGCGGTGGCAATGTCGCCGTTCGCGGTCAACAGCTTGTCCACATTGGCGATGGAGGACTCTCCGGCGTTGGCGGGGAGTTCGGGGACCTTGTCGCCGGGTTTGCTCAAGCTTTGGATGGTCAACGCGCAGGATCGGCCGAAAATGACCAAGTCCAACAAAGAGTTGGCGCCGAGGCGATTGGCTCCGTGAACCGAGTGTGCGGCGCATTCTCCTGCTGCGTAGAGGCCGGGAACAACCTTGTCTCCGCCTTCGCGGGTGTAGGTGATTACTTGTCCCTTGTAGTTGGTGGGGGTACCGCCCATGTTATAATGGACGGTGGGGATGACGGGGATCGGTTCTTTGGTCACATCGACGCCGGAGAAGATCTTGGCAGTCTCGGAGATACCTGAAATGGCAGAGGATATAATCATTTCAAACAAAATCGACCAAACTTTCAAAAATTTTCAATTCCTTGCCTAGTATAATATAATTCAGGTCTTAAAATCAACTCAAAACGCTTTTACGTGCCTCAACCATCCAAAATACAACCTAGAAGTTCAAAAAAAAACCGGATTTCAAACAAATTTTTTTTTAAAAATCAAATTTTTTGTCTAGTGTAATATAATTTTTAACCAAAAACCATCTCAAATATACCCTAACATAACTTAAATTCAATAACAAGCTATATATAAAACCATTTAAACCTCCCAAGACATCAAAATTTCGACGAAATCATCTCATCAATTTTGCCCACTACAATATAACTTGACCTCCCAAACTGCCCAAATCTCCCCTTCAAATCTCTCCACAATCCTCCAACTTCCTTACCAGGCAATCTGGTGTTGAGCTGCTCAACTGGCAAGTGATGCAGCTGGAGATAAATGTGATCCTTATCCGGGCCCACACCCCTTCCTTCCATGATTTCGATGGTCATTGAGCGGGAAACCACGTCTCTGGAGGCCAAGTCCTTGGCCACGGGCGCGTATCTCTCCATGAATCGTTCGCCTTGGGAGTTGATCAGGTATCCACCCTCTCCACGGCAGCCCTCGGTCATCAAACAGCCGGCGCCGTAGATTCCGGTGGGATGGAATTGGACAAACTCCATGTCCGAGTTCTGGAGACCGGCACGTGCGACGAGGGCGGTTCCTACAATCCGAACATTAGCATTTTCATAAAGTGGATGATTTTTTTTCTCTTTCGCACAGTGCGTTTTGAACTTTTTCCCACGCTTGTCGCCAACGCACAGTGCATTTTTCTCTTTTCGCACAGTGCACACCTAAAAAAATTCCGTTTGCACTGTGCAAATTTCTGGCGTCGACGCAGCGACGAAGTTGAAACTTGCTTATGTCGCAGCGATGTTTCGTCGCACAGTGCAAAAACCGAAAAAGATGGAACGCACTGTGCAAAATGGGGAGGTTTTTGCGCACGGTGCGGCCCGTGAAAAAAGTCTACGCACTTTATGAAAATATAATTAGTTTTTCATAAAGTGCGTAGACTTTTTGTCAACGCCCGCACCGTGCACAAAAACCCACATTTTGCACTGTGCAGTTCACTTTTTTTGTTTTTGCACTGTGCGGCGAAACATCGTTGCGACAAAAGCAAGTTCCAACAACGTCGCTGCCTCGAGCTCAGGAATTTGCACAGTGCAAACGAAATTTTCTTTAGTGTGCACTGTGCGAAAAGAGAAAAATGCACTGTGCGTTGACGACAAGTGTGGGAAAAGGTTCAAAATGCACTGTGCAAAGGAGGAAAAGTGTCCATGCACTTTATTACAATACTAGTAGAACCCATCATCGCCTAAAAACAGAAAAAAAATTCCAAAAATCTTACCATCTCCAGTGCAAGTGTGAGCTGAAGTGCACGAAAAGTAGGCTCTTCCGTAGCCACCAGTGGCCAAGACGGTGCTGTTGGCACGGAAACGATGGATGGAGCCATCTTCGAGGTCAATGGCGATAACTCCAACACATTTTCCCTGATCCATCAACAAGTCGAGAGCAAAATATTCGACAAAATATTGGCAATCGTACTGCAGAGAGGCTCCATAGAGCGTGTGCAAGAGGGAATGGCCAGTACGATCGGCCACACAGCAAGTTCTACAAAACAATTGTATTTTTCGAGGTAAAATTTCCAAAGTTATGCCTAGTGTAATATAAAATTTTTTGAAAGAGCTCATAAAAATAATCTAATTAGACAGGACCAATACTAGCAAAACTTGTTTTTGCGATATTTCGGCCATTTACAAAGCATAATTGTTATATTCACCATGATGAACATTAATGATGTCATCAATATTTTTCTGTTAATGACGACCGAAATCACCCAACTAGACTCTACATACGCACCTATGAGCTTGTCCATCCTTTCCATAGTTATTAGATTGACCACCAAAAGCTCGCTGATAAATCTTTCCATCAGTGGTCCGAGAGAATGGCATTCCATAATTCTCCAGCTCGGTGACAGCACGTGGAGCTTCACGAGTCATGTAATGGATCGCATCCTGATCTCCAAGCCAATCAGATCCTAAAAATCGAAAATACTCAAAAATTTTATCTTACCCTTGACAGTGTCGTAGAAATGCCATCGCCAATCGTCGGGATTCATGTTTCCCAAGGCGGCATTGATTCCACCTTGAGCAGCGACGGTGTGAGAACGAGTGGGGAACAACTTGGTGATAACTGCAGTCTTATATCCACCTTCCGCCAAGCCCATCGCGGCACGGAGTCCAGCACCACCTAAAACAACATAATTTTGCTCAATTTTGACGTTTTTTGTTTAAATTTTTGGGTGATCTAAAAGTTGAAACAATAACAAAGCTTCACTCACCGGCTCCAACGACGATCGCATCAAAACTGTGGTCCACCACGCGATATTGTCCCTTTTGGCTAGTCTTGGCGTCGGCGAGGCCGCGAGCCTGCGCCAACGCCGGTGCCACACCTCGGCCCAACACCTGAACGCCAAATCGTGAGGCTGTTAACATGTTGACAACAAATTTGGGTCCAATCTACCTGAAATTTGCAACAATTTGAGACATTCTTCCACACACCGACCTCTACAACAACATAACTCAAAAATAACACGAAAAATTGCGCGAATTCCAAAAATTTTCGGTCTGAAATCAAAGACGAGTGAAGACTATACACTTTACAAACCACGGACTACACTTCGAACGTGTTTACCCGTTCCGATTTGCCCCGAGAGTTGAGAGATTTTCCTCCCCAAAACACGTGGTGATCGAGGCCGGGAGAAGCCTCGCTGCCTTCGCTGTCACACCAAAGAATGGCTGCAAAGAACGTTGCGGTCGGTCGGCGCGGCGAATGCGACTTCATAATCGGTGTGATAACGGAGAAACACCGAAGAATTATATTCACCTTGATAAAAAGTGCTTCGAGTCCGAAAAACAGCTGAACTTTAGAGGAAATTGTGCAAAAATATGTCTGAAGAGAGTAGCAAGGGCTTGTTTATGACTGTGAGGTCAAGTGTGAGGGAGATTTTGGAATTTCAATGGATATTTTTTAGGGAAAAATTAAATTTCGAGATTGTTGATGGAGAAGAAAAGAAATGGCCATAAAGTATAAAATTTTACGGGGGAAAATCTCCAATCACTTTAGAGAAGGCTCTTGGCCCGCAGGCTCATTCTACTTTTCGTCTTGAGGAATTTCCGAGGAAAAGACAGAATGCCAAGATTTTTGTTTTCGTGGTGGGACTCAGACGGATGCCGGATGAAACTGAAAATTTAGGTAAAATACGAATGTAAGTAATAGTTGTATATACTGCTGAATAGCCTTTTCTGCAAAAAACTTCCATTTTAGAGTTCAATTTAAAAAGTTATAATCATTTATTTAAAAAATTTTTAATTGTGAAAAAGTAGTAAATCAGTAGCCATTTCCACCAAAATTTATTATAAAATTAAAAATAGAGACCATTATCAATAAGCTCATACGCTGACTATGTAACCAGAGTCCACCGTGATATCGTTGTAGACGTTTCTTTCTTCAGGTATCATGGGTACGATCTGTTGCTCAAACTCTTCCTCAAAACAGGTCTCCTGCGTGGTCTCCGTCGCATTTCCACTCGTCTTGGCCGTGAGTTGACAATGCGCAGCGTCGCGCATCTCGGAAATGTAGACATAGTCGCGATAGGCGACCGTAATCACCAGGTATACGGTGGAAATGATGAGAATTTCCATTGGCGCCGACAAAAGAAGCATCCAAAATTTCGGAGTGTGAAGGGACTCGTCGACAACTCCCTCCAGATGGTATTTTCTTGAGGGAATTGCGGGGAGGAATTGCTTGAACCATCGATAAGAGAGGAGCAAACAGGCATATGTGGAGACGAAAACGGTCGAGATACCCAAAGTGCACTGAAAACGGGGGAATTCAGAATATTTTAAGGCGTAATATTTTTACATAAGATCTTTTTTCCAGGTACTGCAATAAGAGATCTAGAAAACCTAGAATTTAGTATGAAAAAAGAGGTCAAACGGAGAAAAATGATGATTTTGAGGAAAAAATCAAGTTTGGATAACTTTTGAGGTATTTTTTGGGTGTCCAAACGTCCATGAAGAGATATTTTCCCCTCTTTTCGAAATCAACAGTCTTTAGGTGTCCTCATAATATTTTTTTATGCCAAGTTTAGACCTTTTTAAAACTTTTTTCGACCTTTTTTTCAAAAAATGCCAATTCGGCAGCTTTTTTTTTAAATCTATGCTGCTAAAAAATCTCTGCTCCGATCTTCACAAAATTCCGCATAGAAAGTCTCTATGACTCGTAAATCAACCTCTTAAAATTTCAGCTTATGTCTTACAACGAGTCCCGAGATATTCGTCGATTTTTTGCCGACGAAAGAGTATGGAAAATCAAGAGAAAATGTTAGAGAAAATCCGCCAAATCAAAAAGAACTTACAAATATGACTAGAAACATGATGATGAAGAGAGGGACGGTAAAAATGTTGCCCATAAACAGTGTCATCCAGCCGACATTGCCAATAATGAGGATGATTAGAGGGAACCAATGAATCGTGTCGAATGTGAACAACAAAAATACAATTCCCGTTGAATGGACGGTAATTCCGATGATTGATAAGAGGAGGGTTAGGTTCTAAAATTGGTCTTTTATTGTTTCCAGTTAAATTCAATCTACTGCACATTTTTTGCAATCGGTCTGTCGAGAAAATAATGCGGAGTTTTTGCTGCAAAATCTCTCCTTGCCTCGTTGCGGTCGCATCTCCAGCCGAAGCTAGCTGTCGCAAAGCGTTGATAGGCGATTTCCAAGCTCGACAAATCCACATTATTTTCCCGACAAACTGACATAATGCTAATATCCTTCTGTCGGGGAAATAATGAGCATTTTGCCGCTGCGCCGATCGCTGAAGTCAAAAGCTATTTGATTTTTCCTAACCGCCTTGGCAAGAGAAGATAAAAAATTTTGAAGAATCAAAATCTAATTTTTACTTTTCTATCTTGTAAAAATTACATACATGTTTCCTGTCGTCGTATTTTAAAAAATGTACTGGAAGCTCTGTAAAACAATGCCTGTCTATAACGAACAGTGTCAAAGACGGATCAAGTTAGGCTCTACACGTCAAACTGAAATAAGCTAAAACAGTCCGGTGAATGAATTGGCAACTTGCCAAAAAAAGACGCGAAAAAACGTTTTGTCGGGGAAGAAGTGGGGATTTTTTGGGGCGAGAGAGTACGCTTTTGCGTGTCTTTTTTCTCTCTTTCTCTGGAAATTAAGACGAAATGCAAAAAACCGATAGCGAAGGGTCTATTCCGGTCACCGGACTCCTCAGTTTGACGTGCTCTGTACCGCCCTATGAGTCTGTCGGGAAAATAATGAGCACAACGTCGCTGCGCCGATCGCTGAAGTGAAAAGCAATTTGATTTTGCCGCGACACAATTTATTTTCTCGACGGCATGTGATTTTCGATACGACAAAGTGCTCATTATTTTCCCGACAGACTGACATGGCCATTATATCAATCTGTCGGGAAAATAATGTGGATTTGCCGCGCTTTGAAATCGCCCCTCATCGGTATTTTGGGCTATCCGCGGCTGGATTTTTGCTGAAACAAATCCACAATATTTTTCCGACAGAACCTCCGTATAACAAAACCTCTCTATAACAATCATTTTTTTGAAATTTACTCCTCCAAGCTCCAAGGCTCAACGTCTCTTCACTTACATGTACATGAATGCATTTGTAATGGAAATAATCCGTCTTTCTCGCCATATTTGTCGCCAACTTTACCTTATGTCCATCTGAAACGTAGCTAAAAAGCAAATAAAAAGTTCCGAAAAATATGGAAAAAGAATGACAATCCTTTCCGCAAAATACCAAATAAATCTCCCACTGGGCCAATAAATGTTTACTCTTTCCGTTGAAGAAAAAAAAAAACAAAATTCTCGCTAATCCGTCGAGAAGAGAAATGAGTTACGCGGCGGCAAAACAAAAGCACGGTTTTCCCCGCCGCTTCATTTCGTATGTACATGAACAGCGAGTCGAATGGGGCGATGGCATTACACGGCGGGAAAAGTTGGGGCAAGATGAGTGTAATGAGTGGGACGCCGGAGGGCGGAACGAACCCAAACAAGGTTCGGAATGACTTGTTTTGGAAGCGAACGTGTTAACAGTTAATTTACAGAAGTAAATTGTACAGTGACGGACCTGATGTATTGGCAAAAAATGTTTCATTTTGCATCAGGGAAGTATCAGAAATGTGGCAAAACACCTCCCTCTCCAAGTGAAAGAACCTCGATTTCAAAAGAAAGGGCGCGCCCTTCAAAACGAAGTTTTTTCACTTGTAGAGGGATGTATTTTGCCACATTTTTTGATACTTCCCGGATGCAAAATGGTACGTTTTTTGCTGCTGGAACGGGCCCACCACTGTAGAGTAGATTTTTGCTAACTTTCAATCCGTCATTGTAAGAGAAAAAAAGGAAAAAATGTTATAGAAAGGTTGCGTTGTGCGAATCTTCGTTTTGGCCTAACAAGGGAAGTACCACAAGTCCGACGCTTAGATTTTGATAAAACTTGGCACAAATTTAGAATAGTATTTTCCAGATCATAATGCAAGAATCTTAGCACGCGGCCGCGCGCGGTTTGCAAAAACGAATAAGATTTTTAGGTCGAAATTTGGCAAAAATTTGACGCTTTTTTGTAAATTTTGCCATGAAGATGTTTCCATCGAAAATCAATTTCTTCCGTGTCAAAGAAAAGTTTTTTTTTTTGACTGCTCTCTTCCGCCTTTCGCGTACTCTCTCTACCGCAAAGATCGTTGAATATCTCGGCTGTCCCTGCAAAGCGCGAGCTAAAACTTTCAGAAATTGATATGTGGTCTGTGCCTGAAGTGTGTGCGAAATTCAAAGGAATCCTTTTGCCAGCGCGGCATTTTGCATATTGCACAGTGCAAAATGCTTCGAAATGGCTCGCGCACACTGAAAAAAGAGGAAAATGACTGTACATGTGACCAAAAGTGAACATTCTTCTCAGAAAAGGCGTTTCTGAGGAGAAATAACGATTTTCTTTGTACCCATTGAAAAAATAGAGCACTGTGCAGCCAACTCCCGGCGTCGCGACACTTGCGGGCAACCACTTTGCGGGCAACCAGTTTGCGGGCAAATTTTTTGCGGGCAGAATTTGGGGGGGTCACATTTGCGGGCAGCTGAAACATTTGCGGGCAGCTGAGACACTTGCGGGCAGCCTGGGACACTTGCGGGCAACCGACACTTGCGGGCAGCCGACGTTTGCGGGCAACCGGCACCTGAGGGTAATAGGGTGGAGGTGGAAATATTACTGCGATATTTTGGAAATTTGCCGACATTTGCGGGCAGCCGACACTTGCGGGCAGCCGACATTTGCGGGCAACAGGAAAAAACAATCACACAGGCTGTATAGGAACTTTTGGAACTGTTGCCCGCAAATGTCGGTTTCCCGTAAGTATTGCCTGCCCGCAAATGTCGGAAAACTTCCAAAATATTGAAGTAATTTTACCACCTCCACCTTGTTATCCTCAAGCGCCGGTTGCCCGCAAATGTCGGCTGCCCGCAAATGTCGGCAAATTTCCAAAATATCATAGTAATTTTTCCATGTCCACCCTGTTACCCTCACAATCAGGTCTCGGTTGCCCGCAAATGTCGGCTGCCCGCAAATCTTCCAGGCTGCCCGCAACTGTCGACCCTGCCCGCAAATGTCCCAGGCTGCCCGCAAATGCCGGTGCTGGCCGCAAATGTCGGCTGCCCGCAAAGTGGCTGCCCGCAAAAAATTTGCCCGCAAACTGGTTGCCCGCAAAGTGGTTGCCCGCAAGTGTGCGCCCGCCCAACTCCCGCATAGCAAAGCCCCTCTATTTCAAATAATTTGATAGGTCCCAGGAGCCAACTGTAAGTCAAAGATAATGCTCCATAGAGCAAAAGTTGGATATAAAATTTTAATTGAAAAAAGTCCTGAACCGGAAATTGAGGCTCGTAATCTCATGCGGGCTTTATAAACCAATCTTATCCGAATGGCCGCAATATACGTAGCATAAACATAATAATATGTGTCCTTACTCATCGCTGCCTTGTAAAAATATAATCGCCAAGCATGAGAAGACTAAATTTTCGTTTTTACGAAAACATATAACAATATTATTTCATTGTTATATGTTTTATAAAAAAAAACGATTATCTTCGGGCTGTGAACAAGGAAGAGCCCAAAAAAGAGCACGTGTTATGTTGCGAAAGCACGCAAGAGTTTTCTTCATAAAGAAATTTTTTATTCTGCGAGTTTTTTTACGGCAGCATCCAGGAGATATATCGAAATATTTTGTTGAAACTTTCGAAAGCACTTTTTCTTATTCCAAATCTCGATATTTTTTAAAGCTCTTCTGAATATGCCTCTGACTATAACGAAAAATTTTTGGGCTCCCAAGGGTCAGTTTTAAATGGGCTGTGTCTCAAGTGCGACGCACGTCAAACTGAGGAGTCCGGTGACCGGAAGAGACTCTTCGCTATCGGTTTCTTACACTTCGTCTTGATTTCGCAGAGAAAGAGAGAAAAAAGACACGCAAAAGCGTACTCTCTCGCCCCAAAAATTCCCCATTTCTTCCCCGACAAAACGTTTTTTCGCGTTTTTTTTTGGCAAATTTACCAATCCATTCACCGGACTGTTTTAGCTTATCTCAGTTTGACGTGCGACGTCCAGGTTTTCTTCAAAAAAATTACCAAATTTTTAGGCAAAGTGTCATCAAAGTCCGTTCCATTCTTTTCGAAAATTTTTACAAATTTTCATCAGAATTTTTAGCCAAAAAAGCAATTTTTCTCAACTTGAAAACTACCCCAAGTGTGACGCTCAGATTTTCTTCAAATTTTGCACACGCTTTGGGCATAGTCCACATATCAATTCCTGAAAGTTTTAGCTCACACTTCCCAGCGACAGCCGAGATCTTCAACAGTCTTTGAGGCCGAGAGAGTACGGAAAATGTGGAGAGCGGGAAAAAAGAAAAGCGCTTTTTGGCCGTATCTTTTCCAGTTTTCTGCGGAAAAAATGATTTTTTTGTTTAAACATTACACTCTACGGTAGAAATAGGTATGAAACTTTTCATTCAATTTTTTCACAAAAAAAAATTTCGAATTTTGACAAATTTTAGACCAAAAGATCTCGATTAAAAGAGCAAAACATAAGCTAAAAATCTCGCTTATGTATATACTAGTAATAATTTATCTAAAATTGGGTAAAATTTCATCAAAATCTAAAAAATTTTTTTTTTCGTTTTACCTAATTTTTAGACCTCTAAAAATCACCGTCGCTTGTTCCAAAACACACTTTTTCCCCACCTCCAGCGATTACTCATTACATTACCAGTAATAATCTCGAGCATACAGATCATTTCAAAGACAAAAATCACAATTTCAACAGTACCCTCTGCAAATCCACCTCTATGTTGTCGATTTTCATCGCAAAAAAAGGCGGCTACAAATCGACGACTGGCGGCGGTAGATTCGCATCGGGCTTGCCCACCACATCCCGCAAGTACAGATAATCCCGATACATCACGCGAAGACTATATACAGTGACGATGATGAGGATAAAATAGCGACTTCCCTCCATCGTGAAGCGGATTTCGTCGGTCCGGTCCTCGCTTATGAATTCGTAGAAGGACTTCTCGCCGGATTGCTCAATTAATTCCAACGCGAGAACAACGAAGTGGACGAGGGCTTGGCCGGAATAGGCAAGAGAAGCGACTCCCTGAAGGAAAGGGGGGCAATTAAAGATGGTAATTCAGGGGGTTGACTGAATTGCAGGGGTTGGAGCTGGTAATAAGCAGATATTTTTTCATAATGATGAGTTTGGGATACCAAAAAAAGTCATGGTGATAACAAAAAATCACAGTGTCAGTTTTAATCCAAAAAAGTTTTGTACAACGAAACTTTTCAATAGAAAAAATTTTTTATTTTCATATGAACGGTTGAACCGAGGAGCTTTTTAATTTTAATAAAGCGCCTTTAAAAAACTAGAGGACGCTTTTCGATGTACCCTTACTGCATTCAGTGAAACCTCTGTTTGACTTTCAAGTCATAACTCGACGTAGGATTGATCATTTTTAATGATCTTTTTTTTAAACAAAATGGCAACTAATAAGGAATAAAACGAGCTATTGCTCATAAAAATTGAACAATCCTATAAAAAGTTATAAGCATTTTACATCCGCGAACTTGGCTGAGCCACCCTGTACAAAAAATCGTACGGACTAAAAAGTAAATAAATCGCTATGAAATGGTCTTGTTGCACGGGGATATCGGTCTGTCAAGAAAATAATGAGCACTCTATGGCATCGAAAATCGTATCGCCGCCACGAAAATAAACAGTGTCGCGGCAAACCAATTTTTTTCGCTTGAGCGACGCACTCTGTCGGCGCAGCGACAGAGTGTAAATTATTTTCCCGACAGACTGTTATCCGTATTACTATTCTCATCCAAGTTAGCAACTCTTGGCGTATTCGTATATCCCTATCCTATAAAAAACAATACGTGAATCACTGGATCAAAAAAGGTAACCTTACAACTGTTAAGCTAAAATGAACGTCTGTAAAAAACCCTTCTATGGCAAGCGCATTTTTGTGACTTCTAGCATGAAATCTCGACTCGTATTTTACCCCAACATTTTTACGTAAATGCTTATGTGTATATAAAAAAACTATGCACACCCCAAGGAAGGATCACTCACATTCAGCACCATAATCGGAATGTAGCACCATCGAACCACTTTGCGGTTCCCAATCAACGCCAAAATGTACATCACGATAAACATGGGAAAATGATACCAGCTGTGCAACGAGGCTTTGTGGTCGAAACAGCGCATAAATTCGGATAAACAAGCAAAGATCCAGCCCAAACAAACAAAAACTACCGCGTACTGAAAAGGGAGAGTTAAAGTTAGTCCAAGCATTGTACAAGGGACCGTCTGGGACCAAAAAAGATGTCACAAGAGCTTCTTCTTTCAACAGTCTGTCAGGAAAATAATGTGGATTTGTTGTAGCAAAAAGGTCTCGCTTCTTCGCAGTCGCATACACAGCCCAGCTGTCGCAAAGCGATGATGGGCGTTTCGAAAGCCCGACAAATCCACATTATTTTCCCACCAGACAGATATAATATTCATATCATTCTGTCTGGAAAATAATGAGCATAATGTCGTAGCGCCGATCGCGTCGCTGAAGTAAAAAGCAATTTAACTTTTCCGCGACACAATTAATTTTTCGATGCGACAGAGTACTCATTATTTTCCCGACAAACTGATATAACCCGTCTTTACCTAAATAAAGTTCGTATAACGAAGCCCCTCTATGTTGTAGCAAAAAGTCACTGGACTTTCTACTGCTTTCTGCTGAAACGTTTTTGGACAGGCGACATTTTATACGATGAAAATGTTTCATCATATAAAATAGCTCCATGCTTCTGACAAAATTTTGAAAACCGCTACTTCAATATCCGTATTTTACAATATTTTTTTTTGTTTTGATAGTTGTGGCAAATAGTCTACAACCGTGGTAAAAAGAGGCGAAAAATTCCAAAGGACTTTTTACCGCCACGTAAAAAAAATTTTTTTCCCCAAACAACCCGTTGCACAAAACTTTTACTAAATATAATCCTCAAACTCACATGAACATGGCAATTGCCGTAAGTGATATAAAAGTCGAGCGGCCGCTCCAGTCGCACCATGATTAGCACCAAGTACAATATAATAGAAGCAAATAAAAGCGCCTGTTTGTCATTGAAAGGCACGCAGATGTTGGTGACGGCCCAAACAATTGTGCTTAGTCCATTCTAAAATTAGCGAAAAGGGTTTTATTTTTTGAGAAAATACTCAAAACTTCCGAGGGAAGAACACGAATTTCAATCAAATTCGGGGGATTCGAGAAGGTGACAGACGTTTAAAAAGCCGTCAAACTGTTTTCTCCTTTCGTTTTTTTTTACATTTTGCCGCTTTGAATAAATTTTCGGAGGAGGGAGAGGCGAAAAAAATCGGATGTTTTTTCGGAGTGAGAAAAAAAAGAACGGTTGGAAATTGGAACATCTGGAGTAAAAAAAGGATGATAAGAATAGGTGAAATTTGAGTGTTATAACGCTTATATCAGTCTTTCGGGAAAATAATGTGGATTGATCGCAGCAAAAATCCAGCCACTCGCAAAGCGATGATAGCCGATTCCAAAACGCGACAAGTCCCCATTATTTTCCCGACAGAGTGATATCAGTCGTTCCGTGGCCCATTTCCCTCGGGCAAGCGGAAGAAAAGGGGAAAGAGTACGCGGGGAAAAAAAGCTTACGCACGGTGAGGTCCCGCGACGAAGACTCTCAGTCTGTCGGGAAACTAATGTGCACTCTGTCGCATCGAAAATTGCATTGCCGCCGAGAAAATAAACTGTGTCGCTGCACAATCAAGTTGCTTTTCACTTCAGCGACGCGATCAGTACAGCGGCACCAAGAGATAGTCAGTCCGCAAAGTCGCCGGGATTAAGCATGGCTGCAAATCGGGCCAGCCCGGCCCCGCCCGGCCCGGGCTTAAATCTCCAAGCCCGGCCCGGGCTCGGGCTTGGAAAATTTGGAAAGCCCGGCCCGGTTCGGCCCGGAAAATTTTTATCTTGGTTGGAAAGAAAGAAAGCGGGGAATGAAAGGAAAATTTTGGCAAATTTTCGCAAAATGTAAAGAAAAATTTAGCAAAACCTAGGTTAAGGTCACTTTACGTTTGCGATCAGCAGTGTGTTCGAAAAAATGAAAAATTTTGTCGAAAAAGCTTATTTTTTCCTTTTTTCCGGGCAAAACTCAGATTTCAAAAAAACCGGGCCGGCCCGGGCCGGGCCGGGCCTAAAAATCGAAGCCCGGAGCCGGGCCGGGAAATTAGTCGGCCCGGCCCGGGCCGGAAAATTTTGCAAAGCCCGGCCCGGAGCCATGCCTAGCCGGGATGGCTTTGGCACTCTTAGAGAACAAGTATTCATTTTGCACCGTGCAATTCGCTTTTTTTGACTGTCGCTTGCACCCTGACTTCTTCGCACGGTGCAGCCACCAAAAATCATTCCAGCGGCCTTCCGGAGGGACTAGTATGCAAAGAAAAACAAACAGGAGCGATTTGAGATTTTTAGATGATAAAAGGGCGAAAAGTCTAGACATCTTTACATTATGCGGTCGGCACCGCAGTGTGGCTTTGCGCGAGAAAGAATCGGCACGATGCGAATGCAAAACGGACTATGAAGTTCCTCACTTGCAAAAGCTCTTTGAAACACCATTTCCTCACAAAAATAAAGCACACTGTTTTGCAGAGTTTTCATTAGGAAAATTGCGGTTGACAAGGAAGGAGCTAACCGTAAATTACAAAAGAACGACCTTAATTAGGAAATTCGAGGGGAAAAACTGCTTCATTTTTTGGGATGTGACAAAAAACTTATTTTTTAAATGTTTCAAAGGTGTTGCAAAAAATCCTCTGTACAACGAAACCTGTCTTTAGCAAACACTTTCAAAGGTCAAAAGAGGTTTTTTGACAGTAGAATTCTACAAGGAAACGTTTTTTATAGCGAATAATTTGTTTTCGTCCCTAGCGAGGTTCGTTTTACAGAGTTTTTTCCGTAAGATCCAACGGGTTTTCCAACTATAATAGCAGCGGAAGTGCTCCAAGTGCGACTCTCAGATTATGATGAAAGTTGGCACAGATTCAGAAAAAAAATAAAATTGAAAAAAATGTGGCATTTTTTGTGAATTTTTGGCGTGAAAAAATTTCATGCCTTATTAGTACTAGTCCTTCCGGGAAGCCGCCGGGCTGATCTTTGACGTTTGCACTGTGCCAAAAAAGGATGACGCTCAAAATAGAAAAAATACGGCTAAAAGGTGTTTTTTCTCTGGCCGTTCTCTGCATTCCGCGTAGTCTCTAACAAGGGAAGTCACTTTTTTCGCAGACGGACTTTGGAAACGGCACCTAGTAGGTTTCAAACGTGAAGCGCCTGCGATCATAAAACTGATTTCCAAAAGTGTTTACGGGGCTTCTCGGCCGAGAAAATCGACCGCAAAGTTTAGCCGAAATGAGCGAATAGCCTCCTCAAAAGAAACGGCTTATTCCATCTGCAGTGGTGGCCAAGTGGTCAGCGCGCTCGCTTTTTGCGCCAGAAGACGTGAGTTCGACTTCGGTCGTCTGCGGATGCATTTATTTTGACCAATGAATCAAATAGAGAGATGTCTTTAACATCACATATGCTAATTATTAGCAATTTTTAATAAAACACAAATTTAGAAACTATATCTTCATTAACCCAGCCCTGTTTTGACTTTACAATATTCATGAACATTCAGCTTTGAATTTACGTTTAAATTACTGTAAAAAAATACAAAAGTGTATACAGTTTATGTTTACATACTAAATCAATATTTACGAACCAAAAAAAGAAAATAAACCGCGCAGAGGATCGAACCCGCCTCTTCTGGCGCAAAAAGCGAGCGCGCTGACCACTCGGCCACCACTGCAGATGAAATAAGCTGTTTCTTTTGAGGAGGCTATTCGCTCATTTCGGCTAAACTTTGCGGTCGATTTTCTCGGCCGAGAAGCCCCGTAAACACTTTTGGAAATCAGTTGTGTGATCGCAGACGCTTCAGGTTTGAAACCTACTAGGTCCCGTTCTGAAGTCCGTCTGCGAAAAAAGTGACTTCCCTTGTAAGCAAAAAAGGTGGTTTAAAATCCCGGTGATATCGATAAAGATTAAAATTTCGGGAATCGATATGTACACTTACTATAAAGTGCGTTCAAAAATTAAAGAAAATCAGGGCGTCGCAGTTAGGGTACTTAGTAGATTTGCCAAATTTACAAAAAATCGGCAATGATGACATATTTTTCTTCCCTTGTAAACTTCAAAAAATCACAATGTTCTTCAAAAATTTACTTCAACCACCCTCCCATTTCAAATTCAAGGCTAAACTAGAGAAAAAACATACTCTTGACTGTTGAATTTCCACCATTAACCTTCCAAAAAAACCCAAAAACTCTTAAGAATTTAACCCCTCAAACGCCTTGAAAGTTACTCAAGACCCATTATCGATACTCAATAGAACCGACACCCCAAAAATATCGATGACATTTAGCGCCATGAGGAAGGTTGTAATCCGACACGTCATGGGGGCTATTTTTAAAAGCGGCGGAATGCCCTCAGGCAATTTGTGCGGCTTCATGCGAGACGGGGCGTTTTGACGAGCCGGATAGAGAAATATGCCCGAGGCCACATTGTTTTCGGAGATATGGGAGATAAATGGAAGGGAGAGCGGAATAAAAGATTGGAACTTGAAAGGTAAAATACGAGGATTGAAGGATATTGGTTTAATGTTTAATTTAGCTAGATTTTGCTGAAACTCGTTAAATACTGGGGTTAGAGTTTCCTAAAAGTCGTATACTGCAAGGCATTTTGAAATATCAATCTGTCGGGAAAATAATGAGCACTCTGTCAAATCGAAAATCGCATCGCCGCCGAGAAAATGAATTGTGAAAATCAAATTGCTTTTTTCAGCGCTCGACTATGGTTTTAATGCAACAATTCGTTTTTTTTTGCTAGTAAGCTCAGTTTACAGGGCCGTCTCAAGTTTGATCCGGGAAAAAAACTTGGATTTTTTTGCCTGAAAAGTCAGCAATGATACATACAGTTCCACAAAATCTTAGCTTGCGCTTTGCCGGCACCAACCATAAATAGTATTCAACAATCTTTGCGGACAATAGAGTACGAAAAATGCGGAGTGCGGTCAGAGAGTAAGACACTTTTTGGTCATATCTTTGCCAGTTTCGCGTGAAAAAAACTGATTTTTTGTGGAGACATTGCACTCTACGGTAGAAATAGGCATGAACTTTTTCATGCCAAAATTGGCAAAAAAATGTCACTTTTTTGCCAACTTTCAATCCAAAAAATCTTTTTTTCTCAAATAAAGACTTCCGTGAACGTATTTTAAAAACAACACTGACAAATTACTTAGAGCGCTGCAAATTTACAAAAAAATTATTATTTCACTAATTCGGAATGAAACAAAACAATTTTCCCCGCAAAAATTTGGCGATTCGGCCATTCCCCATAGTCTTATATCCAAACCACACAAAGAAAATTACTAGACTCTCTCTTCCCCCAAATTCCCTCCACAATCCATTTCCAGAACGCCGGCTGCCCGAAAGACACGGAGCGCGGCCGTAAAGTGAAGACGAAACAGCAGAAGGAGCAAATAAATAAGACGTTGCATACGACATGGAAGGGCTTAAATACGTTAATATTTTCTTCAGATTTGGTGGAACGTTTCTTCTTGGCCATACGATAAATTGCTAAAGGTTTATTTTTTGTGATTTACAAAAACAACAGAGAGATATCCGTCTGTCGGGAAATTAATGTGGATTCGTCGCGGCTTGGAATCGTCAATCGCCACTTTGCGACGACTTGCCATAGACACGAGAAAATTTTTTTGCGACAAATCCACATTATTTTCCCGACAGACTGATATTCAACAGGCTTTGCTGACGAGAGATATGGAAACTGAGGAGAGACGGCCAGAGGAAGAAAGAGCTGCATTGTCTGCAATTTTCAAGGCAAAAAAAAAATATTCTCTTTACAAAGTCCACTTTCAGCAAGGGCAGTCTTCTAAGTGGGGCACTCAGATTTCCTCAAAAGTTTTCATGGCTAAGAGGGTACACGAAACGCAGAGAGCGGTCAGAGAGAAAAATGTTTCCTAGCCGTATCTTTGCCAGCTTTGCACGGAAAAAATTGATTTTTGTGGAAAAATCATACTCTACCGTAAGGACCAGCTGGAAAGAGCAGCTTTGCGATCTGTTGTTTGTGCTTACAAAATAAGGTCCTATATTTATGCTGACTTTCACAAAGTTATACCCCGAATTCTTGCCAGCAATTCTAGACTGGCACCCTGCCTTTTCTGGCGCAGTGCAAACGTCAAAAATCAGTCCGGCGACTTTCCGGAAAGACTGTTAGGGACAACAAAATATAAAAAGAATGGCGTTTCTCCGCAAGGCGGGGGGATTTTCGACTCCTTTTATATTCAAATGTCTCTCGAGGAAATTTGAGCGTCTCCCTCGCAAAACATGTTTTGCAAAGTTTCGTCTTGGCCCACGGATGACGTCACTTGTCATTCGTGATTTGCGTAAAAGGAAGAATGAGATTAGAAGGAGGAGAGGCTGTTTTCTAATGCTTGGAAAAAAAGAAAATTGATATTACTGTGGAACAAAAACCTAACAGGGGAAGTGCTCCAAGTGCGACGCTCAGATTTTGATGAGACTTGGCACAAATTTGGATTAATTTTATCTAGGATATATGCGAGTGTCCTAACTTGCGCATTACAAAAATCTTTAGGTCAAAAGTTGGACGGCATGTCAGCAGCAGACGAAAACAAAACGCGACAAAGCGAAATACCGAAAAAAGTTCAAAAGACGGATCGCTTCCTGGAGAAGGAACTGTTTTTGTTTTTCTGCATCAGACTTGTCCACGAAATTTATAAACAACATTTGATTTTGGATCGATTGCTCCGAGTTTGCATAGCTTGTAGCCGAAGCTAGTGCAGCGACTTTGCGAACGGACTGTGTAAGATATTGACGACACACTCAAACGGTCCTTGACTGACGTTGGTAAAAAACGTTTCTAACTTCTGTAGTATCTTATGTTGGTGACACTGACCCTTGAGCGTCTTACCTGGCTATACGGAGATCATAGTCTAAAAATTGGCTTTTCGGATCTTTAAAATTATAGAAAAGTTTCTAGTAGTTCGCTGTAAATCCCCCGCATCAGTATGCCGGGAAAATAATGAGCACAAAGTCGCTGCGCCGATCGTGTCGCTGAAGTAAAAAATAATTTGATTTTGCCGCAACACAAGTCATTTGCTAGACGGTTGTCCGATTCCACGTTTGAATAGACTGAAATACGAAAAGAAATAAACGAGACGGCTGGTGGTCTTGCGGTGGTTTCTGCAGTCGATTACTTTCAACAACTTCTACCTAAAATTACTTGGCCTTCCAAGTGGAAGGTTGCTGATGTCGAAAGCGGGTAATCAAAGCGTCTTGTTCCCCTTTGGAACGCGAGCATAAACGACAATTACGTCGAATAAATGAATTTATCAAGAAGAGTAACAATTACAATAAAATTAGAATAGCACTTCAATGCAATGCCAAAACACAACTCTGCAACAACAACATCCAACTACTACAACAACACTTCACAACACCTCTACACCACAACTACAACACAACTACTGCTCAATCAAGATGGGATAAAACCTGAGAGAAGGTTACGGTGCCGTGATTCAGGCGCTCCGCTTCGGGATCTCTCCATCGAACATTCTCGAACATCGGGGGAAAAACAGCTGGGAAAACAGTTGACACGGGGGACATCTCTCTCTCTCTCTCCATAAATTCCATCGAGCTGACACACATCAAAACTGCAACACAATGCCAAAGTTGCCAAAAAAGCGAAAATAAATTTAGTTTCTTCATCAATTAATTACTCCGTGAAAACGTAATTGTTTTGGGTCGTATTTGCGTGAATAAGAAAGTCAGAACAGTATTCTATTTTTTGATTCCTTCTGGGTACGTAGAATTTTTGTGTTTCGGGATTTTTTAGGGTTGGAGTGGAACAGGTTTGTAAACTTCTACAAGGTTTTACAAAAAAATGCTACGAAATTAGTAAAAAGCGAATGGATAAGATTGTAGAGCGTGGTAAGTAGAGTATTATATTTTTTTACGGCCTCCAAATTTTTCGAGAGCAAAATGTTTTATCGATTTTTTAATTTTGCGGGTTTTTCACCTATTTTTAGATTTTTTTGTTGCTTTAAAACTGTTTTGAAGCATGCAAAGGTCCAAAAAATAGATCCAGAATAGTCGGGAAGTCTTGCGGAAGAACAGAGACCTTAACCCGCTACAGTACAGAGGTTTTCGATTTTTCAGCTCAGCGCACTTTTCAGAATTTTTCAATTTTCGCCATCAAGATGACGGAATTTCTGGATTCTGAGAACGAATTCTGAATCAGCGTCCCTGACTTGCTCTAAAACCACGTTTTGCTTCTCTCTATCGCATTTTGTATTTTATCATTTCGAGATTTTTTGAAATTTTTGATGCCATGTTTAATATCAAAAAATTTAACCTAGGTCAAAATTCAAAAATTCGGCACGCAGTTCGCTCCGAAATTGGATGTAGTATCTTCTGAATTTTTTTCGGCTTCTGAGCTACGGTGGGATTCTCAAAAAGTTGCATTTTGGTCCATTTGGCACTTTTTTTTCGAAAAATCGGCCCTCAGGGCACAGACTTCAAAATTTTCGGATTTTTGCGTGTGCCATAGCATTCAGCATGCAAAACTACCCTACAGTGGGTATTCGATTTCTAAAATACGACAAATATACGAACGCACTACGCGATTTAAAGTTTTCGGGGTTTCAAAATTTTTGCACGGTATGTCGAATTTCTCGGAAACTAGAGCGAAATTCAAAAATCTGAAAAATACGGCTCGGGGTATTTTGCCTGGCCATAATCAGGCCAAATTTCAGCCGTCTATGCTTACGGCTTCAGGGCGAAAATCGAATCCGGAAAATTTCCCCCGGATTTTCAAAAATTCGAAAAAACGCCCTAAGGGCGTCAAAGTTCAAATTTCGGGATTCGAAACCAACCCCATCGTGATCAGCATTAAAAACCGGACCAGATAACATGACCGGACAGAATGTCAAGAGAAAGAGTCCAGAGTTCCTAGAGTTCGCCGCCCAAAGGCTCAATGGTAATGTCTTGTATAACGATGAAAGTAAATTAAAATAAGGTAAAATTTACTATAATTGAGAAAATGCGTTAAAACTTGTTGATTTACACTGGTTATTTCAATTAAAATAAGTTTATTGAATTTCATGAACTTTGACCTTGTTGGTCTACAGGGCGGGACGGAAAATTATTCGCAAATGACCATATAAGTGCCTTTCATGGTTTGGAACATGATTTTCAAAGAAACTGGGTGGTTTAACTGGCGTTTTGCCCTTTAAAGTACGAAAAACCCCCGATTTTTCGCAAAGTTCATGTTTTGCGCTACTCCACACCGGAGATGAACTTTGAAGAAAACTTCCTGAACAAAAGTTTGTTTTATGACCATAACAAACAATCTTATCCATTCGGATTTTTAAATTTTCGTAGAATGTAAAACGTTTTGATGTGTGACATGACACATTGTGGATAACTCCAGGTTCCGTGGAATCTGACATCGGTAATACGATTTTCGATGCAACAGAGCGCTCATTATTTTCCCGACGGATCGATAATTCGTAATTTAATTTTGGAAGGCTTCATCCTACAATAAAACATCTCCACTTCTGACTAAACTACTTTATTTATTCCGAACTCCACAACCCTTTTACATTTACAACTCTGAATGTCGCATACTTACATAACAAACATTCGCAATATAAAAGACGTCACAGGATTCGAAACAAATGTTCGTTGAATATGGTGATTATTATCTGACAAATATGAATATGATTGTATAGATTACAATGTGGGACTAAGCTACGAAGAAATGGGTAGTGATTATAAATAGTTTGGGAAAAGACTGTACAATTTTCGACTGTTGCGCAATATTTTAATATTAATGGGAGTTTCGAGGGGTAACAAGGTAACAAAATTTACAAAAATTTTCTATTACAGTGGAACCTCTGTATAACGGATTTGGAGCAGTTTTGGGTGGATTTTTTTGACGAAAAAGTTATATGCCCTTAGGGAAAATATCAAATTTTGTTGAAATGTTGGATTTTTGGGAAAATGCCTTTAGGGCAAATATAAAATTTTTATAAAAGGATTTTTTTCCAAATTTTTTATACAGAGACTCCACGTGCTGACACTAAATTCACAACTACTACTTGTTGTCTATGGATTCTGGGAGAGAGAAAGAACGCGGGGCTTCCGAGGGGATCACAATTGGCATGATTATCAACCATTTTTCATGATTACAAGTTTTCAAGAGGAGAAAAAAAGAAAAAAAAAATTTGCACAGTGCGGAAAATTATTTGAATTTTTGGTGGAAAAAATCGATTTTTAACCGATTTTTTTGGGGAAAAAGTATCTATTTTTCAAAAATTTCATTTATGCCATCAGGGCATTTTTTCGAAAAATTTCAAAATTCTAATTTTTCCGCTCCGCGCAAAACAAAAATTAAAAATTTTACGGCTAAATCGAAAGTTTACAACGTTTCTTGGATTAAATATTAGGCTTACTCGGGTTGAAAGTCAGGGGAAGAGGGCAAAGGGAAATAAATGTGAACTGTTTTTGGTAAAATGACATGGCTACATCCTCTTCACACAAATTGTGTACAACGAAGATGTATTGTAAAACAAGGTCAACCGGGTAGTAAGGTCAATATGGGACGAGGAAATCGAGAAAAATAGAATATTTGTGGCTTGGCAAACGATTAGATCGGAGGGTATAAGAGGGGGTGAAATTGTGACCTCATTGGGATTTGCTGCGAGAGACATCGATGGCAGTGGAGAGGAAGAGGGTCAGGAAGGTCCTGAAATTCGATTTTTTAGTAAAAAAAATCATATAAAATCGAAAAAAAATTTTTGAGTTTTTTGAAAAAAATCCAAAAAATCCGTCATCATGACGACAATTTTGGTAAAATACGCCATTGATATCGATAAATTGTTTAGTCAATTGCTTGAGCATCATAGCAGTCATTTTCAAAAAGAAAACCCTAAAAAACTTAATAAAAAATTTGTCATGATGACGTATTTTTTGGAATTTTTAATAAAAAATTTGTCATGATGACGGATTTTTTGGAAATCTAGTAGAAAATTTGTCATGATGACGGATTTTTTGGAAATTTTAGTAAAAACTCTATCATGATGACGGATTTTTTGGAAATTTTAGTAATCAAAAAACCAACTTCTAATTGCTAAAATTTTCAAAAAATCTCAATTTATTACTACTGCGTATTTTACCCATACCTGATGCATTTTTTGATCTCCATTTCAACCAAATCTTCCGGGTCAGCAACAACAATATCCGATGAGAACTTTTCCTGAGGCATTCTTTCGTCATCATCGGCTTCAATACCAAATTCGGAGTCAAAGTTTTCCAGCATCAATTCCGATTTGCCCGCCAAAACTTTGGTTTGAATTTGTTCGAACAAAACTGCCCTGCGGGGATTTTCCGAGTCGTCGGCGGAAAAAAGCTCATCGCCCGAAGATACGGGGACATTAGCGGTCAGATTGATGGAATTTCCCATCGATGACGTCATATTTTTAGTCATCAAATTCTTAAAACTCTCTTTGGCCGTCATATTTCCGCTTAACGCGAAATTCTCCGAAAAATTCGCATTATATTGGACATTTCCGACGTTGTGCTGATGCTGCGCACCCTGCTGATACTGATAGCCCATGCTTGCGTGATGCTGAGCGCTCTGTTGGTATTGAAAACTGAGATTGTATCCAAACTCCGCCCCTGCGCCATGCATTCCGCTGCTGAATTTGCGCTGACCGGGCGAGTTGGCCGAGTCGCCGCTAAACGAACTCCCGGGCGAGCAGCTTTGCGTGGTCGCCGAATTCAGCCGACTCCGGAAGCCCTCCTCCTCCTTGGAGTCGGGCGCCGCCATGGGGTAGTGTTGCGGTGGGTTGAATTGGTGCTCCAAGTCCTCGTCGAGGCCGGTGTTGCGCGCGCTCACCGGTGAGGTGGTGAACGAGTGCGTGGAAGAGTCGGAGCCCATGCCGGAGTCGGTCGTGGACTTTTGGCGGTTCAGGCCGAGCCCTTTCACGGAGTCATCGTCGGCTTCGTTGTCACTGTCGATGAAGGCGTATTGGTCGAGAGGAGCGTTCGGAGAGGCCATCTGGAAAATAAAAGAGTGAAAATTTTAAGTAAATTTTTTCAGGAAATTGATTTTTCATTGAAATTAAGATTTTTTAAAATTTCCAAAAAATAAGTCATGATGACGTATTTTTTTGAAAAGTGCAAAATATAGAGAAAATAGCTTGTTGAAGTTGATTTTGCCCAAAAAACAGATTTTTTCAAAAAAATCAGTCTCACGAAATTTCCAAAAAATGTGTCATAATGACGATTGTTTTTGAATGCTCGATAAAAAAAATTTTTTTTTGATTTTTTGGAATTCCAAAAAATGCGTCATGACGACGAATTTTTGAGAAAATTGAAAATTCATTGTAAAATACGTTTTGACCACTATTTGCATAAAATTAGCAACCGTTCATACGAAAATTGATCGGTAAAAACCTACCAACTGCGGGTAGACCCCAAACGGCGGGCAGTAGCATTGTCTGCTCTGATCCTTGTGTCTTCTCAGCGCCAACGCCGACCTGAATCCGCCACCACACTGTTGGCAACGGTGTGGTGAGTCCTCGGCATGCTTCTGTTGATGGCTTTCCAACTGTTTCGGCGAGTGGAAGCGTTGCGGGCACTGCGCGCATCCATAGGGGCGATTGTCGAGGTCGTTGTGATAGGCCATGTGGCGTTGCAAGTACTCGCGATGCGGGAAGTTCAATTTGCACTTTTTACAGGTGTAGATTCGATGCTTGTTCTTTTGCAGATACTGGTCAATGTACTCGGGGTCCAGCGGCTTCGTATGGACGCTATTTACGTCATGAACGAAGCCCTGCGGCTCTTCGAAGCTTTGGCTCTGAACGGGCGCTTCAACTGGCTCCGTCTTCACATCGAACTGGTTCATGTTGTAGCCGAACTCGTTCATCTGCATGGGAAGTGGGTTCTCTTGCGGGGGGAAGGGCATGTCGTACATGAGAGGCGGTTGTTGCCCCATCTGCATCTCCATCATGTTGTTGTTCATAAGGCTCTGATCCATGGCTGGTTGGTCGTAGATTTCGGTGTAGCCAACGCCACGAGTGTAGAATCGCTTTCTGCAACAAATTGAAGTTAGTTTAGAGATCAGAAATTGGGCTATATGTCGAAAAAAATCAATTTTAAGATAAAACGTCTAGTACAAGTAGATGTCAGTCTTTGGCCAATAACTTGTTTGTCAATGAATGGATTTAGATGAAACTTCAGACATAGACAGCTTAGACCACTATACATCACATGTAAAAGCGTCAACTCGCATCGTGCTCATTTTTTGGATTTTTTGGAAGTTTTTGTAAAAATCAATTTTTCCAAAATTTTCCCAGAAAAAATCAATTTTTTCGCCAAAAATGTCTTTCATCTGAAGCCCTTTATAACACCCTTTATTCCCATACAGCTAGCTCTACGATAAGACAACAAAAACACCCACTTTCGGCCCCCTTTATACTAATATCAAGTGCAATAAAAGACAATCCCAATTCAGACCCGCACTCCCACAAACTTCCATTCTAAGCACTTGCAAATTAAACTTGGATGCCATGCAAGCGCGGAATAGAATATCGAAATTAAAATTTCCACATTTATAAGCGTTCCTATGGGTCATAAATATTAATCATCCTTTCGGGGAAAAGACAAAGAGCGAAAACATCGGTGTTTCCCCGCTTTTTCGGATCGGAAAACTTTTCAACAATCTTACGAAGAGCCTCAGAGCATTTGGCTTGTAAAAAGATTGCAAAAGTTTTGAAACTCTTGAGTACAAATTTTAATTTCAAAAAAGTAATGTCTTGAAGTGACAAGGAGAATATTTCTAATGTCAGAATGTTTAATAAGGGAGTGCGAGAGTGCAAATTACTAATTACTACGCATGAAAAGACTTTTTCAAAGTAAAATTTTGGGTTTTGAAGCTTGCACGGTGCAGGATTTATATTTGAAAAAAGGTTGCACTGTGCGATAAACAAAATATTGGATTGCACAGTGCAATAAAAAATTTTTCGTGTTTGCACGGTGCAGTCTAAAAAATGTAATTTTTATTTTTTTGCACTGTGCAATAAAAAAATTTGGGGTGCACTGTGCAATCATCTTTTTTTACGTTTTTGCACAGTGCAGAAGAAAAAAATTTTTTTATTTTTTGCACCGTGCAATAAAATTTTTTTATTTTTGCACAGTGCAGTCGAAAAAATGTAATTTTCATGTTTTGCACTGTGCAACAAAAAATGTTTCGACTGCACTGTGCAACAAAGTTTTTTTCCTTTTTTGCACCGTGCGGTCAAAAAAAATGCCTTTCATTTTCTGCACTGTGCAGCAAAAAATGTCTTGACTGCACTGTGCAACTAAATTTTTTTTCGTTTTTGCACCGTGCAGTCGAGAAATATTTTTTTTATTTTTCGCACTGTGCAATAAAAATTTTTTCTTTTTTGCACAGTGCAGTCAAAAAATATTCTTTTTATTTTCCGCACTGTGCAATAAACAAAAATTTGGACTGCACTGTGCAACAAACATAAAATTACCATTGCACCGTGCAATCGCAATAAATTTCGCATCGTGCAACCCCCCAAAAAATTGAGTTTCCAAAACCGAAAGTAAGCTCAAAAATCAACGTTGGAATCGAAAAATAAGGCGACGAAAACTCGAAATCCCTCTCCCCTGATTTTTTTCTCCATTTATGTTTTTGCGCAAATTTAAGCGAGGGCGATGGGAAATCGGATGAAATTGGGAGATAATGAGGTCAACTAATAAAAGAAACGCAAACTCGCCGTGATTTGCATGCAATTTCCGAATGTAATTTTTATTTTTAGAAGGGATTTTTGATGAAAAAACCGATTTTTTGGTCGAAATTTTGGAAAAATCTCAAAAAAATGGGGAAAAAAGCTAAAAAAACTAAATTTTTAGAAGAAAAAAGTCATTTTGAATCGAATTTTCTTTGATTTTAAGGTAAAATACACCAGCTAAAATCTATATCAAGCTATTATTGATCTAAAATCTAAAGAAAAAATAGTAAAAATTGAAAAAAATGAAATTTTTTGTCAAAAAATTCAAAATTTCTCTCAAAAACTTAATTTTCGGCAAAGCTATTGATACAATTGCTGCTCTAATACAATTTGAAGACCGCTAAAACACAAATAGCTTGCAATTTCCCGTCTAATCCTCACTTTTCCCCCCGCTTTTCCTCGCTAATCCTATTAGAAGGCCTCTAAAATAAGCGAAAATTCAAATTTCAATATAAAGACCTTTTCAATAACAGAAAATTGCTCGATACAGTAAGAAAACACCCCTGGGAGATTAATTTAGTACAAAAAAATCTTTGAAATCTCATAAAATACAGTTGGTATAGCCGAAACTTCGAAAAAACAAGGGCAAAAACCTTAAAAATTCGTTTCCAAATATCCAGGCAAAAGATGAAAAATAATTTTTTTCGCAAAAGGGAAAGAAACGGGCGCTTGGGCCAATAAAACGGCAGGCGAATGCAAATTTATGCCGAGAGGGGGAGATTTCGCGGCGCTCGGCGAATAATATCCGCTCATTAATTTGTTTTTCTGTTTGTGGTTTAGGGCGGGAGGAGAGGGGGAGATAATGAAAGTAGGGGGAAATTTGGGAATTTTTTAAATTTTTGAAGTTTTTTTGAATTTTATTGAAAATAAAAAATTTTTTTTTTTTTTAAATTTTTGGTGACAAGTCTAGTCAAAAATTTTTTTAAGTCTTAAAAAATAGTTTAAAATAAAAAAATTTAATTTTTTTTTAAAATTATTTAAAAAAATTTTGAAATTTAAAATTTGAATCAGAAATTTGAATGAAAATGGTAGAAAAATTGTTTTATGGCTTAAAAAAATTGAAAACATAATATAAAATTTTTTTATTGTTAAATAAAAAAAAAAAAAAAAAAAAAATTTTAATTTAAAAAAATAAAAAAAAATCTCAAAAAATCCCTTGACCTCCAACTCTCCCTACCCCATCAAAACCCCCCTAAAAAATCGCCCTGCCCAAATCTTTCACTCAAAAAAATTTACGATACATCTGCACTGTGCAGCGGATCCAATTTCCCCATTGTGGCCGCACAGTGCGAACAAAACGAAAAAAAGAGAAAATAAACAAAAAATATTGGACACTAGATTCTCATCTCATTCCATATTTTTTGTCTTTTAAAACTCAATTTGACACGAATGTAGAAATTTCGAGGCCGAACAGTAATTACGACGCTATTCAACCTGCAATTTCGACAAAACATTTGGCCGTTTTCTTCGAAAATGCGTGAAAAATACAAAACAAGGATACAAATGGCAAGAGTAATTGGAGAAGGTCGGAGAATACATTAGTTTTTCGGGGGAAATTGAATTTTTTGGCGAAAAATATCATTTTTTTGAGACTAGACTTGAATATAAAAAGAAGTATTTTTTGGTACCACAAATATCATCGATTTTTAAAAATTTTTGCGTAGAGCTTCTACAAGCCTCAGAGAGTAATCGCTAAAAGTTTTGGCCCAATATTGCCAAGAAGGGCCAAGATATTCAATGATCTTTTTTTGAGAGATCATGTAAAATGAGGAGAGTCGGTCAGACAAAAAAATGTTTTTTCGTCGGTATCTCTTCAAATTTCGCTTGGAAAAAAATTATTTTTTGTAGAAATCTTCTACACCTCGCTCTAACAAGCCTTCGAAATTTTAAAATCAAAAAAATTAAAAAAAAAAATTTTGAAATTTTCTAAACTTTCGACCAAAAAATCTCGGTTCTTTTTGCAAATCCCAAACTAAAATTTTTTTATCCAACATACAAAATAGCACTTTACATTTACCCCAAGTTTCATCAAAATCTGACGCCAAAATTTTTTTTCAAAAACTGCAAAAATTTTGCAATAATTCTAAATTTATGTCAAAAACTGCAAAGCCACCGCCAAACCCTCGAAAAGATTGGAAATGAAAAACAATTTGGGCACGTGAGACCTTTACAACCGTCCTTTCCGCCCGCGTAAATGTAATCAATGTGCATGCCAAACAAGGGGATTAGCGGATAAACGGTGGGAAATTTATTGAAATTTTGACTCTCGACAAAAGATTTGTAAAAGAAACAGACAAAAAGTAGATGTAGATTTTATTTTTGTAATAGATTTCAAGATGTTGCAGGGCTGTTTTTGAGGGAAATTTTGAATTTTTATATTATTTTAGAGATCAAAAACGAAACGTTTTTTTCTCCAAAATAGACCTATCTACAGCAAATCATAATGTGCAAAAAAATATTTGTTATAGAAGGGTTTTGTTGCCTGGAGGTTTATTTTATCAAAATTAACATCTTTGAGATTGTTCGTTATAGACAGTTTTTGCGTTCTAGAAATTTGTTGTACAGAGGTTCCACTTTAATACCCAAGACGAAATGTCCTACTGTAACAACGCTATGACTGATGGTCATCGCCCGAGACGTTAGTAAAAATCCTCAGCCCGCCTCGAAAACTCTCTAAAACAATGTATGTATGCGCATAGCCCTGGCGTTCCTTTTATTTTTTTTCTTTTGATATTCCAATTCCGCAAAGCCCAAGGACTTTTCGCGTCTCTTGTTTTCGAATACATTTTTCCTATACGGGATATGTGTTTGGAATGATAAATGAGGACGGCAATGACGCCAAACATTTATCTGCGTGGTCGTAGCTTCAATGATCTGGACGATGTCGAAGACGGGTGCCGCGAGTTTTTCGCCTCTAAGAACAAGGAGTGGTACCGCAGCGGGATCGAACAGCTTGCCGATAGATGGGTTCAAGCCATAGATTCAAATGGCCTTTACTTCGAAACTTAACTAGTTTTCGTTTGTTGTAAAATTATGTCTAAAGTTTTAATAAAAAAACGAAAAAACTTTTGGTTCACCCTAATACTTTGGGGGGAAGCAATAGAGAAACCATGGAACCTCCATACAACAAACTGGCGTTCTACAAAACCTCTAGATAACGACAATTTCGGAGGTCTTCAGACTCATTTTTAGGCCAAAATGAACCTCTCCACAACAAAGCCCTTCAATAACAAACATTATTTTCTCCCTTGCGATTCATTGTAGAGAGGTTTTACTGTGTTTTGATAAAGAAAATTATTATCATTTTCTGGAAAAAGATCAAAATATTTTGCCAAAAAATTCATAAATAAACAGTAGGAAACCGGATTTGGAAAGTGCAGGCAAAGTAAACAGCTGTAAAACCCAAATATCCGGAAGCGCCTTTCCATTCTGCCCTTTGCAGTACTCAAAAACAAGAAAAAAATGGCTAAAGCCGTGTTCAGGAGTTCAGCAAAACGAAACCTCTCCATAACGAACAATTTCAGAATCCTCAAGATTAAATTTATACAGAAGCAGCGTCCAAAATTTGAAAACTTTTTTGATTTGGACAAAAAAACTCGAAATGAACGAAACTTTGAACCTTTTTGTTTGTGGACAAAAACAAAAAAATGGGGTTTGTTGATTCTATAGCTGCTTCCTCCAATTCCCCTCATTTTTTGATTATATTGAGGGCTGCTGTACGTTTAATAGTGGCTGCTAAAGCACGCGGGAAGAAGGATCTACATCAACAAAAATTACAAGGGAACTAGCTCAAGTGGACGCTCAGGTTTTCTTAAAAATTTTGGACACATTTCGTGGATAGGCCTCATATCAATTTATGGAAATTTTGGTTTGCGCTTTGCAGGGGAGAACCGAGAAATTCAGCGATCTTTGCGACCGAGAGAGTACGCGAAAGGCGGAGAGCGGGCGGAGAGAAAAAACTATTTGGCCATGTCTTTGCCTGCCTCGTGCGAAAAAAGTAAATTTTTTTGTGGAGATATTATCCTCTACAGCATAAAATTGCATGCCAAAATTCCCAATAAAGCGTCACATTTCCAAAAACTTTCGACTCAAAAGACTCGGTAATATCTATGTAGCGCGAGCTGAAGCAGTTTAAAAAATATTCCAAAAGATATTCTAGGCGTTGCAACACAGGCCACATTGTGAGTGTATGACAAGTTGAGGGAACATTGTTACTTTGGGGTACCTTATTTTTTGAATATAAACTTTAAAGGACGAAATCCACTAGGTTCAAAAAGTAATCATCATTTCATATCTCCTATATATAGCGCCAAAGTTGCTTTTCCCACCAACCTCCAACCCCATTACCCCCTCTCCCAATTCCGTCGCCAGATCACTACAAATGCTGGGATTAAGTCGCTAGCGCGCGTTCTCCCCATTCCTTCCTCCACCTTTGGGAAGCAAAGTTAAGAAGGAGAAGGAGTCTCCAAAAAAAAAACACCGACCCTTTCGGGATTCCGCACTCTCCTTTCATTCCCTCAACAAAATATATATATACATTCGATGTTGGTTCGCTGTGGAAAGGAATCCCTTCTATTTTCCGTTCAAATTATAAGCATTGTTTTGCGCCGGATTCGGAGGGAAACCGAAGGGAATCCAATCGAAATAAGAGGAAGCTGAATAGATCTTTGATGATTAAAAATTTGGAGTGGCGGTTTTAATGTCTAATGAGAGTAATGGGGAGATTACGATGAACAACGAACGCTCATGCAACGAAACCTCCCTATAACGAACAGTTTAGGCCTCAAAAGTCGATTTTGATACAACCATGAATCTTCGTACAAAAAAGCCTCTGTATAATGAACAATTTTGGAAGATACTTGAATCGGTTTTAAGCCAAGTGAAAATTGTGCAGCAAAGCTTCAATACAACGAACAACTTAGGTCACAAGGTCGATTTAGGAGCAGAACCTCTTTGCAACAAAACCCGTCTATAACTAACAGTTCCTGAGGGCGATAGAATCGATTTTGGTCCAAAATAAACTTCTGTACACAAAAATCTGTCTACAACAAACAATTTAGACCTCAAGGGTCAATTTAGAAGTAAAACCTCTGTACAACAAAAACTCCTTAAACGAACAATTTAGGTTTCAAAAGTAGAAATTAGGCCACAGTGAGCCTCTGTACAACAAAACCCTGTCTACAGCAAACAATTTAGATATCAAGGGTCGACTTAGAAATCAGTAAAGCCTCTGTGCAACAAAACCTCCCTAGAGCAAACAGAGAAGGTTTATTTTAGGCCAAATCAGTCTATGTATAACGAAACATTGTCTATAAGGAACAATTTAGATCACAAGGGTCGATTTAGAAGTAAAACCTCTGTACAACAAAACCTCCCTAAAACAAACAATTTAGGCTTGACGAGTCAATTTTAGACCAAAATGAATCTCCATACAACGAAACTTTTCCATAACAAACAATTTAGTTTGCAAGGGTCGATTTTAGGCCAATGAGCCTCTGTGCGATGAAACCTGTCTATAACAAATAAAATTTTTGCTTATTTGTCGCCATACAGCGAGAAGTTGATAGCAGTCAGTGCGAAGAGAGTTCACGGCAATAACCAAAAAAATTATGACTAATGGACTACATAAAGCCAATAACAAATTGTTCAATATTATTTCCCCTGCAAAACAAGCGCTGTCACTCCCCAAATCGGCCACTTTCAACACAAACAAGAGTGGTACGGCCTGGGATGGAATTCCATTTATAAATAAAAATGAGAACACGACTTTTGGGCTTTGCATTTATATTATACTAGACGTGTTTTTGGCGAGAAAAATTTTTGAAAAAACGAAAAAAAAAAATGTTTTGAAAAAAATCCAAAACTCACTTGGCATTCGAATTTGGAGTGGATCCACCATTCGCAGGCCCTCCGGGCATCCCTCGAATTGGCCTGAAAGCAGGAAATTTACAAAATAAAAATTGAAAATTTCAAAAATAATTTTTTAAATTTGATATTTTTATATTAAGTCTAATATTTTTTGATCCAAAATGTCTTAAAAATAAAAGTATCTGGCCAGACTTGCCTGAAGAAAAAATTGGTTGGCCAAAAAACTCCCCGTTATAACATCTGGAGCGATTTTTAGAGCGCCTCATAAAGTGGAATATCAATCTTTTTGAAGCCGAGACTTAAAGAAGGTGTAAAGTATTCAATTTTGATTTTTTAACGGTCAAAAAATTTGTAAAATACAAAAAAAATGCTGTAAAAATCAACATATTGACACTGGAAACTTACGCATTAGGGCCACGTTGACGAACTCTCTCCGGGCAGTTGTGTTGGTAGAGGTTGGAGCGGAATTTGAACGCCTGCAAAACGAAATTAAATAGTATGTTTGGTGGGGTTTTCTTGAGTAAAGCTGCAGAATCGCATGAGATTTTTTTAGGGTTTGAAAAGCACAAGCGAAAAGCCTACGTTCTAAAAATTTTGGTCGTTTCTGCAAAGAGTAAGCTAGAGTGACGGACCATTGGCAAAAAACGTACCATTTTGCATACGGGAAGCATCAAAAATGTGGCAAAATGCTTCCCTTTCCAAGTGAAAAAACTTTGTTTGTGAGGGCCCTTTCCCTCACAAAAAGAGCGGCTTTTGAAATCGGAGTGTTTTCATTTGGAGAGGGATGCATTTTGCCACATTTTTCATACTTGCCGGATGCAAAATGGTACGTTTTTTGCCACTGTCCGTCACTGCAGGTTACCTTTACGATAGAATAAGGCAACTGCTGTTGGAATAATTTACAATAATTTACAATCTCATCGCCGCCGAGAAAATGAATTGTATCGCAGCAAAACCGAATTTCTTTTCACTTCAGCGATGCGATCGGCGCAGCGACAGAGTGCTCATTATTTTCCCGACAGTCTGATGTAACTGTTTTATCTAACAATAATGCCCAACGCTTCTCTTGCTTAAAAAACAAGCCCTTGTCTTACCTTTTGGCAGTAGTTGCATTTGAACGGCCGCTCGTTGCTGTGTCTGACCGCATGTTGCTTCAAATACCAGATGCTCTTGAACAGCTTTCCGCACTCTTTGCAAGCGCACAGCTGATTCTTCTGCAGCGTAATCGACGTCTTTCCCACTTCGATGGGACAAACAATCAGCGGTGGGGGCGCTGGAGCGTCGTCCGGCGACTGAAGCGGCTGCTGAGTGTTCGGTTTGACATTGTTATTAACGGCTGGGGCGGGATTGGCGGGAGGGTCGTTGTAGCCGTCCGTACTGCTCGCTGAATTGGTGCTGTTGGGAGGGGAGCCGGTGGTGGTGGAGTCTGAAAATGGAGCTATGAACTTGCTAAGAATGACGCCGTATTTTACCAAAACTTTTTTTTTTGAAACTTATTTTTTACAAGAAAATGGCTACTTCTGTTGAACAAAATCAATTTTTCGATGCAAATCTTTTTCAATATAAAAATCGACTAATTTTACAATTATTAGACACGATATAGTTATAAATAGCTTTTTTAACCACTAAAAATTTGTTACAAATATATCGCAAAAATCCCCAGAAACCTTTGTTTTATCCCTGGGATACTTTTTGATACCAAATTTTAGGGATATATCTGGTTTTTTTTACATCTCTTCGGTATATACTCGTTGAGTAAATATATTTTTTTACTCAATTTTTATAATCTACACTCTAATCTTTGTGAAAAGAGTAGGTCTTTATAGGGGCTAAAAATTTTGTTCGTTATAGAAAGGGTTCGTTATACGAAGGCTATAGTCAAAAAATTGGTTTTTCGGACGTCTTACAATGAGGAACCTGATCCAGTGGCAAAAAACGTATCATTTTGCATCCGGGAAGTATCAAAAATGTGGCAAAATGCCTCCCTCCTCAACTAAAATAAAACTTTTTTTGAACTGCGCGCCCTTTCCATCACAGAAAGAATGGGCGCGCTTTTGAAATCGAAGTTTTTCTCACTTGGAAGGGGAGGTATTTTGCTGCATTTTTGATGCTTCCCGAATGCAAAAAATACGTTTTTGGCCAATGGATCAGGTCCGCCACGGTAAATTGTTTGGTATAGACAAGTTTGTAGTTCCCTATAAATTTCCCATATCAGTCTGTCGGGAAAATAATGAGCACTCTGTCGCTGCGCCAACCCCGTCGCTGAAGTGAAAAGCAATTTGATTTTCTCCGCGACAAAATTCATTTTCACAGCAGCGATGCGATTTTCGCTGTGGCAGAGCGCTCATTATTTTCCCGACAGACTGCGAAATCTCCTCAAAACTTACGATGTGGATCCTGTGGGTCATCATCGTCCTCAACCAGGACATTCAGCTTTCCATCATTCATTTGTTTGTAACTGGGATTGGACGAATGCATCATGCTCAGATCGGTCTGCAACCGATACGCAGCGGCGTCTGAGATTGAAGAGAACAGGGAGAGATCCCCGTCCTCCAACGCTCGCATCTCATCCATGTCGAAGCCGGCGAGGAACTCGGCCTCAACCGAGTCCATCATGTTCATTGTGGGGACTGGAAATGAGGGAATTGGAGAGAGAAATTTTCAGAAAAATTTTTGATTAAAATCTGGGGATTTTTTAAAACTTTTTTGGGTCCCACCACGAAAACTTTTATTAGGCGTAGAAGTATGACCGTGCCGTTTTCTTAGTTGCGCCTTTTTTACAGGTAGAGTTAAAGTTTGGTACATCTGTTGATATCACCTGAAAGAACGTTGAAAACGCTCTCTATCGGTATATGCTTCGTGTGGTTAGGCTTAGAATAGCGGGTTTTATAAAGCTTCAAAGATGACCAACTTTCGTCCCAGAAAAATGCCATTTGCGGGAAATTTTCCTCTACACATGTAATGTGAGCAAAAGCGCCGTCGCCGCATGGAAGGCTTACAGAAGCTTACTGTGGTCGTGCTCTGTGAAAAAAATTCCGTCGGAAAAGGGTTCAGCGTTTCAAATCCCGTGATTTTCCAACCCATATAAGAAATTTGAATATGGAGATTATTGCAAACAACATGATGCCGGTGCGCAAGAAAAGCTAGCTTTTATGTTACACGTGTTGCATAAAGGAGCTTCACTCAGTTTGGAACAATTGGGAAAGATCGAGAGAGAAGGGACTTGGGTGTCATATGGATTGACCTAACTCAACATGGATAACATACAAAATTTTGATGGACAGACAGAAAGGAGGTAATTTTTGCATTGGCTAGTGACCAGAGAAGAACTATGGATCGATTTTGACAACCCGAAACACAAGCGACCGCACAGTCCAACATTACCGGGAAGGAAGTGTTGCTATGTATATGATGACAAAAACAAGATCTTCTTTTCTATGAGGTCTTGAAACCCGAAAAAACGGTTATTGGCATCCGTTATCAACAAGACTTGATGAACTCCACCAAGAGATATGATAAAAGCGGTCGGTATGACCAATTTTTATTTTGCTGCATGATGACGCCAAACCCCATGTTGAAAAACTGGTCAAGGGCACCCTAGAACCGCCGAGTTCGGACGTTTTACCCCACCCGCGACACTCTCCGGACGCAGCACTTTCAGATTATCACTGGTTTCGACCGATGGAACACGATCTGTGGCAGCAGCGCTTCGTTGAATACAACGATGCCGAAAATTGGGTTGATATTTAGATGGCTTCAAAAAAGCCAAAAATTTTCTTTGATGGATTTGAAAGTTGGCCAAATTGTGTAAACCCCTCGGAATTAATAATAGAATATAAAATTGGATAAGGTTTAGTGTAAAAATTTTTTGTTTTGATTGAAATTATGGGCCGGAAAAACGGCACGATCATACTTCTACGCCTAATAAATTGCAAAAAAACCTCCAAAACCGCTAAAAATCACAAATCTCACTTTAAAAGTTGTGTGAGGAAGCCAAAAATTCGAAATCAGAAAAATTTGGATTTTTCACAACTTTTTTGGGTCCCACCACGAAAACTTTTCAATTGCAAAAAACCACCCCAAAACCGCTAAAAATCATAAAACTAGCCTTAAAAGTTGTGTAATAAAGCCAAAAAGTCAAAATTTCCAAAAATTTCGATTTTTCAAAACTTTTTTGGGTCCCACCACGAAAACTTTTAAATTGCGAAAAACCACCCCAAAATCGCCAAAAATCATAAAACTCACTTTAAAAGTTGTGTAATGAAGCCAAAAATTCGAAATTTCCAAAAATTTCCAATAAAAAATCGATCGAAAAAATTGCGCAAAAGTCGTTGCAATATCACTAGCTGCAACTACGAGTTGAAAGAACAGTCGTGTGTGTCTGATAATCTGTTGAAATGGGGTTGAAAGACGGGACCTGACGAGGTTATGTGTATGTAACTAGGTGGGTTCTATGGGTTGTGTTGAAAGCACTCCTGTTGGGTAGTGAAACGCGGACGATCGGCGCAGATACGACGGGGCTCAAACGACGGCACTTCCTCGTATTCGACTCAATTTCATAGCATCCGCAACGCTGACTGGTGAGATGGGGGGTTTCGGGCTGGGGTTGGCGGGCGTTCCGTGCACGGAGGCCGTCCAATTCGGAGACTATGGGATGTCTGAAAATTTCTTGGATCAGAATTGATGATAATGGTGAAAAATAAAAAGAAGATCGCGGGAAATTGACTCGAAAAATTCATTTACATCGCAAAAAAATTGAAAATTTTTTTTTTGCAAATTGCACAGTGCGGAAAAAATTTTTGAAGATTGCACAGTGCGGAAAAAAAAAATTATATTTAAAAATTGCACTGTGCGGAAAAATATGTTTTAAAAATTGCACGGTGCAAAAAAAATTTTTTTTTTGAAGATTGCACGGTGAGAAAAAAAATTGAAGATTGCACAGTGCGAAAAAAAATTTGAGGATTTCACAGTGCGAAAAAATTTTTTGAAGATTGCACAGTGCAAAAAAAATCTAAAGATTGCACTGTGCAAAAATTTTTTTTTTGAAAAATCCACTAATTTAAAAAAAAATTTTTTTGAAGATTGCACGGTGCGAAAAAAATTTTTGAAGATTGCACAGTGCAGAAAAAAATTTGGTGACTGCACAGTGCAACAGCAAACATAGGAGACTGCACAGTGCAACAAAAAATTTTTTGGCGACTGCACAGTGCAACTAAAATTTTCTTGTCGTTGCACAGTGCAGTAACAAAAATTTTGGTGACTGCACGGTGCAATAAAAAAATATTGATGACTGCACAGTGCAAGAAAAATAATTTGGGTACTGCACTGTGCAAAGAAGTAAATCTTTTTTGAAATTGTGCTGTATGAAGAAAGCGCTAAAATAATCCGCCAGGAAAAAAATTCAAAAAAAAAAAAAATTGCACTGTGCGGAAAAATATGATTTAAAAATTGCACAGTGTAAAAAAAATTTTCTTTGAAAAATCGACTAATTAAAAAAAAATTTTTTTGAAGATTGCACAGTGCGGAAAAAATTTTTGAAGATTGCACAGTGCGGAAAAAATTTTCGAAAATTGCACTGTGCGGAAAAATGTTTTAAAAATTGCACAGTGCAAAAAAATTTTTTTTTGAAAAATCCACTAATTTAAAAAAAAATTGAAGATTGCACGGTGCGAAAAAAAAATTTGTGGATTGCACAGTGCGAAAAAAATGAAGATCGCACAGTGCGGGAAGAATCTTTGAGGACTGCACAGTGCGTAAAAAATTTTGAAAATTGCACAGTGCGGAAAAAATTTTGAAAGCTGCACAGTGCAGAAAAAAAATATTCTAAAACACAGCGAAAAAAATGTTTTATTATAAAAATTGCACCGACCAAAAAATCAAACTCAAAGATCACACCCTTATCCATGACGAATTGATAATTTTCACGACTCACGTAAAGTTCAAAAAAGAAATTTATTGAACGCCCTCAAAACCATACAATTACTGCCAGTTCTGGTTACCAAGCACGTAATAGAAAGTGGAATTGTTTTTTGATGGAATTTGAGACATAATAATTAGTCATTACCGAACAAGGAAGGGAAATTTTTGGGGGAAAATTTTGCAAAATACGTAAATAAAATGATGCATTTTATTTGCAAAAGAGAGATGGGCATAAAAAATTTATTTGGCCGAAAAATTTTGTTTTCAGAGGAGAGTCGTTTTGACGATGGTTGAAAATTTTTGAGACAAAAAAAATATTTTTTAAAAATTTTTTCGATTAAAAAATCAAAAAAATTTTTTTTGTATGACTGCACTGTGCAATAAAAACTTTTTTGTTATTGCACAGTGCAGGAAAGCTAAGTTGGTGACTGCACAGTGCAATAAAAATTTTTGGCGGCTGCACGGTGCAATAAAAAATTGCACTGTGCAAAAAATTTTTTTTGAAAAATCGACTAATTTGCTGCACGGTGCAATAAAAAAATATTGATGACTGCACAGTGCAAGAAAAATAATTTGAGTACTGCACAGTGCAAAAGAATTTTTTTGGCGACTGCACAGTGCAACAGCAAACATAGGAGACTGCACAGTGCAACAAAAAATTTGGTGACTGCACAGTGCAACTAAAATTTTCTTGTCGTTGCACAGTGCAGTAACAAAAATTTTGGTGACTGCACGGTGCAATAAAAAAATATTGATGACTGCACAGTGCAAGAAAAATAATTTGGGTACTGCACTGTGCAAAGAAGTAAATCTTTTTTGAAATTGTGCTGTATGAAGAAAGCGCTAAAATAATCCGCCAGGAAAAAAATTCAAATCTAAAATTCCACCTTGAGTTTCTTCAAACCATTTTTTTCGAAATGAGTTTCAAAAATCCCCAACTATTTCAGCGACAAATTTCAAACCAAACCATTCCAATTATGCGGCCAAAAGTACAGGTGTGTCGCATAAATTATATACCCACCCTACTTGTCAAATATTCAAAAGCCGAGAAAAGGAGCCAAAAAAACAATGTCTGAAAAATATTTTCGGACTGGGCCCGCGGAAAACATTGGGAAATATGCATGGAAATGCCACACGATTAATTAATCCCAAACGGTGAGGAAATCCTGGAAGTTTCGAGCCGTCAACATACGGCAGGAACTTGGGGATTTGTTTCAGAGGGATGAAAGAAAGCGATTTTTGCGTAAAATTTTTTGTTTTTTTTGAAAAATGAGAATTAAACAAAAAATTGAAAAAAAAAATTTTAAAAAAATCCAAAAAAATTTAAAAAATTATTTTTTTTTAAATTTTTATTTATTTTTATTTTTTTTCTATATTTTTCTTGCCAAAAAAATATTTATTTGCACAGTGAAAGTCCTAAAATTATTTTTTATTTTTACATATAAAAAATTTAAAAAAATCCCAAAAAATAAAAAAAATTATTTTTTTTTATTTTTTTTATTTTTTTCTTGCCGAAAAAATATCTATTTGTTCAGTGAAAGTCCTAAAAATATTTTTTCTTTGCACTAAAAATCTTAAATTTATTTTTTTAGTTATAAAAATATTAAAAAAATCCAAAAAAATCTCAAAAAATTACTGAAAAAATATTTTTTTATTCTTAAATTTTCAGCCCAAAAATTCAAAAAAATCAAAAATTCTTTTTT